TCATCGTCGAGCTCAACATCAAGAGTCGCCAGGCATTCCCTCAACGCGACGACCGCGGCCTCAACGTTGCTGCTTTGAGAGAAGACCCTGGACTGAAGAACGTATGCCGGTGCCCTGTCAATGGCAGTCTTTGCATTCCTGAAAATTACGGCGAGAACTTCATGTGCTCTCTGGTGTTGCCCCATGAAGATATGGCACTCAGCAGAGCGAAGATACAGTTGAATAGTCTCCGCGTAGGATCCGTCCTCTTGACTCGAGTCCCATGGAGAATCTTGTAGTAGCTTCATGGCATTTTCGTACAGTCTGCATGCGGTAGGCCGAGCTCCATTCTCGGCAGAAGCCAGAGCACGGTCGATGAGAACTTTCCGGAACGGGCGTCGGATCGACACTTGAGCCCTGATAATGTCCACCGCTTGACAGATGTGGAAAGCGGTGGTATCCCAAAGTTGCGTGTCGTCAATGTAATATTTCATCAGCGTTTGGGCAATGCTAAAGTGCATGCGCCGCGCACTGCATTCCTTCAGCTTGGAGGCGGCGTGGATGTATCGATCATGGGCAAAACGGAACCGATCATCATGCTCGGTGGTCACAATGATATACGCCTGTATGGCACTTTGCAGCCCGGCGATAGCTTCGTGTTGCGAATATGTGCGCTTGCGGCCTGTGGTGCAGCAAGAGGGATTGTCTGGGTCCTCCACAGGAAACTCGCCACTCATCAGCCGAGATACCAATTCAAAGGAGAATGTATTGCCGAGCAATGCAGCCCACGCCAGTAGCTCGCGAGCTGCCGAGCGTAGCTCGTCAAGCCGACTAGTGATGAATCCTGTGTCGAGAACATCGTAATCCTTTTCTCCTCGAAACTGTTCGAAAAGTCTGTCCAGGTCGTAATGCCACATGTTATCTTTGTAGTCGTACCAGATGCACTTTTTGCGATGGCATGCGCTCAGCATCTCGCGGATATAGAATGGGTTGCCAGCCGTCTTGGACTGTATCACGAGGGCCAGTGGGAGTACCTCCTCTTCCTTCCTGCAGAGGGTCTTGGAAACATACTCCACAATGTCGGTCTCAGTAAGAGAGGCAAGTGAAATGCGAGTGATGTTCGGAGCCCCTTGGCGCCGAGAATCGTCCACATCTGAAGAGTATAGGATTTGGTGCATCTTCTCGGCCGGTAGCTCGTCAGGCCTGTGCGTCAAGATAATGGCCATCCTCATACGGGTGCCGATAATTTGGTTTATCAGCTCGAGCGACTCATCATCTGCGAAATGCAAATCATCCAAGCAGAAGCATATGAACTTGTGTGTGGTGAACACCCTCAAAACGTCCAAGAAGATGTTCATGAGGCGGGTACTCTTTGTAGCCGCGCCGGCACGAAGAAATTCCTGTGTTGATTGAGAAGCAATGCTAGGATTCCTCGTGAGAGGCGCGGGTGACAACCTGTCTGGCGAGGAGCCACGGCGTTGCCTTGGACCACGGCCGTTACGGGGGAGAGAGCCTTGTGAGGAGGATATTGAGCGAGCTACGACAGACGATGCGTCCGGTGGCCCAAAGAGGAACTCGGGTAGTCCAAGTGTCTTCCACAGACTCGGCCAGACGGGTCCAATGTACTGCTTCAAGCCCTGGTGAAAGGGCGTCTCCGTGTTTCTCTCACCCCAAACCTGCTTGAACAGCGCTGAGAAGAGTTTGATCAGGGGTCCAAAAGGTGTACGTCTCGAGGTATCGAACTTTGCTGTAGCGCAATAGCCGCGGCGGCGCGCCTGACTCAGGACGTTCTGTACCAGGCAGCTCTTGCCCAACCCTCCAACGCCCTCAATAGTGATGACCTCGCAATGACCACGCCGCCTGAACTTTGCAGTTCCTAGTTGGCGCGACAGCCCACCTGCAGACGACTCCCCGATGCTAGGCCGGGTATCGGTTCCAAAACTCTCAGCAAGACTGCGAGCCTCGATGGACATGGAATGATGGCGCTCGAATGGTCGGGCACCTCGAGCGTGCGCTGTTGACTGACTAGATGCGGTGTCTCCCGAGATGGTGTGCGCGTCGGACTGGAAGGATTGCTGTGGCGTCCGTTGTCTCGATGGATCTGCGGAGACAGTCTGGGTGAACGATCCGCTCTGGCGATTTACGCCATCCAAGGAGCTCGCACCCTCGCTAGAAACGTCGTCCATTCCCTGACCGTCTGTCGACGGAACGGAGCCGTCTGCAAAGCGGCTCGTAGCCAGTTTCCCCCCCACGGCATGGCTTTTCGCAACACGATCAATGACCCTCAATACCTCGTTCATCTCCTTTTGTCGACCAATCATCGTAGTCGGTAGCATAAAGAAGGAGGAGACGTCCTTACTCCCAATCTGAAACTGTTCGATGGCCGCAACATCACCGACGCCGAGAAGGTGCTGGATTGCCATCAAGTCGTGCCGTAGTCCGCTCGCTGAGTTATACCGATCAGAGATGTTCTTGGATGTGCATCTCTGGATGATACGCCCTATAACATCAGGGATATCAATGCGGACATCGGAAACGCTTGGGATCTTGCGCCCGAGCACACCCTGCACAATGTCTAGCGGCGTGTCGCCCTCAAAAACCGGTTTCTGGGTAAGAAGCTGCCAGAACAGAACTCCACTGGCGTAAATGTCGGTGCGGGAATCGGGTTCAGCTGGCATCCGCCCAGTCTGCTCCGGGCTGATGTAAAGTAACTTGTGCCGCGCCCCAAGCTCTTGCGAAATTGTTGACCATCCGATGCTGGTCAAACCGTGCTCAAACGAACGAATGCCCGAGCCAAAGGACAGGACCCTGACCTTGTTCTCTTCCAGGTTGAAATGGAAAGCATCGCTGCGGATCTCACCGTGTACCATACCATGCCTATGATGCAGTATCTCCAGACACTCAGTGACCCCGATAGCAAAGTCAAGAAAGCGCTCCAGGCTGATGGGTGGCTGGAGTTTGAAGTTTGGATTTCGGTAGCCTCTCCACGCGTCATTGTACTTGCGCGCCGTGAAAAACGCAGGGCCCATGTCCAACACATTCCAGAGGTGATCTTGTCCAGGATGGTGATATATGGCCACCGTGATCGGGCCGCGATCGCCAGGCTGTGGCGTCAGTCGCACAAGGTCAATAGGCTTAGCTATGTGGTTCCCTTCCGGGTCGGCGGACGTCGTCAAGCTTCTCGTGATCTGAAAAGCCCGTTCTTCTCTGAGACCGTGGTAGGAAATCCGCGCGACGACTGGCTCGTCGATCGATAACATATCACCACTGAAGCTGGGGCTTTCATCGGGTGTAGCGTCTTGGGATTCTGCTGAAGTCGGGTATTCGAAAGCACCTAATTGTTCTGAAGGGGATGGCCCACCAGAGGGGAGCCTTGCCACAGATGCTGGGCTGGAGACATTTTGCGACGAAGTCGAAAATGTCGAAGCAGTAGACACATGCCGACTCCCAAATATGTGCCTGCAGAGTGGTCAGCCACCATCTCAGTTGGTGTACTTGTCTTTGCTCACCAGAAGTCATATGTAGAATGGAACGGGTCCTGCTGCTCGTCCCAGGTGTAGCCAGCGATGTGGCGGAGACGCTCAAAGATACGTTGCGGTGGATCGAGGAGATCATTAGGCATGCGAGCGGTGCTGTCCATCTTGCTGCAACGCTGCCACGCTCAGATGTCGCGGGGAGGCGAGCACCTTTCGCTTGCTTCCGCAATGGTCGCGGGACAAAACCTTCCCTTCGAACACTCTCACAACTATGATGCTGTAGCGGCGTTCATCCAAGACCCGGTGATGCGCCCATTCTCGGTCGTGTTGTACTTTTGCAAAATCGCTCGGTTGGGAAATTGTCGGTGCACTCGCAGTAATCAGAAGTGAGCAAAGTGCTGTTGCCAAGCACGCTCGTCGAACGGTCGGGCGCGCCAGGCTTCGAAGCACGAGAGGTGATTCGTGATGTTGGACTGTTGCGACACAATCTCCGCTGGTGTGACTTGTCAAACTGGCGCTTCGTCTGGTAGATGGGTCGGCTCACTGTAGATGGGAAAATGGCAGCCCAGCGGCAGACTGGACTGGACTGGCTGGATCCGTGGGAATGGAGATGAAATGGGATACTGAAAGTGGATGGATCCGAATGTTCCATGCGCGGCTCTGGTTGGTTCACAAGTGACCCTCATGCCTGGGCGGGCGGGCCATGGTGCTATCAGTCAAGACAGACTGGAGGGGAAACTTCCATTACCCTTTGAATGGACCTGCGCGTAACGCTGTTAGCTCCATGTCTAGTTCCCGCACTGGCGACTTCCTCCTGGCCTACAATACAGTGTTTCCTTTCGCCAGGTATGTACATGGCTGCTAGCAGCATGTCAATCACATGGCAGCTGCACAAAGTTCTACATAATGAGCGTCAACCCAGGCAAACCTACACTTAGCGCGGTTGCCACAGAGCCCAAGTTAGCCCAGAAGAATATTGATAAATCCCTAGCCACGTGTAGCCCGTCGACAACCTAATATCAGAGAAACAAAACACCTCAACGGTTCGCGATTTCGTAGCTGCATCACCTCTATCTTGGACTCGGCAAAGCTGGGCGATGATGTCAGTGTCTCTGATATTGTTCGGTCATGCTGTGCTATGACAGCATCCCGCGCCTGCCAGAAATGCACCTCACTTTGCTTTTGGCAAGTTGCGGATGAGAGGCAAACTGAATAACGTCGTTCCGACTCGAGCCAGGACCCGAAGTCCAATCAAACTCAGTTAAGCTTGTACAGGACCAATGAGCCGGCGAGAAAGCAAAGTAATCACAGCGTTCAAGTCTATCTCTATTTGAGTCTGTTTATCGCATTCGCGGGTGTATATCTTAAGCTCATGGCGACAGTGCCGATGACTGCCCAATGTTGATGATGCCTGCTCACGCTCCTGAACGTGCATCCAATTCCGGCGCAATGCGCTAACAAACCCTCGCTCATAAGCTCACATCATGCTCGTCTATCATTCAATCTAGACTTCGGGTATCCCGAGGTCAGGCTCTCAAAAGCGCCCTACGCCTTGGGGCGAACAGGCATGGTCTTGCCACCGTATGTGAAGTCCTGGGTCAACCGCCTCTCGGTGTTCTTGCGGGTGTTGACAAAGTCAGGGTAGTTGAGAGTCAGCTCGACTCCACCCTGCACAATGGCATCGACAGCCTCCACGCCGAGCATGAACGAGTGGTCCTGATTGCCGACCTCGTACCTCCAGCTGCCAAAGCGGCCACGCGAGTAGATGCCCATGTCCTGGAGCTTGGGGAGGAGCTCCTTAAGGACACCCTCACGCTCGAGCGACGGGGTAGGGTAACCGTGGTCGAACTTGCGGTGGTAAGTGGACACGATCTCATCATCGGGCTTGAGGAGCTCGGTGTTGACGAGGCCCTGGATGCTGTCGCGGAGGATATTCTCCTCGTCGACAGGCTTCATGGAAGACTGGGAGACCTCGAGCATGATGGACCAGTAAGGACCCTCCTGGGCCTCAGTAGACTTGGGCTTGCTGCCGTCAGCCTTTTGAAGAGTGGGAAGCTTGGCATCCTTCTGAGGCTGGTTGTAGGGGGAGTAGTTGGAGAAGATGGTGGCGCGGTAGAAGTTGCAGTTATCCTCGGGGAAGTACAACCAGCACTTGTCGCCAATGCGCTCGGGACGCTCGCCACGGATGCCAACACCAATGACGTGAGTCGACGAGTAGAAGAGGCCCTTTGAGAGCTTCACAAGCTCTTGGTTACCCATCTTCTCGACGAGGTGGTCGACGGCCATGGTGTTCACGAGCTTGCCGTAACCGATGGTGGTGCCGTCGGCAAGAGTGACGGTCTTGCCCTCCGCATCAACCTTTGTGACCTCGCCCTGCTTGTTGAAGCGCTTCTTCTCCTGAGGGATGGTGTCGGCGACAGCAGTCCAAATTCCACCAGTACCGTCGCGGGCAGGGAAGCGGAAAGTGGCATTGGGGCCCCAGTTGCCGGCGGTCTTGTTCAGGATGACGTTCTTCATGACAGACTTGACATCGGGAGCGGCAACGCGCTCGCCCAACCAAGCAGCTTGCATCTGAAAAGGTTAGCGAAGGACACCCGGGGAAAAGGGGAGCGAACGAACCTTGGTGGTGGGGACAGCCCAGACCTTGAAGTTGTAGGGGCGCATGAAGATGTCGCAGATGCCCTCACCCATCATGCGCATCATCCACTCATCGAAGTCCTTGGGCTTGGTGTTGGCGACACGTGCGGTCAAGGAAGCATCGACGAGACCATCCATGCACTTGACCTGATCCTCCTTGGGGAGCATGGAGATGTTGTTCTGGAAGGGGTAGGGAACCCAGAGGCCCTTGTAACGAACGTATGACACACGCTCGTGCGTGAACCAGTCGTCATCCTTGGGCAAGGCCTCGTCAAGGCAGTCGTCAAAGTACTTGTAGTGGGAGAAGATAACGTGGCCGCCGACGTCGTAAAGCTGTTTGGGTCTAGTTAGCGTACTGACGCTACCAAAAAGTCTATTGTGTAACTTACGAAGCCCTCATCGGTAACATCAGTGCCAGCAAGACCACCAGCCTTCTCAGCGGAGTCAATGATGAGCCATGAAGGGCCGTTCTGTAGCTCGTGTTAGCTGGAGTCGCGCACAGCAGCAAGCGAGCGGTGAGAACCCACGATTTGATTCAGACGCTTGGCGGCACCGAGACCAGTAGGTCCCATGCCAATGACGAGAACGTCAACATTGCTACAAGACCATGTCAGCATGCGTGTTTATCGATTGAAGCATACATCATCCTCTCTGTGGACCTGCTGCGTTCCAGTTCAAGGGGTTGGTACTCACATGTCGGCACCCATGGTGGGGAGTTGTTTTTCTGGTAGAGCTTGGTGGGGGTTGGGATGCGAAGACAAGAGGTCGTCGTCGTGAAGGCGCCGAAACGTACCAAGAACGGGTATGCGAAAAGACGCTGAGAGGTAATTATAATCAAGGACGAGGTTCGCGAGGCAAGGCAGGCAAGCTTCGTAGGAGGTTTGGCCGAAACGATGGGGTTGGGTCGCTGGCAGAAAAAGGAGACTGGAGATGGGGTGGTGGCTTTCTGGTGGGAGCGGTCTGATCCTGTCTCCATAGAGGGGCTAATATTATTCTGGGTCTCCATTTGGCGAGGAGCCTGAGGGAAGGGGGCAAACGCATCGTCCATGCGGCAACCGCTTCCAGGGGCTCAAGGGCCCTTCAGGACACTGCCAAACTTCCACATAAAAAAGGGGCCAGCGTCACATTAATGCGCGTGACGCTCCACACGCACCACCCAACGAAGATCCACTCAGCCCACCCCTGACTTCCTCATCTAATCACCTCAATTCTCATTATCCTTGATCAGCAACATCTTAATTAGCGGTATCTTGAAGTTGAATCCGTTGGTCTCCCACCTGTGGTGCCCTCACGGTTGGTCGCCGGTAGCAACCAGCCACGGCAATTCACAGTCTGTACTCCGTACTCTACCAGCTTCCCCATTGCTCGGATCTTCCGCGAGGATTTCCTCACTGGTGAGTAGCGCGGGGCTCGAGCTGAGGTATCTACGAGCCTGATGCCAAAAACGCCGGGTACGGGACATTAGCAGCGACAATCACACCTCCAATGGGTACCATCCCCTATCGAGGATCACCACCAAACTGCAGTACGTAGTAGAGTGGCTGAATATTGCTCGGCGGAGACCGGCGATAGCTTGCCAACTCGTGGCGGCACGCAATGGCTTCACTGGCTATCAGATGCGAGAGATCGCAGCAAACGTTGACCTTCACCGCCCCTGAATCTGTATTCGCCCACACACACAGCCTACCAGCCTCTAGTCTAGACTGTCTAGTCAATATCAGCCTGCCACTAACATTTCTTGCAGAACCGGGTAGCAAGCAAAGAAACCGAAGCTTGGCCTGCGAGACCCCGCTTTGATATTTTAGCGCCTGGATCCCTGCGTTCTAGCCGCCCGGTGCCGACGCCTCCAAACAGCCGCGAGGCTGATGAACCCTCCTCGATGCTGGGCATTCGGGATCATCAGGTGTAATTATAACCGATTTGCTCAAACCTCGAGAACGCGCAGGCCAAGAGCGAAACATCTCCTCCGCTGTCACCATATATTGCTGACAATCACAGCCAGTCCACCTTGAAATTGACTCGAACAATGGTTCTGCCGACTATTGCTTGCTCTGGCGCGAAAACTGCCCCTCCACGACCTTGTTACCGCAATCTCCTGAGATGAGGACAATTCCCTCACATATGAGGCTTGAGCAAGGCGATAAACAATAGTAACTCATAACGGAGCGAATTCGTGAAGTTACGTATGGTAGGGGGCTTTCCACCGGTAGGATCATGAATCAACTGAGACTGAAGCAAGCAAGAACGCTGAGCCACAAGAAGACATTCCATCATCTTCCTGCCATACTGTACATATGTACTCACTGCCATTCCGGAAAGGCACATACAACGGTATCAACCACTCAAAGGCACAAAGCGGACTTTACTCCGGATTGACAAGCATCAAGTAAATGCAGCCCAACAACGGTAGAGTCGTCATTGATTCATCCCTCCACATATTGTCCCGGATGTGAAACAAGCTTCGAGTCAACCGAGCTTGATGCTCGGCATCTTCTTGGCCATATCCGCAGTCTTGGCCTGTAACCATCCGACAGCGGGGAACGAGATTCCGAAATTGTTTTAGTCAAGAACCATCGCCGTCGTCATGTTCGCCCTAGGATGAATTCGGAAGTGACTCAGAAGCGTTGCTTCATCCAGTGTGAGTAAGAAGTGCATCAGCTTATAGCCTCATATAATTACAGCTTGCGCCTTCTCTTACCAGCCTCGGGCTAGATCCCACTAACTCGACTATTATTAGATGTTGAAGACGAGATTGTAGTTATACGCGTCGGCAAAGTGCTCACTTCATTTTGAAAGCCTTTGTTTCTCGACGGTGCGAGGATCGATTAAGCAGTGACAAACAGTGGCCATGCCGCCGGCCCGGAGCACTGATTCGATCAGCAAGTTCAAATGAGGCTTTGACTGTCTGATCAGCAGTTCGAATATTTACATAGCCACGGTTTGCGTGGCTTCCGGCATGCTAAAGCCGTGATCCTGAAACAAGAGCAGATCATGCTTGCTCCATGCAACATTCCCCACCCTCCAAAAGCTTGGATTGACGTCGGCAATAACGAGTAGTTGTAGCGAAGATCTGCGTTAGGTCGTGGTCCCGATGCCACGTAATCCTCCCACTTCTAAGTGCGTACGTGAGCCCGAAGGCGCTCTCACAGCTGAGGATTCGCCCTGTTCTCGCATGCTCGGTCATGTATTTGCGCGTGGTGAGAGCGCTGGGAAATGGACACGGACAGCGCTACAGCGTTCTTGGTGTCCAGCGGCGTGAGCATCGTCGCAGATTTGCGTCAATCGAGAGAAGGAAGTCTCACCATGACGCCCATGAACCCAGCATGATCAGTCCAAATTATCAGTCTGCATGTGATTGCTGCTCGCAAAGCAGCAGAAAGCATTATTTTTGGCGAGTTGGCAATAATCCCGACAAGGCAATCTATGCCAAGCTTCTTTGACAAGATCGCGTGTCCGGAACGTAGCGTCGTTCTGCGAACACGGTCGCTTGGCATGCCGCTTGCGCCAATAGATAGTGTGGAGGATCTATCCGTATGAAAGCAACCAAAAACAGCCACAGCTCGCGCAAGACGAGATTGACTTCGACACTTGTTGTCGGGTGACAATTAACGAGTACCAAATATATACACAAGAATTGTTTGTTGCGCATGATTTTGAACTGACTCCGGGGGATAACCTTGCGAGAATACGCAGGTACGTAGCTTGTGTCATCCCACGTGATCGACCCTTTGAGGCTAACCTGCTGTCTCGACTCTCGAGCAAAAAAATTCGCTGTTCTCGACTGGCGGCTGGTGGCTGATCACCCAACGTGGGCCACTGATTCGCCAGGCCAATGTCTCTCGAAGTTCTTCAGCTCTGGACGAGTCAACTGCGATAATGCAGCAGCCACTCACTGGCTGTGCGTACGTGTAGGGGACAGGTTTCTGAATCCGGCCAGAGGTGGCCCCACCCACCCCCTGAGCTGCGGACCGGAGCCCACTCGCGGGCTGGTAGTTCAGTACAGATACAGTACTCGCTCAAGGGCAGCGAGCCGCATTCGATCCCGTGTCGAGCGAGTCCAGCACAAGTATCCCTTATGTATCTGCAGGCAGCGTGCAGCAATCAATTTCCAGGGGCCTACCGCTTTTAATTGCCTCTGCTGCTCGCCTTGTCGACCCCCTAGCCTGGCTCCTTGATTCTCTGTCTTCATCTTATACGCTGCGTTGGAGAAGAAAAGACCTTGGCTCCTCTTTCACTCTCTTTTTCTCTTCAAATCTGCTCCCTAAGACAAGCTTGTTGACACGCACATTGCGCTCTCACGACGCTTGCAGGATTGATTTTGGTGCCTGCCTGTTTCTGCTCTCGAACGCAGTCCCCGCCAATTGCATATTCGCCGCCCCTCCTTTATCCGACCCCTTGAACTCTGTTGCAGGACTCTTGGCTGTCCGTCCGCTCGTTTTGCGCGTCTCCCCTAACAGGTTTTGTCTCTGCTCAGCAAAGTGCCTTCGCCTCGTGTCATCCACGCGAACGCCAGCACCAGAGCATCAATTTAACGACTTCACATCGATACCACGCGACAACGATTTTAATCACTCCTCAACCCGAAACAACGACCCTCCGTACGCGAAAACATCAGTCACAATGTCTGGCGAAGAGAAGAGCCGCATCTCTGGCGATGCGCCCCGTCAGAGCAATGGCCCTGTTCTGCCGACGGTCAACCCCAGCGCCGAGAAGACTCAGCAGCCTGGTTTCTCGTTGCACCCAACTATCTATGTAATGTAAGTCCTGACGATGGAAGGCTGCAGCGAAACGCCATCGGAGAGCCATGGGCTAACAATCGACTGAACAGCATCTGGATCTCGTGCAGTTCCTCCGTTATTCTTTTCAACAAATGGCTGCTGGACACGCTCAACTTCCGTATGTGCTCCAAACGCCCGCGTGGCTCGCCTGCTATAATCTAAGGACGATTGCTGACGAACTGCTCGAACAGGCTATCCCGTCATCCTCACCACGTACCACTTGTCCTTCGCCACCCTCATGACCCAGCTGATGGCCCGCTTCACTACTCTGCTTGACGGACGCAAGAGCGTTAAGATGACTGGTCGCGTCTACATGCGTGCAGTGGTTCCTATTGGCATCTGCTTCAGTCTGAGCTTGATCTGCGGCAACCTGACGTACCTCTACTTGTCGGTTGCTTTCATCCAGATGCTCAAGGCCACTACGCCCGTGGCCGTATTGATGTCCAGCTGGATCCTTGGTGTTTCAAAGCCCAATCTCAGGCAGTTCCTCAACGTCTCCACGATCGTTGTTGGTGTCATCATCGCTTCGATCGGCGAGATTCACTTCGTCCTGATTGGTGTTTTGTACCAGATCGCCGGTGTCGTGTTCGAGGCCCTCCGCTTGACCATGGTCCAGCGTCTGCTCAGCTCGGCTGACTACAAGATGGACCCTCTCGTTTCGGTCTACTACTTCGCGCCCATCTGCGCGTTGATGAACGGTGTTGTCGCCCTGATCTGGGAAGTCCCCCACTGCACTATGCAGGACGTTTACAACGTCGGCTTCTTCACCTTCTTCCTGAATGGAATGTGCGCCTTCATGCTCAACGTTTCCGTTGTTCTGCTGGTACGTCTTGCATGCCAAGAAAGCGAAGAATCGCGACATGGCTAACTGAATTTTTAGATCGGCAAGACTTCCGCCGTTGTCCTGACTCTCTGTGGTGTTCTCAAGGATATTCTCCTGGTTCTGGCCTCCATGGCTATTTGGGGCACTCAGGTGACTGGCCTCCAATTCTTCGGCTACTCCATTGCACTGGGCGGCATGGTCTACTACAAGCTTGGCTTTGAGCAACTGAAGGGTCACATCGGCGAGATGAACCGCCAGTGGGCTGATTTTGGCAACCGCAAGCCAGTACTCCGCAAGCTCACCATCATCATTGCTTCCGCCTTCCTCATCTTCACCCTCTTCGGTGGCTTGGCACCCACATACGCGCCCGAGTACGACCCCCGCAAGCTCGCTAACGAAGCGTCAAACCGCTTTGGCATGCACGCTCACAAGTACTGAGCAAAGGATGAGTCTGGCTCTCTATAAAATGGGAGCCACTTGTCTACAGAAGTTCTCGTCGTGCAGGCAATGACTATGAGGGGCCGTCGCACTGCATGTCTGTTTCCGCAGCGAAATTGTCAAGACCTGTTTTCAACATACAAACTTATTTTCGCCTGTCTCTCTGCAGCGCCCGCCGGTACAGACACCGCTTACATTTTCTTTTCTTCTGATTCTTGGAGAACCGTTGAGAAATTCTGCTTGGCTTGGACGTACACAATGTATTGGTGTGTGCGGGTCCTTTGTTTTACGAAAGTGTATAGCTATAGAAAGCTGGGCGCAGAGCGCACAAGGCTCACAGGGATACGAACGGAATCATTCTGGGTTGTCGGCATGAAACTCTGGGGGATGGGTGTTTTTAATCCCTTATAAACCAACACTCTAGACGGCGTTGTAGTCTTCGAGCATAGAAACGTAGAAACGAAATTTTAACTTCACGTTCTCGTTTTCACGTTCTCGTTCCTTGGTTGTGCTTTTCCAATGGCTAGTATTGGTCAGATTACGGTGCCCCAGTGTTGCGTGCTTGGAACTTGTCGTCGGGTGGGCATCAATGCAAAAAGCCAGTAGGAGCCAGCGACGCAGGAACACGACGGGTCAGTGATGTCGGACTGCACAGAGATTGATCTCTGTTCCCTATTGTACACATCAAGACCCGACAGACAGGTCACAGACGCAGAATTCGAAGAAGTCGTCAATTGCGTAGCCAAGACCTATTTAGCCCGGCGATTCCCAACTCACTTGGCCTTCCCATCCGTCCGAGCTTCCATCATCATAAAATAAAGGCACACTCCTGAGGGAGCACCATGCTCAGAAGCCATCATTGCTCATACCTCCTGATCATGTACATGCGTTCACGCGACAGCCAGTATGTATGTGGAGGGTGATGTTGTGAACTTTGATTCTTTTTAGTTCATAAACCGTGGGATTCCGTTAAAGCCACCCGATGCTCTATACATCCCGCAAAACTCCCTAACCATGACGGAGGAAACGATATTTTTAAAAGCCTGCCGCGTGTTAGTGGTGGTGATTCGCAGGTGCGCGGGCAGACGGGACGTACGCAGAGGGGTGAAGAACCACCTGTTCTTCCCGGAAGTGTAACGCTCCTCAAGCACCTTCTTGACGGTCTTCTTGGCATCCTCACGCTGGCTGACCTCCTTGAAGGTGTCGGCCGAGATGGTGCCCTTGAGGCCCTCGAGCTCGAGGGTGTAGCGGGTGGGCATCAAGTGGTTGTAGTTGATGACCTTGATGAAGGGCTTGATTTTCGAGCGCTTCTCCTGGCGGGCCTTGGACATGCGGCGGGTGATCTTCTCGGGGTAGCGCTCGATGCCAGCAACGACGGCGTGGCCGAAGGGGTGAGGCTTGTTGCCGTTGTCGAGGGGCTGGATGATGACCACCTACAAAAAGGGTCCAAGTCAGCGATTCTGTGATCTTGTAGTTATACGGCAATGAACGTAGTCGGTCGACGTCGTATGCGAGCGCTTGTGTAGGTCTCCTTGCTCTTGTTCCTTGTGCATCCGGTCTCTTCGTCTCCTCGTCCTTCACCCGTGCCCCTCAATGCGCATTCGTTTCGACGTCGACCAGATCCAATTCAAGGATAACATTCGAGGAAAATCGTACCTTCTTGCCGGCATACCTGCCACGGGTGATGATGGCAACACGGCCAACCTTGAGGAACTTCATGATGGCTGCTGAGGTGTTGTGGTGGTTAGTGAGGTCGGAGGTGTGATGAGGGCAGGTGGTGAGTTTTTTGCTGTAGTCCGTCGCCAATCCGTGACAGGGGAATTTGGTGGAAAATTCACGGGTTTGTGGGCTTTGCATTGGGGCACGCGTGCGGCTGCGAAATAGGTCACGTGAAATGTGGCTGGAGCGGGAATTGAGCCTGATACTGTGGCTGGTGCAGAGAGCCCCACCCAGACCTGGGTCGCTGCCAAGCTCCGAACCGGGGCTGTTCTCACGATACTTTCTGGGGCCTGGGATCGCGTTCCTGAAGCACCATCCGTCTCTTGCTTCTGTCAGAGCTGTCGCCCATTCGACACTTGCACGACATAATGGCTGCCCCAGCGTACGTCATCTCCCGGGTTGCTGATCCGATCTTCGCCGTCGCGATTGGTATTGGGGCTGCTGTCACCCGCATCAACCGCGAGGAGAAGGAGAAAGGCAAAACGAGCAGCGAGACGTGGCAAACAGCTCTTCGGTACGTGGGAATAAAGCTCGATTGCACCTCATTATGCTAAACATGAAACAGTCGCATTGGACTTTCAAAGACGTCTTCATAGTCGATCGCGACTCGATTGCCCTACGATACCCGACTTGATTGCTATGCTAGTATCCAACATTAAGAAACATTATTCATTCGCCAAATGATGGCCCGTACTCCTTCTTCATCGCCTCTCTTACGATCTGTCCGCACAACTTGGCTGTTGGATTGGTGCTCACGGCCAGGCCCTTTGCGATTGGATTTCCATAACGGCCTCCTAGTGCCAAGTCTCGCGAAGCGGCTTCTTCAAATCTCAATTTGTCCCAGCTTGCCTCGTGACGCGATCCATCCATATCTAGGTCTCGATATGGCAAGAGTTTTGCTGTCTTGAGATATATCGCAGCGCGCTGTGTGTGCGCCATCGACAATGTCCGCGACGCCTGCGACGACATGGGCGCACTCACAGATGCAGGGGATAGCAATCGAATGGAGGTATCGAGGTCTTGCAAAGCCGCCTTTGCGGCCAACCTCTTTTCGCCTTGATTGGGATTCTCAACTAGTGGCATCGGCATACCCTGGATTTGAGACATGAGCATGGCATCGCCATATAACCTCCGAGCGATCTGAGCCCTGTTGTTCCGGGCACTGGCGTAATCGGGGTACTCGGCTACCAGGGCATCGAAATCGGAAGCGCACTGCTGGTATTGTGCAATGGCCGTGTCGGATGAGTTCTCCGCCATTGACTGGCTGAGCTCGATTTCCAGCCGCTGGATATTCTGGATGATGCGGCGTTCCTGAGCAACAACTCTGTCGTAGACACTCGTGTCAACGATGTTCGGGTCACGCGGCAGGGTCTCGTCTATAAGCACACCTGCCGCGGGATTGAAATCGGGATCTTTGATCTTCTCGAGCACGTTCATGTCGTGCGAGGTGAGAGTGACCGCTGCCATGATGCTGGCGTTTTGTGGTTATCGCGACCAAATGATGGGTTTCAACACTTTGGGGCGTTGCGTGTTGCGAAGCTAAGCAGAGTTCACGAATTGTGCTATGGGTGCAAAGAAACAACAAAGTGGTCGGTCGGGTCACTTTCTACCTTATCATCAAGGAAGTTCTACGTCTTCTCCATTTTACAACAATTCCGCCTTCAGCGCCTGTCGGTCAAAAGTGCTGAACTCAAGCAGCATATGTCATAGGCAATGATTTATGCGGCGACAAGGACGCGCAGTACGGCCAGGCGCGGCTTCGGTCGGTTAGCCCGGCCCACGGCGTTGTTCCGCCTCCCACCCTGCGAATCCGAGGCCAGTCCGTCACTGTCATCACTGATCGAGCTCGGGTTTGCTATCGCTGCTACTACTACCCATTATCCACCAAACAAGGCTGCACATAGATGCTCTGGAGGCTGTCAACAGTGGTTTGAATGCCGATTCGCTGGCAAGGATTTGTATGCCATGGGCATCCATCTTGCACATTGCGGCAGCAGGTAGCAGAATGCTACAATTGTTGCGACCATTGCTTGTCATGAATACAAGAATGATCTCCCGGGCTTCACGGCGGGCCCACGCTGAGCCGCGAAAGCCCCGTCAGTAGCCGCCGGGCTACCACCACCACCACCACCACCACACTCGAACACCTAGAAGGAAGAGATCACCAGATGCCGACGAGATCCATCCCCCAGAACAAAGCTATGTGCGGACCATTTCCGAGAGGTAAAGGTTACCTTCAAGGCCTACAGGGCCCCACTATCGCCGGCGGATGATTCGGTCGGGCATGTCACAGCCTCTGACCAGTCACTTATATACGACTGCTACGTCTCACTATTAGCAAGAAATCATCCTGAATCATAAACAGCAGTGTTTCGATCTTAAAGACGACTCTCGAACCCCCTCAGTGATTCAAACAACATCAGCAATCATCACAGAATCATTGGTCGAACAACCCCTTTACACATTTCTTCTTAACCACAATGGCTCCTTCTGCCATCTCCAACTCGCCGCCATCAAGGCCGGCGGAACTCGCCACGTCGAATGATACAACCTTTGCCATCCAGCCTCCTGCAAACTTCGTTGGGTACGACCACGTAACATGGTGGGTTGGCAACGCAAAACAGGCCGCCTCGTACTACACATCCCTCTTCGACTTCAAGCACGTTGCCTACCGCGGCCTTGAGACGGGGAGCCGGTACTTTACCTCATACGTTATTGCAAACAATGATGTCCGCTTCGTTTTCACCTCGCCCATCCGCTCGGCCGTGCACTTGCCCGCGGACGAGCCCATCTCGGAGTCGGATCTTGTGTTGCTGAAGGAGATGCACGCGCATCTGGAGAAGCACGGTGATGCTGTCAGGGACGTCGCTTTCGAGGTGGACAATGTGGAAGCCGTATACAACACTGCTGTGGAAGCAGGCGCCAAAGCTGTCCAGCCCCCGCAAGTACACAAGGACGCGGACCATGGGTCCGTGACCACCGCTTCCATCTGCACATACGGCGACACCACACACACTCTCATCGCCCGCAACTCGTATACAGGACCTTTCCTGCCTGGCTTCAGAGAGGGAAAGAAGGTTCAGTCCTCTATCAGCATGCCGGAAGTACCCCTTCGTCGTGTGGATCACTGTGTCGGCAACCAGTCCTGGAACGAGATGGTGTCCGCGTGTGCCTTCTATGAGAAATGTCTCTCCTTCCACCGCTTCTGGTCCGTCGACGACTCTCAGATCTCCACTGAATTCTCAGCACTGAACTCGATCGTAATGGCGAGCCCCAACAACCTCGTCAAGATGCCCATCAACGAGCCCGCACCTGGCAAGAAGAAGTCCCAGATCGAGGAGTACGTCACATTCAACTCGGGGCCCGGCGTCCAGCACATTGCCCTCCTCACCAAGGATATCATCACGTCGGTCTCTGCGCTGCGCGCTCGCGGCGTGGAATTCATCAACGTCCCGCCGACCTACTATGACACCATGCGTCACCGCCTCAAGACTGAGAAGCGCAACTGGGAGCTGATGGAGGACTTTGAGACCATTCAGAAACTCAACATCCTCATTGACTACGACGAGGGCGGTTACCTGCTACAGCTGTTCACCAAGCCTTTGATGGATAGGCCTACGGTCTTCATTGAGATTATTCAGCGAAACGACTTTGAGGGTTTCGGCGCAGGGAACTTCAAGAGCCTGTTCGAAGCGATTGAGCGTGAACAGGCTGAGCGTGGTAACTTGTAAGCGATAGCAGGAGAGAAAAGATGAGGATAAACATGGGGCCCATTTCATGGCGCAGCGGTAGCGTACTTGCTATGTTGAGTTTCTGATACCATTCATTCTAATTGAGGTACCTGTTCATACCCGAAGAAGTGCCAATAGCAGTAATTAGTTTAACCTTTCCCAAAATCCCATTGTTCCCCCGGATGTGATGCTCACTACCGTATGCTCCAAACTCCTCGGCGCAATGCAATCAGACGCGATCCGCAAATGCTGTATTCTCGTCACTCGTCCACCGCCATGGGCTCATGACCCCCGTTGACTCCGTCTTCTATTTGTGCTGGTACAGTGCTCTGACATCCGGGACAATTGTGTACGACGCCATGCGCGAAGACGTCGCAGTCAATACAGAAGTGGTTCCCGCACACCTCGCACGCATATCGTCCGCTCTCGCTGACGCCCTTGTACTGTTTCTCCCCAGGCTTTTGCCCGTCTGCTGCCGACTTCGCCTCCGGAAAGGGGCACATGCACGAGAAACACGCGGTTGACTTGCCAGCATCGGCCCAAGGCACTTCTTTCCAGTTCCGCAAAGGAAAGAGATGATGGTACGACCTTGCCAGATGCGTACTCAGAATGAGTGTGAGGCTGCACGACGGGCACTCGGCTGGCAATCGACACACCCTCACGCCGCAGCGTGTGCACGAATAACCCTCCCTGACCGGCTTCGAGTGACAGGCACAGTGGCTCACAGAGCCGCTCGGCGCCAACGTCCTCGATGGGAACCCCATCATCAGCAGACTCGCCACATTCTGCTCAGCCGTACGCGTGACGGGGGGTGTTGTGGCCGCGAGAAAGAGCTCTCTGAAATGTACCTCGTCGAGTATTACGTTGTACTGCGATTCGTCGCCGGCGTTCGTCCGAGAGCAGAGTTCGGCACAGATGGCGATATGGGCCGACAGCCCAACGATAGAGACGCGTATTCGATCGGTGATGAGGGATGAGATGGTGTCGTGGATGTCGCCCGGGTCGCTGGACAGCAATGCGCCGTAGATGATGAGGACCTCTCTCGTGCCGTGGGACGGAGCGTGGCTGTGGTAATATTTAGCAAGGCAAACCGTGCCGCTGGTGACCAGTAGGCCAGACTCACAAGAGAGCACCCCGACACATTTCCAACGCATTCTGCAGACTCGGGTGTCCTTTCGGCTCTTCCTCCTCCAGCTTGCGCAGCTTGGCAATGTGTTCACTGGGATTTCCACCCAGATCGCTGATCCGCACCGCGACGCCGCCCTTCATGCCAATGATGCCCAGCTGCGAAATAGGATTCTGCTCAAAGAATTCTCGGACGAACGTGACCGCGTATCGAAGCGTCAGACGGTATCGATTCGGTAGCAGATCCTTCTCCTCCATGGCAAAGCTCATGTCCAGCACGAGGACCAAATGTCGAATGATACCCCTCTGTAGCGGCGTAGTGTCCCGTAGCACGCGTCTTCGCTTCTCCGCTTCGAGGGCGGAGAGGTTGAGGATGCCGTCCTGGTCTTCGTCGGGGAGGTCCGTCTCCCATGATCGTTTCGCCGTCTCCCACTCGCGCGCCTGGTCTTTGCGATCGCGGCGCTTCTTGCGACCCTTGGTAGCACGCGACACGGATTTCGAGCTGTGCAAGACACGAGGATGGTCGGATGGATCGTCATCCGGATCGGGCGCGCCCACGTCGTGGTCCAACACGTCATCGGACATGTTGTCGTCGATGAATTCATCATCCGAGTCGGCAGCCATGGCAGGCGTCTGGTCGGCGTAGTTCGCAATATCGTGCCGCAGACGAATATGTTGTTGAACGAAAGTCTGTTCCTAGGCGAGAGGCTGTGTATTTTAGGTTCAGAATGTGGGGGAGTAATCAAGCTCTTTGGGTGTTGGGCAGCGTGATGAACTGCAAAGGCAAGTCGGCGACAAAGCTGTCGATCATGCTGGCCTTGCCGCTGGGTCCACCATTACTTCGGCACAGCGCGGCATAGCAGGCCGCGGATTGATGAACATTAAAGTATCTGCTGTTGCTCCAGACGACATTCAACGAGGGCGGTACGAACAATTAGCAGCCATGCTGGCTCCGGTCATCGACTTCCTGTCCAGAGTGGTATCTTCAGGAGGTATCGCAACATACCATTGTCCCTGATGCCATCCAGTACGCACGCAAATGATGGGTAAATACCATATTGCGATAAAAGAAGCCCATCAATGATATTACTATTTGTTCAAGCACATTGCTCCCTAGCTGAAAGGACGTGAGTCATGCATGATCTGCCTGCCCCCTTGGGTATACTAAGTACGTTATTCGTCCTTCATCTTGTAGCCAGCCCTGCTGATGGACATCAAATCCAGACACACAAATATTATAATCCCACTAGTGGGACGGTCCTTGTGCGAGCTGATCCCCGTGCGCGCGTAGGTCCACGTCCTCCTTCAAGCGCCGATGCGCGTCGTCCCTGGGCACAAATCTGGCATGCCTTGTAGCGTTGTCGAAACGAGCATGATCGTGTGAAATTTCGTTGTCGCCGGCGATCACATAGGGACATATGGTGAAAAAGGAGAGTCGATGCTGCTACCATCCATGAACGCCAAGTGAAAGAAATAAAAGAGATAGAGGCTGCGTGTTCTCCAACGTTTCAAGGATATGTCGTACCGACAGGCATCGGCCAGTCGTCCTCCGTGATGCTTGACCAGAAAATCCAGACGGCAACGACGGATAGATAAGTGAACAGCGTTTGGAACATGGATCCGTCGATCTTTCCATCGGTTCCGTCGCAGATGTACTTGCTGATAACATAGTTGAAAACCTGCCCAGCGGCGAAAAGTACTGCGGCGGCAGTGAGGTAGATCATGGGCCGAGTCTCGCCCAGTACGCGGAGAACGAGGATGGCCTCGAGCACATAAAAGGCGACGAGGAAGATAAGCGGGACCAGTTGGTAGAGGACGTAAAGGGCAATGTGGCGGTTATCCCCTGTATAGCTGTCCTCCCAATAGCCAGTAAAGTCGAATCCTGTATCGAGAGCGATGTAGCCGGTACCGACGAACAAGGCGACTGCCGTGACTAGGCAAAGGCCCAGGGACAATGCGGTGCCGTCGTCGATAAACTGGTATCCAATCAGAGCGTTCATCACGAGAATCCACGTAGTTGCAACGATGGCGCCAATGTGCACGGCGGTGAATCCCTATATCCCTGTTAGTGTTTCGATTTCTGCAAAGCAACGCGAAGCTGACATACATCGCGAGCATCCTTGGGAAAGGGGAATTCGCCGACTGAGAAAATCTCGCAAATGCTGATGAGGATGTAGCCCAGCAAGAACAGCTGCATTTCCCTGATGTATGTTAGTATTGCGGTTGTTTAGTCCAGCCAGCCAGAGAATCACGAACCTTCGCCCAACAGCCGCCTTCTTCTTCTCCGACTTGAGAAGCAGAAAAAGAGACGTAATGATTGCGAGACCGCAGAGGAGAATAGCACCAAGGTTGCCCAGTTTCCTGTCGCCCGAGAGCGGTATGCCCTTCAGCTCACAGCCACCCCACGGCCCATCTTGACCATTTTGATCTGACAAAATCTGGTACGCAAAATAATCAGCCAACGAGTTTTTCAAAGCACAAGAAGCTCGCGCAATATGAGTGTCGAATTTCGACACTGAAGTTTCGACTGGGGAGTGTGGGATCGAAGTAGTCTCGAGTTTCGGGTTGACGTACGTTGCAAATTGGAAGGGTCGAGTCTCTACAGAAGTCCTATAATTGCAAAGGGCCCAGGTCAGCAATTGACGGTTCACGAGGCCATCCAATTTCATGGAGAAGGACGACGAACGTGAAAGTTGCCAAACTCGGTTGACCCCATCGTGACTGCAGACGCCCCCCGAGGCGCAACAAGACGCAACCGCGCCTGATCGGAGACGGGAAAGTTTGTATAGATTGTTCGACAAGAGAAGCTTTACTCAGTCGACTGAACGAGCGTGTCGACGTGAGGAGGCCACTCGATTGCTGAAGAGCTTTGGACGACAGATGCAAATGGAGACTGGACCACAAGGAGAGTGAAGAACTGGAGAGTCGAAACGGGGCGCACGCTTGCCGTCCTGGTCCAGAGAGCCTCAGCGCACGACAGGACCTTCTTCAGGCGCAGCAGAGACAGATCGCTCCTGGGAAGTGGTAATTTCCCAACTGGACCCGTGGTTCGATCCGTCCGGGGTGGGTTCCACAGTTCCTCGCACAGTCTCAACCTGACTCGATACGGCAACTGTGGCTCAACACCGTTTGGTGAGAAAACTAGCTGGACAATGTACAGGATGGTGAAGGAATTGTCGTTCAATGTGGATAATTGAATTGCGGACGAGGTTGCGATACTAGATGTGCCCGCGCATTGAAACACTTCAATGTGGATGGATGGGCGACGGGACAGGACAGGGAGGGCCATGCCGCCGAGAAGAAAAGCCGGTTTCTGAGTCCAGCTCTTGCTTGATCGGTTGCTGGGCGATGTAACTTCTTGGTGTGGGCTCCATGGCCTTGGCTTCTGGTAACGACACAGGCTGGGGCCGCCGCACCATGTACGGTGGGTCTCTAGGGCAGGAACGGCCATCTGAGTGGCTGATCAGCATTGCCAGCAGTCTCTAAAATCGTGTTTGCGCACGCTCATTGGCGCATTGCAAAGATATTGGAGCCGCGTTAAGGTCAGGGTCGACACTTTAGTGTGCCTGCTTTCCATCAACATTGTTGTCATTCACACTGTGAAGTCTAGAGGCTGGTCTTGGCGAGGTGGGATTCTTCGACGTGAGACCTTCTTCAGCCATCGATGACATCGTTTCGACCTCTTGGAATGCATCATTGCCGTGTGGAAGGAACATGGGGTCGCGTCAATCGGACTCATACACCTGCGTAACGCGTTTAACCCCAAACGAAGCGTGTAATCTGTAGGTAGTTGCCTGACGGGTGAACACTGCATCATCGCTCTGAATTCTTGGAGCTCCTGTATAACATCATAGGGCATATGTTATGCACGATGTGCTGGATCGCCCATCATGACTGGAGTCGCGCAGCTCGATCTCGTTCATCGAATATGGCACAGCTATTGTTCAGCCACAGCACACGAGCGAAATTTCCTCTAAGGAATTGAGGGTATTGGTATCAGATGTCCGAAAATACCGTGCACGACATGCTTGGTCATGAAAGTGTACAAAAGCCACGGTCGACCTCGACGAGTGCAGTACATAAATATATCCAGTGCTTCAAGACATCATGCATTCATCCATCGTCAATATGCGTAAATATCCACAGGATATATTCATGAACATTAATACGTTGATGCTTGGGTTCATTTCGTCTTTCTCCTCGCCTTGAACGTCTTCAAGGGATCCCCTTTCCGTGATCCGGCTCTGAAACTTCTCTTGCCCTTCTTCTGCCTCCTGTCTCCCTTCTTTCTCATCGGCACGAAACCAATCTCCTCCGAGGTTAACCCTTTTTTGCCTTCCTTGGGGAGGAGATACTCGGGCACGTGCTTGAGATGCGGCTGTGATCTCGCTGTGCGTAATTCACCGTCGTGGCGAACGTGACTCAGCTCGTTTGGGTTCTCCTCGAAATATCTACTTGTTGTTAGTGAGGTGCCTCTGTATCACTTTCATGGCTGCACGAACCTCTTGAGCTTCTCGCTCTTGAGTAGCTCCTGCCTCAGCTCACGCGTCCGCGCCTCACGGACAGCGACCTTGGTGACAGCACGTAATGCGTCGTTCATACGGTATCGGAAAGCCTCCACCTGCTCCTTGTTGAAGTTGTAGTCTTTGACCTCTTTTCCCTTCTTCTTTTGCTGGCGGGTGATTTTGGCGAGTACTCGCTCGTCATTCTCCGCAGTCTTGACTGTGGTCGGCATGTGCTTGCGGTAGAGGCTCTCGGGGACGACGAAAGAGAGTGCCATGCCATTCTTGCCGGCACGAGCTGTGCGGCCTATGCGGTGAGTATAGGACGAAGCAGTCGTGGGGAGATCAAAGTTGATGACGGTGGCGACGTTTTTGAAGTCGATGCCTCGTGAAACACCATACTCAGAGTCTCGCTTGGCAGTCTTCCTTTTCTTCGATGGTCGTTTGCCGTCCGCACCCTTCTCGGCATCTGCGTCCACCTTGCCTCCTTCACCGTCCTCGTCGTCGTCCTCGCCATCGACGTTGAGCATTTCGCTCTTCTCATCAGAAGCGATGATGATGTCGTAGACATTGCGGTTGAACTCTTCGACGACGTGGATCCTGGAATTGACAGGGAGCTCCGAGTTGAGAATACAGCTGCGAATACCAAATTGCTCGAAGAAGAGCTTCAGACGATATGATCGATCAATGTCTGCGACGAAGATGATGCATTTCCCCTTGATGAGCTGGAGCTTGAAGATGACATAGGCCATCAAGAACTTCTCATCCTCTCCACATTTAGTAACATAGTGGGTGATGCCCTCGCCGTCGGCCTCAGGTTCCTCCAGATCCAGCAGTGTTGGCTCACGGTAGAAGATGCTCTTCAACGCATCGACCTCCGAAGATAAAGTTGCGCTCATCATAACAGTCTGCACGCCCTTGGGTATCGACCGCGATAGGTTGTCCATGTCCTCTGTGTAGCCATAAGACAGAATCAAGTCTGCCTCGTCAAGGACAAGGAATTTCAGGTTCTCCAGCGAGAGGGCCGACGAATTGACATTGTTCCATGCTCTGGCAGGTGTCGATATGACAATGTCGGGCGAGTTGGACAGCAAGCTCCTTTGCACAGCATCCGACAACTTATCTGTGAGCTTGACAGTCTGCAGATCTTTGGCGCAGAATGCGGAGAATTGCTCTATGGATTTGAAGACTTGGTCTGCCAGCTCGCGGGTGGGCACGAGCACGAGCGCTGAGGTTGATGGTGCTGATGAACTCTGCTTCCTCAGGATCGAAGCGAGCAGCGGCAGGATGTATGCTGCTGTCTTCCCCGAGCCCGTCTTGGCTTTGCAAAGGACATCTTGACCAGCTAGACCCAGGGGAATCGCCTTGCGCTGGACAAGCGTGGGCTTCTCGTAGTTCTGCTTCGCGACCGCCTGGAGTAGTCGGGGATCGAGGCCAAAGTCTGCGAACGAGATGTTCTCCTCGGACACAGGCGCTTTACTCGGTTCGTCGGATTCTGGTACAGTCGCCGGCCGGTCGTTCTGATCGAGCTTGCGCTTCATTGTGAATGTGAGATACGGGGTATCGTAGATTCTGTTGGAGTTTGGTGTGGTCGATAGAAAGGCTCTGCTGCAGGCTCTGGAAAATTTCCAGGCAAAGGCTCTGGACTTTTTTTCTGGGGTCCTGCACGGGGGCGGGGCTGTTGGATTCGCGCCTTCACCTAAGTTAGTTCGCCGCGGTTTGTCGTACCCTACGCTCGACATTTATCTGCTCCATGGACTGCAGCATACGACAAGGTAAGTGAAATCGCATTTCTCACATGATGCCAGACTGGATGGCTGCTGTTAAGTTGCTTAGAGGCTGTGCTTTTTAGTACACAGGCGATAGCAAGGTGATAGGTCGAGACATCAACGGTCGCGATTGCACACAGTTTTTTGATAGTTATTGGGCAGACAAAACTTAGCTGACGTGCCATCAATAAACTGTGTAGGAAATCACGCGCCAATCAAGGATAGGAAATAGACACACAAAGAGTGATTACTTTTTTCTCTCTTTGATCGATCAAAGCTCTTTGCAAGTGCCTGGCCTACGACTCATAACCGCTTCCCGAACCTTGTAAAACAATGAGGTCATATATGAACCATCGCCATGGAGATGGTCTATCATTTCAGTGCCAACTTGGAAAGTTCTTGAGGTATTCTGCAGAGACCGAGCTTCGAGCATCGATGGACGCCGAATCTACCCATTGGAGTAAAGGTTGTGTTAGCATGGTACTACGCTTTCTCAAAATCGCGGTGGGTAGTAGCCGTAGGCCAGTACATGCCCCAGCATGAAGCCGAGCTTTCCAAATTGAGCCAACTATTCTCTAAAAGCATATCAACTGCAGCAACTCCTCTTGAGATGGACTGGGAATGTAGAACCACGTGGGACTGGCTTGCCTCAGATCAAGAATCACAGCACCTGCCCGTGGTGTGACACGTACCACTGTACTCATGCGGATTTTAATTCAAGATTTAGGGCGGCATCTCCAGCGAAACATTGCCTCACCATGGTTCCCCGTGCTTACGTTGACACCAAACTGGTAGGTACGTGTGTAGACAGAGACATGTGCCCGGCATATCGGCCCCGCTTTAACGGAAACCAGACCCGGCAACGGTCCGTTGAATGTGCGGAGGTTCACGGCATGAGACCGATAAGCCGGTGGTTCTTCCGCTCAACGGTCGAACTTATCTAGTATGTACGAGATTGTTGGGGCCCAGCAGTTCCATGAGATATATCTATGAATCAAGTCGGTATGGCAGTCTTCATGTACAGCGAGTGCCGCGCCACACATACAATTCAACGTTTTGACAGTTCAAGTGGCACGAAGGTGGAATTCATTTTGGCATTATTTGTTTTGTTTTGTTGCTCGGTAATTTGCCAATGCCGAAAAGCCCTCAAATGAAAGTCACAGTTCCTCCTTGATAGTACACCTACAAACTCACGGAAGTCTGCACGGTGCATCCCACAGGGCTACAGGTGCGGCTGCAGTCTGACGTCGACGCCCCCACACGCGACTCGCCGCGCCAAGTCGACTTTGTGCTCTGGCGTTGTGTAACTTGTGTTTTCTGCATTCTGCCTCAAGTCGAAGATCCACGTGAGACTGTCGCAGTGTGTCATGCGGAATTTGATACTAGTCAGTTCAATGCGGGATCAGCATCCAGTATACGATGGTGCCGTTAATCGTGAATCGGTGCGTATCAGTACCTATACACATGTAGGCATACTTCTATGTACATTAGTCCTAATTAGTGTATCAGTGTGTTTCAATTAGTCTGTCAACTTTATTCGTCAATGTAGTGGGATCATGCCGGTGAACATGTATTCACGACGGGCTTCATGCAAATTAATTACACGACATGAGGCCAATCTTCCTTATCAATGACATAACAGACATCGCTGCCTGTGCTGATGAGGCGGCCGCAAGGCTGGAGGCGTGTAGCCAGCCCCTGTCGCAGTGGAAAAACGCCATCCCGTCCCCTGAGTGCGTATCCGTCGCCGTTTGCGCCGAGCGGCCAGCTCCAGTCCTGGGTGACTGCACTGATGAAATTGAGAGATTGAGAAACGTCGTCTTCCTCATCAATTCATCTCGAGAAGCTGTGTCTCTTCACGTGCACGATACCTTTTGATTCCGCGTCCAGTGGTTCACCTGAGCTCACTCTTTAGTCAATCTTTCCCTCGCTTGTGGCATCCGCGTGTCTTAACCGCCCCGACCGCGCCAACCCACTCCAACGTCTCATGACCTTCGAGGTCAGTCGCGCCTTTTTTTATTCATCAGTTCCCCAGCCCCCCAGCTCCAGCCTCCAGCCCCATTGCCGTGTGCGCCTACTCCGCTTCTGGGCATCATCGTGCAGGCGTCATCCGTCAACGCGACCTCCCCAACCCCAGACCATTGGTCAGGCAGGGTACCTGGAGTTCTTGGGCAATTGCGAGGTGTCACCAGTGCCTTTTCCCTGGTGGTCATCCGTCGAGGTCTCTCGGCTCACCTGAGATAGCCGGCTGCCTTCCGCACTGTGCAGGCGCACTCTATACACACTTAGCACAGTGCGAAACGTTTCACCTGCTAACAGAGATAAGCAACCAGCTGAGGCCGAGCGATAGCAGCTGGTCAAACAGTGTCTCGTCACGGGACCCATAATTTTGTCTCCGCTCAGCACATGCGCCGACGTTGAGCGTCCAGTCCAGGTTCCTCTCCGTCCGCTGCAGCGTCCTCTTCGTCACGGGCTGGCTTGATCTTTTCTCCATTCCCTTTTACCCCTTCTCCCTCTTTATTGTTTTGCAGGTGGGCGCTGCTGCTTTACAGCCCCATAACCACCCATCATTCCCTCGCACAACCCCTCCCGTCTTCCTTCCAACATCCCCCTTCGCACCTTGCCCTCACGTTCGGGCCACCACGATAGCGACCAGACCTCGACGTCATTGCTAGCGTCCCACCAACGCTCCCAGGGCTCCAGCGCCCGCTACCGCGACTACGACCAGCATCAGCCAGGCTCGTCATCACGGCACCGTCTGTCCGAGTCGGAATCCGAGTCATCGTGGACGGACACGGGTGACATTGGTGAGCAGAAGGACGACGACGACCCGGTCCGGCTCCAACTCTCCAACGACATTGAGGAAGAGCTTCTCGCTGGCGTCAACCACCGAAACCGCAGCATCAAGACCCAGAAGAAAGTTCGCATCCAGGATCCTCACTCGGGACACCCTAGGCGCCCACAATCACCCCCAGCTGTCATTGACAAGGAGGCCATCGAGGTCCCTGACGCCGTCATCCGAGCACCAAGTGCCGTTAGTCGCTGTCTAGGCTTCATAATGGCGGGGCGAATGGGTGCCGTGCATGGCCTGACGGGCAAGCCCCTGCTTTACTTCACGAGTATCTTTGTGTCTCTGGGCGTGTTCTTGTTCGGCTATGACCAGGGCGTCATGTCGGGTATCATCACGTAGGTTCCTCAATGGCAACACCGGGAATGGAACCATACTGACTGCACGCAGGGGCCCGTACTTCATTGACTACTTCGACCAGCCCTCTCGAGCTCATGTCGGCACCATGGTGGCCATTCTTGAGATTGGCGCTCTTATATCGTCGCTGGCAGTGGGCCGTATCGGCGACGTGATCGGACGCCGCAGAACCATTTTCTATGGCTCCTGCGTTTTCCTCGTCGGTGGTGCACTCCAGACCTTGGCTGTCAACATGACCGTCATGATGGTGGGCCGCCTCATTGCAGGCTTCGGCGTTGGTGCTCTTTCGACGATTGTCCCTGTATACCAGAGCGAGATCTCGCCGCCACACAACCGCGGCAAGTTGGCTTGCATCGAGTTCTCCGGCAACATCATTGGCTACACTACCTCGGTGTGGGTAGATTACGGCTGTGGCTTCATCGAGAGCAACATGTCTTGGCGCGTACCACTGTTCATGCAGTGCATCATGGGTGCACTGCTCGGACTGGGAAGTCTCATCATCGTGGAGTCACCGCGATGGTTGCTTGACAACGACCACGACGAAGAGGGTATGGTCGTTATTGCCAACCTCTACGGAGGTGGTGATATCCACAATACCAAGGCGCGCGACGAGTACCGCGAGATCAAGATGAACGTTCTGCTCCAGCGTCAGGAGGGCGAGCGATCTTATCGTGACATGTTCGCTCGCTACTCCCAGCGTGTGTTCATCGCCATGTCTGCGCAAGGTTTGGCCCAGCTCAACGGCATCAACGTCATCTCATACTATGCGCCTTATGTTTTCGAGTCAGCAGGCTGGGTAGGCCACGACGCTGTTCTGATGACAGGCCTCAACGGTATCACCTACTTCCTCTCCACCATCCCGCCGTGGTATCTCGTCGATAGGTGGGGCCGTCGCAACATCTTGCTCTCAGGTGCAGTAGCAATGGCCGTCTCCCTCTCCCTCATATCGTACTTCATCTACCTCGATATCAAGTGGACGCCAAGGCTGGTAGTCTTGTTCGTCATGATCTACAACGCTGCCTTCGGTTATTCGTGGGGTCCGATTCCTTGGCTGTACCCACCGGAGATCCTGCCTCTCAGCGTCCGTTCAAAGGGTGCTAGTCTGTCCACTGCGACCAACTGGGCCTTCAACTGGCTGGTCGGAGAGATGACGCCCATTCTGCAAGAGTGGATCAAGTGGCGCCTCTATCTTGTGCATGCTTTCTTCTGCGTTTGCAGTTTTGTCATTGGTAAGTCACCCTGGAAGGATTACCGTGATGCAGCTGACACCTCCGCTAGTCTGGTTTATCTACCCCGAGACTGCTGGTCTGACACTAGAGAACATGAACTCCGTATTCGGCGATGGATCCACTGTAATGGGCACTCCGTCTCTCCATGGCGACGAGACCGGTTCGCTCATGCCCGGCTCGCCTACTGAGTCTGCCCGCGGCGGACCGGCTGGTTTACCCAACCTCAACCTCGATGGCGACATGGACGAAGACAACAAGTCACAGATCCAGACCTCCGGGGGCGAGGACCGCAGCGTCGGTGGCTGGTTGTCACGGGTAGTCGGACGTGGACGCGCTGAAAGCAATGGGAGTGGACAGGGACGATACACTGCGATTGGCCAGAATGAAGAAGGCACACGCAACGACAGTGCCAGCGGCCGCAACATCTAACAATGCCGAAGGATCAGCTGAACGACCCTCGTGTTGCATATAGAAAATATATTGGACACGCACAGCATGCGGGTATCACGCAAGTGAACACCGTCTTGGGCTGCGCAAACCCCGCAAGCTTCAGAGCGCGGCGGCGCCACGAGACGCCGTGCACCAGGCGTCTGGGGATGGCATATTGATCGCATTTAGACTGTGGATTTTCATGTTGGTGTGGACGCGCCTGCGCAACTCGTGAGCAGGCCAGACTCTGGTATAAAGAATTCTGTTAGAGAGGAATAGAGTACAGCTCTGTGCACATAGTTTCTTGTTTGAGGACGATTTGACTTTTGACGTGTGTGTTGTACTTGACTTTTTTTCGTGGTGGTGAAACGACGGTGTCTGCTGACTCATCCGTCTTCCTCATAACGTCAACCACGGCCCCAAACTTTTGTATTGAGCGACGACAACCATGTCGACTTCAGAGATCGTGCAAGCATACCGCACGCTTTATCGGAAACTCTTAAAAGGCGTGCAACATGCCCGCCCCGCGCGTTACACTGTGATACAAGCTCTGCGCTCTGCCTTTCGTGAGCCGAAAGCACATTTTGATAGGGAGGCCATCAAACGAACGACTTGGTTTCTTGAAGCAGCAGCGAAAGAGCGGGGCATTGAGCACCAAATATTGAAAAACCTGGTCAAAGTCCGAGGCTTGAGGGGCAAGAAGGAGCCATGGCGGAAGATGTATAATGAGAGTCTCAGCAAGAGGCCGTAAGTTGGCAAGACGAAGAAGTGAAGAGCTTAAAGCGCTAATACATCGTAGTGATATCAGCAAAGACAATGCGTATCTGCATTACGACATGACAGTCGCCATGTTGAATAAAACTATGGGTTTGTGTCTACGGTGAATACGGAGTAACTAGCGAGCGGTTGATCGAGCACATTGCAATGTAACTTTACTACGGCACTTGGCGCATTTTTGGCACAGCAGGGAACAAAGCGATTCACCGGAACTGTAGGAATCAAATCTTTACAAGAAGGCTTCGTGCATTCCATGATGCTACTTCCTTCCGAATGCCATGTTGAAACTCCAAGCTATGCCGTTAGTGATACAAGCCATTGATACATGTGCATTAGACCGCAGGCCCCCGAGGCTTCTAACCATGGAGAGGCTCTTGCAGGTCATAGCCCAACTCTTCTAGTATCAGGCTGTCTAGCGTCGACCCGTCGCGGGCGTACACCCAGTGTCCAGTCGCAGTGCCCTCCTTGTCGTTTTGACCGTCGCCAAAGATGCACCAGTCGTATCTTTTGGGGCCCGAGATTGGTGAAGAGAGCCAAATTTGTTTGTTTGGCGGTTGCTTGTTGAGCACATAAGTGCCTTTCTCAGGTACGCGGATCGTCATTACGCCAGACTATCACATGTTCGTTAGCAACGTAAAGCTGGCGATAGAAAGATGGAAGGCAGGAGGGGCATACGGCGAATTCTACGTCAAGCTCGTCGGCCTGGTCCTGGATCTCTTCAAACTTCGCTAGCGCACGATCGAGGTAGTGGTCTGCAACTTCGTGGTACTCCGCTTCGGTGAGCTCGACTGGCTTTGCGGGACCACCGGAGGTTGTATCTGCTGAGGGCTTCGCAGGGTTCTCGGTATCGGGCATAATGCCCTTGAACCGCGGGGCGCACGTGGAGAAGGAAGAGGCACGAGCTGATGAGGCGACTGGTTTGTAGGCGTGCGATGAAAGGCTGGCAGGTCGAGCAGTGTTGGCGTTGCGCGCAATGCGCAACCAGGGTCTCAGCGACTGGCGAAGATTCGTGCGAGACATGGCTAAAGATCGTTCGAGGCTCGCCTAGTGTGTTCAGTTTGTGAATGTGCGGATGGGCGAAACACCATATGCGGTCATGAGTTGAGGAAACAAAGCTGCCGGCAATTGAGTGCGCCTGGACCATCACCGGTGCCGAACAAGGCCCGCCAAACGTGACGCGCTCCATGCATGAGCTCTCACCAACCCCACCACGTCGAGCCCAACCCTCCATCATCAGCCATTAATTAATCCTTTACTTCTTGGGGCACCGCACTGCGCAAGGTGCGACGACGCTTACCTCTGCCATTATGATCAACGCATTTCTAGTGTTCAACGGACAGGGCCAGCCTCGTTTGACAAAGTTCTACACGCAGCTTGTACGCTCCTTCTGAAACGGCAACCAAGCGCCACGACATGCGACTGACCATCCCACAGGAAACAAGCATACAGCAGCGGTTAATCTCGGAGATATTCACACTTGTAAACAATCGGCCCGCTGGATCGTGCAACTTCCTACCGCTACCACCCCTGCTCGCCGCATCGGGGACCTCACAGACCTCCTCGGAGGAGCAGAACGACGTTCCAACCCTCGTGACCTACCGGTCCTATGCGACCCTGTTTTTCATCATCATATCGACATCGACCGAATCGCCACTTGCCCTGATCGATCTCATCCAAGTCTACGTCGAGGCCCTGGACAAGCTGTTCGAGAATGTGTGCGAGCTGGACCTCATATTCAACTTCGAAAGCCTGCACGCGACACTGTCGGAAATGATCATAGGCGGGGTGGTCATTGAAACAAATCTGGACCGCATAGTATCTGGTGTCAAGGCACAGGGCACAGTGGCGAAAAGACCGGTTAACGAGGGCCGGAGTACTGGTATCGGCGCAGGGCTGGGCATGGGCTCGAATTTCGCGTGGACCGGACGGTGACAGATTATATGATTTGCGATTTGCTCCAAAGCGTCATATATACCAGCGTACCAACAAACAAGACTTGACACCACAACGCCGGGGAATGCAAGAATATTGTACATGGAGTTATTATGCTTTCGGCGCAGGTTCAGGGCTTTTGGGGTTGATGGGAGGCGCATCTCTACGCCGCTCATATCGTTTCTCCGGGTCCATGACACCGAAGATTGTGCCGACTTTCGCGACAATCTAACTTGTCAGCATGAAACAGCTCCTTCTGTATGTGAAGACTCCTTACCTCATCAGCTGGCTTGTACTTCTGGCCGTAGAACTCCATTTCTGCGAAGAAGAGCGCGTAGACCAACGCAGCTGCTACTGGTCAGCACCCACGGTCACAAAGTATGTCTTGAGCAGCGATACGAACCGGACACCATTGTAAACCGCAGTATCTTCGTGCCCCTGTCCCATTTTTCAGAGTACTGAGACTGCACCACTCTTCGCTTGTATTTCTTTTCGAACCGCAGCTGCTGCTGTGGCGTCAAGTCGGCAAAGTTGGGCGGCCATACTTTCTTCGCTCTGTAAGGGTTGTTGGCGATTGTCAACTTCGATCGTGACGCGGTCGTCGGCGCAGATGTCTCGGCTGTTTGCGCCAGCCTTCGAAGAGTAGTCCGAAACATCTTGGTGAATAGCCGATAGTCGCCAGCAGTCGGCGCGACGATAGGTTCGGTGGTTGAAAGCCGCGTTGCGGTTCGCATCGACGCAAATGTGGCTGGCCAATAGCTCATCAGCCACACCTGGTCCCTTAGCGCCACTCAACCCCTGCAAAAATGCCCCGCGATGAATTTCCACCCCTCGCCGCTCTGTTTGGTTGTGAAGGACCTCTTTCTTGTGACTCAGATTTTCTTCTAAGGGAGTCCATCAGTCAAGTCATCCTTGGTTCTGGCTCTGGTATCTTCTCGGACCTTACGTGCGTTAAGTTACCGCGCGAATCACGTTCAAGATGGCTACAACAAGTGCTGTCCCCGAGGCTCTGGAGAACCTGCACATCTCCAAGACCAAGGAGCTCAAAGGTGTAAGTACTGGACTTCTTTCTTGAGGAAATTTAATCGGCTCACACCTACCAGACCGAGAAGCGTGATACCCTGATCGCCATCGAGAAGAAGTACCAAGCGAAATGGCAAGAAGATGGCATCTTCCAGGCCAATGCGCCAACGACAGCCGAAGTGCCCCTGCACTCGATTTCTGCCGCCGAGCTTCGCGAGAAAGAGCCCAAGTGGTTTGGAACCATGGCCTATCCATACATGAACGGCACTCTGCACGCAGGTCACTCGTTCTCCGTCAGCAAGGTCGAGTTCGGCGCTGGTGTTGCTGCCATGCAAGGCAAGCGCGCCCTGTTCCCCATGGGCTTCCACTGCACCGGCATGCCCATCAAGGCGTGCGCAGATAAGCTAGTGAACGAGGTCAAGATGTTCGGCAAGGACTTTTCGGGCTACAAGGCACCCACCGAGGCTGTTGTCGAAGAGAAGAAGCCGGAGCAGGCGAAGCGAGAGGATGTCACAAAGTTCACAGCGAAGAAAGGCAAGGCCGCGGCCAAGCAAGTGAAGATGCAGTACCAGTTCCAGATCATGCAGGCGGTCGGCGTACCGACAGAGGAAATCCACCTCTTTGCTGACCCTCAGCACTGGCTGAAGCACTTCCCACCCCTGACAATCCGCGATCTCACCAACTTTGGATGCCGAGTGGATTGGAGGCGATCTTTCGTGACGACCGACGCGAACCCCTACTACGATGCGTTTGTCCGATGGCAAATGAATCGTCTGAAGGAACTCGAAAAGATCAAGTTCGGAAAGCGATACACCATCTACTCGATCAAGGATGGCCAGCCGTGCATGGATCACGACCGCGCAGAAGGTGAAGGTGTTGGTCCTCAAGAGTACACAGCCCTGAAGCTCAAGGTCAAGACATGGGCGGACAAGGCTGGGGAGACCATTAATGGCCTCAAGCTCGAGGGCGCCAACTTCTACCTGGTTCCCGCCACACTACGCCCCGAAACGATGTATGGTCAGACCTGCTGCTTCGTCGGTCCCAAGATCAATTACGGAGTTTTCAAAGTCAACGACAACGATTACTTCGTGATCACCAACAGGGCTGCTCGCAACATGGCATACCAAGGCGTGTTCGCCAAGGAGGGAAACATTGAACAAGTTGCTGAAATCCAGGGTGCCGATCTTGTAGGCACCTTGGTGAATGCTCCTCTCTCAATTCACAAGGAGGGTGTTCGAGTCCTTCCCATGGAGACTGTACTGCCCACAAAGGGTACTGGTGTCGTCACTTCGGTGCCCTCAGACAGCCCTGATGACTACGCCACCATCATGGACCTCGCGAAGAAGGCTGAATACTATGGTATTCAGAAAGAGTGGGCGGAGCTCGAGATTCCTGCTATCATCAACACTCCCTCGTACGGCGACAAGTGCGCCGAGTTCCTTGTCAAGAAGCTCAAGATCTCGTCGCCTAAAGACACCAAGCAGCTAGAAGAGGCAAAGGAGCTCGCCTACAAGGAGGGCTTTTACCAGGGAACCATGGTCATTGGTGAATTCAAGGGTGAAAAGGTTGAGACCGCCAAGCCCAAGGTCAGGAAGCAGCTCATCGAGGCTGGAGAGGCATTTGTATACTCTGAGCCTGAACGCAAGGTTGTCTCCCGTTCCGCAGATGAGTGCATCGTGTCTCTCATGGATCAGTGGTACCTTGACTATGGCGAGGAATCGTGGAAGCAGACTGCCCTCAAATGGGTCGAGAATGAGGATGGCAAGGGCATGGACACCTACTACGTCGAGACCAAGAACATGTTCGAGGGATCCTTGAACTGGCTCAACCAGTGGGCGTGTGCTCGCTCCTTTGGTCTTGGGTCCAAGTTGCCCTGGGACCCCCAGTTCCTGGTGGAGAGTCTGAGTGACTCGACCATCTACATGGCCTACTACACAATCGCTCACTACCTACACAAGGACATCTTCGGCCGTGAGAAGGGTCTTGGCAGCGTTGGTCCCGAACAGATGACCGACGAAGTCTGGGACTACGTGTTCTGCCGCAAGGATCTCGACGACAAGATTCTCAGCGAGTCCAAGATTCCCAAGGAGACTTTGGAGAGCATGCGCCGCGAGTTCGAGTACTTTTACCCTCTCGACCTGCGGACATCGGGCAAGGATCTCATTCCCAACCACTTGACCTTCTTCCTCTACGTGCATCTGGCCATATTCCCGCCCGAGTACTGGCCTAGGAGTGTTCGCACCAACGGTCATCTCATGCTCAACGGTGAAAAGATGAGCAAGAGCACAGGTAACTTTATGACCTTGCACGAGATGACTGCCAAGTATGGTGCTGATGCTTCGCGTATCGCCCTGGCCGACGCTGGCGACGGCTCGAATGACGCCAACTTTGAGGAGGATGTTGCCGATAACAACATTCTGCGTCTGTTCAACCTCCGCGAGTGGTGCGAGGAGCAGGTTAGAGACCAGGACCAGCGCCGCTCCGGGGAGCTCAACAGCTTCCAAGATGCCCTCTTCCAGAACGACATGAACGCCATTGGCCGTGAAGCCGTCGAGCAATACACTGCCACCAACTACAAGCTTGCCCTCAAGGCTGCTCTGTACGAGCTCATCAGCGCTCGTGACTTTTACCGCGAGGCTTGTGCAGCTGGTGGCATTGAGATGCACAAGGATCTTGTCCTGCATTACGTTGAGCTGCAGACCCTGCTGTTGGCTGTCGTCGCTCCTCACTGGGCCGAGTACATGTGGCTCGAGGTCCTCAAGAAGCCAGAGACCATTCACCGAGCTCGCTTCCCGGTGCTCCCCGACGTTGATGCGACGCTGTCGACCAAGCGTGATTATGTCCGTAACACCGCCTCCAGCGTCACCTCCGCCGAAGGGCAGCAGTTGAAGAAGAAGGCCAAGGGCAAGGAAACCTCGTTCGATCCCCGTAAGCCCAGAAAGCTTACTGTATTCATGACCACCACCTGGCCGTCGTGGCAGGCCAAGTATCTTGACCTGCTCAAGGAGATGTGGGATCCCGCCACGCGGTCGATCAACGACAAGGAACTGGGTGCCAAGATTGGTAAGATGGGCGAGATGAAGAAGGCCATGCCCTACGTGCAGGGTCTCAAGAAGAGGCTGCAGAGCGGTGAGCCAGCGGACGTTGTCCTGGCACAGAAGCTAGGCTTTGACGAGAAGGAGACACTGCTGCAGATGGTGCCTGGCCTGGAGAGGACCTCGGGTCTGACAGCTTGCGATATTCTGGAAGTCGACGAGAGCGGGAAGAAGGGAGTCAACGCGGCCACTGGGCAGGAGGCGGAAGTCACGGTGCCCTTGGCGGAGAATGCGCGCCCCGGCCACCCAACGTTCTTCTTTGAGAATGTCCAGGCATAGAGTAGAGATAGATGATGGCATGTTTGGTAGATGCGTAAAAGATAGCCTTTGTGTATACAACTATGACCTCGATGACAATCACTGCGATTGGCCGTTGTGGACTGAGTATGATTCTGCTTTATAGAGATCGCCTTCCCTCACGATGCCATGCGTCTTGATGAGTCGCAACTACGTGTACATGTTTGTCCAGAACGACGTTGCTAGTGGATCTCTTCCAGATAGCCAAACAGACATTCAGAAAGCCCTCAACGTCATTGGAGGCATTGGGCAACAAGCAAAGTCTGGTGGCCTTGCATCCACGATCTTTTACGCGGTCATGCGGCTGACGCGGCTCTGACGGTGCTGCCACGCACTACGTCACTTCGCGACTGACCAAGAAAGGAAGCATGCACAGCATATCAAACCCTTGTACATCGACGAGCAGGGATAGGTCCCCACGCAAGATAAGAAGCTGATACCAAAACAATGAACTTGAGCACCTCAGAAGAGCTGGAACCTGGAATAGGTAGACGGGTCAATTTTTGTTGCTGTCGGATTTCTTTGGCTTGTTCACAAGAGTATTTTGCTTGTTGATACGGCACAACATGGCCGAACTAACACGTGACCCGTGATGATCGTGAAACAATACACCCCCACGACCGTGTTTAGTCGAACTTGATTGATTGACGAGGCAATCTGCCGCGCCAGCCAACCCACATTGGTGATACTGACTGGGGAAGAGGAGAGTCTCCAGGAAAGAGTGTATGTGTCTAGGTGGAGAGGGCGTCGATGCCAGGCAGTGATGTTCATCTATCTTCTTTTCCATTCTCTTCTGAACGTCTCTCTCACAAGGACGAGCAGCCACTTGACTTCACCACATTGCCAATCAATAGGTCGACTATTGCCTGCAGGGAGGACAAGTTTGCATCCAGTTACTGTTCTCGCCAAGTCACTGCAGCCTGCAGGAGCCGTTTGTGGTGGTCTGTACATCCAAGTTTGCAGACTGGGAAAATAACTTTTCGAGTTCTTGCCTCCCCCTAATCAGGCCAAGCCATCAATCATGGCAAAAAGCCACACGGAGAGTTGTAGCCATCGAATGGCTTCTGTGCGTGGATGGCAGGTCCACACCACCACCAGCATCGGCGATGCAGGCGGGACTCGCCAGGCCTGCGGCTTTCACACGCATCTTTAGCCAGTGTCGGCCCGCCGTTGCTAAGCAGTGGCTACCTTACCCATTGACCAAGGAGACGCTGCATGCATGATCACAGTAGCGCGGGCTGCTCTGCGAAGCTAGCTAGCACGATGGCATTCTGACAGCTACTGCGAATTGGGGTTTGGATCATGCTGAGGTTGTGAACATCCACTCATCCATTCATCAGAGATCCCAAACTGGCGGCCAATGGAGGATGGTGCACGACTGTCAGGAAGGTAGCGCCGAACTTCCAGGGAGGGCCCGTTGGGAAAGTTGAGAACAACAGCCGTTCAGGGGCCCGGTGCAGGCCGTGCGTGCAGCCGTGCTACATGTCCACTTGTCCAGTCCATGGTTTGGTGGGCCAGGCCCAAGTGTTCAGGGGTCCGTATTAGTGCTTCCTAGTCGAGACCCAGATGGACAGGCTTAATCGCGCTCCAAGCCTCCTTAGTCCTCCGTCCATGCGCCTCTGTGGGTTTTATGGTTGCAACGAGAGAGCCGTATTCCTTGACCTGGTTCTTGTTTTTTCTTCACTGATCCCAGTCTCTCCTCATATTTGCCAACTTGCACCCGAGACAGATTCAGACAAAGTGCCGCAGGACGTCACATCATCTGCTGACACCGCACTTTCTCGTTTGTTACTTGCAGAGTTGAAATATCCGCATCTGGACCCGGCGAAACTCTTGCGTCAACAGCTGCTGTGCAGCCATAATAACACAAGAGTCGCAAAACAACAACACCTTCACCCTAACTATTACACATTAATTAATCACTGGCGACTCAGCACCTGTGTGCTCGACATACATCTTCGCCTCTGTCACTCGACTAAACCTAGTGTTTGTGTTGAGCACCACCAAACACTCAACTCAGAACACAAGTTGCCGCCAGCGCTTCGAAGAAGCCCTCTCACAAAATGCGCCCATCTCATATTCTCGCCATATCCAGCGCCATTGCTGTCCAGGCTACTGCACTTATGCCTGCCCATGAGGTCGAGACGACCGTGGCGGTGGAGGAACACGAGCCGCTCACGACGCACGTCAGACATGTCGTACCCGGCAACTCAACAGAAATTCCTGCCCATCCGACCGCAGGTTTCATCAATGTTACTGGTAAGACCTTTGCAACACCCCATTGGAGTGGAACATCTCACTAAGCGCTTTGTATAGGCATCACGACAACCACCATTGCGGCACCTACAGGATCGGGTATCCCATCTATACCTGACATGGGCGCCTTCTCTCAGCCAATGAAGAGCTCAATGGCTGGCTTGTTAGGCTTTTTCATCGTTGGCCTAGTGCTTTTATAGCCCTGTGAGCTGAGCACGACGTTTGGTCTTCGTCGCGCCAGAGGAGACATTCGCATACGAGGGGCGTTATTTCATGGCACGGTTGCCACGCATTCTAGATACCAGGTAGAGGGCTTCAGGCGTTTCAGAGGGTCATTTTTGGAGAACAGCGTCGTTAATGAGGCATCAGCGAGCACATTGCTAATGCTTTCGATGGTAATGATAAATGTTTCAACTATTGAACAGAAACGTTTCATCTGCCCTGTTCCGTGTCATGCGTATGTTTATTGGCTTCACCCTGCAAAGCATACATCGCCAGTCATGTCCCTCGGACACTGGTAGGACTACCATCCCATGGGTCTGCAATCGCGGTTGTGCGACCTTGCCGAACAGGAGTCGGCCTTCTGTGCCCTAGACCCAACAGACATCTTGCGGCTGCGGCGACGGCGCCCGACTGAACCGGTAGGCTAAGAAGTCTGACCAAATCTGGCGAAGTTCGCCGCTCTAGTCCTGAGACGATCGTATCGTATGCCGGCATACACGTGTGTAGCACAGGTCAAGGGCGCAGTGCGAACCCGAAGTCGGGCACCGCGCGCAAGGCGAAACATGAGGTGATGCCCTGAGCGGAGACTTCCACTATATTGCTGGGCATCACATGCTGTCTTGAGGTGTGTATTGTTTCTCGAAGTTCTTAGGCGGCGATGGGAATTTGGGACCCCGAATCACCAGACGGCGGAGGCTTAGGGAGGTCATCCTGTAGATGGTTAGCTTCGCCTCCACAACAGGGTCATTTCTGGCATACCAAGTCGAAGATGACGCGGATCATCAGGCTGCAGCTCGGGCAGACGGCAATATCTTCTTCGTCGCGGAGGTCGTCGAGTTGGATCTGGAATCGATCGCCACAGGGACACGGGTAGTGGTACATCTGCAGCGCCTCGTCAAAAGTCATGTCCTCTATTTCGATTTCATCGTAGATGGAGAGGTTCTCGTCGTCGGACATGATGACAAAGTGAGTGGACGGACCGATCTGGAGGGTAATCACTCTGCGATGGCAAAGGAGCAAGAACTTCTTAGACTGCTGACCGCGACGATGCCCCGCGACGAAAATTTACCCCACAGATATGGCTGAGTAGCGGGAGTCAGGACTGTGGCGCAGCGTGTGGCTGGAATCACATGTCGAGCTATCGCGTGGGGACGGCTGCCGTTCGCAAATCCGGGGGCCGCCGTCGTGATTATACCGAGGACCTTAGAGCTGCGCAGCGCAACCGACCCCATGATGGACCGAGCAATTGCTTCTCCAACGCTGCTGACTCGGGACCTCTGCGACATCTGAAGACACTTCACGCGTCCACGTGCACTTCACTTCCTGAAGTGTGTTTACCGTTTGTTGCTTTCAGAATACTTTCTTGCGCGTGGCTTCCTTCGACAGTGCCATGTTGTCACAGACGACATAGTCACTCCGAGTCAAGGTCATTGCTGCACCTCCACAAGAATCGTCGCATCGTCTAGGGACGCATCATTTTGAGAATGGCAGCTCAGTCCAAGATCCCCATTCCTCCAGAACGGACACTTCGAACCATCGTGTCCCGCCTGACCAGCCTCTACGTGTCGAACCGAACGCGCATATCACGAGCCATCTGGATTACCTTGTTCATTGCTCTTGCAAACCGCATTCGCTATGCCGTATCCGAACAGAAGGCTGCGTCGGCACGCGATGCTGCACAGCGGGAAGCGCGGCGTGGCGTCACATCGTCCACCGACTCGAACGAGAAGGATGACGGGAAGCCGAGGAAGAAAGTCGAGCTCAACAGGGAGTTCTTTCGCTCGCTTCTCCGATTGCTGAAGATTTTGGTACCTGGGTGGCGCTCGCAAGAAGCCAGATTGATCACAAGCCATACTTTCTTCTTGGTGATGAGGACGCTGATTAGTGTTCGCGTCGCTGAGATGGATGGAGCGATCGTCAAGGCGCTGGTAAAGGGCCGTGGCAAAGAGTTTCTAAAGCGCATTGCCTGGTGGATGATTATTGCCGTGCCGGCGACATTCACGAATTCCATGGTTAGTACAATACACGCGACCGCCGACCTTGCACTGACAAGTCGCAGCTTTCGTATCATCAGGCGGAGCTCTCGCTCAAATACAGGACGCGCCTCACCCAACATATCCACGACAAATATCTTTCGCAACTCACTTTCTACGGGATTTCGGCGTTGGACGACCGAATAAAGAACCCCGATCAGCTGATTGCAGTAGACGTTTCCAAGTTTTCCAACAGTCTGGCAGAGCTTTACAGCAACCTGGCCAAGCCATTCCTCGACATGGTATGTATAGGTTCCCTCTGTCTGTTTGCCTGTGACTCACCAGACTAGACTATTTACACATACTCCTTGTCCAAGAGCGTGGGAGGAGAGGGTGTCATCTTCATGACGCTGCTCGTACAGCTGTCTGCTAATGTCATGCGGGCACTTACACCCCCATTCGGCAAATACGTGGCCGACGAGGCTAGACTCGAAGGCGAGTTCCGATTCCAGCACTCGCGTCTGATCGACCACAGCGAGGAAGTCGCGCTGTACGGTGGGCACATGGCCGAGAAGGACACGCTTGACAAGGGCTACTTCACACTGATCAAGCATGTCAATTACATTCTTCGACGACGGTTTTACCATGGATTCATGGAGGACTTTGTCATCAAGTACTTCTGGGGCGCGCTTGGCCTGCTCCTCTGCAGTGTCCCGGTGTTTGTCAAGATCCCAGGGCAGGTGGCGATGAATATGGGCGATCGCACCGAATCGTTCGTCACGAACAGACGCATGCTGCTGTCGGCATCGGATGCCTTTGGCAGAGTCATGTTCTCCTACCGCGAGATTATGGAGCTGGCCGGCTACACGTCGCGAGTCGCCTCCCTGTTGGACGTCATGGACGACATTCAATCTGGCCACTTTGAGAAGAAGTTGGTCTCGGCCTCCAGCGTCGAAGGGAACGAAGCCGTGTTGAAAGGTCGCGGTACTGTTCACGAGAGCAGCGACATTACTTTTATTGATGTGTAAGTTTCACATCCCCTAGGACATTAGTACCTTTGATCACTGACCGCATTTCAAGACCCATCATTTCGCCAAACGGCGACGTTCTCGTGAAAGCACTGTCCTTCTCTCTCAAAGACGGCGACCATCTTCTCATAGTTGGACCCAACGGCTGCGGCAAGTCATCGCTATTCCGTATTCTTGGTGGTCTGTGGCCAGTCTACGGCGGAACGGTGTACAAGCCACCTTTCAGTGCGATCTTCTACATTCCCCAGCGCCCCTATCTATCGCGGGGATCTTTGCGTCAGCAAATCATATACCCGGACTCGCTGCGCCAGATGCGCTCTCGTGGTGTTACCGATGCTGACCTGCTATCCATGCTGAAGCTTCTCGGTCTGGAACATCTCGTGGAGCTGTACGATGAGGGCTGGGATGCCGAGGCTGAGTGGCGGGACGTTCTCTCCGGTGGTCTCCAGCAACGCGTTGCCATGGCTCGTCTGTTCTACCACCGCCCGCGCTATGCGATTCTTGACGAGTGCACCAGCAGTGTCACCCTGGACACCGAGAAGGCCATGTACGACAACGCCAAGGCATTGGGGATTACTCTGATGACGGTCAGCCACCGCCGCAGTCTTTGGAAGTATCACACACACATTCTGCAATTCGACGGTCAGGGCAATTACGTGTTTACCAAGTTGGACGCTGACAAGCGACTTCAACTCGAGGATGAGAGGGAAGATTTAGAGGTCAAGTTGAGACAAGTGCCCGAGCTAGAGAGGCGGATGGCTGAATTGGAGGAAGCCCGAGCTGTAGAAGTCGCCTGAGGGCGCGAACCGCAGTGAAGATGAACATATTGCAACATGAAACTTCTCATGGCCATGCTTGAAGAGTTGTGTCACACATTCAAGTCATGCTCGTAGGTAGCTACCCGGCATGGAAGTCGATTATTACATGGGCTTACTGTCGGGCCTATTATACATATCGTCTCCCTCTTCCCAGGTAGCGTCTCCGATCTTTGCATCTCCTGAGCTGATGGTCTCTCCAATCCAAAGCCAGCTGCATGAGATTGGGAGCCACTTGCTTATAGTGATTCCCGCCCCCTGAGTTCTTCATGTCCCACCCAATGACATGGACCTGAGGACAAGCAATTTCCGATTCAGTGTGGCCTGTCATAGGGTCATATCTCTCGATTGTGACCTTGGGACACATGGCGCAAATGTTGAATAGCTTTTTCTTGACTAGAGGGTGGCTAGCCTTGTGTCGGTCCTGCTGGGGTCGTGACCACGGAGTCCACTGTGCACATGCATCTACGCACAGCATGTCGTCTACGTTGTCATAAAACTGGCTGCTGGCGACAATGTTTTGGTTGAAGTCATATTCCAGGAATGCGTTGAGCTCAAGTCTGACGGAGCTTCGGCTGATGATGCCCTTGAAGTGCAACTGAAAGGCTGGTTCAAGACATTCAATCTTGAGCATCTCGGCAAAGGGTAGTATGCTAGACTTTTGCTTGGGGTTCCATCGGTGCAGCAGGAATCGAAGGTGCCGAGAGAGTGCCTGGCTCAAATCATCAAACCGTCTTTTTTGTCTTGCGTCGAACTCGTTCGATAGGCTTATAGCTCGTACGGCTTGGTATGTCCACTCGTGGATAGAAGTTGAGTCTGCCAGCCAAATTAGCAACACGCTATGGGAAATGGGGGCTCACGGGGGCTACGTACCTCGCTTGTCCCATTGCATTGATGTCCTTACAAACTTCATGGAATCCAGCTCGTCCTGGAGCAAGTCTGCCAGGTCATCCGTGAAGACAACGCTGATGATGGCTCGCCAGATGAACGAGGCGATGATTTCTTGATCCGCGCCGACGAAGGAGGACGCCATGGCCAGGTCTGGAAATATCTCAAGAGCCTCACACATGCTTTCCAGTCCGCTGTCATGCTTTTCGCTCGTCTCGAGGAAGTTCTCGTGGAGGATTTCGTAGAAATGTCTGTCTGCTCTTTTGGCAGGATACCAGCCTTCTAAGAGCTGTTGTGTGATTTTCTCTATGCCGATATCTATTCGCTGAACCAACTGCAAGGTACATTGTTAAATTCTTTCTGTTAATATCAGTTCAAGGTGTGACTTACATTCTGCACCGTCTTTGTAGAAAGAATTTCCGGGAATGGGTCGCCATCTTCGTCGACTTCCAAGCCTGAGCCAGGATCATAACCGACTAATGCGTCCTGGCTTGACAACGGGACCGATGACAGTTTGATCTTTTGAAAGCTAGATAGTACGTCACAGAGCCGATGTAACAGCTTTTCTGAGCAGTCCTCATGGCGTTTGGGGTCATCAGGGAGCGCCGGGCTACTCTTGTATTTCTCCTTGTGGTTGGAATCGACCGACTTTTTTACATTCTTCGCCACATACCTTGACTCGTACTCACCGAATGCATCGCAAGCCGGTGTGAGAGATGTACAGTCGTCGTTCGGACAGTATATGCAAGCGTCTCCAAGTGAAGTATTCGGACTGGAACGAACCTCATCCCAACGACAGCGGGAGAGGTCCGGGTATGAAACTCTCGAATCGCCGTACAGGTGCCCATTGGACTCTGGCATAAACGAAACAGTGCGCGATAGTGAAGGGTTTGCGGTAGAGAGATGTGTTCCGCAGTCTCTTGATTCCTGCGCGTCGGGACCGATAGACATGCTGTGCAAAGCTATGAAACAGGCTGAAATTGATCTTTCTGCAAGAACAGTGCTAAATGGCAAAAGTAAGTCGATAGACGGCCTTATGAATGCTACAAAAGGCGAGTATCCGCCATGGTACGACCAGGCGCGGCTCACTCTTTCGCTGTTGTTCAGGGCGGCGTTTCTGTGGCTCGTTATGCAAACAAACGCCCTGTCGGTGGTTCAAGACTTGATACGATCCGTTCTTGCTTTCATGGGGGGTTTTCCTCCAAATGGTCGTCATTGGACAGTGGTGGGCATCTTCTTGTTGCAAAAGCTCGGTTACATTTGCTTTGTTCGTCGCCCGCTCCCTTCACCATTGTCGTTTACCCACAAAGGAGGCCCTTTTCACACGCTTTTGTGCTTCCTGCGGCGCTCTCGAGCAAACTTACAGAATGACAAGGACTCTGCAATTGTCGATAAAGAAAAGGAGACTAGCTGAGGAAGCAAGGCCTCAAATGGAGGCACCCGGTCCATCTCCAGCGACTACAATGGAGCGGTCTCGCGAGCAGATAACTGACAATGCCCAGCCTATTGTTCCTCTTTTCACGATTGCAGCAGGAAGAGATGCGGACCAACTTGTCAAAGCTTCGCACTACAGAGATGCGAAATTAAAGTTCGGACACAGCACAATCAGCCCCGGTGTGTCTGCCGACGATGTCATTCTCGTTGTGATTTCAGAAGATAGCTCGATGAGAATCATCGAATACGTTGTCGCCAAATCAGCAGGCGCGGACGTCTATCTGGAACAGGTCGGGGAGAAAGACAATGTCCATGTTGCTTGGGGCGCGGATGCTCTCAATGAGAGCTTCGTGCGATTTCTCGACACAAAGTACGGCAGTTTGGGTGTCCTCGACAAAGAGGCCAGCGACATGGCGTTGGAGCACTTCAAATCCAAGGTCTGATGTCGATCCCCCTGTTGAAGGACAACAATGCTCCACGAGCACGGTTTGGCTGACAGAGGAGGCAGATCAAATGTGACTTTGAAAATAGCTTGGACGACCCTGAAGTCGCGACCTGCTTGCCAATTAAGACTCAGTCGAGGCAGGGAGTCGAGGTCATCTGGGATGCCCTAACGGCAAGAGAGGTTCGAATCGTTCTGGACCCTGTCGTCGAGGAGACCATTTGCTTCTTGAAGGGCAGCATCTGCAACCGCGAGAGATCAGTCTGGGCAGTTGTAGTGGTCGGGCCCCTTTTCCGCTGCACTTATCTAACGACTTGTCTTCAGACCGCTTTGCGGCCTGCAGCTTATGTGCCTGTTCGAAGCATGCCAGTGGCTTCTTCTCCGGAGTCAGACAAAGGCGCAGCGAAGTCATTGAGGGTCGAGACGAGCTATGGCATCTGCATTTCTGAGAAATACATTGAAGCCCTCCACGGACACTTGTCAAGCAGCAAGTATCGCTCATCATTGAACGAGGATATTGGCATTGAGCTGATGTCTTGGTTCGTCAAGAAGGTGAGTTTCTTGTTGGTATTGCGACGTGTGGACTTGCTCTGATTTCTCCATAGGGCGAGACAGTGGCCGAGAACGAGACAAGATCTATTGAGTTTTGGCAAAGACGCCTCTGTCGGAGCGGAAGGCCAAAAGACCTCGGATTTGTGATTCTCTATGACAACGCTGGCCGCGAATTAACTTCTCGGAGCATGGAGATTGACGAACATATGGCAGCCTTGGGCACAGTCTATGCAGACCTGAGTGCGGTGCCAGAGTCAGAACTTCCCCGGGTCCAGGGGTCCGATGGGCAGTGGTACTATGAGTTTGACGTGAGGATCGAAGTCACCTTTCAACGAGAAGGAGTGTCGTGTTCGATACTTTGCAACGGTTTGTCTGACCCACGCAGAAGTGATGTTCTTACCAACTGATCAGCCCCAAGACACTCAGTACGACTCAACTTTCCTCGGCTACGAGCTAGGCATCAAAAGCAGGGCAATCTAGAGTTACTGTGTCGCATCGATCGTAGAATATGGTTCGCAAAAGTCGGGACGTCATCGTCGAATACGACTGAGGGGACTTGCGTGATTCCGGTCGCTTCTGGGGATACGTGCGAATACAATATGATGGTACAGTGTACATGATCGCTTTGCGAGCCCATACTATACATAAGATACAATCGTCCCGGCCGCGCCGCTTCATGACTTCCAGTCCTTCATGTGGTCAAGGATCATCCTGGCACCCTCATCAGGAGAGTGCTGCCTTCCAAGCGCCTCAACAAAATCACCTTCGGGATCCATCAAGTAAAAGTAAATGCTGTGATCCACGAGGTAGTCTTGTCCGGGCTTGACGTTCTGAGGCGTGCTAAAGTACACGCGGTACTTCTTGCACAAATCCTTGATCTGGTCGTAAGTGCCAGTCAGGCCGACCATATCAGGGTGGAACTCGTCGAGGTAGGCTTTTAGAGCCTTGGGGTCGTCACGCTCGGGATCGCAGGTGATGAAGATGGGCAAGAGATTGGACTCGGGCGCCTTCTCCTTGACAATATCGAGCATGCGGGCCATCTTGTCGAGCTCCTCGGGGCAGATATCGGGGCAGCGTGTGAATCCAAAGTAGACCTGCTCTGTCAGCTTGCTTTCCGCGCAGTCGTGGTATTATATGTGGACTCACCAAAGAATGCTTGCCCTTCATCATCTCGCTGGTGAACGTCTTGCCATTCTGGTCCAGAAGCTCGAATGGTCCGCCCACCTTGGGTCTACCCATGCCCTTGGACGCCTCTGCGATACGCTGCCTTTGCATGCGCTCCTTCTCGAATTCAAAATACCACATCAGGCCAGCGCATGTACCGACAAAGAGCAAGCCGGCTTTCCACGAGAACGGCTATCCTCCCGTTAGCAACTCTGACTCATATGGGCGGCGCGTGACCCGTCGACCTACCCCAGTGCTGTACCGACTCTTCGCTTCCTCGACCGTCTTGTATTTCCATCTCTTCTGCATGACGGGCTGTCGTGATTGCATCGGCGCGCCAGGAACCGTCGGACGAATTTGCTTAGGCTGCAGGGCGCTGCTCGCGTAGCAGCGCTGGCACTGCCGCGCAGAGAAACGCGCAGCGACGGCTGGCATTGCCTTTGTCGACGAAACGACCGCGTTGGACATTGTGTGTTGGCAGTACGTACTCGCGTAGTGCTGGCCAAAGGTTGGAAAAAGGCTGTCATAGACTGCTAGACCATGTCGAGCCAGTATTGGTAATGCACAAAGCTGGTAGACCCACTTTTGCCGCTAAACGGGTACCGTGACCAGTGCCGGGTAGGCAAAACAGATAGCTTAGTCATCTCACTTATCTCGACTTGAAGAATGAGGCTACTTCACCTTGAACGCGTCAAGATCAACGCGTCAAGCACAATATTATCATTGTTTGATACCTATGAGATATTCTGAAGGTTATTTGGTAGAATTGAAATACTTTGCGAATCGAACGAGTAGCCGGGCTGCTCGGCCCCTCAAGGTCCAGTCATCAATCACATTCAACGACTCTGCTTTACGCATCGTCCCACTCCCACAGACTGAGCTATGGATTCAACAAACGATGAGCAAGCTCGCTTTGAGCTTATAGACGCACACGTCAAGAGCGAAAGCACACCGGCCGCGTCACCGCAGCCTTTCATCGCCGACTCGACGCCGACCACAGACTCAAAATCACACAATGCACCGACACCTTCGGCAGAAGACACGGTGGCGACCAACGGCGCACAGCCTTCCAAAAAAAAAGGCACAGCAAAAGCCACACAGAAGCAGGTCAAGCGGCCGAAACCTTCGGGACCACCCAAGAAATCCGCCAAGAGAGTCAAGGCGGACGACGCACTCACGGAGGAAGGGTCACAAGCAGAGATTGAAGACGGCTCCGACGATGACATATCAGATGATAACACCTACTGTATCTGCAAGGGCAAGGACGACCATCGATGGATGATCTGCTGCGAGAAGTGCGAGGATTGGTTTCACGGCGAGTGCATCAACCTGTCCAAGGAGGTCGGGGAGACACTCATTGAGAAGTTTATCTGTCCGAGGTGCACAACCGATACATTCACGTCACTCTACAAGAAGACGTGCGGGCTGAAAGGATGCCGCGAGCCAGCCAGGTTGGCGGCCGATGGGGATTACAGTGTATTCTGCTCGAATGAACACGCCCAGAGCTGGTGGGAGAGAATGGTGTCGCGGCTGCCCAAGAGCCGGGGGAAGACGGGACTAAGCGACGAATTAACACAGGACGAGCTCATGGCGCTCCTGGCTTGTGGTATGGGGACTGTGGGTGAGGACGGTATGTTTCGGCCGGTAAAGACACCATTCCAAGATGGGGTGCCCAAGCTGGCGAACGGCGATGGCGTCAACGACGGTAAATGGGCGTGCGGTCTGTCGCAAAGGCTAGACTAACAAGTACAGGTGACTCAAAGGAGGATTTGTCGCATATACTGACCGCTGAAGAGACAGCCATCCTACAGAGGGCAGAAAGAGCCCGGTACAGCATGGCGCAGGAGACGATACTGTGTGATCACATGCGGACCTTGATCGAACTAGCCATGAAACGCCACCGACTTGCCGTCAAGGCTGGACGGCTCGCGAAGAACAGTTGTGGCTACGACCATCGGCTCGACACGGTCACTGCACCCAACGCCTTTGCCGCGTTTATCAAGACCCCCGAAGGCGAATCGATTCTCAAGAACAAGAGTCTCAGCGGTGGCGTCGACAGTGATGACGACGATGACCTGCGTGGGATGTGCGAGGCGAGGCCTTGCAAGGCGCATCGGGAATGGGCGAAGATACTGATGCACGGCGTCAAGTGTCAGATTCGCGAAATGGTCCGTCAGTCAGCCGAGATTGATGAAGAGGAGAGAGTTGTGCGCGATGCGGCCAAGGAGCGGTGGAAACGAAAGCTCGCTGAGAACAACTGGGTCGAGGCCATTGACGACGAAGACTGATCACCCGACGTCTGTTTCGCGTGTTGTTTTTTTTGCCCACAGAGAATCATGGCATGGAGTTCAGACGTTTGCGAGCGGCAAGCCAGCTGAGGTTAAGCTTACCTTAGTGTTCGCCCGGTCGGAACATGTTCCAGCAGCTAAATCTTATTGCTGTTCAGGGACCTTAAACCTCGAAGGTGAGGGACTATCGTACCGCCACGGGGTCCTATTCCAGGGCGTTTGCTGCCATAACGCCCATTATCCAGCCGAGGACTGTCAGAGTCCATTCAATTTTCGACGCACAATTGGAAAACTGGAAAGCCTCACGGAAATTTTGAGTTGCCTCGTCTTGCCTCATGTTGCTGGGACGTTTAAAAGCAATGACCCCTTTGCACTTGCCCGTCTCCTTCACACAGATATACCACATACGCATTCGTTTCTGATCGTCGACACATTCATCAATTCTCCATCACCCTTCTTTTTGATACCATCTATCCCTAGCTGCTGTAGCCCTTGCCCCGAAGTATGAGTACCAACCGTATTCGATATATCCCCTATCCATCGCGCCCCCGCGCGTGGGTACGCTTTGAGCGCTGTGGGAATGGGGACATCTGGGAAGCACGGGGCCTGCTTATCATGAATGGATCCGAAATCCAATATCACTCGGAGAATCTCCCGCACGACCTTGCTCGATTCGTTCCCAGCGGTTCTACCGCGCTGACCCCAATGTAAGACTCACCTCCTGCTGGCTCACAGATATTCTGGCTCAACTAAAAAATGGCAGGACTTCTGACCAACTACGTCGCTTGAGTATCGCCGTGGATGAAGTCGAAGCCTTTCTCCGGGAGCAGAGAAATGACCACGGATCTTCGTCGGACTGCTCTGAGTGTGGGAGAGAAGCTCTGCGAGACCACATCCCAGGGGACGAATTTCTACGGGCCTACCCAATCTATAGGCCGCGCGTTCCACTTACGCAGGCGAGCCTCGCGGAGCACAACAACGGTTTCCGCATGTTTTACGTGCCTCATCCTCGTGTGGACGAATCAGCGAGTCCACCAGCACCACCAGCATCCCCGGAGCCGACCGCGACCCCGGAACCGTCAGCATCCCCAGCACCACTAGGCAGCGCCCAAGACGGCGACGAGGACGATGAATATCCTGACTCTGTCACAATCGCCGCAACGAGCGACAGCACATGCTGTGACATGTGCAGTGAGTCCTCTATCGAAAGGAGGCGGGCGACGCAGAGGGAGCAACGCATACAGCAACAGGAAAGGCGCCGCGAGCGTGCTGACAGGCGCCACGAGCGTGTTCAGAGGCTGAGGCGCTTGGGCGGTCTCCCCGTGGGTGGTCTTCAGTAGAAGGGAAGTTGCCATTCCACGTCCGAAGAAGACGGCCGCCCGTCCAGAAGGAGACGTCTATTGTGGTATTGTGATATTGACCGGGCGCCCTGGTGTCTTGATAATATAGCTGTCAAGCCCAGCGACGTACACTATACCCCGGAGAGAATGCGTTGCTTTATACAAAACTACAGCGAACGCCGGAGGGTGCGTATAATGCACGTGGGCCAATTGACTTCTTCTAGCGCAACGAAGACTAATATGCTGATCTGTATGCAGAATCGCCAATGCTGTGGTCAGTTGGAACTTGGAGTCGCTTGCCAGACACACTCGCCAGAGTCTGAACTGTAGGCTTGTGGTTGCGGTTGCGCATATGTGCACGAGGATAGAATTTTATTACTTGCGCTCCGGCTTAGAAGCGAGAAAATAATGTTATTATTACCATGTTCATCTCACCTTGTCGTCCATCACTAAAGTCCATCCATCGTGCAAAGACTACGCTCCCGTGGGGTGTCATGCGTAGGAGGTACCTACTTAGTGGTCGATCCTTAAAATTCATAAAGGCTATCTGTATAAATGCCAAATGTTTGCTATCAACCATGCGCCGGATGCGAATCTACGAGGTCATGATTCTGTGAAGCATATCCTGCCACGTCCTCATCGATCCCTGCGACAGGAGCGCGTCTGCGGCGCCTGCGGCGTCTGCGCTCTGGTACAGGAAGCGTGCATATGCAGTCCTCGCGAGTCGCAAGAAAAGGCCAGTCAGTGGTTGGGCCAGTTACGCGCTGTAGGAAGAGAACATGTGGATCCACTGCTTCATTATCTGGGGCTCCTCTGCTCTGTTGCGAACTTCTACGAAGGATCAGATACGTAGCATGGAGCGTTTCAGCCCTGCAGGTGCTCAATCAATGATCCTCCACCTCACTGCCGCACCAGCACCGCTGGCGCAATCGCGTGCGGTCTAGTCAATTGATGGGGAACTTCAGGTCTTCGATGAGTCAACTGGATCAATAAATACCCTGTCAGCGCTGTACACTGTCATGCACACGCGCGGGCCGGACCAGGGTGAGATGAACGCTGTCGAAGCCGCAACGGTGTCCCGGAGGACCCAGCTTCCGTCATACCTTGCTTCCAAATCAAGGCACATGATCCATTTCTCACTCTCAAAGATACGGCAGTTGCAGATCTCACCTGTGTCCACCCTCCTCTCCTCCTCTGTGTCGTCTCCTGTTGATTCGAAAGGCGTCTGCGTCGACGCATAGCTCCAGCCAGCCCGCGCCGGACACGGGCTTTGAAGTGTGAACGTTCGTTCCCCTCTCTTTCATAATGTCCATCACGTCGTTCGAAGGCCCCTTTCCGACCGAGTACTCTGCCCCGGCCGATTGCTCCCACATTACGGGCAACTCGATTTTCGGCTTCGACTTTGCATCGTCATGCTTGCCCGACGACTTCAATCCCGACCCTCAAGCATACTACTCGCCAGGCACTGGCTGCCCGAGAGGCTACACCGCACATGAAGACTGCACCCGGTCCAGCGGAGGGACAACGACGGTGACGTGCTGCCCGTCTCGCGGCGACATAGAGCTATGGTGTGTATCCGAACCGAGCTCTCTGGTTGGGCCGTGGGAGTCCATGCAGTGTACCTGGAGTGCGGGCGACACGCAGACTGTGCTTCTGGTAACGACAGATGACGGAGCAACAGTGGCCGTCACAATGACGGGCGGTGATGGGATCAACGCCTACGGGTTGAGAATGGTGTATGAGGCTAGTGATCTGGAGGAAACGACGGCAACAACGACAGAGGCCAGCTCGACTGAGCAGCGCGGTTCTTCCACACCACAACCGACGGATGGGGACACTGACGGAGTGGATGGCAACGTCGGTGAGAGCTCGGACAAGGGCTCGAACAACACTGTCACCATTGCAGTAGCAGTTGTCGTACCTGTGGTTCTCCTTGCATTGGGCATCGCCTTCTTCCTGTGGTACCGGAGGCGCAGGCTAGCTCAGAATGCCAAGTTACCTGCTGCCGATTCGGGGCCTGACATGGGTCAGCAATGGCCGTATCATGCTGGGAACAATGCTGGATCCCAATATGCCGCGGATGGAAGCTTCAGCACTAGCCCAGCGCAACCAAGTGCTTACCCCACGTCCAACCACATCTACCAACCGAATGAATTGACAGGCGACAATGGGCACTCTCCTTCTCAGATTCAGCCTGGCTGGTCTCAACAGGCACAACCGCCTAGGGTGTACGAGATGATGGCTGCTCCGCCGGCCAGCGAGCTTCAAGGCGATGAACCGCGCGGCTCATTTGAACTAAAAAAGACACATGGCACGGCTGTGTCGGTTCAAAGTCTCCCTGGGGAGGCTGGGGAGGCTAGTTTCGGTCCTTATGGTGATAATTTCTCGCACAAGGAGTCGCAAGCGTATCCGAACCATGGGCGCCTGTCATGATGTTTGTTAGGGAAGACTTGGTGATTTGGTCGAGCTTGGTCTTGGGCATGCTGCTCTGCAGTAATCCAGCCGATGTTTGTTTTAACCGCGCATGTGTAGCAGCCATGTGTAGAATACAGCAGTGCGTCCTTAGCAACCATCAGCTGCGTTCAGAAGAAGCATGATGATAGTGTCCTGCCTGGGAGTGTGTTCTTGAAGGGGCTAGGCCTTTTGAGGGTACCGGAACAGCCCGCGGTGCTCCCCGTCGTACGCCTTCCGATCCACGACCTTTGCTTTGACGACGGCCTCCGAATCTCCAGACCAGAACTTTGATATGATTTTCTCTGCCTCGGGTAACAAGGACCACGCCGGCAAAATGTACGCCTCGAGAAGGAAATACATAGCGTTGACGGAAGATAGGCAATACCAAAACCATTTTCCGCCCGAGTCCCATGTCTCCTTTATGATCCTAGTCAGACTAAAAGCGTGAGCTAGGGCTGACTGTTCTTCCTCTTCGAATATGCGAAGAGATCAAACCTTGGATGGTTTCCCTTTGTGACCAGAGATCTTAGACGAGTCTGCTCGCCGCAGGCCCGTAGGTGGACCAATTGATAACATTGGTTTCTTGGGCGAGGGCCCAGTCCAGTGTGACAGGCCCCTGTCCTGAGAGTGCCAGTGTCCTTGACATGTTGACAAAGCAAAGGATCCTGATGAGGGTTCAGCTCTGGGGTGATGAGGCGGCTATAAAATGAGACCCAGTATTTTGGCGATGAAGCTATACGGCAAAGTCTACGCGTGTGGAGTGTAGTCCGCGTACGTGCCCCCATGAGTGTCGCCACATGAACATGACTGGCAGCCGGGTCACTGCGAGCCGGTTGGTCGCACAGTTCTGAGCATGTTTCGTTTGATCTACCGGAAAGGCTTGTTTGGTGTATGGGCAATGCTGATATGAACAGTGTCTCGAGACTTCCATGTCCAAGTCGTCAGTATCGAACAGGAGCTCTAGATGGACATATCGATTCGCGCTTCAAAGGTGGTGAAGTGACCGGGGGATGCTTCGCGCACAGAGCAATGGGATGACATTTCGAGAGCAAGGTCATACTGCTCAGAGAGGGCGACTCCATGTCCTTGAACGAACTCACCCTGCACGTTCCACGTCCCAAGAGCGCGGGAATTGGTTGGTGCGGAAGTTTCCGCACATTTGAAGGGCGTTGGTTCCAAGTAGTTTTCGGGATGACTTTTATTAGACGAGTAGACCACCACCACAGCAACTCAAGCTGCTGTACGCGAGCAGCCCAAGATACTTGCCTGTTGGTATTCTGATGAGGAGTGGACTGGCGAGGAACGCGATGTTGCGGGTAAGAGCCTAAGACAAGAGGTCTCGTCCCAGATATCGCATCACGTGACGCAATTCCGCCAGCGACGGAGGGGACCCTGCACATGGAAACAATTTACAATCAAGCATTCTCTTCAACAACTGCTTATCAAGCAGACCAGCTCTGACTCTTCTCGCCGGTCACGTCTCTCCAGTGAAAAGACGTCTATTTCTGTCCACTCCTTCATCCAGTCAACCTGATTATTACATTCCCTACCTGTACAACAAGCCTACCACACGGTCGATTCACCCCTCCATCCAACCCCCACCATGGCCGCTCCCCGCGACAAGGGTGAAAAGCCCACCGAGGACCCGTCGCTCGCGGAGAACGACGATGACCTCCTCGACGCCGACGATGCGGAGGAGGAAATCGTCGAGCAGGGCGATGGCGACGTCCCCATGGACTCGGACGACGACGAGGACCAGGACCAGGACCAGGAAATCATCATGCAAAACGACTCCATCGCCTACTTTGACGACCCGCGCGACTCCCTCTTCACCATTGCCCAGCACCCGAAACACCCTTCCCTCGTCGCTGTAGGAGGCGCTGCGGGCCCCGAGGACGACGCGCCCGGCGCAGGCTGGGTGTACGACTACTCGGCCGCCCAGTCGAGGCCCGTCCTGCCCGCCAGCTTCGCCTCGGACCCCTCGTCGGCCGCGAACAACCAGCAGACCACGCAGCTCCAGTCCCTCTTCTCGCTCGAGGGCCACACAGACTCCATCAACGCCCTCGCCTGGACGCAGCCCGAGGGGGAGGTGCTCGTCAGCGCCGGCTTGGACGGCAGGATACGCGCCTGGAAGGCGGACGTCAAGCCCAACGTCCACGCAAAATTCACCTTTCTCGGCGAGGCGCAGGAGGTGGAGGAGATCAACTGGCTGCAGGCCTGCCCCTCGCCCTCCAACCCCAACGCGGTCGCGCTGGGTGCTTCCGACGGCTCGGTGTGGGTGTACACCATTGACCCGAACGACACAGCGAGTCCCCTCCAGATTGCCCAGTCGTACTTCCTCCACACAGCGTCTTGCACTGCTGGTGCGTGGACGCCCGACGGCCAGCTGCTGATCACCGTGTCGGAGGATAGCAGTCTGTATGTGTGGGATGTCTGGGGCAACGCGGCGGCCAAGGGTCTCGTTGGCGACAATGGGCAGACGGCCGTGTCGATGACGGGCGAGGATCAGCGCTTCGAGGTCGAGGGCGGTCTATACTCCATCGCTGTGGATCCCAAGGGCGGCTTCGTCGCCGTCGGCGGTGCAGGCGGCCAGATCCGAGTGGTGTCCCTGCCCAGGCTCAGCGCCGGGACACAGTCCGCCTCGCAAGCGCGCGGCGCGCAGCGCAACAACAAGACCGCCGCGGACCCCACGAGTGGCGGGCAGATCCTGGCGTCGCTACACGTTCAATCCGACAGCGTGGAGAGTCTGGCGCTCAGCCTGGCGAGCACGACGCCACCTACTGTCCTCCTAGCGGCTGGTGCCGTCGACGGCTCCATCGTGGTGTTTGATGCGACGCGCAAGTTCGCCGTGCGGAGGAACATTGTCGGCGCCCACGAGGAACACTCTGTCGTCAAGGTGGAGTTCATCAAGGACTCGTGGATCCTGACCAGCTGTGGTATGGATGGTGTCGTGAGAAGATGGGACATCCGTGGCGGCGGCGCGACACCACAAAACAATGCCGGGTCGGCCGACGCCGGTCTGCTCAAGGAATGGAAGGGCCACCGTGGCGATGGCGAGGGCGGCGGCGTGCTGGGCTTTGTGCAAGGGCAGACGGGCGAGAGGGTGGCAACCGCAGGCGATGATGGTATCAGCCTGATTTTCGAGGCATAGAGGAAGAAGAACATGCAACAACAAAACAAAAAGCGCAAGATCAAAGTATAAAGCCACGAGAGTTCTCGCCCCCAGTGAACATTGAAATTGTAGCCTGTGCGGCCTGGTGATGTCTCTCATCTATCAAGTGTGTGTGTATGTTAAAAAGAGCCTTGTTCTCATCAATCGCCCTTGGAGATACCCGGAAGGCCCCCCTTTCTAAACGCCCAACTCGCAAATGTTGAAATCGAGTTTATGCTTGCTATTTATCCCAAAAGTCAAGAAACAACAAATATGATCATCAACAAGTCAGAATGCTATGCGGTGTATCCGAAAATGGTTTGTCAACGCAGGAGAGTTTAGTCCTGCTCTGTCGTGTCCTCGACAGGAGGGCACGTGCAGAAGAGGTTGGTATCGCCAAACGCTAGCAAAGAAGTCAGTATATCAGGGCTGCCAGTCAAACAGAGATGGATGGTCACTCACCGTCATCCGCGCGGCCGACCGTAGGCCAGAACTTCTTCTCCACGAGGTACGGCAGCGGGTACGCCGCCTTCTCCCGGGAGTAGGGACGCTCCCACTTGCCCTCGCCATCGCCCTTGATCACGTCGACCTGCGGGTGCGGCGACATTTTGAGCACGTTGCCCTCGCGGGGCTGCTTGCCCTCCTCAATCTCGCGAATCTCCTCGCGGATGCTGATCAGGGCATCCGCGAAGCGGTCCAGTTCCGCCTTGCTCTCGCTCTCCGTCGGCTCGATCATGAGGGTGCCCGAGATGGGGAAACTCATGGTCGGCGAGTGGAATCCGTAGTCCTGCAGACGCTTGGAAATGTCGGCGACGTCAATGCCGGCCGACTTGCCAAACGGTCGAATGTCAATGATGAACTCGTGGGCGCAGCGACCGGCCGCGTTGGTGTAGACGATGGGGTAGTGGTCCTTGAGGCGCGCGAGGAGGTAGTTGGCGTTGAGCAGGGCGACCTTGGTGGCCTTGACGAGTCCCTCGTCGCGCATCAGGCGCATGTACGCCCAGCTGATGGGCAGGATGCTGGCGCTGCCGAACAAGGCGCTCGAGACGTGGTTGTGCTGCTTGCCCGGCAGGTAGGGCTCGAGGGCCTCGGTCACGCAGATGGGGCCCACACCGGGACCACCGCCACCGTGGGGGATGCAGAATGTCTTGTGCAGGTTCAGGTGACAGACGTCGGCACCCAGGTAGCCTGGAGAGGTCAGGCCAATCTGGGCGTTCATGTTGGCACCGTCCATGTACACCTTGCCACCGTGGTCGTGCACCGTCTTGCAGATCTCCATGATATCAGGCTCGAAGACGCCGTAGGTGCTGGGGTAGGTGATCATGATGGCCGCGAGCTCGTTGGCGTGCTTCTCGCACTTGGCCTTGAGGTCCGCGAGGTCCAGGTTGCCAGTCTTGGTGTCGCACTTGACGGGCACCGTCCGGAGTCCAGCCTGTGTCGCCGAGGCAGGGTTGGTGCCGTGCGCAGACATGGGAATCAGGCAGATGTCGCGGTTCTTCTGTCCGTTCGCTTCAAAGTACTTGCGGATGCATTGGAGACCGGCAAACTCCCCCTGGGCGCCCGAGTTGGGCTGCACTGACGTGGCGTCCAGACCGGTCAACGTAGCCAGTTGCCTCGAGATGGAGGTGATGAGGTTCTTGTACCCAGGGACGTCATGCGGAGACGCCGCAGGGTGCACTGAAGCGACCTTGTGAAGGCCGATGAGCTCGAGCTGGGCAGTGCCATTGAGCTTCATTGTGCACGATCCCAGAGGGATCATAGAATGCACTTGTGACAGATCCTTCGACGCGAGGTGGTGGATATACCGAAGGATCTCTGTCTCGCTGTGGTGGGTGTTGAAGACGGGGTGGGTGAGGTAGCTGGACGTGCGGCGAAGAGCCTTTGGGATGCTGTCGAGGATGCCTTGGTCGGAAACCTTGTACGACTGGTTCCAGATGCGATCAACGAGCGCGAGAACATCGTCCTCCTTGCCCAGGTGGTTCTGGAGCTGGGTGGCCAGTTTGAAAAGCAGGGAGTGCGTGACATTGCCGGACACGGCGCATGTCACGTAGCCGGTAGGGTCCTGCGATGATCGGTAGGCTCCTACGCCGACACCAATGTCGGCGTTCTCCTCGAGCTTGGTCTTCAACTCCCACGCGTCTGGCACATTGTGGAGTGTCACAGTGTCTGTGAAGACGTCCTGATCGGGGCACGACTGGGAGGGTCGGACCTCGAGCCCGAAGAATCGGCCAACCTCGGCAATCATGCGCGCACCTCGGATGTTGTCCACTGCCTGGCCCATGAGCTGCTCGGGGCCATGGTAGACGGCGTACATGGCAGCCATGTTGGCGAGGAGAGCCTGGGCGGTGCAGACGTTGCTGGTCGCCTTCTCACGACGAATGTGCTGCTCGCGGGTTTGCAGGGCCAAGCGCAGGGCAGGACGACCCATCCTGTCCTTGGTCACGCCAACGATACGGCCCGGGAGACGACGCTTGTTCGCCTCCTTGGTCGCGAAGAAGGCCGCGTGGGGACCACCGTAGCCGAGGGGGACACCAAATCGCTGCGAGTTGCCAAAGGCAATGTCGGCGCCGAACTCGCCAGGAGGCTTGAGGACGGTCAAAGCGGACAGATCCGTGGCGACGCTGAACTGGCAACCAAGGTCGTGGGTCACCTCGGCCACCTTGTCGAGCACCTCTGCGCTGCCCTGGTAGTCGGGGTACTGCGCCATGACACCAACCAGGTCGTTGCCAATGCTCCTGATGCCTTCAACGTCGCCAATGTCCATGCGCTTGATGTTGACACCGAACCCCTTGGCGCGGCCCTCAATCACCCTGAAGGTGCGCTTGTGGACCTTGTTGGAGATGACAAAGGTCTTGTTCTTCCCCTTTTGGCGCGAGGCCGGCAGACAGTTGAGAGACATGATCATGGCCTCGGCACCAGCTGTGCCCTCGTCGAGCAGACTGGCATTGGCAACGGACAAGCCAGTCAGGTCCGACACCATGGTCTGGAAGTTCAGCAGTGACTCGAGGCGGCCCTGGCTGATCTCAGCCTGGTACGGGGTGTAGCTGGTGTACCAGGCAGGGTTCTCTAGGATGTTTCGCTTGATGACGCTAGGCGTGGCGACGGGGTAGTACCCTTCGCCGTTCATCCACACTCGTGTCGCATTGTTCCTGGTGCTGCCAGTCCATTCGGCCATGATGCCCGGCTCATTCGTGTGCATCTCGGGCACGATCCGCTCGCGAGGCGATGATTGCAGGTTCTTGGGGATAACTTCGGCAATGAAGTCATCCATGCTGTTGTTCTTGGCGCCGACCGTGGCCAGCATCTGCTCCACGTCCGAGTCGCGAGGTCCAATGTGGCGGTTGACAAAGTGATTCCATGGCCCCTTTGTGGCCTGGTCGTTCACCTGCACCCTCTGCTCCCAAGTCTGGTCACCGGAACGCGGCCTGCCCTCGGCTTGGTGGGCGAGAAATCGCCTCTGAGTCGGTACCGCAGCAGCTCGTGATGTCGTGGCGGACAGGACTGTGCGACGCCCGGCAGCCGCTCGGCAGCCAGCCGAGGTGACTGAGGCCGCAGCGCCCTTGCTACACGCAAGACGAGACGCCATTGTGCCTGAGAAAGGGTCTGAATGTAGAGGTGGAAGGATGAGAAGGATGAAGAAAGACACCCTGCAACCAGAAGAAATCAGAGAGAAAAATTCTGAGCTGGCGCAATTCTTAATTCTTCATATCGCCACCGGATGTTAACCACAGCTTGCCTCTGTCTAAGAGGAGGGTCAGTACACGGTGTGACAGGCCCATTGGTTTCCGCCAAGACCTACCTGCAAGTCAAATTCCAAGAAAGAGGGAATGTATAGTGAGAGGAGTATGGAAGAGAAGAAAAGATGAAGTCGGTGAGGTCTGAGATAAATAAACTGTGCCTCTGTCGGCGCTCGGCTGTCATCCGTTCGGCAGGGCCATCCATACACGCAGACGGCGCGGAAATGCTGGGTTATCTTATCGGGTCCCCCGGCCGTGAGCCGACGGTTGCCTCCATGGTCTCCACCCTTATCGTGGAGACATGGCGTTCCTTATCGATGCTTACCTTATCTGTCTGCAGCCACTGGCTCCACTCTTTTGGTCGTCGCGAATCCAGCCTGAAGTTTTCGAGGTGACAACAGCAGCTCCCTCTGCGCATCGCGTATCCACGTCCAAACCCTCCAAACCGACACCGTCATCGCATCTCGACGAGCTCAGTCAGGCTTCTGTGCTCAAGCCCGTCCCAACACATACAACAAAAGATATAATCCGGAAGGAAAACGATAGAACGCCGCCACAATGTTCGGAGGATGTACGTCATGTCGAAACCGAACAGAGAGACGGAGGATATCAGTACTGACCAGTCACCAGTCGCACCACCCCAGCAGTCCCGCGAGGAGATCCAGGCCATGGAGGCCGAGGCTGTCTTCACCGTGCAGCAAGTCGCCGCCACCGCTTTCCTCCTGTACATGTGTAAGCAAGCCCTCAACTGTGTCACACTTCACCCATCTCACAAGTCGACAGCCCCTTTTGCCATTGATATGGTCAGCAAGATCTTCTAAACGCAGCGGACTGCACGTTTATCACAATGTAATAATGTATACTATGTCAACAGCAAAAACGGAGCAAGCATAGCATGCGGGTGTATGATAGACCACTAGGAATGGGGGGGACAATACCAAGCCGTTTGTTTGTTGCATGCAGTCAAAACCGTCTGTCTATCCACCCAGACGAAAACTCCGACAGGCCGTGGATGTCTGAACCTGGACCCAACTCCAAAAAGATTACAGCTATCGCGACATGTGCCCGTGCTACCTTGCCGGGTTACGGCTCTGCTCCCATGCCATGTAGTCCTCTACCAATGCCTCGGTTTCCTTCTTGAGATGCTGCAGTTGCTTCTCGTAGTCTTCGAGCACCTTAAAAGTCTGTTAGCCTGTGGATCGTGCAGCGTCAGCACAAAGTCACTTACCTTCTTGGCCTGCGCCTCGGTTTCCTCATCCAACCCATTCGCGCCATCCGCAGAGGGCTTCTCCTTTTCCCTCATCAGCGCATCTGCATGCCCTCGCAAGACGATCAACCTGCTCCATAGCTCTTCCTCTCTCGCGCCCACAGCTGGATCTTGCACTGCCCTCTCGAGAGTCTCCAGCCTCCTCGTGAGCTCGTCCTCATCAGCACTGAGTGCGTAGCCCCTGTTTCGCAAAACTTGCACTTTAGCAGCGAGAGCCAGGCTCCGCTCCGCCAGTGCCGCAGACCGCCTCTTTGCTGCCAACGCGCGAACCTCAGTCTGCAGCTCGTGTCGCTCCAGAATCGCACCCAGACTGGCATTGATCTGATGCAACCGGGTGTTGAACTCTGTGATGGCGCGCTTCTGAGTCTTAAGACGGTCTGCGAGGGACTCATAGCCCGAGCAAAGAACCGGCATGTACCCCGGGGCTGGCTTGTTCTGGAGGGCCTCTTCCCACCCGCGAGGGTCTTCGTGCGCAGAGGGCTTGTAGAACGGGATATGCGATGGGTCGACTTTGTTGTAGAAGTAGTGCTTGAACACACAGCTGGGGTTCGCAGGGTCCCATTTGTCTGTCACGTCCTTCATCTGGTCGAGAATCGATTTGGAATCTAGCAACGTCAGCTATGCGCAAGTGGAAGGCCATGCCGGGGTTGCATACGGTGTGTATCCTGGCCCGGTTCCCATAAAGAGCCTGCCAACTGGGCTTGTGACTGTGCTAACGCAGGCATCTGCGGCGTCTGCTGTGACTGGCTCATGGTGTTTCCAAAAGCATTCTGCTGGGGCTGCTGCTGTTGCTGTTGCTGTTGCTGCTGGGGCTGCTGTTGTGGTTGCTGGTTGGCAGTCGACTGGCCGAAAAGTCCACCTCCCTGCTGCGGTTGGGATGTCTGAGCGGTCTGCGTCTGTCCGAAGATACTGCCTCCAGCAGGCTTAGCCTGCCCGAAGAATGACATTTCGCTGTCGTTGCAAGCGAATCGCGTGATGAAGCAGAAATGTGTCTACGCCTGCAAGCTCTGCGTGTATCGGACGGGTGGTCTCTTCAGAATGCGGTCGATTAATCCAAAATCGTCCTATGCGGTTCGCTGCTGGGGATTCAAGCTTGTCGGTGCATGATGCAGAAAGTGAGGTCAAATTGGCATGCTCTTTGCGCTTCGCGATGCAGCTACCTTCTGTGCCTTACGCGAAAACAAAGTCCAACAAAGCTGCAGCCAGCGGCACCTCAGCCGCCCAAGCACCGCGGCCAGCCTCGCCCCCACCCAGCAGCCAATCACAACGAGTCAATTCCAACCTCACCTCAAATCATCCCAAAGGCTCGTCTTCACGACATAACGCATCACACCACGCAGCCTGTAGCCCACGGCCGCACACAGTCGCCCAACATGTCGACACGAAAGCCCTTGTACGTTTGACAACTCCCGGCCGCCCCGGCGACGGCGGCGTCGGGGAGCAGCACGCACAATGGCCAGAGACTAACGGGGCGGGCAGCTTCAACCAGGAAAACCTCATCGACACGACCCCCCTCCCCGACTCCGTGCCGAAAGTCCAGGAGATTGGCGCGACATCCGCCCCCCTCCTCTCGGCCTCCTTCTTCATCGGCAACCGCTGCCAGGACTACAACGATGACTACATGCAATGCAAGAACGAGAACCCCGGTCGCGGCGAGTTTGACTGCATGAAGGAGGGTCGTCGGGTGACTCGCTGCGCGTCCAGCGTGTACGTTCTCCCTAAATGACCATGCGGATGCGTCATGAAAAGACAAAAGTGGCACAGATGGACCGCGAGGCTGACCAGCGCAGGATTGACGACCTCAACAAGAGCTGCCTCGAGCAATTCACCAACCACTGGAAGTGCCTCGACAACCACAACCAGCAGCTCTGGCAGTGCCGCCCCTTTGAGTGGAAGCTGAACCGCTGCGCCTTCGAGAAGCTGGTAGGGTTTTCCCTCCTCTGCGCTGCCTGCCGGCGACCGGGAAGCCGTTGCTAACCACCAGTCGCAGAACCTGAAGAAGGTCGTCCCCAACCAGCCTGACAACGTCACTCCCGTCGAGCAACGACCGCAGATGATCATGTCGGATCGCAAGTTCCGCGCCGTCGAGGGCAAGCCTTTTGTCCCCGGCCAGAGCGAGGAGGCCAAGCAATAAGCCAGGGCCAGGGTGGGCGAGCGAGCATGGGATGAGGGAGGGTTCATGTTGGATCACTTGTTGGTACAGTGTATAGTTGAGCGAGAAGTGCTCCGATCAACGATTCATTTGTCTTGACTTACTTTATCGCACCATTGGCTCATTGCACGGACCGGCTTCGTATCGGTGAGGACCGTGACTATCAACGTTTGTGATTCGCAACTTGTGAACATGGTGTGCCATCCGCGAGTTACAGAATTGACTTGATATACATTTCCACTGCCACTTTCCGGGAACCTTGGAGATTCCTACGTCTGCCAATCGACATGATTTGTGTTCCCCTAGTTAGCACCTTTCAGTTTGAGGCTACCCTGCAACTCCCAGAACGGGGCACCGAAGGCATCGCTAATTTGCGAACGACAGAATAAACAATGCCTTGAGAGCGGCACCATTGTTCTCATTATTTGCTGTGCTTATGTTGGTCCGTCGCAGCGCACGCGTCCAACACAATGCACAGGTACCTCTTATCTGACCAGATAGTGTTGACGGCTGACTGATGATCCTGAGCATTATTATGATACAAAACACCCCTTCAAAGTTCCCAAAAGCATGTTGACCCGCAACGCAGAAGAACACTCAGTTCTGTTTAATGGGGAAGAAGAAAGGAATCAGTATAGCGTCAGTGCCCACGCCATCTCATCCATAGGTGCCGTTACTTACGAAGACTTTCGACAATGGTATCTAGGTTTACCATTCTGATCTACAAGAACGGCACGCTCAACCACCCCTCTATGATGGAACCGAAAGCCACAAAGCCACTAGCAAACGACACGTTCTTCTCTGGTTGCTGGACACACACGCGAGGCTGTTCCGTGATGTGCTCACTATCATGACGAGCCCTCTTCTATGACTGCCGCATGCTGGCCGGGAGCGGAAGGGGCGGGACAAGGATATTATGGAAGATGTGAGGATGCTGAAGCATGAGTCGCTTCCCCATGCCGAGAAATCCGGACCCCCTAGTCTGTACGTGTAGGCTCCTGGCCATGCTGGGGTCGTCACATTCACTAATTTTACGTGTTCCCACACTTTCCTGCTCCAGCGGAGGCGGAAGACGACATCCCCATCAGCTGGCACCGCGGGGAAGGCGACGTAACAAAGCGTACTGCTATCAAGGCCTCGGAAAGGCCTGAATGTCATCCGGCATCACACACAGGATCGTAGCATAGGGCACTGGTAGCGCACACGGGTTAGCATGTGCCATCGGACGGGCTAGTCGCTCGTGGCATACGCGCAAATGAACAAGGCTGGGCATATCAGCATATATGTCCTCGGGCGAGAGTCATGCGGATAGGTTAGACTGCGCAACCCAGAGTGCTGTCGACTGCTGAGCGTTAGGCATGACTCGTTAATCTAACCTGACAATGGCGGCTGACAACACCAGCTCAAGTTTCTCGCTTTGTATCCAATGCCAGGCGTACTGGCAACACGAACGGCCGCAAGGAATTCGACCATGGGTGCGCCTTGTTCCTAATTACCGGCAAGCGCATTCGATTTCGTGAGAGCCTCGCTATTGCATCCTTCTTGGGTCACACGAGCGACGTCCGCATAGGGGTTGGCAGACTGGGGTTGGCACCAGGCCCTTGAAAGCTTGCCCAAGTTCTTCTTGAGGAGCCCGAGTGACTGGTCCTCGCAATTCTCAACAATGGGATTGCAGTGCCATCTTGTAAGTTGTCAAACAAAGAAATTACTGGATCAGCCCGATTTGCTTTCATCAGTCATAGAAAGCGCGATTTACGACGTCATGGCCTGCGAGCGTTTGATGAGGATCATAGGGTTGGTCAAGGGGGTTTGTTCCTTCAGGGTGTGCACGAAGCGATGCGGCTCCAGTCCCGTCCCGTCCAGTCAGCGCCGGCCAGTGTCGCAGTACGTACCCGCAATTGTTTCAAAGCCAGGGGGGTAACAACACAACGATCCCGCATTTGCTGCCCTCAGAGATTTTCTATCGACGCTGGTCAGACTTGGTTGACCAGCTACCAGGCCTTCTTCCAGGCCACCTGGGTTCCTCAAGAATTGAAAGAAAGAGCAAGGATGAGCTGCACCAGCAGTCATGTCTCACTTATTATTATTATTATTTTTGTTTGCGCTGAAGGCCGAGAGCGGCCAGTGAGGCGTCTCGATGTCGCATGGTGAGACAGATTTATGGTGGCGATTAGATGGCGCTTGGGCTGTCAGCATTTGCAAGTCTACCTCCGTACTCACATCCAGAATCTAGACCTGTGGATCGTGGTGAACCGAGCCCTCGTGGTCCCGGCAAACGATGTGGCACGACAGGCATTAGAGGCGGGTACTTCACAATTCCTGTAGACATCCAGGACAACGTGTATCCATAGTGCGTGCGTGGTCTGGTCTTTGTCACGTTGTCAACCGTGCAGAAACGGCACGATAGCAACTCCAAGGCACATATGGCCCACTTGAAGATAACTTCTCGGAACTATGCATGAGGGTATTTATTAAAAAGACGATTGATGAAACAGCCACAGAGCAGTGGTACGACACGCGGAGCTGGGCTAGACTGCTGCTAGTGCTGGGTACCGTGGGGTAGGTAGGACAAAGGGCGCTGGCAACTCGAAACCTGGTTTCTTCTGTTGGACAGCCACCCTAGGTCCTGGTGCACGAACAGTCGAAAACGCAAGCATCGATATACAAATTGCCAACGAACAATGCACCCGCTGCCACAGCTTGGAATGGTATTCTAGGGACAATGCATGCGTGGCCTACGGAGTACATAGTGCCTATATATATATACATGTAGTTTGAGGAGCAGTGTCTGTCTTCGCCTAGCTGTTGGAATGCGGGGTGGTGACCTTGAGCTTCTATTAGCCCCAGTGCCGTCCTCCGAGACTCCTGGAGAGAAACATCGTTCTTGGCGGATGCACACAGGGATCGCGCCTAGGGAAGCTGCTCACACCCGGATTCCAACTATCGATTGCCTTCAATATGCGGCCATGGAACGCTACGTCGGTAGTGCACAGTCAGCCGCCAGGCTGCCTCACGCTGACAGTAGTTTGTCTCATGTCTCATGCTGAAGGATGATTCTGTTTTTCGACGCTTTACTTGCGTTTTGATGAGATTAACGCCGTTGATGATGTATACGTACGCACTCCTTCCTAAGCAATTCCATACCTACGGTAATTAACTCACTCACTCGGAGGCCTCGACTCTCTGTTCATTTCGCAGGCGCATTCGTGCAGCTTGACCTCGAGATTGGCGCCGTTTCAGAGTCGCCCGCGGACATGAGGGACCCAGTGGACCGAGCTTGTTTAATGGAGCCGCCGCGCATTCGTTGGCTCCCCAAGTTTCGGAAGCTGGGATCGCACGTAGTGGTGGGCGCCATCTGCAAGGCACGCGGCACCCCTCGTTGGTGCATCTGGTGGAAAGAAATCCTCCTGTCCAGTGCTTACATACTGCTTAGCGCTGGGGGGCCGGCATCGATGGTGGCCCGACCTCTGCTGGCGCTTCATTGCACAAGCAAGCTAATTCCAACATTGTAGTGCATCGCTGGAGCATTTAAACGCAGTTCTGAGCTAGAGGCCTGCTTAGTTAGCAATCTGCCAGCGACACAAGCGTGAACGTGGTCCGTCGCTGGCTCACACACAGGCCAGAGGTCAATTGTGCGGATAGGAGGCCTGGCTGGCGATCTTCATCTATATGTAACCGGCAAGCGAGTTGCGGACGTGCTCTGTCGGCACATTCAATGCACTTGTAAAGGTGGTGTGCGAGCTGGGGTTTCTACAAAATCTTGTTCTCGTCAAGGACCCTCTGATGTCTGTTGAGGACTGAGCGGCACGGGAGAGCTGGCTCGAAATCTGTAACAGGCCGCCTCGTCGTGCTTGTTTGAGGCGGAGGGGTCTGTTAGTGCACGCTAGAGTAACACCCCCGCTACCCCCTGCAGTGGCGCCGACAGATGGTGGCTTTTGGCGGCTGCTGACCGCCGCAGGAGGGGTGTGTCCTCTGAAGACAAGCGCCGGCCCTAGCAATCTCGATGCCTGGACATGCCCCTTTGTCCATCCCCTCGAGCAATCTCTGGGCACCCATTCCACTGTCCTTCATCAACGACCCCCTGCAGTCTCTCGTTTGAAGCCGAGTCCTTGATCTCGGCACCCCAGTCCAGTCGATCGTTTTTAACGCATGCACTTCCTCTCCCACCCGCCTCTCGCTGATCCGCTCTCTCACCCTCCTCCCACAGAGTCTAAAGAGTCGCTGGTATCGCTCCGACCTCACTTTTTCTCTTCTTCCACTCCTTACCCGCCGGCTAACACGCTCCTTTCTGGTCTTTGGCGTCGTCCACTGACCCATTACGCTCCTTTTTCCCAAACCGCCGCGCCTTCTTGTCCTCGGACCACCCACACACTCCCTCAACCCACCAACGTGTCACGCAAGTAGAAAAGAGACCTGTGGTCCATCGCTCAAGAACCCTCTTTGTTGCAGCAGCATTCAACTCTTCCGCAGGCGGTAGCAAGCAGCAAGGTCCATTGTCGACTCTTGATTCTCTTACGACACTCACGGCTCTCTCCTTGAAGGAAGTATCAACTAGCCCGCCAAACGTCAGCAGTGCTGCCCCAGCTGGTTCTGAAACGTCCAAAAAACAAACTGCTCAATAGATCGAAGACGATTGTACGTATCTCCATTCGTTGTTTGTCCATCAGTGTGTTTCGCGTGGTGGTAGAAACAGGCGACAATGTTTCGCCTGCTACCATAACCCCCCTTGCGTCGTCTGCTCACTCCGCAAGCGCGGCCGTCAATTCTCTTATTTTTCATCAGGAAACCATCAGTCAGGAACGCTCTCGAACGCAAACAAACTTTTGGGAGTCCAGAACAACTTGCTACCCCGGATTGAGCCCCTCGTCGAGTCTACACGGGGTTTCCGCCCCTGGACTGAGACCATGTCTCATACCACATTCCTGTCTAAACAGCATTCCACAACTCTCATGGACTGAAAGCGTTGGACTTACCCAACACGCATCACATTTTTAGCTGAAAGCAGTGCCTCCGACTGAAACAGAGGATACCAGCCACCTGGAATATGTCCCCATTCCGATCAACCACGTTTTTGACGACCCTGAATCTCATGCACTGCATGACGTAGAAAGCCTCACTGACACCCTACTTATACAGACAAACGAGCCTTTGGATAACCCAGACACACTCAAAAATCAACGCGAAAAGCAATCACTCCAACACGATGAAGGCTTCCATGTTTCTCGCCGCCACTGGCGCTGCGCTGGCTGTGGCTAGCCCCATCCGTGCGCCCCTGGACAAGCGCGCCATGGAGACCGACTGGGTCGTCGAGGTCGTCACTGTCACTGTCACCGCTGGCCAAGAGCCTGCTGCTGCCTTTTACGAGGTGCCCACATCGACGACCTCGGTCGAAGTTGTCGAGCCCACGGTCGTGCCTCAGGAGAAGACCCAATATATTCCCAAGAAAAAGCCCCAGCCTCAGCCTGCGGCCCCGGTCATCACAACTGTTGTCGTGCCCGAGCCCAGTGTCGAGCCCCAGCCTGAGCCTGAGCCTCAACCCGAGACCACCACGGTTGAGCCTGAGCCTGAGCCTGTCCCTGAACCCGAGCCTACTACTGCGCCCGCGCCCGCGCCTGCGCCCGAGGAGCCTGACACGGACACGGACAGCTACGAGGGCGTGATGCTCAAGCACCACAACATCCACCGCAGCAACCATTCGGCGCCTGACCTCTCGTGGGACTCGACTCTTGCTGGCTACGCCAAGACCATTGCCGAGGGTTGCGTCTTTGCGCATGACATGGACCAGGGCTCCGGTGGCTACGGCCAGAACCTGGCCTCGTGGGGAACCACGTCTGGCCTGGACGGCCTCGTGAACGAGATGGGCGCCAGTGCCGTCACCGAGCAGTGGTACAACGGCGAGGTGAACGCCTGGACATTCTATGGCATGGACGACCCTCCCGCGAGCTCGCCTCTCACCGCATGGGGCCACTTCACCCAGGTCGTCTGGAAGTCGACCACCAAGGTTGGCTGCTACACGGCGAGCTGCCCCGCTGGTACTGTCCTGCAGTACCCTTCGTTGTACACTGTCTGCAACTACGACCCCCCTGGTACGTTGGCCCGTTTGATGCGAAAGAAATGGAAATATGCTAACAAAAGTTCACAGGCAACTACGGTGGTCAATACGCTGAGAACGTGCTCGAGCCAATCGGCATGGCCACTACCAATGTCTAAGCACTAGACATCTGGACCTCTCCCAACGTGGGAGAAGAAACAAAAGGTGGAGGCCCATTGGTGATGAGACGACAACCCACCCAGCACGCCATTTGGCACTGTTCTCTTCTATTCATTTTTGCTGCTGGGATGGTCGAGATGGGCGTCCTCCTTGTGTGTGCAGAGCAAGACCGTAGGGATTGTATCCGAGGATGCTCAAGAGAGAAAAGAAAGGCAACACGAAACATTCTTCTTCACTTCTTCAGTTGTACGTTATGCCAGTCGTACTTAACCATTTCACTTTTGCTTGCCGTTGGAGCAAGACAATCTTTTTGCCCCTTTCTGGGGGTATCATTTCATGCATTCCTTGTCTCACGCATGGTGATGGCTTCATGGTCATAACACGACGGAACAACTTGAAGAAGGGAGCATGTGACCATGGGTATGCATCTTCAACTTGCGTGGCTAGAGGGCAGGTACCTCAGCTCCTGTTGCTGTTGTGTAAACCAAGGTTGGGTGTTGGTACGCTAGAGCGATGAATTTGAAAGATTTCAATTGAGTAAACGAAGTTGTGGTATCATTTGATGTCTGTGGCTGAAGGGAGTTAGTTGGTGGCGCGGACGCGCAGAATTCTCAACTCATATTGCCACTTCCGACATCGCATGCTTGTCCTAGCCTTGGAATCGGAACACAACACACAGGTATTAAATGTCAGAAGAAAATACCATGTCAAGTGATCATAGACTGCAATCAACCTCCCTTCATAAGCCGGAGGGTCAATAGCGTCGCTCGGGAATCCCCGCTTACCAATGACCAATGAATACTAGCCGCGCCACCGCGCGGATAGCGAGTCGGGTGCGGACCGCAGATGATGCCGCCGAAGGCGCGGACACGGGCTTCGCTGGTCCTGCTCCTGCAAAGCCTCCGCCTGTGTGGATACGAGACGCGGCAATGACGGAGTCCATGTTGACTGATTGATTGACTCTACGCATAATACATACTACGTACTGCTAGTGTTGGCCACGCCGCGGTACGGGTCTGAAGACCAGAGCTGGTGGGAACGTGGCTGGGGGCTGAGACGGTATTTCGAGACGGAGGATGCTCGGGTTGTCGGGCGTGGTTGTGGCACCGATTGGAGAAGATGCGTTTTAGCTTGCCTCGTGATGGGGAAGGGACGAGGACTGGAGCTGGGCTGTGATGATGGGCTTTTCCCATGGACGGGTGGATGGACTGGCAGGAAAGCACTGGATGATGGGGAAATAGCATTTCGTCCAGCCAGATCTGGTGAAACCGCTGTCTTGTCGACGGGAAGTTCTCGGGAAATCCCACCCACGGCTGCATGGCGCCGGAATTACGCACCAGCCCCGTGGCTTTACTGGTTCGGCGTTTTGTACAGAGTACCGTGTACGGATACCTGCGAATTGAGTTGATCGTCATTATTAGTGAACATGACCAAGCGTGTCTGTCCGTGGCGTTCCGCCGATCCGGATGGCCAACAAGCCAAGCAAAGTTCAGACAACCAGGTGAGCACACCGCTCCGCATGTCGCTCGCTCACGCTTCCGCCAGCACTGGCCCGAGATTGTGTCCGCCACGAGCTGATGAAAGGTCTGCTGGCGGATGGCCGCAAGAAGGCAGAGACCAGGCAGATGCTATCGAGACATCGGCGATGGCCTGACGGACAGGTTGAGCTGTCAATGGGAATTGGGATGGTGGTGCGGAAATAGTATTGCGAAACCTCCATGACCAGCTGGAGGCGGGCCCGCCCGTCTCAGTGGCCGATGCAGCGAGTCGAGTCTAACAAATAGTATCTCACCCAACGACTGTCCACGATTGTTTGCGACTGCCTCCTGCTTAATAGTACGATCCGGAAGCTTCGAGGCTCGACTCAGCTCGTCGATTGATGGGATTATACGCACGGACGTGCTGGCGATGATGACCAGCGAGATTTGGACCGAGGTGCTATTATCTTCTGGTGGAGAAAGGCCCGGCCTCCAAGTATGCCCACTGTCCACCCACTGGAAAGCCGCCCCCGAGACCGCTGGAGCCGTCTCTCACTGCTGCTTGCTTCCATCAGGTCACCGTGCGATTTGAAATCAGTCCACCGCCTGACTGGACCTCTCAGTCTGCCATATAACGTTGGCTCTCGGTCTCTCGCGCGGGGCTCTTTGCGTCAAGAGACATTGAATACATTCATCCATTCTCGCAGCTGTCATCCTCTTCTTCACATTGTTCTCCTTGCTACGATACAAGAGCCCGGACCATAAGAGCAATTCGGGCATTATCCCGACTCCGACCACGGCTACGTTCAGCCATATCCAATATCTGTGCTGTGCCTGGTAGTTTAGGCCGTATCCGCCATTATTAATTGCCGACAACACCCACTACCAATCTCAACTGCCATCGCATCACACCTCTTCTAACCCTGCCTGCCTGCTTTGCTATTTCTCTCGCAGGCATACCAGATTCGAGGAAGAATAAGGAGCAGCGCAACTCGCAGGATGAGCAGCACGGTCTTTGTCGAACAGCAACACGTGCAGGACTCATGTCTCGGTAAACGCATCTCGCCCCCACCAGTCAATCTACATCTTGGACCGCCCACCAGCAGCGGCGATAGCATCAGAAAGAGACCCTGCACAATGGCGGCTCGCGCCGCTGTCGCCGCAGCCGCCACGAGCCTACACTCGACCTCGGTACAAGGACACCACCCACAGCCAGCCTCAGCAACGACGACAACACTGCCCACGCTGACGAGACAAACCACGGCAGAGTCGGCGGATGGCGTCTGGGGACCGGCTGATGACGGGGCCAACAGCAGTGAACAGTTCGACATGAGCCACTTGTTGCCAGCATTGCCGTTTCGCGGCGAAGGAGAAGGCGAGCCATGTCCGTTGGGCAAGTATGTTGAAACGTGTGTTCCGGGTAGTCTCGTTGCTGACACAACGGGCAGAACGGTAGACGAAACCTGCCGCCGCGCACTCGACCACTTCCCCTGCCCCAATGTCGCCTTCCCGACGCCGACGCTCGAGTTTGACTTTCGCGTCGCAGTCGCTCTGAAGAATGAGCCGTCGCAGGTGCAAGGCCGCGCCCACAAGGAGATCACGGCCGTCTCCTCGGGTTCCTGGTCCGGGTCCTTTGGTCACGGCAAGGTCATGGCGGGAGGCTACGACCTCGGCCAAGCCAGGGGGTTCCGTCCGATCCGCATCGTCGAGGGCGCCTTTATCATGCAGACCACAGATGAGCCACCAGCCACGTACGTCCAAGTCCCTCTCTCCATGTCTACTTTGACTGACTGACCCGTCAACAGCCTGGAGATGCGCACCCGTGGCTCTCTCTCGGGACCCTGCGATATCCTCGATGCCCTGCTCAGCACGCGCTCGGCCAACACCATCGACCCGCGCAAGTATGGCTTCCGCATGTTCCTCACCATCAAGACGGCCGACAAGCGATACGCCGAGATTGTCAACTGCGGACTGTGGGTCGCCAGTGGCGTCTGGAAGGCGGAGGAACTGATCATCGACGCATACCGCGTGGCGTGAGACGGACAATCTTCTCTTCTCTCCTCTTCCGCTCCTCTCCTTTGTACTGCACTGGGTTGGCCACGGACTTTAGGCGCAATGGTTCTTTGGGCATAAGCATGGGGAGGTCGCGTGACTGGTCTGGGGGGACAGAACCCACAGACCGGCCTTTCGTCGCTGACGGAGTTTTCTTTTTCTTTTGCTGTTTTGGGATGCATGCCTGAGCAGACAGGCAGGCGCGCAAGCATGGACCGGCGTTTTGGGAAGGGGGACGGTGTGTGCGATTTCGGTTGCGTTGTGTTTGATGATTAATGAAGGCTATGATGACGCCAGCCATCGCGTGCCCCGTGCCTTTGGTGATTCATTGTCAGCAGGTCCCCATGTCCGTGTTGCATGACCTGAGCTGCTTACCGCTGCATGTTATTATCCATCCCTTGGTACCTTTCTGCCGCGCTGCCGCGCGCAGAGCCTCTCGGACCGAACCAAGCAGCTTACCTGAGCGTGATCGTCACCTCGAGGGCGCTCACTCTCCTCACCCTGCTGCTCTCCTCCTCTATGCCTCCGTCATTGTCGTCGTTATCGTCGTTTTCATCTGGCCCAGGAACAATGTCGTCCACAGCTCCAATACTCTTGGTCCTCATCTCAACACCAAACTGAGGTTCGTCGTCAAACCACCCTGCCACACCCACAACTTTCTCTATCGCCCGCCCCGTGCCCACCACGGTGACGCTGCGCTGCTCCTGGCCCTCGTCCACGTTCTTCTCGAGGTACGCTATCCTGCTCTCCAGGCTGGCGTTCTTGGGTGCCGAGCGGGCTTGTGACGGGGAGTGGAGGAGGGTTTTCCGAATGCGTGTGATGGTAGCCATGAAGGGTGTTCGCGTGCTCATGTAGATGATGCGCGCGTTGGCCGAGGAGGGCGGCTGGGAACGCGTCAAAGGGCGTTTGCGTACTCGATAGCCTATTCTTGTGAGCGGGCATTGAAAGGGACGGTAAATGCCTGCGCAAGCGATGGAACTGACTGACCTTCGGGAATGCACGGTAGCTTGTCATGAGTGGCCGACTTGGCATTGGGCTCCAAGTGCGCCATGGCGACATTGGGGGAGGAAAAGTGTGTATGTTGACTTGAGTTAGTTTGAGTAAATCATGAGCGCTCTAGCATTTGTTCAAACAATGAGTCCTGCTTGTGGCTGCGCGGTGGTTTGGCTTGTTTATCTGGATCAAAAGTTTGGCATGAGCGTGGACTGGGTGGGGTCACGTGCACATTTGGCTGTACCAATCTAAGGTATCTTTAGTAGGTACTCCGTACCTGATAACCTCAACCCAACGTCCAGCCTCCGAGTCCATCACAATCCTACTCTCTCCAGCCTTTTTCTTGCGGCTGCCAGTGCGGTCAGCCCGACAATCGGCCCTTGCGCTATGTCATAGAATGGTAGCACATAAACTCGCTAAAGGCAGCCCTTCAAAGCTGCGACACACGTTCCTTGGTCACATGAGCCAGTGATGTGAAGGTGAAGGCTTGGGGAAAGGAGAGCAGAGATTTATCCCGATCTATCTTCTACATACAGTTCCATTGGGTTCACAACCCCTGGGAAGCCCAAAGACTCCGCAGCTCACTCTCCTGCGCCAGCAGCACCTCCGGCCTCCCAGCCTCCAGAATCTTCCCCTCGCTCATGACAATCACAAGGTCGTAATCTTTCAAAACGTCCAGTCGATGGGCAACCTCCAGGACAGTGCGTCCCTCGAAATGATGCCCCAGCACCTTCCTAATATCCATGTCGCTCTTCACGATCCACGCTGCCCGTAGGTTCGTCAAGCAGAAGGACCTTGCTGCGCGAGAGCAGACAGCGTGCCAGGCAGAATAGCTGCTTCTGCCCGGTGGACAAGCGGATTTCAGCCATATCCGCATTCAAACCGCCGCGGGCCTCCACGAGAGGCCAGATATTGGTCTTGTGCAGAGCCGACACCAAGGTCTCGTCGCACTGTATCTGGGTCTCTGGGTCGAGGTTGGCGCGAACGCTGCCCGTGATCTCAATGGGGTCTTGCGGAACAGTGGCGAGGTGAGACCGGATAAGTCGACGTGGTAGAGTGGAGAGGTCGACTCCGTCTATTTTAATCGCACCGTGCTGCAGCTCCAGCAAGCGGAGAGTTGACTGTAGCAGTGAAGACTTCCCACTGCCAAGTACTAGCTCGTATGTCCGCGCTGATGGCCACACACAGCCAGCTTACCCTCCAGACCTCCCGCAAATGGCGACCTTTTGTCCCGGTGCAATGCTGAGAAAGATTTCGTGCAGCACAGAATTTCCACCATCACTGTATGCCGACGTGACCCCCTGGGTAGTGATGGCACCTCGCACAGGCCACTCACTCGAAGTGCCGCCGACTTCTTCATTTTTGTCCTCGCTTGGCGTTTCTTGGACAAACAGCTTCAATCGAGCAATGGCGCCAAGCGAGGTCTCGAGTTCAGTCCACTGACCAATCAAGATGGTCAGCGTCTCTCCAAAGTCCAGGAGATTGACCATGGCCAGGGCGATAGCCCCCTGGGAAGTCGAGTTCCTGACCTTGAGCGCAACTGCTACCAATACGACCGCCAAGCCGGCGACGAACATGTCAAGAACCAGCTGCAGCCACAGCTGCAGGCACATCATCAGATAGTATGGCTTCTGCGAGACATCGAGCTTGCGCGTGTTCGCCTCCTGGAATGGCCGTGCCCAGCCAAATGCGCGAATGGTGGCCACGCCTGAGACGGTTTCTGTGAAGTGCGTATACAGGGGCGCTTTCATCTCGAGGTCGAGGAAGCGCATTTGTCGCGAGGTGCGAAGGTAGTACCTTTGAAAAAAGAAGAGGGCCATGGCGATGAACGGGATGACGGCTGCGACATAATTAGCTCCAGAGGCAATGATACCTGTCTGAGCAACAGCACGTAGCAAGACTTGTTGTATGTCAGTGCGTTTGAGACACTTGTGAGGCTCAACAACTCACGCATGGCTGTCATGTAGGCTGCGAAAGGAAGCACCTGGTCTATCAGAGTCATGTCCTGGCTGAAGCTACGGTGATGTCAGCTAGGATGTTTGGCCTACACGCGCCCCTGGGCCTACCGGTTCAGTATTGTGCCGCTCTCAGTTGTCGTGAAGAAGTACAGAGGTGCGCTTCACGTATCAGCCTTCATGTAGCGATCTTCATACCGGTAACAACTAACTGGCACACTGTTCGCAACAATGTTTCGTGAAGAGAGCTCGCCGATTTCTCAAAGCCCACCATGACGAAGACCCTGTCAAGACGTCAGTGACAGACGTGGTTAACCTTTTACCTGGTCATACGTACCCAAGAGAGGTGACCCCAATGAGAACGGCTGCCACAGCGAATGCAACGTAGCCTGCAGTGTAGCCTGCGTCTTGGGGCGCTGCACCCTTCTCCGTCCATAATTTGAGCCATACCTTTGGCATAATCTCAAGTCCAACTGCGGCCGCGATCATGACAAAAGACAAGCCAGCAAAGCGCCAGCTGAGTGAGCGGAAGTAAATCATACAGCACTCCCAATCACCAGTTTGACGTGTCAGATCGTGCTCTTGAAGGATATCTTTCGTAGCGCTCGCCAACTGTCCGATACGTTTTACGGCTTCGTCCTTCTTCTCATCTGCTTCAGGAGCCTCGGGTCCATTCGTAAGAGCGCCCCAATCAGAAGGCTTGAGAGAATCGTAGGGTACCTGATTCCGAGCGATGTGGCCTTCGAGCATGGTGATGTGGTCAGCGGCAGCGAGCAAGTCGGCTAGTTTCGGTCAGCAAGGCCCATTCCCCAACCTTGTAGTTTTTAGACTCACGGTTGCTTGTGGAAAGAACAACAGTTGCTTTGCTCTTCCGGAGTAAGCCATCTGGGGCCAGTAGCCGTTTGAAAACAGTGCGGGAGGTTTTGTTATCCAGGCCGCTGAAGACATCGTCTAGAATGACCAGATTCTTCCGTGAGTACACTGCGCGAGCCAGAGCCTGCCTTGGTCAGCCATGAAACGAACGGCGTGTCGATGTCGCACGCGGCATGGCACTTACAATTCTCTGCTTCTGGCCGCCGCTCAAGGCGATACCACCTGAGCCCACCAAAGTATCCTCGCCCTTGGGTAGAAACGACAGATCACGGTCCAATGCACATGCTGAAATGACTGTCGAGAGCCAGACCTCGTCGAGTGGAGTTTGTCCAACCATGTTGTCTTTGGTACTGATATTCTGTAGCCAAGGCGCTTGATCGCAATATGCGCAAGATTTCCAGGCTGATCTGACCTCGCCTCTGTCTGGGGCAAGCTCACCGACCATGGCTTTGAGCAGTGAGGACTTGCCGCCTCCGACACGACTGATGATCATTGAAACTGTCTCTCGCTGGACCTCTATACTGATATCGCGCAGCAATGTGGTTCCTTCACCGATCTTGAACGAGGCGTCAGTGATCTTCACTGCGGACCCAGTGGCTTGCAAGCGTGAGTTATCGTTGTCCACTATATCCTCCATCTCTAGAGATCCTAGGAAGAGTGCCTTCGCAGGCGGGTTGTCCTTCTGGCGCTTCGTCTCAGGGGCCACAGGGGACCTGGGATCTGCATGCTTGTTTAACATTAAGAATGTCTGAATCCGGATGAACGAGCCGCATATGCCAGCGGCTTGCGTCAACGACACAATAATCATGATGATGGGTTGCGTTGCTAGGGAGATGATGGATAGCGAAGTGAATGCCTCGGTGATGCTCAATCCTTCCCCAGCCTTCGTCCAATAGATCGCTGCCAGGATGACAATCAGCGGCGTGACGTCCCACGAGACGCTACCTGGGCACAGTCAGCGCTTGAGTTGAGGAGCAGAAGGAGTCGTATACTCAGTGTGGTGAGACCAGTGAGGAGCCAGCGCACCCTTCTCGATATCTTGATCTCACGAACTCGTAAGCTCCGAATCACCTGTTGGAAATAATCAGGGAGCCCCATTCCCTTGACTCCTTTCATCTGACGGAGCATACCGGATGCCTGTCCAATTCGCTCCTGAACAGCTGCATTCCATGCCATCTGGGCTGGTTCCATAGCCGGGGCCAGAGCGCCACTTAGAAGAGTTGTGACGATTGTGGGGATCAAGATGAACAAGCTCGGCAGTCCGACTTGACGGTATAAAATGTAAATTCCGACCGGGAGCTCGATGAAGCAAGCCCAGATCTCGTGCAGGCCAGTTACCCCCAGCAATTGCTCAACGTCGGTTGACATGAGCGTGACCGGGGCGTTTTCCTTGATGCTCGTCGTCTGCAGCTCAAGGGTCTTTTGATAAATTAGCGAGACTAGGGAGGCCCTGTACATGGTCACCATCTGGTTCACAGTGTGTCTATACCATAGACCAGCAATAGCACGGCCAACAAAGATGAGGACCGTTGCCCCTATCAGACCGCTGGCAACCTGGTTGGACCATTCTCCATCAGAAATACCGATGAAGGTGATTACTTCTCGAATGAGGAAAGACTGTGCAAAGTTGAACCCTGCGTAGAAGAGTCTCGGGATCACGCCAGCAGCGAATTGCCACTTGTAGGTACATGATAGCAAGGCCAAGGAACTCTCCTTAGAGTCTGTGCAAATTAGTCAACATTGCTTTCCGATTGAAAAGGCATGAGATCTTACGGCTTTCCCACCTGGCGCTCAGTCTGTCATGAAGTGACCCTGAACTCAGCTTGTGGTTGATGTTGTCCAAATCGTCAATGGCAAGGAGATGTTTTGCGCCCCGGTAGAACAGCCCATTCAACCACCAGAAAAGGCTGCGGCTAATAACTCCTGACGATGTTTCTTTCGAACATGTCCTGTCAGCCAAGAGAGGTGACTTGGGGGGCTCCTTTGCACAGCGACGACGTGGTGAAGACGCCTGCGATGGCGTTGGCGCCATCTCGGATCCAGAAGGTTCGCGAGAGGGCAATGTCAAGGATTATGGTCAAGGCCAGATACCCGTTGAGGAGGACAGATGGCCGCGTGGATTTGACATGCTCGAAATAGGACAGTACGGCTATGACGACTGCTTCTATGACTGCAACTGTTGGCTCCGCAACGGAGGTTCTTGCTTTTGTCTCGGGGGCCTTTATCCAGAGGACAAAAAGGATAATCTGAAGGAAGGCATACACGAAGATTGCTGCCTAGTAGACAGGTCTAAGTCAGCCTGCAGAAGTACGAAGACTGCCTAGTTGCAGTATACCTACTTCTTTGGAGTACAAATGCTTTCCATGGGCGACCTTATGCCTCGTCTTCGCCAAAGAAATGATGCGCAATGGAGTTAGCAGTACGAATAAAGTTGTTGGCAGCAATGACAGAATACTTTGCTCAAAGAGGACGGTGAAGTCAAAGAGGACCGGCAGTCGAGGACCGAAGTGCTTGTCGCTCGCCATGTCGTTGTTGGCGTTTCTAGACTAGAACACCGCGCGACACAAGATTGTGTCCACGGCTTGACAGATGTACGCGATCCTCAGGTATAAAAGCATCTCTAGGCGTAGCAGCCATCCTCAGGCATTGACAGGTATTGTGCTCAGAGCCAACAGTACAAGCCGCTGTGACCAGTCAGAACCCCACGTAGTGTGTGTCCAGGCGGCTGAGCACTGGCATTCTACAGCATGGCCAATCAAGATGAAGCGAAGCTGAGGATGACAGACGCGGAGTGAGGATCGGGCATGACCGCACGAGAAAGAAAGCTTGCCTTGTCGGCATGATTGCCAGGCTGCAAGAGTAGCGCAGCCGCAGTGCTTGTCTTGACTGCTCGCCTTGACATGTCTACCTTGCCTTGAGTGGACTCTTCCTGATAGGCGCAGTCACCGCCCACGTGCACTGAGTACTTTGTGGCCGTCGAGTCTGGTTTGCCACGCGGCGAAGGTATACATGGCAAGTAAAGCATGTCTAGGTTTGATCGTTCGCTCAAGCTCAATAGGTATTGAGAGCACACCACAATTGCGCGAAGTTGCCAGTGGTGGTTGTTGTGGGGTGACAATTGATGGGCGCCCTGCTGCGGCGGCTACCCACAGTCCCCACCAACCTTAACGTCACCACGTATTTGCTCGCGCTCCAAACCACTTAGCTTGCTTCACCGCAGCAGCAGCAGCAGCGAAAGATCACCGGCATGGCTGCCTGCCATTCAAACGGCCAGATCACCTAAAGCCCAGCATGTCACTCGACGTCTGGCCACCTATCCCGCCCGCCGACTTGAGGCTAAAAGAAGCCGAGACGCAGGTTCGTCTTTCCAACCATTGTCCACCACAGTGCCGAGCGAGCGCACAGGATCACCAGAAGGAGCACGATGCTAATTGACTTGAAGGCCCGCGAGCTGGGATGGATCACCGCCGAGACCCTGCGAGTCTGTAAAGAGCTCAAGCATGGCCTGGAGGATTGCTACGCCCTCCTCGCGCCCGTCGATCCCGGAAGCACCCTCGTCATGAGCACCGCCCGAAGCGAGAAAGTCAAGGGAACAATTACCCGCGTGGGCACTCGTATCGTCAAGGGCGTAAGTTGACGGACTCTTGGGGAATCGCAAGAGCTAAACGATCGCAGACCCTCAACCTCCAACTTCGAACCATGCCTCCCCACAACCTCCAGCTCTCTCCGCAACACTCCATCCACATCCCCGCCCTCGACAAACTGCACAATCACCTGAATGAATCACTCGATTTGCTCTCCGTCATCCTCTCGGCAAAGCAGCCGCCCGACGCCAAGTCTCTCGCGCAGACTTTGACTCTCCTCTCCGAATCCATTGCCGCGTCTGCAGCTCTTCTCAAGGGGCCTCCGCTTACAACACCCGACCAGTCGTGGACGACATCATCATGTCCTCCCGGGATCTTTTCTCCGCCCCTTGCTCCGAACATTAGCTTCCATATCGGTCTGCAGGACAGCTGCATTGTCTTGCTGATTCGCGCTCTCGAACCATGCCAGGCAGCTGTGCACACTTTGACCAAGCTCGGCCTGGCCATCGGAACTGTTCGACGCCTAGAGCACGACGAAATGGACTCGGTATTCAAGTACAACGTCAGCGGCTACGCAGAGGCGGGTTCGAGGGGCCATGGTGGACAGCGTAGCTCCGAGGCAACCCGACAGCCGCAGTATGCACCAAACGCGGAGGATGTGTATGTCCGTGAAAAGGTGCGCGTCGAGAGCGGCGATCCCAGCTTGATATCTTTGTACTCAAAACTAGGCTTCTTGAGTCATGTCTTGGGCCAGACGAGACGGAATCTGGCGGCTGTGATCGGATACGATATGGATTGATGCAGGTTGATAAGGTATCGGTGACCCTCGGATCATGCTCTAGCCTTTCGCCTGGCATTATTAGAGCGTTTTATGGTGTGAATGAATACTGTTTAATGCACACACTTGGACTAAGGAAATGATAATGCAGTACCTGTACATGTAGCAGTATGCGCCTGCGCGCCCATGTGACCGTACAAAGAAACTTGTGTGCCCAACCATGACCACATCAACTTCCCCATGCTTATGCCACGGGGGACCATGGCATGGGAATCAACACCCGCGACTTCATCTCCTGGATCAGCGGCACTGTCTTGTGCACCGTGTCGCTCCAACCTTCCACCGACCAGCTCTGCTCGCGCCTCGCCCTTCGCTCCTCCAAGTTGGCAAATTGCCAGAGATGGTGAACCGTGTTGAGCTCACCAATCTGGACAAACCAAGCGCCAACACCCTCCATGACCTCACGGCGAGCCTTCAGGCCCCGCCTCCAATGTGTTTCCCACTCCAACAGGTTGCCAGGGTGCAAAGTATACGATCGCAGCTCAAAGACGCCACCCAGTTGGCGTGGAGGGGTAGTGGGCCAGAAGGAGAATTCCTGCATGAGAGATATCTTCTTGGAATTGATCAACATGGCGAGTTTACGGTCAAAGTCGGCGAATTCGGGATGGTGTGTGATTTGATGGCGCGAGTCATGGTATCCTTCGTACTTTTGGTATTCCCAAATATGAACTGCACAGAAAGTCAATTAATTAGTACGAACGTAGCAGGGTACTTGTACTCACCAAAAGTGTCGCAGTCCCCGACCTCTGTCCTCCAGCTGCCAACCAGGTGCACCTTGTTCTCGGGTAGGTTGGCCATCTTAGGGTACCACTGGCCCACGAGCTCGACGTACTCGTCCACCTTATCGGGCTTGACTTCGTGGAACACAATCGAATGGACATACTTGCCCCGGGCAAGTACTTGACTGAAGCTGGCCTCGATCTGGGCATCCATCTCACGGCCCTCCTTCGTACCGTAGATGAGGTTTGTCAGCGCGCCTGACTTGCGCTCCGACTGGTGCTCTTTACTCTGAGCCGCGGTGCCTGTTGTCTCATTAGCCGTCTGGCTCGCAGCCTGCGTCTTCCCAGTCGCAGGACTAGAGGTGGAGGCAGCCGGTTCCTGGCGGGCCAACGCACGAGCTTCCCGTTCCTTCTGTGCTTTGATCAGCTGCTCTCTGAACTGCTGCTGCTTCCTATTGAACTCGTCCACGGTCGTGCGCGAAGGGCTGATGTCGCCCATGGAAGGGGTGGCGGATTGCTGCAGCGCGGTCGAGCTCAGAGCCCTGACGCCGGAACGTGGAGCCGCTGAAGCTAGACGCGTGACGCTTCGAGACAACATTGTCATTTCGAACAATAAGTTTTGGAATAGGCGTGTTGTTGAGGGTGTTGCGAGCTGATACCCTCCAAAAAAGAGCCCGAATGGCCCTCTTTGCGATCAGAGAGGTACAGTCGAGTAAAGCGTGGAGCAGTTCAGGCAGCACAGGTCTAGAGAGCAGTGGCCTAGATTGGTCGGCGGCACAACAGGAGGGGAGCACCGAGCGATGCGAGTGACGGACGGAAGGACGCAAGCTTGTCGCGCGTGCGTGTGTCTGCGGGTGTCTGTGTGTGTCTGTGGTGTGTGGTAGCTGCAAGGTAATGAATTAGGGAGAAAGGCAGGTGAAAGGCCCAGGTGCTGGATGGGAAGGATGGTGGAGGGTAGTGCCGGGAATCGATTGGACGGCTGGGATGAAGGGTAAGGCAAGCAAGCTGCGCACCCCGCACTCCAACGAACGGAGGAATGTGTTAAAGGTGGTCTGGATACTCCGTAGTGCGAAACAAGTTGCACTCGGAGATGATTGAGGCTTTGGATGAATGAGATATGCTCGCAAGTCGGACGCGGTCTGTTGATTTACGAGCACCTAAAGTACGATCTGAGACGGAGGCTAGCAACCCCAATGCCTGCAGCTCCTTCTCCAGCTCACTCCGCATTAAGGGATGATGTCACAAACCCAGTTTCCGTAGTCACGTGTTATCTGGCAGCCAGCCAAAACGCGGGGTCGGTAAAACGTTTGTACGAGGTCCGGCCTCACTGGGACTCGGGAGTACTCTTGCCTGAGGCTGCCAATTCAACGACTGGTGCTGGCGGCCGGCTGCGGGACAACTCGCCGGAACGGCGATTGCTTGGCAGTGCATCGGAAAAAGGCTCGTCGTCAACGGCTACCGCATCTCGACGATATCCCCAACCACGACATCCCCGACACCGAATCCCTCGTCGACTCATACCCAATTGCCATCATGTCTTTCCTCGGCGCTGCTGCTCTCAAGAAGTTCCCGGCTCCTTTCCGTGCGTTGGCCCCATGGAAATTGAACGCGAATCACGGCAATTGCTAACCGATGCATCAGTGAAGCCTCACCTGCCCTTCTTCGTTGCTGGTGCGTATAATCAGATGTTGTCGAACAGTTCCCGGCGGTTGAGGGAAACGCGAAGAAAGGTTCACAAGCGGACGGACATTGACGGGAATGATAGGTCTCGTTATCGCCTACGGCGCCAACTCTGCCCAGAACGCCATGATGGCCTGTATGAACTTTCGAACTCCTGTGGACGAACGCAGACTAACTCAGAGGCAGCCGACGAGTGGAAGAACGACCCCCGCAACCCCAACGTCCGCTCCGGCGGTCACTAAATGGAGGACTGTTACGATGGCATATGGGAGGAGCGAGCGCTGGCACCTCGGCGATACCAGAACAACGAGGCCGATTGTCGTGGAATTGTATGATAGACTCGCGAGGGAGGAGTATTCTATGCGGCGAGATCTCGGCTCGTCAATAAATTCCTTATGTGAGAGATCTAGTTCACTAGCATGATGACTGGGGTACCTGGTTCCCGGGACTCGGCGCGCTCTTAAGAAGGACATTGCATGTTGAAGCATCGGTTGCATGGGAGCTTCATACGCGTTCACTGATTATCTCGAGGGATATGGGGGCTACATCATGGAACCGAATAACTCCGTAGGTGGAAACGCAGGAACACGGCTGAATTCCAAGAACTTGTGCAACAAGGTCATGAACGCGAATGTATGACTGAACATGTTTCGAAGATGTAGTCGCAGCGACGCGACGCTGGTTCCAAAGTCGTGAAGTAATTCGCGAGTTCAGCGAACTCGTCTCGCTTCCATTACTAAGCTCAGGATAACAAGCAGCCTCGGCAATTGAGTATAAACTAACAAGTCTCAACAACGTCTCCGCCATCGGTACTCGGGCATATACTATTCTCGCGACGAATGTGGCTTATCAGGCACGCTGCTGGCAGAACAAGAAGTTTTCGTTCTACATTCGCGCCATCTCTTCTCACGACTGTGCCTTGCCAGCGCCGCAACATGGCTATTGATAACCAACTCAGCGCGGGCACGGCGACGACACCCAAGGCGCAACTTCCCAAGGGCAAGACAGAGGTTAAGATCTTGATGATTCATGGTACGTCCCTTCCCATGCCGGAAATCAATACCGCTCGTGTGATATACGTGGTTGGCATCCTTTATACCTCATTCAAGCGTGCTCATTCATCATAGGATACACTCAGTCTGGCGCCCTTTTCCGTGCCAAAACTCGCGCCCTTGAAAAGCTTCTCGCCAAAGTGCTATCATCCGTTTCCCTCCATCCCACGCTGATCTATCCTACTGGTCCCAACCGTCTCCTACCTCGGGACATACCCGGTTTTATCCCCAAGGATGATGGTGATGACGATGAACAGGGTGATTCATGGGCGTGGTTTCGCAAAGACGAGTCTAGCGGTCAGTACAGGCTCTTTGATCAGGGCATGGACACTATCGCCGCGGTCATCCGGGAGAGCGGAGGCATCGATGGCGTGGTCGGTTTCAGTCAAGGCGGCTTCATGGCCGGCGCAGTGGCGAGTGCACTTGAAGAGACCAGGGCACCACCCGAGGGACCAGACGGCGACTGGGCGAGGAAACTCAGGGAGGCAAATGGAGGCAAAGGGCTGAAGTTTGCTGTGCCATATTCGGGTTTCTATGCGCCTGTGGAGTCGTTGCAATGGCTGTACGAACCCAAGATCAAGACCCCAACCCTGCATTACCTGGGAAGCCTGGACACAGTGGTGGAAGAGAGTAGAAGCATGGGGCTAGTAGACAGATGTGAGCAGCCTGTGGTGATCACACATCCTGGTGGGCATCACGTCCCTGTGTCAAAGGAGTGGGTGATGCCGCTGGCTGGTTTCATCAAGCAGCATGCCGAGGTGAAGCTGCAGGCTGGCCTATAGAGCGAGATCAAAATAGAGACAAATACAATAGACTAAGAACATGTATGCATTGTACACATCCTGGCTGCCGGGACCATCTGTCTTTTGCAATCGTCATGCTCTGCCTATTGACCCAACCCGGCGCCGCCATCTATTTAGCCCGGAGCGCCAAAGAGCCAACTTCCTATTTGCTCGCAGGCTGGATCCGAGCCATCATCTCCTCTTTTGTAATGAGGTGATCAATCCGCTCCAAGTGACCGAGCAAGCTCTTCATGTTGTGACTCCACTCGTTCAGAACGTCATCAGCGTCTCTGGGCTTCGCAAAACTGACCACCCGCGCGGGGCGGTCAATCTTGGCGTAGATAGTCTTTGCTGTGACAAGCTCGCTAATGTACTTCTCGGTCTCATCCTCCGTCAGGTTCAAGAGCTGCGTCAAGCGCGTGACCTGGATACGGGTGTAGTATTTCGCGACCACCCGGACGTTGTGCTCAATGACCCGCTTGCGCAGGTCCTCCCACCTTTGCCGCGCCTTGTCTTCCTTGCTAGCTTTAGCGTCGAAGACGTCGGTATTGCAGAGGTGTGGGCCGAATTTCTCGGCTACCTCAGGCCATCGCATCAGCTCATGGACTGTGAACAGCTTGAGGAGCTCCGCTTCCAAGGGAATCTTAGCGTTCCTCGTGTCCTTGTGGATGCGGTGCAAAAGGTCGTGCTGCTCATTGTCGTGGGGCGCGAGGATGACAAAATAGATGATGCGTTGCAAAACCTATTGACGTTAGCATGCCGTAGAAGGACATTCAGAATCAGTAGGCTTACAGGGTGGAGCTTGGCAGGGTCCTCTTCCACAGCCTCGGTGTCAAGGACTTGGCGATAATGCTTGCAGGCTTCCAGGTACTTGTCGTCGTGCTTTGCAAGCTGAACCTGTTGCTCGTAGAAACGCAGCTTCAGATCTGTAGTGTCATCCTCTACCTCCTCGACCACCTCCTCACCACGCGCTTTCTTCTTCTCCAGCTCCTTCTTTTCCTTCTCCAGCTGCTCCTCTGTCTTCTTGGGCTTGCGCGACAGGTAGCGGGTACTGATCTTTCGAGCGAGAATGCCAGCCTGGGCCCAGTCGCCGGCCTCTATGCACAGGGCCACTTGCGCCAGGATGAACTCGGTCTTCTCTCGTCTCGACATCGATCCGAAAGTCTCGACCTGCAGCTCGCACAGTATCTCCTTCGCCTTCTCGATATCGCCCTCCTCTTTCTTGATGTCTGACAAAATCTTGGTCACACGCGCACGCTCCACCTCGACAAAGATCTTGCCCTCCGTAACCGTCCGCAGCGTTTCAATGACTGAGAGCTTGGTTTTGAGATCGGGTGTGTCGTCGAGGAAGCCAACCACGGTCTGGACCATCTTCGTGATGGCCTGCTTCAGCTGGCTGTGTTTCTTCGAGAAGACCAGCGTTTGGTCATTCATTAAACTCCAGTCTCCCGCATCTTTGCATAGTGTGACGATTGCGACGAGGACTCGCGATGTGGAGGCGAGATCAGAGGCCTGCTAATGTCAACATGTGCGAAGGGAGCTAGTGGCCTCATGCTCACTTGACGGGTTTGTTTCTCGAGCGCGGTAAGCTTCTCAACTGCACTTTGGAGGTTTGTCTGCAATCAGTTAGTTATCGGTACTGTCTAAGGGACTGTTTCCCTGCTCGAGGCGCACCTTTGCAAGCTGCTCAGCGTCTGGTAGTTGGACGTCGACTTCCTTGGTGAAGTCCTTCTCGGGCTTGAGGAGCCCCTGCTCAGCCATGATTACGGTTCCGAGGTGAAAATTGAAAGCTGCCTTATCTATAATGTGGCGATGCCAACTTGAGCTTCGTACTGTCGGTGCGTGGCAGGTTGGCGATTTATCGTGGGGTTGTTTGGAAGCTGGAGGTTCGATGAGGTAGGCTAGCAGGCAGTCGACGCAACAGCCGCCTGCCTGCAGCTCCCGGCCGACTTCGATGTGGGTCCCTTGTTTTCTGACGCCAACACTCACAAGCGTGCAAGGCGGCAATGCTCGCCTACCCTAAAGCCTAAACAGACAACTGGCGAGCGCCATGTGTGGGCAAGTTGGGGGTCAATTTAGTTGTAAAAAACAGAATAGCGAGCAGTATAAATTACTTGGGCAGTTGCGGACATTGTGTTGATTACCAAGCTTCATTGTGCCGCGGTACAATCTTGGAGCATGGAAGGGAAATGAGATCACCGACATGTAAACCATCTATCACAACGGAAGAGAACAACGAATAGTTCACGTGGATTCTCACGCGGCCAGAGTGGTCAATAGTGTGACAAACAGAACGCCAGATGCTGTATTTCTCCCAAAAGTGATATAAACAAGTTGCACTATTAGCACTGGTAGCACCATCACCAGAGACGTCCCCATCACTAATGAGCCTGACCAATAGGTCCCTCTTCCCAATGGTCTTCATGCTCCCACGATCTCTGCCTTTCTGTCCTGCGCCCTCCATGTATGTGTTCATTTCCGTTGTCGCTACCCCAGTCTAGAATGTTCCACCTGACACCTTCTCGCCTCAGCGAAGGGGCAGGCGAGACCGGCTCAACGTGTCCAGAACCTGGTTTCATACAGCTGTCCTCCTCCGTGAGGGACTGTACTGTCACACCAGAGCTAACGGAATGCTGCCGATCGGTGTTTTCGTCGGGTGGTACATTGACGACTGTTGTCCGATGCCGTCGCCGCTTCTCACGGTCCAGTCTGCGTCGACGACGCTTACGGAACGCCAGACAGAACGCGAGGCACATAAAGTATATGCCCATGATGACAACGATAGGGATGCCAATGGTGTTATTCCAGCGGAGGCCCTCCTCTTCGCCCTAAAATTGGTCAGTACAGTGATCAAGTGGCTGATCGATGGACAAAAGAACCTTGATTTGCGGTGTCCAAGGCGGCGATACCGCCCAGTGCACGCCGTCGTCGTTGACCTGTGTGACCCAGATTGCGTACAGATCATCCTCTTCTAATCCCTCCGGAAGCCAGGAGCAAGACCGTCTTCTCATAAAGGCTATGCCCGTCAGTCTCAATTTTTCCACACTTCGCCCTCACCACACTTACCTGTCAAGTTCGAGACCAGCTCAAACGAGACAGCCCCTTCCTCAGGGTATGTTATCTTGAACAACCTCAGATCTCCCTCATCTTCGATACTCTCGTTCCATCGCAGAGTGAACGGTGACCCGTTGGCGATGCTCCCGTTCCAGTCGTCGTTGATAAAGCGCAGGCCATGGTCATCCGTCGTGGAGGACGACGTAAGCTCTCCTGGAAGGGCCATGTACCCATCCACATCCTCAAGGCCCATTTCATGAGTACTAGGATCTTATCTCTCACAACTTTCATGAAGTGCCTGGAAAGATTGCGATCGAAAGATGGGGGTCCCCGGATACGGTATGTAGGTTCAAGCAAAAAGTGCGGATGGAGAAGTCTTTATGCCAAGCACCGCAAACTGTGGTCTCTACACTTTGAACATGGTATGGGGCCAGTGATACGAGAAGAGAACAGACACCTGGAGGCTGGTTAGGGGGCCACGAGGTCTCAGTCTGTCAAGGGAGGCTCAGTCGAGTTTAGTCATGCCGGACACACGAGGCGTCACGGAGCGCTGGTAGATCGCAAGCTGCCTCGCGCTGAAAGTTCGACCAGACGCAGCTAGACTCTTCCAGACTGGCGAAAAGTCCCGGGCCCATTTCGCGCTGGCATCGCGATGAGTTCCTGAGGAGAATGCAACGCTCGCAGGGGCCTATATTCCCAGGTCGACGAGGTGGTTGATGAGGTACAGGTGTTGTAATCACTGGATCCAACTTATCTCGATAGGATGAATCATGTATCGGTCACAAACCAGTCTTTTGTTTGTAAAACCACCTCAGTCGTCCATGTAAACACGCGAAAGCTTGGCGAGGTGAAGCCCCCGGAGCTGGCTTTACACCGAGAAACGAGGTGCGCGTCCTTCATGGAGGGAGTCGCTGCAACAAGATTGAGCTGCTGCATAGCAATTCCCGGCGAGCATTCCAGGTGATCACTGTATTTGCAGCTTGAAATTTTAAGTTATGTGAGTGAGACACGGAACACATCGATGAAGAGTCGAAAACCTTCGCCCAGTGGACCGGAGGTTCCTCCAACGTGGGGTGAAAGCTGCAGGGTAATCAGCAGCCACCCGTTTCATGGCGCGCGGGGTGTCGCAACCAGACAAACCCCCCGTGGACGCGTTTGCTCTGATGCCATTCAACATTGTGACGAGGAGACCCATCATATATCGAGACACGGCACGGCAAGGCTTGCTGCTCATGTCCGCAGCGCCGGCGTTGATTACTTCGTCCGCACAATGACTTCTTCTTACGCCGATTGCGTAGCTTGTCTACGGACCTCGCTATCCTACCTCGAATCCTCCGTCGAGACATTAGAGGATGGCGTTTCGGATTTTCCAAGGCTGGGCGGTGTCTTGAAGACAGTGAGGGTAACTATACTCCTTGTCCGCGGGCCTGGGAAGCGTGGAACTGATGCACAATCTTGTCCAGCACTATGAACTTATCCCCCAGTCCACTCTCGCAGCAGCAGAGTCTTCCCTTCGTGATGAGATAGGGCCCCATATCGCCCTTCTCCTGTCTCGTGCCGACGCCCAAATAGAGCGACAGGAACGCCGTATTGAAACGCTCAAAGCACGCGCCGAACTGCAGCAGGGCAGACTTGCTGACGACGGGAGTGCGTCCTATGGCAAGGCCAAGAAGGCGAAAGGACGCATCTTGAGTGGCGAAGACAAACTACGCGCGAAGGCGGTGCGTCAGAGAAAAGAGGCAGCGCGGTACGGCGTTGAGAGGCTGGAGTTGCAGGTACTGCAGAAGGAGAGGGAGCTGAGAAAACGCTTGGATGAGGATGGACGACAATAGTCACGCTGACAGGATGATGGTTAATCTGAGTTTATGATACCCTGATGTGAGATATCTGTTTCTGACTTATTTGACGTCGTGTGCTTCTTGGCATGGTTTTCACGTGGAGCGATTGATCTGCGAGCTAGCCCCTGTCTTAGCACTCGCTTTGATCCGATCCGATATCGAGGTAGGATCACCGATTGGCATGCAAGGCTGGAACGCCGCAATGCTAAGGCCAAGAGCAGTGATCTGCACAAAACCGCAACACCAACCGGCACAGTCCCATGCGGCGGTTGTAGCATCTCCATGCGCAAAGTCATGCTTCGATGCGAAGTGCACTCGGGCGCCGTCCACGCCTGACCGTCTGTTGTCCCTGCTCATCCCAAATATACTCCGTCAAATACAAGCAGGTGCGTAAAGTGTTCCTGGACCCAAAGCTGCATAGAAAACGCACGTCGTCCGTCGCCAATACTTGACTCAAGTCAAGACGTCATGCGCTGCGAATTCGAAAACAAAACGACCATGAATAAAAGAGAAAACCAGCAAGACCGACGAGTCTTTTTTTCCACACACGCATCCTACAACCATTCATCTTCTTGTATTTCGTTGCTCATAACAGGATGAGGTAGTTACTAGGCGCGATACCCGTCTCACCACTCTCTTTGCGTGCTTGCCACCACCGTCCGCTGACGTCTGATACTTCAAGAATCTCGTGTTTTGCAAACGAGATCTCGTTGGCGTCCTCGGGGTTGGCCTCGTAGCTGTAGATGGCCTTGGCGCGATAGGGGTATTCGGTAGGCGGCACAACCTCGGTATCAGCGCCGGGCGAAGCGGAAGGCTTGGGAGGCTGATTCGAGGAGCCGTAGGCGCCCATGCCAGAATTGCGCGCATTGTTGGCTTGCGAGGTGTTTCCAACGGGCGAGGGGTTCTCGAAACCGTTGAGTTGGGCAGAGGTCGTGTACATCTGAGGGGGCTGGACAGAGTTGGATGTCTCGGGGCGGCCGGTACCTCCGTAGGCGTTCATGGTTTGACGGTGCATGGTCGCAGACTCCTTGGTCAGAGCGAAAGAGTCGAGGAAAGCACGAGGAGTCGACGAAGGCGTTGACCCAAAGTAGAAAACCCAGATCATCTGCGCATCATGTTAACGATATGGAATCTTGTTCGCAACGCGAAGACGTACCTGGATCATGCTAAGAAGAACGAAGCCTGCAGCAGAAGCTTGCCTAGCGCCATCGCCGCTGTTGTAGATCAGCGGCTGGATCGCAATGCTGGTCAAGACGACGCCAGCAGCGCAGTATGCTGTGAGAGCGACATGATAGGTGTGAATAGTGTCACTGGACACGACCACAAACACCATGATGTTCAGGAAAAGGCTGTACATCGCGGACCACCATGGGAATTTGTAGTAGTCGTTCTCCCCAGACTCCACTGCAACGGCGATGAAGCCTGCAAAGGCGATAATCCAAGCCAGCATAGAAATAGAGATTGTCGCGAGCGCGAAAGGGTCACCCAGGATATTGCCGAGCTGGATGCCCTTCCTCCGGCTACCGTAGCCTCTGTGGTCCATTTTCTTCAGCGAAGGCGAGCGCAAAGAACCGTAAGGCATAAAGTAATGAGACGCGCGTCACAAATACTGTGAACGGGCACTAGGCGACGGTTCAAGCGCCTCTGTGGCTTTGTGTCCGGCGAGTGCTGTTGTTGCCTCCTGTTGTGAAAGTGTGCGCTCGAGTCGCGGGAACGTGTTGGAATTCAATGTGTTGTTGAGTCGGTACGTCGCGATGCGGTGCGAGGGTTGTACAGGCGCGCAAGATGTGGCAACGCGCGTAGATAGGCCTTTCTCGTGCGATCTGAATGGTCGAAATGAAGACGGGGTCTTGAGGTAATTTGTGCGTGGGTTGAGGCCGTGAGCAAAGTTGATTACAAAGGGAGCGATTGAACTGGACGTCGGTGACGAAGTCGTGGCAGAGGCGCAGGATCGAACGTCGTGATTGAGGGGGCTGGTTGGTTGGTTGGCTGGCTACAATGTCTCGCTCTGTTCGGGTTGCGTTACGGTCAGGCTCAACGACTGTGACTCCTTGGGTGTCTCGTCTGTGTTCTGCGTGCCAGAGCTGAAAACCAGGCGGCAGGGGCGAGTAGAAGGAGGGTGAGCGGCCTGTTTCGGAATCCAGCGGGTGGAAGTGTGTCGCTTTGACCAGCAGCGCGATTGTCGCGATTCGACGTAGATGCGACGCGATAAAAGAGATGTAAAGTAAGTACGGAAAAGAGCGAATGGAACCGTCCTGGGAAACGAGCGTTGGATGAAAGGAGAAGAGGGCGCAGTGGGAGAGAAGAAGGGGGGCTGGCCCGGGTGACAGGAGCACACGCTGCAGGACGCCTTGCGATTGCTAGAGAAGGATTCGGGTTAAGACTGGACTGCACAGCAGCGGGAGAGCTTAACTAGAAGGAGAGGAAGAAGTCAAGTGCACTGATACCCTGATCAGCAGATCTTTGGATGAACATGAAAACACGAGCTCCAGCCGTCTTACTGTTAAACTACACGTAGTTCACGTGCAGGTCCTCGAGTCTGTTCAGTTTGCTTCAGCTCAAAGCCAGGCCCCAGTTATGGGCGTTCTTTGGGTTGGAAATGAAAGGCTGCTGGCGCGGCGTGTGCTGGCCTGGGCTCACCGTCCGCCGCACGGTACGCAGTACACCATCAGATCGGAGCTTACCACTGCGAATGTTGTCCGGTCGAATCAATTTGCAGTGCTGCCTGGACATCGCCTGACGAACCAAGGGCTCGCAGTTGTGCCTCCTACATGTACAGTGATCTGGACTGTAGGGACAGGACGACTGATGGCTACAACGCACCGTCACTCCCTCTCCTCATCACAGCCTTAAGAACATGAGACGACATCCTATCTACCTAAGCTACACAGGAGCCTCAGAAGTCGAAACTTGTGGCCCGGCTTGACTCTCGGCCGCTGCAGGGGGTTAACGCGCGGCTGTCGACAGTCGTTTCACAATTCTTCAGTCTTTCTCGCTTGTTCTCGCACCGGCATATCTAGACCAATCGGCGGGCGGATACGGTATCCAGTGGAACCCTCGCCTGCTCATTCAAAAAGTCCCACGCTTTTACACGCATCAAGTGGTGGAGATGTCGTGAAGCCTGAGATCGTCGACGATCAAGAAGCCCACAACATCTGCGGAAATTTATAGGTTAACGGACAGATCGTCGGGTTCTCGCTATTTTGACTTTCGGAAGCGTCGCATGCTGTTCAATAGACGACGCGTTGCCGACGCGGATGAGTTCCTTGCCCCTGGAACACATCTACCAACGCCAGTATGTTCGCACTGTGGCGCACAACCCCTGACGGATCTCTATTACACTCCGTATCCATCCGTGCTCATCACTCTCACGGCGGAAGATCACTGGGCCATCAGGTGTAAAAGGCTGCTATTGACATTCCATTAAAAGGAGGAGAATATTCCCAAAAGCCGATAGCGCCTGCCAAACGCAAAAAAGAAAAGAGGATATGTGCTGTGGTGGGTGTCTAGTATGTCTCGCCCAGGTCCTCTAATTTCTGACCTTTCGATATGCTCGGTCGTCCGATCGCGGCCCCTTGGCTCGTCCTGCGGCTTCCACTCTGCCGCCGAGCACCCGGCACTGGTATCGAGCTCGTAGGTCCAGCTATGCTGCTTGTGCTCGCTCTTGGGTCGAATTTTGAGTACATGCCCCTTCGGCTGGGCGTTCTGAACTCGCCGTCTTCATCCTCCTCTTCTTCGTCCATGCGGCTTACGCTGCCCGAGTGCCCATGATACGCCCCGCTCATAGACGAGCGCGGTCGTCCAAGGGGCGTGCGTGAGCCACCTAGCGACGACCTTGATAACGGTCGTGGCGGTGCCATTTCGGTTCTCGACGCTGGCCTAGCAGACGACATACTAGCACGTGAACTAGGTCTGCTGATATCGGACTCCGGACCCCTGTTTGGTAGAGGGCCATAGGATAGCCTACTGACCCTGGATTCGCTGAGCCGGGGAACGTGGCTCTTTGAATGTTGCGAGAGATGTGGGTTTGTGGGTGTAGTCTCGTCACCTGCCACGGACGATGCCGAGGACCCAATGGTCCGCTTCCTCGAACGGATAGTAACCGTTGAAGGAACACTGGGCCCACCGCTGACGGACGAGCGAGGCGAGGCGCGAGGAGGTGTGTAAGTAGGCGCTGGAAGCTTCGAGCGAGCATTTTGCACACGTGCTTCGAGGCGCTGCATCTGGGCAGTGAGACTTCGGATGTGGTTGAGAGAGTTGGAGTTCGGGATCTTGTGGGTTGTGCTGGCGCGAGCAGTGACAGACCGGTGAGCAGGCGTACGCAACGGCGGGTTTCCTGTAGATGGGCGGCTGCTGATCGTACGGCTTCCTGGAATCTTCGCTGACTTGGTTTTTGTGGTCTGTTCGACCGAGGGGATGCGTGTCCTGCGCAGAGCGCTGGCCGGAGTTTTGGCCGAGTCGCTCTCGCCTCTCTTGGGCAGCGGCGCAGAAGCGTCAGACATGGGAGGCGACGGTGGATCGTGCTCGGAGAGGTCGTCGGCCAGCGACATGGACTTGCTGTCGGGCGGCGTCGTGACGAGTGGGGAGCTGGCAGTTGAATGGGGTGACGATGGCTCGACGCTGCGATCAAAGGTGGGTGACTCGGGCACCGAAATGTCGGTCGAAATAGTCGAAAGATGGCGCGCCTCTTGCTTCTTGATCTTGTCCTGAAGCAGCTCTGCCTCAATTTTGAGGTCCGAGTACTCCTCGCGCAAGCGCTGGGCTTCGACACGCATCTTCTCGCGCTCCTGCTCGCCTATCTTAATCTCGTCCTCCATCATGACAGCCCTCTCGATCGCTTGGTTGTATTTGGACTCAATATCCTCCAAGGATGAAGTGGTGTTGCGTGCTTGGCGCTCGTAGTCGTCATTCGCGACTTCAATATCGCGCAGCTTCAGTTGCAAGCTGCGGTTCGTGTCTCGTAACGTCGTGATCTCCTTCTCGAGAGAGGCCTGTGCTGAAGCCGCCTCGGTCTTTGATTCTTTGTATTTGCGTTTCCACTCTTCGACTTCGTAACCCAAAGTTTCGGCCTTCTCCTGCAGAATCCTTTCTTGCTTCTCTGCCCTCTCGATATCCTTCTCAAGCTCCGCTTCTAGCTCCTTACTCGACTCTCGGAATTCGGCGAGATCGGCTTCGAGCTGTTCGTATTGAGACTTGTACCAGGAAAGTGCGTCCGAAGAGGTCGCGCCCTCGCCAGGTGGCGATGAAGGCGGCTCAGCCATGTTGTTCGGTAGTAGAGAATGTAGATTGGGTCGTACGGCCTGGGTGTCTCGAAGTGCGCAGGGGGGAGCCTCAATAGTAGAATCGTAATCGTTTTGAATTATTGAATTGAATAGTCGGTAGGGTGGAAAGGAAATGGCGGTGGTGATAACGTATTGGGGGTCTGAAACAACAAAAGGACTTTGTAAATAAGGAGTGCCGACCAGTGAGGTCGTTGGGTATCGTGAAGCAAGAAGTAAAAAAGAAGAGTGATAAAAAGGACGAGCAATCGTTTGTCTAACGACTTGAGCTGTCAGTAGCAACGCATGAAGTGGAGTGCGCATCATCTTGCTGGCGCCCAACACAAGGGGAATCACTCACTGGTTGCTCGGCCCCTCGCTCAGTGCTAAGGAGAAGAATGCGCCCAAATCAATTTGGCAACTGCGACCTCTCAAATGAGAAAGGGCAAGAGCCAAACTTGCTGATCTGCTTGACCTAGGGGTTAGTAGTCGTCTTCGCGAAGCCGCGGAGCCAAGGGGCGTCTTGAGCTCTGCTGCGCTACGTCGAGAGCCGTTGCATTGATGAGGATGGAGAGATGTTTTGGCTCGTGACGGAGTCCATGTTGATGCAGACGCCCTCCGCCTGAGCGCTACTGCCGTAAAGGAAGCAACGACCATTCCTGTTCTGGACTAGCGCAGTCTCTTCCTAAGCAACGACCCCTACGCCTCTGAACAGCTGGTCACGTGCGCCCCCAACATGTATGATATGTACAGTTCGATACGGAGCATCTTAGCAAGCTGCGGAAAATTGGCTGTGGTCCATGAGAGACCATAACGTTACTCGCTCATCTGTATTCATCATCGCTCTAATTACAAAGCTCTCTCTCGCGCTAGGCAAGTCTGTCTGACCTTATGCCGCCCTCCTTCAATCCTTCGTCGTTAGTGGGGGTATTCGTCGCTCGTCATTATGAATCGTCAAAATCAAGCCACGGCGGCTCCAGGCCTCAAGACCTCGTTCTCTTCGGACACTGCCTGTCCGGGCACACCATCGTAGTTTTGGAGCTGCTCTCCCACCAGGTATGCATCGTCACGCACCTGAGCCCTCAGACTGTCCAATCTTCCGCCCATCTGTAGAAGCCACCTCAAGGTCACGACCATAAGTGCCGTTAAAGGATAAGATGCGCGGTAACGCATCATCTTCTGCACAGCAACTTGGTTAGGATCTTGACTGTTCAGTATTTTGAAGCCACCGCAACTCTCGAACAGGCCAACGAGAGCACCGGGAACAAAGATTGCCCAATATGCCACAATGAGGCTCGGAATGACAAAGGCTTTAGTCAAAATTCTGATGTTGGGTTCGAACCACCCGCGTCGAAGGACAGAACGTAGAGCTCGGGCAAACCGAGTATTTCGGGCGAGCGAGTTGGTCATCTTGACCGCAAGACGCATATACAGCAAGCCAAGGGTCCACGCCTCAACAATGCGGATGTTGTGTTGGCTCGAATCCTTCCCAACACGCAGAGCAGTGCTTCTTGGGGGGTTAAGGAATGTATGAAGAGGTATGTTGATGTACAACTCGATCAAGGCAGCCATGACAAGCGGGCATACGACCAGTATATATGTGTACGTGTAGAGAAGCCCTGCAAGCCGCGTGAAAAACCGCACAAGATCAGCAGGCCTTTTGTAGAGTGCAGTTAAACTGTTGTCCGTGGCACATTGTTGAACAGAATGCATGAGGCTTTTGGCGTGGAACAAGCCGTATGCAATCAAGCCCATGACATGGATACCGATACAGAAGGCATATATGTCGTTTGTGCGCACGAATGAGGGCAGGACCATTTTGAACATCATGCGTCCCAGTACCAGCGGAATGATGGTCAAAGACACGCCGGTAACGGCAGCAAATGTCCAAATGAACATGATGAACAAGAAGATCCGCGTTCTGAACCATGGTGGGATATACACCGTCTTGAAGTCTGCGGTGCCATGGAGGCCCTCCACGCGTCGGCCACCCTCAAGTCTACCCCGATCATCGACAGGCAGGAATACTTGTGTTGGTTTCATGATTTTGACCCGATCAGATGCAGGCGCTTTGACGAATCTGCCGTCAGGCACTAGCTGACCTGATCTGACAAGAATGCCTTTGGCGTCTCGCAACATGTGAGTTTCGCGCGCGTTGAGCTTGGGAGGGTTCGTGTCCACGCCATCCAAAACCCGGCTGAGGGGATTGGGAATGACCTGAAGCTGACTCGAGTCCAAGCCCACAAACATTTTCCTCAATACAGACGCATTCCTATGCTTCGAGTCTGCAGTTATGTACAGGACGCCTTCCTCGTCGATCCGGCGCTCCCCGAATATGAAGTTGGTAAGACGCAGTATACGGGCACTTTTGCGGAAGCACCACTTGTACATGAGCTGGAGGCCGTTGCCTGGCTTCAAGAGTCGGAAGGCGAGGGGCATGAAAAAGTTGTAGAAAAGTAGGTCAACCGGAAACTCGAGAACTGGCTCATTCGATGAGTAGTGAATTGGCAGGATGCCAGGCGCAGCCGCAGCCAAGCCCCATACCACGCCACCCAAGCACACAATGACCAGGCCACCGTAAACAAGGGCCGAAAACATGATCTTGCGAAGTTGGTTGATGAGGTTCCTTTCGAGTACATCGCGCACAGGATGGAACTCGGGATCGTCAGGATCTCTAATAAAGTCTACACCGGTAAGCTCATGTTCGCATCATAAGTGGAAGAAATGGTCACTTACACAAGACGCCGGGTCGCATGATCTTGCGGCACATGGAGACAAACAAGGCAAAATGGAACATATAGCCCGTGCCCACGAACCAATGTATGAAAAGCGATGTCCACGGGCTTTGGTATGTAAACAGCCAACGGGAGGCGATCGAAGTATCCTTGAATAGTGGCAACAGTGCGCAGTCGAGCAGCATACCACAGTACAGAGGAAATACAAGCATCTCGATGCTGATGATAGTGATGACCTTCATAATGCCACTAGCCTGGTTGATCACGTCGATTATGGTGGCCTCAATGTCACCCATCGCGGTGGTGCGGGCCCTGCGAGTGCTGAACTTATGGTACAAAGCGGCCACGCCGAAGAGCGTCAAGTAGCCAGCCAAGATAGCCCAGGTGATGTCCGCAGTTGACCATGTAGCATGTCTGAGGTCCAACAGCTTTATCTCGTAGTGGGGAATGGCGCCAATGTTAGCAACATGCTCTTTCCAGTTGGATAAGTAAGCATAAGAGTTCGTGGCGGAGAATTGGAGCCGAGAAGCACGAAGACCTGCTAGGAGCCGCCTCAGTGGTGTCGGGTCGTTGAAGATTGCGTAGATGATGTCGACAAAGCAGGCGGTGAAGGAAACGACAAGTTTTCGAATGCTGATGAGTGCTTCACGGCTGATGGCCGACCAGTATCGCATGCCATGGTCTGTTGCTGAGAGGTCGAAAAAAGCTTCTTGGCTGAAATCCCAGATTCTGGACGCAGCATTGACGAAGAACGTGTAGGAGATTTTACGCCCTCCGACAACATTGCCTGCGACTGAATCTCCCAGTATGCGAGTCATGGTGAACATGTCCACGAGATTGAAGACAACCCATGACACAAAGCCCCCAGCAAGGAAGCAAAAGTCCTGGAGAACGATGGACACGCCATAAAATATGCGAACTATGCGCACAGGCCTTGCAAGCATCCAAATGGTTATCCTTCCGAGATTGAACGGGACGAAGACAAACCCAAAGAGAGCTGCTTGCACGAGAATTGCGCAGAATATGACATTCTGGAAAAGATTCGTGATGGGACCTCGCATGCCGAGAAGTTCCATCACGCCTTCAAAGTCTTCCATGTCCTCAATAGCTTCAGGATCGAGGCCATCATCTGCATCTGCATCGGCAGCGCGATCTGCAGCGCGGAAATCGAGATGCGGCCCATGATCTGGCTCGTCAAAATTGTGGCCATTGTCGCCTACTGCAGCGCCTGCTTCGTCTACTAGCGGCATATCCCTCCACTGCGCATGATCGGGATCATCTTCAAGATCGACGACAGCATCAACTGCTGCCTGATCAGAGTTGTCAATATCCGCCCACATGAAATCGGCGACCCTGTCCTTAACCGGTCGGTTTGCAGCAGGCGGAGGTTGCGGAGTGTCTGGCTCAGTTGCATGAGAAGATGATGGGGTGGGTGGTTCGCGCCTGAGGTCAATGCTATTGCGAGTGGCGCCTTGCCAAAGCGGGGATTCATGCGCCTCTTCATCACTTCCCGTTTCTTCGTGTGAGCCAACTTCATTGACGTTTGGCTGTGCGCCGTAAGCTCCATCTGACGTATCGGCGCGAGCGATGTGCTGTCTTCCCGAGTCTTGGCTAGCCGAAGAGCCTGCATCAAAAGACCACGTGTTGTTGGCAAGGGGATTGATGTTTGCTTGTACTTGCGGTCCGTCAGAGACTGATCTTGGACGCGAGGGCCCTGCATCAATGTTGGTGTCGTTGGTACGAGGCATATCATCAAGACTCGCCATCCATGGCCGGCCGTGTGTGTACTCCAAGATATCCAAGTCCGCATTTGACTCGCTCTGAGAGCAGTCAGGGGTCGCAACTGCACCACTCGAGCGACTGTCACTAGATTGGTTGTTCGAGCCTGTGTCCTCGGCCCACTGAGGCTCTTCAAAATCAGCGCCGTCGGCGAAGACATTGACAGCACGATGGGCCCCATGCCCTTCAGCTGCACCCATGTGACCTTGTGCTGTGTCATCTTCGTTTGGCGGTGGATCGTAGAGGCCTGGATCCACATCATCGGGCGTGTCGCTCTCGTTCCCGTCCTGCAGAGGAAGTTGTGCAGGCTCAACAGCAACTCGGGGCTGTGCAGGCTGTTCAGCATCCAAAAGGCCAGCCCGGATGTTCAAGAGTTCCGGTTGTTGTTGGACAACGTAATCGCGTACGAGAATGACGAGAATGAAACTGACCATGGCCACAATCGTGAGAATTTGGCCTTCGAGTATGTTGATAAGGCACTGGTTCAACTGAGGGCTGCGGGTGAGGCTTCGGAGGAACCTGACGTCGCTGAGAAAGCTTTCAGCAATGTCACTGTGCGCACGTACAGGACGTGGCACAGATGGGTTCAGCACATGCGCTGATGTCAGTTCAGCAGGAAGTGGCAATCCCGTAATTTTGCACCAACATCGCAACAAGAGCCCCGACAGCGTCTGACTTCCTCCCCAACCCATCATTTTGGCGATGTCTCCGGCTGGGGTGGTCGTTGGGGCGTAGAACGGGCTAGCAGGACACATATCGAGACCCATCAAAGTGGACGAGAGGTGAACCACGCCGGCAGAGGAGTCGGTCCCGAAAGACGAATCCGGGAACGAGCCTGTCCAGTTCTCTTCGCTAAGCCAAAACATAGTTGCCCAACCTCGCCGCATGACATACGGTAGAGCAATGAGCCAAAAGCTGCATGCAATGAAACCTCTGAGCCAATTGAGAGAATTCTCCAGGACGTAGCGTGAGACCCGATCTACAAAGACGAGAATCGGCACATGGTCTGGCATTTTCGGATCATAGTATTTGGTAAACCGGTAAGGCGTTTTGCACAGCTCGCAATACTTCTTCTGCGAATGGGCTAGCCAGTCCATCAGGCAGTTTTGGTGTACATGCTGGATGCTGCCACTGCATCGGCATGGGTGGTATAGCGGATCATGTTCGTCACCTTCGCCTCGGCAGATTCGACATATCCCTAGCATGGTCTGGGGCTCGCGCTGCGCCCTCTCGGGCGTGCTGTTTGTGTGATGTGAGGTCCATGCAGAGGACTTGTCCTCGCGAACATCTCTGCCTAAGAAGTCGTCCATGGCTGGCGTGCTTGTTTGCTTGCTGTGGCTACAGCTCGGTCGTGTTCGCACCGCAGGAGTAGCGGGCCTGCCCGCGAGGGGCGTCACTGACGAATGTTGCTCGAGAACGATGCTGCGAGCGTGGCGCGCGAGAAAATCCCGTTGGTATGCGGCCGTCTCCGCTCGAAGGCACAGAAGCTTTCAGCGCCCAAGTTAGATGCCGCGACACGTTGAGCGGATCGACTCGGGCGGCGTCGAGTTTCGGCTGCTGTCTGTGTTTGGATCGACGGGACGACTGGGGGGCACCCTGCACAGTCTCTTAAGGCGAGTTTATCGTCGAAACTTGTTGCAAAAGTACTTTGCTATGTATAAGGCTAGCAATGTAGGGATTCGGTTTCAAATAGAGAAAGTAAAGTGATGGTGGAGGAGAAGTTGTCCGCGTTGGCGGTCTTGATACTATTTGCTCTAGGACGTAGCTGCGTAAGTCCGCCTCTGGTAGTTCACTGCCGGGTACTGGAGTCACCTGGGGGTTGATTCGCACAGGACGCTAGGCCTTTTGGGCTTAAGGCAGGAGCCAACCTCCTGGGGCTTCAAGTGCTTGGGGAACAGCAGTCATGTGTCCAGAGTCCCAAAGGTATTTATTAGCTTCCAAGGATCGAACATGGATATCGAATCGATGCACCGCAATCTTGCTACGACTGGTCTACCGATCAGTTCAGAGCTTCGTGGGCGACACTTCTCTTCACCGCGGTGGTCTCAGCTTGAGCGCTAGATTAGCACCCTGGGCTCCTGGAATTCAAGGTAGATACGCACCACCACAATGCCCTCCACCAAGAGTCGAGCAGCATTATCTCACGTGCTTTTTGGCATGGCCAGCTTCCGCGAATCATCGCAGAACACTTTGAACTCCATAGTCTCCTAGACGATATATCGCAAACCCTCCGCCATTTCAAAGCCTCTCAGCCTGGTGTTTAACATGATACCGGACCCATGTTTGAATTGGGCGCTGATACAGGGTCTGTCCGCGGGTAAAGGTTTTGCGGAGTCGCAGCGGCCGCACGTGCAGATTCTTGGTCCCTCTTACCACAAGACAAATAAATAATAAGGGAATACCTGGTACAAGTGTGTGGTTATCGGGAGGGCGCCACTCCGGATGCTTCTCTATAGGGTATGTGTGACCTCTTAGCAAGAGAACAGAGCCATGGGACGGCGGCTAACAGCGAAAACCAGCAGCTTTCATCCTAGAGTTGTTGATAGCATCGTAAGCTGGCGTAGTTCCCTTCTAGCGGTATCAGAAGCCTTATGAAAACATCCGCCAACTACAACCCACGAATGGCCTAGCGCATGATGCTTGGCCCAGGCTTTGCTGTTGCGCAGTTCTGCATATCTATCTGATCGAGGAACGGATTTCTTCGAGAACGGTCGGACAGTGCTTTCTTCGAAGCGACGTGTGTCTACTCTGCATGATCCCCGAGAAAGATTATTATACGTAATATTGGAGGCTGGAGCGGACTTCTAAGTAACTGTCTTAGGTGTTGGGAAGCAGCCTTGTGGTGGCTTGTCTCACATCTACCAATCAAGACCTGCAGACCAGGCTTCAGAGCGTCACAGCACTGGCACGAAAGTGCTGCACTGCTGCTGAAAGCCCGAAACTGGCTTCTAATTATGACGTTTTGGCGCCATGATGACATTGTGGAGGCAGCAGGAGCGACAATCACTTGCACCTGCTGCGATAACACAAACCTGAATCGGGACTCAGCACAGGCAATTACTACCGTCCAAGATCCATCAAGATTGACCGATTTTCTCTCCATCGACCTACATCCTTTGATAATTTTCTTCCATCGCCTCCGTCTCTTAACTTCCAAACCAAGGTTCTCGCATCGACGCCGTCCTTTCTTCCATGCTTCGCACACGAGGCCGGAGGCACTCGACGAACCCCTGCTCCACGCTAGCTGTCGCGGCTTTGCAACACTCAGCGGCACAATTCGAGGTCCGAAGCTTGTGAACACGACCCTGTCCGCGTCTGAGATTGCCAGCGTCGCAGACCCTTCCCAACCCTCACCACTACTTTGCAGATTCATCCTTTGGACGTGATCGAGCCTGGTCGAATTTCGAAGCTCCGAGACGATTCCCACAATGGCCGCGAGCGAGCCAAACGGGCCGCTACAGACGAGCAACGGCCACACTAATGGTTACACGAATGGCCATGCCAAAGGCGTGAATGCAAAAGCTGCAGGACCAACAAAGAGAGTCAAGACGACCAAGAGGAAAAACGGATTCACAAAATGGATCGTGGGCGCGGCGTCCCGGTAAATCCATTGCAAATAAATTCTCGGAAACGTCGCTGACTATCACACAGGCTGCTTATCTGGTATACGATCGCCACCGTCCTGTTCCGCTGCCCTTCAACGCACGAAGCCTGCGACGAGTCTTCCCCAGCGGTTTGCGACTACTACTTTAGGGCCAAGACCGCCATCGCACCTCACGTCCAGCCTCACTACGAGCAATACGCAGCCCCGTATGTCGAGGTTGCTCAGCCTTACTACGACGCGGTCAATGGCAAACTGCTGAGTCCCGTTCGATCGTACGCTGTCCAATATGGGGGCCCCTGGGCTACGAAGGCTCGCGATCAGAGCTATGCCCAATGGGAGAAGTATGGCCAGCCTCAGCTGGCACGAACCAACGCTGTTGTACAAGAAAACTACGACAAGACCCTGGCGCCCCATGTACGCAGTTTCAACCAACAGCTGGGTCCGTACTTGGAGATTGCTCGCACAAATGTATGGCAGGCGTACTACGAGTACATTGTTCCTAGCTATCGATTTGCCCAGCCCTACGCGGTGCAAGCATATGATACTACGTCTGACTTCACAAAAACCACTGCCCTACCTGCAGCGTGGTGGACCTGGAACAAGTCGCGCGCCTTTCTCGACAGTGCTGTTTGGCCCCATATCCGCCTAATCTATCTCCAGAACGTCGAGCCTCAACTTATCCGCATCGGCGAGCGTCTTGGCCGGTATAAGACCAAGGTTAAGGCCAAGTCGACGCCGAAGTTGCAAGAAGCGTACGTACTATGAACGTCTGTATGGTCAAGCTTACTGACGTCTTCCAAAGTGAAAATATTTTGACGGAATCGTCCTTCAGCAAGCCGACTCAGGCCAGCGTATCTTCGTCATCCAGCGTCGCCGAGGCAACTCACTCTGCTGTGGCTGACGAGGCCGAATTCATTTCCAACCCTGTCGAAGCCCCCCCAGCTACCGGGAACGAATCAGACAAGCGCAAGAAGGTGCGAGAAATGGTGGCTGAGGACCTCGAGCTTTGGCAGACCAAGTTCGCCGAGCAAGCTGATGAGGGCGCCAACGATATGGAGGACCGCATCGACGACATCGCGAAGCGTATGGTTGACGAGCATGCTCAAGTCAAGGGCAAAGAGCTCATGGACGTACTCGAAAACACGATTCGCACACAAACAGACAAGCTCAAGGAGACGATCTCAAGCATCGTGTCAAGCGCGTCCGACACCCTAGAAGACGCCGAGGGCCAGGCTGTTCAAGCGGTTCGGGCTGCTGGCGTCACAATTAAGGAGCAGGCTAAAGCTGTCCGCGACTGGCGTCAGTCCTACGATGCTGAACTTCACGATACCGTCGTGAGAGCAGCAGACGTTCACTTTCAGATCTTGGACGAAACTAGGAACCTTGCCCTGCAGAAGATCGGCATGAAGTGGGCCTGGGCAGATGGTGTGACCTACAAGGACTGGGAGAAGTATCACGAGCTGAAGAGCACATTGCGTGAGTGGACTGAACAGTTGAAGCAACTGATCGTCAGCCACCCCAGTCTCTTGACAGCTCAGGAGGCTTCCGCTCAAATCGAGGACGAGTCGATGGAAATGGCCGCAGCTGCCGCCAAGGAGCTCGGGAGGCTCAAGGAAGTGGCCCACTACAAGATCGTCGCCAAGGACGCCACTGATAACTACGAGACCGAAGCCATGCGACTGGCTGCAGATGCCGCCGAGCAGGCATCTCTCGCGGCGGCAGCAGCATCTCAGAAGGCGGCCGAAGCCAAGGCGGCGATGTCCAGCAAAGCCGCTGAGGCTGAGGCGTTGGCTTCCGAAGGGGTCGCAAACGCCAAGTCGAGCTTTGCCGACAAGTTTGACGATGCATCCTCTGCTGTCTCCGACAATATGGCCGCCGCCTCCTCTGCTGCATCTAGTGTGGCCGATGATGTTACTTCTTCCGTTGCCGGAACCGTCAGTGCCGCTAGTGCCAAAGTCGATGACCAGAGCACGGCTGCCTCCCAGAGCGTCTCGAGCATTCTTGTTGAGGCAGAAAAAGCCACCGACGAGGCTCGGGATGAATTGTCCGAGACCTCGGCAACTGCTTCCAGCAAGGTCGCAGAGGCTCTGAGCGTAGCTTCCGAGTCCGCGTCCAATGCTGGAGACAGCTTCAGCGGTGCTGCCGACGATGTCAGCAGCGCAGCTGAAGACACTGCCTCTATCGTATCCGAGTCGATGTCGAGCTTCACGGACGATGCCGCTTCTTCGGTGTCTAGCTTCGCCGAGAGCGAAGACAAGCCCGAAAGTTCTTTCATGTCGGAGGCGCCCGAAGCCTTTGTCGGTGACGCTGAATCTATTGTGGACCATGCTGGCAGTGTTGTGCCAGACTTTGAAATTGAAGAAGACCCGTCCACGGAAAAGGATGATACGCCCATTGCGGACCATACAGCGTCAGTCAAGCCTGCGTTCCTGGGTGCCGCCGCTCAAGCCGTTTCGGACCGCAAGCCCATCCTCGACGACTACGATGAATCGGATGCTAACGACATTGTGTCACGCGGGAGAGCTTCGGCCGAGGCTGCGTACAATGATGCCGTGGCTGCTGCCAAGGAACAGTACGCGAGTGCTGCCTCGGTCGTGTCGGCGCAAATCTACGGCACCCCCAAGCCTGTTCACGAGGAGCTCCTCTCCTCCTTGTCTGCTGGCTATGACGGAGCCGTAGCAGCAGCTTCTTCTCGATGGAACGATGTCATCTCGGGAGTAAAGCCTACCACCACGGCTCCTCCCGCACCGACAGCCTACGTCGACTGGTCTAAGGTGGAGTCCATTGCCTCGCAACGCCTTCAGGAGGGGCGTCTATGGGCTGAGCTACAGTACCAGAGTGCAGTCATCGCGCTCGGTCTGTCTAAGCCTACCCCGTCCTCGGTGCCCGACAAGTATCTGGACGAGGCCAAGAAGAACTACTATGCCGGGTTGGGAATGGCCCAGGAACGCTACTCGAACTTCATTTCGGCTGCTTCTTCGGCCATGTCCTCGCTGACGGCGACGCCAACCCCCACGGACTTTGCTGGTACGGCTTCCTCCATTGCCTCGGTCGCCCGCGAGTCCGCTTCCTCTGCCCTCAATGCGGCGGAGCAGGCTGCTGAGTCCGTGTACTCGGATGCGACGGAAAATGTGGCCTCAGCTATCCAGGCAGTTGATCAGGGGATCTATTCGGCCATTGATGCGGCTACCGAGCAGATGTACCTGACCGGGGCTGCCCTTGCCGACACGTGGGACAATGTTGTTGGACAACTCAACGGACAGATCTACGGCGAGCAGAAGCAACTGGGCTGGTACGACAGCCTTTTCAATGACGCCAGCTCTGCTGCTTCGGCTGCCACTGCAGCTGTCGCTGATCAGGCCACGGCGGCGACCGACGCTGCTGGTGATAATGCTGTTGCCGCACAAAGCGAGGCTGCCAAGCAGTACTCTGCTGTCAACAATCTCGTGTCAGAGCTGGTCAGTGGCAAGGAGCCTTCGTTCACCGAGAGCGTGCTCTCCCGTCTGAATGCCGTCTACGCCACGGCGGCGTCCAACATTGGTAGCTATGCCAGCGAAGCAAGCGAGGCCGCTTCCTCGGTTGGTGGCAAGGTGAACAGCGCCGTCAACCAAGCCGCCGAGGCCGTCAAGGAGACTGTTCAGAACGCCAGGGACGAGCTGTGAGCACGCAGACAATGAGAAGCGAAGCGCGCGACATTCCATCTTTTGAACGATACCCCCCAAACCCAGATCATGTTTGCACAAGTGGTGGATGAATTTTACGAAGTGATGCACATTTCTTTTTTTATCGAAGCACGGCAGATTGGTTCCATGACAGCAGCGACAAGAGCGGCGCGATATACATAGCGAAAGTGGTCAGTGCTCTCTCTTACGTGGTGGTGGTAAGTAACAAAGGTGCCGGAGGAAGGAAAGGTGCGTGTTTATGGTCGCGAGCGTGTGCTACGGCAAGCTGTTTCGATTTCTCGAGTCCTTGCAATGAAATGTTCTTGATGCTCTACTGCTTTTTCCACCGCGATGGTTTTCCAAGGGCTCTACTGCAGCCAGCCTGTGTGCTGTCTGTCCGTGATCATCACCATGAGGAACTCGTCAAGTAATCCGGCGCCGCCTTGCGAGCTCACAGGGAATACATGTGACGGGGCGGAGGATCGACATGCATGGTATGGTGCGCACATGTTGCCACCAATATTCGGCACTTTGACAGGGCCAGCGAGTTCCTAGCCTCGTTCTCACCTCGCCCCCAGTCGGGTGCCTAATCCATCCATCGGCCATCGGCGATACCGGCCACAGTCACGCACGTTTCCTACATTCGAGCCTGGGACACTGCAGACGAGGAGCGAGGGGTTCAGCAGTTGTTTATCCCGCATCGCGACGATGATCCCTACCGCAAGACCAAGTTTATGGGAACCTCTAAGGCCGACAGGGTCGCTTGCTGAACGTAGTTGGGGATTTCCATCGGCGCCATCCATCTCCACATGAGGTCGGCCCCGTACAGAGGAGTACAGCTTTACGGCGGATACAAGTGGGATCGATCCCACGGGACCCTAATAAGATAAAAAGGCTCCTCGCACTCACATGCGATTGATTTGCCCCGGGCTGCTGTTGTTTCACAGATTCCTCGGTCAAATACAGAGAAACAATCTGGGCGATTGTGTCCCCATTCTCTCTCAACAGCATCCAGGACGCATGGGAGTCGCTCTCGAGTGCTCTCGCCTCCTTGCGCCTCTTTGCGAAAACACAACGCCATACCAGCTATCGAGCAGCCGCTCATACCCCAACAAGTGATCAACGAAGCCTAAGAAACCACCATCATGGCGACGCCGCTCCACGTCCAGACGACGCCCACGTACGGCTCGGACAGCGAGAAGGCTCCTGGCACTGCGGATCTGCCCCAGCGCCTCTCCCTCTCTGGCTCTGGCGACGGCCTCCCGAACGTCTCCAAGCGTGATGGCACACACCGTATGCTCAAGGCGCGGCATATCCAGCTCATTGGCATTGGCGGCACCATTGGAACCGCACTATTTGTGCGTCACATCATCCATTCCCAGGCCAGGCCTCACACTCCTGCGCTGCTCAAAGAGCACCCCCACCCCTGAGACCTCATCGTACAGTACGCTCATGGCCGTCTTTGTGTACACAGGTTCAAATCGGCCAAGGTCTCCTCAACGGCGGGCCGGGCTCGCTGCTGATCGCTTTCTGTAAGTCTCGGTGGGCGGGTGGGACGACCACCCTGGTGTAGTCTATGTAGCCCTCCTTACTGACCTTACTGACCGGACCCCCAGCCTTCTGGTGCTCCTTTGTGCTCGCCGTGACCATGTGCATGGCTGAAATGGTGACGTACCTGCCCATCTCCTCGCCCTTTATCCGCTTCGCCGGCCGCTACGTCGACGAGGCGTTCGGCTTCGCCGCGGGCTGGAACTTTTTCATCTTCGAGGCCGCCCTCGTGCCCTTTGAGATTGTGGCCTGCAACCTCATCCTGCAGTACTGGACCGACGCCATCCCCGTGGCCGCCGTCATCGTCCTCGTCTCCGTCCTCTACCTGCTCATCAACGTGCTGGCCGTCAAGTACTACGGCGAGACCGAGTTTTGGGCCGCCATTGGCAAGGTCCTGCTCATCATCGCCCTCATCCTCTTCACCTTTGTCGTCATGCTGGGCGGCAATCCAAAGGGCGACCGCTTCGGATTCCGCTACTGGTATTCGCCCGGTGCCTTTGCGGAACTCTACTACACGGGCGCCCTCGGAAAGTGGCTGGGTTTCCTGCAGTGTCTCATCCAAGCCTCCTTCACCATTGCCGGGCCCGACTACGTCTCCATGGCCGCTGGTGAAGCGGAGAACCCCCGCCAGGTCCTCCCGCGCGCCTACAACGCCGTCTTTTACCGCCTCACCATCTTCTTCATCCTCGGTGCGCTCTGCGTCGGCATCCTCGTGCCGCACGACTCGGAGGAACTCGAGGGCGCGCTGGGCGAGGGCAAGCCGGGCGCCGCCGCCTCGCCCTACGTCGTGGCCATGCGTCGCCTGGGCATCGGCGTTTTCCCCCACATTGTCAACGCCCTCATCCTGACATCGGCCTTTTCGGCCGGCAACTCGTACGTCTACTGCGCCTCGCGCTCGCTGTACGGTCTGGCGCTCGAGGGCAAGGCGCCGCGCTTCCTGACCATCTGCACACGCCAGGGTCTGCCCATCTACTGCGTCCTCTTTGTGCTCGGCATCGGGCTGCTGGCCTTTTTGCAGCTCTCCGAGAGCTCGGCCGTCGTCCTCAACTGGCTCGTGTCCCTAGTCACGGCCTCGCAGCTGATGAATTTTGCCGTGACGTGCGTGGCCTACATGTGCTTCCACCGGGCGCTCAAGGCGCAGGGGATCAGTCGCGACACGCTGCCCTACAAGGCATGGTTCATGCCGTACGCGGCTTGGTATGGCTTCGTTGGGACATTTACCATGGTCTTTGTGGGAGGCTACACGGTTTTCCTGCCGCTGGAAGGCATGTGGAGCGTTCCCAACTTTTTGTTCTCGTACGTACTGGTGCTGTTCGTTGCGAAAGGGGGTGGCTAAACGAATTTTAACATTTTTTTAGATACACAAGCGTGTTCGCCTTTCCCGTCTTCTACTATGGCTGGAAGTTCTATCACAAGACGAAGCTGTTCAAGCCGCACGAGGTGGATCTCGTGAGGGATCTGGATGCCATCACGGAATATGAGCAGAATTTTGTGCCGGAACCTACTACGTAAGTTTACATGCATCAACGGAGTGCGACGTTCAGCTGCTAATCATGTCAAGAAACCCTGCGATCCGCGTCTTGGACAAGGTCTTCGGTTAGGGAACGATACAGGAGGGGAAAGTACACAAACGATCTATTAGCAAGTCCAGCTCGCTTCACATACCTTCTTCTATCTTACGGATACTTCACTCCCCACGGTCCCACTGAACCCTTGTTAGCAAACGATTCAATTGTCAGTTTTGCCGGCGTTGGCCATCGAGGCATTCTTCGCCTCGGCAATCCTGGCACACGAGCTGCATGGGCCCAGCGCCAGGCCGGGCCACGTGCGACGCACCACCCGCGCCTTTGCGTCGTCTGGCTTGATCCAGCAGTCCATGTTCGTGGACAGCGCACGCATGCAGCGTTGGAGGTCGTATGTGTCGCGTGAGGCGACGAGGTGGCCGCACTGGGGGTACGTGTAGGCCACGGGCTGACACATGCTGCTGGACTGTGGGTTGTGGATAAGCTATAAGATTGGAGGTACAGAATTGGAAATGAAAACCAGGAAGTAGTACTAGAGATACTGATGAATATATATATATATATGCATACATCTGCTAGAAGGCGTGTGATGGTGAGGTTGTGACAGACAGCTGCGAACGCCGTAGAACTTTGATCGAAAGGCCCGATGAAGCGCCAGGGTCTGTTATATTCCCCAACGCACCGGAACTGATCTAACTTCAGCGGTTGTCAGTGCTATATGAGTTTCCGGTCGGTGTTATGTTATGTTCGTCCATCTGCTTTGGCACTCGGCCTGCGTTCGCCTTGGTTCCGGCAGAACTTAACCAACATGAACATGTATACTTGGACACGATTGTTTCGGATGTAGCATGAAAAGAACTCTCGAAATGTGGAAACGAGACTTATTGCATTCGGTCGGCCATGGCTGGGTTGAGGCGCATTGCAAGCTCTCGAGATGCCATGTGCTCACAGGACCGGCCAACGCTTGGTGGATGTCTGGTTGAAACAAGCAGATAACATGGGCCAAACGGACCGATCTGCGCCTTGTCCAAGTTTATAGCTAACACAGGTGGTGCGGGGGGTGATTAACCATAAATGCAAACGTTAGAAAGTAGCCCCATCACGGATACTCGACCGTATAGATGGAAGGGCAGCGCGATCGAACCAGAGGATTCTTGGTAAGATCAGCAGAATCATCCAGGCTTCATTTTCCAGCAACCTTGGCTGCCGTGCTCCTTAGCAAAACCTCTGGAAATACTAGTTGGTGTTTTCCCTCTCCTGCAGAGGGTGGGAGATGCCCTAGAGGCCACTATGCGAGGCACACACATGACAGGCTTCACAGCCACTCACCGTGCGTTCTCGTCTTCGTCGAGAGCGCATGAACTTCCACTGGCCAATATGGCTGGATTAGAAGAGAGATATTCGGGCTGATGACAGCGGTAACCAATCCCAGGCGCAGGCGTCAGCGTGCACCGCCGCTGCTGCCTGCCCGTATCGATAAGAGGTGACCTTTGAACTTGCTCATCTCCATGTCCCGTCAGCCTCACATCCCCTAACTTTCCCTATCCTATCCATCCTCCTACGTACCTACCTTAGACATCAAAGCCGCCACAATGCAGGTCACAAGCGCCCTCGTCACCCTCGTGGCTGCGACAGGCGTCGTCTCCTCCACGCCTCCCGCCGGCGTCGCCGCCCCAGCAGCAGCCTACCCGCTCTGCCCCGAAGGCTACACCACGAGCTGCTGCTCCCTCGTCTTCCCCTACTCCAACTCATGCCGTCGCGGCAAGTGCCGTGCCGGCTACGGCTGGAGCTGCATCAACGGGCCCGGCAAGGTCGAGTCCATCCGAGAATGCCGCGAGGACTACGAGGACCGCACGGCGTACTGCAAGAAGCCAGGCGAGCAGTGAGTGTGACCATGCCAGCTCCTCCTACAATGGGCTGACCGAGAGCGCAGAAATTTCCCTTCGCTTCTCAGCTGGGAGAATGGATCCTTCAAGCCTCTGATTGAGCCGGCGGACTATTCCCACTGGGTTCGCCCCGGGATGGAGGAGCCTTGGACGCCATCCGACAGCGAGATTCGGTGGGAGGAGAAGGCGGACGTGGAGACCAAGGACTCCGCCGAGGGCAGCGAGTTGAAGAAGCGTGCATCTGAGTTCAGTGACGTTGACCTTGAGTAGACCTCCTGTTGGTATGACAGCTTCGCTGAGTAGATCATGTGTTTGCCGTGTTTGTTGCCCCTGAACAGCTTGGAATATTCATTCAGACCGAATGTTCGCGGTGGTGTACTGACGCCAATCCAAGACAATACATAGTAGCGGTAGGCAATATTGCGCTCTTTCATTCACGGAGATGTTGCATCACAGGCTCACGTGAACCCTCATGCTGTGCACCCCGAAACTCAGTACCCCCTCATAATCTGCCATCCACCGCTCTGAATCGATCGTCACGCTCCCACAATATTATGCTCCTCCACCTCAACCCCACTACTTATTCAAAGACCTCGCTATCCCAGCTCGTTGCTCGGTATCCCCACGAGGCCTCGAGCTACTCGCCGACCCTGAATCAGCACTGGATCCAGCAGAGATATCCGAGCCATTCGCTGGTCCGCATTCGACGACCTTGCCTTTATCCAACCGCAAACACCAGTTGGCATCCGCGACAGCCTCGAGACGATGGGCAATCGTAATCACCGTGCTCTCCGTCAGCTCCTCTCGGAGTATGCGTTGCACCCTCGCAGCGGTCGGCCGGTCGATGGAAGCCGTTGCCTCGTCCAAGATGACAAGCCCGCTGCGTCTGAGCACAGCCCGCCCAATGCTGATCAGCTGCCGTTGACCTTGGCTTAGGTTGTTACCATTTGCGTCGATCTCCATGTCGACGCTCCAGCCGGGGCCCAGGACGAGATTGAGCGCGTTCTGACATTCGGCATCCGAGTACTTCCCCTCCGGGTCCAGATTGGCACGCAGGCTTCCCGGGAACAGGATGGGGTCTTGCTGCACATATGTTACCTGGCTGCGGAGCGCTAAACGGTCAACCTGCGCAAGGTCGACCCCTCCAATCATCACCCTGCCTTGCGATGCGGCCTGCGTGACGAGTAGCGCGTTGGCAATTGTCGACTTGCCCGACCCAGTTCGCCCAAGTACGGCGCACGTCGACCCCCCTGGAATCTCAAAGGTCACCTCGTCGAGCACGGTGGGTAAGCCCTCGTCGTACTGAAACGACATCTTCTCGAACCTGATGCCGTCCTTCGGCCTGGGCCAATCTTGGGGCGGTCTTTCTGAGCCTCGTGGCTCTTGCGGAATCTTATTGAGCATGTTCACGCGCTCTAGCGACACGGCGTCCAGCTGGAGCTGCGCAAACTTCTCGCAAAGCTGTTGCACAGCGGCCATGGCCACGTTTGTTTGCGTTAGGACAAAGCCAACCGCGCTAGCTGGCGTGCCATACCAGATCATGAACAGGATGAGCGCTGTGCGCGTGGTGGCCGACGAGATGCTGAGACGAAAGTCGAGCCAGAAGGCCATACTCCAGAAGAAGTGGTCCTGCTTCTGGAATTCGTCCACGGCCTCCAGGTGCTTGTCCTGGAAGCGATGCTCCAAGCGAAAGGCGCGGATCGTCACCAGACCGTGTTGCATGATACCAATGTTGGAGATGATGGGCGTCAGGCAGGCCATTTCCATGCGTCGCAAACACCGCGAGATCGGCACGTACAATCGGAAGAAATACATGAAAAGCACGGCCACGACCACGAGGATGATGAGCAGGGCTGGCTGGTGCGACATGATGGCGATCAAGCTGAGGCAAAGCGCGATGAACTGGAAGACAAAGCCCTCCAGAGGCTGGATGATGCCGCCGTCCACCATGCCCATGTCTGATGTCAGTCGATTTCTCAGTTGGCCCGTGGGAGTAACATCGTGATACCGGAACGTTGCTCGGCAAATTCTGTCAATGGCCCCTTTGAACAGCCCTTGCGCCGCTCTGATGCAGATTCTGGCTAACAGGATCTGCGCCACAGCATAGCAGACGACTTGGCCGAGGGAGATGCCGCCGAGGACAAGAAGCCACGCGCCAGAGTGCGTATGCGGATCTGGAAGATTCATATACCCCCTACCGGTGACCTCGATGTCAGAGCGCGTGGCATTGCCCCAAGCCTCCAGCAACCTCGCCCTAGAGATGTCGAAGTATCGTGACAAGCCATAGAAGAGGGCAAGGATCGCCCACAGGTACCATCCCCCAGCCCGCATGTAATCCGCATAAAGCGACAGCGGGACGCTGCCGGTGGCCACGTTGTCGTGGAGCTCCTCCTTGACTTTGGCAAAATCTTCGTCAACAGCAGCTCGTTGTACGTCCAGTGTCTTGGACTCTTCCACTTCCTTGTGGATAGGATGCAGCAGCTCCTCTTCAATCTGCTCGGCGGAGACGATCTTGGCGTGTCCCTGCTCAATGTCGATGACCTGATCAGCGATACGCAGAACCAGATCGTCGCGATGGGTGACCATGACGATGGTTCGGCCCTTTCCGAGTGGCCCTTTGATGAACCTTTTGACAATGTTTGTGGCCGTGTCGTGGTCGAGGGCGGACAGTGGATCGTCGAGAAGCATGATACGGGCGTCGCCGTACATGGCTCTCGCCAAGGCCACACGCGCTTTCTGGCCACCGGACAGACCAGCGCCACCCTCTTCAAGTCTCATACCATCTGCGCCTGGCAGATCGTTCAGATCTTGGTCCAAGGCGCAAGCGCGGATGACAGCATTGTAGCGACTGGCATCGAAGCGCCCGTGGAAGATAATGTTCTCGCGGATCGTCTTGGTCTGCAGCCAGGGAAGTTGCTGGGCGTATGCTATAGGCTCGTCGGGACGGTGGAGATGTCCCCCTTTCATCTCCATCTCGTTGAGTGCCGCCAGCAAGAGACTTGACTTGCCTGCGCCGACAGGCCCGCGGATCACTGTAAGGCCAGTGGGAAAAGACAGGTTGATGTTGTGCAATACGGCCTTGCCCGAACCTGGCCAAGCAAATGAGGCATTCTCAAAAGTCAGGCTCCCACCCTGCTGTCCCAGGAATTCGTCTACATCGCGATCTGGCTCGTCGAGATACTGGTGGACACGCTCGAGGGGAACGACAAGCCTCCAGTACGCCGAAATCAGGTCAAAGGCCTCCTTGACGCTCGCTTCAAGCTGAGCAAACAGCTGCAACGATGGCCAGATGACAGCATTGGGCAGTCCGTTGCCCAGGACCATGGTGTACAAGCAAATGCTGGCCAAGGGATACGAGGCGCCCCCCATGACGTTGAGGGTCGATATCGCTGCCCCGATGTACTGGATGTGAAGGCGCTTGCGCATTTCGGCCGCGCGCACCTTTAGGATCCGAGCACTCCACGCTAGAGTCCATCCATTGAACTTCAGTGGGCGACTAGCGTCCACAAAATGGTGGATGGCCTGGCCGCGTTTGTCCGACAGAAGATTGCGTTCGCGCTCCATGCCAATCCATTTCTTGACAAGGACCGAGTTGATGCCCATGAAGAAGAACATCAGACCAAACCCGACAGACGAGGGCCAGCCCATAATGTCGATGAGATAGTACATGGTGAAGATAACCTTGATAGGCTGGGACACCAGCCGCCGAAAGTCCCAGAATCGCTGGGAGATCTCGTATGTGTCGCCCCTGACCAGATTGACCACTTTAGCATTGGACGCTGACTGGGGCGGCTTGGGCTGTGCGGGCTCTGAGTTGGTCGCTTGGTACTTGCGACGTCCACAGCAACGGGCAAAAAGCCTGTTCAGGCGGGTGCCATTGTCGAGTTCTTCAATGTCTTCTCCAGTAGTGCCCACCTCGTCATCGTCTGCTTGCTCTGTCTTGTCAGAAGCCGATGTCAGGCGGGTGATCAGCTTGCTGAACAGCGCGATAAAGGTCTCGCCGCGGGACCTTTCGTATGCCTTGCGACTATACCAGTCGGACGTAGTCTTGGCGATCTGTCGGAAGCCATCCAGGCACAGCATGACGAGACACCAGAAAATGGCCTCATCCATGTTGCTGGCGTCCAATGCCGCATACAGTTTGCTTGTAAGCCGAATGTTGGACACCTCTGATACCTTCTCAAGTACAGCTAGTACGGCCGAGATGGCTAGATCGAGACCATTGGCTTCGGCCAGCCGGTTGAAGAACTTGCCTTGGAGGTCTCGAAAAGCGAGATATAGGCGAGAATGCTGGTAGTCGTACGGGAGCTGCCACACATCTTCCACAGCCAGATCGCGCACGCGGCTCATCTTAATCATGGACGCTACCCAGCTCATCGTCCAGAACTGGAAGAGCGTGAGACTGTCTTCAGGGCTGCGAAGATGGACGGTGGGCTCCCTTCGCCCATGTCCAATCTCTGATGAGTCTGCGGCCGGGCTACGGATTGGCATGTTGCCAATGGCGATGATGGCGAGGCCGCAGATGCCGATCTGCGAGATCTCGAGAGGCGACGTGTGGCGTAGGGAATGTGCGAGAAATCGAACGGAGTATTGGGCTAGCCCTGCTAGAGCGAGCAAGAAATACTGGAACAAGAGTAAGCGAGGTGTCGAGTTCGGCCTCTGATAAAGGGTGAGCAGCGTTGCGGAGAGCCAAGGGATGATGCTCAAGATGTTCACAGCGCTTGTCGGCTCCAGTACTAGCCCCACGATGGACAGTACAAGTCCTACCACAGACAGGAGAGTCAGACAGAGCGTCCAGAAAGTCCATCGACGTTTGGGGGCAACCAGCTTCTGCTCCTCCTGAGCAAAGGGTCTCAGCCAGTGCGGGAGGCGAGCGGTGATGATGCTTTGCGAAAGATACACGAAGAAAATGATGGGCGATATGGCGGCCAACGCGATGTAGACCTGGATTTCGGGTTGAGCAAGTGGTTCCCCTGAGGAGGGATTCATATCCGTCCTCTCTTGCTGAAAGAGGCTGACGCCGTGCTCATGGCTTTGATGGTGCAACGCCGACGAGCTGAAGCCGGCGTATGCCAGCGCTGCTAGGGAGTCCATGCTGTCGGGGACTTGACTGGCTTACGACCAGGAATCTTTTTTCCAACCAAGGGAGGACAGTGGCGGAGGTATCAAAAAGGTATTGCTGGGCCGGGGAGTTCAGTATGTGGCAGCGCGGACAAACAGCCCATGTATGCAAACTGGGGAACGTTGTTCAAGGCCCGGGAATACACTCTGACGCAGCATGACGAGGAGTGAGTCGGGTGACCGTGACGAGCAGATCCCATGCCAAGGAGGAGAGAACCCTTGAATAGAGTGCTCTGAATCGAGGCAAGCGAGAGCAGGAGGACAAGAATCACGTTGGTCGGAGGAGGCCGTGTGACTGTGAAGCTTGACGATGTCGAGTTTGGCGCCGCTTCGACTCCGCATGTGAACGTTGGGGTGGTCGGGAGATCAATTGGCGCCCGAGATTGGCCAGAACGTTGTATGAAGAGTGGGTTCGTGCAGGTCGTCGACGGTTCTCTGGGGGTTGCGGTGAGGTCGGATAATGAATGTGTGATGGTGAAATGGGTAGACCTGGACTTTATTTGGTTGTTGATGTCCACGTCGTATCAAGGTTTGCCGCGACTGAAACTTGGGGAGTTCAAGTACCAGGCATTATTTTGGGGTTTCATCATTGTGCAAGAGCTAACCTTTACGTTAAGGAGAAGACACTGGGGCGCAACTATGGTGCTGGGAAGAAGGCGACAGAAAGTAGGACCCTCTCGTGTCTAATAGTAGCCAAAGGAGTCTTTTCCAAGCTTTCACTTTACTATAAGATACGATGGGTGAGGGTTGGAACTGAAGGTTCTCACAGGTCGGACTGGGGTACAGGGTAATCTAGCTCAACTAGAAGGGCGTTTGAGTCGACGAGTCCATTCAATGTCCGCTTTGTTCTAGACGACTTCTTCAAGTCGCCGATTATGACTTAGCCATCAATGGTTGGGCAGTTTCCAATCCAACGAAGCTTTGCAGAAACATTAAATATTTAAAATTTTCGCCGCGCTCAGCAATGCTTCTACTCGACGTTACGGATACACGTGGCGTGGTGATGGCTCTGGTTGTGCAGGGTAAGCCAATCAACTGCACAAAGATGCACGCAGCACGATTCACGTCAAAGCGACCGACTGGAGGGAGAGCAGCGAGCACCACCACACATTGAAACGACCAGACGGATGGAATGAAATCATGGTCGCCCCAGAGAATTGAGCAAAGCACCATTGTTGAAAGCTACTTGCTCTAGGGGTCCGCCAGTCGGTCCCTTCTCCCCGCGGAACCGAAGTCTTGCCATCCCTGCAGCCAACACGCATGAAACTGAATCGCCGCCTCAGGCCCACGCGCATCGGCTCCTCGAACTCGGATCTCGCCCTTGCTTCTTCCTCACCCTCAATCGCGTTCAATCACCACTCACTCACTCATCATACGTCGGCGCTGCCTCGATACCAGGCCAGCTCGGGACGTTAGCGGTGGGCGGACAGGTCTCCAGTATCGACAGTCAGTCGCCGACGACGCGAAGTCAACCACAGCCAAGCCTCAACAGATAAGGCCCCCTCGTGCGTGGGAGACACCTGCACACAAAGCGTACCCCATGGATCGTGAACGAACGCCCGTTCACCCCCATCATCGCCGCCATGTCGGCCCACGCGAGATGCTTCTCGCCTCCACCCGCACAGCCGCCTACCTCGTTGACCTCGCGGCGCTGCTGGCCATGGGATACTTCATCTGGCGCTGGCCGAGCACCGCTGGCGCCGCAGTCGGTGGCCTCATAGGCGTGCGTCTCCCTCCCCCCCCCCCCCCGTCTTACCCCCAATGATGGCCGCAACCAAGTGATATGCTAACAACCAGAAACTATAGTGCGTCGTGGCGGCGCTGAACGACAGCTGGGAGATGATTGCGCAGCTCGACCCCACGCTCAACTTCCCGCCCATCAAGGCGGCGCGCGTCGTGGTGCACGACCTGCTCAGCCTGGCCATCTGCGTGGGCGGACTGATGCTTCTGCTCTTTATGGATCTGCGTGAGAGGAGAGAGGCCGACGACGCTGCGTACGACCGCGGCAGCGACTGGGACACCAAGAGGAAGGTGGTCATGGTGGCGCAGTGGCTGGTTGGGGCCGTTGCGTGAGTTTAACCTTTGAAGAGAGACACGGCTCTCTGGACCATTTTTGCTAATCGAGTGACAAGGATCATGAGGTTGGGTTTCGTGTTGTGGAACGGCTGCATCTGCTCCAGCGAGCGACGACGGGTCGTGGAACGACGACGACGACGACAAGAACGCAGGAGGATGAGAAGAGGACCGACAGAGAGAACCGAGTCCGACACAGGCTTGGCAGAGATGGGCATCCGAATCTCACGATGAACAAATTTTCTAATGAGAAGCTGACTTTGAATTATAACCGACACAGTGAGGCCACCCCGTTGCTCTGTCACTTCCATAGCCATCCCTTGCCGTTGGGTGCGTACGGTCGCGCATCGACACTCGAGATATATGGCTTGACGCTCTCCCAGAACTTTGTCACGAGCGTCTCACGCAGCCACCTCTCCCAGGCTTCGCGCGACGTATAACGCGCAAAGAGGCGCGCCCCTGTCTCGTTGTCCAGCGACACGAGGCCCAGAAACGAGAGCACCTCGCCATCCTCGCCCGCCGGACCTTGTCGCTCGTTGACAAGTGTGCAGAACAGCGTGAGTGCGCCGACGAGACTCTTCCTCGCCTCGGGGCCTGTGCACGTGATCTGTACATCGTGGATGATGCCGCACTCCGTCTTGTAGCCTGACCGATCGAGGAAGCTACCCTCGACGGCCTCATAGTGCGTCAGATCCAGTCCCGTGCTCATCGTGCGGCTCGCCACGGGGAGGAAGCCCTCCTGCATGGGCTTGGATTGGAGGTGAACATCGTACAGGGCGGCGCGGGTGGCATAGGCTTCAAAGGCGAGCATGGAGGGTGTCGCGCTGGGGTTGGCGGCGTACTCTAGGGGCAGGCCGAAGTAGTAGGTGAGCGTGTCGGGCTCGTTGGCCATGACGTGCTCGGCGAGCTTGTCGTACGCTGCTTGCCACTGGATGCCCTTTGTTAGTCTCGAGGCATGATGGGACCCGGAGAGGAGACGATGGGGACCTGCCTCGTCATAGTGGTCTGGCACCATATTACAGTTGCCAAAGATGTAGAAATGCTGGTGCGGCGCGCGCTGGATCGCCATCTTTGCTGATGAATGTCGAGGTACGGCGTGGGGGAGAGGCTCGAGGGCGTTGGTTGACACAGCTACAGGGACACACGGAAGCAGTCTGTGCGCAGGCGATCCAACACATTACATAGACCTTTGGTCATCTTGACTTGAAGAGTGGTCACTCCTCCTGCTGTCTCGAGCACCTTGAGTGCTTGCTTCTCCGGACATTGGATTTCCGGGACCCTTTGTGTTGGGCTCCCCATTTTCCAGCTCGACTTACTCAATTCCTGTGATCGTCGTTAGCGTCGTTAGTGTCCGCCCTGTGATGCTCTCCCCACTGCGGGGCGCCGATCCGGAAATCCAACAGGGTTTGCAAGTGTTGCTTCTGACGAAGGGGCCCCAAGGCGGCATCGGGTTCCTTGGGGAGCACGGGAGACATTTCCCGGCGGCGGTGTGGTTCACTGGTGGCTGCTCTAGACTTAGGGATCTGAGAGTGTTCCGTGCTGCTGAGGAGATTGTAATTGACGAACGAGAGACGGGTCAGTCGCGGGACGGAAGAGCTTGCCTATAGATGATGCTCTAGTCTGGCACAAAATTATCGGTGCGATTTTCTGGGGATGCTGGGTGTTGTGCAGCTCCGTCTCACTAGGCTTCTCACGCGTACGTGTGAGATTGGAAACAGAGAAAATCACGAAGGATGCTTCGGTAATAGATTATATAAAACGAACGCATCAAACATCGAGCAACGGGTATCAGCGTATTAATACAGCCACCTGCGAGCCGCCTTGTCCTCCAATATGGCACTCCAGTCCCGGCAACGACCATGATCGATGCCTCCAACGAGTCCAACCTGTGACTTCAAACCATGATAAGTTCAGATCAGTGGAACCTGTTCTTGTCGGCATTCTCGTCATTCTCCAGGAAGATCTCAATCTTGTTGTTCATCTTGTGCTCAATGTCCTGGCAGAAAACGCAAGCTAGACCACATATTAGCCTTCACATTCCACAAACACAAATAGAACCACTCACCAATGATGCCGACGACGCCAAAGCTCAACGAAGACAGACACGTCGTCCTCAAGCCCTGGACGTAGCTCTGCTTCCACGCCTCGGACGCCGCGGCCACAATCTCGTCACTGATACCGGACACCTGCTGAATGGCCGCCGACCCGAGCGGGAAGGCCGCCAGCAAATCGGCCGCCGACGACGCGGGTAGGCCCGCCGCGATGGCCGCCTCGGGTACCAGACGCGCCGCCGCGTTGCCCTGCACATTCGACAGGATGGTCTGGTAGATAGAGATGGCGACGGAGCCGCCCGCGAAGCGCGCGACGCCAGCCAGGCCACCCGAGATGCCCAGCTCAACCTGATCGGTACCGAACTGGATGTACGCAATGCTCAGGTACTGCGCCCAGCCAAAGCCGACCTCGGACAGGAAGATGAAGGCAATCACCATGCCGAAGCGGTCAGGCGTGGCGAGGGCGAGCAGCGCGCCAAAGACAACCATGATAGTCACGCTCGCCGTCAGCGTCCAGCGCCAGTGCCCGACCCAGGAGCCGAGGCAAGTGAGAAGCACGGCGCCAAAGGTCAGCCCTAGGTTCTGCGGGAGCGTGAGCACGGCCGCGTAGCGAAAGGACGTGTTCTCGTCGGTGAAGAAGACGGCGATCATGGTCGGGTACACGACGTTTAGGCAATAGTAGAACATGGTGACGACAAAGCCCACGATAAACGGCGCCGTGAGCTCGCGGCCGTGGTCGCGTGTGAAGATGCGCGTCGGCGTGAGCGGCTGCTTGAGCGGCGCAAACGTCTCCCACAGCGCAAAGGCTACGAGGCACCCAAATCCGGCACACAGCGTGCCGATGACCTTTGGATTCGAAGAGGGCAGGGTGGTTGTGTAGACGATGCCGACGAGGACGAGAGTCGTGGCGAGGATGAAGAGCACGGAGCCGACATAGTCGAGTTCGCGAAGGGCACGCTTGGTGGGGAGACCGCGAGGATGACGGGGCGGAAAGTAGAAAAAAAAGAGTCCCACGAAGGAGAAGACGACAGCGATGGCCGGGCCGTAGAAGAGCCAGCGCCACTGTTGAGGTTGTTAGCTTTGTCCGAGAGGAAGAAGCACAGGAGACAAACGTTATCACCGTGCTGGGCTGCGAAGCGGCCGGCCACAGGGCCAACGAGAACGGCAAAGTAAACGCCAATGTCCGCGAGCACAATGGCCGAATGGCGCCATTTGTTGGGTAGCAGCTCGGGGAGCGCAAAGGCGGCCAGTTGCGCGTTACCACCGCCAAATCCGATAAAGGCGTTGCCGACAATGACAGAGGTGTTGTTGCGCGCAGTGCCAGCGACAATGAAGCCGATGAACATGAGGACGTTGCCCATGAGGATGAACCAGCGTCGGCCAAAGAGATCAGAGTTGGCGCCACAGACCCTGTTCCTGCATCAGACTGGGCTGCCGTATCGTCGAGGGGACGCTGGGTTACTCACATAAACGCCATGGTGACGGTCATTGTGTACACTGGGATGTACCATGTCTGCTTGCTCGGGTCGCCCAGCTGGGTGGCCATTAGGGCCTGGACGCCGCTGTAAGTCGGTACGATCCAGAAGGAGATGCCATAGGACCAGGCCAAGATCTGTTTCTCCCGTCAGTCTGCTGCCAAGTCTGTCCTATCTGTGTCCAGAAGGAAGGGGATTCGTCCACTCACCCAGACCACAATCCACGTTTTGAAGGTCACATTGTACTCCTCGTCGCTTTGGGGAACGTACGATGACCCAGTGACAGCATTCTCAGCGTGCGCATCGTCCTGCATCGGCTTCTCCATGGATACGGCTGGCTCATGCTTCTCAGCATCGGCACTGGGCCTGTGGGTGCTCGTCGTGTCAGCAGTCATGGCGTCTTTCTCTTGCTTCGACAAAAAAAGGGCGAAAAAACTTGCGGAATACGCTGGGGACGTAACAGAAAGGGATGGCAAGGGTTCATTTATTGCATGTTGACCAAGCTCGTTGCCACTACCTCGGCGATTGCACCTGTCCACTAGCGCGCGAAGCTCTAGTGGACAAAGTCCACTAGCGCGCGAAGCTCTAGTGGACAGACGGTTGACCGAAGCAAAAGTGTCGAGCTATCCTGTTAGCCTCATGCTAAAATGATCTCGACTGTTGCCCAATGTGGCAGCAAGGTGGACATTGGCGTACCCCGGAAAAGGAGTTCCTGATGATAGCTGGGTAGCGTGTGGGGTCCCCACACGCGGGATACGGCAGTTGATGTCCTTGAAGTGGATCTCGGCGTGAAGAAGAAAGCCTCTTTGCAAGTGCGTTGCTTGAACTTTATTTCAAGGTGTTGATGGAAGTCTGGTATCCCCCCAAGGAGCTAGAGAGGAAGTCGTAGGTAGGTGTTCATGACTGTTGGAAAAGCATGTCCGCAGAGCCTGACTTGGGAGTGTGTCGAGCCAAACTGAAACTGGCGTGGTCAGCGTTGAGGTTGTGACCTAGACGATCATGCAGCCAGGGTGCAAACGAGACCCAACCGCTTGGTGTGTTGGAGCATGTCCACTACCAGTTTAAGTCCAATAGCGCAAGCTTCGGCTGTCAATAAGCGGGCAGCTGCTGTCTCAAGGCTTCCTCGAGCTGGCCACATGAAAGATGATGTATGCAACCATTTCTGGAAATAGCTTGCGGGTATGTGCTTGCAAGATTCAGATGCCAAGTGAGCTCCTCTCAATACCACCCCATCTTGACGGCTTTCCCGAAGAGCGTGGGCATGAAGAGCCGCAAGAGGCCATATGTGCTATGACTGTTCTTGTCGCCTGACAGGGTCCCGCAGCCCGGATGAGGAGAAGGGTATCCGCGGGGCTCTTGTACAGAAACACATAGTGTGTGAGCATCGGTGATTCTCAGTTGAAAGACGCACCGGCATCAGTTGCAGACGCATGCCACCAGCGGAGACCAAGTACACAAAGTGACGCGATCATCCTCAGAAGCCAGTGCATTCCGTCAGCAGTGTGCTCATTCCACCATGTCGTCAAGCAGAGTAGCAATCGTGACGGGCGCCTCAGTATGTGTTCTGTCCCATTGACACGTCGTCTGCAGTGCTAACAGCATGCGACTAGTCAGGCATGGGCGAGGCCCTCGCCGAGGCTCTCGCGTCCAGAGACTGGCTCGTTGCCATGTTTGACATTCAACCCAACGACACGCTTGCCGCTCGCCTCGGCGACAGGGCGAGCTACCATCACTGCGATGTGTCCGACTACGACAGCCAGGCCAGGGCGTTCACCGAGGTGTGGGACAAGTATGGGCGCATCGATGCGCTCTGCGCGAATGCAGGGATTGTCGATAAGAGGTTGGTAATTGCCTATTTGAGAATGAGAGAGAACGACTGACAGGACCAAGTTCGCTTTACATCCTCAACCACAGAAACTCGGATGAGTGAGTCCACTCAGTACGAGTAGAGGAGCAATGGCATTGACAGTGACCTCGAGGATCCCGCCGAAGCCGAACCTGCTAACGACGGACATTGACTGGAAGGGCGTCGTGTACGGCACCCAGCTCGCCGTGCACTTTATGCGCAAGAACAAGGTGCCAGGCGGAAACATCGTGGCGACGGGGAGCGTGGCGGCTGTGGTGCCGCACGAGACATACCCCGAGTACGATGGCGCCAAAGCAGCGGTACGAGACTGCCAAATTAAAATGAGCGAGGTGCTGATGGCCTATAGGTGGTGAATTTTGTGCGAGCCTCGTCTCGGGTTTTGAGGATTGTGGGTAGACTCCCCGTTATCGGGGCGACTGGCGGCTAACGGGTGATACAGAAGGAGAACATCCGCATCAACTGCGTTCTGCCTGGGATCGTGGCCACAAAAATCATCCCCCCGGAAATGGTGGCAGCCGTGTCGCTGGAATGGTATGTTCTGTCCTGCCCTACCGTCTACACGTCAGGCGCTCACAGGGGCAACACAGCCTGACACCCGTGTCGACTATCGTGAGAGCTTACAACAAGTGCCTCGACGACGACAGCCTGGCCGGTGAGGTCTTGGAGTGCTCTGTGGAGGAGATACTTCCTCTGCCCGTTCCCGAGCTGCGGAACGGCAGGTTCTCCAAGCGGGCTGTCACGGTGTGGGATCCATTGTTCAAGATGTACCACGGTGAAGAGTCGGGGCTGCCCGATGCGATTCCTTGAGCGGGCTATGTGCTGTGCGTTGGCAGCTAGGGTGTGGTTAAAGTATCTTTGAAGCAACCTCATTTAAGGGTCTTGGGCGCGTATTGTTTCGGCGAGAGCGGCTGAGCCGGATAGCTGGGACAGAGCTGGGTGTTGAGCGTGAAACCTGGCCACGAGCCGAGTGGCCATGGCCTCGAGATAGGTCGACCATGCTGTACGGTAGGGCTGGACCTCATAGGATTCGCGCAGAAGACGCCCAGGATGGAAGCTTTTCTAGAGACGCGCTGCACCGTAGAAGGACGTGGTAGAATTTGCCGCTGGCAGTCATACGGCGACTCACGTAGCCATACCACCTCCCATTCTCGCTTGAATCCTGCTTTGAAAACGTGAGGCCATTGATCGCCCCCCCCATGTGGAAAGTATAAAAAGGGTCGCAAGGGGCCAGGGCGCCCAGCTCGCTCGTTTCAGGACATGATCGGAGGCTTTACGTTGACTGCGGCATGCCCAGCGACAGAATGATTAGTGATGACGGTGAGGCATGGCTCCTCTGTGTGGCTCGACAAGTATGATCAGACGTGAAGCAGAACAGCCGCGACCAAAGCGGAAAGAGTCGCAGACAGACGCGGAAACGGAGCACGGCACAGCTTGGCAGCACAGCCACACTGCCCGGTCTCGAATCCTCGAACTAATTAGAGGATCTGCCTTGTAGGGCTGATTACCGGATTAGGACGCTGCTGGGACAATTTGATGATGTCGAGATGGCGCTTGGCTTGGTTTCGGGACACTATGCTCGCGGCGATGTCCGGAAGAGAAGACCACGATACGGCCGCGTCAAGACTTGGGTGGTTACGAACTCTGCAATCCTGTTCGTCGACGTGTCCCCTGCACAACTGGCATAGGACATCCATCAGCCTGTTCTGCCATCGTGTAGTACTGTAGGACTTGGGGGCAGCGAGGCTTGACGAACCTTCTAATCTAGGCACAGACGCGCGGCAAAGTTGAGATTGAAACATGAACGGTCTTGAGGAACGTGGCCGGTGGCTGCCAAGGGGCCAATGTTCTCATTCTGGGCAGAAGGGTTGCGAGATCGCGGCTCGTCCTGGAGTCTTGTTGGTCCTTGGATGCAGCTGCCAGCGACGGCGGCCATGGACGAATGGTGCGAACGAGCAATGTCCCGCCTGCAGGCAGCAAGCTGTCAGTCATCAAGCGGCCAGTCATTGGCGATGATGGATCGCCAGAAGCGTATGACTGTTCGGAGAGTCTAGAGCCGCTGGTTCTGCTCTAGCGTCCTGCGCGTGTTGCTGCAGGTCATTTGGCAATGGAGACAGAGCCCAGAGAACGCAGTGGAGGCCATTGAGCGCTCGCAGCCAGTCGAGTCATCCGAGTGGCGTGTGCTGCTTGGGACAATGAGACGCATGTCAATTCAGGGAGGTGTTCGATTGCATCGTACCGCACCGATTGACAAGGACCGCCAAGTTGACATGTTCACTGTGAACGCGACTGAGGTCAAGCCTTGGAGGCGGGGGACCTTGGGAAGGAGATTGAATTGAAGCCATAGCTGCCTGAGGCCATCCATCCAGTCGTGATGAGCAGCCACAGCAGGCAGGCAGAGACGGACACCAGCCACAGCCCACGAAGCCGCACACAACCTCCAGTCCAGTCTTTGACGTCGGCCCCGAACATGACTGCCACAAACAAACAAAACCTATCAACTTAGACGGCCAGACATGACGCTGCAAGGCTGCACTCGCACTCTGGGCCTCGCATCCAGTATCAGTCCGCCAGGGTCCAGAGAGGGGCTTCAGAGTCCCGTTCCCGTAGGGCAGAGGCGGAGTCGTGTGACCCCTGGACCCCGGGCAGCCTCAAGCCTCCAGGCAGCACAGCCGCCCGTTTCCCGTTCCTCGCTCGCTCGAGCGAACGACGCCCATTGGCGTATCCGCTGCTGCATGTCCTGAACAGTCCTTTGCCAGATTGGGGACGGCCTGCCACTGGCAGTCCTACTCATACGCCCTTGAGTGAGTCAACGGCCAGTTCTCTGTCTGTGCCAGATGGATCCCATGATGCGCCGCGCAGGACGCTGCAGATAGGAGGGTGGCCCGAGTGCAGGCGACCCCCTCTGGTGTCTCAGAACGCGCTTGTCTGCAAGATGGACGTGTCGAAAAGACAGCCTTGAGTACGCCAGACACTGACGACACTGATAATGGCCGCCACGAACCTTGGGCGTGATGTGCGCAGAACTGTTCGGTCTATCCAGAAGTCGGTTACGGACACATTCCCCATGCAAACGACGCATCTAGACGCACAGATCCACGGTTCGTGCCGTCAGGCCCGCTCTCAGCATATCCTGCAATGACGTTGGTGCCCCTATCGCGGATTCAATCGCGCTCCAGGGGAGGAAAGGCGCTCTCGTCGTGGCTCAGCAGGCAGCTCAGCCCACGGGGATCCATCGAGCAACCCCACCATGCAGCCACACATGCATGGGCTGCAGCCGGGGGAGTCATCAGCACTAATAAACTAGTAGGGAACTGTCGGCGACTGGTGACTGGCGACTGGCTAGCACCAGGCTGCAGCGAGCAGGGAAGCTTGACGACGGTCGTGTTCGCCCATATACGTCCGTACTCCCAATGCTATGTAGGCAGCACGCCCTCCTGACGCCCTTGATGGACTCGACTTACACGCAGCTCCCTGCCTCCCCCACACACTGTTGTCCGGTTCCAGCAGGGGCGTGTCTCTTGCAACTGCAAGCTGGTTCTGTCCTTAACAAACGCCCCTACCCTTGCCGGCAGTCCTATCACAAAGAATACTTAACCTCGAGTTCGTCCTCGTATTTCGAACTTAAACCTTCATTCTTACAAAACAAACAACACACCATACCGTACCAGACCATACTCTATATCGTTCACCACACTGGACATACGTGCCACCAAGGCCTTCACGTTGGCGCCTCTTCAGATCACCATCCAAAGTGAGACTATCAACCGCCATCATCGTCGACGGAACTCAGTCTCTCACTACCGTCCTGATCCAGACACCTACCACCACCAGCAGCAGCAGCAGCAGCAGACGCCGACACCACCAAGGACTGCTCGTCCTGTTGTGATCCATCAGCGAGAACCACCCATACGTGCTGCAACAGGACCAGCTGCACAAGAACCAAGACCCCGACGCCGCCACACACTCACAGACACAACCGCCGCCATGTGCGAGTCCAACCAGCACACCTGGGTCTACCCCGACGGGCGACGCAAGAAGCAGCCCCTCGAGACCGTCTACCTGTGCCCCAACGCGCGCCACGGCCGTCCCTGCACAGAGAACACCATCTACCGCCACCCAGCGCGCCCAGCACCATCCTACAGCACCTCGGCGCCGTCCCCCTCCTCCATGTCGCCGTCCTCCTCACCCGCGGCCTTCCTTTTGCCCACCCAGTTCCCACCCACACCCAACTACACACCGCGCTCGGGGACGCCCAACTACTACTCGGGCAACGACTCGGACCGCTCCCACCACAGCACCGGCTCTGGCTCAGCGCCACGAAGGACACGCTCCCACCGCACACCGCGCGTCTACATCAACGGACAGGAGGTCTACAGGTCACCATCCCCCTCGCGCTCAAGGGACCGTTACGTTCTTGCTAGCAGCAGCAGCAGCCACACACCACCCCAGCCAACCTCCAGGATACCTCACAGCGCACCCAACTCACCATCCTCACCATACGTCTTTGAAACCAGCAACCACCGCCGGACATCCTCATTCACCCATCAAAACACGCAGCGCCCCGTGGTCGTCCACGAGCGGCCGCACGTGGAGTTTGACATTCGCGAGCCGCGACGCATGCACACGCGCGATCCCTCCTCATCCTCGGAGGATCACTCATCTTCTTCCTCGCGACAGGCGCGTAGCAGAAGACAGCAGAGCCGGCAGGAGAGAACGGCGGACCGCATCGCACAGGCCAATGCGCAGATTGCGAACCGGCCCGTGGTGCCGAGGGCATCTGGGCACCGCGCGCCAGAGCCGCTCGCGGACGCGATGAGGCGGATGGACCTCAACGACGAGGCAAGGGAGAGGAAGAGGCAGGCGAGGAGAGAGGAGAAGGAAGCGGCGCAGCAGCAGACGGAGAGGTTGCGGGAGAGGCTGTCGCGGCGGGCGACGGTGCAGTACGGGGAGGAGGGACGGTACAGATGAGGAGGGATTGTGTTTTTTGTTTTGTGAGGACAGGAAGCGTCTTTGATACCTGAGCGGGACGGGTTTTGTTTGCCGTGCATTTGATCTATAGACTCCGCAATACAGAAGGACTTGGTCAACCTCTTTTGGTTACTAAGTACCAAGGAAACCCATGTGACTGGCCTTGGGGGGCTCATGGAGATGCAGCGAAACCGGACAGACCTGGCCTTGTACTTGCGCAGTGCCTGTCAAGCCACATGACTAGATATGCGCCCTCTCTCCGCATGTTTTTTTTTATAGCAAGCAAGGTGCCTCGCCAAGGGACGCAGACCAGCCGCCACCCGACTTCTTCTGCCTGCAGCCGTATAAGTCTGGGCAGCGGCATCGGGTTGATGGCTGGCAAACGCGCACATTCATGCGAGATGGCGACTGCCAGATACACGCATCGCACTTTGCGCAAACAGGTGTCCATACATTACTCTCTACTGCGTCAACACCCAGACACCAGCCACACGATCCTGTCTGTCCTGGTCACGCTGGCCAACACATGCACAGATGAGACATACGCGAGGCTACACTGCAAGGCTACGAAAAGTGACCTCGTCAAGTAAAGGTAGAAGGTGAAATTTCGTGGTATCATCATTACATATATGTTTATTTCCTCCCGCTCACTCGCTCATGACTGCCTCAGCACCTTATCCAAGGCGCCGACCAGCGTGGGAATGTGCGCCTCCTCAAAGATGAGCATGGGCCTCAACCGCACCGTGCAGACACCACACGTCCCGATATTCACGCCCAGGCTCTTCATCCCCTTGACGAGCGCGGGCGCGTCGACCGTGTCAAAGGCAATGTACGTCCCCTGCCCCTTGCCGCGCAGGTTGCGGATGTGGTCCGGGTACGTGCGCGCCAGGGCCTCGAGTTCCCCGTACAGAACGTCGCCGACGCGCGCCGTCTGCTGCACGAGGTCCCGCGACACAATCTCCTCAATGACGGCCTTGCTCATGAGCACGCGCGCTGGGTCGCCGATCCAGGTGTTGAACTGGCGGTACGCCTTGTCGGGGACGAGCATGGCGTCGCCAAAAAAGTAGCCGGCCGTCTGGGCCTTTTTGGAAAAGGTGACCATGTCCGGGGGCGACGTGAGCTTCCAGTGCTCGTGGCCCCAGAAGGTGCCGGTAGCGCCGAAGCCGGTCTGGACCTCGTCGACGATGAAGACGACGTTGTGCTTGTGTGTAATGTCGCGCAGACCCTGGAAGAAGGCGGGCGAGGCGTGGTTGTCGCCGCCCTCGGACTGGATGGGCTCGACGATGAGGGCGGCCACGGGGCACGACCACTCGGTAATGAGGCGCTCGACCTCGACGAGGCAGGCGGCCTCCTCGGCCTGGTTAGCCTCGACGTGATCCTCGAGGGGGTACTTTAGGGCCGGGAAGGGGGCCTGGGGCCAGTCGAACGAGGGAATGTCGAGTTTGTGCACGGCCTTGCTGCGCGTGCACGAGAGGCTGCCAAAGCCGCGGCCGTGGAAGGAGTTTTTAAAGCTGAGGACGGCCAGGTCCGGGGAGCCGGGCTTGGCGTTGCGCAGGCACGAGTTGATCTCGTCGGCAGACCACTCGACGCCCTCACCACGCTCGCGGCGGCGGCGCAGCATGAACGCCGCCTTGAAGGCGAGCTCGTTGGCCTCGGAGCCGGACTGGGCGGTGAAGATCTTGTCGAGGCCCTGGGGCGCGACGCGCAGCAGGCCGTCGCGCAGGATGGCGGCCCAGGTGGCGCTGGGAAAGTTGCCGAGGGCAGGGCGGTTGACAAGGGCGGAGATCATGTCGGGGCTCTTGGCGGCCTCAATGAGGGTGGAGTTGTTGTAGCCGACGGGGATGGAGGCGATCTGGGAGTAGACGTCGAGGAAGCGATTGCCGTCCACGTCGACAATGTAGTTGCCCTCGCTGCGGTCGTAGTCGACGACAAAGTGGACGGCGCGCGAGTCGAAGACGGCGTCGAGCTGCTTGGCCGCCGCCCGTGACTTGGGGCCGGGCACCTCGGTGGTGACGGCGTGCTGGAGGAGGCCGGGCATGTTGCTCTGTGTCTGTGCTTGCTGTACTTGGTCCTGGAATGTGCCGGAGAGGAAGGCTAAGGTTGGATGTTAGTCAGAGGTGATGGAGAGGAAGAAGGGGGACCAGCCTTTCCAGGATGACGACGAAGACATGGCTTTTAATCGTGCGCGTGGGCGACGTGAACCCGGGCGAGGCGTGCCGGTTCCTGGCACGTCACTGATGAGAATTGCATCGTATGGAGAACTTCCATGCAGAAGCCGCATCCAAAATTGGAGCTGGGGAAGCTGGCGTCGATCGGGCTCGGGAGTGTCTGGGTGGCACCGGCACGACCGGCTGTGCGGGTGGCCCAGTTGGAGATGCTGCCGCCGCTGAAGAGACTGAACTACTAATTTTCCAATGCCATGCGGCTGCCGTTGTGGTTTCATCGACTGCTCCATTGTTTGCTGCTTGGGTGATAGATGCGTGGAGGCCGTGATAGGAGGAGACCAAGTGAAGCTGGGCAGCCGCTGCGAGTACTCTCACATCTCGCCTGGAACCATGATCTACACTGACAATTCATCAAGAAAATGTTCTCTACTAATTACGCCACAGGCCTCGCATTTGAGAACTGGAGACTGAGGGTGCCCTTGGCGTCTTGGGCACCGGCCCGGTGCGCCAAGACGGTCTGCCGGCCCCACTCCGGTCTCCGACGCCGGAACCGCCAGGCATCTGAATCCGCCTTGGTTCGTGCCGGCAATTGCCTCTGATCTTTCTACACGTAGAGTTTTTGGATAAGTCGTTGGTCATCTAGCAACTGACAAAGTCACCCCGGATCGTTCCTCTGCTGGACGTGAATGCTGCATGTCTCGTCCGTCCATGCAGTCCTCGACGCTGGACGCACACATGACCAGCCGGCACACACCACCCACGCCACGCCAAGATGACGGTCGGACTGTCTGGTTGTTTCCTGTTTGGTCGACTTGGCAGTTGGATATTGGTGCGAACAGAGGCTGGACCTTCTCGGGCGAGTTCCCATCACTGGGCGAAGCATCCCCTCTGTCGTGGTTCACGCCTTTGGCCTTGAACACGACACGACCATGCTTTATTTCCAACAAGTCACTTTCCTGTTGGTCGTGGTAAATGACTCCAAAGAGAACTCTCCTGAGCCTTTTGAGCCTTTTGAACCTTTTGAGCCTGTAATGAAGCAGCCCACGCAGTAGGTACTCGCTGGAAAGGTGCACTTGCGCTAGCACCCGGGCTCCTCTCCTCCCAACAGCCTGCTGGATCCAACTCGACGACAACCAAAGGCAATTTCGGTCAGATTCCTCGTACCCATAGGCGACTCAGTGAGACAGAGCTTGCCTCGCGCGCCCGTATCACCAGCCTCATGACCGTGGTCGCCATGCATGCACGTTGTCCCCCGGTCCCACGACCGATGCTCCCCAACACAGTCACCAGGGCACACACACCTGCCGTGGTATGTAACATGAAAACTAAGAGGCATGTCTCTCCGCCTTGTATTTCACTCTAAAATGGGTCTCGGGTGTTGTACTCGAAAAATAAGTGGCAGTCCACAGTTGATATTAACACCATAAGGGTATCCAACGGTATATACGGAACGAGTATATCAAAGAGAAGAGAAAGTAGACGAGTGAAATAAAGACCCAGAGACGCCAACCATGCTTAGTGTGTACAACATGCCAAATCAGACGCAGATCTCACGCAGCGCATCAACCCAGCTCGCGCCCATGCATATCTCGCAGGACTCAAATAACGCCCGCAACAGCACTATGCCTCCACCTCTGTCGCCGACATGCTCCGCGGTCTCCTCGGCTTGAGCAGAGGCGGCACGTCCGCGACCAGGCCGGCGCCGATCCGGCCGCTCCGCAGGGCTATCCAGTGCTCCCGCAGCCGCTCCTCTTTCATAACGAGCTCAAAGCCAGCCAGGAAGCAGAAGCTGATCTCGAGCCGCGCCAGCTCGGACTCACTGACGCCACCGACGCGGGCAATCTTGCGGTGCAGATAGGGCAGATCCTCGAGGGCCTTGGTTGCGATGCGCAGCGCCGCGAGCACGAGGCGGTGCACATTCTTGCGGGTCACGGGGATGGCGCGCTGGTCAATGGCCAGGGTGTAGATGTAGAGCGACGCGGCCAGGTAGACAGCCGTGCTCATGGGGCAGAACCGGTGCAGGCGCGCGAGGTACTCGGCGATGCTGATCGGGGGCTCGAGCTTGCTGTAGAACTTGCGCGTGATGGCGCCGTGCTGCGCGTTGAGCACCGACTGCTCGTCCGCCGTGATGACGGCCGGGTACTCGAGGGCGGCGAAGGAGGGGGACGCCGGGATCTTGAGGCGCACGCCGTCGACTTCGACGGGGGCGGCGGTGGTCTGCTGTATCATGGCCTGGCTTGCGGCCTGGGCGCGGCTGAGGTTGGGTGCTGCCTCTGGGTGTTGCTGGGCGAGGGGCACACGATCGGGGGTCGCGGTGCGCGAGGGACTCGACCGCGCGATGCTGTCCTTCTCAGCCTGGAGTCCGGTCATCTGGGGGTCGGTGGGCGTGCGCGGCGGCGGCGTGGGGGGCACGTCGCCTGTGATGCGGACGAGGGTCTCGAGATTGGCGCTGAGGAGGTGCAGGGCGTCGATGGCGGGCAGCGTCGCGAGGTTGTACTCCTCGTGCGGGGTGAGCTGGAGCATGGCCGGCTGGGTCATGCTTGTGTCTGTGTCTGTGTTTGTCGAGGCGGCCATTGTCGGGGGGTGCGTCTCTGTGACTATGGGCGAGCGAGGGATGGACGTGATCCGGCCGTTGGCATCCTCGGGCGGCGGGCGGCGGGCGGCGGAAAGCTGATAAGACGCTCGCAGAGAACAGACTAGATGGCGCGAGGATCACGGGCTGGTCGAGCGAAGGATGATGATGGACGAGGCAGAGTAGACCGACAGAGAGACAGGCAGACCCTGGCTGGAGTCCCGAGCCGTGGGACGAGATTGGAGTCGAGATGGCGGGGCTCGGTCGCTCCTGCTTGTTGTTGAAGGTGACCAGTGGCTGGGCGAGTGAGGGGTCCAGCCAGGCGAGCAGGCAAGAAGGCAGGCAGGCAGGCAGGCAGGCAGGCAGGCAAAGTGCATATGCAAGTCGCGTGTGATGGAGAGTGCAGGTCCGGATAAAATCAAGTCAAGTCAAGTCAAGTTCAACGAGCACAAGTCCAGTGATGGCCCTGATTGATAATAATATTTTCATTTTTTGTACCGTCCCAATTGCGGAGCCGACAGAGGGACAGTGAGGAAGATCGGAGCCCAACGCACGCACAACTCGTGTAAATGGGGCGCGTGGACCGGCTCTCCTCACATCGTGACATTCGCCCCTGCGGCCACGCACTGGGCCATCAATTTCTACAGCGGACAAAGGCCGACTCCCTCAGACTTCCATTCGTCGGCTGGCTGGATCTTATTGGCCTAGCTTGCTGTGCTCACCGACGACGATGCTGCTTTCGGTCGCGGGAGGCGCCGATCTCGCGCTGGTCACTGGGCTCTAACGTTAGTAGTACTACCGATGTCGACTCTTCTTCTTCTTCCGGACGACGGCCTTCTTTGACCGCGAGTCAGGCGCTGGCTCTCAGTGATTCCCAAGAGGTGGCACGACAGATACTCCAAAGTTTTCATGTGACAGACCGACCACGCAGGCGTTGGAGGCTTTTGGAGAATGGCAAATGGCTAGCATGCCAAGCTGGATCAAGAGGCACCCAAAAGCTTGGCCGCAATAGCAACGCGCTAGCATCGATCACCGGGCGTTCTGGAACTTTTCTGCCCTCTTATTTCCACCGTGGACAAGACGGCCAGCAGTCACAATCTTCACGACGACCCACGGGCTCTCCCTCGCCACATGCTTCCTGCGTACCCTATAGGCCAGAGCTTGCGAGTCATGGACAGTCTTCATGAATCAAAGACCGCCCTGTTCCAATCAGGCAATTGAAGTGCATTCGCGCTCCGGCCCTCATCAGCCCTCGTCTGGCTACTACGCAAGTACTACCGAATCGCGCAGTCCACGACAGCCGCCGTCCCAGCCTTGACCCTCTCCACCGCCTCACGCAGCACGTCCTCCAACGACTCCGCCCTGTCCACGCGCAGCGCATGTATCTTACCATGGCTCGCCGCCCGTGCGATGCCCGCATAGTCCGGCGGCGGATCCAGCGCAATATGCACATCCGCGTTCGTCGCTCGCGACGCGGGCCCGTCCGGGTGCACCAGCAGTAGCGACCGACGCGGCGCGTGCCATCCCTTGTTGTTGAGCACAATCGTTAGCACGGAGATGTCGTACCGCCCGGCGATCCAGTACACGCTGCTCGGCACGCTGAACATGTACGTCCCATCGCCGACGATCTGGACTACGAATTGGCCTTTGTTGACACCGCCTGCCTCGGCGTCCGTTGCGAGCTTGATGCCTAGCGTGGCGCCGCCTGACCAGCCGAGGCCCGTCCCGCCGCAGTTGAGGTATGTGCCTGGCTTGGAGAGCTGGAGGGCGTCGTGGATGGCTGTCGTGGTCGTGACCGCCTCGACCGCGTAGATGGTGTCCTCTGGCACCAGCGTCTTGAGCACGCGCGCTAGGTAGCCTGCGCCAATGGTGCCATCCTCGTGGGGAACCGAGGTCTTTTCAATGTGTGCGATTCTCTTCTCGTGGGATGCGCGACGCTGCTCTCCGGCTTCCGTGTGCGTCGGGTGGCCGGGCGCGTTGACCGCTGGGCCATGCTGCCGCAGCGCCCTCGTGATCTGCTGCACGGCCGTCAGGGTATCGGCGCGGTACCGTCCCTCGGCTTCAAAGTAGTACAGTTGCATGCTCGGCTTGAGAGGATCGACGTCGATCTGGAAGATCTTGGCGTCTTCGTTGGGCTTGCCCAGCGTGGGCACCCAGGGCATGTCACAATCCAGCACGACGATCACGTCTGCCTCGGGCACGGACCCGTCCACAGCGTATCGTAGTCCAAGCCATGCCGGGTGGTTGGCGGGAAACGACATGTCGCTGCCGCCTGCGTCGATCACCCGAAGCGCAGGCACAGCATCAGCCAGCTTGGCCAGAGCACCGGGCACCTCGTGTCGACGACCGCCATACCCCGTGATCAGAAGAGGTAGCTTCGCCCCGGCCAACGCCTCTGCCACGTCCGCTGCTGCGTGCTCAGGCAGGCCTCCTAGTTCAACAGGCTGCCACTGACGTTGCCTTACCTGGTACGGCTCCATCTCTTGCTCTAGCACCTCCCTCGACGCACACAGATACACTGGTCCCTGTGGCTGGCTCCTCGCAATCTGGATGCCCCTGTTGATCATCTGCTTGATATTGAGACCTGTTTTCACCTCGGCCGTGTACCGACAGTACTGGCTGACAATGGCCTTTTGGTCGGGCACATCCTGCATCCACTGGCTCCATTCCGTGCGGGTGCCGCGCAGCTCGCCCTCCTGCGTAAAGGCCGACTGGCCGCAAAAGACAAAGACGGGGGCGCGTCCCGCCGAGGCGTTGTGCACGGCCGCCCCCAGGCCCTGCGTGCCCACGTCGACGTGGATCAGCACGCACTGCGGCTTGTTGGTCACGCGCGCATAGCCATCCGCCATGGACATGGCCACCATCTGGTCTGTCAGAAACTGTAAGGTCGGCCTTCTTATGGTCGCTTACCTCGTTGGGGCAGGTGATGATGCGCGGAAAGTTGGTCTTGCCCTTGCCCTGGACCATGGCCTCGAGGATCGCCGGGTGGTCGGAGCCCAGGTTGACGAAGCAGTGCGTGATGCCGGCGTCCCAGATCGCCTCGAAGAAGGCTGTCGACGCAGTGTAGCGACCCTCGACTGCCGTCGTCGAGGAGGCAGTAGTCGAAGAAGCGTGCCTGCGGACAGCAATGGGGCTTCTGGGCTCGCCATGGCGTCGTCGGCAGCGACCTGATGTGGCCATTGATGTGGGCGTAATGGTACACGCGCTCATGGCGCGTGCTTGGACTCGCAAGGCTGGCGCCAGACCAGCGAGTCCCGGTCGTTTTGGGAGCATCTTGGCAGTCTACCTCGATACAACGACAGGCTGCCAACCAGTATCATAGAGATTGGAGTGAAAAGAGAAGGAAGAGTCCGAGAAGTAAAACGAAGAGTCCCAGACGTTGACACTGATCATGGCATGGCGTCGGCCAATGCCGCCTCTGCCCGCACACCCGCATGCAACCCCAGTCCAGTCTCCGCCTGCCGAGCCATTAAGTGAGGGGGGCCGATAGACTAGACTAGACTAGTATGTTAGGCTGCTCCTCTCGTCGGGGTTCTCGGGGATTATTCATACAATGCAAGATAGTATAACTAACAGGATATGATATAGTACAGCACACAACCCTCACAAAAAAATGTCTCTAGGACACCATTCCTGCTATCGCCCTTTCTTTGCTTACTGCCGATTGCCTGTCCTCTGCCCCTCGCTCTACTACATGCTATCCACCCATAGCTCTTCAAGGGTTGGTTTGGTTTCAGGATCTTCATAGCACCGAGGAAACCTATACTTAAACGCGAGGGCGTCGAACTCAATCCCGGATCGTTTCCTCGAGGCGCAACTCCAACCCCAGAGCAAACCGCGCAAAGACGTTGGTGGTGACTTCCTCGTACTCTGTGAGATCCATTGCCCCCTCCTATCTCTTCAGGGCCATGGACGGCAGCGAGACGGCGACTGCGTTCCGGCACGACTCTACGAGCATGGCGGATTTCTCTTTGAGAGTTTCGATGACTATCTCGTCGTACGTCCCTGAGATGCTCCCTGAGTAGTCAAACTCGAGCTCGTCGAGACGGGGGCTGGCAAATTGATCGCCACAACAGATCACGTACTTCGATGTGAGCAGGATAAAGTACGGCGACAGGGTGAGTATTCTGAGTCGCGAGAAATTCCAGAGGGTGAAGCCATTCACGGAGATGAATGTGCGATGAACGTTTTCGCCGGGCAGATAGATATGCTCGAGGGACTCGGCCAGGTCGCGGTTGGAATGGACCCCAAGACCGGCCACGTTGCCCGAGAACGGCGACCGTCCGTCTTGGACGATCAGCCTGAGGACCTTGATGTTCGTGCACTGGCGGAGGAAATCCCCCGACACTGGCGTCGAAGCCTGGAACGGCAATGAGCTGCATCTCAAGCTCCCGCACGCTGAGCGGACCTCCTTTCCGCTGCTGTCGTGGAGATCTCGAGGTCAGCCAAGGAACGAAAGCCGTACGTACGTGCGTGCTTGGGGGCTAGTCTCTATCGAGAAAACTTACCTTCACCTTCATCTCAGCCGGGGGATATATGTGGCCCAGCGAGGCAGCAACTTGAAATCCCCTCACGATGAGCTTGTCAAGGTTTCTCATGTACAACTTGTCCTCATCCAGATTCGAAGGCAGCGCTAGAAGCGACGCAGCAGACTTTCTCATGGAGGCGTACGACTTTCCATACATTGTCATGCCTCCCTCAAGCGTCAGCTTGGTCACAGGCCAGTCCCGGACATGCTGCAGGTCACATCCCATCCAAACATGCTCCTCCTTCCCCCTCGTCGGCAAGGAGCCCGAGGATGTTCACATGCGTCACAGATCGTAGCATTCGAATCACAGCTTCAATGTTTTTCGGGTTCACGGGCTTTGCAAACTCATCCTCCTCGCCAGTGAGAGGAAGGCTGTGAGGGCTCTGGCGGACCATAAACCCTAAGGCGTGGTAGAAGATGACTCTTTTGACCGCATGGCATCGGCCTGGCCGGCTTTTCAGGGCCTTGAGGATCGTGGACGCGCTGCGCTCTGACCATTTTCCTGGGTCCTCTGCCTCGAGAAGCAGGCGATCGGTGTCCAGTGCATAGCCGATCGACAAGGTGCTCCATGCGATGCTGTCTCCCACGTCGCGGAAACGCTGACAGGTCAGGAGAAGCGGGAGTGACGCCCTGTGCCGTTTCCATTCGGCCTCAATCACTCTGTCTGGTTGTGGTAGAAGGTGAGGTCGTGCTCGAGGGTCATTTTCAAGATGGTGTGCAAGACCTCGTTGGGGAGTCTGAGGATGTGACATGGAGGCGAGGCGCCGTCCATCCATGGCGCTGATTGTCGGTTGGGAGCCATGCTGAAAGCTCGTTATGATGATGAGAAAGAGTCGACCTTGAGCATCGTGAGGACTGAGGGTTCAGGAGTCTGGAGACATGGACGTGGGTTTGATGACATGACCAGGGTCCCCTGAGGCCTGTCCCCGTTTAACCCACGATGTCCTGCCTACACTAAATAAAAGCGAATGTGTTCATGATGTCCAATCCAACACTATTTCTGGCCGCGCGGCAACGGCTAATTATAATGAGAATAAAAACACAGGGGCCGCAATCACCAAAAACGAGACCATCAGCCATGTACCTGGCCGCAAATGGCCCATGGCAGCATCCTTGGCAGTGTTCTACCCTGCCGGCTCGATGCTCTGAGGGTTACGAAAGACATTCTTCGGATCCCACTTTGCCTTGATCTCACGCAACCTCGTGAGATGCTCTCCCCAGTAGAATTCGTTCGCCTCCTCCCGGGTGAGCGTGGGGTCGATGTAGCCGGCATATGTCGAGTTAGCGTTCGGGGCGCCCTCTTGTATCCTCTCCTGCAGTCCGTCCACAAAGCCATGCGTAGCACTTGTGATCGAGGGGAAGCCGACGACGTAGGATTGGTACATGATGACTTTGTCGCGGTGGGGATAGGAGTTTCCTTCAATAAAGTCGCCCATGGCGCCACCTTCTGAGTTCCACATGATCACCCAGGCAAGGGTGCCTTTGTCTGCATCCTCAACATACTTGAAAATTTCGCCTATTGCATCGTTGTTCAGCAGATCGCTCTCTCTAAAGGCAAGCGAGCGGCTAGTAAAGGCCGTTGGTGTATGCGCAATTTGTAGACCGCCGAGCTCGGCCTGATGTGCCAGCGAGCCCACCCAGCCAACGAGCTGGAAGTTCAGATCACCACCGCCAGGCAGCCTGCCGGCTATACCCGTCTCCTCGTATTCTTCTGCAGTGCCGTAGAACGTCCCCGTCACGAGAGCGCCCAACGGATGGACTATGAACAGAGTAGAAAAGCGTCGATCAAGGTCAGGGTCGCCCGCAAGTGCTTGCCAGTCTTCGAATACATCTGCCATCTCTTCCGGTGAGCCAAAGGTGATACTGTAGGTATACTCGACGACCTTGCCAGGCTCCGTATGCGTGTGGATCTTGAACTCAGTGACGATGCCGAAGCTGCTACCGGCGCCTTTGATTCCGAAGAAGAGATCTGCGTTCTCGGTGTAGCTTGCTCGTACGATGTCACCGTCCGCGGTGACCAGCTCTACCTCTTCTACGTGATCGAGAGCGCTTCCCCACATGCGCGACATGGGGCCAAGCCCGCCCTGCGCACGTCAGCAGTAGAATATCAAGCGCATCCCAAAGAACTCACGATGGTCGCATGTCCTCCGATCCCTACGCTCGGACAAGTGCCATGCGCCATTGCACGCCCGCCATTCTCGTGAAGGTGCTTATCTAGTTCTCCCAGTCGGAATCCGGACCCGAAGCTTGCCTCCCAGGTATCCTCGTTCATCTTGAAGTCTTGCAGGTTGACCAGATCCACCATGACGGCTCCATCCTCGCCTCCCGTGCCGAAGTTACTAGATTAGAAACATCAGCAATGATCTCGTTTCGTCCAACAGGCAACCGACGCGTAGGAATGACCCCCGGACTTTGCCTGCACAGCTGTGTCGTGTTTACTCGCGCACTTGACGGCTCCAGCTACATCCTTAGCATTGTCGGGGCGGATGACAGCGGCAGGTACGACGGGGAGATCGAGGTTGTAGGGCTTGACCCAGTCTAACTGGTAGAACCAGATGGTTGGGAATGCGACACAGTCGCTGCGGCCGTCACAGACGGCCTTGAGGCAATCTGCGAGAGACATTTGTTGTTTGGTGAGGTAGAAGGGCTAGGAGTGAGTTATAGGACATGTGCATGTTCATGGAAGGAAGAGAAGTCGGGGAAAAGTCCTATTTCACAGGTCTCCGGACACGTGAAGCATCCAGGAGCAACCATGAGCAGTCGCCACCGAACGGTACCTGCCAATGTATCCAAACTTTCACTTTTCAGGTAAGCACGAGACTGACTCTGAGGAATCCGCCTCCATGATTGACAATGCCAACCGCTCAATGATAGGTCATGGCTGTTTTACAGCTTGGCAATGACAGCCTTGTGCAATCAAGCTGTTTCGGCACTGAACATTGCGGCTGCTGGTATCAAGTTGCCAGGTTCACAACGCTCTTTGGCGGCTTTGAAGGAGAAACTCGTGTAGCTCGCCTGGCGGATGCAACCGAGCCCAGTGAACTGCCGAAGCACCTCGAAGAGGGTTCTCCAGCGGGAAAGGGAAGGTAGGCATATGTGCCTTTTTAGGGTCGCTACTCAGGTCTCTGCACTTCTTCAGCGAGCGTATCAACAACATCTGGCGAGTGCGTGTCTCAGTAGATCATGCTTAACGAGATGCGCAAGGGACTCAGGGCTTGTTCTCGAGCTTCTTCTGGGTAGCTTTTGTTGTGCCTTGTGGCTTCGCCCATCTTCGCCAGTCGCGCTCTTGTACGACAGAGGCGACGCTAGGGGACACACCACGCCTTGATCTCCTGATTATTTGGCCCAAGGACGAGGTGTGAGATTGTAACGTTCTCGCGCTTCACACGCAGAAATTCTAGACGCGGCTGATCGAGTTTCAGGGTGCACTCGCTCTGGTCGTCGAGGCAGAGAACAGCCAAGTCACGAACGTCAGCACGTTGCGTCCAGGCACTGTCAAGCTGCAGTCGCGCGAGCAACCTCGAAAAGAAGAGAACTGACCAAAGTGTGTGACATTGCGCTGGAGGAGGGGGGTTCAAAGTCAACCTGTGACGCCATGACGCAGCCTTGCGCGCCTCTGCCAGCCCGCTCGCGTGGTTTGCCGTGGACTGGAATTAGCCGCCTCTAGTCAGATCGACGTCGAATGTGAGTGTCTTTTGGCGACTGCTATCTTGAATTATCTTGAGCTTCGGCATCCTCGATGTACATTTAAATGATAATGCGATTGCTACTAGAATATAATCCCAGCCCAGCCAAGCCTTGAGCGTGGAGCCCAGAGGGAGCAGAGCAGCGCGACGTCATCGATACCTCACAAAGCCGCGCGATCTTGATCATGGCGACATCACGGCAGAGTGGGATATTTGACGCGTCCCCTGCCTCAGCCTTCATCTTTTCAACTTCCTAGGAACCAAGACAGTCGCCAGACAGTAGACCCCACACGATTCCACGATGCCTGGCGAAGTGATAGACCAGCCCAACCCCCCGGCTCTGCCCAGTCACCTCCCAGACAGAACCCTGGAGCTGGCTGTCAAGGTTGACAAGACACTCCTCAGGAAGGAGGATGCTCAGTCACTCAATGACTTTCAACACGCGGCGTGCTACATTGCTGGCTGTGAGTACGACGACATCTCTCCAGGGTACCTACGTCTAATATGACCACAGCCATGATCTTCCTCCGCGACAATGTGCTCATAGAACAAGACCTCCAACTTGAGCATGTCAAGCCAAGACTCCTTGGTCACTGGGGTACCTGTCCTGGTCTCATTCTCGTCTGGTCGCATCTCAACCTTCTCATCAGGGATCATGGCATGGACATGATCTTCGTCATTGGACCAGGCCACGGTGCCCCCGCTGCTTTGGCTGCCCTCTGGCTCGAGGGATCCTTGGAGCGATTCTACCCCAAAAAGTATACCGTCAACAAGGACGGCTTGAAGAATCTCATCACAGGATTCTCCGTGCCCGGAGGCTTCCCTAGCCACATCAATTCCGAAACGCCCGGATCCATCCACGAGGGTGGTGAGCTGGGTTATGCCTTGGCCGTGTCTTTCGGTGCCGTCATGGACAACCCCGATCTCATCGTTACTTGTGTCGTTGGTGATGGTGAGGCCGAAAGCGGTCCCACAGCAACAGCGTGGCACGCCATCAAGTACATTGACCCTGCCGAGTCTGGTGCCGTGTTGCCCATTCTGCACGTGAACGGCTTCAAGATCAGCGAGCGCACCATCTTTGGCTGCATGGACGACAAGGAGATCGTGTCTCTCTTCTCAGGCTATGGCTACCAGGTCTGCATCGTAGAGGACCTCGAAAACATTGATGGGGAGCTGCATGGCGCCATGGAATGGGCCGTTGCCGAGATCAAGAAGATCCAGACTGCTGCGCGCTCGGGCAAACCCATCGTCAAGCCCCGCTGGCCCATGATTGTCATGCGCACGCCCAAGGGCTGGACTGGCCCCAAGAAGATTGACGGAAAGTTCATTGAGGGATCGTTCAATTCTCACCAGATCCCTGTACCCTCAGCCAACAAGGACGAGAAGTACCTGAAGCTGCTCCAAGAGTGGTTGCAGAGCTATGATGCCGGACGCCTTCTCAAGGGCAGCAAACCCATTGACAGCATTCTTTCAATTCTTCCCAAAGACAGCTCCAAGAGGCTTGGTCAGCTCAAGATGACCTACGATCCACACAAGGCTCTGGACCTGCCAGACTGGAGGCCCTTGGCGGTCGAGAGGGCCCAACATATCAGCAGCATGAAGCAAACGGGCAGGTTCCTGGATCAAGTTTCCCAGGCGAACCCAAAAAGCTTCCGTGTCTTCTCCCCCGACGAGCTCGAGAGCAACAAGCTGAGCGCCATCCTGGACCACACCGGCCGCAACTTCCAGTGGGATCAATACTCCCGCGCCCAGGGCGGCCGCGTCATTGAGATCCTGTCGGAGCATTGCTGCCAAGGATTCATGCAGGGCTACACGCTGACCGGCCGCACCGCCCTCTTCCCCAGCTACGAGGCCTTCCTGGGCATCGTCCACACCATGATGGTGCAGTACTCCAAGTTCAACAAGATGGCGCACGAGACCGACTGGCACGGCGACATTAGCTCCATTAACTACGTCGAGACCAGCACATGGGCGCGCCAGGAGCATAATGGCTTTTCCCACCAGAACCCCTCCTTCATCGGAGCCGTGCTCAACCTCAAGGCCGAGGCCGCCCGTGTCTATCTGCCCCCGGACGCTAACTGCTTCCTCAGCACCATTCACCACTGCCTGAAGTCCAAAAACTACGTCAACCTCATGATCGGTTCCAAGCAGCCCACGGCCGTCTATCTCTCGGAGAAGGACGCTGCCGAGCACTGTAAGCGGGGCGCTTCCGTCTGGAAGTTTGCCTCTTCCGAGGAAGAGGGCCAGGAGCCGGACGTGGTCCTCGTGGGTATTGGTGTTGAGGTGACATTCGAGGTGATTGCTGCCGTACAGGTCCTCAAGAAGCTACTTCCCAGCCTCCGCGTGCGTGTGATCAACGTCACGGATCTGATGGTCCTCGCCGCCGAGTCACGCCACCCGCACGCCTTGCAGCGTGCGAACTTTATCGACATGTTCACCGACGACCGGCCAGTGCTCTTCAACTACCACGGATACGCCGCGGAGCTGCAGGGTCTGATCTTTGGACGCCACAGGCCGGAACGCATGTCTGTCGAGGGCTACAAGGAAGAGGGCAGCACAACGACGCCCTTTGACATGATGATGCTGAACCAGGTCAGTCGGTACGACCTGGCCGCCAGGGCTCTGCGTGCCGCGGCTGGCAGAGACGACAAGGTCAAGAGCAAGCTCGACGAGCTGGTACGGAAGATCGAAGAGGAGGTGGCCGAGATCAGGGAATATATCACAGCCAATGGCAAAGGTAAGCTGGCCGATCGAAACGTGGTGATCAAGACTGACAGCTACAGACCCCGATGACATTTATGAAATGCCGAATATTTAAGTAAGGAGCGATTCAATAAGGTAGTTATAGCCAGAGGGAGTGATTGAACGCCAAGATAGCACTGTGAGACAGGGGACGAAATCGGGGCTTTGTGCTATTGACAACCTATACATATTTATGTTATTTGTCGGTATGTTTGCCTTGATTAGTTATGCTATATATTCGGCTTATACCACTACTTGACGCTTTTTTATGTTTTTTTAGTATTAGTATCTTCTTTAGATAAAGAATAATCAAACGGCCTCGACTGTTCTCTGGAGCACTTCCCCTCATCAGGCACCCTATGCATCAGGGAACATTGCGAGGTGTACACAGTTCAAGACGGAGATCCATGCGGCTCGATCAGATTGGCCAATGACATCAACAAAGCCGAGTTGCGAGCCTGGAATCCAGACATCCATGGACGTTGTGACAACATCGAGGACAAGGTCAATCAGACGATCTGCGTTTCAAACTCTCTCGGAGACTACACCGTCCCCGATAACAGCCCCTGAGAAACTCCCGCACCGGTGCCTGATAATGCCGACAGTCTGGGTTCCCCCCAGCCCACGAGCACCGAACGAGACGGTAGGTTGCGTTGCCTGATTCCCTGCCATCATCAGAGATCAGCGATTCTTCGACCAAAAAATGTGAAAGTCGAAGTGCTTTTTGCTTTTTCTCTGACTTGGGCGAGTATTGTAAGACCTGTACACCACCACCATCACTAGGCTCAAGCAATACAATGGAATCTCGTCAGGCACTGGGAGCCTATTATTCTCATCGAAAATGGGCTCTCCAGTGGGACGCACGATGGTTCCATCGACAAGCTCCTCAATCCTCAGGGGGCGGCTAGCGTGAGTGAGGAATTGCAAGAAGCGAAATGCCTTGGCCAGGCGATTTGAAGAATCGAATCGATGATACGGGTGTAGGTTTCATCCAAAGACGGGGGGAGCGACTGGAGCGCATCTTCAAGCTCCTGGTAATCGCAGCACCCTTCCAGCATTGCGAGCTGGCAGGTGGCCGAACGAAACCTGCATAGGCGCGTCAGTCGGGGTCATACTGCTCAAAACATCCTTGGGGTTGATGAAGCCACATACATCCCGTCTCTTTTTTTCTTTCTTTTTTTTTTTTCTTCTTTTTTTTTGGTTTTTTTTTTCGCAATGCGGTCACAATCTTCGTCAAGACAGTTGGCCTCTTGCGGCAGTGACTTAGCTCTTCACCGTGATATACCTTGTCGTGGATGACCTCGCATATGCCTGGGTCAATGAGACCGGCCCCGAGGAACACATCTGCCCTCGGAGGAGCCCAGCTTCGGATGGAAGATTCAATGTCATGCGTTGGGCGGCTGGTTGTGATGAGTTGCAAGTGCGTATTCCTCCCGCATACGTCTTGCAGCCATGCAAGCAGCATGTTTTTCGTGATACATTCATCGAGTGCATCTATAACCACGCGTAAACGCTCCACTGCGCCCGCTATGGCACTGAAAGTCGAGATCATCTGGGCAACGCTAGGCTGTGATGGTTCGATGGAATCGAGAAGTTCATCGAGCGGTTTATGGGTACTGGGCGATATGCAGTAAAGCTGGTACAGTAGCGAGTGCAGCATGTCTTCAAAAAATTGCTTTGCTTTGTCGCTGAAGTCGAAGAAGAAGTACAGCAGAATCCCCTTTTCTTCGAGGAGGCTCTGGATAATTGTCGAGCTGAGGACTGTTTTGCCACAACCAGCCATTCCATGAAGCGAGAGAAAAGCATGAGAGGACGGTTTTGTTCGCCAAGCTCCGTATTCTTCGCTGTCGAGAAGCCATTGCCCCGTTCCATGGAAGCGAGCGGACAGAGCACGGTTGTAGTTTGTGGATGGATCACACGGGGACAGCCACTGACGGATTTTGTCTATTTTCGTGTTTTCGATAATGACGTTGGTCAAATCTCGGACCTCTTGAACTGACTCTTGAACTTGTACCCGTCAGCCTTTGTCTTCCCCTGCATAGAAGCGTCCAAGACGTCATGTAGTTCGGCGCCATCTCAATCTGATAGAGTCGCAGTACTCACGGTCGAGCAAGACTCTGTTCTCAGCATCGACCCGCTGCGGGCTGATCCTGCCAAGCAGTCCCTTCGCATATGCTGCAGCTGTCATTGCTGCGTACCCTTGCCAGATTTTGTTCTTGTGAGAATCTGAGTAGTCACATATCCCTCGGATGGCCAGGCACTTGAAGGATGGCATCAGCCCAGCTGCCTCCATCTCGAAGCAGAGGACATTCCTTTCCCCGGCTAGTGCGTCACGTATCTTGGTTTCAGGGTCAGCGTCTTCTACCTGCGTCGCGATGCGGAAACAAACCTTGGCGTCTTTCATTAGCGAATTGCTCGACGCGATGAGACCGTAATGGATTTGGGTGCCCTTTTCGTAATCAAGCCTGTCCGGTCTCGTGATAATCACATCCGACGCATTGCCACACCCGGTCATGCAAGATTCGGGCGCCTTCCCGTCCGTGTGGACGACGTCGCTGTGGTACAGCAGATCTGACTCGGGGTCCGGCTTCTGGCACTGCTTCTTCGCGCGAGGATTGGCGGCAAGTATACTTGTAATCGTTTCGTCGATGGTGTGGCCATTTATCTGATGTTCAATGCCAAGATTCTGCACAGCAGATAACAAGATTTGGGGCGGTTGATTCAGATGCCCCGTCATTTTGAATTGCTTTCCCTGGATCGTCTTCCCAAAATCGTACTGCAGCACAGCGCCGTCGGCACCATCAGGGGTGCTCACCACAACATCACCAAGTCGAATGTCGTGGGAGCTCGTGGGAACACCGCCGCCAATGCCGACCATGAGCCCGAATCGCATATTGGTGAAAGTGCGGAGCATGTCCTTGGCGACATTGGCTGCGCTCACAGTACCGTATGAGCCCTTTGGTAAACAGGCTATGGCGATTTTATGTTCTCCCATACGACCAAGCGTGTACACATTGTCATCGTTCGGGTTTTGAGTTTTCAGAGGTGCATACTCTTCATCGAGGAACAACCGTGCAGCCAGATATTCGACTTTGATCGCACAGATCCATCCGACACTGTAGTCGTTCGGAGATGTCATTGAAGGGACAGAGGTACTTGTCGAAAGCTTGGGGATGTATTTAATGTGCAGAAGGAAAAAATGCACAGCAGGATGGACCTGATTTTATACTTACCTGTGAGGCAGACAACCTAAAGAGTCCTAAATGCGTCCTGTTTCGCCTTCCTGGCTGAATAGCAATGTGCATCTTTCGTGGCATTCCTTCATTGGAATCTGGTCCTTTTCCGTAAGCGCCGCTTCCCAAATGCAATCTTTAAACACGAGGCTGACGGCAGCACGCGCCTTGCAGTGGTGCGCCTACGGGACGGGGAGTGTTGATCTTGTGAACTGGCCGCGTGGAAGTGCACCTCTTGTGTCGGCTGCCCTGGCGTGAAACGGACATGGGGGTTCATGGTTGAGTGTGGTAAATTTCCGACAGGAAGAAGACGACGCCTGAAGAGCCTGTGGCAAGGAGGCTGATGAGAAGGATTTTACGTCGAAAAGATCACACTTTCCCTTGATCTTGGTGCGTAGCTGCTATCTTACCTCACCTGTACCCTTCCAGGTTACTGGCAGGCGAGCCTCACGCCATGTGTTGCCCCATGGTCCCGAATGTGTCTTCATAAAGCAGATTCAGGTACTTGTACCCTCAGGCACCTGACCAAAGTGCACTCGGGCAATGCGATCCATGATAACCGCTCATGAGCAGCCACCATGGGCCATGGCCAGGCCCACGACCCAACGACTGGACATGGAGGCCCGCAAACGCGGTCAATCGAGGCTGGACATAGGGGTGCAAAGATCAATGGCGACATGTAAAGTCCGGACATGTCGCTTGAGAGGCCAGGGCGGCAACGCCTCGTGCACGCGCGTGGAGGATTTCTCTACGTCGTATCGTCCCTCGGCGGCAAAATGCACGCGAACCGCCTTGGTCAGTACAAGTCGCCAACAACTTGTGGCGGCCGAGGCTGAGGGCGTGCGAGTAAAAGGAACCCCTGCCTCCCTGGGGCCCCTAAGGCTGACATGACTGACGCCTGTATTGACGATTCGACATGTCCCGATCCGGATTGCACAGACAGTCGTCCATCGCTTGTGAAGTCGTGAAAGTGGGGCGACAGTTGAGGCAGGCCTCGTTACGACATGCTCCTACGGATACAAATTCAATAATTGCAACTTTGCAGGGCGCTTGTCGTCCAAATGGTCCAAGATCTCGCTTTATTCCCGCGTTACACGAAATGCTTGATTACCCCACTGTTATAGGACGTGGGCGGTGGAACCCCCATCCCCCACACTCAGTCCCCGATCGCATAGCGGGAGTCGTGGCATATGTCGTGTAACTTGAATCACCTGACACCACATCAAAATTGACCAAATATCGAACTCACGCTCGCCTCTCCTTCCTGTATGTGATATCGACTTGACAGAAGTAGAACATGGCGTACGCAGGACGTTTGGCGATCATCTCCGGAGGCTTAGGTGAGTTGCACTCCCGCTCTACCCTGCCTGCCAATATCTCTGCTGACGAACACGAACGATCCCAGGCGGCCTCGGCTCTTCCATTGGATTGAGATTACAAAAGGAAGGCGCGCAATTAGCGTTGCTATATGCGCCTTTCGAGGCATCCCGTCGTAACGCTGTCCTTGAGAAGGTATATGGGGGCAGCAACCCAACAGGCGTAACAGCTGTCGAGTGTGATATTGCCTCCGACCCCAGTGTCAGAGATGCATTCCCAAGGATCGAGCAATACGTCAAGGAGAACGGCCTCTTCCCATCCATTCTCATCAACGCGGCCGGTTATGTGTCCGTGAGCCCTTTGGCCGAGACGACAGCCGAGGAGGCGACCAAAAACATTGTGCCCAACTTGTTGGGACCCATGTTCGTTGGCCAGGCGTTTCACAGATTGTACACATCCTACCCTTCCACGCAAGAGAAGCCGCCGGGCCGCATCGTCAGCATCTCGTCGCAGGCTGCACACGTGGCGCTCGATGGCCACGGGCCCTATTGCGCGTCCAAGGCGGGTCTCAACGCTTTAACGAGAACGATGGCGCTAGAGTGGAGTCCTTTGGGCATCACCTGCAACACTGTCAGTCCTACCGTTGTACTGACAGAGCTGGGCAAGAAAGCATGGGCCGATCCGGTCAAGAGACAAGCCATGGAGAGCCAGATCCCCACGGGCAGGTTTGCTCTGCCGGAGGAGATTGCGGGCGCTGTCGAGTTCCTGTGTCGCGATGAAAGTGGCATGATCTCAGGAGAGGACTTGAGGGTAGACGGCGGATATACTCAGCGTTGATCAGCCTGCCTGCCCATGAGAAAGACTATGAATTTATCCAAACAGAAAGTGCTGTCTTCACGTAAACCACCGCTCAACATTCGAGATACAACGCTGTTATGCCAATAACGCCACGCAATGCCGAGGAGCGCGAACAAAACGCCCGCTTCCTACATGGTAATCAAATCCTCTTGCGCCGGCCCTACGCCCCGTAAGAGCACAATTGTGTTGCCGCTCTGCAAGGCTGACCCGACCTTCTCATTGAACTCCAAAACTCGCCCACCCTCCACGTGAAAGACCCGCAGCTTGTCCTCCTCCTTGGCGCTCTGGTTGTTGACGTTCTGAACTTGCAGAGACTTGGCCGCCGCATCCAGGACCCTGCCGACCACCCAGTCCTGCGAGTAAAAGAACTCACCCTTGGGGAACTTTGCTTTTGCCGTCTCCGCCTCCGCCTCCACCTTGAGGTAGATTCTCTTCTCGGGCGCCAGTTTCGCATCGCCCTTTGCCGTTTTCTTGAGCTGGTTTACGGCCGCGACACGCGCAGCAGCGGAGCTAGGCTTTGGTTTTGGCAACGCCCTGCCTGCCTGCTCCTTTTGCTTGGTGCCCCAGGCCTTGAAGCGGTCCATCACTGACTTGGTCTTTTGTGCGACGTCGATCTGTATCGGGCGCGCCCCGATCGGCACGAGGTTCTTGCAGTCATGTTCCTCCTTCAGCCTGTGCTTCAGACAATAATCCCGGTTACATGACGAACAGTGGACGCCCGGGGTCAGCGATGTGCCGACCGTCGTTTTGCATGCAGGCGACGCGCAGGGCTTCTGTGACACGCGGTCGTTCAGCGTCTTGCCGGCGCCAATGACAGGCTGCGCGAGCTGTGCCTTTCGCTTCCTCTCCGCCCACGCGCCGGCTTTCGTACATTTATGCGATGTCTCGGTGCGGTGGTCGAGACAAAAAGTGTGGTCGCATGATTGGCAGCGAAAAGGTAGAAAGTCAAGTTGGTTGCAGTATTCGTACTGGCAGTGGGTGCCTACGAGAGTTGCGTCGTGTCTGTCGTGCATTTGGACGTAGCTAGTGCCTTGCTGGCCGTTGGAATCCTTTGATGATGCCATCCTGCAGATAGTATGGCCTCGGTCCCCTTATAAGTGACTTGGTGCGAAGGGCGCAGGGCGTGAATGCGTAATGCGCTTGGTGGCGTGCGTGTTGCTGACTGAAGCAGGCGGCGAAGCCTCTAGAAAGGTCTGGCCTAGAAGCGGAGATAAGGGCGCTGCAAAATGAATGTGGACAAGGCACTCTGCTGTCACGTACAGCTGATGCGGTCAAGAGAAGGCGGGCAAGTGGTAACAAAGGAGACGGAGAACTGCCTAGATTGAACTGTCTTGTGATCTGCTTTTGGAGATTCGTCGGTCTCGGTGGCATCTTGGCGCGTGCGTGCGCGTCTTGCGCATTATACCTACCCTGGGCTTATTCAAGGCCGAGTCAATGTTGCACCTTTTTAGTACTGTACTCGCGCGGGGGAGGCTCTAGGAGCATTGGTTCATTCTGATACAGGCCTTGATGATGGCAAAGCTGCACATAGAGGTTGAAACCTCACTACACTGCAAAGAGTGTTTTTCTCGTCTACATCGTCAAGGGTTTCAGCAAGATGCGTTTTGTGAATTACGAGTGACCGCGTCCGGTCGCGGAATCATCAAGGTGAGCTACGCTAGAAAGGAATAAGATAGAACACGATAAGACGCGATAAGCCGAGGGGCAGCTAAATTTTTGGAGGGGTTGCGAGTCACGTTCAATTTATATCGTGTCCGATTCGTATCGTCGCCAGTCACGAAATTCATTCCTATCTTTTCCTTGCGCAAGAGCACTGCGACTTGCGACATTGCAAATACTGACCGCCGCCGAAACCCCTATCACAATGGCACCCAACACTGAGGGCGAAGCGCCCCACAACAACTTCGACGTACGTACCACCGGTACCCTGCATTGGCTGCGAATTGCGAGCGAACCCTCTAGACGGACTGTGGAGGCGGAATTGATTCGGAAAATAGGTCATAGGCTGACATGAGGATGTATAGACTATACTCGTTCTCGATTTCGGCTCTCAAACAAGCCATCTGATCCTGCGCCGGCTGCGCTCCCTGGGCGTCTTCGCCGAGCTGCTTCCATGTACCACCAAGATCGCCGAACTCACATGGAAGCCCAAGGGCATTGTGTTTTCCGGAGGTATGCAGCCTGTTGTGCCATAGTCTGCGTCCACTTCTGACAGAAATCCAAGGTCCCGCCTCTGTCTATGACGAAGGCTCGCCCCGTGAGCTGCCCGTCTCCCGAACGTCCAATTCCTCGTACTCATACGTGTAGATGTGGACCCCGCGGTCTTTGATCTGAATGTGCCCATCCTGTGAGACAATGCAATCGACTCTTCTAGTTTCAGGATGCAGACTAACACGGAGTCATAGGGGCATCTGGTACGACATGCTTCCCAGCTTTGACGCCCGTTGCGATTCTAACAGTACCGACTCAGCTATGGTTGCCAGGAGATTGCGTGGCGAATCGACTCAAAGAACGTTGCGCGCGGAGAGGCACGAGGTTCGCAATCCTTTGGTCATCCTCTGAGACCAGCGCTGACCTTCGTAGAATATGGCCACGCTGACGTCAACGTCACCAAGGTGAACAGCCATGTCGACCGGCTCTTCGCTGGGCTGGGTGACAGCGTCGCGGCTTTCATGTCTCACTTTGACAAGCTGATTAGCCTGCCCAAGGTACATGATCGTAGTTCAAATTCATGGACGAGTCACTCACTGTAGCAGGGCTTTGTGGTGATCGCTGCCACCAAGAACTCCGAGTTCGCCGGTATCGCGCACGAGGAGAAGCCTATCTTTGGTATTGATCTTTCTGCCGCCAACCTTTGATCATGAAGAAAGTCTGCTAACACAGCGACCAGGCGTTCAATTCCACCCTGAGCTGGAGCACGTACGTAATTCCCGAGTCTCGCGATAGACTCGCCCCTGACCTTCGATCGCAGACACCCTGTGGAACCGACTTGCTCCGAAACTTCAGCGTCGATATTTGCGGAGCGAAGCCAAACTGGAAAATGGGCGACTTTGTGCAGCTCGAAATTGCTCGCATCCGCGAACTCGTCGGCGACCGGGCACTCGTCCTAGGCGCTTGCAGCGGTGGTGTAGACAGCACAGTGGGAGCCGCGTTGATGCGCGAGGCTATCGGCGACCGCTTCAAGGCCATCCTTATCGACAATGGTTGCATGCGCCTGAACGAGTGCGAAGAGGTTAAGGAGACCCTCGGAAGGCATCTTGGTATCAACCTGACGGTAGTCGACGCCGAGGACCTCTTCCTGAGCCGTCTGGAGGGCGTTTCTGACCCCGAGAAGAAGCGCAAGATTATCGGCTCGACTTGTACGTACCTTGAAATCTCTCAGGTCCACACAGTGGTACTGACTCAGTACAAGTCATCGATCTTTTCGAGAAAGAGGCCATCAGGGTACGCCCAATTTTGTCTTACAGCACTCTTGACTTGCTAACAGGACGTTTCAGATCGAGAAGGAAGCAGAGAACACACCTAACAGCGGCAAAGTGGAGTGGTTCTTGCAGGGAACACTGTACCCTGATGTGTACGTCTCTTCCGGGGAGGTTGCCAATCCCAAGCTAACGCCACGGTAGGATCGAGTCTTTGAGCTTCCGGGGCCCTTCTGCCACTATCAAGAGTAAGCGAGCCATTACATCTGCGGAAGCACAGGGGTGCTTCTGAACGCTGCCCCTATTGCACAAAAACGCGGAGCGTTCAAATGCTGACAGGGGAAACAGCCCATCACAACGTAGGCGGTCTGCCCGAGGTAAGCAATCTCTGCGCACTCGACCCAGAAGCATCTTGGCTAACGAGAATGTAGAGGATGATGAACGGTGTAAGTCGAGTAACCCCCGTGGGTTTTGGTACGCACTGACTGACACGGCTTGTTTAGCAAGGACTGCGTGTAAGTACATGCCTCGCTTGCCGTAGCACATTCGAACTGACTTGATTTCTCTCACAGCTTATCGAGCCGCTCAGGCTCCTGTTCAAAGACGAAGTGAGGGTACGCTACATCCAACAGCGGAGCATCCAAGCTTTCACGTATGCTAAATTCTGCAGGCAATCGGTCGTCAGCTCGGCATCCACGAGTCCCTGGTCAACCGCCACCCCTTCCCCGGCCCTGGCATCGCCATTCGCATCCTCGGCGATGTTACCAAGGAGCGAGTAGATATTGCCCGCAAGGCCGACCACATCTTCATCAGCATGATCAAGGAGGCCGGGCTCTACGACGAGGTTTGTCCTTGATTTGCCGCCCAAGACAGCCGCAAGCTGACAGTTCTTTCCTAGATCTCACAAGCCTTTGCTGGTCTCGACACGAGCCGCAGTGTTGGTGTTTTCGGTGACCAGCGGGTCTGGGGCTACATTATCATTCTCCGCGCTGTCCGTACAAAGGACTTCATGAGCGCGGAGGTGTTCAACTTTGACAACGCCTTCCTTCAGGTAAGTCAAATCTAGTTTGTTCATACGGCCTCGATCCCCAAGTCTCCCATACCACGGCATTTTCTCTACTCACATTCACTCCATTCTTCCCTAAAGTGTGGCACCGTTCCGTACTGACCTGCCTCTCAGGAAATTTCCCGCAAGATCTGCAACGAGGTAGACGGCGTCTCTCGTGTGGTGTATGACTTGTAAGTAAAAATCATCACCTTCGTTGGGATCGAGCTTCGAACTGACCTTGCATTATCAGGACCTCAAAGCCCCCTGGCACCATTGAGCTGGAATAAACGACGCTGTGAGGGGTTGCTTGGCAGGTGGTAGAGTGCATGTAGTTGCCGGCGGCAGCTAGCAAGTAAAATTCGACTTTTGGCGTTTGAGGGTTGTCTGGAAAGGCATATAGATTAGGTAGCGCAGGAGAGGGTTAGGAGAAATGCCAGTGTCCACGAACGAGGTGCAAAGCCCGATTACGTTAGCCATGTGATGGTTTTCTTCAATATCGCATGACTACGCTCCTTGAATAATTCGCCAAAATGACTGCCCTTGGGCCGGTACCTGTGGGAAGAATTTGTGAGCCTTCTCGAACACTGGGATGACTGGGTGTTCCCGGCCCTTGTTTCTGGCAGCGAATGCAAGTAGCACTTCATTGTGAACAATTGTTGTGTTTAGTTCTCATCACTCCGTGGGCATGACTGACTCGGTGAAGAGGCCGCTCCATTCTCCCTTAGCGGACATCTCAGCGGTAGATGACAGCAGAAGTCTGAACTCGAGCAACGTAAAGGATACATATACTAAAGTTTGGCAATAGTTTGCAAGGCTTGGTGGCAGAGTGGTCTAATGCGCAAGACTAGAAATCACAAGATTAAATCTTGTTCCTTCGGGAGCGTCTGTTCGAATCAGGCCCAAGTCGGTTTCTCTTTTGCTCTCTTACACAAGAGTCTGAGTCTTCCTTTTGTCCTCCCGCGCCAGTCATGTACAATGATCATAGGAAGCGATTTTAAAAAAATCCATTTCGCGGCGTAGTGGCGGAGTGGTCTAACGCGCAAGACTTGAAATCTTGCTCCTTCGGGAGCGTCTGTTCGAACCAGGCCTACGTCGACTTGCTTTTTTTTCTTGCACTATATTGATTGATTGTTCTTCGAGCGACTTTGGATAGCCGAAGACTTGTGGACGCCTTGGAAGGACAGGCGGTTCGGACCCCCTTGAAGACAAGCTTGTGTCACTCGTTGCCCCCCTTTTTTGCAGAACTTTTCTACTTGCAGCCTTCCCCTCCTCCAGCAGCCGTCATAGATGGCATGCCCTGACTACTTATCTCTATTATCAGGCTTGGTGGCAGAGTGGTCTAATGCGCAAGACTAGAAATCTTGTTCCTTCGGGAGCGTCTGTTCGAATCAGGCCCAAGTCGATAATTTAATTTTGCTGTCATCCTCAACGATGCCGGTCTTTTTGCATGGGCGTACATGCGGCACAGGCAAGCAGTTGTTGTGACGAAGAATGCCTGTGCGACAAGTCGTGGGTGGATAAACTCATGATGACTTGCAAGCCTTTGGTGACGGGAGAAACAAGTGTCCAAAAGAAGAGTGGTCTTATGTCTTTCCCTAAATCAACGCTGACTTACATACCGTTTACTTGTACAGTCCATTACAACTCCTTCTCCTTTGGCTTCTTGCTCAGAAGGTCTTCGCGGCCTGTGACAGGCGCATTGCCAACATATGACTTGCCCCCGTACGCCTCGAACCCCTTGTGGAACAGCCACTCGACAGCATTCTCGACTGGCTCGTCAAAAAGGGTAGGAAGGAATGGCACGACAGCTAGTCCGAGACCAATAGGGCCCCATGTTCGCACTGTCTTGTTTTTGGCATCCTTCAGTGCCCTGCCCGAGTATCGCACAACGCTGTGGATAGTAAAGGCTGGCAGACCCATGGACGCCAAACTCTGGAACAGACCGCGCTGTACCATGACCGTCCGGTAATCCTCCAAAGGTGACACGGTTCCTGGCAGCTTCGTAGTGTCCGTTTCCACACTGGGCAATCCTGTGACTTTCCCTTGGCGTTCAGAAAGCTCGATACTTGGGTTCAAAACCCGTTGATTGTGCCAGTACGCACGGTAGCCCTCGTGCGACACATCTCCCAGGATGTACAACCAAGAGATACCGTACGCTGCCCGTACAATGTTGGGGTGTGCCACAGGTCGAAAAGATTCGCCGATATCCGAGGTGTAAGCAACATATCGGTGTGCCGAGAGCATGATCGTTCGTATTCTTGTAGCGTAGGCGGCGTATCGCACATTGCTCTCAGTTGAATCTGGTCCACTGCTCCGTGTCAGCACTGTTGGACTCAAAGGACACTAGAGTCACTCACAATCCCTCGGCTACATTGTCAAAGAAGCTGCTGTCTTTGTCGGACTTATCGACAATACTTTGCATTGCCTTGGGCAGTTTGCGAGCATCGGGGAGTTTGTCGGGATCGAAGTTCGAGGCAGGTTGAGGTTGCGACGTGGTCGCAGTTTGCTCAGGCTTGGACTCTTTCGAGTCTGCGGATTTCCCCCACCACGGCATGTCGAGGGTCTGTGCGATGAACTAACGAGATTAATTTGGGAGGCCTAGCACGAAATGAATGGTGTTGGGCTCATGAAGCTGGCGGAAAATAATTATTGAATATGTCCCTGTCGCGTCGAACCGGGACGGCCAGGCGCCCGCGCAGCTGTGACGTCGATTCTCTATACGCCAAGTAGAAGCTGGCCCACATCTGCTGGCCGGATTCTGTCCATCTTCTCAGGCCGTTTCTTTCCGGTGTATATCCGTGGACCCTTTCGGCCTGGCTTCTGAGGCACGAGCTTAGTGCTGTAGGGAATTTGAGATCTCGGTCCATCAAACTTCAATCAATTGATTCCCGACGACGCTCACTACCACCTCCCACCACAGTCGCATTCCATCAACAAAATGGCTGGCGTCGCATACTACACCATTGCTGGCCGTCAGGTCGGCGGACACTATGTACGGCCCTCGCGATTTCGCATCCTCCCGACACCAATCGCTGACTGAACCATCTAGCTCGCCATGGGCGTCCTCGGCTCCTTGTTCGGTGGCATCTACTACGCCGCGTCTGGTCCTTCCAAGCCTGTTGCCGCTGCCAACACCCCTCCCCTGAACGCCTCGAGCTCCGATGAGGCCGACTTCATCAAGTGCGTGTCCTCGAGTTCCAACTACGATGCGGCGTTTGCTAACAGACACCTCACAGGAAGTTCCTCGAGGAGCAGGATAGCGGAAAGAAGCACTAAGCCCCGAATCGATGACGAGAGAAGCTTGGGTGGCGTGTACGACGCTTGTACATATAGAGGGGAATGGGTGAATCACAGCTACTCGTTCGAACTTCTCCCTCGCTTCAACCGTATTTGTGCCAACATGAATCAATTCTACGTCAAGGGGATAGGCATAGTGCTATGATGATAGAGGCGGACATTGCGTCCGCACCTTGGCAATCTTCCGGCAGTACGTTGTCGACTTGAACGCGTGTCGGATTGCTAGATGCTACCACTTCGGCCGACCCATCACCTACACTGGACCATGTTCTCCGTAGACAGCGGTATACGCTGCTCAGGGTTGAACCTCTTCGCAACTGTGACTATTTGACAAACATATCGCGCTGTCCAATGAGTACTGGTATTGTGCACTACAGTGCCAGTACCGCATTTGATGCTCCAGCGATTCAACCACCCCCTATGTGCTACATTGATGTCGTCAGTGGTTCACTTGCGTGTAAAAGCCCATGTAGTAAATCCCATTGCTTAGCTACACGCTGTCGTGGCAACAGCAAGTAGGTCAGCAAATGTGTCACGTGAGGGTGGGGATTGGCGCCAGCCCCCCCGCCAGCCGCATCTCTCCGTGCATCGTCCGCTCGCTTCCTTTAATCGAATGCAAGCTCCGCCTCGGTCTACCGCACTTCGCTTACAACGATTTGAACTCGACGCGCTCCATTTGCATTGAATACCGGGGCTCACAATGACCGAGGTCACCACCGATCCGGCTCTTGTCCTTGTTCCCGGCAATGAAGACACCAGCCACATTGACACCAGCGCTGCAGATACTTCAAAGTCCCTCCCGCCCAAGGAACGCCATTCCCTGACGCTCGATCAAAGACGCGCGCTTCGAAGATGGGCCAATTCGCAATCTGTCCGGCCTTCGCACAAGGCTTGCATTGAGTGGTTCCTTTCTGAGTATGGTCAGCACATTAGCCAGTCGACCGTCTCGCACTCTTTATCGCCAAAGTACTCGCGCCTCGATGGCGAGGTGCAACACATGGCGGGGTCGCGTCTGCGCTTTGGGAACTGGCCCGATGTCGAGAAGCTCGTCCTGAAGTGGTACCAGCAGGTGCAGAACACTGGTCGGCAGCCCACCAATGAAGAGCTCGGCGAGAAGGCCAAGGCTGTGTTCGCGCAGCTCCCTCGTTACAAAGAAGACGCGCCGCCCGAATTCTCGCCTGGCTGGATACACAGGTTCAAGAAGCGATACGGCCTGCTGGTCAGACGTCAACGCCGCCAGGGCGACCCAGGGCTGGACATGGCCGAGGACATCAACTACCTCGCAGAGTGTCTGCCACGCTTCATGGAGGTATCGCAAGGAACGAGTCCAGCGGCTATCAGGGAGCAGATCGCCCGAGGCGTAGGCGTGGAACCGTCTCTCGGCATCTGCGCCTTGGTACGCGATGAGGTGATCAGGCGCATGTCACAACAGCAGTCCCTCCCGCCACCCATGTCAGACACGGAGCCTCCCACTCTTCCACCGCCACAGCCGGAGCAATCATTGTACGGAGACGAGGATCCTGACATAGTGTTACAGAATGCCCTCCGACAACTGCAGCAAGAGGAGGATGCTGCTGAGCAACACGCAGCCGCGGCTCGTGAGGAAAGAGAGCGCCACGAGCGTGCAGCACTCACGCACCCCATGGAGTCAACACCCGATGGCTCCCAATCGGTGGTTGGGCGTTTTACCAGTCCTGAGCATGAGATTGGTCCTCCTCCTGATCTCACCTTGACGCCGATTCAGGCCAATCAAACCATGGCAGAGGAGGAGTCACCTGTTCGTTGCCCATATTGCATCAACCAACGGATGCTGCGGACGATAAAGGAAGCTGTAGAGCACTTGTCAACCCATGTTGTCGTCTGATTAGATGATGGTTGTTTCACATTGCTAGTTTATGGCGTTGGCAGGTTTGGGTCACAGGGTAATGAAATCAATCTCTGCCAGGGTATGGTCAAGTTCGGAAAAGTCTTTATTCATGTATTCATTGTAGTAGGCTACACAAGCCCGCTTTCTTTCAGATTCCTGACCACTGCGTCGGTCTCTTCTTGTGCCTTCGTCTTCATCGGTTTGATGTCACCAGTGTCAATATAGTTGATCCAAAACTTTAGGCCCTCGAGCCCTTCCTCACGACACACAGCCCCGTGTTCTTCGGCCATGAGCAACTCCTCCTCGGCGACACCCAGGCTCCATCCAAATCGAGTGGCAGCTTCCTGGGCGGTGACGCCCTGTCCAAATGTTCTCCAGTCCCATGGCACATCTCTCTCAGGCGGGAACTCATGAAGATCTTGTAGCCATGATAGGAGAGCCTTGATGGTGGTTTCGTCTGTCCGATCGCGTCCCTGCACGACCATGACGCCACTCCGGAACGTCCTGAGACGGACTGGCAATTTTAGACTTTCCCACAATCGAACGGCTTTCTCAAAATCCATCGGGCTGACCAGTTCAACGCCTCCCCGGGCGCGATTGAACATGGCCCATAGATCGACAAGGGTAATGATGCCGCCCTCTTTCTTCAGCACGCCACGAGAGTCGTCTGTCAGAAATTCCGCAAGATTCCTCGCAAGTTCTGATAAGTACAGAGACTGCGAGCTGCCGCCGCCAACAATGTCCTTCGTCGTGACCAGTCCCAATTGACTGGCCGATTCAGCGAGTATGGCATTTTCCTCGACTGAGATACCTTCACCGCCTGCGCTGTTCTGACGCGCCAATCTCTCAGCGAGGGCCACGACGTCTTTCGCAGATGCCATCAGCGCCTCCAGGTCCTCAAAGGCATTACCAATGATGAACTCGTTGTTTTTTCGCATGTTCATGCCTCGCTGCTCCAACCCCGCAATGCCAACGGTTTTATGCTTTGGCGAGCTCTGCCCAGAGCTGGACTGGCCATCGTCCATCAAGTGACCGCTCTTTGGTGGAGGAGGGGCATTCTGCAGCAGCCACTTACGCTGGGTCATGGATCCTTTGAGCCTCTCGTAGAAGATTTGGGCGCCCCCTCCTCGGAATGAGATCTTGACGCTGTCTTGGACATCAATACCACCAGGTCCGGAGGCCTTCATGCTGTCCATTGCTGGACCAGGTGATTGCGGGCGGGCAACGTCTGCCAATGGTGTCACAGGTTCAGGCTCGGCACCCTGTCGGTAGATCAAAGACGCGCCGCACATTTCGCAAGATAGTAATGAGGGGTGATTCGAAAAGGTGCATCTCGGACACTCAAACGTTGATGCCGCTTCCCCGGGCGCAGTAGATGACTGCGGGCTGCCTGTTCTGTCGGGAGATGAAGCTTCGCTGAATGATTCCCTGGGCGACTTCGAGTCTAGCAGCTTGGGTCGTACTGGCAATACCGGGCTTGAAGTTGCTGGCGTCGGCGAAGGCCGACTGTTCGCGCTGGCGATTGCAGCTTTCAGAACATGGCTCAGTGAGGGTTTGATGCCACAGGCGAGGCACGGCGGCAAGGGGGTGTGTACGTTCGCCGCTGAGGGGTCAAAGTTGGATGGCACCGGATTCGAGAAGCTGCAGATGGTACACACCCATGTTGCTGAACTCGCGACAGGTGTCTCTGGCTTTGGGCACTGTGAACCCTCTGGTCGAGGAGAGTTTGGATCTTGGTTACGCCGGGGTGCACTGGCACTGGAGACAGCGTGCCGGAGAGATGCCCTTTTCGGCGGTTTGGGGACAATGGTGACCTTGGGCGAGGACTTCCAGAAGCCGGCGTAAAACTCATGGCGCTCTACATCCTTCAGTTCCAACGCAACCGAACGCTTGCGTGGCTCATCTTTATCGACGTAACATATCCGATGCGACGTCAAGTAGACTTGGCCGTTCTGTTGATCGGGCAGCTTGAACTTTCTAGGTTCGTTAGCCATTAGACCCCTCGGAAGATGTAACAGACTGACGTACCCTTCGTAAAGACCCACATTATCCTGAACAAATAGAAGTACCTCATCGGGCAGATACGAAGGCCGCAAGGCCGTCGTCAAGTCTATGTGTTGGAGAAACATTCGTCATGCCGGAGATGTTGACGCTCAATGTGAGGGACTGTGGTGAGCTGCGTAGTGAGGTGTGGAGGACGGAGGACAGTGCCCACGTGCGTCAACTCGTCAACTCGTCAACTCGTCAACTCGTGAAACGTAAGAAACGGCCTCAAAGCAGAGTATTTTATGAACAATATGGATCATGCAAGCGCGATGGACGCCACAAAAGTATTCAATATCACAAATATAGACATTGCCGACGCTGTGGCTCGAGTGACCTTCGCCTTCATGGCGACTGTCAGTGATGATACGTGGGATCCAGTTTTACATAATCCCCGCGAATGATCAACACTATTAGCCGGGCCTTTGCCGGCCGACTCGCACATCCCACAGCCATGCTCCGAAATTCACCGCCTGCGTTCTTTGTCATCTGCACCTCGCCCGTCTGTTCGCTCTGTCGCACCCACCAAGAGCCATCAAGAACTCATCCCAGCGACCGGCTTCTTTGTCTAAATCTTGTCGAGAACACTTTTTCCGCTTTGTTAACCTAGTCTTTTTGGTCAACATCGACGCGATGATGCCTAGTTGGACGACGGCGCAACAAGCGTCGGGCGTGGCCCAGCCTCCGCCACTTTCCCCCTATGCCTACCCACCCAGTGAGTTCACGCATCGACCAGCGACACTATTTCATCTGTACTAATGGCTTTCACAGATCCTGCATACACAGCTGTGCCTGTCCGCCAAGGTTTTGGCACCTATCCCCCACCTCCACCTCTCGCGCACGCTGCTTACGCTGCTCCCCCGACGCTCGCACAACCACCATCCAGTGACTCCTCCTCCGCCGCTGCGAAACCTGATTCGAAACAAGGCAAAGTAGTCTGGCCTGATTCTGTTCGCAACTACGTGTCCCGTTCTTTTCACCCCGATAATAGCGATCCTTCCGTGACACGCGCAGAGATGGAAGTCAAGCTGAAGGAAGTCATTCGCGCTGCTACGGACAATAACACGCTTAACACTACCGAATGGGATAACATGCCGCTGCCGCAAGCCCTAGTCAAATTCGAACGCTCCACTGCTACGGGGACCTCGTCGCCATTTCATAACAAGAAGCGGAAGTCCTCCGAGTACGCTGGGGCTGGCGAAACGCAACCTCCGTGGGCATCTACTAACACGTCTCGCTCTCTGGGGGAACGTATCTCGTCTCCTAGTAAACGCATCAATGCCGGCGCCTTCAAGTCAAGTAAGTTCGAAACCGAAGCCAATAAACGCAAGCGACGGTTCGAGAGCGAATACCAGGCGAACCGCTCGCCTAGCCCGCCCCCTCCGTCAGACGGACCTGTTGTGGGAACGTGTGAGACCTTGGAGAAGAGGTACTTGCGTCTCACTTCCGCGCCTGTGCCATCCAAAGTCCGGCCTGAGCGAATCCTTCGCCAGACTCTCGAGCTTCTCAAGAAGAAGTGGAGAAAAGAAGGCAACTACTCGTACATTTGCGATCAGTTCAAGTCCATGCGTCAGGACTTGACGGTCCAACATATCAAGAACGAGTTCACAGTCTCTGTTTACGAGATTCACGCGCGTATTGCCTTGGAGAAGGGGGACATAGGTGAGTATAATCAGTGTCAGACCCAGCTTCGATCGCTGTATCAGATGGGTCTGAAGGGAAGTCCCATCGAGTTCAAGGCATACCGCATTCTCTACTTCATCCACACGGCCAACCGCAGCGGCCTCAATGATACTATCGCAGATCTAACCACAGCTGAAAAGACCGAACGGCCCATCAAACACGCGCTCGACGTCCGCTCCGCTCTCGCGCTAGGGAACTACCACCGATTCTTCCAACTCTACATGGACACACCCAACATGGGAGCATATCTCATGGATATGTTCATCGTGCGGGAACGCCTGCATGCCCTGTGCAACATTTGCAAAGCGTGAGTTCCCCTCTCTAGCTTCTACAGCCGGATGCTAACCCCTCGCTAGTTATAAACCTGATGTGAAACTTCGGTTCATCACCGAAGAGCTCGGCTTTGAATCCGATGCTGATGCTGCCCAGTTCATTATCGACTATCAGGGCCAGCACCTCCTCGAGGATCGGACCGAGTACATTGCCTTCCTGACGGGCAAGGCTGGTGGCTTGTTGGAAGGCGCTCGTGCGGCAGCATTCCAACGGGTCGACATCAAGGGTCAGATTTGAGCTCTGCCTTATGATGGTGAATCCTTGTGCTACTGCGTTCTTACTGGTGACGAAGATTCCGGTTTCTTTGTCTTGCGCCTTCGATACCCTTGATCTGCTATTGTTTCCTCAGTTTCGCAGTATGGCCTTCTTGCTTCGAATGCAGCATGCAAACCCAAGGAAGGCTCTCATGCCTTGGATGGTCATGCTCTTGTTCAGCGTTGAGGACCAGCTTGCAGTCATCATAGTTGACTCTTGGCTGCGACCTCATGACACAGTTTTCGTCCCAGGGGGCTTGGATGGCTTTTGAACTCAAACAGGGCTATGGCGGTGATTCGCACTGCCCTTCAACAGCGCCTGGTTGCATAGCGCTGGCGTGGCGCATTGGAGTTTGATGTGACGACGGGTGATAATGGAATAAACTTCTATTAGGAGACGGCTAATATATAAGAATAAACAGTCAATCCAGTTGTCCTGCTGTCTTGATGCTCACATGTCGCAATGAATTCGCTCGGTTCATGCATTGGTCAGTATTTGTCAGGACCCGGACATCTCGTTGCCGGACGTCTGACAATGATGAAAGGGGGCTTTGGGTAACATCCGGAGGCTGGAGATGTCACCACAGCTCCAAGTCCATGCTGTCTTGAAATTACTGTTATCTACATCGTTTCCTCGCAAATGGGCCATATCATCTAGATCTCGAGGGTCGTTGGACGACACATGGCCCATCTCTATCACAGTTGACTTGGCACAGACCCATTCTCGAGAGCTAAGTAAACAGCATACGCATGATTCATGCGGAGAAAAATGCGCTAGTGTCTTCGAGGCTTCATGTTAATTACGAGCGAGAAAAACTTTGCGTGCGCTGAGCAGATCAGGGGCTGACGAGTCCAAGGTCCTGGCGCATTCAGTTCAATGCCAATTGCGAATATCGGGCATGGGTGAATGCAGCTCGAACATACTATAAAACATTACTGGCAAAGATGATGCAAGGACTCAAGGACTTTATCCAACTTGGTGTCTTGGACAGGAACAGTTCCTCGAGACTAGAAGAACAATAATGGGAAATTACTACAGTAGTCTATTGCGGCCACGTGTTGAACTAGCGAACGAATCGTGCCACTGACGAAGTCTCGGACCGGAAATTGTGAGAGCCGTTGGGCACCGACGAACAAGGTACCTACCTACCTGACTACTACCATGATAAGCATTGACTATTAAATTTTCGCACTCAAGTATCTTCCACCGGGGAGCGCTCTGAAACAGACCAACAAAAGCAAGGGTCTGATGAGTGAATTCAAGGTTGTGACTAAGTCGAAGGCGGGGTGGGAGAGGAACCATGGGATAGGAACCACAAAGGATCGGTGGATCGGACAGCGACATCTTGGTTGACAGTGCCCATCACGGTTGAGGTTTGTCCAGGGGTTATCACGTCTCATTCCCAATGTGAGGAGGCATCGTTAATTAGTGAGGGACTGGTCCTAGGTGGCAGGAAGACGTGAGGATTAGAACATGAACATGAGGTGGCATGACTTTAGAAAAGTCCTTTTGGAACCCCTGAGTGTGTGTCGTCTAGCAGTTGTAGGACCCCGCCCCTCCTCGATGGAAGCGCCGGCGGGGCGTGCAGTCACTCTCAAGTTAGTGACTGGACCTTGGATGTGCTAATAAGGAACTACCAATCAATCATCCAATGTGCTAGGTGCTGCTGCCAGGCGCATGCGTGGAGGCCTGCATGTGTGCCGCGTGCATTCCATTTTCACATTGCATTCCCACCCGCTGTCGGCTTCCTTTGGTGCATCATCCATCCTCGTCCTCCAGCGCTTCGATCTACGAACCTACCTCCGAGTTACACCAAACTTCGTCAGCGCGACCATCCGCTCAAGGCGATTCTGGACCTTACTCGAGCCACGGTCACCGCAGATCTCGCTTCGATTGTCGATTCCATCGAACCCCGGCCTCGAGCAGCCGTCACACCAGCCAATATGAAGGTTCGTGCTCCTGCAGCCCACGGTCCCTCTTTGCGCTGCCAGCCTTTGCTTTGCCGGCCCCCCCTTTGCGTCGTTCACGGAAAAAGAAAGAGCTGTTTGATGCGAACCCCTTTTCGCAATCGCGCTGCGTGTTACGTCCCTTCAATCTCCTGGTCACGATACCTCTGTGTGGCCAAGTGACGGCCGACGTAATGCGCTGGCTGGGCCCCGCATCGACAACGACAGCAGGCACAGCATATGCCCATATCGACATTGCGCTCAAGGGACTCAGCACGCGATACATCACAGACTTGCCAGACCATTGCAAATATGATCGCATCAGACGAGAAGCTAACGGCCATGCGCTTTGTCCAGGCTCTTCGACGCTCTATCAAGGGCGAGAAGGAGAAAACGAACTCCCATGTCGCGCCGAAACATGCCGTCGCAATCGTCCCCCCAAAGAAGGTACTTGGGGCTCTTTCCGATCTCGCGCTCTCGAACCCACGGTGCTAATGGATCCCAGGTCATCAAGGCGCTTTACGACTATGAAGCACGGTCAGATCAGGAGCTTGGCTTCTCTCGGGGCGATTTCTTCCATGTTATAGGCCGCGAGGACGACACAGACTGGTACGAGGCATGCAACCCCGCTCTGCCCGATGCGCGAGGTCTCGTTCCAGTCGCCTTTTTCCAGTCGCTGGGCAAGACAGAGGGCGACGACGGCAGCAGCGGGCGCGTGCCTAGCGCAGGCAAGATGCCAAACCACGACTCGGGTTACAGCGACTCGCACGGCAGCGGCGGCGGCGTCCAAGGGAAAGGAATATCTGGTCCCATCTCGGGACCCATGCCTGCAGGGCAGCGCAAATCGCAACCTGGCAAGAATGGACCCATGGTCTACGGAGTGGTCATGTTCGACTTTGCTGCCGAGAGAGCTGATGAGTTGGATGCGAAACAGGGCGAGGCGATCATTGTCATCGCGCAGTCCAACCCAGAGTGGTTCGTCGCCAAGCCTATTGGTAGATTGGGCGGTCCGGGCCTGATTCCCGTATCCTTCATCGAGTTGCGCGACATGGCGAGCGACAAGCCTTTACCGAATCCCGAGGAAGCATTACGCAAAGCCGGCGTCCCAAAGGTCGAAGAGTGGAAGAAGATGGCGGCCGAGTACAAGAACAGCAGCATCACGCTGGGCAAATTTGAGGTCGGGTCGGGTGGTGGTGGGCAGCCCATGGAGCAGTCGATGGAACGCCTGAGCATTCAGCAAAACGGCCGCCAAAGCAGCCAGACCAGCCTACAGCAACAGCAGAATGTGCGCACCAGCCAGCGGTCGGCTGGTCACCAGTCGCAACAACTCCAGCAGAACCAGTACGCTTCAAAGTCAACGTCGCAATTGTACGCGCCCATCCAAGCCCGCATACCGCGGTATTGCTTTGCGGAGGAGAAGTACTGGTTTGTCATTGAGGCGATGCTGGAGGATGGCCGACAATGGGTCCTCTCGCGATACTACGAGGACTTTTACGACTTTCAGATTGCACTTCTGACAGAGTTTCCGGCTGAAGCTGGCAACACCGGCACCCAGAAGCGGACTCTACCATATATGCCTGGCCCCGTCAACTACGTAACCAATGCGATTACCGAAGGGCGATTGCACAATTTGGATGCGTATGTCAAGAACTTGCTCAACCAGCCACCCTACATCTCGCGATGCCTGCTAGTGAAACAGTTCTTTGCGCCTCGCGAAGGCGATTACGAGCTGGAGCTCAACCAAGGCGCCGGGGACTATCGCCTGTCACAGGGATCACAGATGTCGTCAAACGAATCACCAGCCGATGGATCCCGTCAGTCATCACGGAACAATCTGAATGGCGGAGGATATGGTGGACTCTCAGCAACGCCACGCCAGATGGGCCACCAAGGTACGTTTTGTCTCCATCATGCGGCAACATCCACTAACCGCCCGACAGCCTCCCACTCCCACTCGCAATCCCAATCACAGCCACAGGGCGCCGCGATGAAAGTCAAGATGTACTACAATGGCGACCTTATCGCCATCCGTGTACCGTCTGACATTGCGTATCAGCAGCTATTTGACAAGATCCGCGACCGACTCAAGGTGCCAGACGGTGATCAGATTCAGCTGTTCTACAAGGATGAGGCAACAGGCGATAAGCCCAACCTGATGAGCGACGACGACCTTGACTACGCGCTACAGCGCAACGAAAAGCTGCTTCTGTATGTCGAAGTGGTATGAACTTTCTATGAACGGACGATATCTGAGCGCTGCGTGACTTGAACCCCCATCTTCCCTTTGTTATTACGAGCATTCGAACGGGAGTATATACCCCTGTGCAATTTTATTCTTGATGGACGCAACGCCAATGTCCCTCACGATCTTCATGACTTTGCATTCAGCACTACTGGCTGCCTCTTGATGGGTGCGAGGAGCCACGTTCCAGTCACAAGGCAGGCCACACAGTCAGTCAGGCAGGGCATCTTGGAAACTGCTGGCAGAGCGCACGGCTGGCGGCTGGCTCTGCTGATCCAGTGTAACCGACGCTCGTTTTCGTGGATTATTCATTAGTATCAGTATCTTTACCCAGGCTCCCAAAGAGATCATGGAGGGGCGTTCTGGACTGGAAAGGGGCAAATGGGAAACTGATGTTTTTTCGGCTGCTGTCTGCAAACTACGCTCAATAACAAATATGTCGTGGAGGAACCTGCCACCCTTTCTTGTGTGCGCGTAAGTATTATCTTCTTCATTACCTCAACCCTAGTACCTGTCTATGTGTGTATGTCCAGAGCTCTTTCTATGTATGCTACATCCTCGAGCCTAGCCGACCCTATGCAAGCCGAGTCCTCAATGTCGTGAGGAAATATCAATGTGCCGTAACGCCAAGCCGTGAGTAGTCGTACAAATGCATGCATGAGATGCAAGGTCGCCAAAAGTTTACCATGTTCTCGTTCCCATGCCTCTTCACTCCAGCCTCTCCATCAACGATCGCCTCACTTTGGTGTTCACAACACCGCCCACGCCAAATGCAGGTACGATGCGACATATCCTCGCCATGGCACTCGGTGCCCACGTGCGCCGTACCTGATGCCATCGATCCCGAAGACTCACAGGCGAGCGCGGCCCATTGGGCCGGTTATACATGTCCAGCCCCAGCAGATGGAGCGGCGTGCTGATGAGCTGCACCGCCGCCGGCGCGATGAACTGCGCGCACGTCGCACCACTCAGACGTTTCTTCCACTCCGCAGACAGGCAGCCCTCGATCTGGGGCGCGAGCAAGGGGGGCACGTTGAAGGAGGCGAAGATGGTCATGCAGTCGCGCAGCCCAAAGAGGGCGTACGAGATGCCCGGGACGGCGCGGGGGACGACGCCAGGGGGGCCAAACATGCGCACAAAGACCTGGTCCTTGTAGATGCAAATGCCGACGTTGGCGGCGCTCGAGGCGGCGAACTTTGTGGTGCCGGCCGTGACGTGCGAGGGTTTTTGGTTTTGGACGGTCGAGGTGGCCGTGTCGAGCATGTTGGCGGTGATGTAGGTGCCGCCGTAAACGAGGAAGATGAGGGCGGTCGGTTTGGAGAGGAGGAGGGTCTGGGGCCGGAGGAGGAGGGAGCGTAGGGAGGATTTGATCGAGTCGCCGAGCGTGCTGCTGCCCGAGGCGTTTTCCATGATGCTCCTGTTGGAAGAGTCAGTGGTGGGCTCTATGCCCAGACATTAGGGAGCGAAGGTTGCATACCTGTCGATCATGGAGATGATGGGCGCCACGAGGGCGCCCGCGCAGGAGGCGCTGAGGAGATCGGAGCCCAGGCGAAGGCCGAGCTTGTCCGAGTTCCACGCTTTTTGTGCATTCTTGGTCGGTAATTGCTGTTGTTGCTGTGACTGCTGCTTTTGCTGCTGCGCTGGCGAAAGTGAGGGCGCCATGACGGAGGGTTTCGGGGGAGAGATGGGCGCATGGGACGAGGAATCTAGAGAGAGGCTGGCGGCAGACAGAGAGAGAGGCTCGGATGGTTTCATTTCATCAAGAATCTATATTGAACGGTAGAAACACTCTGCTGGCTCTCTACAACGCCGACGGTGCAGCTGGCAAAGCAGCACACGGGAAAGAATGGGGTTGCGCGGAGCTTACGAGCAGCGCTGCATCATGATCTCCGGGGTCTGAACGGGGGAGTTGAGCGATTGCGAAGTCAATTCTGGAGATCGTGAGCGGCTGGCTGAACGAGCGAGCGAGCAAAGAATAGTGAGGATACGAGGATTGGGCGAGCAAGGCAGAAATGGGGACGTTGTAATAAGACGAATGCACGATGATGACAAAAATTTGGGGGAGCGACCAAGTTGCTGACGGACGGACAGGAGAAATAGAGGCCGACACCGGAGACGGGCCCGGCAAAAGACCGTTTTGCCGACGGACGGGCCCCCGATAGTGATATTTTCGGACCCTTGATTTCCGAAAGAGTGGCCTTGTCAATACAATTGTCATGCCACTTATATTGTTCTCGTCGAGTCTCTAACACCTCCAGAGGCATCTTCTCTCGTATGTATGTTCCATGCAGCCCTGCTGCGACGTCATGCGAGAGGGTCGAACCACGATGACGATGTTGTCTCGCGTCGGGCACACCACCACCACATCGCGAGCTAGCCACATGGTCACTGGTGTGAGATGCGGAAGATAGAGTCCAGCGCCACGCACGGGTGGGCGGCAAGTTGCCGATCTGGCTGGTGCTTGGTCAATAAGTACTCCAACCACGATAGTGGTTTCCAATGGCTGTGATTAGCCCTTCTCGAGAAACGCAGTGGTTTCTTGTGACGTCGGACTACATCACATCATATCGCAACCCTAAGCCTTTTTGACTTCCACCAAGGCAATCATTATCATCACTGGGTCATCTCCGAGGCCTTGGTCATCTTCAGCTGGATGCATGGACAGCGTAGGGTCAAGAATCAAGGTCGTGAGTGGCCTCGCCTCTGCACTTCTGGACCACTGTTTGACAACCGCTGCAGGGTAGCCTTCAACTCTACACGTGGACACGCTGCCAGACAGTAGGTATACAAGTGTAGCACGATGCTCCCCAGGCATCATTCTTCGTTCCACTTCACTTTGGCCCAAAGTCCGGGCTTCTGGCCATTGGCTTGAGAAGTCAATTTAATGGAAAGAAATCTGGAAAGGCTGCCTACAAGTCCTGAAGCGCCCAATGTGGAAGGTGATGCCGCTATGCGTGGCTGACATCCCTGCCCATGCCTGGTTATCCCATGGGCCGTGATTTCCGTCTTACCTCGACGTCGCGATCCGTCTTACTGCGTTGACATCTGCTTCATCGCCATCGCCATCAGGAACTGCCATTCCAAAGCGAGTTGAAATGGTGCAGGTCGAAAAGCTCACGGCAAAGACCGTCCTCGAGGCACCCAACTACTCCCCTCCCGTGCCCAACGCCAATGGCACCCAAGGGCTGTTCACAGTCTCGTCGTACGATTTCGCGTCAGGGAAGCACACGCAGCATCTTCGGGTCATTGATCTCGCGGGACTGGGCGTTTCCACCATTGCCAGCGGCGAGAATATCCACGATGCCCATTGGATCCCCGGGCCACATGATGAGATCCTCTACCTGCAGTCCGATGACAAGGGCAAGACGCAGGTGAAGATTGCGAGGACGGGCGACCTACCTGGGGACCACGACTGGGTGAGGCAGATTGATGCGCCCATTGCAAACTTGAAGTTAAAGCTGTTGAGAGAAGGTCAAGTGGCATTCGTGTTCACAGGACTCGCAGGCGATGACGGAGAGCTGTTCAATGAGGAAGCTGTCGAGAAGAAGAACGCTGCTCGTGTGTTCGACACAACCTACGTCCGTACGGTAAGCACCCCCTTGGCTAGTGTACTACCTGGGGTGAAAGTCTGACACAACCCAGTGGACGAGCTACTACAAGCCACAACGCTATGGTCTCTGGTACACCATCCTCTCCAAGAAGGACGGCCCCTGGGAGCTCAAGTGGCCCTGCCATAATCTCCTACACAACTCACCAGATATCGAGCCTCACTCCATGTACGGCCCGTTTGGAAATGCATCCACTCACTACGATATTGCACCAAACGGAATCGCATTCAACGCGCGCAAGCTGGAAACCCACGATCTCCAAGAGAAGCAGAACTCGTATCCGCACTATTGCCCTCTTGCCTCGTACGGAGCGCCGCCGGTAGCAAAGCCCGAACCCATCGCCTTGCCAGGGAATGTCAGCGCCGGGCAAGCGTCCAACATGCGTCTGTCCCCCAACGGCGAGCACATTGGCTTTTTCCACGCCTCGGCCGACGATATTATCAACATCAGACTGTACATTGCCTCCACTACGGATCTAGCCTCGTATGACGCCTTCAAACGCATCGATCCGGATGAGGATCCTGAACACTATGAGCCGCCCGCCAGCTTCGAATTCGCCGGTCGCTCAGACACCATCATTATGCAAAAGAAGGTCACGGGCCGCATGGCCCTCGCACAGCTCGTCCTTAAACAGGGGGAGAAACCACGCTACTTCACCTTTGACGATACTGTAGCGTCGTATGCGCCTCTGCGAGCGGGGGATTGGACGACGCTGCTTGTGGCTAGGACGAGTTTTCTCGAGAGCGCCTTGTGGCAGATTGTCAACGTTCCTGGTGCGAGTGTCGACCATACCATCTTCTGCGCCACCAAGAAAGGGCGCAAGTACGGCTTGCACGAGGACATGGTGTCGGATATCTGGTTCGAGGGTGCCGATGGGCTCTGTGTCCACGCGTTGGTTGTCCGACCGAGCACGTTCGACGAGGACAAGAAATATCCCTGGGTGCTTGCGCTGCACGGTGGTCCGTTGGGGGACTGGTCAACGGGGTGGAGTCCAGGAGTACGTGATGGAGGGGACGCATCATGACAACTGCTAACAGTCCATGTCTAGTGGAATGCAGCCGCATGGGTTGAGCAAGGGTACATTCTCATCCTGCCCAACATATCAGGCAGCACAGGCTACGGCCTCGACTTTGCCAGACGTAAGAAGCCCAAACCGCCCCTTTCTGCATAGCAGAGCGTTTCCCTTGGATAACACGCGACAAAACAGGCGTCAACGATGAATGGGGCGGCAAACCCTACCAAGACATCGTGAACCTCGTCGAGCATCTCGAGCAGATACCATGCCTGGACCACGCCAAGGGGATCCTCACCGGTCAGAGCTACGGCGGGTACATGATGAGCTGGCTGTTCAGCCACGAGGTCTCCAAGCGATTCTGTGGCGCCATCTGGCAGGACGGCATCTTCTCCATACCGACCATGCTCCTGCAGTCCGACGTCTCCCTCGATACGGCGGCTTTTGGGACCAAGCCCCCCTATCCGTGGGAGAACGCGGCGCATCTGGAAAAGTTCAACCCCGCGAGACCGGAGCTGCTACGCAAATGGGCTGCGTGCGCGCCGCCGACGCTCGTGGTCCACGGGGAGAAGGACTATCGGTGCCCCGTGACAGAAGGACTGGCCGTGTTCAACACGCTGCAGACGCAGGGGGTGCCGAGCAGGATGTTGCTGTTTGAGGATGAGGGCCACATTGTGGTGAAGCCGGAGAATGCGCTGGTCTGTTATGAGACTACGTGGGCGTGGATGCAAAAGTGCGTTCAGGGGGAGTTTGACAATACTCGGAGGAGTTGATGCGCACACATTGTCACCAATTTATATGACTTCAAATGAAACAGTGCGTGGAGCTGCACATGATGATCATCGTATTCAAGGCGGGTGTATTTGATGCTCAAAATCCAGTCCAACGAAACCTCACCCCCATATTTCATGATATCGACTACCGAGACCCGTTGCTCTAGTAGACGTAGTAGTTCTGCGTCTCGTCCTCGCTCTGCCTGATCTTCTTGTTCTTCTTCTTGACGATGATCTTGGTGATCCACGCGATGGCGGCGGTCATGGCGCTAAAGGCCGCGGACGACAGCATGGCGATCAGGTACCGGGGCTCGTCGCTTTCGGGGTACAGGTACGGCGTCCAGATGAAGGAGATGTTCATAATCATGGTCACCATGGAGATGGCGACGGCCTTCTTCTCCTTGGTCTGCCCGCAGACGGACGAGCACCAGCCGAGGATGAGCGAGTTGACGCCGTACGTGCCAATGGTGAAGATGACCATGGACACGTAGCGGCCGGCCGTGTTGAGTGTGGCGCCCGCAGCAACGAAGCCGACAATGGGGACGGCTTTGGAGATGGTGATGTGCCACGTTCGCTCGTTGAACTTGCCCGACGACCAGGAGACGGCGATGGTGACGACGCCGGCGATCAGGTACGGGGGGCAGGTCAGGACTAGAGTGAGTGTCCTGCCAAAGCCAAGTGTCTCGACGACGGTGGGGAAGAAGTTCTTGAAGCCGTTGGCCGCCAGGTGCATATGCGCCATGAAGCAGAAGAGCCACACGAGAGGGTCGCTGGCGGCTTGCTTGAGACCCTCCTTGGTGCTGGTCTGGCCCGAGTTCTGGGTGGTGTCGAGCTCGATGCGGTTGTAGGCGAGATCCTTCTCCTCCTGGGTGAGCCACCAAGTCGTCAGCGGGGTGTCGGGCAGGAGGAAGAAACCGATGACGGCGATGACAAACGTGACGGCACCCTGCAGTATGAACAGCCACTGCCAGCCAGCGAGACCGGCGAGGTTGTCCATGCCGTGGAAGATACCAGCGGCAATGAGACCGGCAAAAGCTGTCGCGAGGATGTTTCCCGTGTACAGGATGGCGATACGTGTGGCGACCTCCTTGCGTGTGTAGAAGAGCGACAGGGTGTAGACGGCACCGGGGTAGTACGGAGCCTCGGTGAGACCAAGGAAGAAGCGCGTCAGGAGGAGGCCGATAAAGTTGCGCGAGACGGCAGTCAGGCCGGACACAATGGCCCAGAGCATCATGGCGGTACCCATGTAGCGACTGGGCCGGGTCCGTGTAAGGAACATGTTGGACGGCACCTGAGCGAGCACGTAGCCGACGAAGAGGATAGATACGCAGGTTTGGTACTGGGTGCCGGTGAGATTGAGATCTTCCTCGAGAGTGTTGATCCGCGCTAGCGCAATGGCATTGCGATCCAGATAGTTGAGCCAGTACATGCTCCAGAGCATGGGCTATAAAAGAGCGCTGTTAGCGGCGGGTGACTTGGGGCCGGCTGGAAGATGAGCGGCATACCATGATCCAGCGGTCGAGCTTGCGCACAAGCCTGATCTCCTTTGGGTCGGTCTTCTCGTGAGCCCCCGAGTAGTCGACCCTATCCACAACGGGGACAGGTTTCTCGCTCTGCTCAAAGCCTGCTTCACTGTCTTTGGTCTGCGCAAGCCGCAGCTCATTGTCGTGCTTCTCGCCGTGGGTGGACGCCATGATGACCGTATAAGTGGTGCCTATGGCAGGAAGAACTGCAATTGCCTCTTGGGAAGTGAACGGGTAAACGGGCTGTAATGTCTGATAAGTACGGCTTGAGGAGGCTTTGTGGCACCCGTCAAGTGTCAGGGAGTCACTGCTGGACAGGAAGAGACTCGAGAATACGAGTGGCGGACACTCTCTCTTTATACTGCCCCGGGCAGCAAACAACAGCTTAACATAATCGAGGCTGCCCTCAGAAAGAGGAGAGATTGGGGGACCAGAGCTGGGAATGGTGGGTTCGCGCTGCGACTCCAAGTGTCATCCCCACGCGCTGATCCCCTTGCGGAGAAGCGAGATTTAAACATGTTCAGGCGTACCCGGGGGATGATCCCTGAGACAACCTGGGGCCAGCAAGAGAAGAACGCGGAGGTTCTGGGGTAGTATTGGTTGATACACGAGGAGCAGAGGCGCTCGGACGCCCTGACTAGACCAAGTATTTCTCGATCCTCCCCAAATCCCTCGTGGGAGATGACCGAACTATTCCGACTCTTTCTCGGCGAGATACCTTGGTGCGGGTCTTGCACAGGGGAAAGAGACGCTTAGGATGCCATGAATCATGCTACTGCCTGTCTGCAGACGACGAGGATCTAGAACGCCCGCTCCGTGATCGTTTAAAGAGCACCATCCACGACCGTTAGTGATCCATGACCCGAATTGTGTGATGATTGAAGTAACCACACGCTGTAAGTTGCCAGCGTACGCATAAGCGTCGAGAGGCATGAGGGCAGTGGCCAGCCAGCATTCAACGACAGCATATTCAGTAGAGGGACGGGCGATAGATGGCGACTTCACACCCTCATCACCTATTCCGTATGTTTGCACTTGACACAGCCAACGCGGCTGCATGGGCGTGGGTCGTCCGTCATCGCTGTTGGGAGCCTGAGCAGCATTCGGCAGTACATTTGGCTTCCGCACTCGTGAGGGGATCGACCGTTGTTCCAGAACCAGATGTCACCATAATTCATGTATGCAAACTGCTGGTAGACATGAACTATTCGTCCTTGGCTCTAGACCGGGAGCGAATTGTCGCCCTGTCACTTTCGTGTGGGATCTTGCCGCAGGACATGGTAGAGACTTCGGGCCCTTGCTCACCGGCAGTTGTGCCTTTCTGGTGACTGGGCTTCGAGGGAATCCTTCGAGAAGCATGATTCGCGCGGAGAGGCCGTGGACCCTCGAGGGCTCCCCCGGGAACAGGGATAATATCTACCCACCCGCATCCGTCGATTACCCCAATAAGACTGGGCCCTTGGATGCTTAATAGCTAATGCGTCCACCTCGTTGGCTGACGCTTCAAACTTTATCCGTTAACTCTGTATTGCGGACCAGGAGGGACATGGAGCAACGTCTGCGTTGACACGGCGGTCTCGCCTGCTCCGACGCTGGCTGGCGATGACTGCCCTGCTGATTCAGAGCGTCAAATAACCTTCGAAAGCCAGGACATCACACAATCATCGATATAAGGCGCGCCGGCTAAGACAGACGGAAACCCTGGCGTATGCCCCCGTGTAGATGATGCAAGGTGAGCAGGCGCTGGTTGGCCTGGTTAGGATCATCCCCTCGATCATTCGGCGCTCTTCCAATTCGCAGCCCGCACACCAAGAAGGCGCCACAAGCCGTCATTATCGAGCCGCATCTATTGATTTTCCTGGGCGTGCTGTCTGATTCCTGCAAAAGATCCGTGGCGTCTTCGTCACGCCCCCATGCATGAGGAGCAACAGCCACCGCAGGGTCGCACACAATCCAATCACAGAATTCTCGCTGCCTAACCCTGCTGGAGGAAGAGCAAATGATGCTGGGCACGATCTTCGGTACTGATCTCTTGACGAGAGCCGGATGGGAATAGCGCTGGGTTGCGTTTTGATCTGGCAGAGGTACGACCTTCTCGCGTCGTCCACATAGCGAGTTATGGTGAGGTACGTTGTTGGTTGCAAAGCGTGGCTTGTCGTTCGTGTCCAAATATGGCAATGGTGAGCGAGCTAGAAGCATTCCATGGAACCTCCTGCTTCCAAGGGCGCTACATGTCACCTTGGCCTCGGAGTCCAGACTCCACAAACATCAGGTTGGGCAACTTGGCGACGATGCGGGGTCCTCCTTGGAAGACGGAGCAGCGGCAGCTGCACGCGGCTGACGCGTCTTTCATTCGCCGAGATGTGGTTTATCGAGAGGATATGGTACAAGTGCCGTGCGCCTCGTCCATGATGTCGGTAGAGCTTCGCTGCTGCCCGCCAGTCGATCGAGTCCCACCTTCCGGAGTCCCAGGTTCTCAGCCTTGATACTGCAGACTGCTAGGTCAGTCACAATAAGTACTGCTTCGCTGCTCAGCTCAGTGCTCAGACTTGCCATCACAGTCCAGGATAGACGCGCGGCGAAGGACCCGCAATCCTCAGAAGCCTCGTCGAAGTCCCACGGAGTTTGCCTCTAGAGTCCATACGTCCATCGTCTCGCACCCGGCTCCGTTGCTTCCCCGCCTTCGGCCAACGTCCGCGCATGTTTCGATGAATCTCCGCCGAGGTATCCCGCATCAAGGGGTTCCACATACGCGCACGTTCTGGTTGGTACAGTTCCTCACGAGTACCATTTGGCATTCAACTTGCTAATTATCGTGGATCCTCCAGCGCGATGCTTCCCAAGGTTCCCCTCGAATCTTGTACAATGGGGCGAGGGCTGCAATGCACAGCGGATGTGCCAAAAGAAGCGGTCATCGTGACCGTCGGACTCGCCCTGCCCACGATGAAGTGAATCACTACACGTCAGGGCGTCTTGCACGATGCAGATAGTCGCTGGAGGCGGTGTCGTCCCCATACCACTGACAAAACACCTGAGCTGAATGTCTGGACCAGATTTGGTCATGCAGTGTGCCCGTCTGTGTGGAAGCTACTGCATGATTCCGATCATTGCGCCTAGTAGCGTCCGGTAGACATAGCGCGTGTCGTAAAAGGGACTCCGGACTTCTATTGGCCCTGCGAAGCGCGGGCTCATGTCCCGTGTCCGTGAGATGCGTGGAGCAGCCCGGCGTGTCTGTGCTGGACCGGACATTGTGTTGCACATCCGCCATGTCCTTTTATAGCGACGGGCGGATGCGCATGCCAGAGGCACCGCATTCCTCCGGTTGCTCGATTTTGGACGAATATCGAAGCTGTGGCGGAGTGGACCCATCGGCCTCAGTCTTCGCTCTCCTTTGACGACTCTCCTGCCTCGTCTTCACGTTCAGTGTCAGTGTCACGAAGTCCACGTCGTGTTTGTCTCGTAGACCTTCTCATCGGCCCTGGTCGTTGAGGGGAGGTGCTGCTCCGCGCATTCACGACCGCAATCATGCCACCTCCTCGGACTCTCCTAGATGGACGTTTGCGAGGCTCACCGGCTTCTTCCGACGGCGCTCTCTCCGGCTGCTGGTCCTCTGGTGAAGGAGATACTGACAAGGGTGTTTCCACAGTGTCCAGCTTACCCTCGCCCTGATGATCCTCCATAACCAAGTCATCGTGCCCGTCATAGTCCTCGTCGTTATCGTGTGCTGCTGTTGCGAAGAAACCCGAGGTATGGTGAGTAGCAGCACGAGCATCGTCATCGTTGCCCTCCTCCTCTTCTTCATAGCCCTCAGGAAGGAACCCACCGGCTGTCTCCTCGTTGTCGTGAGCCTGGGGTACCGGCTCGTTGTGTATCGAGTTCAATCCCTTCTTGGGCCCAAACACGGAGACATTAGCCCCAACCTGGCCATACTCCTGCTGAATACGCTCGACGATGCGCATGCCCATGATGAACTTTCGCCATTTGCCCAGGGCAACCTTCCGACGCTTCTCGTCCTCTTTACGAGCGCGTTCGGCCTCGTCCTTTTCTAGCTGCTCCATTACCTGATCGTGGTATTCTTCAGCAATGACAACTCCCCGGATCACAGGCACAGCCATTCGATGGCCAAACTCAAAATCAACTACGGCCTCGGCATAGTCAATCCCCAGCTTCTTGCAGACCTTGACGGCCCCGCGGTAAGGAATGTGCACAGCTCCTTTTGGGCACATGTGCTCCGCAAAGAGATCAATATTGCTATTACCGAATCAGTCAGCTCGTTCTGCGAATGAATTACTTTGACATACCCGTAGTCATTTTTGGGAATGACACCGTCCTTAATTGGAGGCGGGATAATCCAGTCGGTCTGCCCAATACTGAACAAGCCCTGGAGGACCTTCTGGCCCGTGGCCGCCTCTGCTTCGGCGAGTTCTCTGCGTCGATTTGTCGTGGCGGCGCGATAAGGCACACGCTTGAGCGGCTGCTCGCCAGGAAGTGGTGCGCGGCCTTGCTTATGCCATGTTTCGGCACTCTTCACGTTCACTACGTCCTTGCGCAAGTAAACGTCCTCTTCCTCGATCTTGCCACCTTTCGCCTTGTTCTTGAAGATCTTGACTGGCTTGGCACCGGGTTTTAGCGCCTCTTCTCTTTTCAGATGTCTTTCTAAAGCGAAGTCCTTGGATTGTTTGTAATATTGAAGGGTCTCTTCACCTTCTTTGATCTCCTTCTTCTCAGGCTGCGCAGGCTTCAAGTCCGTTGCTTCTTCTAGTTCGTCAATTTCTGTTATTGGTACCGATTGGTGGCCTCTGGTATAGCCAGACAAGGCTGTTTTGAACCAATCGAAGTGCTCATATCGCTTGACCTTGCCGTACCGATTATGCACTGGTATTTTTTCAAGTCCCACCCGATTTCCCTTTGTTCGTCCGGGAAGCATCTGTCGCTTGAGGTATCTCACAGTGAGATCTTTGGCGGTGCCGTCTGAAGAGTAGCCAACAATGTACGCCATTATCTGGCGGGCCTTGTCAGCCTTGGATCCTCGAGGCTCAAAGCTTTCGACAAGCTCCCTGTTGGTGGCGACAACGCTTTTGACAATTGCATCCACAGGCAGATACTTCTGGGTGACAGGAGATAGGACTTCGGTCCAATAATGAGGATACTCAAGATCTTCGTCGAATCTCTTTGTGGGGTTTGGGTGCCTTCGAGGTAGGACTTCAAGCTCCACCACGGACTCGTCGTCCGTATCCTTGAATTCGAGGTCGAGGTCGTCGGAATCGTCTATCACGATCGCGTCGGATTTTCCAGTTCTGCGGCCAGTGCGCTTTTTGGACCCCGTCGATGTCTTATTGGTCTTTGGTGTCTTGCCCTCTTCGTTGCCAGGGGCCTTGCTCTTCCCTGTGCTAGTAGGCGTCACACTCACTTTCTTTGGAGTTGTCTCGGTGGCGCCATGTGCCTTGGGCTCTCCAGCGTCCTCCAGCTTGGTCCAACCAAACCCCAGTGTTTGCAAGTTTGCTACCATACGTGCCTCCATGCCGAGGCCCCTCAGGAGCGCAGTGAAAAGCTGTGCGCCAACATCCCTGCTTCCACGGCAGCTTCTGGCGCACCTGCGGAAATCGTCTAGAGTTGGCAGCTTCTCGCCGACCACGCTGGGGTTATACATGTCGTTCTTCCACGCTTTGGTCCAGCGATCCAGGCGATCCAAGGACATGTAGCCGTATTTGCGGATACCGGGCGTCGTGATCTTGAAGCGCTGCTTCCACCATGCTGAAAGGGTCTGCATCAACCGGACCAAGGGATCGCCTTGACTCATATTGACGGCACCTTCTTCAAGCCTTTCTGCTGCTGACCCCCAGTCGCGCCCTTCTGCTGCCGGGACGGCTTTGCCCTTGCCTTTGCCCTTGGTCTTTCCCTTGCCCTTCGCACTTGTGACGGGCCTGGGGGGCTTTGGTGGCTCTTTTACCAAGCCACTGTTACGCATCCATCTCTCGACCTCTTCCCACAGCCTAGGGGTCAGGTGTGAGATCATTGTCGCCTGTATCTCCATGTCACAGACCCAAGCATTCCGGATGGCATTGTGCCAGAGAAGGGTAAGCACGTGAACTCGATGCGCGGCATTGCGGCCCTGCCGATCCCGTTTTGTCGGCCCCTTGTTGTCTCCATAGTACTCGTGGTACAGTGATTTCCGGTCGGTTGGCTGAAAAGTCAACTCCAGATCACCAGAAACAACGGGTGCGTCCTGTTGTTCTACGTTTGGAGCCGCCACATCTTCGAACTCGACATCCTCATCATCCTCCGAGTCTCCAGCTTTGTCCGCGACGGGGGGTTTGACATCTTCAAAATCGGGGTCTGAGAGCGAAGTCAAGGAGCTGGAATCGTCATCTTCACCGTTGAAATCATCCAGGAGTGAAGTGGACTGCGGCGCATTTGTTGCATCTAATGCGTCGTAAAGCGTCGATTTCCGCTGTTGACCAGCCTGCGTTGAAGTTGCACTACTGCCCTTGGACTTCTTCGATAAACTGTCACCAGAAGGCGATGAGCGCAGACGCTTGCGCGGCACCACGGGAGGCATTGTGTGCAGCTTGGGATTTTGGCTGCATCCTTTCAATATCTCTTGGGCTCAGTTCAAGAGGTGGTAGGCGTGACTGCGGCAGGAGCCTGTCTGGCTGCGTCATCGAAGCGCGCGCTGTCGCGAGTGCACGTGACCTTTGTCATGGCGTTCGTGGCCTCAACCTCGGTGATGCCGCTATGCGTGAGTAGAAGCCTCCTCATATGAACCAGAAAATCTGAGTAGATGATCCGATGCAATACCTCCACACATCAGAGCCGCTCACGCGTGAGAGGCTACAAGTTATCGTGAACGAGGACTGTCTGTGAGGATCGCAAAGGGATTTGAACACGAGCCCTGCGGCGCCGCCATCTTGGCTAGCCACCCCCACCTAAATTTTTCTTCGACATGAATCACACGAGGGGCACTTCAGGGTCCACGGCAGTCATCCTCACTCACATGTGCAACCCATTCAACAATGTCACCATCAGCAGAAGCAACCGCAGCCGGGTCGGCGGAGGCCACTATTGTCAGTCTTCGCCAGAGCCTTTGCTCTGAATCGACTCCTCTACCCATACGATTTAGAGCGCTGTTCTCACTGAAGCATGTTGCGCAAACCTCAGACGACCCCGCCAAAGCAGACGCAGCGATTGAAGCCATAGCAGCTGGCTTTGCCACACCATCTGCGCTCTTGAAGCACGAGCTGGCCTATTGCTTGGGCCAGACAAAGAAGGACGCAGCCCTCAAGCCATTGCGAGATGTGCTCTCAGATCTAAATGAGGATCCAATGTGTAGACACGAGGCTGCTGAAGCGCTCGGTGCGCTAGGCCACTCCGAGAGTCTGGAATTACTCAAGCACTTCCGCGATCGAGAGGGAGAGGCAGACGTTATCACAGAGACCTGCGAGATTGCGATTGATCGCATCGAATGGCAGAACTCAAAGGAGAGAGAAGCAGAGAAGCTGCGCCAAAGGTTTGCAAGTCTGCTTCATGTCGATGTGTCCTTAGTTAACCTGTCTAATAGCGACTTTGCCTCTATCGACCCAGCGCCCCCCATGCCCGAGGCTGGGAACACGATCGAAGACCTCGAGAAGACATTGATGGACACCAAGCAACCACTTTTTATGCGCTACCGGGCTATGTTCGCTCTGCGCGACCTCGCTTCGCCTCCCGACCTGCCCACCGCGGAACAAGCCGTCTTGGCTTTGGCCAAAGGTTTCTCAGACAGTTCTGCCCTCTTCCGCCATGAGATCGCATTCGTCTTCGGCCAGCTGTCCCATCCAGCATCGATCCCTGCGCTGACCGCGGCCCTCAGCGACGTGAACGAAGCGAGTATGGTGAGGCATGAGGCTGCTGAAGCTCTGGGTAGTCTTGGCGAAGAGGAAGGTGTCGAGCAGACCTTGAAGAAGTTCCTCCATGATAAGGAGCGCGTAGTGGTCGAGAGTGTCATCGTCGCGTTGGACATGGCCGAGTACGAGAAAGGGACAGACGCAGAATATGCCCTGATACCGGAGACTGGCGCGGCTGCTGCATAATTTGATATCCTTGAAATAGACTGGATCAAAGTACTTTGATGGTGATTTAGTTGGAACACCCTAATTGTTCTCCTGCCATCTGTCGCAAACGTTAGCACTCAGGGTAACTTGCTCAGTGTGTTACTTACGATTCTCCACATTCGCAGGTGTAGATAACGGTAGAGCCCTCGTCCGCACCGCGAAGCTGGACGTTTGCGTATGTCACTTGAGTACCGCCGCACTTTGGGCATGTCTCGTCCGCTTTGCTGCCCCTTTGTATGGTGTGTCGCTCGACATTTTGCACGTTGGACTGGAGCTTCTGTCGCAGAAACGACGGGAAATCGGAAGGCTTGCTTTTTGTCAAAATCGTCTTGGTGCCGGTGTCTTTGTAATGTTAGACGGTGGCTCATTCGCTGGGCTCGAACCCAGGACGTTTAATCCAAAGCATACCTTGGTTCTCTGCGCCACAGCAGTCGCAAGTCAGGACATTCCTGTCGCTCCCTTTGGACGCCGGTAACAAATTACCACAGTCTGTGCAAAAGACGAGCGAGCCGATAGCAGCCATTGTGAGTACCTTTGCGACGAATATGTGATGCTCACTAAGGGCCAAGCGGCTGCGACAAAAAATTTGGTCCGCAAGAAGTTTCGCGATGCAAGCGGGCGATAAGATAAGACGGGCCGGAGAAGGTGGGCGGCCAGGTGTGATCGACTTTAGTGGACCCTGCCGTCCCTGACTTCATGCACGGCCCAATCGCGTCACCCTCATGCAAGGCTAACAGTGGCAGCTGCGATGCGACTTGGATCGACCTAACTTGGGTGCCGAAGTTCACGGTGCTCGCAAACTTCCTCCATTTTGCACCTGCAAACGCCATCTTCACCGACCCAAATCTGCCGCTTGCTCGAGCCTCAACATCAGACGGCCGACCCAAAGAGCTTGCTTTCCGCAGCTGCGACTAACGCTTTGCGGCGGCCTCCGCTGAAGTACCTAATCCAATCCCGCGGCCGACCACGAGTGATCTCAGCCATGCTTCGCGGGAAGCTCAGGTGACGAGGAAGTCAAGACAACAATATGGACAGGTCAAAGAGATCCAATGTGAATGGTATCGAGGAGATCAGGCCACGATCAACCTTCGGATCTCTCCCAGACACCTCACGTCCAATCGAGTTCCGAGATGCATTACCATTTTCTCCCAACACTACCACATTTCCCATTGCTCCTGGTGAGGTACAATTCCATCTCGACGGAACATTCACTGACGACGGCAGACCTAATACCGATGCCCACGGTCAGGCCCATCCCGTCTTCCCTCACGCTGAGAAACAGTGTTCCATCGAACGCGCTCGACAGACTGAATTCTGAGGCTACGCAAGACGAAGGCCTCACACCTGACGGCAGGCATGCTATCGACAATATCGTGAACGACTTGAAGCTCTCCCAGCGCATGCAATAGTCAGTCCCAAGACCGACTAACTGTCGGTGGGCCGTCAGCTAACTCGTCGCCAGTCAATTCAAGAACGTACCGACGAAGCCTCCGACAACATCGAAAGAAACAAGATCTTTTTCAGAAAAGTCCTTCCCAATGTCAAAGGCTCTGTTTGGTCGCGTCGGCGACTATTTCAAAGCCTCCAAACGAGACGCGGCAGGCACTAAAGCACCACCAGCCACCAATGGTTCAGCAAAGAAGCAGTATGAGAAGAAGCTATCTCACGTCCCACCAAGTTCATCAAACACAGCTCCCAATATCCCCCAAGCCAATGGACCCCTTGAACATAACAGCATAGCGTGGCATAATAATGCGAACTCTCGAATGGTTGGAGGATCAATAGAGCCATTCAAGGCTTTGGAACCGAAGGCTTTCGTCGAAAATGGGAAGCAAGAGCCCAGTCATTCTCAAAATCAGCAATCGCATCAGGTCATGAACCAGCTGCAGTTCACAGCACCGTATAAGCAGCTCGAGAAAGTGCACCAGCCCTCCATTCCTTCCGTAAACCAGCCGGCATTCACCATCGAAATCCCTAGGGCGCATATTAATCGCGACGAGTACATTGCCACTGACGAGGTGTCAGAAGAGCCGGCGAAGCTGTCGCATAAAAAGGAACGCCAGAGCCTCACGGGAACCCTTGGGCCCATGGAGGAAACACTCGATCAGCGTCAAAGAGCAGAAGGTGCCTTGAAAGACTTGTTGCGACGAACCTCTAACATCAATCGAGCTCTACATGCGGTGTCCACGATGGAGCCAGGCTTCGACCACATAGTCGCAATAACAATGGAACAGGAGCCCGCTATTACAGCAGAGGAACATAAGAAGATATACTCGGCCATCAACAAAGTCATTTTGCATCGCCGCTTCGACAAGGTCCCCGTCGACGATTTGGTGCAAATTCTGCGCCTCAGCGAGGCCAGTATCAGGGCAGCTTCTTCTCTGGAATTGCAGGTCAACCACGAGTGGGATGACGGATCCGCGGCTGCTTGGGTCGACCAGCTGCCTAGTCTGGATGCAGGACTTCGAGCCGCACGGACAGCTATGCAAATCCTTACCGGCGGCCGCGAGGATCGCCAGCTGTACTCGGAGAGCTTGATCGAGAATGGCATCAAGATTTTCCAGAAGGCTACCGAAGACGTGGTGACACCTGTTGTCGAACTACGCAATTCAGGGCCGACAAGCTCAATTTTCAAGTTGCTTGTCAGAAACAAGAAGGACATCGCCATGATTTTCAACAGCTGCCAGAAATTGCTTGCTGTCCTCGCAGACCTCGTGGGCAAGGTTCAGCTGGCTGATATGTCGCTAAACACCTTGGAGTTTGTTTCCTCGAATTTGGTGTTTGTCGATAATGCGTATTACGAGAAGGATTCTATCGTTGGCGTACAGAAATTCGATGGGATTCGCACAGCCGCGATGGATTCGCTATGCCAGATATTCCTTACCAAGCCCGAGCAGAGACATGGAATTCTCAACGAGATCCTGACGTCTCTCTCGAAATTGCCTGTCACAAAGCAAGGGTCACGTCAGTTTAAGCTTACCGAAGGTGGCAATATCCAACCCGTCTCGGCACTTGTCATGCGTCTTGTCCAAGCAAGCTCCGTGTCCCAAGGAAGGGACAGGAACCCGCATCGCCAAGATACACCACAAAGGAGCGATATGGAAGCAGATGAAGACGATGAACTTCAAACGCCCCAAAAGCCTGCAGCCAATTTTACTGTGAATTCAGAAGACAATGGTGCTCAACAACCTGAGCTCGCCTTTGATGATCTCGATGCGGTGCTCAAACCCCTTGAGGCAGGCGCCTTCCACAGTGCAACCATGGTTATCGGCTTCTTAGTCCAACGCGCCGCTGTGTCTACCAAAACTGGTGATTCACCCTACAGGAATCTGTTGGACCTATGTGTCGAAGATTTTGCTCTGTGCCTCAGTTCACAGGACTGGCCCGCTGCCGAGTTGCTACTTCGATGCCTCATGTCCCAGATGAACACCCTATTTGAAGGGGAGAAGACTGCGGCACCTGCCAAGAGCATGGCTCTTGAAGTCCTTGGTGTCCTTGCAGCGACTGTCTCGCGGCTGCGTTCACAGGTGAAGAAGCTGTCGAGCAGCACAGACACGAGCGGTGCCAGTGATCTATCTTTTTACCTGTCGGATCTCGCCACCCATTGCTTGGACAGGACGGGTCGCCACGGTCAGGTACTCGCGTGGACAGGGCCTTATCGAGTCGTCCTAGAGGCTATTGCCAAGCAGTCACTACAGGACGCTCACAAGACAGGCACGACCTCGTTTGTGACGATCAGTTGGGCCGGCCGTTTGAGGAACGGATATAGCAATGCGACTGACGAGCACGAGGATAAGGAGCAAGAGCTTGGTCGTCTGGCATACCGACTCAGAATGATGATTCAAGACCAGGGCTGGCTTGCCAGCCATTTTGACTTCACCCTGGGCACGGAGACAGACTCCAAACTATCATATGCCATTACGTTGCTTGGCCTACCTCTCTGCGAAGCACTTGATCATATGCTCAACATCCTGCTCAGGTCGATGACAAACGATCAAGTCTCCATTCGCAACAGAAGCTTGAAAAGCATCAGCCAGGTCGTTGAGACTGATCCCTCAATTCTAGATGGCCCCCTACTTGTTGACCGAATCATCGAATGCGCGAACGATGCCTCAATACAAGTCCGCGAATCTGCTCTCACTCTAATGGGCAGTTGCATCCAGATAAGGCCCCGGTCAGAGCCCGACTTTGCTCCAGAGATCACAAAGCGCATCAGCGACACCGCTCCTTCTGTACGCCGTCGCGCGCTAAAGCTTGCTCGCGACATCTACCTGCGTAACAAGGGAGCCGGACTTCGGAGCAGCATAGCGTCGGAGTTTCTCCGCCGCGTGTCCAGTGAACCAGAGGAGTCAGTCCGCGACACTGCCCGACAAATGCTGGAGGAAGTTTGGTTCGCACCGTATTACTCCATGGAAGACACCCCCAAGTTCCAAGCAGCGCTTGCCGATCATACAGCAGTGATGATACGCACAGCTAATGGCGCTGACAAGCTCGAGACAATCTTTCAAACGGTTCTGAAGGCGGCGAACCCCGGGCTCTCTGGCCCATTCGCCTTGTGTACGAAATTAGTGGCCAACCTATTCGACTTTATCAACAACCCCGTGTCTGATGACCCGAATGTTCCCTCAGGTCAGGATGCGACAAGTCTATTGACAACCTTTGCAAAGTCGGACCCACGTCTTTTCACCTTTGAGCAAGTTCGACTTCTCAAGCCCCTGCTCGCGAGTAAGGATACCAATGATGCGGATGACCTCATTGCATTCCGAGGTATCCTCGCAATCCTACGCAATGTATTACCCCAACTGTCATCCGTTCACGTCGGTTTCATCACTGAGCTCAAGACCTTGCTTGTGCCGAAAGTCGGTAAAATCTCGACTCCTGCAGCGCTGGACGACCTATTATCCTGCTTGCGCGTCATCCTCGACCTACTGAAGGACATGCAGCCCGCGATTGCCTTGACCAGGTCCGTCCTGATGGGCCTGGGAAAGATGGCTCAGGTACCAAATCAACAGCCATCCAAGAAGCCAGCAGCAGCTCGGATCGTGGAGCCATCCGAGTCGAAAAAGTTCATTGTCTACACCTCTCTTCTCGGTAGACTCGCCCTCCACTTCGACGTCGAGAGCTTTCAGGCGCTCAAGACTGAGGGAGAAAACAGTTCGGTCTCACGAACCATGGTGGATAGACTTGCGCCCTTTGCATCTCAAGACCAGCTCGTCGAGGTGCGCAAAGCGGCTATTGGGTGCTTGGCAACTGTTTGTCAAGCCTGGCCGCGTAACTACACTCTACCCAAAGTCTGGTCCCTATTCCAAAAGGCATTCATGGAGAGGAACCCTGAGCTGGAACTTGTCATCCTGAGCTCTTTTAAGGAATTCTTGCTCACTGAGGAGAAACGTTCGGAAGCAGCGAGCATGGTCTCGGAGGGTGAAAAGAAGAAACTGACTGTCATGGGCGGTACATCATACGACGATGTGGCGAGTGCTACGACGCAGCGCTTTCTCCCCGACATTACACGCATCTCCTTGTCTGGTCACCAAAACGCGTTCACCGCTCTCCAGGTCCTGGGCAGCATCAACAGACAGGGCTTAACTCATCCAAAGGAAGTTGGCGTCACCTTGATCACGCTGGAAACCTCCCCTCACCACGTTATCGCAAGAATGGCCCACAAAGAGCACAAGGCCCTACACGAGAAGCATGAGTCCACCCTGGAGCGAGAGTACGCCAAAGCCATCCAGTCGGCTTACGAGTACCAACGTGATGTCTGCCAGGACACAAGAGGTGCTCGTCTTGAACCAGGCGAGGCGAAACTGCATCATTTGATGGATATTCTCAAGATCAGCAAGATGAAGAATCGACAGCGCCTCTTTGAAAAGCTGAGCACTTTGGTCCAATTCGACCCGTTTCAATTCGATGCGACCCCGGATATGCCATCTCAGGTCGATTTCACAAGGTTTATCATGGACAATCTTGCTTTTATTGAATACCAGACGGTTGGCGAACTTCAGACAATTGTCCGCAAGCTGGAGCAACTTGTCACGTCTACAGGTGCGACAGTCGCACAGGTCATTGACTCGGAGGTTTTCAACAACAGGATTGAAGAAACCTACGATGATCAAGGCCAAGACCAGCTCAATCAGCAGCTGAGTGGCGAAGGCACCGAGACAGAGGTCCCGCAGCTACCTCACAGCGTTGAGCCCGCTCGTTTGCGACAGCTAGCTGCTGCATCTGTGATCTTGCTCATGATTTGGGGCACACGCACGTATTTACGAAAGCTGTACGGAATGGGCACATCCCGAAGCGACAGCAAGGCCAAAGCATTGGCCAAGGACCAGAACCGATCACCCCCGAAAACCCAAGGTGTTCACTCTGACCGTTACTGGGATGAGATTACACCGCTGCCAAACAGCCTTCAGTCCAGAGATGACATGATCAGAAAGTGCAAGGACTTGGTGGAATTGATGAGCATTGACAGCGAATTCAAAGTCGGTGATGAGGACGACATGGACATGGATGACCCCGGCACTCCTTCGCCCAATGAAGATGGCGAAGATAACGAAGATGGCGCACTGGGCAGGAAAAGGAAGAGCAACTCGGCTACCCCTAGCGGCCGGAAGAAGAGGGCCAGAGAGAGCTCTCAGCTTCGCAAGCGAGGGCGGCCGCGCAAGAATCCTGTTGTTGAATCTTCGTGGGCGACGGCGGGCGATTCAGACGAATAGTGGATTTGACTTGCACACGGAAGCGACGGCGTTGAAAGATGGAGGAGCAACTCGAAGGCTTTCACGGTGATCATTTAATTTGGGCGTTGCGCGGATCTGGATCCTGGGATCTGGGATTGTCATTGTGATTCGGAGATACCTTGCCCAACTAAATTTGCTGCAGACAGAGCGGGCGGAAGTGAACGCCCATGCGGCATTCACAGACCAGACTTGCTAGATGGCTAGATTATACAACACGACTGCCTACTCACCCTTCTTCGACTTGGAGCTAGTGCTCAAGCCTAGTCCTTCGAGCTGAACACTGCCCCTTCTAAGGAGTGACATTGGACTGCCCATTCTCATACTCGCACCACCTCCACCAGGATAGTTACCTCCGTCACCGCCCAGCACGCCAGGCGGCAATCCTAGCGTGGGGATGCTCGCTTCCGGCACAGCCTCCAGGTTGGACAGCGGTCCAATTGTAGATGGCGTGCTCGGTACGACGTGTCCCCTTTCAGTAACCTCTCTCCATAACTCCTCCAGCGCCGGGGCATTATAGCAGAAGGCCTCAAATTCCTCCTTGATCGTCTCCGGCTCCGAGATGATGGGGGCGGGCATACTGTTACCGGGTACGGGCTTGAGCGCGGGCGACTGGTGGTAAAATGCCGGCTTGACCATGGGTGAGGGTATTGGTGTCGGTTCGGGGATGTTATAGGCACTGCTGGGTCCGCCCGTGGATATGGCACGCCCACTGGTGCCAATATGTGCCTGTTGGTGCTCCGATCGATCCGTGTTGTTGTTGCGCATTTGCTCGCGAAGATTGAAGGCGCGGTTGTTGTACAGACGGTTGGCTAGCAGGAGGATGTCGCCATCGTCATTAATCTGCGCAAGGAGGCCGCCGGAGCGATGGATGTACTGGGGATACCTGTAGTCCGGCTTGCCCCAGGAGTAGCGCACGTCGACATTGGAGGGAAATGCCGACGCCGCTTCAAAGTCCAGTACGAAGTCGAATTTCTTGAGCAGCGCTGTTTGATAGTGATTTTTGACAAACGACGGCGGCTGAACTGGCGACTCCGAGGAAACACTGGATCTTTCCGTGTGGACATCAGGGGGTGGCGTTGCAAGCTTGATCAGGTATGGCTTTCGAAAGGGGTTGGTGTCTGTAATTGTAGACGCTTCTCTGATAGGCACTTCGACTAGTCGAAGTCCATACTGGCTTGCTTCTCTGGCCCATGATTCGACTGCATCCTCGACCAGCTTCGATGTAGCGTTCATCCAGTCAATTCGGATGTGGTAGCAGTTGTCGGGGTTATGGACACGGTCATAGTGTAGGTTGATCTGCTCAGGCCGGTACGACCTCTTTCGATGATCCACATCATACCTTATCATCTTGCTTAGGTCAACACGCGCTCGCTTGGTGCGGTATTGCCCGCCGAGCATAGTGGGCGTCGTAGACGAGGACGTAGGGGAGCCCTCGCTTAGCGTTGGCTTGGTGCCTGAGCGAGGAGAATCGCGACCTTGACCGTCCACCATTGGTGTGGCCGGGAGAGAATTGTCGCGGCGTTTGTTGAACCAGCCAGGTTGTGGCTTGGATACCTCGCTGGCGAATTGGTAGAAGTAGTTCCCGTCACGGAACTGATGCCGCTTCTCGACGTGCACGAAGAGGCCCTTGATCTTGTTGTCAGCCTTGTGATCGCCACCTTCCTTGTCCTTGGCCTTGCTTTCGTCAGGTACCATGAGCGCATTTCCCAATGCCTCTGCATCTTCGCGGCTGTCGAGGTCCTCAAAGTTGTCCAAGAGCCACGTGGTCATGTCAGATCCGATAAAGGAACTATGGTGCAAGCGCAGATGCCACCTTCGATTCTTCAGCGGGACGCCCCCGTTTTCGACGGGTTGCTGCATCGCCTCGGCCAGTGCAGCAAGGTTGAGCTTGGATTTCTGAAACTTTTCCTTGCTTGAGATAAGCTGTTTTCTCCGGGAGCCCGCCTCCAAGCCCTCTGTGAATCGCAGGGTCTCAAGTTCAGCATTCACGACTACGGACGGGTCGTCTGTCTTGTACACGATGCTGAGCGGACTCGACTCCGTGCGCCGCTTGTTGCCGCTACCAATAGACAGAAAACGACGTTCTGACGGTGGGATGTAGCGATGCTTCTGCCACAACTGTGCGAGGCGATTGATTCCTTCGATGCGCACTTCCTCAGGGTTGTCGCCAAACTTGGGGTTTGTATTGGAGACCTGCTTATTCAGGAGTGGAATGAGGACGAAGCGTGCCCTCCAAAACCTCAAGCTCTCCATCATTTCATCATGGTGACCTGCAAGATATGAATCGATGGTGTTCCAGTTGCGTTCTGGGTTTGGCCTGAGAATATCGATCTGCTGCGTCCGGTACGAGTCATCGAGCAGGGTACGGATCGCAGGCTTGTAAATCTGGGAGAAGCCCTGCGAAGCGGCGGAAGCTTTTGGCGGTTTTCGCACGTAGATGTTGATCTCCACTTCCGTCCCATTCACGCAGGAGAGTTCGTGGATTGTGTTGCCAACAGACATGTAGACGCTCGTCCCATCCTCCAACGGTTGGTCCCGTGAGAAAATGTCGGCAAGTTTGATGACCTTCTGTCCCAAAGCACGCGCCACAGCTGGGCCGATGACTACCTGAAAGCCTTGCGAGAAACGCAATCCGATCAGCTCTTTCATAAAATCTTGTCGCGTTTTCGGTTCCTCTGCCATCTCGTCGTCCGGATTCTGATCGACATTATATGGGTGACGCTGGTATTCTGAGTCAAATTGCGCCTTGGAAGGGAAATACTCTGTCGTCAACGGTACAGCCGCTGGACAGCACAACGCTTTCCACTTCTGGACCTTCATCTCAGATGTTTCTGGGAATACATGCTGCCATCGACTGTAGAGTACTGCGTCATCGATCCGGTGTCTGTCCGGGTTTGACGGGTTCAACAGCGTCAACCACGGCGTGACAGCTGTCGTTGGAGACAACTCAAATGTTTGTTCGGGGACAGCACCAGCTCGTAGCTTGTGGGTATACACCTTGTGTGCATCCTCCGCTCTCAAAGCATTAGAGTGTTGGACATCACGGTCCTCGCCATACCCATCTCGGCGTGAGCTTAGTATCGAGGCTGGTCTTGCCGCGACTTTGGACTGGCCGTCTCTTGATTCAGGTCTGATCGTATTAGCTGACCCCTTGATAATAGGTATACTGGGTGTGGTTGCGACGTCCTTCGAGCTTTTTTCAGCCGTTCCCGTCATCGGCCGCCGGGTGGACACAGAAGACGACCGACTCGCGATTGTCTTCGGTGACGACGGCCGCAGGTTTTCCAGAGCAAGGCTGTTAGGCTTGGTCTCTGTTGTCAACTGTCCCGGTGCCACCGTCTCGGTCGACACCTTTGTCTCAATAGCCTTTGGGGCAGCCAACCCAAAACCACGCTGACTGAGGCTGAACTGTCTCATGAATTTGGGCAGCTTCGCAGAGCTTGTGCCCGTCGCCGAGCTAGTAGCCGTTTCTGCAATTTTGCTAGTTTTGGGGGGCGGTGCCATCGGACGCACTGGCTTTTCCAACTCTGTCAAATTCATGGAAAGCTTCCTTGTCGAGTTCCCAAGGCCTTTCATCTTTGCGTCAGGTAGAGAGGTACCAAAGAGCTTGGCGTCATTGTTCAACTGTCGCCTCGTATCATCGTCTAATTCATGCGCGTGTCTCGATGAGTGCATGGTTCTCTTACGACGCGGAAGCTTGGCCCTAGTGTCATCGTACTCCTTCAGCTGCTTCCACAAAGATCTTTCACCTGGCCGATCGTGCTTCTCTGGGTGAAATTTTTGGAATCCGTAGACATGGTCGAACAATCCGTCCGGTATGCGCTTATTCGGCACGTATATAACGTCGTCAATGCTGCTGTTTCGCCGCATCTTAGGCGAGGTTGGCTCCAACGCTGCCGACGGAAACGCAGGGTCTGACTGAAGAGATTGCGTCTCGATCTCATTAGTCTCGAGAACGCTTCTCATTTGCAAATCGTACATGCGACATCTCATTGTGTACTCGTCTTCCTTGTCCTTTTCAACTTTGTTGGAGACCGAGAGCGCGATCCCTTCGTACGAGAGCGCCTCATCGGAAGCTCCTGTCCAGAAGGACACGTGCAGCCACTGGGGTAACGCATAACACCACTCATCCTTCTTCATTGCCGATGGCGCATAGTGCTGGCGCGCTGGGCTCGATGACTTTGATGGTGAAAATGACCCAGACTGGTAACTCCCAACTGTAGGGGTCTGGAACGCCGGCGTGCTATCACGACTGTGGTACGATCGAGATAGAGAGTTATGGCGATCGGCAGTCTTGTCGTCCAGATGTGGATTGCGATATTTGAACAACGGTACTGAGTGAAGTGGCATCCTCGGCAAACATATCAGGTCAATGCCAATACCATTGCCTACTAGTGCCTCGGTTGTCCTTCTGAGGGTTTCATAATCGACTTCGTAGACACCTGGTCCGGGGCTGATCACAATGATGGAGATGCCCGTCCTTGTTAAGTCCCTGTCGATGTAGTCATGGGCAAATTGAGAGGAGGCGAGATGGATGGCCTCTAGAACATTGCCATACATGGAGAGGGTTGGTTCTGCCTTGACGAAATTCGAGGGGAGGTCGTCCGGTATCTCTCCGTCGTCATCATTGTGGTTCGTGTTGGATTGCGACCTTTGATGGTGTAGACTGAAGTCTCTCCGAAATGAGTTGAATTCCTTCTTGAGTTGATGCAGAATCGTCGTCCACTCTCCACTGGCCATGTCACTCACAACTACGCGATAAAAGTCCTTGTAAGGTCGTTTACTCCCTGAAGGTTGAATGCCAGTGTAGTAGTCGTCATTCAATCCTTCCCCTGCGAAGTCCGTAGTAAGGCCAGTGTCGTACTCCACACGCGCGAACATGACGATGCTGACGAGGTGCTTCACCTTGAGCGATGCCCATCTTTTGAACAGTGCCGGCAGGAATCCATTCACAACCTTGTTGAACATGATCTCGCCAGAGTTTTCTGAATCGAAGTCCCACATCTCCCTGGACATTTGGATGAAGAGGACATATCTCGCTGATTCGCTCCGGAAAATGGGCCGTGTATCTCTCGTAAAGAAACCGGAGTGCACGCGTCGACCTCTGACAAATACCGCCGTGACCTGAGCCTTGATAGTGCCCATGAATAGAACGGACTGCCCCTTGTAGATCGTACGTTGTGTGAGCTCGCCGACTGTTAGCCTCCACAAGTCTGCTCGTGAGAGATACTGGTCTCTGAAGAGAAGTTCGACGTGGGTTGCTTCTATTGCCGGGTTATCGTCGTCGATCTGACCTGGGTTAGCTCAGATAACATGAATAGTAAGGGATTACGGACTGGCGAAAGGATGACCTGGACGCCCTTTTTCATCCCGAATGCGTCGGCAATGTGCCTTGCCACACATATATCCACCTCTGGCTGCTTGCTCTTCATATCCTTGGACATATCCTTCGCGATGAAGACGTAACGACTGCTGATGTAGTCCTGATCTAGCAAAGAGAACTTGCTGTTGCCGCGACTGCTTGGCGCTTTGCCCAGACTCCCGTATAGCGTCTTTGCTTTTGATGACTCGTCTCTGATTGCCGTGATCGCCATAAGTGATCCGGGCCGGACAAAGGTGCTCAGCCGGTCGAAGTTGAGGACGACCTCATCCTTGGAATAGGCATCATTGACGTTTATCGTACAGTATCGCTCCCTTGGCGGCGGACGCGCTTCTTTGATAGTTGAGTGCGTCGAAACGCTGCGTATCGAAGAGGGAGAGTCTACCGAGGATCGATCGGGACTCGAGGCACTGGACTCGCCATGGCGCAGGCGCGACCATTGGAGTCCTCTTCGTGGGCCGGCGGAGGCATTGCGAGACATGGGGTCGGCGCGGGGCTTGTCGCTTAAAAGCTCAAAGTGGGATGTGTCGCATGGCTTTGGAGCTCATGTGTTGTTCACACAATTCAAGCTGGGAGTACAGATCACCCCGAGTCGCGACGATGGACGGCGGCAATGTGATGATGGCATGCACGGTGGACGACGTCAGGCTGCACGGCAGAATGACAGCTGCAGGTACCGTTCTGAGGTACACCGCCTTCCTCTCCGAACTAATTTAACACCACCGTTGAGCTTCTGAACGTGCACCCCAATAAAAATTCTATAATTCTACTACATGAAGTCTAGTTTAGCTTCTTGGAGCCTTCGCGATACATCCCTCGGCAAGCGATAGGTCGCGGCCGATGGTTCGGCGAGGACAATCGCTTCGGGCCTTGGTAGTAAGAGGCACCGAACTTCAATTGGATTACGACGAGGCCATTCGCCATTCATAGGAACCATTCGTCGAATGATGAGGCCACAGCGTTCCATGGGTGTAGTCACTTGTCCTGCGACCGGCTCGATGCCGTGGGGGCCTTGGGACATTCTAAAAGTATTCAGAACAGGCTGAGATAACATTGATTAGGGTCTCTGGGGGATTCAATGAGGCCTAGTCAAACAGCCGCTGATGAGCGCAGCTGAATACTGTCTGATTCTTCTCTACAAAATGATAACAAAAAACGCGTCTCTGTTGAAAATCAGCTTGGACGGCTAAGGCGGTGTTGAAGAATACCCTTCCGTCGACAGTGGAAGTGAAAGGACATGGGCTCCATTAAGGGGGCGCATGTAAAGCTCGTGTGGTGTTGAAGCAAGCATGGTTTGCCGTTAGGTCGTGTTGAACATTGAGGTTGAATCGCCTTCCCTAATAGTCGCTCCCACGACTCAGGATTTCCTTGGCCGACTCGCGAAGCAAAATTGTCTGGTCTCGTTAGTTCCAATGTGCAGTACGTATATCAGTGGAGTCGACTCACGTGTTCGAACTGCGCGGAGTAGGAACCCTTGATATCTGCCAGCGGCTCATACGGTTCGAGCACACCGTTGGAAACAAGGCTGTTCAACTTGAATAATAGTCAGCGCCACGCAGAAATTCATAGGAAGAGGGGTACGAACTCCTGCCAGGTATTTCTCCTGTCCTAGTCGTTCAAGATAGCGCCGACACCAGACGATGGTACCAAAGTTCTCCCGAATCACCTTATAGAGTCGATTTGCGGAGGCAAATGGCAGTGACACATGCTTTGGTCTGTCCGTGCCCAGCCCGTAGCCATAGATTCCGACGTCGCTCGTGGTTCTCCCGCGGCCCGTGCTACCGAACGTCTCAATGGCAAATACCTCGCCCTCTTCCATCTTGGTTTGATCCTTGTTCTTGACAAACGGGATCGACTTGCCGCCGTGGATGTGGTACTGCTTGATGTCGTGGGCATTGAGAGTACGGACCGGCTTGACTGGATACGACTTGCCGCCGATCTCAACTTCGTAGCTTTCCATGGTCTCTTGAATAGCAGCGCTCACGTCGCAGATGCGGACATCAATGCCGGCGGTCTGTCGGGCGTTAACGAAGAACTTTCCTTCTGTCCAACGGCACTGACCTTGATACCAGTGTTTGTGGCATCCTTCACAGCATCCAGGAGGCTGTCGTAGACCGGATCAAAGGACATGGTAAAGGCACTATCGACGATCCACCCATTGATGTGCACGCCAAAGTCTACCTTCATAACATCCGAGTGCTGCAGGACGACAGACTTCTGGCCAGGGTTAGGGGTATAGTGGGCGACTTGATGATTGAGACACAGTCCAGTAGGGAAGCCCATACCAGATCGGAGGGCAGATCCGGTCTCTAGACCCTGATTGCCGAGCAATGCACGTACTCCATCCTCGATACCGTCAGCGATATCACTGAGCTCCCAGCCTGGTTTGACGGTGTCCTGCACCCAGTGGCGGACCTGACGGTGAATTTCAGCAGCCTTTCGGTACTCGCTGAGAAACTCTGGGTCTTCAAGATGCTTCCTACCTCGAAGGCGCAGTTCCTCGGGCGTTGTACGAGCAGTTATGTAGTCCTGGCATTCGCCCTTGGGGTACTCTGCCGAGGCAAAGACGGCGCTCAGCGGCACCCTTGGAGGGTTTGACTGGGTTGTCGCAGACTTCTTGGTTTTCTTCTTGCGGGGCTTTCTCTTCTTTTGCTTCTTGTCGGTCGCGATCAGCGACACGGATCCAGCTTCTTGGTCGTCGTCGTCATCGTCGTCGCCGCCTCCGTCTCCAAGGCTAGCATCTCCATCACGGGCGAGGTGAGCACCTTTGACCTCCCCGCCCACGGAACGAGGTGTACCAGATGATGGGTCACCGCCTGAAATGAGTGAGCACGTGCGCGCTTGATCATACATGAAGCGAGAATACCGTTGCCCTGATTCTTTTCGTCTTCATTGAATTTAGCGCCCATGGTGACATGAGCTCGAATTATCGACCTGATTTAGATATGGTTGAGCCGGGTTGTAATCAGTTGGTTGAGAATAAGGATTGTTGACGGCGAACGGGGGATTTGGCTGTCAGCTGTAGCCTGTCAGACGAGTCCCCCACTCTGGCCGAATTGCCAATTGAGCTTGAGGATTAACGATGATGGCGCTGCAGGATAGGTGTAGTTATTGAAACTAGAAGAACTGTGCTTTGATTACTTTTGCAGTCAAAGTGGTAATTCCTAGAAACGACTCAGCGCATTCAAACACCTGTTTTGATCTGATCATCGCCATCTCACGAATGGAACTTTTAATACATCTTTACTGGTACATGTGGTATTAGTTGGTGGTCCGATTGCGGAGTGGTGTGGGCGCCAACCATCTCGACTCTGGTTTTCATGAGCATTATTAAGCTCTCAGTTTCATTCGCCACACCATCTACCTCAACTCTGACTACTCAGTTGAATAACCAGACTTTCGCGTCGACAATAACATCGCCACATTAGAATTAAGAACAATGGCCCCATCACTAGAAGAGCCAGAGCCGGTCGAGGACGTCCTCGCCAACCCGATGAAGCAGAAGCCCAATCTGGTGGCCCCAGAGCCTGAACATTGCCCTGGTCCAGAATCGCAGCAGGCTGGGCAAGCAGATTCCTGCGCAGGCTGTCCCAACCAGGCCATCTGTGCCTCGGCGCCCAAAGGTCCCGACCCCGATATCCCGCTCATCTCAGCGCGCCTGCAGGATGTGAAGCACAAGATCTTGGTGCTGAGTGGCAAGGGCGGCGTCGGCAAAAGCACTTTCACAACGTTACTTGCTCACGCTTTCGCGACGAACCCAGAGAGCACAGTAGGCATCATGGACACTGACATTTGCGGCCCGAGCATTCCCAAAATGATGGGCGTTGAGGCGGAGACGATTCATGTCAGTGGCACAGGGTGGTCACCAGTCTGGGTCATGGACAACCTTGGTGTCATGAGCGTTCAATTTATGCTGCCGAATAGGGACGATGCCGTTATTTGGAGAGGCCCCAAGAAAAATGGGCTTATCAAGCAATTTTTGAAGGATGTGGAATGGGGCGAGATGGACTTTCTGCTTGTCGACACACCACCAGGAACAAGCGATGAGCATCTCAGCGTCAACTCCTTCCTCAAGGAGAGCGGCATCGATGGGGCTGTCGTCGTCACCACACCTCAAGAGGTCTCTTTACTCGACGTACGCAAAGAGATTGACTTTTGCCGCAAGGCTGGCATCAGAGTGCTAGGTCTAGCAGAGAACATGAGCGGCTTTGTCTGTCCCAAGTGCTCGGGAGAGAGTCAGATTTTCCGCGCAAGCACCGGCGGCGGCAAAGCGCTCGCAGAAGAGATGGGCATCCCATTTCTGGGCGCCGTACCGCTGGACCCCAGGATAGGCATGGCCTGCGACTACGGGGAGAGCTACTTCGATTCGTTCCCTAATAGTCCTGCGTGTTTAGCCTTCCGCAACGTGGTGAGGACCTTGGCGGAGCAGATGGGCGTGGATTCGAAGGATGTTTTGCCGGAATAGAGATCTTTCATCGGGAGCTACATTACCCTTCCAGCTTCTTTGGGATATCCTCCAGGTCTTCCGTTGACTCTACGTCAATGACCCGTCCGACCTCGCTTGTATTCCGCATCAGTTCCTTCGCGCCGGCGTACAGCATTCGCGTCTCGGCGTTACATGTGATCGGGAGGTAGTAGAGGAGCACGTATGGCACTGACATACGCCCGTCCGGCTGTTGCGCGCATAACTAGTCAGCCAATGTTCGGGATTTCTATCCCACATTCAAAGACGTACCAGGGTCAGGGGGTAGCTCAAAAGCACGAATCGCGGCGCATGATCCGGCAGGTCATCGGCCACCTCGTCGAGGGATTTGTAGACGACCTTGTCCTCGTCTTGGCGGATCTCGTGAGTGTTCTTGTCGATCAGGTCTGCGTATTGGCAATCAGCGACTCTTCCCCTTCGCTGCAATTCGAGTATCCAGTTTCGTTACGGGAGCTTCGATAAAGGGTGAGGATCATGCAGGAGACGCACAAATGACTGCTTGGGGCTCTTTGGCACGCGAGGTCGTGAGGCGGAATTTGCGCAGGTGCTCTTTGCTCTCCCCCGAGAAGGTGTATAGTCTCGATTCAGAGGCCTACCCTATCAGATATCTTCGATATAAAGAGATGTGTGCATACCTACCATCGTGTGTTTGGGCGCCGCTACCAAATTGCTGTGAATGTTGATTGTCGCCAGATGCCTCGAAGCCTGAGCTCCAGTCGTTGTGGCTGCCCCGCGATGCTCACTCAGGGCCCCCACTTAAAGCCGGCTTGGTCGACACAATCAGTCAGCAGTATTTCGCGCAGTAGTCAATATGCGTGAGATGATCGTCTTATTCTGTCGAGTTTCTACTACGATGACCTCATGATCCTCGCTCGCGACTGGTCGTAGCATTCCGACTTCGGATTGTTTTCACAACAGCACTCAATTGTCTCCTTTTCCCCCAGTCAAAGAACCCTGATGTTCTCCCGAATCTCACAGATCACGCGGCACCTCTCCCCATCATTCAGCCAAATCACTCAACGCTCGTTCCTTAGCAAAATGGCTTCGGCAGACCAGCGCAACCTGCGCACCATCAACACGGCTGCATGCTTGATCATTGGAGATGAAGTCCTCGGCGGGAAGGTTTGTGGCTCTCCAGTGTACTGGCTTCCAATTTCTAATTACTTTGAGTGAAGACAGTCGATGTGAGATCACCCAATGAGGAGGCAATATCGCTGGTAGCTGATACGTGGTACACAGACCAACTCAGCGTACCTGGCAAAATGGTGTTTCTCGCTGGGAATAGTATGTTGCTGTGCTCCGTTCTCTCGGATTCGTGCTAATGCAGTGCTACAGAGCTTGAAAAGAGTCGAGGTCATTGAGGATGATGAGAGCGAGATCGTCGAAGCCACCAAGCGCATGAGCGAACGATATGACTTTGTCGTTACGAGGTACGTGACGGCTACCTTGACGAGATCGATACTCATGCTAATCTTCGCAGTGGCGGAATTGGACCTACGTGTGTCACCAGAGTGCTTGGTCAGGGATGAACACTGACAGCCGCCACAGTCACGACGACATCACGTACCAGTCGATTGCAAAAGCCTTCAACCTGCCGCTGAAACTGCACAAAGAAGCTTTTGAGAAGATGAGGCGCATGTCCAAGACGACAAAGCAGCAGCCCGATTTTGACTGGGACACGGACTCTCCAGCCCTCAGAGCCAAGCTGCGCATGGTTGAGCTACCTACCGACGATTCGCGTGACGTGAACAAGCAGTTCATCTTCCCTCATGAAGATCTGTGGGTTCCCGTTGCCGTCGTTAATGGAAATGTGCACATCTTGCCCGGTGTACCGCGCCTCTGTGAGTTCTCGTTTCGCTGGCCACAATGCCACTGATGTTGGCTAACAATCTCAAGTCGAGAAGCTTCTCGACGGCATGAAGCCGCATGTCACGCCGAGGCTGGTTGACCCTGAGGGCAAAGGCACTCATCGCGTGCTCTTCTCGACACCAATGTCCGAGAGCGCGGTGGCCGGATATTTGACCGAACTGGCTGCCAAGGTTGGTGATCGCGGCATCAAAGTTGGCAGCTACCCGAGATGGGAGAACAAGCGCAACACTGTGACCCTGGTCGGAAGGTGAGACAATGTGACGCCAGACTCCGCATCAGTTTCTTTTTCTGACAAATCCAGGGACCTTGCGTACATGGAGAGCCTCGTGGCCGACGTAGAGAAGAACATCAATGGCAAGCGTGTACATACCGAAGGTGAAGACGATACAGGGGATGAAGCGGAGGCCAAGCCTCAAAGCTGATCTGCACTACATCTGGTTGTGTAATATCGATACAAATCTATTCAAAAGTCAATAGTACGTCTTTACATACCTTTGTCTAGCGTGTTGCATCATCAAGCCGCCTGGTCTTGGCCATCGAACCACGAGGAGGATTGTGCACGACTCGCGAAGCGTGCGCGCTAAATCGACATGACCAGTCCAGATCGTACTGTACTTATCAGGTCCCCGGCCGGCTATTAGCCATCGCGGGGTCAGTTTGCTCAAACACTAACCACCTAGAAGGGCGTGACGACGGAGAGACAACCTGTTTCAGCTTCGCAACCCTCGCCCACGAAACACCGCCGATAGATGCATCCAGCCTGATGACTTGTCCCAGAAGTGATCTGTTCGAAAGACGCTAGGTGGCAACCAACTTTATCGTAATTTAATTATCTGAAGTCACAAGGCTTGGCGGAGAAGCTAGCCGATTGGGTAATTAATCTGCTGCCGTCAACTGTAGGGGTCATCCAGACGACAAAAATCAAACTTCAGTGTTGCCGGTGGCACGGTAGGTACATCGTCTGACGGCCGAGACCTTGTGTCGAAAAATGATCTGGACATTCACCGGACCAGGTCCGGCTAGTGTATCGATCAAATAGAAGGGCGCGGTACTTCTAGAAGCATTTTGATCTCCTCATTGCGATTAGTCACGAGCTCGCAGGAAGCTTCCGTGTGGAGTACATAAGTCTATTCTTTCCGAAGACGTGGGAACGGAAAGGATCCGTTCGTCTGTCTCCAATGCGCAAGCTAAGTTAGTCTAGATGATATCTGTCATGCATCTTACAAGTTATGGAGCGAAACGGGGGTTGCTTGAACGCTGTTTCTGCATCCCCCGAGTATCATGCAAGTCACATGCTGCTGATCACTTCAAGCTTTGCGTGTGAGGTCATCTAAGATCCTAAAGGAGAAGGCTAGACGACGTCGATAACGACGCGTCGCATATAGGATACACTGCGAGCAGCTACGCCGCATACGCAGCACGCTGAGAATCCTAATTAGATGTTTTAATCTGCAACAAACCCTTGTTACGTTCATCCGGGTCTAAGCCGTACCAGGTGATCATCCGCTTCGCGCCAGCGGTACGCATTGGTTGACTGAATCTGCCGCGGCATCACCAGAACCCTACGTGTGATCGCTCTTCCTTGGATTGCCCTGTCACACTCGGAGCAATTTATTATAGGTAACTGGCTGCGTGCGTAAACCAAGCTCGTCCCATGCCACTGAGGCTACTCAGTGGTGCGTGGATGGGGCTGGCTGGCGCCTTTGCAACGTCGTTGGGGCCAATGGATCTCCTCGAAGCAAACCCGAGGCAGGACACCAATGGTTTGAGGGGCAGTGACGCTGACGCCGGAGTGCTTCCACGAGAACGGCTGCCGTGGACCACTCACAAAGTAGACTGGGCAGTGCTCGAATTCTTTCTTGGGGGTCAAGTCGTGCGGATGACTACCTTATTACTCTGTAGAGGTTGTCGCGTTGAAGGCTCCCGCACTTGGGCGGCGGATTGATGAGTGGGCACGGGAAAGTAAGAGCTGCGGGTAGGGAAGGCTGCCTGCAGATATTTCTGTCACCCTGGGCGCTAAGACCACCGACCATCAGAAAGAGCCCCACTGGCAGGCGGTCTGCCACTTTGCGACTGGGTCACGGTGGGCAGCTCCACGTCCACTGAGATTGTCCCGCCGCCAGTCATTCGACCGGTGTACCTACGTAAGTAGCTACCTGCTGGTGCCAACCCGCGCCCAGCGAGCGCCAGTCTTAGCAGCCCCCTACCAGTCGTGGTGGCCATTCGCAAATCAATTGAATCCTCCACGACCTGCTCGGTCCAATCCCAACCAGCCCTCCCGTGCCGTCTCCTTCTTTTTCCCGTTCGCCGCTCCTCTCTATTCCTCTCCCCTACCATTGTCTAATCTCCTTCTTTCGGCCTGCTGCTGGTTCTTCGAATGCACGATTGATTCCATAGACCCTCGCTCGCTCACGCTGTCCATCTCCCCTTGAACCTCTTGCGATCCATCGTTCACGACAGTTTGCTGCCGGATACGCTAGTGGATTACCCAGGCGCGACCCAAATTCCCCCCTTTGCAGCTCGTCCGCCGAGCTTCATCGCGCCAGTCAACCTTGCTTTTTATAATTCACATTCACAGTCGCATCTACGATGGCTTCATCCAACAACAAGGTAAGCAGCGCCCACACCGCGCTAGCTCTCTTTCGATGGCAACTAACATGGTCTCCAGTTCTTGCGAGAGTACAAGCTCGTCGTCGTCGGCGGTGGCGGCGTCGGTAAATCGTGTTTGACAATCCAATTGATCCAGGCCCATTTCGTGGACGAGTACGATCCGACAATCGAGGGTGAGTACCCATATTGGCCGCCTCCCCATGGTTGGTATTGCATTAGCTCGCAAGGTGCTAATAGTTGCTAGACTCGTACCGCAAGCAGTGCGACATCGATGATGAGGTCGCTCTTCTCGACGTTCTCGATACCGCTGGCCAGGAGGAGTACAGTGCCATGCGCGAGCAGTACATGAGGACGGGCGAAGGCTTCCTTTTGGTCTACGACATCACATCCCGCCAGAGCTTCGAAGAGATCACCACCTTCCAGCAGCAGATCCTGCGTGTCAAAGACAAGGACTACTTCCCCATGGTTGTTGTCGGTAACAAGTGCGATCTCGAGGGCGAGCGTGAGGTCTCTAGGCAAGGTACGTTTTACGACATACGAGTGGCATCATCGTGGTTGCTAACATCCGCACAGAGGGAGAGACGCTCGCGCGCCAGTTCCAGTGCAAGTTCATCGAGACGTCCGCCAAGTCGCGCCTCAATGTCGAAAAGGCTTTCTACGACCTTGTTCGCGAGATCCGCAGATTCAACCGCGAGTTGCAGCCCGGATACGCAGCTGGCAACGGCAGCGGGCCCGCCCCGGCAGCGAAGTTGGACATGGACGGCAACGAGCAAGAAGCTGGCTGCTGCTCCAAGTGTGTTATCATGTAAAACCACACGACGTGCCAAAATTTGGCGCGCATAGGGTCGGGAGAATCCGATTGGTTCCCACCAAGTCAGTTGACTTACCTGTACGACTGAAAGCGATTGGATCGATGATGCCCGAAGCGAACACGATTCATTACTTTTCTTAGCATCTCATGAGGAGTCGGGGTTCTGGTCGGGCGACTTGACAGACTTTACCATCATGTTGGGCGCAGTGGGCTTGCATTCGCTGGAACATGCGATATATATCATGCAGCGACTGAGACCCCTGGCGGTTTTGCGGAAATTAAAACGAGCCGACCAGGAACGCGCACCACCAGCGCAGTCACAACGAGCTGGGGGAGAAGAGTGCGTGGGTAGAAACAAAGATCAGCGACAAAAGCATCGCACGGTGGCTCCTTGTGCCATTGGGAATGAGCTACAGTGGCCACAAGAAGCCATCTCGGAGGACTTTTTTTCTTTACCTTTTTTTTTTCAATCTCCTCTTATTCTTATTACATATTGGCTGGTCATCTCTCGTTTTGCGGTCTTCTTGTGTCATTCTAGTCTATATCCGATAGCCTCAACGTGTAATTCTTGCAACCTGGGTCACACTCACTGGCAAAAGATCACTTTCGAAGTTCAGCGACTTGTGTATGGCCTCTTCCTAGCCACTTCCATTTGATTGTCTCTGGCTTGTAAAGCTCAATCCTGAATGATCAGGAAGGTCCCTCTCGATTTTGCCATATCAACTGTGGTCTTAGTAGACAGGTTTCTCTTCGTCCGGTTCTCGCAATATTACTGTTGGAGTACGCCAAAGTATCTCGAGGGGATGCGCTATTCCAAGGAGCCCCAAAATGTGCAGCAATGTTGCTAGATCCTACATCAAGACGAAGAGAAACAAGGGCGTACAAAAGTAACATGTCTTTCGTGTTCTCCAAAGAAGAAGAAAGCAAAAGCAAAAGCCCAAAAAAAGAATAAGGCAGGTCCCAGAGGGAATTGAACCCTCATCTCGAGAATCAGAATCTCACGTGCTAACCATTACACTATGGAACCGGTGTTGTCAACTCCGGTCTGCCGTGCTGCATGGAGATCAGTCGAGTTAATCTCAGTTTATACAGCTAATCCTTTGTTCTCCCTTCTTTCTTCCCATCACAACCGAGTGGGACAGCATCAGAGAAGCACTGAGTGTCCAAGGTCTCACAGTCTTTGAGATTATTCGCTCCGGCTCATAAGACACCAATCAAGGTCACATCAGGCCCATCAACCAGTAGCAGAAGTTCTGTGTCTCGTATTCCTGAGAAACCATAGGTCCGTGTAGACAATAATCGAACACTAGAAACCCGCGAAGGACTTTGGAAAGCATGAAGGTTTTTAGGTTCGATAAGAGCCATACTCTGTAAATGATTTGCTTGCCTAGCTTTGTGTTCCTGGTATCAGGGCGGCGTGCGCCTCGTATGCGATACCCCAGTGATATCCTTCTTCATCATTATCACAGGCATCTGCACATTTTCTTCCACATCATCCGCCTGCCAGGGATAGAATTCTGGTTCCGGCATGGGCACAAGAACCCAGCCTTGCCGAGCATACCATGACTCCGTCGAACGCAGTACCTTGGGCCGCACGATGCCTCGGCGGTCGTAGAGGCGTGCCAAATGCATTTCGGATGTCTGATACGAGCCGAGCATTGTGTCAAGTGCTAGATTGGTTGCGAAATGAGGCGCTTCAGAAGCCATGCGTTCGGTCTGAGCCATGGCACTGCGGCCAAAGCCTGCGTCTTGCAAGTTCCTATCCGGCTGTGAACAAAACGTCCCCCCATCCCATACCTTCGCCGTGACAATGGGCTGGTCGTCACACATACCAGGATATGTAGAGGGACTTTACCCAAAGTGTTGACGGCGGATGGCCGAGTTTCTGGTCCAGATCAGGGCATCGCTCGAGAGCGACATGTCCTATGGGGGTGAAAGGTTTCTCGCTTGGTTCCCTAGCGGTGATTCCTACTGCCCTCACGGTATCAATAATAAGTTTGCTTTCCTGCAGGCGTCGAGTCAGCAAAGAAAAGCTGTTGGTCGCTGTGTTGTTCTCACTGTGGGATATTTGTCGACATGTCGCTGTAGCAAATTCTCCTTGTCTGGGAAATCGTCGTGTATTACCTTAAATCATCAGCATCCATCCAGTGCCCACCTTGAGATACGGGGAGGAGTCTTACAACCCAGTACAGAAACTTGGTGCCTTTTAACTGCTTCTCTTTCCACTCTGGCAGTTCGTCCGCACGCCATCCACAAGCAATGCGTTGGTCGTACATGCGCTGGTACTGCTCATCACCGCAGGCGTCCCAGGGAATAAGGACAATTCTCTCGTCACCCGCCATTGTGGCTATCTCATGAAATAAATGAATCAGGGACGGGTGTGAGAGTACAGTCTGGGGTCAAAGAAGACTTCACTTTCAAGGCTTACGTCGGCCTTGCGATCCGCTAGTGCCTCGGGTGAGTCGCCAGGTTCCGAAGTCGGAAAATTGTGACTGCATGCCGATGGCTATCTCGCCATCTAAGCAATGATACGCAATGGCTCTTGCCTACTTATGTGACCGCCGGGACTGTCAGCATCATGGCACACCACGCCGTGATACGGAGATTGCCAAGGAGCGGCATTTCCCCACCGAGCATCAGCATCTTGTCAGCGCGCTCAACTTGTGAGCGGAGGCCGCCAAAGGGGTTGGTCGCTAGTCGTCCACGGTCTGCTGGAACATGTCGGCTGCATTCTAATGCGCTGTCAGACATAGGACCTCTTCCGGATACTGAGCAGTTGACCATGGAAGCAACCGTGTTGTGGGGTCGGTATGTTGGGCCGGCAGTGGTCTGGGTCTTTGGCGAAAGGAAGCAATTACGTATATATTATTCATTTTGAACACAAATTTTTGTTAAAGCGTGATTGGTTTAGTGGTAAAATTCTCCGTTGCCATCCGCGTAACGTCGGGGAGCCCTGGGTTCGATTCCCAGATCACGCAGACATGGCTGTTTGATTTTTGCCTCTTTTTTGCCATGTGCATCTTCCTTATTCCTGTTCACGATGCTTGCTAGCGAATGTTCGCCATGCACAGACATTGGCGTACATTATTAGTTGGTCTACCATATCAAAATAGCGATGCATTCCTGATCCATTGAGTATGCGCTTGATTACTTTTACAAAGCTGTCCCCCGAGCTGTAAGCTTCCATCCGAAGTCCAGACACTAACGACTTGCGAAACTCCTAACGTTACTCTCCGAGAATTTGTTGATACAGACAATGGTGGTGGTACAATGGACAATGACGAGCCCGCCAGGAGATCCATGAGTCGTACTTGAAAAGCAGCCTCGCAGAACAACGCCAAGGCATTCAAGTGCCTTCCTCCCCTCCCATCTTGGAGATCCATTTGTTCATGCCACGGTACTTCTCCTCGAATGTCTTCTGTAGCTTCTCCCCAGCCTGGTACATTGGAGTGTCGCGCTTCCAGTAGGCAAAGCAGTTCTCGAAAATCTGGCGCATGTCGGTCACGAACTCTTCCTCGTTTGCGTACTCTCTTCGATCCATCTTGATCTTGATGGTGGTGAGATCCATCGGCCGTTTCACCTTGTCGAAATAGTCCGGCACACCATCTTCTGCCGGCATGACTGGTTCTTTGAAGGGTCCGACAAGACGTGTCCAGAAACCTGTACAAATTAGCTTGTGCTTCCATCAATCTGTTGACAAGACGGGGGGTTACCTGGTCCAGATAACATCCTTGCTAGCAGATCTGCGCAGAAGTCTAACTTCTGTGATGTACTGTAGTTTCTCTCTCCCAACACGTGTGCACTAGACCGTCGCTTGACCTTTTGCATTTGCCCATTGAGCGAGGGCCGAGGGTTCCGTCCCAGACTATTGGCTGCCGTCCTAGACTCTGACAATGCACCCGGCACAGAGAGACCGCTACTTACGCGACGGGACCGCTTGAGACTGTTCAAAGCCTCCTCGTCACTGAGCGAGTCGAGATAGTGAACGTTCTTTCGTGGAGGCGGGGCTGGCATGTCGGTAGGGGGGTAAACATCTTGGAGAGGCGAGTCGTCAAAGGTGCTCATCGTGACAACGAGCTCCGCAAGAACAGACTTGGGTAGAGATTGCGCAAATTCGGCTTTCGAATCAGAAGACCGCATGTACTCGGCAGCCCATGTGAGAAGGAGCTCGCGAATGTTACAGCCTTGGGGGCAATCCCGCCAAACCAATATGAGCAGTGGTGTTGATGGGATCTGCTGTGATATTCGCCTCCGCTCCTTCATCGCCTCCAGCGCCTTTTCTCCTAGGCCTTCGATTTTGAGGACGTAACTCAGCTTCCACAGCTCGATCAGGCTCTCGAAGGACGGCGGCAGCCCAGCGTCCGCCGCTACTTGGTCGGTATACAGGTATTTTTGGAGCAGGCCAAATACCTCTACTGATGTATCGGGCATATTGAACAGAGGCTGGCTTTTGTTGCCCTTGCGCTCGCGCTCTTCGAAAACATTGCGGAAGTATTCGCTTCGACTAGTGAGGAGGTCTCGGTGCACATTGAACTGTGTGGCGTCTTTGGAGCCGAGGCCTACGGTGACCATTTCAGGATGCGAGTCGCTTTTGTGGTTGATTAGAATCGACTGAGTTGGAATTTTTGCAGTCTAATACTTACAGCCATGAGAATGGTTTGGGCCTGGGCTGTTCGGCTTCGCTGGGTTGTTGCTGGGATACTTGGGCTTCATTGCCATTTGCTGCAGGCGATGGCTCGGTTGAAGGCTGTGAAGGGAGCGCTTCGGCGCTGTTTGCATGCTCCTATGATTGTCAGTTTCTAGAATTTGCAATTGCTGCGTGTATGTCAAGGGTGGCGGTCGTTGCGCGGCAAGACCTGATTGTGGCCAGAGGCAGATCACAAACAGCGTGCGTCGAACAACCCATGAGCGCCATGTAAGCATCTCAGGAGTGAAGTCCCAGGACGTTTGACATAAGTTGGTGATTTGTTTTCGCATCGCGCGGCGATCCGTCTCTTACCTCAGACATGGTCACGACCTCCTCACAAGGATGTTGGCTTCCGCGCCTCGTCGATCGGTCTTCTTCGTCCAAAGGCGGCACACTCACTCACTGGGTCTTGCTGAATATGATTCATTGATTAGCGATGAGGTTCGATGGTCATTGGGTGGCGCTGAATGAAATGCACAGCAAACGGTCGCGAAAAGCTGGTGAAGTTCTCACCCGTTGTCTCAAATGAGGATCGGAAGGTGCTGGGGGCCTGAGTTCTCATTGGTAGAGACAGCTTACATCATCATCACTGGAAGACTCCCCAACAAAGCAGACCAGATTGACCATAATTCTGGGCAGAAGTACTTTTCTAATACAATGATGAGGGTAAAACACGTCTTGATTCTCCATTTTGTGTTCTTTGCCAATGAAGTGAGCATCAAGCTGGACGAGGTGGTGACACTTGGCGGGTTGTGAGGCACGGCCTAAAAAGCTAGTCCAAAGGGTCAACGCGTGATTTGAAATACCCTACACTGAGCCTCAATCTATGTCATATGTTACGAAAATGAACAACCACATAGGTTTCCCACATTTGGGCTTCATTCAGTTCCTATAATATATTTCTCTTTGATTTTCCCTGCCGATTCATGATCATTCAGGTCACATCAGTCTACCAGAACGTCATGGATCTCTTCATCATGAATGAGTTCCTCGCCAAGACCAGATACTCCCCAATGACATGGCGTTGGACCCAACGTCACCACAGCTGGACACCAAATGAATATCACTGTAATAATATACTCTCAACCTCCCAATTTGTCTGATTCATAAGAATACTTCCATTTAATCCCATGATGCAATCAAGCTATCGATCTGAAGGGTGTAATATGGAGTGTCGTTAGCAGATGTCTGCATCAGCTCGCCCACACGGAGGCACACTGCAACAAGACGCATCGAGACTCGCCAAACACTCAAGGTCCCCAACGCAATGAAGAAGCCTTGCAAGAAGCCAGACTTGGCGTTACGCTGGCCCCAAGAAAGGGCCGTTTGCTTCGGCACTGGTGCCGACATGCACACGATGAAGGCTTGCAAATACAAGCCATGGCGATGCGTTCGATACGCGGCCTCCTAGCGCATTGCCCACAAAGAGAGAATTTGATCGTCAACGATCGCCCGGCACTGGACCGCGCGTCCTAGCTGATCTGCAGTTGCAGACTTTACCAAGGGACGCGATGCTGGAGTGGACTCATCTGTCGAGTCATACCTTGAAATTTGCGACGGGTACGGGAAATTCGAGAGAAATTCTCCTTGTCGGAGATGTAACTACAATTGCAGGCGTGCGCCGCTAATGGTGCCATTTTGTAAGAGCTTGTCTATTTTTAAGGACCACAATCGTCGACAAGGCATGCGTCTGTCGATGACGATGTAGACTAGTCTAAGTTCTTTTTCGCGGTTGAATCGTGTCGGAGAAGCTCCATCGCCGGGCATATTTTTGTCAGACCGACATTCGGCCGATCGCCATGTTGGCAAATTTGCTCCCAGAGGAGATCCGGCAGCGAAATTTCGAAAACGTGGGGAGTGGTGGGCTGCCAGGCTGGGTGGATCGCAGCTGTCAATGCAGGTAGGTCCTGATTGAAGATTTCCTGCTGCTCGGTCCTTCAGCGGCGTGGCGCCCCTGAATTCGGGGAAATCGGTCTCGCAACACCGACTTCGTCTTCTTCGTTTTCGACGCTATTGTCGTCATCGCTCTGGCCTATCTCGTGACCGAGAATGACATCCTCACTGCCCTGCCATTGTGAGGGCGGCGGAGGCATTGCAGCCTCGTCATCTTCTGCCCAGCCGTATTCGTCGTCTTCACTGTCGGGCACCTCAAAGCCCGTGTCAGCTATCTTGCGTTTCGTTCTCGTCTGTCCCATCGCTTTTGTTGTTGTATCAAGCAGATAATTCCCAACGTGTTGGTGAGCAATGAGACCGCCCTGTGTGTTCTCAGATCAGCTGGCTCGCAGAACCTGACGTCGGTACTTACATTCGTAATTTCGAAGCTGGTGATCTTCCCGGAGGAGTCTTGCAATGATTTGCCGTCGAGCTTCTGAACTCCAACCAAGCATATCGGTACTGGCTTGTTTTCCTTCCAATGCCAATTTCGGAAGAGAGCTAGGCGTGTTGAGACCCCTTGATCCCACAGACTGCCGTTGATACTGGGCACCAGAGTCGCTCCATGCTCGCTTTGCATCTTCGTCGAGCATTGGGAGAGGACGACAACAGCGCAATTCCTGGTGGAGGCCAAGGTTTGGAGCGACTTCATGATGCTCTGCAGCGCTTGCCGGCGCTTGGCGGTGGATGTTGATCCTGAGTATGGTCAGTCACGACTCCAGGGATCGACTCAATACAACGTACCTCGATTCAACTTGGCCTGAAATCTTCCATCTGGCGCCTTTGGCAGAGCCGAGTTTATCAGCACTGCTATTGAACTGATGACGATGAGGCTGGTAGATTCCGGAAGAGCTTTTGTCGTTGGTCTGGAGATTAATGCAATGAAGTGCGGCAACGTCAAGCATCTGTAATGGACAAAATGATCCAAGCCTGGCTCAGCACCGGAAACCTTCCGGGTAGATGGGCTTGACGAGTCTTCGTTGTGATGTTCTAAGACATCTTTCAAGCGACTCAAGGAGACGTCTTGGAAGCAGTCTACACGGAGTCAGTATCTGGTCCGATGCTGTTCATAAGCACACGCTACTGACCCAGCCACGCAACGTCGTGATGATCTTTGATGGCATTTGCAGCTAGCTGTAGACTGGCTCTATATCAGCAGTGTTGACGTGCCTTGAGAAGTCGGTAGGACGTACGAGAGAGCAACCTTGCCTGATCCTGGAGGCCCCCAGATCTCGGTGACCTGGCCTCTCTTGATGCCGCCACTCGTGGTCGTAGAATCGGTCGGCTCAAGATCCTCTGCCGCAAGCAGGCTGTCTAAGTCACCGATGCCTGTTGATATATGCGTCGCGCGACCCTCGACAAGCTCTTCGAGTGCCGCTGACGCACTCACTGTCGGGAGGCGGTCTATCGCAGTATTGGCGGATGTTCTGTTCGCTGAGGAACGAGGGACTTACGAGAGCTGGGAACGTCAAAACTGGCGACATCATGGCCATGCACAGCATGATAATCCATAGTCCATTCAGCTGATCAAGAAGTTGATGCCTCGAGTCGCGATTGTGGTGGGGCTGGGTTATGCCATCACGACCGCACGTGACTCCGCGTCACTAATGTGTTCCTTCTCCTCACTTCTACGAGGACATCTAAGCACCTGCACTCTCCTCCAACCCCAGCGCAGTGAAATGGCATCTTTGTTGCTACTCGTTGGCGGCGATTTGCAACTCAGGGGTGCCGAGGAGTTCAAGCTCCTAACTAACACGTGTCGAGCGACCAGCCCGCACGACGACTTCCCCGTCACTTCGACCTGCCATCGACGACAGGAGTGACGCCCACGATATCATCGTCGCACGCCACGGGCGCAGAACTGGTTACCTTGACTTGTGATTTCAGGCGCATTGTCTCCAGCAAAGCGCCGAAGCCTGTCCATCTCTACGGGGGAAGCGTCTTCGGACTGTCACCAAAGCCCTTGATCGTACCCGATTCTGGGTCGAGGCATCAACTAGCGGCGGTGCTATAACCGAGGGCCCCTGAGGACAGCGGACTTCCCAGCACTAAGCCTCATGATGCCATCAGCGTCGGTTTGACGGTTACCGCAGACATTTGTGAGACCAAGTAATACCGTACGTCATGAGGCTGGACGAATCATTGGATACGTGCCCGTCATTGGGAACATTTCTCAGATGAGCCAGCTGGCTGAGAGACGCAAAGCTTTTTCCTCTTGCAATAAGAGCTCACTCATTAGTTCGAGTGCTGAATGTTTGCAGGACACTTTTTCCTAGATCCAGCATGACGAGCGAGGCTGGAGGAGTGGGGTTTGGAGCTTCTACATGTAGTGTGATCCCCACCAAATGGTGATCAAAACCCCAGTGGCTTGACTTGACCTCAGTAGCCGGCAGAGCTTCAGGTTGGGAACACAAAAGGTCCGCGAGTATATGTAGCTGCGAAGACAACCGATATCAGATACTGGAGCTCAGCACCTCTTATTCCCACGGTCTAATACACCAGGCCACATCCAGCTGATCTTGGACTCTCCTCGCACCGGGAAAAATCGGGGAGCCACTATCAATCGCCGAAACTTGGGAGGGTGGTGATAACACCACGGCCCGACTCGCGAATCTCCACCATCGAGACTTATCTTGCATCGATGTCATGCGAGTGGGACGTGGTTAGGCTTCAAGCGGGCTTTGTCCGCCGAGATTTTGGTGCTCGTCGTCAGCATTTTGTAGCGGACGCCGGGGACAGCTGGATTGAGCGCATTGATGTGAGCGGTAGGCTCTATCGATTGGGCACAACTGCGCTGAACTGTGTTACGTCTGCGTACCTGAACTTAAACTTTTGAAGTGGACATTCTGGAGCCCCGGGAAGCTTGTGGAGGACAAATTCGGCCCGCGCGAGAACCAGTGCAAGGTCTGTCCACGCTGCTCAGACCACTCACCCAGGGAGCGCGTTGTGCCCAATGTTCATGGATTGGAGTAAAAGCTCGTCTTGGGCGGGAGAGCATAATGAGGCGACCTGTGACACCGTGGAGCACTGGTATGACCGGTATCAACAGGTTGGTCCCATGAATTGTGCTGCTACAGAAGGGTCGACTACTAAGTATTCTCGAGTACCTGCCTGTACCGCGCGACAAACACCGCTCTCCGTAGGTAGGTAAACTTGCGCACCTGACCACGGTGAATCGAGAACCCTAGGCGACTGCACAGCGCAGGCGTAGTGAATGTCGCGAAAGACAATTGATCGAGTGTCAGTTGTCGCGACAAGTCAACAAGATCATGGTATCGGGTGATGCAGACCGATGCAACCCTTCGCCTGTTGCGCGGCCAAGAGTTTGGCCCAGCCAGGCACAGGCAGCAGCCTACCACCACCACCACCAAAAGGTGCTGTAATTCCCCAGGTATTTCACCGATGCGGCGTTGCAAGGTGGGGTTACATCAAGTGTTCCTTGGGCTTCCAAAAAGCTTCTCTCAAAGCCAGCCGTCAACCCCGGACGTGTGGACGGCTATCAGTGATCACTATCCCTATCATGGCAGTCTCCGCATTCGAGGACAGGCGTCATGTCCTTTCGACGGGCGCGAACTCGCAAAAGGCCGTCAAGCTCAAGCCACGCCCTGGCGCCGAGGCTTCCTCTCCACATTGTTGTCGGCGCGACAAGCGCGAGAGCGAGCGAGCAGAGTGGCAAAACAGTATCCTCCAGACTCTTGCACGTGGATGGCTTGACGCGAAAGAAAGTGGACTGAATTGATAGGTGCCGCCGCACTGTCACCGAGGTCTGTCCGGTCAACAGCCCGCAAATGTTATTGGGGGAATCGGTGACAGCCCGTCCCCGAATTATCCACGGCGGACTCCACGGGAAAGGGCCCCCTTCGGCAAGGCCGAGTGATGACACTATCCTCGCGAGAACGCGGGGCAGAACCTGGAGGCGGATGCGGATGGAACTGATTGCGGCGTTCTCACCGTTATTACGTGGTGCGAGGCTGCATCGATTCTTGCACACCTTCCTAGGTAATGCAGTGGCTTGGCGGCCGCCTTGTTGCCTGCAAAGGTTCTTCTTGGGCGAAACATCGTGTCTGGAGTCCTGTCTGTCCTGGACTCTGGAATAGGGCTACTACTGCAGGTCCCGAGTCCCTGCTTCACATGCTGCGCAGCTGCTGCGAGCCTGCGAATGCATGCCTGATCTTATCATCTACGCAAGTGCAGGATATTAATAGTGGTGCTCCGAACTTCCAAAACAACAGCATTGGATAGGATAAAGTCCATAGTGAGCTGGAGTCTGGAGCCCTGAGGCCTGGCCAACTGGCGGCTGGGGAAAGAAACGTGAAGAGGCCACACAGGGACGTATTCAACATTCGGTTCGTTGACTTTCACATGCAGCTTGACAATCGGTACCCCTGAAGACCACACTGTTCTCTAACAAGCCACTTTCTGACGATAAAGGGAGTGTATAAAGTGCGACAAGCCCAGTCCGGGGCGGGTTATCAGTTGGAGTATTCCGGGGAAGCCAAAAGAATCAACAAGCCATGGTCACCCTCCACCGGGGATGCCTGCGGCGGGACGTGCGCGGTCCATGTCTGTCTCGGCGTGTGTCTGCGCGAAAACCCGAAGATTGAGCGACAGGAAAAAGAGGCAGTGCTGGAAGACTGCACCCCAGGCAGGTCCGGGGATGATAACTGGAATTTGGCCGAAAACCTGCGCGGCGCATCTCGCAAGCGGCGAAACAAGCTATTGACCATAGAGGAATTGCAACATGCCCCGGATTCACGATAGCAGTACGGTCTGAGCTGGGCGCTCGCTGGCTTGCATGTGCAGTGAGCCGGAGGCACCTTCAGCGACGTGTGCAGATATGGCGACTGTATGCCAAGAGATCCCGCCAAAGCCATGGAGGGAATTGCCAATTAGGGCATGGTACTAATTCGGCTTGGACACTATCTGTCTAATAGCGTTCCAACACTCATCCACTGCTCCTGGTGCCACAGACTCGCGGAGCAGCGGCTCACATCAACCGCGGGATCTTGTTACCCCAGACATTGAGCAGTGTCTGCCACACAAACTCTGGAAACTACTAGTCAATTATGTTCTAGACTAGAAGTAACTGCATCAGTGCCATGTCGCCAACGCACCAATTGTAGGCGCAGCCAGCTGCTCCGGATCTTGTCGTCCTGATCCCCTTTACCCTCTGCCCGTGGGAAGATCGGCACGATGATCAGGATGTGCAGCGCAGACCCCCACGCCATGGACATTGCTGGGCAAAGTGCGTGCAAGAGTCAGCTCAGTCGGCTGAGCAGCAGCCGCGAAAATCTGGAGTCCAGGGGCAGGGAGGGAGGGAGGGGACAGGGCCAAGTCCGGGGTGACGCACCACGGAGTGGAAAGATTTCCCGTGTAGCCGCCCAAGGACACAGTACCACAGACGCGCACAACCGCACTCGACCACCAAGCGGATTGTACAAGCACAACTGGCGATGGCCTACATCGTTGCCCTCTATAATAGCGACTCACAGGCCTCGGTCGGCAGCTGAAACAAATCTCTACGACTCGCATTTGTCATTGTCCTGATTCAGTCTCAGTCCATGCGGAGGCACGAGAGCAGTAGGTAATCAAAAGGGAGCGGGACCTGGCTGGAAGATAGGGGCATTTGCGCTTGTTTCTAGAAGGGGAGCTGATACGACCTGCTGAGGAAAAGGCCTGGTCGGCCTGTTGTACGGAGTATTATCCGTACGTGCGAGGCCAATACGAGCGGCAAGGCGTATCTCTCGCTCATGTACTGTTCTAGTTCAGCTCGGAGGCGCGTTGTGGGCATGGCGCACCCCTCTCAGGAGCCTATCTTAGATCCCCCACATGTCGTCCATCACATGCTCCCTGATTTCCTCGTGGTCTTTCAGGGGCGCCATCACGAGGTAACGACGAGTGATGGCGGAAAGGAGTCGGGCACCACATTGAAAGCAACAGTGGCAATCATGCGCAGACGATGAGACAGGAAATTTGTGCCCCGAGGATAGAAAGAGTGCCAATCAATTGTCTCATCTTGGCCGGCCCCCAGGAAAGCCCCCACAAGAGGCCCCGGGCCATCACATCATCACTCAGCTCTCCACGCATAATCATCCAGTGTACGTCGCCCCAGGTGGCGTGCGACCTGAGGCCAAGATGGCTTCTTTCTACGTACGTACGGAGGACTTACGTACTAATAAACACGGAGCAGTGAGATGGCCGCACTGTTGTCGCAGTATCATTGCGTACATAGTACGTGTGCGCGCAAAGGTGCCAGGAGTGAGTGGTCTAACCCAATCCAGGGGGATTGCCAGCCTCGGATGATGCCCACACTGCACAAAGAATAATAATACTATGCAATTATTACCCCGTGCTTGTACTGTACGTACAGCTTCTCAAGGTAGGCGAGCGCCGCACGTTGTCAGACTTCTCATCTCTTGTCGCTCATGACGGCACGACGGCGAAGAGAGTGAGGGTTGTTGGGTTCGGGGAGGATGCCGTGAGTGCCGTACGTAGTGTGAATCATGGCAAGTGATGGGGACCGCTCCTAGGTACACATTGATTATTGCCCACGGCCGTGAGTGCGCACTCGTTTCTTTGTCGCTTTGCACAGGTGGTTAATGAAGTGGTCCATGCTTTGAGGCAGGGCGACAAAAGAAGGAAAAGTGAGGCGGTTTGTGCAACATCCCCATCATTAGGCATTCCCCAGCCCGAAGGCGGCGCCAGCAAAGCAAAGCAATTCTGGGGCAGGCCTGCAGGTCTCAGCTGTGCGCCCGTGGCTTCGACACTCCGTCATGTACCTATCAAGGACAAGAAAAGAGACTATCGAGCGATGGCTCTCTCTCTGGATGCGCTCAAGTCAGATTGAGTCGCTTATCTCACAGTCAAATCCGATCCATTGACGGCGCCTGGGGCCCCTGGTGGGGCCGGCGCCTGCGCCCAAGCCCGTGCCTGGACCGTCCTCCAGGGTATCTCGGCGGCTCTAATGCCCTCGCGTCCAGCCCATTCTCCATCCCTTGGCAGAGGACGTACGTACACTCCTGTGGGGTACAATCGCCCGGTGAGCCGGCTGGACGCTCTCAGCCAGCCAAGAGCGCACACGTTCGCTGGTTTAGGCACTTGCACGGCAACACACAATAACCGCGCATGCAATGACTAACCTAGCCTGTCGCTGATTTGGCCGAGCGCAAATTTGTCCGCAGTGACAGACAGGCAGGTAGGCAAAGAGCTCACCCGGTAATTTTGTCTGTGCGCGTGTAGGTGGTCCTTAGGATCGTGGTCCATGCGTGAGGGCCAGAGTGGTGAGCATCATCACATCTTGCTCGGCTGCTGAAAGGGGTGACAAGGTGAGCGAAGCTCGCCGGGCCGAGACCCAGTGAGAGTGTCGGCTCTGTTCTCCGAGGCGGACGCGGACGGTATCTGGCTGGAAAGAGGGTTCCCCAGAGAGATGATCTGACTTGGATTTTGGCTGAATTGGCTCCTGCCTTATCGCTGAGCCTGCCCACACCTCTCCTACGCATTCTATCAACTGTCAGTTTCCTTTATCTTCACCTGTGACGCCGGCTGTATTAGGAGGCTGCGCAGGCCGCGCAGCAGTGAGTCCTGAAATAGATTGAACGACTGTGAAAAGCACATGTTTGCCATCGGCGTTAACTAGACGGGAACAATAACCACAGTAGGGTAGCCTTATTGTTCGCTGGTCCCCGAACTGGCCAGCCTGCTTGATAGTGGAGGAGGTGACACCTTGACGTGCCTAAAATTTACTCAGCAGCCTTCCTTTTCCGACTCTTTCTCGGTGATGCGCACCTTCCTGTCCATCGCCCTCCACATGCAACCCCACTCACTGACTGACTCGAGACACCCCCCACGGGCCTTCCAAAGCGGCTGTTCTCCAGGTGCTACAGCTACCCCACTATCGCGTCCAAATTTTTTCTGCACGCCTAGTCCCTCCATTGCCCGAATTTGCTCGCTCAGCGCCCGTCCAGGGCACATGCTCCCCCAGCAGCGCCTCGTGAGTCGCACGCCCCCCCTTCTCAGGATCCATGGTTCCATTTACCGACCCCGGCCGAAGGCTCCTACTCTTTTTAAACCATCTGTCTCCCCCAGGCTTCTTTGACACTCCTTCCTTCTACGAATCTTGATTACTCCAGCTTTTTACAAGACGGCACCTCCCCAGCTTCCCCAGCATTGAACGGCAGAACAACTTTTTGATCAACAAGACCGCCAATCACCACTACTCGACCATCAACGACCACCTCTACCCGCGGCTTCTGGTCTGCCAATTTGAATATCCCTCATCTGCTCAGCAGGTGAAGATCACATGCAACGATCACAGTCAGCCGTCGACGTCTCGCGGCTACTTAACCCCGACAACGTGGAGGATACCAACAACAACGGCCAACAGGCTGCAGGTGATATGGCCACCGCCGCCACTGTCCCCGTGATCAAGCCCAACGGGCCCTTGCCTGGCGCACAGAGCAGTGAGACCACTGGCGAGCTCCCCCGGCCCTACAAGTGCCCCCTTTGCGACAAGGCCTTCCACCGCCTAGAGCACCAGACCAGGCACATCCGTACACACACCGGAGAGAAGCCCCATGCGTGCCAGTTCCCAGGATGCAGCAAAAAGTTTTCTCGTAGTGACGAGCTGACTCGACACTCGAGGATACACAACAACCCCAACTCGAGACGCGGGAACAAGGGGCAGCAGCAGGTTCAAGGACAGCAGCAAGCGATGGCGGCAAACATGGGGCACGATGGCATGATGGCACCGCCGCCAGCCCCCAAAAACATCCGCTCAGCCCCCTCCTCGGCTCTGTCATCCCCCAACGTCTCTCCACCGCACTCGTATGCTTCGTTTGCTCTGCCGCAGCCCAGCATGCACCGCTCTGGCGACATTGACATGTTGGCCAAGGCCGCCCAGACGCTTCACCAGAGCCATGGGCCTGCTCACCACGCGCCTTCCCGGCACCATCCCTATCAGTCTCACGCGCCGCGCGGTCTTTCCGCGTACTCAATGTCGAGATCGCACAGCAACGAGGAGCATCACGATGAGCATTACAACGGTGCTCTGCGCAACATCAAGCGATCAAGACCTAATTCACCAAACTCCACGGCGCCCTCCTCACCCACATTCTCACACGACTCGCTCTCGCCGACTCCTGATCACACACCTATCGCTACGCCCGCCCACTCTCCCCGTCTGCGACCTATTGGTCACACAACGTACGATCTGCCCGGTCTCAGGAGCCTCTCTCTGCACCACACCACGCCTGCTCTGGCACCCATGGAGCCTACCTTTGACTCGAACGCGCAGTTCCACGGTCCTCATGGCCCGCCCCATGGCAACCCCCCCAGGAGCAACGGCATCTCTTTGACTGATATTCTCAGTCGGCCAGATGGAAGCCAGAGGAAGCTGCCTGTTCCCAAAGTGGCTGTACACGACATGATGAATGACACAGGCTTCACCCACAGCGGACGGAGTTCCGCGACAGCCAGCCTGGCGGGAGGCGACCTAATGGATCGTCTGTGAAGAGCCGGCGATGAGCTCCTGAAGCCAAGGCAATGAGGCGACATTTGGAGGCAGACGCTACGATTTTAATGACATACCACACACATACACACACACACATACACAAACCACACCAACAACGTTGTTCTATAGACTACGGGCATAGAAGGGAGACAAGGGACATTTGGCGTTTTGCATGGCATACATCCAGCGCAGGAGCTCGTTAAAGGGTCCAAGCTGATTCAGGACCTCGACTTTATTTTGTTATTTTGTATTAAGCGGCCAGGTGGCCTTATAGAGATTCACCACTTCACTGAAGCTACATGCTTTTAGCAGATAATTAAACCTGCTTATTATCTGGTACCAAAACCTCTCCCACCCCGATTTTCCACAGCCAAGGCTTGAGGTGACTGCTCCTAGCTTGAGCATGCCGTGACTCACACTGCACACTACCAGCTGCATAAGCTTTTCCACCCCACGGCTTGTGGCGCCCGTGATCTTTGGATAGACTCTCACGTGTCCCCATTTCGCCCGGTCACGACTGTCTTAGCATCCCCAAACCAAGAGGGTGGGTGATTCATCCCGCACCAACCAGTCTACTGGCCGCCGGCTACTTGGGCTTTGAGAAAAATGCACTTTTCATGAGACAAGCGGTAACGCGCAACGTTTGGAATGTACAAGCGCCTCTGCGTACCCAGACATTTGCCTTCCCGATGCCCCCCTCCCTTTCTTCCCCACAGATTTTCCCATGGGGTTGCATTGCCTGAAATTGGGCGTGTACTCACTCACGTCAGCCTTGCGTCGCCGTTACGAGCTGGGAGACGTGTGTGAAACAAGAAAAGAAAGTAAGAAAAAGGCACTGCTGCATCTGCCTAGTCTACGCGCGTCCCGATGGGAGGAGACACGGCACCTCTGTGGCAACGGGGCGCAAGGGTGGCCAGACAAAGAGCTGAGGTGTCATGTATAGGCGCCTGGCCTGAGCTGAGCAGTGCCTATGCTGCGTCGGGCAGTGCTATGCGTGTCAGATAGCATGTGAAACGGGCTGCCCTACGGGCTCAATAAGAGACAATTCATTGGATCTCCCTCCCGTCCACCCAGGGTGGTGACGACTGCTGTAGCAAAGCTTGTCGTCCATCGGAAAGCCACCACAAATGAGGCTTAATTACAGTTGCGAAGGAGGGGGTTCTGGACCGTTTTGTCACATGTGTGGGCAAATGACTGTCATGAGTAATTCTGGGAGAAGAATAAAGCAAAAATGAGGGGGTGTTGGTGATGCGATGACATGTCTGGGCCGACGGTGGTGGCCTGTTTTTACGTGATTACAATTTCTCTTCGCTCTTTTCTCTGGACGAAGACGTGTCGTCTTCACCGCCTGTGTGATGCGAAGTGCATAAGGTACTAATGAGATGTTGCGTGTGGCACGTTTGCGCTGCGAGTTACGGTTTTGTGGCTTTGCCGTTTGTCAACAAAGGGGTGGGCGGGCAGTTGATCATCATGCTCGTTGAGTGGGGGTGGCTTTTCGTCTTGGATGCATGTTTTTGGGCACATGCCAGTGTTGAGGGGAAGGAAAGGCTAACAATCGGGTAAGAGAATGTGTTTGCACTTCTGAAGATGAGTTTCACATCCGTTGGTGCGAAGTCTCGGAGTACAATGTGTGCAAAAACGCGTCAGCAGTGTTGCTGTTGATCGGCAATGCTCAGAACCTTAGGAGACTCGCTGGCTTGTAGACTCTGGGGAGATGAAGCCAGCGAAGCCCGCTGCCGAATGACTGCCGAGCGCTGTCTCATAGAGCATGAAGCCAAAGTGGACTGATCATCAATCTAGCGCCGCACATCGTTGAAGTAGGAGCACTACGGAGTACGCAGACTACTCCTGGAGACATACACTGATCATGCCAGGTGGCAGTGAGGAAGCCGAGACTGAGAGCGGCCCGATGGGTCGTTGGAATTGGCTGAATGGAGAAAAAGAATGTGGGGTGTGGGGTTAACAATTCCCATGACTCGCACTTGCACTCAGTCTCGGCGGACGTCCGTCGACTCTGGGGAAGGGCTACGTGTAATATTCAGCGCACCAGTCATCAATACCGAGCGGAAAATCCCGCTCTGATAACGAGCGATTGCAAGCAGCCACAGACAAGCCCATGCCAGAACACTATGAGATCTTGACTAATAACTTAGTGAACTTGGCTGCGGTGCCCAAACGAGCGACTGCATCAACCAGGGATGGTGGCGTGGCCGCATGGCATGGTGCCCTTTTGGCGGCAACGCGCCGATAAGGACTTGCACTCAACGCACAGCAGCATTTTTGCTTGTACCACCACATGATGGGTCTTCTTATCGCTTTTCCGTCCCAAGGAGCGATCCCCAGTCACGACTCGAATCCAACGCAACTGTTCATGCCTATCGTCATCGGCCCACACGCCGGCTTCCTCAATACAGACATCCCGAGTCCTCCGAACGACGATACAGACAGGCATATTCCTACTCAGGAAAACCCCGCCGCTGCGTCGTTGACAGAGATTTTCATGGCCCAGAGGCCCCAGACCAGGGTCCTTCCCATTGGAGGCTGGGGAGGGGGGGTGTGCCCGTGGGATTTTCTTTGCTTTGTGGGGAAGGGGCGCCCTGCCCTGAGTTCGTCGATAACGCTTGCCATTTCCTTCTTGAGCCTGGAGGAGGAGCGATGAAGTCATCCCGCGAAAGCTTGGCTTCCCCAAGTGTTGCGTGATCATCATCACCTGCCTGCCTGCGCATCGAAGTCTCAGAGCTGTCTGGCCCGAGTCGCCTTCCAAGTTACAGCACCCCACCGGGAGCGAGTTGACAAACGACTCCGACTCCGTCCTATACGCGCGCCTACCACAGACACGAGACGCGGCCGTAGGCCAAACACGCTGCACTGCCGTCAATGGATTGCTGCTGACCCGCTGCAACGAGCCCGTGGGCCGTATTTGCGCGCCGAACCCCGGCAGCCTGCTGCTTTTTGCCCAGGAAACACAACGTGGTCAATGACTGTTTGGCTGGTGCCTGAGCTTGGCTGACGAGAGCCATGGCTGCTGCTGTTGGTGGCGTTGTTGCTCTGTCCATTCCCGCGAGGAGGACCAACACATAGGGAAGCTCAAGCTCTCAGGCACTATCAGCACACGTGGCCCAACTCCAAGATGATGCTGGCTATCCACGGATTTTCCTACATCTGGTTATCTGCCGAGGCATACCAACAAAGGTCTCGACACTCAACGTGCCCGATCCAGTACTGCGGATGGCATCTCGTCCATCGAGGAGAGCCGCCGAGCCGATAACTCCAGTCTGAGCAGCAATAGCGCACTGCCATATGCCACAGATTCTTAGAATGCAGCCACACGAAGCCATTTTGTTTATTCTGGATTTGTTAACCGGTCTGCAGGATGTGCATCGTTGCGAAGTGGCGTCACAACTTCGGCTGTTCACTGCATATTAATATCGTGCCGCGCACTCTCCGATCGGTTATCTCGCCAAATGTGGCCTCGCCAGACATGCCAGTTTGAGGCATTGGACGGTGCAATGTTTCCTGCATCTGCCTGCACGCAAACGCGGCAGCGACTGCCAGCATCACAGAAGAATTGGTGTCTTCTAGCGGCACTTGGTGGTGTTGAGACACACAGAGCAATGCAAAGACAGGACCGAGAATGGCTGCAGCATGTGTTCTGTGAGGCGGCTTGAACCGCTACCTTCTACCTACCACACCAATGCTGGGGTCTGATAGTGAGCATGCGCTCTGGTTGGGACCTACTATGATGTGGCCGCGATATCCAAAAGAGCCAAGCGATCAACACCGCTTGGTACGGTCACTGTTGCGCTGTTTGGTCACAACCATAACTGCTCGCTGGGGGGCAGAAGGGCCGCAGCCCGCGTCCTGCTTTGAGCTATTCCACATCGCTGGCTGACTGATCTTGAGCAGCAGACCGGTTGCTGGAAGTTAGGTTACTTCTGTTAATTTGATAGGTGCTCATCGGACGCACATACTGTCATGAAACATTGCCAGTCTGCAACGCAACGCAACCGTATCTGTCGGTGAGCACATCCACCTATCTTGAAGCCGGAACCTACTTGGTGTGAATACTTGCCCCGGTCTTGGCTGCGTCAAGGTTCTGGTTTGCTGCACGCACCAACACCAGGGTCCATCGTGAATCGAGCCACACGGATGTGTGAGCCTTGCCTCTGAAAGGGAGTACTTGGACCGATATTGAGCCGAGCTTCTTCCTGGCGCCGGCTTCGATACGAAGGTGGCTCGTCCAAATTCTACCGCCGAACCGTACGAGGCTGGCTCATATCAGGTACCGCACCACGTCAGAGGCTAAGCGTGTCACCACAAAGTCAATTCCTAGTGATCAATCAAATCCCTTTTCAGGGAGCGGAGGTCGTTACAAGAATAGACTGACTTTGGAAACGCGTAGATATGCTCTCGGAGTACCTTCCGGAACCACCCCTCAACCAGTCGGATCTTCTTGAACTCAGGGGCACTCCGGGGCACCACCCTCGACCAGCGTCCTGCATTCACACCCTGACCGTATGTTCGGCTGTCGCTCACGAGTCTTTATCCCAACGGCCTGAATGGTCTTTACCGCTGTGTCCTGCATGTGCAGCGTTTCATTCCGAGCCGCCGAAAGCCAATTTTCTTAGCGGACGCGCGTTGCTTGCTCCCCGAGGTGCCATTGCGTCCTTGGAGAGACCCTTCGCAAGCCAGTCCAGGATCGCAAACGCACTTTGACATACTTCAGTCTGCCGATGCCCTCGGTACCTGAATCTCCGTTCGCCAGGTACTTGCGTTTACATGGCGTACATGGGGTGCGCCTTTTCCCCGGCCGTGCCTGGCTTCAACCGAACCCCGCGTCCAGAACCACAGCTACGTACCCCCAACGTGCATATGTCAGGATGTTCGGGCCGAAGACTGCCAAGGCATGTCCTCATAGTGGCATGATAGGAGGACGGGTGGTTGCACTTTGAAGTGCTGGGCGTGCGCGGTTGATTTGAGCAGAAATACATCACGAGAGAGCAAGCAGCTCGTGATGGTGGGTGTAGATGGCAGGAGAGATGTCGTAGTGAGAACAGGATACGAGGGAGGATTACGTATATGCCAGTAACACTCTGTCACACGGCGGAACTAGGTTGGTGTGATAAATGAGGACACAACTGGTGAGAAGCATGTGCCAATGCCGCGACGCCCTGGAAGCCAAGTGCAATTGTTCTCAGCAAAGTCAAGTCATCCTTTGACATTTCAACTGGTGTCCACCGGAAGTATTGTCTTGAGCTAAGGGTTTGAACGCATGAGAGGATCCCGTTGCACTTCCATTTATTCCATAAATGTTGGAGTCCGCTGGGCATGCATGCCATCATGCCATCATGCCCTCGTCCTTGTCCGATCCGAGCGCACAAGCCGAGCGCCCCTATTCTACATATATCCATGTACACTATCTTACAGCCTGATGTTTGAGGGAAAGGTCATGCCACGAAGAAGCCCAGCTGTTTTTGAGCACCCTACCATTTGATACCGAAAAAGCTCAGCTGCTTCTTGCCCTTTACCTTGGACTCGTCCTGTTTCTCCAAGTATATCCTTTCATGCCGTTTCACGTCGAGGAATAGATATTTGTACTCGAACTCGCTCATGTCGGGGCGTTTGAACATGTGTAGTCGGACCGTTCCGTTGTCCTTGGGACCTTGTACCTGTGCTGATGTCAATTTTCGGACTTGAACGATCAAAGAACGGCTAGTGTTACGTAGAAGTGCATCAGGAGATGCTCCGTGCCATCTGGGTCCTGCCTGTTCATCGACCTGGGGCGCGCATGTTAGCATCCTCAAGCTGCCCGGCTAAGCAATAGTAGACTCACGACACCGGTCGCGCCCTGCGCCAGCTGTTGAATGTCTCGTCTCCATGAGCAGATATTTTCTTGCCGCGACCGAGAATCTCGAGACAGCGGGCATCTTGGCGAACCTTGTCGACTGCGCGGTTGAACTGTGCGGTCTTGCCGTCTGGTGAGAAGACGTCCGACCACAAGAAATAAGTGACACCACCCTAACTCTGCATCAGCCTGGGTATTGATGACTCCGTCCGCGCTTTAGCACCCACCGTTAACACAATTCCCACAATGACGAGGCCAAAGTTGAAGCTCTGCTGTGTCGCGCGAGCTGTCTTCTCCCCCGCTGAGAGCTGATTCCAGGGCACGCGGCCATCATCGTTGAAGGCTGTGACCTTGCGACGTCGAGGACCGGGCTGGGCTGTGGTGCCTAAGCTGTTCTGGGTCGCATACTGTCGTGCGCAGAGAAAAGGCCGGATCGCTGGTGCGGTTGCGATTGTGGTTGAGGCGGGCCTGATGGCCAAAATCGACATGGAGGGCTTCATCCTGGTTGCAGGCCGACAGCCATCGTTCAAGGACCCGTATAGTCCTAGCGCTGGCGATATGCTGGAGGAAAATTGGTGCTGTGAGCGACGGGGATTTGGCTTTGCGCTCTTCTGTTGTGAAGCATCAGCAGCTTTCGGTCAGTCTGCTCGAGTTATCACCGCCCTCGGCAGAACTAACAAGGTGGAGTCGTTGCGCCCTCGATCGGGACTAGCGTGACCATACATGCCACTTCACCAACGAACGACCCTCCGCTTGGGCGAGACCGTCTCCTGAACGTTCCGTACACGAGTCCACATTCGCGCGCGCAGGACGACACTCTCCTAACCTCGTCCAGACCTGCTCTCCCTCGAACAACCATCGCTGTCGCGCCCGTCGGTGCTCTACTATTCCCGCCATGGCTGCCCTCGCGTCCAAGCAGCAGTCGCTCAAGATCTTCGACAAGCTCAAGACCAAGCCGGCAAACAAGGTATTTATTTATCTTTCCGCGCATGCCGCTGGCCCAGAACATGGCTCACCGCGCGCCTCTTTAGATCTGCTTCGACTGCGGCCAGAAGAACCCTACATGGACGTCCGTACCCTTTGGCATCTATCTCTGCCTCGACTGCTCCTCGAACCACCGTAATCTCGGTGTCCACATCTCCTTTGTCCGCTCCACAAACCTCGATCGTATGTATTGGTCACACCAGGGAGTCAACAGGACGGTGCATCTGGGCATTGGCTGACAGAGGACAGAGTGGCAATGGGATCAACTTCGCGTGATGAAGGTGGGCGGCAATGAGTCTGCCACCAAGTTCTTCCAGCAGAATGGCGGTACGGCCGCCCTGAACAGCAAGGACCCCAAGACAAAATACCAATCCAATGCGGCGACCAAGTACAAAGACGAGCTCAAGAGGCGCGCTGCGAGGGACGCCCAGGAGTGAGTTTTTTTCCGTCTCTTTTGGATACGACATGATTGACGAATGACTAGCTTCCCTGGTGAGGTTGTTATTGACGGCGCTGACGCTGAGGCTGCCGGTACCCCTGCTGGCGAGCCCGACGACGACTTCTTCTCCTCCTGGGACAAGCCGGCCATCAAGCGCCCCACGCCCCCCATCTCGCGGACGGCGACACCCACCGGCCGAACACCGTCGCCCTTCCTGAACACCAACAACGGCAAGGATGTTACCCGCTCGACCTCACCGCTCGCCAAGACCGAGTCCGGCGAGGCGGCTGCCGCCAGGCCTGCCGCCGGGCGCATCACGTCCTCCGCTGCCCTGCGCAAGACAGGCACGGCTGGCGCTCCTCGCAAGGCGAATGTTCTGGGCGCGAAGAAGGTGACCAGCAAGTTGGGCGCGAAGAAGGTCACCAGCGACCTCATCGACTTTGACGAGGCGGAGAAGAAGGCCAAGGAGGAGGCTGAGCGCATCGAGAAGCTCGGATACGACCCAAATGCCGAGGAGGAGAAGGTTGACGAGGGCAAGGGCGCCACACCCCTGACGTCGCCCACGTCCGTCAGCCCATCCGCCGCCACGACCAGCTCACATACCCGCCAAAAGTCAAACGCTGAGGTTGAGCGACTGGGCATGAGTGTTGGACGACTCGGTTTTGGTCAGGTTGGAGGTGGAAAGGCTGTTGCGCCGGCGGCGAAGAAGAACGCTGGTGGCTTCGGCTCGGTGGGACCTGTCAAGGCGTCTACTCAAGGTACCCATCTGTGCACATGTTTCGGCATAGTCATTTTTGCTAACTCTACTCTTCCCTCAGATGAATCCGAAAACTTTGCGCGCTCCAAGTTTGGCACTCAGAAGGGTATCTCGTCCGACGAGTACTTTGGTCGCGGTACCTTTGACTCCAACGCGCAGAACGAGGCCAAAACGCGACTGCAGGGCTTCGAGGGCGCCACATCCATCTCGTCCAACGCGTACTTTGGCCGACCCGAGGACGAGGATGATGGCGAGGACTATGGCGATCTCGAGACCGCTGCCAAGGACTTTGTGCGCCGCTTTGGCATCACAGCCGGCGACGATCTCGAGAACCTGAGCAACATTGTTGGCGAGGGTGCTACGAAGCTGCAGGGCGCCATCCGGTCATACCTCGGCAGCTGAAAAGGGGGCGGGGGGCCCTCGGGTTCATTCATACGCTGTCCATGTGCTGCTGAAGAAAAATCAAAACACTTTGCTGGGAGGTCTCTTTTCTCGACGACTTGTTTTTGTTCCAATGGGCAGGTGTTCAGGGGCGGTAGACGATGTACATGATGACGTCTGCGCGCGCGCGCGCGCGTGTTCGCTTAGGCACAGGCTGGAATGGTAGCGCGGATAGACAATTCTCTCACTCTGATTGCTAGAACTGCATGCATGCTGTATATGAAAAGCAAAACGAAAGGGAAACGAGGTTCCCGTCATCTACATAATCATCATGATATATATAAAACAAGCGCGTCTCGAACGGGCTCTCTCTTTACAGCTTGGCAATCATCTTGCTGCCCTTTTGCATCCAGGCTACAGCATCGTCGACAAACTCGTCCACCACGGCGCGTGCCGGCTTTTGCTCGTTGACGACAGCGGCGCACTTGCCCATGAGGAAGGGGCGGAACTTCTCGAGAGGGTCGTCCTCGTCGTCGTCCTCGGTGCTGTTGTCGGTCAAGCTAGTCTTCTTGGCGTCGTCATCGCCGCCCATGACCTTGTCAAGGTCGGCCTCGTAGGGGATCACACCCTTGGCGGCGAGCTCCTTCATCTCGGCGGTGCGATTGGTCTCCCAGTCGTTGATGTAGTCGTTGTTGCGGACGCGCATGGGGCGTCCGGTGAAGATGATGGTGCGGACGTTGTCGTCGTGCCCGGCGGTGCGGACGGCGTCCTTGTGCGACTTGGGCGCGCCGGCCTCGTCGGTGAGGATGAAGCGGGTGCCGACCCAGACGGCGCCGGCGCCCATCATGAGCGACGCGGCGAGGAGCTGGCCGTTGTGGATGCCGCCGGCGGCGACGACCTGGACGGGTCCGCCAGTCACGGGCGACTTGGCGTTCTTGCACTTCTCGACGACGGCGGGGATGAGGACGGTGGTGGGGATATCACCGGTGTGGCCACCACCCTCGCCGCCCTGGGCGCAGATGATGTCGACGCCGAGGTCGAGGCACTTTTGGACGTGCTTGACGTGGCCGATCATGTTCATGTAGAGCACGCCGTTCTTGTGCAGCTTCTCGACGACCTCCTTGGTGGGCACGCCGACGGCCGAGACGAAGACCTTGGCGCCCGACTCAATGACAATGTCGGTGAGCTCGTTGAGCTTGCCCTTTGTGTAGTCGTAGTTGGTCTTGCGGGCCGAGCCGCCGACCTGGGGGAGAAGCAGGTCGACGCCAAATGGGCCGTTCTTGTCGTCGAGGTGCTCCTTGAGCTCGGCAATCTGCTCCCTGAGCATGTCGGGCGTGTAGCCGACACCGCCAATGACACCAAGACCGCCGGCGTTGGTGACGGCGGCGGCGAGCTTGGGGCCAGCCGCGACGTTCATGCCGGCCAGAAGCACGGGGTGCTTGATGCCGAACATCTCGGTGATGGGGGTGCGGATCTTCTCTGCAGGCGCGGCATGTTAGCAATGATCAGACATTTTCTCGTGGCCGCTCCCTCTCGCAAGCGTGATCACATGGGAGAGGAGGCGGATCAAGGACATACGTGGGGAGGCCATTGCGACGGTGGTGTGTGTCGGAGATTGGAAGAGCGTGGGGAATATGGAAAGGAAAGAGTGAGGTGAGGTTCGTCAATCTTCGAGGAGGTGAGGATGTGGAAGAAATAAAGAGGAAGAGGAGCCTGGGGCGTTGGGATGACTATGGATGGATCCCTAGGATTGTAGGCGGGATGGATGGTTCGACGCTCTCACATGCCGAGGCTCACATCTGGGGGATGCCACCAGTCAGCCCGGCCATCCCCTTCTGGACTAGCGTGTTCTGCCATAGAAGGGGCAATTCTGGGGAAGTTGCCGAGGCACGCTTCAGGTTCCAGGTCCAGCCCGTCCCAAGCCCGCTATTTTTACCGTCATGGCCGCGCCGGTCGTTGCGATCCGGGGCGTTGCAGGGCAGGTGACTTTTTACTCTTTCCGACTGTCTGACATGGGGCACGCTGCCAAACGACGCGTGTCGACGGAGGCGCTGTCAGCTGACTCGCTATTAAGAACACAAAGTTCACAACGTGATCGATCAGCGGCCGCTCCCAGCTACTAACCTCTTCGGGACTAGTGTACATTTGATCTGGCAGCGTGTGTCTAGGGTGGGCAATCTGCAGCCTTGCGCGCCAAGTATGTCAATGTGGGTCGCTGTTTCCCGAAATTCAAGATCGATCAGGAGTTCGTCAACCTCACCTCATCGAATTCGCCTCTTGCTCTTGCCTGAGTTTGCCTACTTGGTTCACCCCACGTGACCATATTTGCCTTTTCTTCCATCATGAGGGTTTCCAGCATGCGCAGAACCTGGAGTTCTGCCACTGGATGTGTAGCCCTCCGCCCAGCAACAAAGAGCGCGTCCTCTACATTGCCCATGAACCGAGCACCAAGGGCAGGCATCAAAGGCGTGCCCTCTCGCGTCACTACTGGCCAGGGCATGGGGTCTGCCGTTCGTTCTTATGCGTGCGGATGCCAGGCAGCGAGACCAACCAAGAAGACGGCGTATATTGCCCTGGGGAGCAATCTCGGGGACCGCGTTGCAGAGATAGAAAAAGCATGTCATCTCATGGACAAGCGCGGCATTCGCGTCATGAGGACAAGCAGTCTCTACGAGACCGAGCCCATGTATGTCAAGGAGCAGGACCGCTTTGTCAATGGGGCATGCCAGGTTCGACACTATTGCCATGGTCCACCAAGCTGGCGCTGACTTTGTCCGGACAGGTTGAGACCGATTTGACACCGCTGGAGCTTCTGGATCAGCTCCAGGCCATCGAGAATGAGATGGGTCGCCACAAGGTCATAGACAAAGGGCCCCGGAACATTGACCTGGACGTCCTACTGTACGGCGATGAATCGTTTACGCATGAGCGCCTCAACATTCCGCACATTGGCATCCGTGAACGTGAATTCGTCTTGAGACCGTTAGCAGAGTGAGTGTGCTCCGGAGCTCCTCTTGTTCAAATATTGATCCCCACAGGATTGCTGCGTCAAAATCTTTGGAACCCTCCCGACCATGGAAGCTCATACAGGATTATCTCAACGAGCTCCCGCGTGGCGAGACCTTATCGTCTTTAACACCTCTGTCCCCTTCGTCACACACATTGACGCCGACCCTGCCTCGCAAGACCACCCAGGTCATGGCGATTCTGAACCTGACCCCAGACTCGTTCTCCGACGGAGGACTTCATGATCCGCAATCGCTGGTCGAAACGGTTCGTGGGTTCATTCGCGACGGTGCGTCCATGGTTGACATTGGCGGACAATCGACTGCACCGAACCGTCCGCAAGCGTCCGCAGAAGAGGAGCTGGCGCGCATCTTGCCGTCGATCGAGGTCATTCGCTCCATGCCAGAAGCTCGAGACATTGTGATCAGTATCGACACCTACCGTGCCTCCGTGGCGGAGAAGGCACTGGCGGTGGGTGCAGATATCATCAATGATGTGTCCGCGGGCGCACTGGACCCAGAGATGCTGCCCACCGTCGCGAGGCTGGGCAAGACCATCTGCCTCATGCACATGCGCGGGACGCCCGAGACGATGAACAAGCTCACCTCCTATCCCGACGGTCTGATTCCCACCGTGGCCTCTGAACTGGCCGCGCGCGTGGCGGCCGCGGAAGCTGCTGGTATTCGTCGATGGCGCATCATCCTCGACCCGGGTGTCGGCTTCGCCAAGACCATGGAGCAGAACCTCGAGATCCTCCGGCGCATGGAGGACTTGCGGCACTGGCCTGGCCTCGAGAACCTTCCTTGGCTCGTGGGAGCCAGTCGCAAGAAGTTCATTGGCAGGATCACCGGCGTCGACAAGCCCTCGGAGAGGACATGGGGCACGGCGGCTACAGTGGCCGCGGCGGTCCAGGGAGGCGCGGACGTTGTCCGTGTGCATGATGTCCCCGAGATGACCGCCGTGACCAAGATGGCTGATGCTATCTGGAGGCGACTATCTTAGTCTCGGGAGGGGAGACATTAATCTACCTAATACATCGCCCACTACTTACTTGACTCGGATGCCTCTATGGATATTTGTCCGCCTTGTTCCAGTCTTCCCCACCAGTCGATTCCGGTAGGGTGCCAAGGTGTCTTCGCACCCGTGTGGGCTGTGCCATGATACCTTTGTCCGGCACTTGAGAGCTATATCTGCGTCCTTGGATGGCATCACTTCTTCACCGAAATGCCAGCGCGTCAACTGCCAAGTGTTGGGCCATGGCAGCGGTGGGAGGCTCGCCTGGATTTACTGACCCAGCCGCGCGCTGTTGACTAGGTCGAGTGAATGCGACTTGCATTCAGCCGTACAGAAGGTCAATTTCCCCATGTGTCCCGCCTCGGGCTTTCAAACTCGCCCATGGAGGGTCCGTGGTAGTTGGAGTCACGTTGGGCGTGTTTGAGTGGTGGCCTTCATTCCGGCAATGGCCTGCTTCGAGAAGACGTCAGGTATCAATGCACGGATAATATCAGCAAAGCCTACAGAGCCTGCGCGCTTTATCTGCTGGCCAATCTGTTCCACAAAGGTGACATTCAACACCACCAGTCCAAGGGTCGGGACGAAGCCATGTCTCTTGGCGGCCATGCGGTCATGCAGGCTGGACCAAAGGATGTAGAGCCCATCGCTCACGCCGATCACCGGTGTACTGAGTGTAGTCCAGTCGCCCTGACAAACCCACGGCTTCCTCCCCGTCGTCTTCACAGACCGGTCAGTGTTTCGGGCTCGAGGCAGCCATCCATCTTGCGGCTGTCCTCTGAGTCGGTGACCCTATTGGGGGGCTCCCTGGATGCATACGTGTAATTCGGAAAGACACGTCTAGGTACTCGAGGTACATTGGGATACATGTCGATACCCTGGGCGCACTGCTGCGACATCTGGCTCGTGACCTTTGTGGCCGCGCGCAGTGCTTGCTATGTCTGTCTGATCCGTACGCAGATTGCACCTTGTCGAACCCATGATTTTCCTCTGCAGGCACCCGTCAATCGTGCAGTGTGCAGTTCAGTCGACTCGTCACCGCTCCCGGATGCACACACGTGGACCCACGCACGGTGCCATGCTGTCATGGCTCGCCTCGACAGCCGGCGCCAACAGTGACTTCCACCGGGACGGCTGCTCAATGGGTCTTCTCCCTCATAATGAACGAAACGCGGAAAATGCTTTGGCTTTTACAGATCGCCATCTTTCCTCATTGTTGCCTACACACAGAGGCATTCGCATCCTAGTTCGACCTACATCACTCACATGCGCCCACGTTTAGCCTAGACTCGATCCATGTTGTGCATCTTGACATGTCACCAACATCGTAAAATCCCCAGGTCCTGTTTGCGCGCAAAAGATCATTTCTGCGCCCTCGGGACGCACGTCTCGCGCGGCTACTCGAAGAACCTTGCCAGCTAGACGCCGTACGACCCCATGCTCGAAGACGGCGCATCTTGGATCTAGGGCTCGCTCCTTTGTTTGTCCCACGGCGCGCATGGGTGAGGAATCACATGAACTTGGGACTGTTAGTCGTACAACACTTGTACAGGGATAGTCAGTATTCGAACAGGGATTGCGAGGGTAGGGAAGCCGGTCAGGAGGCGCGCGGATACACTGGCTGGGCTGAAGAAGTACTTGGAAAGGAACAGCGTCTGGAACAGTGGTTGTCACCAATTTAGAAGAACCAAGGCAAGCCCGCAGGTACCCATCGAGTAATCGAACCGGTGAGAAGCGACCGTTCCAACCGATGGAGCCAATATCGAGGGATCCCCAAGCTTGACAGGAATCAAGAAGCAACTCAGATGAAGAGACATAGTATAGCAAAAGAAGTACCGCGTCGCAGTTCCCATCCTTAAGAAGTAGCCCTATTCGCAACCACCAGAAGACGAACAAGAGAGAGTAAATGCCCATCGTGAAAGGGGCGAGCCATGTTGATGTGTAGTCTGTGCGTCCGACGCCTTGCCATGCAATTACCCCTTTTCCCCCTTCCCCCCTATCCCATACGCCTACCCGAGTCTTCTCGCCCTCTCTCTACCCAGACATGACGATCGCGCGGCGGAGGGGACTCTGGCCTGTGTCCCATTTCGTTCGTAAATCCAATTTTCCTGCTTGCGCCCAGCACCCTTTCTCATTCTATATCTTTCTGGTTCATGTCCCAATGAGGTGCTGTTCGCCCCTCCCGCTACAATGACATGTTCACGCTCGTCGGCGAGAGGAGCTGCGGGTACGACCCGTTGGACGAAGACCGGCCGTAAAACGTACGGCACGGCCGGTTCTGGTCGTTGTTGTTGCTCAGAGAGGGCGGGTGCACGAGGCGAGGTAGCGTAATGTTTTCGTACTCATGCTTGACTTTGCTGTTGATATCGACGCCGGCAATCATGTGCGAGACAGACTCGGGATCGTGGTGGCCCACCCAGGGCTCCGTTGTGTTGTGGCTCTGGTAGCTGCCGTCCATGGCCCCGGGGTAGTAGGTGTAGTGCTTGGCCACGTCCATGGGCTTCTCTTCTTCCGCCGGGAGCATAGCCTCTCGTGACAAGGCGTGATGCTGTTGTTGTTGGTGATGTCGCTGATTCGGGTCGTAGAGGCCATGGCTGGCGTCGTAGCTTCCAAACGAATGGATCTGTGCGCCACCATAGCCACGAGGGCCCCCCATGGGCGCGCCATAGATCGCAGGTTGATTGTCCGTGTTACGAGTTCCGTCACGACTGTGGCTCCGCTCGGTCTGGTAATGACCCGGCGACCGTCCTCGGACAATGAGCTGGGCCGACTTGCGATGGACGACCTTGTGCCAGTCGGGGTTGTTAGACGGCGAAATGTTGACCCACAACTCGACCAAGAGATGGTAGAACTGCTGCTGGGCTCGGCGCTTGCCGTTGTTCTGCGTGGCCTGCTTGAACTGGATCCGCTCAAACGTCCACTCGGTCAGTGTCCCGATGCCACCCGCCTCGGAGGGCACCCAGGCGTCTGGATAGTTGCGCGCCGGGATGCTGCTGTCCTCCAGGTTGAAGTAGCCGAGGTTGATGACGTCCTGCTTGGCCATCAGGGGCATGATGGACGGCGGGGCGGTCGGCCCCTTGTCCCGCTTGGGCGTGTGCTGGACGAGCTCAACAACCTGCTGCTCGTTGCCGGCCACGACGGCTGAGATGCTGACGCCGAACTGGTGAACCAGGAAGAAGCTCTGCCCGCCCGCCGGCTTCACCTCGACGGGGGTGCCGGGAAAGTAGGGCCCCAGCGAGAAGGAGCAGACGCACGAGAAATAGTTCCGTCTATAGCAGGTCCACCTATCGTCCGCGATGAAGAACTTGTCAATGCTCCCGTTGATGGTAGCATGACACGCGGTCTTGGCCGTGTCCTGGTACCGCAGCTCGCCAAAATGCGTGGGACCTTCCAGGGGAGGGCTCGTCTTCTCGGACGCCGGCCCCGCTCTGGATGGCGAGTCCATCCTGTTAGTGTTGCCCGGGATGGTCCCGTAGCTGACGACCGCACTGCTGCTTGGACTATTGGAGACTTGTGGGCGACGAAAGTGTGCGCCCCCGTAGGACGAAGAAGAACGCGTCGGATGCTCCGATTGTCGTCGGAAGGAGGGCGTCGCGTGCGCGTACTGCTCCCGCGTACTCATGTGGTGGTTTAGTGGTTGCGGTAGTAATGCAGTGCGTGGTGTGTGGTCCATGCTCGTGGAGAACGGAGTACTGAGATGTGTGTGTTAGTGTGCCGTTCTTATGCAAGCGTAGCAGGAACCTGAGTCATGCCAGAGACTACAACGGGTGTATGAAAGAGTGTGTGTCTGTCTGTAACTCACCTAGGACCGAAACTGGGCCTGACGTCAATCGAGGAGTAACCGTGAGAGGCAGCAGCCGAGTAGTAGCCAGTAGTGTCTTGATGATAGTGCGTGTTCGGGTCCAAAGTGGGCGGCGGCTGGTAGAGCAAGTTATATGGTTGACTTGCCTCGACGGTGAGTGGTGTAGTTGTCGTCGTTGTTGGTTGCTGGTTGTATCTCGAACCCTTAGTTAGCGGGAGATTTGAGGCATACATGGAGGGGAGGATGGAGAGCACGAGAATGCTGTAGTACCACCGCGTCTAACGGTGTGACGGCCGGCGATGAAGGTAACACAGGAGCCCCAAGGCCGGGCTGAGGGGGCCCTCTTGGCTTCCATGCTTCACTGAAGGCGCTTTAGAGTCTCATGACCATGGTGCTTGTGATAAGATCTGGATGATTCAAGAAGGAAAGCAAGAATTCAGTGGTTCGGCATGACCGAGGACTGAAGAGATGGTGGTGGTAGATGCTTTCTCGATGATGCGTTGCTCGTGCATGATGAAAAACAACGGAAGGGGCATCGACTCACTGCGCTTGGCCCCCGAGGCCATTCAGGTGGTAATCGAGGCCCGATTCTCCCTCTGGCACCGCGGGCGAGGCATACTCCTGCTTTCACCTGTTAGAAAGCGTGATGAACTCTCGTGCGACAATGCGGTGGTTTGTAATTGGGAGAGGGGGTGCAATCAGTGTTCTGGGGAGGCATGACTGCTTTCGTCGGAGAGGCGGCGCGTGCTGGATGGGTGATGAAGAGTCAATGTGTACATGTACCCTCCAGTGAGCAACGGCGCAGTTGTCAGGCTGACCTGTCAATATCCTTCTACGCCATGTCGCACTGCTGGTGAGACGGGAAATTAGTAAATTTCATACGCTTGGCATACAGACGCGGAGGATATGATATATGTAGCGTAAGGAGAACGCTCTGTGTAGAGCGTTTGGCTCTCGAGCGAGAGGCGAGGAAGATTGTCGAGATCAGCCCGCCCGAAAGGAACAAAGGGGGGATGTGCATGATGCGTTGTCGTCTCTCTCCTCGTCTCGGAGGCAGGTCAACGTCAACAATGGGCTGGGCTGGGGGCACTTACACGTCCAGTACCCCGAGTGACAACTCGTGACGGGCCGGACACATGCCTGGAGGACTGGACTGCGTCGGGAAGGAGTCCCACTGTGACAACATGGCGCGTACCACGTACGGGCCCTCGGATCCGGTAGCACCATCTGTCCAGCGGGAAGAGAGGGCGGATGGGGTTGCACAGCGAGCAGGGTTTCGGCTGTGATTTCTCAGTCCCCCATGTCGGGCAGATTGCTGTTACGAACAACGCATCTGCTTCCGAGAAGCCAGTACTGTGAACTCTGCCCATAAATTGCCCTGGCCATCTCTTTCTTGTGCAAGAGCAAAAGAAAGGTGCTCGTCATGAGAGGTCATGGGGAGCCAGGAGGGGGGAGACGAGGGGGAGACGAGCCGATGCGACAAGAAGACAAAGACAACGAAAGCATATATTGCTCCAAGACGCATGCAGACGGGAAGCAAACACACACAAACGTACCTGAGGGACCGGAAGACAGCGGCGGCAGCTAAAGCTCGACACCCGCACCGCTACGGCCCAGCTGACCGGTCAAGGACCCTTCCTCCAAGGACGGTCCGCGATGCGACGACTAGGTACGCTGGGGGAGACAGACCTAGGGTGCCAGGGGTGCCTGATTGGTCTCGAGTTTGTCGACACGCTGCAGCTCATCCCACAGCCCGGGATGTTGGTGCTGCTGGCTGCAGTCCCATTTCCCGCAGGACTAGCGCTCTTTGACGGACTGTTCTTCCTTGTAGCTGTCCGATAGGGCCTCGCCCCCTTGTCGAATAGTCGGTGTCTTGGATTTATATGACAGTGGCTCCCGAACCAACAGGCGGCACACGCGCGCGCAGCAGCAGCGACTCGAAGGACAGAGGTATGTGGAAGGGCTTTCGTTGTCAATCACCTACCTTTGTTGAATACTGAGAATTCATACGTTATTGTTGGCGACAATAGGCTTGTCGCGAGCTGACAGGGTGTAGTCGGTACTTTCAGCCCGCTGGCTCGACTGTCGAAATCGAAGCCCCTTCTCAGTCGTCGTCCTCGTCGATTGTTCGAGATACCCTTCTCCATTGCGTCAGTCCATCTCAACTAGGGCGCATACAGATGAACAATGAGGCAGTCTGCTGGACTGCCTCATTGTACATCATCCTGGCTGGGTCCACCAACCTGGAACTTCGTCTCGAGACTGCAGAGATATGTGTAAGTACGTACTGTTCCCTGCTTCGGTACCCCTGTCTATACAACACCCACGCCTAGTCGGTTGGTTCGTCGTGTCGATGCGTCACTGCGCACTGATGTCTTCAAGAAATTCGCTAGGACAAGAGAAATGTTAGCCTCGGGTCAAATATGCGTCTGATCACCCATGATCGAAACGACGAGCCTCGCTCTGTGCAGACTGTAGGCCATCCATCGTCACCAGCCCAGGACGCACACAGAAAGAAGCTGAGGCATTCCAGAGCAGAATACCCAAGCCTTTTCGTGTTGACGCAGGGCTCTGCTGTACAATCGCCCGAATAGCCATTAAGCAGACCGCGAGGGACCGTTGCTATTCGCCTGGAGGGACTTACATGCGTGCGCCGTGACGGGTAACCGCTTTTTTGTCCCTGCAAGGCATGCTCATCAGCGTCTGGCTTTTTCCCTAGAAGAAAAAGAAAACACAAAATGTTTGATTGGCACGGTAGCCACCACGGGTACAATTTGTGATGTTTGGCCAGGTCCGCCACGTACTCGTGGTCTTCGGGGGCGTAGGACCTCCCAAGTCGGTGCCAACGACTTGTTGCCTTCGACAACACTATCTCTTTCAAGATCGAGAAAGATATGCTGGCACCGTTGTTGCGCTGGACGGCTCATTGTCGGGCCTGTGGCTGATTGTGATGTGACGGCGTGCAAGAAGAGATCTCACCTATCGTTTATCGATGTCGTTCCGCTAATAAGCTGATATGTGCCTCCGAGGGTTGTCTGGACGCGCGTGTCAGTCAGTTTCGGCGTGTTTGTGCGACGGCAGGGAGATGAGCTGTTAAAAATGGTAGGTTGTCAACAGACTGATGTGGACGACGTGCGTGTGCTGGTATCAGAGGACAATCTCGGTCAGGAGAGCACGACGTTCGAAGACGCCACATATTTGTGCAAGTACAGGATCTCGTAGGGTTGCTCACTATATATCCAGTCTGCGACGCAGGTAATGGTTGATATGTTTCTTGGATCGTACAAGTTCCAGAGTTGCGCTGCTGAAGGTGGCGCGCAGGAAAGGCTCGCGATAGAAAAGATTCGGATGATGAAGATGATCTGGATGGATGGATGAGACGATCCTATGGGGTTCGACTGAGGCGGCTGAGTCCAGTGGCGCAAGGGACAGAGAGATGATGTGAAGAAGGTGAGGCAGAACTCGAGGATTCCGGCTGGCTGGAGAATCACAAGCTTAAGACGAGAAGTTTGCGCAGTCATGGGCTGTGCTGGTTGGGGAGCCGGTCAAAATACACCCATGAGGTGAAATCTAGGTGAGCTGTACGTGACAGGAGTATGGTATATGTCCACGGGGTTGGCCCGTGACTACACGCCCAGAATTAGATCAGTAGCCGGAGCCTCGCTCTCTGATTCTCATACCAGGGAGATTGCAGTCGGTCAAAAAGCGGACGCTGGCAGCTACCTATCATAGACGTAGTCAATAGCAGGACTGGAGGCACGTCACGCTGCTCACACCCCCGTGGGTCGTTTGTTGATCAGTGATGCGCTGCTGGGCTGGGTTGGACTGGCTGGGGTGGAAGCTGGAGCCAACAACATCAGCAGCACTCTGGCCCACCTCATGCCGGCAGAGCCTGGACTTGGGGCCAGCGAGGCGATGATCAGGGTTCACCGGGGACTCAGCGAGGACCTATGCTGCACAAGGCCATGTCGCTGCCTTTGACGGCAAGGGGTATCTTTTCCTAGGGCCTTGGTACCAACGAAAAGCGACCAACGTACCGCACTGCGCATAAAGAGCCACACCTTTGCGTCGAAGAGCCTGGTTATCGTCTGCTGAGGAGAGCATGCGCATTTCACTCTGTCTCTCTGACAAGAGAGGGAGAGCCTGACGAGGCCACCCCTAACCGTTCGTCATTGCGCTTCTCTCCCTCCATGAGCAATGGCACCATCATAGGCACCATGTGTTTCCCCAGACGAGTGATTCAGCATCCATTCTTGGACAGTCGTTCACTCGGGCCACGCCAGGTGATCAACGACCACCCCCCCTTTTTTGAATCTGCGACAAAGTATACGCAGCTATCCGTGACGGCAGTCCGCCAAAACTACTGGCAAACGCAGAGACATGATTGGGCTCGATTGTCCGTTGGCGAAGAGACCACGCCAAGCCACGGCTGGCTACATGGCCTCATGGCAAAGTCGCCCTCAAGGCAACGTAGACCGTAGCATTGTCTCAGCATGATGAAGAAATCGGACCCTCGGAGTATGAATATCAAGAGGTAGCGTTGAAATGCCTCCAGGCTCAGTGCGATCTATGATAGACTCGGGGGCGGTTGTGGTCTACACCCAGCGAGTGACTTGCTGCAAGTCAGGCGCACCTCTGTCACTCACTCACTGGAGTGTGGTGTTGGTGAACCAAAACAACACTGGGTGCCAGAAATGCCTTTCTATAGCTTTAAATTGATTTTTGCCCACCAAGAGCGAACTAAGTCGAGGACTGAAGGCAAGGGCGCCTAGTCTGGCTCGCCAAGGCTTGGGCGACCACATGTACCTCGAGCATTTCTGCACAGACGTAGGGGCTTGATGGGAGCAAGTACGATGAATCAAAAAGACTTCTCCCAGTCTCCCGATACATTGTTCCCAGACGAGCATGGTCGTGCGCACTCGACTGGAGCAGCCAATGACAAGAGCACACACCCGAGGGGGGAGGGGGTGCTTCACCTGCCTCACCCTTCAGTCGGCAGCGCAGTGCTTGCGTGTCATTATTTTCCTGATCTTTCCGTGGCCGACATTACATCCTATGCCTGTCGCCTCGACAGCAACCATCCGGATCCATACATCAGGCCGGTTGCGAGGACGGATACTGGAAGAGCCAAACTCCCACGCATCGCCAGCAGGGATCCGATTTGCCATGGCACCTGATGGCGTCGCCAGGACTCAGCAGGACCCTATAGTCATCGCTGAAACTAGTTTCATCGCGTGTCCGGCTCCCGCTGCCGGGATCAAGTGCCAGCCATGTCTCCGTATCCGCTAGGGCCCATTCGCTTAAGAATGCGGCAATGCAGATGATAGACACATGTTCGACACGATCTGGATCTGGTGCAATGTGATACATCACAAAATGAAAATGTCAATGTCAAAGTTCACGGTCCCGTTTCATCCCTGCAGCCCATCTGCCGTAAGCAAGCCGTCGCGCACGGGTTGCATGGTGGCGTCTGTATGCACATGGCAGCAAAGGCGAGGGGGAAACATCTTGTTGATGGCGAGCGGGCGAGCGAGCGAGCTAGCCAGCTGGGTACGACTCGAGATTGCTGTCTATTCCCTTCGCCAGGAGGTGCCAGCCAATATTTATAGTGATCTCCCTGACAGGTTCATCTGAGCCATGCAGCCGAGATCGATGTTGTGCCCGTCCAGGATGCGCGAAGCCCACGTTCTTGTGAGCCTCTTCTTGCCAGAATTTATGCTGACTCGGACACCCATGTGCATCCCTTGCAATGTGCATCCCTTGCAACCATGCCCCCGAGAGTACAGCAAGCGCCCGTACATCTTGGGGACTTCAGCTTGGCTGTCGGGAGCGCTGAATCAAAGACTCGAAAAGGGGGCCCATCATCTCGTGATAGTGGATCTGCGCCTGACCACTCGTTCAATTGACAGTCGAGCATTGGCGGACGACCACGTTTTTCGACGGCTGCCTGCACAATGGCGGTATGTCGATTCCATGACATGGTCCACCAAGTCGTGCGCCAAGCTTGGCGTCTTGGACTGGCGGTCTGGCAGTATGCCATGCTTCGTTTGAGGATGGCAGATGAACCAGCATCAGACGTAGCTCGCAGGACCCAAGGGCAGGCTGGCTGACCCATGAGGCACGGGCAGGACGGCAGCACGTGGCACAATACAAGGGCACCATAATCAGTCGAGCGCATGAATCTTGTGCAAGAGTCCTGTCAACGTTTCAAGTCCACCCTGGAATATCGTCCTGCGAAGCATGTGCGTAGGTAACGAGAAGCCATGGGGATAGAAGTACTGCCATGAGTGGTTTTGGCGCATCGCTCGACGCCCACCGGTCACAGATGCAGGTCACGGCGTTTCCATGCTCAACTCCATAATCTGCGAACCATCATGTTATTTTGGGTGCACCGCGCGATGCATGTTTCACGCAACGATAATGCAAGTGGCTTTGCGACTGAAGCTTGCCGATCTCGGCTGTCGCCGAATAACCCAGTCGGCGGATGTGGTTGGAAAAGGGGTCTTAACGCATGCATACCAGCACACTGAAAGACACTGCTTAACGGCAGGACATAGTCTGCCTGCGAATAAGCCCACAGCAAAGCAAAGCTGAGCACTCGATTGGCAGCGAGAGTTTTCTGCTTGTTGCGCTGGCAAAGGATATATGGACCACACTGGAAGTAGTCATCGTCCAGACCGCAAGGCGCGGATCAAACGAGCCAAGCGGGCCATAGACCGTGATACTTGCCTACGACTGTTGGCAATAACATCTGTCTGCCTACTAGAACCAAGGGCAAGTGACAACATGACGCAGGGCCATTGCCTGATTCTGCCTGTCATGAACGACTGACCTATCCGGTAACGGACTGACGAGACAAGGCGTCGTACACTGGACCCTCTGTCCGGACAGGGGCTCCATTTGACGACGTCAGGTGAGCTTACTACGACAAAAAAGTGATCGGTGCTTCTCTCGGTGAGAAAAAAAAGGTGTTCCTCTAGGATAGGAGGGTGACAGGCGAAGCTGAATCACCATCCTTTCGTGTATCCGGGGCAGCAGCAGCGACATTGCGATTCTAGGTCCGGACAATGCATGTTGCCTGTCTGCATGCCCTCCTTGTTGCAGATCTGCCTCAGCTGTCTCTTGGTGCCACTACGACCAGCTCGACACCAAGGGGGGAGAAGTCAACATTGAGCCTGGGGAAAGGGCACAGCATGAACAGTACGCCTCTCTGCCAGTACCCAGCGATTCTGGAGTCTGCGAGCGTACGAGCAGGGCATGGATGGCAGAAGGCATCTCACACTAGGTTGCATGGAATCTCCCCCTTCCGTAGAAGTCTTCCCTATCCGCTCGCTTGCCCAACCCCTATTCGGGTCTGGGTGTCGGTGAGACAGGGCCAAGACTACTCACTGACGGAATGCCAGTTCACGTCGCCGCCATGCGGGTGGCGCCTTGCAGTATTCCGCGAACCGCTTCGCTGCGCAAGGAGGCGTCGGTTGGCAATGGGTGTCGGCACGCCACGCCTCTCATGTGACAGAGGAGAACAGCCTGGCCTGAATCGACGGCGCGCGCCACCCACAGACCGGCCACGCGTTTCCAAGGAGACGCTAGAGCAGAGCGATCCCATTCGTCGCTCCTAGGCGAAGCGAGTCGTTTGTTGGCTTTGTGCGAGAGTGTGCGTCTGGAGGAGCCCAGGCGGTCTGCTTGGCGGGCTGCGCTCAGCCTGGCATGGCCATGGTAGAAGCAAATGGAATCAAGTTGAAGACATCTTGTGTTAGCCGCACGCACTGGCTCTTTCCTCACGTCAATGGGTGTCCAGTGTGTGATGTGGGCAGGAAGGCGCGTCCGTGTAGTGACACAAGCGCGTGGCGACCTTGCGCGATGCGAACTCGGACTGGCAGGCTCCAGTCGTGTGTCGTACGCAAGAGGTGTAGGCCTTGTTTGCGCGTAAGACAGAATCCATCCAGCGCATGGTGTCCAATCGATATTGTGTCTTGATTTGAGACCGCCCTCACGTTTATTGACGGCTTGGGAGAGTTGCTGCTCCCAAAGATGGAGTGGCCGGGATATGCACAGACGAACGGAGGGTTGATGACCTCATCTTTGCACGTAGCAGTACGAGGAAAGACTTCTGAGGACCATAGAAGATGTTCAGAAATGGAAGTGTGCTCCAGGAGGCGAGTGTTGACAGTTGATGAGTTCATGTACTTGACCTGAGTGCATGTGGGAGTCGGGCAGCGGGCAGTCAGCCACGCGCTAAGTGGTCGTGAATAAGATACTTACCCTGTACTTAGGAACCGTCGCAGAGATGAACCGCCAGCCTTGCATCATCAATTTTTATAGATACTATTCTTTTCCTTTATTTTTTTGGGTATTGCAAATATCTGGTACAGAACCATATCGCATGAATGCTCAATGGTGACAGCAAGATGGCTCACCGAGGATCTCGTGTCAGATTGTGGGCCCGCCTTTAGACTCATCGTGACGATGAATTGATGATCCGTCGGTGGTGGGGCGACTCCGTGTTATCCATCAAGACTCGACATTTTCATCATTCCACAGATTTGAGTGAACTCGGCTATCTTGGAGACTTGGACGGACCCTCCACCGCAACTTTGCGGGTATGCCAAAGAAACGACAATACCAGCATCTCAAGTCCTTCAAACCAATCGCGCCCGTGTCCCCAGCGCTCAGCTCATCGAGCAGCCGCGGGTCAGATAGCAACGCGCCAGCCAAGGGCGTCAACGAGCTTCTCTCTGGCCTTCGTCGCTCAGCAGCAGGTTCTTCATCCGCATCATCGCCACATCTGCTGGCCAACGGCCCGAGCGTGCACCCTGATCTTCGCTCGATCCTCCAGATCCCCGACACCCCGCCGCCAGCACCGAGGAGGCCAGTGCGGACTCGTTTCGATGCCAGTGGGAGAAGACTGCCAGCTGGCCCCCCTCCACCGCGGAGCTGGGTTACTACCAGGGGTCAAGATGTAGACTTGAGCCATCGCATGCGAGGACTCAAGTTGAAAGACGCACCCAGTGATCACAATGCACTGCCTGGTGCTTACCTGCCTGGTCGAGGGAGTTTGATAGACCGCGTTCTGCGCGCCATTGCATCCGACTGGGAGTTTCAGCGGGCTTATCAGCAGTATCATCTGTACTTCTTGCCAAACCACCTCAAACCAGCTTTGCTGCGGCACATTGGTATTTCGGGCGGCGGTGTGACGCTGGCTGATCTAAAGCTCATACTGCTGCCTCCCACAGACCTCTATGAGCAAGGTGAACTGGAGGCAGATTCCCATACGACCAACGAGGTCAGCTATCTCGACCTGTCGAGATCACTAGGACGCTCCATTCGTTTGAGAGACGTCACGAACTTTCTGGTCCCCCCCGCCCCACAAGTTCACGACACCCATCTCGAAGATTCCTGGGACGCTGCCGTGGACGCAACACCAAGCCCACCTCGCGCCTTACTACCCAATCTCACGCATCTCTCCCTGGCGCTATCACCGGACGACGCGGAAGGCGGTTCATGGCGGCATCTCCTAGACTTTGCCTCCAAGACATCGCACATTACGCACCTCAGCCTCGCCTACTGGCCTGATCCATGCCTCGCCCCGCGCGCGCAAACGTCCAAGGTCACGACGCCCCAGGGCAACAAGATCTACTACGGCGGCACCAACTTCTACTCCCACTCCCTGGACCATGACTGGAGCGAGGCACTTCTCGTGCTGCGCAAGCTCAGCCGGTGCTTCTACGAGTTGGAATACCTGGACCTGACGGGATGCGGGTCGTGGTTCAAGGCGCTGATGCTGGAGACGGAGCACGATCACGTCGACTGGGCCGTTCATTGGGGCAAGGTCACGGATCTGAGGCTGTACGCTGGGTTTCCGAGACAAGAGGACATGGCAGCGGCCGAGCAGGTGGCCTTTGCTGAGGTGATGGAGACGGCTGCCCTGGTGGAGAGGCACATTCGGCACATGCGCGCTGGCAAGGGACGCTTCATCAACGTCGAGAGGGACAGGCCGGCGACCTGAGGTTAGACTAGGCAGGAAAACTACTGTAAAAAATGAATGCCGTACATGATTGACGGTTGGGTTCATGGACGCTCTTGCTCCTGTGCTGAGGAAAACACCAAGAATGACTCATTCTACATCATCTCCGACCCTCCACAAAAGTCGCCTCTGGGGAACTTGGAGTTCATTAATAAACATGAAGACAGCAATTGTTTTCCCAGCGGCAGAGATATACAATAATACATCGTCTGGCAGGCTCACATACTTGCTCACAACCCAGACTATCCCAATTTGTCCTTGTCTCGCGTTGTCATTGAACTTGATCGTTATCCTACGTCCAATTGCCGACAGGCCACCCTTCCCAAGATGACGTCGATGGACTCGGAGTCGGCGACTACCATCCTCTGCACATCCAAGCAGACGCGCTTCGACATACAATCACCCAACTACCGCGAGGTATGCCCACTTGCGCAGTTATCTTCCGCGACCTATCCTGACAGAGCGCAAGCTCGACGTCGAGGGCTTGCAAATCACCATAGCCGCGGCCAAGCCTGCCGATGGCAAAGCCACCAAATCCAGGGGCAAGGCCAAGACAGATGGACTGGAAATCCTCAGCAACGCAAAGCTCCGTCTCAAAGAAGGCCAGCGATATGCCCTCGTGGGACGTAATGGCACCGGGAAATCCAGTAGGCCACCTGTGATGAAAACATCGTCCAAAGCCCAAGCTAATGAAGAAAGCGCTGCTCAAGGCCATTGCGGAGAAATTGATCCCTGGCATTCCAGAGGAAACACGCATCGCCATTCTTCAGCAAACCAAGCTGACGGATGATGAGAATCGCGCTCAGGACCAGGATGCTAGCCAGACAGTCCTGCAGAGCGTCGTGGACAAGGCGACCTCCAAGTCTAATGTCGAGCGGGAGGTCAAGGGTGAGCTTCTTCGAGCAAACCGCACAGCCTAGCTCCCACGGCTAACGGTGAGCAGCACTGTCTACTGGCGTCGAAGCGACGGACCCTCACGCCCCTGTCCGTGCGCTGCGCAAGGTCAAGCATGAGCGTCTCCAACAGAAGCTATTCCGTCTAGACAAGGACGCTCGCCTCAGAAGCGGCGCCCGTGGCATGGCGGTCAGAAAGACCCTCGTGGCGTTTGAAAAGGTCGTCGCTGAATCTGACGGTCTCATTGAGCAGCCTGGCGACGAGATTTCGTCGGAGACGCTGCAAGCCGAGACGCAGGAGGCCGTCGACATGCTCGCCGATCTCCAGCTGCAGATTGAGCCAACCCGACTGCTAGAGGTCGAGGCGCGAGCAAAGTCCATCCTCACGGGCCTCGGGTTCACGGACGCGCGCATGGACCAGCCCATTGCCTCGCTGTCCGGAGGTTGGCACATGCGCGCGTCCCTCGCCGCGTGCCTCCTCGCCGAGACGGACATTCTCATCCTAGACGAGCCGACCAACTTCCTCGACATGCTGGGCATCATTTGGCTGCAGCGCTACATCGAGGCCATGGCGGACAGGCCCGACCCGCCGACCCTCGTCCTCGTGACCCACGACCGGGACTTTCACAATCTGTGCACCGACCTCCTCATCCTCAAGGACAATGACATTTCCTACTTCCACGGGACACTGCCGGTGTACGAGTCGTCCCAGGCCGAGAAGCGGGAGTATCTCTTGAAGATGCAGGCGGCGCAGGACAAGCAGCGTGCGCACATGGAAAAGTCCATTGCGGCCAACAAATCAGCCGGCAAGGAGAACAATGACCAGAACAAGCTGCGCCAGGCCAAGTCCCGGCAGAAGAAGCTCGACGACCGCATGGGTCTGCAAGTGTCCGCCCGCGGCGGTCGCTTCAAGCTCAACCGCGACCACGTGGGCTTCCAGCTGTCCTCGCGCGCCGAAATCGACATCCCACCCGAGGCGCGCGGCGTGACCATGCGTCTTCCAGAGCCCCAGGAGCTGCGGTTCCCGGGCAGTCTCATCTCCCTCGAGAAGGCAGGATATCGCTACAAGCGCGGGGCGCCCCTGACAATCCAGGATATCACGCTGGCGATAGGTATGGGTGACAGAATTGGGATCGTCGGTCTCAACGGCGCCGGCAAGTCGACGCTGATCAAGCTGCTGGTGGAAGAAGCGAAGCCGACCGTTGGGTCCGTGACGACACATCCGAGGCTGAAGATGGGCTATTACAGCCAACACGCCGTGGAGCATCTACAGTCCCTCGGCCGTGCGGACCCAACGCTCACTGCGTTGTCGTTACTCACAAAGGAGATTGACGGCGCGCTGGACGAGGGTTCGACCAGGGCGTTGCTGGGCGAGCTAGGTCTGGGAGGGCGCATCGCATCGGACGTGCCCTTGACTAAGCTCAGTGGTGGACAGCTCGTTCGGTGTGAGCTGGCACGGTTATTCTGGAGGAGGCCCCATGTGCTAGTCCTGGACGAGGTCACGACACATCTCGACTACGAGACGGTCACGGCCCTCCGTGAGGCGATCCACGAGTGGGAGGGTGCCGTCGTCCTCGTCAGCCACGACCGATGGTTCATGCGCGGTGCCATTGAGGGCACCATGGACGACGAGGGTGAGGGCATGGAGGACAGCGATGACGATGATGAGAAGGAATTGGCCAGGCGGAGGGCCGTGTACCGACTAAAGGGGGGTAAGATGACCCTGTTGGAGAACGGGGTGGACGAGTTTGAGAGGATCGTGGAGAAGCGAGTGAGCAAGCTCCTCGCCGACTAGTCTAGTCTATCTCACCCCTTTATTTACTAAGATGCGCAACGGGCTCTCGTGCAGCTTCTTGACCGTCATTGTGCCTCCTGTCGGTACGTCGACAATCGTCCCGTCGATGCAGACCTTGCGCCACCGCTGATCCGTTTCCTTGACCGTGATCCTGATCTCGTCTATGTCCTGGTAGTAGATCCTCTCGCCATCGTCCCACTTGACATCTACATGCTTTCCGCCGTCGTAGGCTTTCATCATGGCATCTAGAGCTCTCTCGCCACCGATATCACCAAAGTGCACGGTCCGAAGCTGCCCATCCAGAGGTTTGCTGGCAGGCGAGATGGTAAACGTCTTCTCCAGATTCGACAGCAACGTTGTGAGGAGATAGCCGTGCTTCTCCCTGTCGAGCACCTCGCGATTTGACGACGTCCCCGTCCCCATGCGCTGGATCGCGACGTGGGCCGAGTACGCATGCGCCTCGCGCAGTAGTTCCTGCGCCACCATGCCGAATCGCTTGTCGCCGTGGACGCGGTGCGCGGGCGTGTCGCTCTCGTACACAACGCTGGCGTGGAAGCCGTAGCTCGCGACGATGGCGCCGTCGAGGTGGCTGACCTGCCTCTGCCGCTCGTCGCCGTGGACAATGTGCGCGCCAGGCGTGAAGGAGGCGCGGAAGATGGGCAGGGCGGCGGCAACGCCCTCGACGAACAGGGTACGGACGCCCAGGACGAGAGGTGAGGGGCCAGAGGGTGTGCATAGAGGTTTATGGTTTGAGTGGAAGAGCGCATTCCCCGTGCCCATGGGTAAGAGCGCAATGGTTGGTCTCTGCTGGCTGCCCTCTTGTCGCCCGTTCAGAATGTCCACCATGCCGCCATCGCCGCTGAGGAGGATGACCGTCCGGGTTGGAGCGGCCGGCGATGACCAGAGTTGGCGTGCAAAGTCGGACACGCTCTCGGCAGATTCTGTGACGAGAATGTTGGCCTGGTCGACCTTTGCCTCGGGGAACGTCCTTGCCAGGGTGGACAGGAGAGGTTGGAGGACGGTCGACCAGAAAGGCAGAGCGAGGTGTGTCCCTGACTTTGTGGACATGACAACGTCGACTTGGTTCCACGCGTCGTGGACAAGGTATGGCGGGAATTTGTCGATCAGATATGCGTCGGATAGCTCGTCCGAGATGGCGTCGCTGTGGATGAGGACGAGTTTGAAGGGCTCACTGTCATCAGGTGCCACTGCTTCCTTGAGGGCGGCGGTGGTGAAAGACATTTTGTCGCCATTCTGCCGCAGTGAGAAGAGAAGATGTCTCGCTTCAATGGCGCTGTTGAAGTCGCCAGCTGCCTCTCCCAGCGTCAGCTCGCCGCTGGCGATGTCTATCGATAGCTTGCTGATGGTGAGCTCGAGCGGACGAGGTTGACTATCCGTCGCTGCCGCCGGCATGATTGCTTCGACGCGGATTGGACGATTATCCCAGTCACGGGCGTAGGTATTTCATTCAATGTAGCTAGAGCAAATGACAAGATTGATGACAAGAGGGTGAGATTATGGCGCGCTTGTTGATGCAGTCAGATTGTCCGTCCCCGCAGGACAAGGAGTTATTCAGATCGTCAATTGCGCTTTAGTAATGATTGCCTTCAACGCCTCTAGCTCGCACAAACAAACATGACCGTAGATACGCTACACAGAATCTACCCAAAACTCCTACCATGCATGCATGCCCTCTCCCGCTGCCCGAAATCACTGCCTCTTCGCCTTGACCATTGGCCCCCAGTTCTCGCGTGGATTTGTCTGGTACCGCACCAGCTTCTTCTGCCCCTGATTGCGGCGGCCCAGCGCAGCCAGATCCTCGTTGAACAAGAGCGTCTTGCGCAGCTCGACCTCCTTGAAAGCAGCCGCCGCCTTGTCCTCCTTGTCCTCGGCTGCAGATGCGCCCTCCTGCTCAACGTCCGTCTTGTTATTAGCGACAGACGCCACGGCGGCATCGTCCTGGCCACTGGTCGCGGCCTCCACAAGCTTGCTATCCTCCATCTGCACATCGTCCCCGTCCTTGACCAGCGCTCCTGGACCAGCGGCCACCACCTCGCCGGCCTCGTTGAGCTTCAGGATCCCGGCTTTTTCCAGTATCCTGAATCCAGCCGTCCGCGGGCGCACATTCTTGGGCGTGATGGGTGCCTTTTGCCGAATCCACTCGAGGATCACCCACCATATCGTCGACCACGGCGCGTCCGTCTTGACACTGCCCGCGCGGCAGTGGCTGCGCGTGTGGCGGTAGCCGAGGTGTGTCAGGGCACCGCGGAACATGTCCGTCGACGGGCCCACGGCACACAGAACGCTGGCGATCTTGTGCGGGTCCACGTAGAAGGGATATGGCTCAACAGCGGCATGCGCGTCGTCGCGGGGGTTCACGGGTGGAAAGGAGCCTTCGGGGAAGGGCAAATCCTCCTCCAGGGCGGTCTGCAGCATGCCCTCCAACCGCGGGATCGTCCCGTACACTGTCTTATCGGCCTCGGGCAGTTGGGTGAGCAGCCTCTTGACGAATTCTGGCGAGTGGAGCGGCCCGCCCCATATGGGACCGTTGATGTGTGTCTTGGTGTCGCAGTGTGCGCAGTGCTCGTCTGTCGTGGGGCCCTGCTTGAGCGTGTGCTTGTAAAAGTGACCCGAGCCCTTCTTGTTCTCGGCGACCTTGTTCTTCACCAGATACTGTGTCTGGAAACTGCCACACCCCTGATCGCAGGTGTAGAGCATCATCGTCTTTCCTCCCAGGAACTTGACCGCCGATGGCGACTTTGTGACCTTGACAAAGACCTTGGTGTAAAAGTCGATCGACAGGGACAGCTGTGGCTCGATGGAGAGGCCATATCGGCCGGCTGCCGTCGCAATCGAGTTCAGGATCAAGCGAAGGCCGTACTCGTGCGAGTAGGGCGCCTTGACGGGCGTCCCTCCGTATAGGGAGTATGTCTTTTCGGGGTAGCTGTGGCCGGCCCAGACTGCACTGTCGGTGCATGTGACGCATAGGAGACCACCATCGCTGCGCACAGACTGCACGGCCGCGTCGAAGAATGGCGCCGCCGTGCCGTACGGGTCCAGATCGACCACGTCCCACCTGATCGAGTCTGGGGACGCTCTGCCAGGGTGCTTCCTGGCGGCCAGGGACAGACTGTCGGCTATGGAGCGATACATGAGGGCCAGTGCGTCGTCGTTGGTGACCTTGATCTTGTCTTGCAACCCATTGTACGCAATATTGGCTTCGATACTTTTGGCCGCGGACGAGGACAGGTCGTTGGCCGTGACTTCGGTCACGAATGGGATCTCGTGCGCATAGCGTAGCGCTCGCAGACCGGATGCTGAGAGGGCATCGAGTATTTTGAAGTCGGGCGCGACAGTTGAGGCCGGTTCGCCAGTCTCAGGCGCGGTTTCGGGCTCCGGCGCAGGTTGGCGCTCGTCGACTTGAGGGTGTGCGCCGTCGTCCTTGCTGGCGTCGTCTGTCTTTGCGCGCTTGCGCTTCTTGGATCGCTTGTTGGCCTGCTGTGCCCTGCGCTTTTCCACAATCTCCTCACCGTAGGTCTTGATTGCCAGGACAGACAGATCACGGTTGAACTGCTGGATCGGGTTGTAGAAGACCTGCTGCACCTCGCCCTGCTCTTTCTTCCCCGCCGCCGTGGACGCTGCCTCGGGGACAATGATCTTGGCCTTGCCTTCTTGGATGGTCTGCGGCGCCTGGCCGTTCGCTTCGGTCGCCATGGTCCGTGTTATCGAGGTGGGGTGCGAGGGTCGAAGTCGAGAGGGTGACGACAGGCGCAAGCAGGGCTGCCTGTTGGAGTGCGCCAGGTGCACAGAAGAGTGGTGAGCCCAAAATAGAGGTAATCGCAGGGTTCTGCACGTTTCGACGACCGTGAGCCTACGAATTGAGCGCGTAGGGTTCATGTGGAACACGCGCGCATCGGCCCAGCGTGGAGAGAGCTCGCGGCGACCAGAGCAAAGTCGAGGCCAGAAAAATTGGGAAATTCTGCCACTTGTGCCGCCGGGCGGTCGGTCAACTAGGTCAGAAAAAGCAAAAAGTGAGGGATCGACCGGATTTGAACCAGTGACCTTAGGATCTGCAATCCCACGCGCTAACCGCTGCGCCACGACCCCACATTGCGATTATCGATTCCTCTATTCCAACTCATATAGACTGGAAACCGAACCTGCAGTGAAGCCGAGCATTGGCATTGGTTTCAGCACTTACCAATGCCAAGCTCCAGACATTGAGTCCCTAGTTAGGAACTGCATTTGGTATATGATGATACAGGGCCATATGAACCGCCCTCAACGTTGCCGTTAAGCGACGTCTCGAGCCCTGGGCCCCGCTGCTAGTAGTAGTGCGCGATACGGGTTAGCAGACAAATTATTTCAGGGGATCTAGACCCTGAGAAAGCATGTGTCGCACGAAACCATTGAAAGGCTGATTCGAATCTGTACATAGTACTCCGTACTGCAGACGGCGCGCGCACAAGCCTGAGTCTTTGCGGGCGATATCTTGCGAAACAATGGCGAGGCTTCCGATGGCGGCGCCGCTAATCACTCCGTAGTCAGCCAGCTTTGATGATGCCAAGCACATCAAGGCCCGTATATGTAGAACTGTGAGATTTGCTCCGGCACCTCATGACGGCTGGCCCGTTAGATACTTACGTGTATGTTTGAGGACCTGCCAAGACGGGATAATGAATGAGCTGTGTTTGCCTAGTCTGGCCAAGCAATTACACAATCAGCGCCCTCTGACAACCAAATCCGACCAGCAGCTAGCCTTGGATGTGGTGTAATTTCCTGCAGAAAGGATGCGCGCTCGATGGAACATGTCGCCGTTTATGTAGCCAATACAAGATAGTAGAAGATTGTCCGTATCGGCAACCGCATAGAACTAGGTTGGTCTCCCACATCGCGAACCCCCTCGCGCTAGAGAAAGCCATCTACGTACATAGGAGTCCGGGACACGGATGTTAGATCGTCGTCGTTTTCAAGGATCGCAGCAGAGCAGCCAAGTCCGTTCCTGACTAGCAAGGCTGGGCAAAGTGGAAAGCCCGCTTGCGCATGCGACAGTTCACGACGCCAAGCTGTCCTGTCCCAGTCAGGGGTGAGCTGAGGGGGAGGGGCTGCACAAGAGGAAATACGCACGGAGTGATTGAGTACGTACAACTAACTGTATACGTACAAGGCGAGGGCCCAAGGTCGGTTTAATTAGGGGGCTGGCTACTGGCGATTAGTGCCAATTCTGTATTCTGTAGCGAATGCCCACGTCCCACCTCGGAATCACTGACGGTTTCACCTCGGCAGGCCCAAATGACCTGGGGCTGCCCGTTTTGACACAGGATCAGCGGCGCCAGCAGCTGTATCCGAATCGCTATGGATGAGGGATCCATCCAGTCCCCTTCTGGTTGATGATCGATGATGTGATTGATGAATTGATTCATTCCCATGTTCACTGTTCAGTGTTCACTCCGGCGTCATCGTGCCTTAACCACTTAACACTTCACACTTCACACTCCAGTCGCTCATTCCTTTTCGCGTCCGACCACCGTCTCCCACCCTTCGTCGCTCCTTCTCAGTCGCACCGTCTAATTATCTTTTAGCCGTCAATCGCGTCGACCGCCTGTCTCGCCATTTTTCCTCAGCTCCAGTCGCAAGCACCGGACGGACACGTCGCGCTTCAGTCTCTCCAGCCCACCGACTGCAGCATGGAGTAAGGCGCCGCCAGAGCGCGCACGACACCTTTTATCTTTATTTTCATCTCACGGCCTCACTGAGCCTTCACCCGTCCGACGTCGGGCATTGCGCCGCCTGCCATGCCTTTCATCAAGGGTCCAATCTCGCTGCAGGGCCGCAGCTCACACATTGTCCTCACGCTCGTCCTCATCGTGCTCTTCCTCCACACGATCCGCATTGTCAACCAGCCAAAAACTCCCAGCGCCTTGCTACGCGATGCAGAGATACTACCAGAGGGCAGCACATCGCCCGAGGAGCTCTACTTGCAGCGATTGAGCAAGGATCTCGGTCTTACGAGTGAGCTCTCATGGCGCGCATGGCGCATTGTTCCAAGCGAGCAGTCAGAAGACTGGCCCTCCGTCACAGAGGTCAACCTAAAATTTGAAGCCGTGCAGCCAAAGCTCGTCGACACTAGCGCGCCCGACCGCCTGGACTTGTACGCCAAAAAGCGCATGGAGCTGCCCGTGCCCGCGAGCCCCTTGCTGGGTCGCGTAGACGCGTCGGATTTTTTATTCGGTGTTTCGACGACGTATGCGCGCATCAAGGATCGCGACTTTGCCATGATCAAGGCCTGGTCCCGCTGGCTCACCGATGGTCACCACCACAGCAACGGCGCGAGTCTGGTGGTTGTCCTGAACCAGGCGCGTAACGATGAATTGGAGGAGATTGACATGACGCTGCAGGCCACGGGCATCGATGCCTGGGTCACGACGACAGAGGAACCCATGAGCATGGCCAGGCGATACTTTGAGCTTTCACGCATTCTCAAGACATTTGCGGCAAACTTGGCCGCCAATGGCCAGGACAAGAGGTGGTTCGGACTAGTGGAGGACGATGTATTCTTCCCGAGCTTGTCGCACCTACGGGACCGACTCTTCTCCTACAACACCGATGGCCAGCATTACATTGGTCTACCCAGCGAGCGACTAGACTGGGAGGCAAGCGACGACGACCAAGGGCTCAGGACGTATGGAGGTGGCGCCGTGCTCCTGACAAGGCAGTCCATCTCCGTGGTGCCTACGCTGCCCTGCTTCGAATCGCGCGCCACCGGGCCGGCTTTCAGAGCGAAGCGATGGGACCAGCTTCTACATGACTGCCTCATGCTCCATTCCGAGATCGACATGCATGTTCTGCCCGGATTCTACAACCCAAAGGACGACACATACGACCGGCAGCTGGACAGCTATGAGACGGGCCAGAAGCCGCTCCTCCTGCGTCGCTACGCCCAGCGACACCTTCTCAACATCAACAAGGCACACCTGGTCACGAATGTGTGTGGCGAGTCGTGTTTCATGCAGAGGTACCTATTCGACGACAAATGGGTTCTCGTCAACGGTATCTCCATTTCTCACTATCCCGATGGCGTCAAAGTGAGCCGTCCCCTGCCGCCAGGTTCGCCCGACGCCCCAGCGGCATCGCCTGGCAAGCGTGACGAGGAACCATCGCCAGACACACCTACCGAGGACGCACCAACACCAGCAGAGTCGGGTGCGGTTCCAGTCCCGGAGCGGGTGGTCATTGATGACGAGCTCGAAGGTATCGACAAAGCCTCCCTCAGTTGGACGGGGAGGAAGAACATGTGGCGCCTCGTGGACTCGGCCATGAGTAAGGATCGTGCCGTGTGGCAGGCCTATGTGAAGAGAGCAGATAAGAGGGATCCGGAAAGCGACCAACGAGATTCCGTGATTGTACTGATTTGGGAGCACGGGAAGATGAATGCTTGAAGCAAAAGCGCCTCTTCTATTTTTTTCACTTTGGTATTTTTATACCTTTCTTTGTTTTTCGAACGGCGTTTACCCATGGGAAGACCAACGACTTTTTGTATATACATTTGTCCGAGAAAGGCGGGTTACACGGGGATGGAGAAGAAGTATGAACCAGATATATGGTACATTGTGACGAAGACATAGCAAAGATACCTACGAATTTTCAACGGCTACCTGAGTACATACCCATCACATTGCTCGAGCCTGCTTTCGCCGTACTTTATTGTATCCCAAAAGTTGTCTATACGTCAATTCATATGCGCAAAACGGCTGAGCCCATTGACTTGCATCTTTGTATTACACATGGATTTATTTGCGGACCGTTTCAACCAACTACTCCACCGACTTTTTCGCATCTTTGTTGCTCCTCAGCACCCGTCCCTCTGTCCCGGAAGCACTGCTCTCCCTTGCCAGGGGCGACGTCACCTCGGGCGTCACGCTCCTCGACTCGGTGCCCGATCTCTTGCCGCCCTTGGCTGCCGCGATACCTCCAGCGCCAGGGGACGAGATGGACGTCCTCGCCTTCCTCCTCTTCTCACTCGCCGAGCTCGTTCGGCGAGACACGGATGGCTCCTCGACGGACTCGAGAGCGGGCGTCTGCGGTCGCGAAGAGCTCATCGAGCCGCGGCGCACAGAACTACTGCGACGTTTCCGCTCACGCTCGACAGCCGGGTGGCGATGATGATGCGGCTTCGGCTCGTGATGCTCGCCGTGGTGCATGTGGTGCGCCGAGCGTATGCAACGAAATGGCAGCCACCAGAGCCAGCCGAACTGCTGCTTGGCCAGTTTGCGGTCGTGCTCTCGCACCTTCTTGCGCAGCAGCGCCCTCCGTTCATTCTCCCTCTCCCAGTACTCTGTTCGGTAAAGCTCCCAGTTCTCTCGAAAGTTGGATGAGAATGGCTTGGCTAGCAAGAGGAGCTTCACGTAGTCTCCTCCCGGCGCCAGGTCCTCCTGATGCCCGCCCTTTTCTTCGTCGTCCTGCGGCAGCACAAGCGTAGGATGGGCATCCGTTGTCAGGGACAGCTCACGCTCCACCTCCCGCAGAATCCCTGGTTCCACATGTCGGTACGACGAGCTAGCGGTGTGGGAAAAGAGTCCATACGTCAAGAAGAACCCCACGGTCGACAGGGCCTCGGCGTACCAGGAGCTGCGGATGAGGACGAGCTTGCAGTTGAACCCACGCAGGCCGCGGTTCGAGATGGCGAACCAACGTCGAGGCCAGCGGATACCACGCTCCCAGATACCAACGGACCAGACGAGGATGGCCGTGCAGATACCACCCATGAAGCAGACCTTCTGGACACCCTCGAGTGCCCAGTAAATGGATCCACCCACACCCTGGCCGTCTTCCCGAGGCGCAAAGAAGAGCTTGTATGTGAAGAAAACGATCCACACGCCGAGAAGGGCGAAGAAGAAGGTGTGGTGCCTGCGACGGGCGCGGAGTTCGAGGAACTGGGCGCGGAGGGACGCTTCGAGGATCAGGAGGTTCAGGTAGACCATGGACGGGGAGTTGGGCGCATTGTTCGTCGGGTCGCTCGAGGGTTTCATGGGGTCGACGTGGGAGGAATGATTGGCATGCTGAATGGGCGTGGTGCCCGCCGCAGCTTTGGCGGCTTCGGCAGCGGCGGGTTGGGGGGCGGCGCCCTTGACCATCGAGTCGAGGTCGGACGGCATCGTACAGTACAGGTGGCTACGAGAGCCTGTGGTTTGCAATTGCCATGCGCTGGTGGATCAGGAAACGAGTGGAGGCCACGGTGAACGTTGGGCTGTGGCGTCGTCGCGTTGTGCGCCCTGTGCGCGTCGAGTCTTGTCGGTTTGTGATGAGGCTTGTGACGATGTTTGGCAAACGTCATCTCACGGGCGTGATTCCAGCCGGGACATTTGGCTGTAGGGTAGGTAGGTAGGTATGTAGGTAACTTAGTTAACTTAACGGTAGGTGCAAATAGATCAGCCACGGCCGATATCCACCACTCCGCAGCATTGACGCACCGAGTCCAGTCGCGCCATAGGACCACTCACTACAGGCAGCCAACGAAGCCTGATTGAGGCCGCACGTTGGTCCAGTCCTGCGATCCCCATGGCTACTAGTCTAGTCGGTACTTTGACGCCCTGATACAGTTCTATATGGCCAACACGAGGGCTTCATGGGAACTTCAAAAGGCCCCCTCATCCCCTCTTTCAAGTGGTTTCTTTAGAATTACAAAAAGAGACACGTCCTGCTTCTGCTGCCTTCTACGCATCATCATCCAGCCTTCGCATTCGCATGCGTACCTTAGCTCGTATCTCTAAGGACAGGTTTGGTAAGGCACGGACGGACTCGGGGCGCTCCATTCCCCAAATTCCGTCCTTAACCCCGAATTCCACTCGTGCCTGTCATCAAGACCACATCACCGACAAATCGAGTACTGGTAGGGCTGAGCACGGGCGGACTTTGTTAATAAAGCTGGCGTGTCGCCGCTTCTGCTCCAGTGTCGCCTCCGACATGCTCAAGTCCCTTTTTCCCAGAGCTGCTTTGAGATCCAGCGCCAGAATTGCGCCTTCATCGCGTCACCCCGCCACACTGTTCCCAACTCCGATCTTACACCAACAAGACCAGTTCGCCAAAATGACAACCAGCGGCAGTGCGGGTGCTCCGCCGGGGGAGTACAAGCAGCAGAACCAAGAGAAGGCGCCAACGTCCAACTTTTTCCCTCTGGGTTACAAAGACGCTCTCTACCAATGGGTATGTTGCAAGACGAGAGTCTCCCGTCGTCACAAGTGTACTAGGCTGACAGAACCAACCCACAGTGGACGAGCGTCACACCGCCGATTGCTGAGCGCAATGTCCTGTCATTCATACCTCACCTCAAAGAGGCGGTCGATACCCTCAAGAACCCATCGGCGGACGACAAGGACTACCCACCTGGCACCCGCGTGTGGCGTCGCGAACTCGTCCAGCTGCCGGGGAAGAACCGCGCCCTGAACGAAGTGTCTATCGAGCGAGTGGGCGAGGAGGCGGACGACACGCTCGTCATGGTCCATGGGTACGGCGCGGGCCTAGGCTTCTTCTACAAGAACTTTGAGGCGCTCTCGCGGCGACCAGGGATGAAGCTGTATGCCCTCGACATGCTGGGCATGGGCAACTCGACACGACCGCCGTTCAAGATCCACGCCAAGACCAAGGAGGAGCAGGTCATTGAGGCAGAGAACTTCTTCATCGACGCCCTTGAGGAGTGGCGACAGGCCCGCAAGATTGAGCGCTTCACTTTGCTGGGCCATTCTTTGGGCGGCTATCTCGCCGTCTCGTACGCGCTCAAGTACCCCGGGCATCTGAAGAAGCTCATCCTCGCATCACCGGTCGGCGTCCCCAAGGACCCTTATGCCGTCAACGCTTCAATGCCTGATCCGGACGATCAATCGGTTGCCGAGGAATTCATTCAAGAAGAAGAGGCTGTTTCGCCACCGCCCAAAGACGGTACGCAAACCAAAAATGCGTCAGGTGCCAACACGCCGAAACGACCTCTGCCGGGCTGGGCTGTCTGGCTCTGGGACGCAAACGTCTCTCCATTCAGTTTGGTCCGCATGTCCGGTCCTCTAGGTCCCCGTTTCATCTCAGGATGGACCTCTCGCCGCTTCAAGCATCTCCCGACCCCCGAGGCCGAGGCTCTCCACGACTACACCTTCTCCATCTTCAAGCAGAAAGGCAGCGGCGAGTACGCTCTGTCGTACATCCTCGCACCAGGCGCTTATGCTCGCCGCCCCGTCATCGATCGTATCCAACATGTCGGCCGCCAAAAGCTGCCCAACTCGGACAAGAAGGAGACTGGAATCCCCATTGTCTTTATGTATGGCGAGCAAGACTGGATGGATGTGGCGGGCGGTCTTGCCGCTGAGGAGAAACTCAAACAGACACAGGCCAAGATCCTGGCCAATGCCACCGAGGAGGAGAAGAAGGCTGAGAATGGGAGTGTCAAGGTGGTCATGATTCCCAAAGCGGGGCACCATCTCTACCTGGAAAATCCAGATTACTTCAACGAAGTGATGATGAAAGAACTTGCATCGACACAGCAGGACGATGAGAAGAGAAGGAATAATCAATAAAGGAATGCCGGTTTCACTCGCATAGCTGGCGTTCGGGCACGGATGGGTTGATATTTTGAGTAGCGGCACATCGATGCATTTATACATGATAGGATCTCTTGATAATTTCAGCGCGACAATATTCACAAAGACATCATGTGGTCTCGAGAAAATCGTCTAGTAATTGTTCTAATCGCGGTTACTGATCGAGTCTAATGACGTGTGTAAGGATATTCTCCATGTCGCAATGCTTCAAACACAAGGCCACCCTGAGAAGATATGCGGTAACAGGAAAAGGGAAACGCTTGCAACCAACCACCACCGGAAAGCCGGTCTGAACAATCTCTACAGATTGATCACATCCACTTCAGAAAAGTCGGGCGGATTCTTTCCATAGACGACACGCGTCTTACTGTCAAGCGCAGTACCCTCGTTGCTGATCCAGATGTTCTCACTGTATGCCTGCGTCCGACGAATCTCGTCGTCACTGATACCCAGATCATCCCGTGGGATCCACACTACAGGACGACGAGCGCGCAGGGCAGAGTGCTTGAATGCGTGGCGGACGAGGAGGTCTCGCTCGTCGGGCGTCAGATCTTCAATGTCGTCGTTCATCCCGCCATACAGCGCGTCTCCGATCGCACGCTGCGCTTCGAGGTCCTTGGCATGCTGCTTCTTGCGATATTGGACCGCCCTTTGGTCTGTGCGTGTGACCTTGCGGAACTGGTTGCCGCCCGCCTTTGCAAAGGCGCCAACATGTTTGACCGGGTTGCGCATGCCCTTGCCGCCGGCGTGCGAGCGCCTTCGCTCACGAAGCTCCTCCATTTCAATCTCCTCTTCCTCCCGACTACCCAGTCTTGGCGTACGCACGCCATTGGGGCTGCCAGGAGCCTCGCCATCCTTCTCCTCGTCGTACTCCTCCTCCAGTCCGAGGCGCTTGTTCTGTGCACGCTGGAAAGCTTCGTCTCGCAGAACCGCCTCGTCCTCAAACGTGATCGGCAGATAACGGAAGAGCGGAGAGAATGAGCGATTGAGTAGGATCTGATACAGCACGGTGAAGCCCACCACGACTAGCATGACGACACCATGCGGCGTGCAAACATTCTTGCCATTTGGGTCCTCCACAATGAAGAATAGACCCGCAACGCATACTTCCATGAAGTAGATACCGGTGAATGTCTGGTTGATCGCGCGGGGGTACAGAACACCGCCTGTGTCGTGCTCGAAGCGAGTCACATAAAGCATACTGTATCTCTGGGCAAGCCAGAGCAGACTGAAAGTAATGATGGCGAATATGGATATCAGAGGGGCGATGATGCTGTAGATGATTCCAATGCAGGCAAAGTTGGTATAAACGGGGAAGAACTTGCCCCAGTTCACCGAATTCAGCGTCGTGTTCCTGCGCCATTTGGCGCGGGCAGTGCTGTCCATGATGCGAGCCAAGATGAACCAGATAAATAGTGTGCCAATTTGCAGCAATGTGCCGGAACTGGTGGATAGGGCCTGCAGAATCATGTAAGAGAAGAAATAGTTGGCAGCTTTGGGGAGGTTGATGGCCAGCAAGTTAAGCACAGCCGAAACACTGCTCAGCTCTTCGAAGCTCTGGACCAGCTTGTCAATGCTAGCGGCAAAGAATGACGCCACCGAAACAATGAGGAAGACTTGAACGAATAGGAAGAAGAAGTAGAAGATCTGCACAAATTCGGCCTTTTGCGCACCGGTCTTGGCACCCCTAAACTCCCCAAAGAAACCAAAGATGATCGGCACGAGGATGAGCATGACCGCGAGCAGCGCAGCGGGTAAGACACCAGCGACAGCTTCGGCGACCGTTCTGACTGTATCATTGGAGTCCAACCAGTACAGCCATTCGTTCTTCGCAATGAGCTCATCCAGCTGGCCAAGGGTCGCGGTGAACGCAACGGGAGTGGCCCAAAGAATGACCATGGCAACAATGAGACTGACGACGCCAAAGGAACGAGCCCACTTCTGCCACCATGACATGGCCATGTTTTCCCAAATAACGTCGCGAGGCGAAATCTCCACTATGCGAGGCGACATGTGCTTCGGTAGGTGGTGCATCGTACTCTGGCAGGCCATGTGAGCTGCTACCTGCTGCTCGAACTGAATAAAAGCAGAGTTCATCAGAGGGTAGCGCTCGACGTGCCTCTGGTCCTCGTCAATCTCCACGTTGAGGCGGGCTAGCTCTTGTCGGCAGTAATGAATCGTGTCCACTTTCTTTGTGATGAACGGCAGTCCAAACAGAGCAGTGTTTCCGAAAAGAGGTAGACGATGGGTTGGTCGATCCTTAGACTTGAGGTACTTCTCCCATACAGCGCCGGTCTCGTCCTGCTCCTGATGGTCGGGGTTGTACGCTTCCTTGTACTCAACAGGCGCCAGCTCCTGAGACATCAGAAACGGAACAGTCTCTTTGAACTTCTGCCAAGGTGTCCTCTTATCCGCAGCCTCCTTGGTCATGTAGTCGGCTGCCTCTTGCCCTTGAGGAACAGGTGATGCATACCCGCCGGTCGGAGGCTTCCAGAATTGCCAAAACTTCGTCTCCTCTCGGACAAATTGGTCCTCAATGTTGTCAAGCTGGCGGACCGTATTTCCAGCTGGCCCCTGGGTTACATTCTGCGTTTTCGGCTTCAGGGAGCTTTCGGAGTTGGCCGGCGAGTGGTGTCCGTTCGTTTTAACAGTCGATGGGGAAGACATAGGCGCAACCTCGCCCTGGCCGAGCACACAAACCCGCCGATGCGCCGCATCCTGATCGGGCTCCTGTGTGGCAGTGAGACCAACAAACCCATTGGTCGTCTCCAGCGTGTTCCCGACATCTTGGCCAGCTCCCTTCACACCATTCTCCGCCTTGTTGACGACCCCTTTGATACCGAGGCCAACCTTTGCGAGCGGATCCCCGAGAAGGGGCTTCTTAAAGCCCTTGTGCCCCTGCTTGTCGTGCCCAAGCTCTGCCTGCTGAGTGTCTTGCGCGGGATCAATGTCGATGTGAGGGACCTCATGCGTGTCGCCAGCATTGATACCCCCATCACTGTTCGCCATCTGAACGGCTTTGGCATCCCTTTTGGCATCATCGGCGGCTCTCTCCTTCTTATTCATGTGTGCCGTCTTCTTGCTCTGTGATTTTTCCTGTTTCCGTTGAGCCTTTACGGCTGCTTTGATCAGATCGGTCTCGGCCTGCTCCAGGGTCGAGTGATACTTGTTGCGAAGGGCTATTTTGTCAAGAAGCTCTGATAGGTCGCGATTGAGCCAGATGTTGCGGACGCCTCCAGGGAAAACATCAAAGAGACCGCGAAGGGCCTCCTCGGTGAGCCACTTGCCAGGTATCTCGCTCACGAGGACCGTCGTGGCAGAAGCACGGAGACGATGCTCGGCGCTTGTCAGATAATCCTGTCGCACCTTGACGTATACTTTGAGCTCAAAGAAGAATACGGTGCAGATCCAGATGACAACCAGTATGGCCATTATCAGGTGCGCGGCATAGCGGCTCGAGTTCTCGGGCTTGACATTGCCCCAAGCCAACGTATCGAGCCCAATGACGGTCTCGTTCGAAGTCTGCTTCGACTCGTTTTCGTTAACGTTAATATTCTTGCCTCTGCCGTCCACATAATTGAGCGGGATCAGCACGGGGATGACCACGCAAGCGATGGGAATGAAGATGACCAGGAGAGTGCGCAAGTAGCGAAGGAAGAAGTAGGCATCTAGGCCACATTTATGGATGACATTGCGATCGGGAAACGAGAAGAGCGTTTTCACCAGTGGGAAGAAGCTCGACGGGGGAGAAGGCGTTCGCTCGCGCTCAGGGACGAGGTAGGTTTTCGGTTTGCTGCCGCGAAATTAGCGTTTTGTGGCCATCACGGGCATACCACTGTCCTGCGAGGAGGACTAACAAGATGCGGGCGAGCTTATTTCGAAGGAGGAGGAAGAAACCACTTTGAACGGTGAAAATGATCGACGCAACGACAAACGCAGTCAGGAAACTGACGATGCCAATGCCCTGATCCTGTTGCGCGGAGCCTGCTGAACCCTCCAGATCGTCCTGCCGTCGCGAAAGGCTTTCCACACTCCGCGACAGGAGGTGGTGAAGCGTGGTTGGCTTCATTGTGCTTGAGAATCAGATGTAGGGCGGGTTCGAGGGTGTTGTGTAGGCGGCCGTCGTGGCCATACTCGGTGGCGAAACAGTGTTGAAGGACAAATCAATATCGAATCAAGGCTGAATAAGAGTAGCGATTGTGTTTGTCGGAGACCTTCCTCCTCTTATCGGGATATGAAGAGAATACACGGGGTGGTCAAGCCAGACACCAAGCAAGCGCGGTAACGATTGGCATGCGACTTTCTGGGGCCGGTCCCGCCCTGGCGGCAGGTTGACACAATAAGGTTGCAAACGGTGAAGGTGCCATTGCACCACGTCAAGAACGGGGTCGTGTTTGCTCCCACAAAGTCGGGGGTACTACAAATCTGGAGCTCCATCGAACAAACAAAAAATGATTGAATGAACGCATACACGCCCTTGTTCCAGCATGTCACGTATTCATTCAGTGCGGCCAACCTTACCATGTTCGCAATGAGTTTCGACTGTTATCTCTATGAGCCTTGTCTCAACGTAGGATGGTGTTGCTTTAATTTTGTCGACCACCGATCCATTGTCGAAAGCGCCAGCCTCCAGGCAGCTGGTGACATCAGAGGCGTCATTGGCCATTGCTAGTTCCTTCCCCAAAACCCCTGGGCCCTGATACGCGAGTTGACGCCCTCATTGGCAACCTTTGGCGCCGGTCGCAAAGACTTTGTTTCACGTCCATCGCCATCCGAGGGCGCGAAGCGCTCAGTCATGTGCGTTTGTTGCCGCGAGGATTGCCGAAATACGCCCGTGGAGCACTGGAGTATTATCATATCCAGTAATCAAAATAAGGGGAACGCGTCCACGCCGTTGGCTTGACTGCGGATCCGCCAAGCAACCCAACCAGCTCTCGATCCCATGATCTATTACCCGCGAGTCGATGATGGATGATGTGGCTCCGTTCAACAAGTCTCTCCCGCTCCACCAGTCTGAAGAAGGAAGTTTAATGACCCTCCAAAGACGCTGATGCAGCGCTATTTACTACATTACCATAGACTCGCAGTGAATAGGTGTGTCAGTACGTACGTACTCCGTTGTGCTACAGGGTGGACTTGCCCGATTCGTGATGCTCGAACTATTCTCGAAACTATATCGTCACCCCCCTGCCAACGTGTGTGGGTCGTTCCGTTCGCTTGGAGTTCGTCATCTGAGCTTTTAATTAAGTACCTGTAATAAGTGCTCGTACTAATACGTGTAACATTTACGAGACCGAGGCGAAGTAAGGTGCCTATAAGGCACGTACTAACGTAATGTTATTTTTCTCTAAATGACGTCAGCTGGGTCAGGTATCCGTAGGGTGCTGTACACAGTAGAATGCCTCCAGCGGCTTTCGAATTTACCCACACAAGAGATATTGGAAAACGTATTCAAACCCACGGTGTCTCTGTTTTTCATTGCGACATCCTGTGCAGTGGAAATATGGAGTAAGTGATATTCTGATTAGGATGGTTGAATAACTATGTGGCCTAGTCTAATGTATTCATACCATGGACGTTCACATCTTCCACAATGAACTGCGCATTTACTCCATGTTAAAATTGGCACAGGATGATACAAAATGGCATCATCCTCCGCAGCACGGGCTGTGATTTCAATTCTTGACTGATGTATTGAAGATGTGATCATGCCACTGTCACCATGTTGAAACCAAGCTCAGACCGCGGTTGTTCTCGTCTTGTTGTACCCTAGGGTAAGTGACTTCGAGGGCGCCATGAGACTGTATCGCATGGTATCTGATGTGCCCAGCTGGTACTTGGTATCGTAAGATTTATACATTTCACCCATGGCCCGACGTGAACCGACACAGATGTAACTTGCTTGCTGGTTGTTTTCCTCGGGCCTCGTGATATCCGAGCTAAGCAGTGTCTGGCGCAACCACTCGTGACACCTCCGTCGGCTTTAAAATTGAGCAGCCGCTCAGGAAAGCATGCTTATCAAAAAAGAGCATGCCAGGACTGCAATATATACTCTCAAGTGTCCAGAATCCTGCAGCCTCTGGCTGGAATTCGAAAAGCCTGTTGCGTAGCTGGACGGCTGCGTATAGGCCCAGAGGTTCATGAGACCTGGATTGTTGAAGGGGGATAGGCCGAAGGGAGAAGATGAGCTATATCGAGGCGCACCATAGCTGGATATGCTATAGCCAGATGAACTATAGCGAGCCGAGTAAGGTCCGGGATTAGGGTCACCAATTCCTGGGCTGTAAACTGATGGCGTGCCGCCTTGGCCATTTTGGTTGTTTCCGGGTTTTTGTACATTTGATGGCTGCCATGCGGGTGATTCGTGTTTCTGATCTGGGAGACCGTCTGCGTCCGTGGTGATGGAATTCTGCGTCTGGCTGTTCTCGCTGTAGGGCGGAGGTTGATCCTGCTCGCTGTAGGGCGGCGGTGCTTCGTCGCGTTTGACTAGCTTGTCGCACATCGTATCTAACAAGCCGCATAAGGCACGCGGAATCGGGAGGCAATTTGAGATTGGACTGTGGAAGCTGATCAAGATGACACGCTTGTTCGGTCTGAGTGAGGCAGCGCAATTTCCGAAGTAGGTCTGAACAGCTGTCAACGGCGAGTTTATTGACAAGTCATGCCATTGAAAGGGGCTTCCATTGTGACCTTTATACTCTAAAAAGCGTGCCTGGTCTCGTAGTGTACATCTTCTCCCCGAGCTCCCGAATCGCCCTAGGAGAGGGCCGCGCCGTCGTTGGCGCAACCATCGCGGTCACCAGGTCCTGGGCGTCTCGGCACGCCAGTAAATTTAGAATAGAGTCCGCGTTAGAGAGACCATGAGCCTCATTGAGAGGAACATGAGGCAAGCGTGGTCAAATACCATAGCGAAGGTGTCACGGGCAAAAGGAGCTTCTTGTTTGGTATGACGGACCTGTGGTATCACTAGGTACATTTTGCATCGACCGTGGCGGATTACGAGCAGTAACGTATCATGTGAGAAACCGGCGCAAACCAAGCCCAAGTCAGAAGTGAGACGGGCGAAGCTGCTTGAACCCTCTTCCCGCTCTCGCCATAGCGCGAGGTTAGATATCGGGAAGTCACGTGATTATTTTATGCGCCACATCATAGCCAATTGTGGCTTGTGGTAGCCCCGCCACTATCCAAACACACCACGAAAAAGTGAAATTCAGCCATCATCGAGAAACCCCACGATCGCTCGCACAGACGCCCGCGCACCCTTTGCAAAAGCTCAAACCTTCAGGAGGCTATCGCAAATCGAAATAAACGACATTCAGAATATCGTCATGGCCGCCGCCGTGAGCAACAAGCCCCAGTACGTCTCGCGCTGCGGGCTTTGCGCCTCTGTATTCCCCCTCGGTCCTCCTGGCTAACCCCACCAATAGGCAAGATTGGGCCGACGACGACGATGGTATCGAGGAGCCCAGCTCTGAGCTGCCGCCCGTTCAGACCATCTCCAACAAGGACGGAACTAAGACTATTATCTCCTATCGCATCAACGAAGATGGCCAGAAAGTGAAAACCACCCGGCGCGTGCGGTACATCACCCAACGAGAGACCGTCAACCCCCGCGTCGCCGACCGCAAGTCATGGGGCAAATTCGGCCAGTCAGAGAAGGACGGTGCTGGCCCTGCCCCGGATACGACCTCCATCGCCGAAAACATGATCTTTAGGCCCAGCATCAACTGGCGCAAGGACGCCAAGGAGGAGATGGGCGAGCAGGAGCAGCTCAAGGACAAGCTGAAGGACAAGAAGGTCAAGTGTCGTATCTGTAACGGAGAGCATTTCACGGCACGCTGTCCGTACAAGGACACCATGGCGCCCGTCGGAGGCACGGCGGACCCAGCTACGGCACCGATCGGCGAGGATCCCGCGCTGTCCGCCGGCCCTGGGCCTGGCGCCGCTGGCGCAAAGAAGGGCTCCTATGTGCCCCCGGCGCTTCGTGGAGCTGGCGGTGCTGCTGGTGCGGGACGTGGTGAATCGATGGGCGGCAAATTTGGCGATAGGGACGACCTGGCGACCCTGCGTGTCACCAACGTAAGTTTCCTTCCATGGTATCTCTGGGAAACTCTGGCTAATTGGGTGTCTAGGTTTCCGAAATGGCAGAGGAGGGCGAGTTGCGTGATATGTTCGAGCGCTTTGGTCGCGTCACAAGGGTGTTCCTCGCCAAGGATCGCGAGACTGGGTTGGCCAAGGGTTTCGCATTCATCAGCTTCGTGGACCGCTCCGATGCTGAAAAGGCCTGCGCCAAGATGGACGGCTTTGGTTTCAAGCATCTCATTCTTCGTGTCGAATTCGCCAAGAAGGCTGCTCAGTAAAAGCAATATTGGGTTTGGTTTATTTTGGACTCGGATGACCATTGTAGGGCACTTGGGCTAGGGACGTGGATCAGTTCATGCATCACTGATCAATATCATGGCGTTTGTGTATTGAGCATTGAAGTCGCTGTCGCAGCGGATGTTACCCCGAGTCTTGACGTGAGGTCAATGGTGATGTGGTTGAGTCGGTCATGATTGTGGATGGCAAGAAGCAGTAGGTGACAAATTCTCCAACATTAACATCGCCATCAAGCCGTCTCGTGCCATTGGCCCCTGGGAAATGCTCGGCGCCAACTAAGTAGATGTTCCTGGATTATCTAGACATCTTCTCGCGCAGGTATTTGTGAGGCGGGGTTGGTCCATTCGAGCCACGTATTTGATCGGACGTAAATTACCTGGGACATAGCACTAAAATTACCGTACGTAGCCCGAGGTGCAAGTACTTTCCGTTGATGAATCCACAGAATCTCACAATGACCGACAAGAACGAAATCCGGTTCGGCAACCCCTCAGAAGCTGCACGACCCACGACCCGAGCCCTGCAAAGTGTGGCAGCCATCAGAAGCGCCGACTCGAATCGGGGCTCTGATCGATTAAGAAACGTGTAGCGTACGTTAGATGGATGGCATTTAAAGATAGCCACCACTTGTTGCTTTGATGGTTGTCTCATCTGCGCGCCCTCCAGGCGAGAGTGAGTTCATTAAAGCACAGGAGCATTTGCACGTGAAAATAGGTACGGTATCTGTTGAGAGGACGCGCCAGGCGCGATTCGGTCTCCTTCTCTCCCCACCATGTGACGTTTGTTGCTGGCTTGGCATCATTCGTTGAGGGGACCACCACGTCAAATTCCAGCTTTCACATCCATTCTCTCCCACCAAAGCAACACTCGAGGACACTAGCACGACGGTATCCTGCAGCTGCAACTGGAACCGTACGCACACATCCCACGCTCAACGCGCCCAGGTTAGACGTGGTCTCAACACCAGTCTGCTCGCGACCCTGGCACTGTTACTGCGCTGTTACCCGCTTATTGAACCGCTGCGGATCCCCAACTCGCATCACTGTTCGACAAGCAGTTCAGTCCCCTCACGGAGGGCAATTGAAAAGAACCGCGAAGAAACAGCGTGATTTAGACGAAAGAAAAAGAAAAGCATACATAAAAGAGAAGATCTGAGCCCCTTCAAAACGAGCCCAAAAACAATAACAAAGGATCGCCCTGCTGCCCACACTGCCCATCTCCAAGATCGAACGACACACTGAGCATTCTGAAGTCATCGAGGACAGCTTGCCTTGACAGCCTGCAGCTACGACCCCATCGTTAATTAAGTCTCCTTGCGACCGTTCATACAAGCTGAATGTACCAGTCGAGTCCCGTGTGAGCCTGGCCCACACTGCCACTTCTTCCAAAATCTCGCAACCTCAACCATTTCCCCAGCCTTTCACGATTTTACAAAGTCAGCCGACAGAGCGTCCCACAAACAACCATTGAGCTCAAACATACACCATGGGTAAAGAAGCTCCCGAAATTTCCGAGCTTCGGAAAAGAGCTCCTCACCCGTCCACCTCCGCAGAAACTGGGGTTGGTGTGGAGGGGAATGTGGAGGATCGTGCGGCGGCTGATGAGCAACATGCGACTGAGCCTACCAACGATTTTCGAGCCATCAAGGTGGCGGAAGAAAAGTCCAAGAAGACTTATGGGCGAACCCCAGATGGCACCAGTAAGTTGATTGAAAGAACATGCACGACACAATGTGCTCCGATGGCTCACATACAATGCAGTATTCGTTGTGCCAGTTACTCATGATATGGTTTCACAACTCCTTGATCCACGACAGCCAAAGAATTTGTCAGATATCATCGTTCTAGCCGTTCTCGCACTGCATGTCCTCGCCGCGTGGCTACTGCCCCAGTCCTGGAAGCGCCCTGTCTTTGTTGTGCTTTTCGCATGTTGGCGTGCAGCCTACAATGGTGGCATTGGCATCTTGCTCGAGAATCAGTCTCAAAGTAGACAGATGATTACCTGGGCTCGCCACTGGAGGCTGTTCGAGAACCCGGAAACTGGCAACAACCCACGGCCATGGCTATACAAGCTGCTCAAGAGGGAGCTGGAAGCCAAAATCCCCGAGGACTACAAGTTTGAGGAGGCGCCGATTGAGTACAACACCTGGCTTGTTTTCCGACGCGTTGTCGACTTGATACTCATGTGCGACTTTGTCTCCTATTGCCTCTTTGCAATGATCTGCGGCCACCGTCCCGATGGCGAGAACATCTTGATGGGACTGGGTCGATGGTCCATGGGCATCGCACTCGTTCTCTTCAATCTGTGGGTCAAGCTCGATGCGCACCGTGTTGTGAAAGACTTTGCCTGGTACTGGGGTGACTTCTTCTACCTCATCGACCAGGATCTGACATTCGACGGCGTCTTTGAAATGGCTCCGCATCCCATGTATAGCATCGGCTACGCTGGGTACTATGGCATCTCTATGATGGCGGCTAGCTACGAGGTGCTTTTCGTCTCCATCATCGCTCACATGTCCCAGTTTGCGTTCCTTGTGCTCGTTGAGAACCCACACATTGAAAAGACGTACAACCCTCCTGCCCCACGCAAGAGAGAGGAACCGAGGGCACAAAGTGAACCATCGATCGTGATAGATTCGCCGTCAGACCAGCAATCACTCGGAAAGTCTCCCGACAAGGAAAGCTTAGCGCCTGTTCACAACATGGTCGGCTTGAGCAACATTGACCTGTTCCGCGTGACTGACCTCGCTGTCATCTTGCTGCCGGGATATGTAGCTGCTTTGACCCTTGCTACGCCTTCGACGGCCTTCTGGCAGACACTGTTCGTACTCCATGCGCTTTCCTGGCGAGTATGGTACCACCTGGGCCTCGGCCTCATCCTGGACCAGCAGTCCAAGAACAAGATGTGGACTCGGCACTTCCTCAAATTCGGAGAGTCTAGTGCTGAGGCCTGGCGTCAATGGAAAGGGATGCATCACATCAGTATGATCATGGCGAATGCGTCCTTCATGGCAGCATGCTGGAAGATGTACAACTTTCCCGCGGACTGGACGTATGGTGGCGTTCTCTTGAAGCACACCATTGGATTCAGCCTGGTTGCATTGCAGCTGTGGACTGCTTTCAGTGTCTACGAGTCTCTAGGCGAGTTTGGCTGGTTCTGCGGCGACTTTTTCTTCGACAGCCAGGCCAAGCTTACATACACATCTATCTACCGTTTCGTCAACAATCCCGACAGGGTTTTTGGCATCGCGGGTGTTTGGGGCGCCGCTCTCATTACTTGGAGCCGGTCCATCTTTCTCATGGCTCTAACAACGCAGCTGCTCACATTGTACTTCATTGCGTACATTGAGCGGCCCCATATGCAAAAGATCTACGGCCGATCCCTGCGCCAAGAAGCTGGCCTCACAAAGTTCATCAAGAAGTCCATGCCTGCTAACGTCAAGACCTGGTCCGACAGTGTGGACAAGGTATTGGATGACACGACTCATTTCGTCGAGGACTTTTTCGAGGCAGCTCGACCAAAGTTCACTTCTGGCATGAAGACCATCGTACGAGACACAAGCGCGCTGTTCAACGTCGCGCCCGCTCGCTTGACCATCACCCGTCTCTCGGAAGATCTGGCTGGACTCAACCCCAAGGATTACTCCATGACTGTCTCCGGCACAACCGTCATGGAAGCTGCCCTGAAGGAACGGGCTACCGGGAAAGAGAGCGTGACGGGCCGGTTCCCTAAGGAAGTCAAGACCCAAGCGTATGAATACGGCACGTCCTTGAAGATTGCATGGAGGGCACCCGCGAACCATGCCAAGGGCGACTGGATTGGGCTGTACATGGTCACCGACAATCGCTCCAGGGAAATGACCGAAGTGTCATCCCTTGGGCGCTGGTCACCTACTAGTCAAGGCGTCTATGACTCTATGACGGCCGAGAAGAGCATTCTCGTTGATGAACACCCCATACCTGCTCAAAACGGGTCGGGTACAGACCTGGTGGAGGGCGAGGTCGTCTTTGAGGGTGACAAGCTCTGGTGGACTCAGGGCGTATATGAATTCCGCTACCACCACGACGGCAAGCACACGGTCATGAGCATCTCCGAGCCTTTCGAAATCCGTGTCAGCAAATTCGACGACGATGCCGCTGACACGGGGGCAGATGAGACGTACGAGCGAGCCGTACAGCAGGCCCTACTTCCAGTGGTGCAGAACTGTCTCGACCGTGACCCGGATATTGCGCCCAGCAGCATCGACGAGGCGTTCGGCAACCACGTCGAAAGGGACGGAAAGTACTCGCGGCGCGTGGTGTATGCCATTCGTGAGATGTTCGGAATCGAATTTGCCCCCGCTGTCGTGCTAGCTGACGGCAACGTGAGGAAGCTGTCGTGGAGGATACGCAATGCGAAGCAAGTCTTGGTACGTGAACTTCCAGTGAAGCTCCTTGGATGCAACTAATTAATTCTCAGGCACCGTACAGCATGTCAGTTTCCAGGGGGACGACGACGCCGATCAACCACTGAGGCGCGGTGTCACATGTTGCAGCTGGTAGGGAGCCGCAGCCATCCGTTGATAAAGGCTGCCCATATGAGGTTAAAAGAGCAACTGGCTCCATTTTGGACACGCAGTTGGAGAGCTATTCCTGATTGTGTATTGAGCTTAATAGAACAGTAGATTGAGAATGCTTGCGTTTCATGAATACCTCTGAGTGCCTGTGACGAGGTCCGTGACCAGCCCCTCCAGCTGCTCCTAACACCAGTACCAAGGTCTTGGGCAATGGCTCTTTAGTATTGAAATAACGAAGACAACAGGCTCAAACTCTTCACCTGGGGCATATCACGTCACATGGGCGTTCAAAGCACGGATCATTAACGTCGTATTCATCATAATGCACAAGGAGCAAGAAGCAGATAACGCAAGAGCAAGATAGCAGCGTGTATATGACCGCATCGAGAACTCATCACCTCACCCGGAAATCATCCGCTCCTCCGGAATCGTCTCTGGGACAATGTACTCCTCGTGGGCTGCCGCACCGGCGTCCACATGCCTGCGCCATTCGTGCACCCTGCTTTTGCCCTCACCTCCATGCGAGCTCAAGCCCGCCATGGACGACGACCGCGGCCCGGTGCTGCTTCTGGGACTACTGCCGTGATCGTAGTCGGACATCATGCTTCTCGCCGGCGGTGGCTGGTAGTGTATCGCTTGTGACGGATGCGGTGGGAAGCTCCCAAATGGATGTGGAGGAGAAGACATCATAGGAGGGCTGCTCGTTAGGGGCACACTACCCATGGGCATGCGCATCTGGTGAGGCTGATGGTAAGGTGTAGGACCCATTGGAGGAGGCGGTACGACCTGCGGCATCATGCCCGCAGGGCCACCATGGGGCGGACCTGGAGGGAACCCCATGGGCGGGCCTGCGTTGGGCCGGGGCTCGGATAGTCTCTGCGCAAGGCGTCGCTCCATTGAATCCTCCCTGAACGAGTCGCTCCTCAATCCTCTCGCGCGTCCAATTTCCGAGACATAGTTGCCTCTGTCATAGACGGACCGCGGAGGAGTTTTGTAGCCGGGCTCATGGGCTGGAGGCGATTCTCGTGGCTGGGTTCTGTTTCGCCCGCTGCTGTGACTGTAATGCGTGTTGCGTCGACGGCCTGACGAAATACCTAGACCATCTCGGTCCACTCGGCCCACTGTAATGTCGTATTCTTCATTATCATCGTCTGTATCTTCTAATGCCATGTCTAACTCCATCTGTCGTGCCAGGTCTTCATCATAGTTGTCTTGCACTTTACGTTGGCGCGGAGGTTCTGCGTGATATACGCGAGGTCTAGCATCTCGACGACCCGCATATTGTCTGACAGGAGGGTCATCATCGCTCTCTGATTCCTCATCAGCAACTGTCCTGTCAGCGTAGTATTGCTTGTTGCCGGTGGTGGTGATGCTGGGTGGGCATCTCTGCCGTCCCGCATCCCGAGGGTGCCTCGCGTGATTGGGCCCAGCGGCTTCGGCTTGGCAGTCAGGCGCCGCATGCCACTTGCCATTGCAAGAAAGACAAATCTTCTGATTGCATGTGTCGCAGCGGGTGCTGTTCCGGACACCGTCGCTCTTGACGAGGTTTGGTACGAAGGACTCGCCACATGACCTTGAAGGACAGTATAGCCGACTTGGCGTCGCCGCATCCCGTGATCTGCGGTAAAAAGCCTTCTTGAACAATGTGTCAAACAGTGGTTCAACGTAGTCATAGGGAATGGCCTCATCAGTACAGCACGTCGGAGGCATGTACTGCGGGTTTTTGCAAGCCAATTCGAATTTATGCTTCAAGCAGCTTTGGCACATTTTGTGACCGCACTGTAACCTCGAAACTTGTTCGATAGGTTGGTCAGTGTTGCAAGATAGGCAACTGGTTCTGGCGAGCTGTCAGCCGGGTTGGCATGGTGGGACGGGTGCAACTTACACTCTGGCAGGCATGGCAGGTCGGACCTTGACTCTAGGCTGATCGGCGTGATAGTGCGTGCCGGCCCCGCCAGAGACAATGCTCGACAACCTGCTGGAATCGCTGTGCGATGGCTCCCTGCGTACCTTGCGAGGACTGACGCGCTGCTGTAGAACAACGGGCTCAGTGCGCCTGGAAGATCTTGGAGGCAAGTTAGCGTGATAGCCACAACCAAGCTCAGAAGACGAACCGTCTCGTGGACCGCGGATTTTGTTGCTCCACAGGATCGCTAGCTACCCTCGAGCGGTGAGACTGTGGCTGCGACGGCGCGGCTTCAATGAGCCGTCGCCTCGTTCTCTTGGTAGAGGGCGAAATGTCCTCGTCACGGCTGGAGGTGGAGGGCGTTCTCAGCTCAGCTCCACGAGGGTCATCGTCTTCCGACGACTCGCCATAGCGTTCCCTGTGTCCACGAGCGCGAGCGGGCGACGAGTCGTCGTCGTCGTCGTCGTCGTCGTCCGATTCCGGCTGTGGAACAATTGTATCCCTCCGACGTCGTCTGGTGTTGCTGATGGTGACAATCACGTCGCCGTCGGATTCATCCGAGTCATCATCGTCATCCTCAGAGTCCACTTCTTCCGACGAAGAGGTGAGACCTGTCGAAACTCTGTTCTGGCGGTACTCCTTGTCCACACTCGGGCTGCTCTTTCTCCGGGCCCGGGGCGCTGCGGGCTGGTATGCGTGGCCGTATCTAGGAACATCATGCCCGGCGGTGGTGTATGCAGTCGGTCTCCGGTACTCCCTGCCATCTCTTCCTGACGAATGCGCAACATATGTCGAAGCGGCCTGCGGTGGCATGGCGACTCTTGGAGGTACAATGTCCCCAGAACGACGCCTGTCCCCGCCTCTTGAGGAACCCATGGAGGTTCTGGTGTCCTCCCTTTGTATGGCACTCCGTGCGTCTCTCGACGACAAATCAGAGGGACGCCTGGGACGCCGATCGGAGTCTCTCGGCATGGTGTGGTCCAGATCCCTCCCAAGGAGAGGGCGGTCTTTCGGTTGGGCCTCGACACAGGAACCGACCCAATGTCGGTAAGGTTTGTAGGGCAAAAGAAGGTGTGCAGGTGGGATTGGATTGGATCGGACGAGGGTTTAGGGCCAGTGTCGGGCCAGTCAGACGTGACCACGCTGGCAGAGCAGAGAGTATGTCGGTAGAGGGAAGAGGCGAGGAGCGTGTGATGAAGGGTGGCCGGCGCTGCTGATTCGAAGTTCAAATCAGCATTGGCGATGCGGGGAGATGGAGATGCATGATCGCGGGCCACAGGCCACACGTAACGATCTGCTGCCCTGAACCAGCTGTGAATGTGAGGCTGAGAGGGAGAGAGACGTGGAAAACGCCTCGCGTTTGCTTGGCTGTCGCAGAATGAGTCGGCGTGCGAGTGATGAATCAGATGAGGAACTGGCAATGGCGGGTGACAATGGATAGGCAATGCCAGCAGTCGATCGGAAGAAGGGTCGAGCACGTCGGCAGGGGGTTATCGATTGAGCATTGAGGAAGAAGCGGAGGTGGTGCAGTGCAGGGACATGGATTGGCGGGCTCATGCCGCTACCTACCCACCGGGTGATCCACTGGGGCATCCGCAGCTGGCGCTCACGGTGAGATTCGCCTGCCGTACCTGGCGATGGAGCTGAGCCACGGCAAAGTGAAGAATGAGGGGGAGTCTGGATCAGAAACAAGACAAAACTAGGTCGGGTCGACGTCCACTGACGAGCGAGGAAGCCGGGCAGGAGTCCCAGCCTCGCTCTTTCCTAGGCTGCACAGAGCACTGGCCACATCACGTGCACCCATCATTGTCAATCACAGCAGCATGAATCCATGCCAGGCGAGCCTCATGATCCCCCTCACAGCTGGTCCCCCGCCTCTCATCAACCGCCAAGTGAGGATCAGCCTAGCGATGTGCGCGGGCAGGTTGGGGGGGCTTGCCGTTGGCTTGAGACATTGGGCGTTTGGTCGTGTTGCATACGACCTGACCTGCTGACCTGCGATTATCCAAGGACAGCAAATGGGACGCGACGCAGCACAAATGCCCCCAAGCCAGCCAGCAAACGCGTCCTCGCTAAACGCTGTTTCCACTCTGCGGTGGAGTAGCAAGTGCACGTACAGGTACGAGCCGACTCTTCCATCGGGGCGCTTGTTCGTCGGGGTAATTACACTTCAAGGCCGGGATCGGAGACCGCCGGGCTTTTTATGGGTCTTCTGAGTCTGTCAAAGGGCCGGGCCGGCTCCGTGTTGATTAGACTTTCGGGCACTCCACGTGGATTGACCTTGGGGTAGCGCATCATGCGGTATATCCAGGGCGGTTCATAGCAGACGGAGCTGACGTACGGACCGAGAGCATGTGCTGGTGGCATTTCACATGTTCTACTGGAGATGGACTAGCGACCTGAGCTGGATGGAAGACTTGCTTTCTCAGTTGTCCCGCTGAGCTCACGACATCGACACTCACCAGAGGCTGCAGTAACAAAAGAAACTGTCATCTCGCTGCTAGAGCTTGCTTCGATAATAGATGTCTGGCGATGATTCTTTAAACATACGGACTACGAAGCTAAAAGATTATGTATTTCCTGATCATACCTCGTCGTAAACTCCGGGCCTGCTCAGGCCATAACCCAAGTATGCCCCCTGTCAACGATGAGAAAAGTCCTGCCTACTAATAAGGTATACAAAGTGTCTGCCACATCGACCCGTCCGGGTTTGCTACTTTGGTCCAGGTCTACCTTACCTAAGGCAAGCTCCATACGCAGAGGCGACGACTGTACAGAAGATACGAAATGCAGCGTGTCTGATACAAAACGGCAAGATGCTGATATTCTCAAGCATGCCGAGCTGGGGGTGAAAAGAAAAATAAAGAATCCCCAAGAAATCTCTCAACTCCCAGAAACACGTCGTCCGTTGTATCATCAGTGACGGAAGGGAACCTGAAAGGGTGATGTGGTCGGTAAGTCGGGCCGCAACGCCGCCAGGTGCGGCATCCCCCACGTCGGAACCCTGTGCCTGGCGGGCGACTCACGTTGGCAACACGGTGCGTCATGACAGCCCTCAACATAATTCGCGCCAGGCTATGCAGATGCAGACAGCGGCGAATCGTGCCATCGTCATCTCGCGGTAGCTCCGCTGTTCAATCAATATCTAGATGCACAGCTAGGGCAGTGTAGTGCACCATTACGCGAGGAACATGATGCCACCACCTGGGGTTACAGATGGTTCAAGATGGTGTCTTTGCTGGGGCCCAGAGGATTGGCTTGGCTTGGATTAACAGATGTTGACGGTAGCAGGAGGATTCTGGTCCCGTGATAGGCCACACGCCCAAAACGATTCGGTCCTCCTTTGCAAGCCCCCCCGTCTCCTCCTCTACCCCAAGCTCAAGAACATGGAGTCCTTGGTCCCGCCGCCGCGCTAGTGGCGGCACGGAGGGCTCTCAACCAGCGAGAAACGTGCGTCTCCTAATCTCAGCCTCCTTGATAATCTCGGCCGCGAGACCCAGGCTTGGCGCCAGGAACGCATAGCGCTCGACCTCCATGACGACATCGTTGATGATCTGGTCCAGGGCTTCTCGATGCGGCACGAGGGTGAGGAGAATGCTCAGCAGGGAGGGGGACATGGACGCTCCCATCACCAAAAGGGTCTGCGAGACCATGGACAGTGCGCCTTGCCAAATGTACGGCATATGGCCAGCATGACTATACCGAGTTAGCGCCGTGATCTACAGAGAAAGCAGAAAAGCATTCTGGATCGGCGGGTCTACTTACTGCTCTCCGATATGCTCGAGTTGCCTAATGGAGGCCTCGAGGCACTTGTGGCAATTTTCTCGCACCGCGGGGTCCAGCAGTGCCTGCTCATTGTCCAGCACGGCGAGGATGTAGGGCCGGTAGATGATTGTCCGGCAGGCGAAGAACCGTAGTCGCAGCACCGTCTGCACGGGGTCCTGCAGAATGGTTCGGGTAAAGGGGAACTGCAACGGTAGTGGTAGGCTCTCGTACCATTGTGTAAGCTGGTAGTCGAGCTCAGCCACGACAGGCTCCAGGCTCTGTGTGGACGCCATGGAGTCTTTTGAGTAGATGAGCTGGCTGACCCGGTTCAGCAGTCGTCGGAGGGCAATCTCGGCCAGAAAGTACCACAGCTCGTCGCGGCCCACGCCCTCGCCCTCCTCGACCTCGAAGCCGCCGGGCAGGCCGACGTTGTCTTCGAGCTGCACGACCCCGGAATGGGGTAGATCCAGCTCGGCAAGTAGATCGCTCTCGAACAGCAGTGCGTTCCAGTAGATGCGCTCCACCAGTTCCTTCTCCTTGGGAGGCACCCGGTTCGGGGTCATGAGGAGCAGCTGCAATTTGGTGCTGGTGCTGCACAGAAGGTTCCAGGCCTCCATCGGCCGCACCAGGTAGAACAGGTAGGCGGCCGCCAGCAAATGACACTGCGTGGCCAAGACGGTATTTGTAGTCATCATGCTTGGCAGCAGCGACCAGGCGGCCGTAAAGTACTGCAGACCAGGCGGGTCGTCGTGGGACATGATCCTGGAAATGCTGCCACGCAGACTGGCCTGCCCGAGTGCCAAGACGAGGAGCACGATGCAGCTCTCCGGGCCCTCGCGGAACCCGTTGGACAGGGCAGTCATGTACTGGCTGCGCCAGGTGTATGGGTTGACGCAGGCATACCACACGTTGACGCGTTCAAAGTATGCCTCAATGTAGGCCTGCGTGTTGGACAGGTCGACGCAAGGTGTCTTTGTGAGCGAGTGAAGCGGCTCTCTGTCCATCTCCAGTTGTAGCAGTATCTGCGGATCGTAGGGGCGCGAGACCAGATCACGTATCAGTGGCCATTGCAGGAGGTGCATCGCGGCATTGGTATGGACTTTGGGCATAGTGTTGATGTTGGTTGTCGTTGGCTGTGTGGTCCAAGTCCCAAAGCCGCCGTTTGGTATAACCGAGACGAATCCGTTGTTCGAACCAGCCATGAGCCCGTTCTCGCCGCCCGAGGCTGTTCCGTTGCTCATGGGTGGTGATTCCTGGTTGAGGTTGATACCGCTAATCTGGCCGCCGGACATGTTCATCTGGAGAAGGTTTTCAATGTGATTTAGGCGCTCCAGGATCAGCTTGTCCCCGGCGTCAAGCTTGATGCCAGGTTCGCGGTAGACACACTCTGCGCCCAACTCTGTGCATAGTTTGCACTTGGGCTTGTTGCCGTCGCATCTCGATTTGCGAGAGCGACATACTTCGCACTATCATCGAGTCAGTGCCTCTCGCTAGGACAGGACTCCATCACGGGGAGGACATACAGCTATTGTGGCCCGTCGCCGGGGATAGTCGACGCCAACGTCAGTCGCCGTGTTCCTTCGCTTGAGCGGGTTGGAAGCTTCGTCCTGCATCAGCTTTGCTAAGCCGTTCGACTGGTTCTCATTGGCCTGTGAGCCGTTGCGCCCCTTGCTGGTTGATCCTAGGATCCCCTCCCGGCCGATCGAGGGCGGCTGTATACTTGGTGTGCTGATGCTGGGCGTGCGCTGGACCTTGAAGTCGTTTGGCGACCTCATGGGGTGGGAGCCGTTGGGTACCGCGGTTAGGGTCGCATTGGGCATTTCAATAGTAAATGTTTCGCGACTTTGCGCGGGGAAGTGTCTCATGGAGGCGTTGCCCATGCCGGAGGGCGGAGAGTCGCCCGTCGAGGACGGGGACATGGTGCGTCCGTTCAGCCCAGGCACGAGTGAGCCTGAGACCTGGTCCCAAGGCGAAGCTGTCTCGGCAGGCGAGCCTTGCGCTTCAACCGCCAGGAGGACTGGAGAGCCGACTGCGTGGATATACAGTAGTACGCGCTGGACTGATGTAACGAAAACGTGGGAGGCTGCAGGTAAATTACCTTACCATCAGACAGGCGACATGGCGGGGGACGGCAGAATATTGGGACACAACTGGACTAGGCAGGGCGATTCGAGTCGAGTCGAGTCGAGCCTGGCGCAGTCTGGTCTGGTCCTGCTGACGACTGGACGATGGGCTGTGGTGATGTCTTGGGGAGGCTTCGCGCCGTCGTCTACTCGCTGAGGGTGCCGTATTACTTTACGTAGCTCAAGACAAGCCAGCCGTTGATGAAAGAAAAGTCTCGAGCGGACGGACGACGGGAAATGACAGAGGGGACATGGACCCTTGATACAACATTGAGCCGAACGCAGTCAGGACAGGACATGGACTGAGGACTCGGGAGCCACACCAAACCATACCATACCACACCACACCACACCACACCACACCCGTCAAGCGGGCAACGAAGCGCAGTCAGTAATTAGACGAGACCCGGCTACGGGGAGGAAGTTGACAGGTAGACCAGGAATGCGAGAAAGCGATTGGTGCACCGCCTGGCGGCTCAAGGAGTCGAGGCCGGGGTTCGAGCGCTGCACTGAAGTCTTGGACGGACTGGAGGCACGTCTAGTCCCCGGTGGGGCCCCGGAGCTACAGCAGGAGGTTTCAACCCTCGCACGGTCAGAGACGGGCTGACAGCGGGGTGCGTGAGGGTGCGTCCACTGTTCATGCCACTGCAGCAGGCGCCCGTCCCCGCACGAGGCCGATCGCCTTGACGGTATACAGTGCGTACACTGTGCCTCCCGCCCTCCTTCAGGCTTCGAGTCCTTTCATCTTGGTCCCCCCGACTTTCTCTCCACGGTCCACCACAGCACCACCCGACAGGCTCGACACCGACCTCTTTGCATCCATCCTCGCGTCGAGTCGCGCGCGAACCTCTCGACGCAATGTACCCTCGTTGCAGATGACCAAAAGCTTACCCATCGCGAATCTGACTGGCACCTGTCCCCAGACCTCAGCCTTGATCTGCGACACTCGTTGGTAGTTTGCACGCAATTTGACCATGGCCTCTCTGTTGGCTGCCTCGCTGAGTGATTATCGTTTCCCGCGGCTGCCTGCCCGTCCGTGGCTCATGCGAGCATTATGTATCGTTTAATCATTCCAGCGACGGGATTTGCTAACTCCGGCCCGGGATTCATGAAGATTCCACCAATATTTGTGATGGCCCTACATGTACCACGGAGACATGTCGCCAGCGATTCACGAATCACGACCACCCGGTCACCCGGTGGGCTGAGGAATATCTCGCAAAATCTGGGCACGCAACACATGACCTGACCGCATACGTACTGCCACGGACCGAATTGGAGAAGCACTGCGCTTGCCGCCCCCTGGCTGAGCCTATTTTGTCTGGGGTGTCCCGGCGCGGGCCTTGCGCTCAAAATCCGGGGGGGCGGCCAGCGTGTCTCCTCATCTAATGGGAGAGGCATGCATGTCCCATACATGTATCCGTAGCAAACAAGGCCACATTGAAATGCAAGGACGATGCACTATTGATTAAAGAACTGCAGCTTCAGGTGGAAAAGCCACGTCGTGTGCTCCCCCACGTTTTCACCGTCGCTGCTGCTACGGACCTGGTCCATGTCGCCATGTTTCTGGCGACCAGCATGTGAAGTTGTGAACGCTCTTCCGCGTTGCAGGGACCATAATGTCCCAAAGAGCAGTCAAAAGTTTTCGGTACCCTGGACTGGTCAGCAACCTAGCAAGGAGTCCTGCAGAACAGCCCTTCACCTACTCCGTATAGGAAACTCTATCGCTAGCTTCATGTACGTGTAGGTTCCGCTGGCTCTAGCGGTGTGCGAACCTTTTCGCAACGTATCCCCAAAAGGAAAACAGTTACATGAGTAACAGAAGCATACAGCAACTGATATGCGCAAGTCTCTTGAAGCTACCAGGGCCAGGGGACTATAAAACTCACGGTGTGCGGATTCCCCCAACCCATGCACGTCTTCGGTTCTGGCTCTCCACATTCTGGCCGGATAGTGCAATAGTGGGACAGTAAACTCACATGTGTGTTAGATGAGACCATACCAAGTCTTCGAGTGATGGTCTGCTATAAAAGCATCACAGAGCTTCTGGGGAAGACGGCTGGTATTCGCTCCAAATGTGCCTCGAGGAAAGCCAGTCATCGTCACGACAGGGTCGTCGGACCTAGCAGCAGCGAGGAAGTCATCGATTGGCATCCTTGTCTATGCGTGCATGGCGTTTATCGTCGGGGAAATAAGTTAGGTTTCATCACCCTATAATCACCACTTAGTAAGCACATTATCATGCTGCCTACCTTGGCATTGCGCGACCACATGCGACTGTGTCACTCTCAGATCATTTGATCACTTTCCAAATTTTCATGTTTTATTCGATCAAGCAAACGTTGGAGACCCCTATGAAACACCTTCGGCATCAGTCAGCCAAGCCCACATCATGTCGGCGCCCCTCCTTGCAGACGTCTTTTCGCATGCCGATATACTGGACGCTGCCCATGTGCGCACATTCAACCAAACGCTGGAGAACTTGCTGTCCACTGAATGTGCTGAGTTTGCATTCTCTCAGTGGCTAGAGGGACTACCAACTGAAGCCTCTATGCGCCAGAGCTTTTGGTACATGAAGTCTCACTCAGTGTATCAGCTTCACCATGCCGAAGTGTCAGACAGTGCGCGGACAAAGTTCAAGGAGCTTAGATCTACATTCGACAAGTAGCGTTTGTGTTTGATACCACTGGCGGGTATGTCTTTCATTCGTAGTGGATTCCTTTGGCTCGTCCTCGTAGTTAGTCAGGCAGTTTCAGGACACCACACCTGGCTCTAACGTCTTCAACCTACGACTCGTGGAAATGGTCGTCACCGCCTTTCATCAGGTCGCCGTGCATATCTACTCGCTTGATGCAGGGAAATACAAGCAACGGCTACATGATGAATGGCGCGAAGCTCAGTTACCCTCCACCAACAATGGTCGACACAGCCATGGTTTCATGTTGCCGTACACAGCATTTGTACAACGGGATTTCCATGCTCCGGACAGATACCCTCACGGTCTTCCCGATGCAGCCGCGTACTGGCTCGAGGGCGAGATCTATGGTGCCGTCAGGCTCTTTGACCGAGGAGAGTCGGACACAGATGTAGGTTGACTCCTGGACCTCATGTCACAGATTCACCTAACATGGATAGTGCAAAGCCATGTGGATGCAAGATCATCAGATACATGGACTTTCTACTTTTTATCCTCCGACAATGTCTCAACTTTATGCACTCATAAGGTTCTTGCTGAACGACCCGGGGTTTCTCGCAAACACCTCATGCCTCTTTTCCCATTCACGCTACACGGGGAAATAGACCGCGGTGGGACACACTAGATGCGTTCACAGATCACCATATCTTCAGAAATCGCTACGAACGGGAGCCTAGGTCACCGCGTATCTCTCAAGAGGCACCAAATCGCTTCTGGTGTAGAAGAGGACCAAGCATGCTAGACTGGTCCGAGTGCGAGGACGAATGGACACTTGCGTTTCGAGAACAAGCCCAGCGCCGTAGAGAGCAGATCGATGTGACAGTACGGGCAGCTCCTACAGAAGGGCTAAGGCATATATGACTCCATTGTTCGAGCGCGGAGGATAGCCAGGGTTGCAAGGAGTAGATAACTGAGACGATAGTTCCGAGTATACGTGTAAAGAACACGGGACGTCCCGTAGGGGAAAGTACTTCATCATCGGCGAGGACGCGACAGAACGACGTGATGCGCTAGGGGCGGCAGACGTATGCAGCCAAGGCGAAGCCGTCTTGTTCTGCTAGGGATACCCATGGGTATCCGTGCAGGAATGGTAATGTGAGGTTCTCCCGGCCGCACCCCGTGCCACACGATCGGTCCATCTTCATTAGGCTGAATTCCCCCATCCCGTGCATGAATCGCAAATTATCCTGAATGTGAGGTAGTAGTCGGCATAATTCGGTGCAAGCTAGCAATCTCACCTGGTCTCGCCAATTTCAAACTCGAATCTTGCATGAAGCCACGGGCGTCAGGTCGGTCGACGAATCGACGCTACCGCCCTTTAGAAAGCTAGCGCTACCAAAACTCCCGGCAAGCTGAGAACGCTCCCTGTCTCGGCGGTAGACAGGGCCAATGCATGTCGTTCGAGCCTGGGGGTGCTCCGTGTCCCTAGCAGAGGATGATGGACCACCTGAAATGAGGCTTGTGCTTTGTATTTGACGTTTCCATACGTCCGAAGCCCCGAGTACGTAGCTAGCCTGTCTATGAAACCACCCTGTCGAGCACGGCATCCCACTGACAGCACTCCATCTTTTCAATGTTCCTTCTCAAAGCTCATTCCAGATCACGGAGACGAGCTCGCCCTCGACATCAAGCCACGCCACAGAGTCGCCCAGCATGCCCGTCTCGACATCGCGCTCGATAATGACCACGCGACTATCGCGTTGCAGGCCAACTGCGACGCGAGAGCCTTCGGCGTTGGTGGAGAACTGGCGAGGCTGAATGCCACCGGCAGGCACCGTCTGGACAAGTTCTGGCACACCGGTGCACTGGTCGATGGCAAAGTTGGCCAAGGTGTCAGAGGAAACTGATCCGTCTCCGCCAAAGGCGGGAATTTCAAAAGACTTATCCATGCGGGAGGAGAGGATGACGTTCTTCTGGTCAGGCTGCCAAGTGTCAGCGATTACCCTGTCATTCTAGTTTCCCTACTGATAGAGCTTACCGTGACGAAGATTTCGGCACTGGTGACCCCCTCGGGGACCTGGCCGTCTTCACCATAGATGCTGCTGCGGTAGATCTCGTCAAAGGACATGCCTCTGTCGGTGTACGTGACGGTGTATGCAAGAATTGTGTTGGCGAGCTCGTTGAGAATGTAAAGATACGTGGCATTGTCGATGACGGCGAAGGCAGCATGGCGCGGGCCACTGCCAGCAGGAACCTCGAGAGGCTCATCAGGCTCCAGTGTAGCGTCGCTGGCGATCGAGTAGACGCGGACAATGTCGGCGCCCAGGTCGGGGGCCAAGACGTACTTTCCGGTAGGATCCGTGATGACCTGGTGAGGGTGCGCGGCCTCCTGGCGTTCAGGATCTGCGCCGGGCTGTTCAATCTCGTACAGCTCCTGCTGGATCATGGATGGGGCCGAAGGGTCGGCAATGTCCCAAGCCGAGATACCGGAACCAGCGCTGGAGACGTCACCAGTCGGAACGCGTGTGGACTTGCACGACAAGCGACTTACTAGTGGGCAATAGCGAAGTGGGAGTTGTCATCACCGTACACGACAGTGCTGACAGAACCAACAAGTACGTCGTTGACAGCACTCAGCAGCGAGAGTGAGCCATCGTCGTTGGTCGAATAGATGGCTGTCGTGCCATCTGGCCAGGTCCGCCAGCCCTCGTCGACGCAGATCAATGTCCCATCGTCCTTGAGGGTGAGCCACGATGGAATGGCACCGCAGTTGTTGTCTTGGGCAATGATGTCGAGGTCGGTGCCGCTCTCAGTCTCGGTGAGGTTCAGCGTCGACACGAAGCCTGAGTAGGACGCGACATAGAGGTACGTGGCCGACGCCTGGCCTGCCAGAAGAAGAACAGCGAGAGCACTCATGGAGAAATACGGCTGGCCTTTCAGGAGTACGGAGAGTGGTCAGCCTGGGGCCCTGGGACGAGAAGAAATGGGCGTTTTCTGATTTACTGCCGAGCGCAGATCCGTCACCGCGTCCAACCTGCTCGGAGTGCAACGTCCTTTTTAAAACGACAGCCTCGTCATGTTCTGCCAGGTGGTTCAGCCGGGTAAATTGGAGCAGTTGATTCATGTCAATCTGCCGCACTGTCCCGCGCGGTGCGTTTCACGATCCACGGACGTTAAACGTCCGAAACGGCCATATCTGGACGTGACCCACGCCGCAAGGAGCTGTGATCTACATAAAGGAATGCCAGAGGCTGCAGAAGATGCCTGATGCCTAGTCCCCGCGGGGTTCAAGCAGATATGGATGAGGCGGGCATAGATAGCAGTTACCGAAAGCTTGTTCCTCTGCGAGTTGCCTGATCTGTAGACTTGCTAACGCGAGAGGCAGAGAAAGCGATCGTGGCTTGCATTGGCCATCCATCTCCGGTATCCGATCCGATCAAGCCACAACCTTGGCTCCTGGCTGCAGCCGTTGAACGCTCGGCATTGGACTACAGCACATTCTGACGCGTGTTCGGGCAAGATAAAGTCATTCTGAATCACTACCGCATAACAGCAGGCATACTGATCCTTGTGCTCGACTGATGGTGTGCCTCGCGGACGCCCCGTCGTGAGAGAAAGCCTTCAGCATGGTGGAATGGTGTAGCATGTGTTGAAAATACCCAATGTGTCTCGTGCGTTTCGTTCCCAAATCTTGGCTGGCCTAGATGAGAGTGTAGTCGCGCTGCCGGTTGCTCTAGGCTCGCTGACGACAGCAGGCGGATTTGCTGTCCACCAGGTCCTTGCTCATCGAGGCCGAATGTGTGAGTCAAGCGGATTCGTGACATGCGAAACGTCATAGTCAACTTTCTCACTGCACAAGAGACCGGCAATGCGAAGCAGAACATAACGCGAGATGCACCTACTTTCACTGAGCAGGCTGACCGGGTGTCGAAGGTGGAGTGGCCATTCCCACTGCCTTTGCTGGGCATCCGACGATTACTTTGCCCACAGCCCTTCAACGCTGCCAGTCACCTGCAGCCTGTAGCAACGAGTGAGAGTGTGGTCTTCGTCCAAGGCATCATAGTGCGCAGAAGATTTGGACAGAGGGTTTGGCGTTTGTGCAGGTCCTGATCTCGACGCTCCAGATTCACCTTGCAAGAGATGGGCTAAGGGAACACCGGGTCCATTGATCGATCTTTTGCTGGACTCGAAGTCGAAGGCAGACTTGTCTTACAAATTGTGCAACTGGTTTGATATATGTGCTCGTGTGGCTGGACGGTAGTCAGAAACCTGGGACAGACTGGTGATGACCGGCTCATGAGCCAAACGACTGGCCTGCTGCGCTGCGATTTAGTGCCCGCGAAGTGCAGTGACTGGAGTTCCAGTGGCTCGAGACAGGAAAAGAACTTGAATAATTGGTCTCATAATGACAAACGACACCTCGTTTTAGGTTCCATGGACCGTCAACTAGTCGTTCAGAACTTAAGGACACCGGCGTGCGGCCTGTAACAACACTCTTGACACAACTGAAGTCGTCGGCTCCTGGAGTGCTCGAGCCGCGAACGCAGTTCAAAGAGCCATCAGAAATGAGTCGGCCACCACACTCACTGCCGATTGGCTGGCTATTCATCACGCGACCGGGCCACGCGACACTGGTCTTGCTCTGCAAGCCAGTCGCAACCTGGTACGCAACAATGAATGATCGCGAATGATTGGATGTCCGAGCCTGCGATGTCGCTCACGTTCCGGCATGTTCGGGTTCTGTAACTTCTGTAGGGGTCCGAGGGAGCAACACTGGCCGGCTGCCCATCTGGCTATGCCAGCTAGCGCTTGGTGACCAGAACATGCGCTTGCAAAAAAAGGCGATGTCGAGGCCCAGCTCTCATGTTCTTGAGTGTGCAATGAGTACGTCTTCATCAATCGAATTGCACTACCACTTGGGGCGAAGTAGTTTTCGTAGCGCCGAGTAGCGCTGAGTAAGGTAGGAGAATATAAAGAAACGAGGGATGACGTCCATATGTTGCCATGAATACGCTAAGTCAGGGACCAGAGTTATCGATAGGCCCCTAGTATCCCGCCAAGATCATTCTGCGCTTCTATCGGCGGCCGATCCGACTTCCCCCCACCACCGCACCGACAGCTGTCGCCGTTGCCGTCACCTCCTGTCAGGTCACGCGCACACGGACGAAACCTGGCTCGCGCGAGCTCGACCGACCCCAGTCATCTCCATCAGCGCCACTTGGCGCTCAGATCGTCGGCTCGAGCCTGTCATCATCAAAATGCTTCTCGTGCACCAGACAGGCAGCGTCAAGGTCGGCGAAGTCATCCGCTACACCGTCACCTACACGCCATCGCAAGATCGCATCCTGCCCTCCCCCGAGAAGCTATACCTTCGAATCAAGAATACGTCTGCGATCGCTCTCCGCGCGGCTTTTGTCCACGGTCCCTACACGCTCTCTGTCGCTGCCTACCCGCAAGGCTTCAATCCAAACGAGAAATTCGCCAGCTCCAAGTATGGCGTACCCGAGTTCGAGCCCATGGTCAAGGCGGGAGGATCCTGGGAGTGTGAGTTGATCGTGCCAGAGGACATTCGACAAGGTGCGGGCGCGGGCGCTCACGGTGGATTTGGAAAGAGCCACGACCATGACCAGGAGAAGGCGAGCTGGGTGGTGGAGGTCTCTTCCCAGGTCATCTTCTCCACTAGCGCCGCCGTTGGTTACGAAGTGCTCCTGGCGAGGGACAAGAAATCCCTGAGTCTCGGTGGCGCGGTCCCTGGGATGTCAAACCAGAACCATCAGTCGCAGCCTGGTAAGCTCGCAGACCACCAGCAGAGCATCGGGTCGAAGGATGGGCATCATGCTGGGCAACCAAAGGGTATCTTTTCCGGGGCCGTACAACTCTCGGTGGAGGATACTGCGTCGCTCTGGAATACACCGCGGCTACCGGAATGGGACGACAAGGGCGACGAAAGAGTTGACAAACGTGGGGCCTCGGATAAGCCGGTAGAGAGCATGGTCAACACGGGAGATAAGGAGACGCAGGAAGATCACATGCCACAGAAGCAGAACAAGGTGCACCTAGTGGTCCTGACGCACGGGCTGCACAGCAATCTCGGAGCTGATATGCTGTTCATCAAGGAGAGCATCGACGCCGCCGTCGCGCAAGCAAAAATCGACCGCAAAGAGAGGCGTGCCAGGGAGAAATGTTCCAGGAGGACATCAGACGACGAGCGAAGCGCCACCCCAACAGAGCCTAGGTCAGCCCAAGACCAGGAGGATAACAAAGTTGTCGATGACGGCGATGACGGCGATGACGATGATGAGGAAGTCATTGTCCGAGGTTACTCAGGTAATGCAACTAAGACGGAGCGTGGTATCAAGTACCTTGGTAAGCGACTGGCACGATATGTCCTCTCCATGACGTATCCCGATCAACCTTTTCTGCCCGTGGGCAACGATATGACCGACCACAGCGAGTATAACACCAGGGTGGGCAAAGCGGCACACGACAAGACCAACGAAGGCAAGACAACGCACAAGCACAGCACTGGCCACACGGGGAGGCATCACCATGCCAAAGAGCACCGGCCATACAAGATCACCAGCATCAGTTTCATCGCGCATTCCCTGGGAGGCCTCGTGCAGACCTATGCCGTTGCGTACATTCAAAAGCACTCCCCAGAATTCTTTACGCGCATCACGCCAATCAACTTTATCGCACTCGCCACTCCATTCCTAGGACTTAGTAATGAGAATCCCATGTACGTCAAGTTTGCGCTGGACTTTGGTCTTGTGGGCCGCACAGGAAAGGACTTGGGCTTGACCTGGCGGGCGCCGACCTTGGCCAGAAGCGGATGGGGCGCCATTGTGGGCAATCTGGGCGAGACCGCGCACAAAAGGGTCTATGGCGAGTCGCAACCAGAGTCGAAACCGCTTCTCAGGATTCTGCCCACCGGCCCGGCGCACACTGCGCTTAAGAAGTTCAGGAATCGCACGGTGTACTCGAACGTCGTGAATGATGGTATCGTCCCCTTGCGAACGAGCTGTCTTCTCTTCCTAGACTGGCACGGCCTGGGTAGAGTCGAAAAGGCCAGAAGAGATGCTGGCCTCGTCGAGACGATGGTAGGCTTTGGCTGGGCTGAGCTGACGGGGACAAACATGGCGAACACGAGGCTCAGGCAATCGCTTCCTCCAGGGGCGTCAACAAACGACCAAACGACCGATTCTGGAACTGATACGCCCAGAGGCAACATGTCTCAGGTCCCTCAACCGTCGACAAACGCTGTCGAGGAGGACGACCGCGTGAGCTTAGAATCAGTGGTCTCGCCGCAGGGCGAGAACGGGCCATCTGAGCAAGCGTCTCAGCAAGGCGTTCCGGGCCCCTTGTCAGGCTTCTTCAATTTTTTCCGAAGCAACGACACCAAACCTCCCCCAATGACCCACAAGCAGAGGCAGATCTATGATAAAAGTCAGACCAAGAAAGGTGAGCTTGCATCTAGCACTACGCTCACCTCTGGGACGTCGGAGTCTACCGAGGTTGAGCCTGCACGGGCCCAGGGCAAGGCAACGACAGGCCAGGAGTTTGAAGAGGAGATCAACGCCCTGAATACGCCTCCCCGCACTACTTTCTTTGAGGCGGCAGGCGATCTCCTCAACCCACACGTGCCGGATGTTGAGTATTTGGTCGACCCCGCGAAGCGGCCCCGGACCATTTTCCACGATCGTGTGTATCACCCGCAAGACATCCCTGCGCCGCCGATGAAAAAGCGGCCTACGCCACCGGTACGCCGGAGAACCTTTGGCCGGTCGAACACGGGAACGCTGTCGAATACTTCATCCTCCGCACATGGGTCGTCAAAGTCGGATGAATCCGACACGGCGACCAAAGACCAGGAGGCTCATAGGGTATCCGGCCCAGAGGAGCCAGGAGCCGAACACGTCGTTGATGCGTCGAGCATGCGGGTCGAAGAGAAGATTGCTCGCGGCTACCACAGAGACCTCTCCTGGCGAAAGGTGCTTGTCAAGCTCGAGCCGGATGCCCACAACAACATTTTTGTGCGACGCATGTTTGTGAATGCATATGGTTGGCCTGTTGTTAAGCACATCTGCGATGCACACTTTAGCGACTCGGCAGCGGCGCGCATGCGTGATGAAGACGAGGTGTCCGGCGAGCGTGCCCTGGACATGAACCAACCACCGCACGAGGACGGCGGGGAAACCAAGAGCGATTCAAAGAGCGCCGAGCGCAAGACATCCGAGGCGCGGACAAATAGCGAATCCCGCGAGGCAGAAGATAAAGTCCCGGACCTGCGCAGCACCGCGCCCAGCTCACCCGGCCGAACGAAGCAGGAGTCGGAGCCTCGGCCGTTGGAGCGAGGTGATTCCATGTCGTGGTCCGATCGCGACTGGGTCGACTCTGAAGTCGAGAGTGATGTCGATTTCGGGGAGGCGAGTCCGACCAAGGAATGGAATTGGAAGGAGAAGATTGTGGGCAAGGGAGGCAATGCGAGGCCGTCGGGGGCCAAGAGTCCCAGAGCCGCATAGAACGGATACGATGGAGGGGACAGGGCTCTGATGTGTAGACGGTGAATACTGACTAGAGTATAATGTATGTACGGCTATTCTTCATAAGCGTTCCATTTGCATTGTCTGGTTCTGCAGGGGTTGTCGGTGTGTACTCTTTGTAACTCCTTGTCGTGGACGAGTCTGCTGATGGTAGTTGAGATCGGTTGGCGTGAAAGTCAGCTCGAGTTACGGTCCGTTCGCAGCGCGCTCCCATGTAGGTTCAAACTGCTGAACTGTCAATGAGGAATGAATCTAACACTCGCCTTAGTTACTTCTCACTTTCACTGTCACCAGTTCCTCGGCGATGTTCGCCCCTATGAGCCCCCAACCTCCTTCTCAGCTCTCAGTCTGACCCTCACATTGTATTTCACCTTCTCAACCAATTCTTTTGAATTCTCCTTCCACAACTCTTTAGTCACCAGTATCTAGCACACTCACAATTTGAATCATGTTTCGCCCTTGGATCGACGAGCTCGATCCGCTCCCTGAAGACCCAGGCTTCGAACTCCGCTTGGATAGCGATGGCCGGGTAAAATGCGACGATATCAAACAACTTTACGCCGATTGGTATTCCAAGCACGAAAAGAGAATGACGCTTGAGGAACGCCAACACGCGCAGTATGCGTATGACCACCTAATCCCTCCAGACCTTATTACCAGAAGGGTTGAGTCTGCCCCCTCGGAGCATCACCTGCACCGAATCTTCCTTACAAAGAACTACTACGACTACACGTACCCCATCTTTGCCGCACTGAGGCTCTACTACGTTGAGCAACACAAAGACAATGGCTTCCACGGACAGCATCACTTGAAAGCGCTGACCACATTCAAGCGCGGGAGAGCAGCAAAGCTCATTGCGCAGCGGTACAATCTGGGCGGTAACGAAGACACGTTTTGGGGTGACTTTAAAGAAACATTTCCAGGCCAATGTCCCCCACGACCAGAGAGCTGGCCATGCATCGACTTTACCGGGGCTCAAGACATCTTGGCAGAGAGGGAAGCATCCGTCATTGACCTCGTAAGCAGCGACGACGAGGATGAGAATAACAGTGGGATCGCTGAAGCTGTCGGCATGGCATTCTCTCCTCCTACCACCAGCAAGGCAGACATCATGGAGCAGGGGAAGAGATGGATGGAATCGGTACGTGCTTTCAGTTCCCGGCTGGACAACATGCTAACCCATTCGCAGAATTGGTCGGACTGTTTCGAGACTACGGGTACGGCTTGGCCCATCAAGCCGACTGGAGTTGGAGATGTCCATGTCGACTACAAGAAAAGCTGCAAGCGACCGCAAGGTGATGATGCAGTCATTGAGGGAGAGCAGGGGACAGGCGCGGTAAGTGCAAGCCCCAACTTGGTGTAGCAAGCACGCAGCTAACAGTCCGACAGGAAACGCCCAGCCCAGAGAAGAAGCCCAGGAAGGCTATGAAGATGATCAAGAGACGTCTGAAGGAAGCGGAGAACAAGATCACCCAATTTGAACAGCGTGAGCATGCGACGCAGACGGCGCTGGAGGAGGTCAAGCGTGAACTAGAAGCGCAAAAGGCGACTGCCGCTGAGCTCAAGCGATCTGTTCAGCATGGCAGCAAGATGCAGCTGAGGGTGGCTCTGATGGACATGGCTCGAAGACTTGGTGTTGAAACCTTGGCATGAGGAGAGGTGGAGAGGACATGTAACAGGTAACCGCGTTGTATCAGATATTGGAAAGGTGGTTGGACTGGCGACATCCCAGACAAGGAAGGATTCTGGATTGAAGAAGAACACGACTTCAAAGAAGAAAATGGGTCACATGTAAAGCTAGAACAGATATATAATGATATTGTTTCGCTAGGAGCCAGGTCGCTGGCACCGCGTAGGCCAAATGTGATGGTGTTGAAGTTGAGGAGAGTCCTGGCTCATGTGTTTGGACACAATCATTACTGCAAAATGCGCAATCCCATCTTTGCGGGAAATGCCACGAATTTGTCCAGTGATAGGGAATGTCGCTCAGTTTGATATAATCAATGGACAGTGGTCTTGATGGCGTCGACCTCTCTCCTAGGAGACCACCGGATGGGACGTAATAAAGCCGGAACAAACATCGACAGTTTGACGCGCATAGAAATAGCCATAGTAGATGCACTGAAGATCAGATCCGGGCTGATAGTCGCCGCTCTGACAAGTAAGGTAGCAGTCCTAGGAGGCTGAACGGCAAAGTAGAACAAAGAAGGGAGAAAGAGCTTCGAGGCTCAATGATGATGGCTCAGATCAAACAACGGCAAAGACATCAAGGGTACGGCCAAGTTGAGACCAATCACATTTGACTACAGCAGAAAGATTCTCAGTGAATGCACAATTGTCCACCAGTCTAGTGCCCACCGAACTTACATTGGCAGATTTGAAGTTGACGATGACGAGTCCCAACTGACATATCGCCCACCGTTGACGGCACCACGCAGTAAAAGTCACTCATCCCAGATGACGGCCTGCTGCCAACCGTCTCATTCGGTCCCATTGTCAGGGGGAAAATCTCTGTTTGCTAGCCATGAGTCAAACATAAAGGAAATCTCAAAAGCACCCAGTCGCATCCGGTGGGCCCACGAGGTCACCAGTACTCACGTGGCGCGACATGAAGCGTCCACGTTCCTGCATCGCCAGCAGCTATGCGGTTGCATAACAGCGCATCTCCAGTCCATATGCGCGCTATCAACAACTCTGCTTGAAGCCAATTGAACGCGGAGACCGTCAATAATAACTCCAAAGACGAGAACAAATTAAGATTTAAAAGTGTTCCACTTGCCTGCGATGTTTGACTGAGCCTGGGATCGAATCAAGATTTGCAAGGTTGTCTGCAACTACAAGTATCTACCGTGGAGGGAGGCGTCTACTCTCCAATCACCGTGCAAGACGCTGCCCGCTGGACATGAAGCCAAGATGGATGGCGATCCCTGAATGGCTTAGCGCCAGGCACGCGACATGGATTCCTGCTGGAGCACGGGCCACCATCTAGCGCCAGGTCCGCTGTACACCCAAAGCGTCCAGCGGGTGGCCGACGCTGGGGAAATGAGAGGCCAACCAGCGTCTGGCGCCGCGCCCGCCTCAGGAAGATTAAGGAGATCTCTCTCGACGACGACCCACCATAACCCTCGCAGCCCCCCGTCTCAGCTCGCTCATTTCGGTCTCTTGTCCTGCTTCCTCTCTTTCATAACTACAACAGCAACATCCCCTCGTGTCTCACGCTCACTTTTCGGCCTTTGTCGCCTCATTCCCTCTTTTCAGAGTTCCTAGAGAATCTCGTTCCGCTCTTTCAGCACCCCACGCTCACACACCGCACTTGGTTATCTGTCTGCTCTCTTATACGCGGCTCTCATAAACGCCCTCACAACACCACTTTCAAAATCACATCAAACGCCAAAATGCTCTTCCGCACTGCTTCCGTCGCCGTTCTGGCATGCGCCGCCCACGCGGCTGCGAAGCCCCAGCCCTACAAGCTCGCCGTCATGAACGTCCCCAACCTGGGCTTGTCCCGTCGCGACACCTTTGGGTACCAGCCCGAGGAGATTGTCTGCAACAAGGGCGGCGAGACCTGCGCCGACGCCTGCGATGTTGGCTACGTTCAGTGCCCATCCAACGATGCCACCGTCCACTGCTACAACCCGACTGTCGACCAGCTGTGCTGCTCTGACGGCACCGGCAGTGAGTGACACGGCCCTACTCGAGAGGAAGAGCAATGCTGATTAAGTTCCAGACTCCTGCGACAAGGGCTACTACTGCACCCACGACACTCAGCTCGAGACCTGGTGCTGCCCCGACGCCATGGACCTCGAGGAGTGCGCCGCTGCGTACGGTGTTGACGGTGGTCTCGAGACTGCTACCGAGTCTACCTCCAGCACCACCACCACCACCACGTCGGAGCAAGAGTCCACTACCAGCACTACAAGCACGACCAGCACGACCTCGGAGGAGGAGACCACCACCGCCGCCGTTGTTGTTGTTGCCGAGATCACCCCTACAACTACCCCTGAGCCTGAGACTACCACCACCACCACCACCCCCTGCGAAACCCCCACCATCTCCAGCGCGTTCACTAGCAAGTGGACCGGTACCAACAGCACCAGCGCCTACACCTCGGCCCACGTCGTGACCTCGACCAAGGTCGTCGACGCGCCTGTGGACACCACCTCTCCCCAGGAGCCCGACAACACGGATGAGCCTGGTGCTGCTGCCACCTCTGGTGTCAGCCTTGCCCTACTCATCGCCGGCGCTGGTTTCGTCGCTCTCTTCTAAGGCAACCCGAACCGCGATTCTGACGAGGTTTATGAAGACAAGAGACCACGGTGCGACATGACGCCGGTGCCTCTTGCGAACATTGCACACAATGGGGGTGAGATGGTCCCAACTTAGGCTTGTCTGCGTATGAAAGTCTTGTCGAGACCACCTCCCGTGTCTCATAGCTAGGAGTTGGGAAGGATTTGACGTGATCTCTCGAGCGAACTTTTTTTCATGGTGGCTGCCCTCAACTGGCGGGATGTATGGCTTTTGTTTTTGGATTTGGTACATATTTCTTTCGCATTATACCTCCTACCGCACGCGCGGTAGCTCCTCTTCTTGGTGGGCGCAGAGGCATACGGCTCTCGCGTCTCACTGGTTTGTACGTATTCACCTAATGGACCTGATATACACGGACGGCTTTGGCGTTGATGTGCACTTGATGACGGCCCGCTCGCTTGGTGTAAGTGAGACATAACAGCAGACCCCACGTCGTAGATCCGCAAAGGGAAAGCGTGTGTGCTCTGGAATGCGGGAGCCGTTGCCGCGGCATCGGCAATTCGGGCGCCGCCAACGTAATCGAGGTACGTAGCGTCTGGCGTGGGAGACCTGCAGAGCTCTAGCTTTGCTCCGCTGCCCCAGTCCTGCTTCATGCGAAATACAAGTGCGATAGGCGGCCGTTGTGCTTGGATCCTTGTATGTCGCGCGGGCTGTTGGTGATCGACGCATTTCACACCGTGGAGAGGCGATTCTTATTTCTTAACCAGAAGTTGTGCGAAGTTTAGCAGACATCCCCTGCACTCGCTCGCGGACGGTCTGATCGAAGCTCACGTTAGTGCGACAACTCACAGTCCTACTGATCAGCTCCAGGGAGCTGCCGAGTCCGAAGTCATGCAGTGAAATAGGTCTTCTTCTCGGTGTGGTCATTGCAACGCAAAGCGCAACCAAAGATATGCAATCTATTTGAGCGCGATGAAATTATTCAAATCTGCACCCCGGGAGTTCGCTACCCGCCCTTGATCACGAATGCAGCATTCTTCAATGCGTCTATGCGCCAACCGCCTCGGGCTCCTTGTTCGCGTCGTAGCCGCATGACGCCTTGAGGCTCTCGACGAGCTGGATGTACTGCTCCTTGGCCTGGTCGGGGGTGGTGCCCTCGTCAACGACCTGCTGCCACGCGTTCTTCTTGGCCTTGCCCTGGTATTTGTGAGTTCTCTTGTTCTATCTGTGGGGAATCTCGCAGGGGCGGGGTGTGGGAATGAGAGGTGACCGGGGCGGACGGACCTTGAGATCGAACATGCCGGGAGCGGGCGCCTTGGAGATATCCTCGCCGTTGGCAACCTTGAAGAGAGCTGCAATATTCATGTTAGTGACTGTCTGTCGTCTGCATGGCGCCCCTGTGTCGAGGGCGATGGTGGGCGCATGGAAAGACTTGCCGTAGAGCTTGAGGAGGTCTTCGTTGCCAGGCTTGCTGGTCAACTTCTTGGAGTCGGCGACGGCGGTGTCAAAGTCGGACATTGTGAAGTGAGTTTCTGGTGTGTTGTCGCGGTGAAAAAGAGTGATGATTTTGTTTATTGTCGTCGTTGGTGAGGATTTGTTGGGAGACTTCAACTGTGGAAAAGGAGGGGGAGGGGAATGTTAGCGAACGGGGCCAGGTGACGTCGGGGTCTGGATTACTCTGGAAGCTCGTGAATGTGGGGCGGTAGGTGACGATCAACCTTCGGGCACCACAAGGTGGTCCACTACGCCCTATAGGCCTCTACACGTAAGTAAATCGAGGTTGCACGTGCGAACACAAGCCAAGTCCATATTCAAAGAGCAGAGGCTCTCAATCAAGCTCTACCAAAGCATGCTCTTCATGCTCCTGCCTTTGACCAACCTTAAGATAGCTAGTCCATGCCCTTTAGTAGTTTATGGCCGTTGCATTTCGCAAACGCTGAGAATCTTCCTCGTCTTGCTTGGGTAGACTCACCTCGGCACAGCAAGGACGAGCCATGGGAGGTGTGTAAGGTAACTTGAGACTTCAGATGTCGCCCGAGCTGTTGGTGAGACGCACCGGGTAACACCCGGCCAGTGTGACAGAGTGGGCACCATCTCACAAAGGGTGGTACTGACAATGGTGTTATTCAGACGTATTTGCACAATTCAATTCGCGTTGGAGATTGAGGCTTCATGCACCGTGTTAAACATGGACAACAGCTTCTGGGGCAAGAGGCCGTTGTTGTCACCGTACCTTCAAATTCACAACGGTTGCCACGTTTGTATTGCTCGTGCCGCCACTGTTTAGTGAACGCACATCAATAAAACGATTTCGTCTTGAGCAGCCAAGAACAACGAATTTCTCGCACAAACTCTGATTATCACAGGTTTGACAACCGCTCAGCGGCTAGTGCAGCAAATTATAGGGCCAAATGCGCTGGCAAAGAGGTGCAGGGTAGGCAGCGTCTGCGCCTCAGAGCTGCGTCGGGCATTGCATGGAGCACGCCTATTGGAGGTTAAGAATGTATTGAACGACTACAGCTTCCAACGTGTGTAAGTTGACGGGACTTGTTCGGTCTTTTCGGGAGAGAAAGAATTCATATCTATGATGTTGGTGCCTTAGGCAATAGACTTGACTGCAGCTATCCGCTAATGTGCTCCGTCCGCCGCCAGTGTACTAGTCCCGTACGATTCATCATCACTCCGCCCTTGTGTTTGGGGTCTGCTTCATCATTCACAGATTCACCACACAGCTGGCAACGGTCGAATACAATCACCATATTCAAAATGTCGAAAACCATAGTTGTGCTTGGCGGCAGTATGGCCGGCCTGAACATTGTCCACCGTCTTCTAAAGTACACCTTGCCCCATGAGTCTGACTTCAAAGTGATCCTCGTCTCCAAAGTAAGGAACCATGTGTTGCATTATAGAACTCGACGCTGATTTATATCCAGAACAGCCACTTCTATTGGAACTGCGCCTCGCCGAGAGGTGTCATCCCCGGACTCATCCCTGATGAGGAGTACATTCAGGCCATTGCTCCCGGTCTGGACAAGTACCCTCTCGAGAGCAATGAATTCATTGTCGGTAGTGCCACGGGCGTCGACAAGACGTCCCGCCAGGTGACCGTCTCGACCGCGGATGGGACCCGTCAGGTCAAGTACGACTACCTCGTCATCGCCACTGGCGCACGCTGCACTGAGGACACGCTCCCTTGGAAGGCCAACAACACATACGAGGAGCTCATTGAAAGCATCCACCGTACGCAGGAGAATATCAAGCAGGCAAAGCACATTGTCGTCGCCGGCGCGGGCGCCACGGGTGTCGAGCTTTGTGGCGAGTTGAAATTTGAGTACGAGGACAAGCAGGTCCTGCTCCTCTGCGCGGATGAGAAGCTGGTGGGCGGTGATTCGTGCCACGCATCCATGGAGAAGGGGCTCAAGTCTATGCATGTCGAGATCAAAAAGTCTGCTCGGGTGGAAGGCACCAAGACACTCGACAATGGCAAGACGGAGATCACATTGGGCAACGACGAGAAGATCACGACGGACTACTACGTGGCAACAATGGGCATGGTGCCCAACACAGAGTTCCTGCCTGCTGAGTGGTTGACTGACAGGAAGTATCTCAACGTGGATGATAATTTCCAGGTCGTGGGCGAGAAGGGGGTTTGGTCGCTCGGTGATGCGGTCTCCAGGCCAAGGGCGAGCTTCCCCGAGACAGAAGCCCAGGTGAGTCTTATCTTGTGTGTTTGGGTGCTATCGCAAGGGTAACTAACAGTCAGCAGGGTGGCGCTGTGCACAAGAACATTGAAGCAGTTCTCAAGGGCAAAAACCAATCTCGGGTCAAGGGCCTACCGGCCGATGTCTTCGTCTGCTCCATGGGTCGCAGCCGTGGCGTAGGTCGCATAGGCTGGGTGCCGGCTCCCTCCCTCGCCATCTGGGCCATCAAGGGCCGCACGCTTGGTCGCGAGAGGACGTCCAAGTACGTCGACGGAAGTGCGTTCTAAACCCACGGAGGTTGGACATTGAATAAAGGGCGAGTCGCAATAGAATATGTCCTTGAAGATTTATGCCCCGCTGGTCTGTATGCTCTCACCTCCCGGCCTTCTCATTCTCAATCTCCTGCCGCAGCTGCTCCAGCACCTGGTTCCTGGACGCGAGATGTGACTCCAAGCCCTCCACTTGCTCGCGCACTGTCTGCAGATCCTCGCCAATGCTCTTCAGGTTGCCGCCCGTGCTCTTTGACGAACCCTCCTCCAACTCGCGGAGCTGCCGCCTCTTGTAGTCCAAGAGCTGGTCCAGTTCTTTCTTGACGAGAGCCGGCTTCGAGTCCCGCTTGCCGCCCGATTTGCGCTCGGCAATCTCCTCGACTTTGCGAATCTTCTCCTCCAGATCTTGGAGCTGGCGCTTCAGGCGCACCTCTTCCCAGTCTTCTGTCTTCTCCGTTGAGAAATCTGTTCCCTGCGTCTTGAACCCGCTCCGTCCCAGTCTGGATAAATACTGCTCTCCAAACTTTGTCTTGCGACCCGTGCTGGTCGAGTCGTCAGATTTCGTCGCCCATCGCGAGCTCTTCTGGTTGGCGACTTGGTAGTCGATCTGATTGCGCTCGAAGCTGGATCGGAGAGACGCAGGCACTGTGCGCGGGATGCGGAACCCGTCGTGGCGATTGTTGAGTATGTGGAGGAAGGCAAGGGCCGCGTCTTTACTGATGGTCGAGTGCGCGGAAGGGTTGACCAGGTTCCACGCGGATCGGATATCTGTGTCGGGTACATCGAGCGATTCGTACAGGTCTTCCAACGCGCCGACTACTACCATCAGTGGATTTTCCGGCGACGCAGAGAGGCACACCCACATGAGATCTCGCCGCGCATGTCGCGGTTCTCCTGGTAGATGGACTCGTACTTGGCCTTGTCCTCGGGCTTCATATACCAATCGAAGCCGTCCTTGAGGCCTTGGTCATCTGAGTCGTCCTCGACTTGCTCGAACTGTGATTGTTTGCCGGTGAGCGCGTGCGACGCCTGCACGAGATGCGCTTTGGACTCTGGGACTAGCCAGTCGGGGATCGATGTCGGGACGTCCGAATATTCCTGTATTCGTCAGCAACGAGATAGGACAGCTTGGTGTGCTCGGGACAGGCGTACGCCGTTGAGGATGTCAAAGATGATTCGCATAGCCACGCAGAACTCCTCGAAGTCGAGATTGCCGTCATTGTCGACGTCTGCGAGGTCCCACACTCTTTCAAGTTGATCATCGCGCAGGCTGCTGTTTTTGAGAACTGGCGCAGCTTGTTCGCCCGTCAGGTATTTCCCCCCGCCGGTCCGCGCAGAGAAGATGTTCCAATACGTCTCGATCTCCTGGGGCTCGATCTTGGGTGCCATGATGCCAAGTCTAATCTGCTTATGTCTCGCCGATAGTTACAATCTGATCGTCTGAAAAGTGGCGCCAATGTCTGCAAAGCTCAATTGTAGTCGGACAATGTCAAGCGCCTCGGTGATGCCGGTAAATGAGCGACGGGGGATGGGATGGCGTAGGCGACTGTCGTCCGTCATGAATGGATTGGAGCTGCCGCCCCAGCCTCCGGAGCCCGGGTGGGTGACCAGCGCCAACGTGGCTGAGGCACATTCGGCTTGGGTGATATCTCGTGTATGTGCATACAGCAGGATGGGCTCCGAGAGGTCAAGAAATGGGAGACATACACGTAGAGATGATGGTCAGAGCACCTAGGCTCAGTGCCTACATGTACCTTCAAAACTGGCACATCCTCCCAGCGTTTACTTTGACGCATTGCAGCTGCACACAAAGGCTCTCAATGATACATGTACCTGCATGTGATGGGCTCAAGGCCAAGTACAACCACTCCCCCCAAATTGCACGCAGTGACTTCAATACCTTATGCTACATGATCACAGGGCTACAAATCGGAATGCACTGCTTTCCTCTATTCCGTACCTCACAACAAAGCGGACAATAAGGGCGAGTACAAGGCGGAGAACCACTATCCCTACGATGGACCGGACCCTGGGTTCGAGGTACCCTCAAGTTGAACGAGTTGAGGCGGCGCCCCAGTGTGACCAGGGGATGAACCGAAGAATCAAAAACAAAGACACTGGGCAGTGACATAGATATTACCCTGTTCGGCTTTTCTATCATTCATTATCAGATTGTCTATGAGATCAAGAACCAACCGAAGCAAGATGTGGCGTGGATTCGGTGTATTGTTTTACCCCACAATGGACTAGCGGCGGAAGCTGGAGGGGCGCCAAGCGATTGACCGTTTGTCCCTCCTTTTCCTCTCCTGGTAGAGGGGCAAATATTCAATCTTAATCACCGTGGCACGACTTCCCTCGGCATCCTCACAACAGATTGCAAGCTGGTTCTATTTACTATTCTGATTTCGAAATTGCATTTGGCGACCGCGACAATGTCTCCGACCACGACAGGGACCACCACCGGCATCACGGCCGAGACGATGCTCCGGTTGTTCCCCGACATCGACACCAGCTCCGAGGCGCTCTCTGGCCACGATGAGGAGCAGATCCGCTTGATGGACGAGGTGTGCATCGTCACCGATGAGAACGATGCGCCTATCGGCAAGGCTAGCAAGAAGATCTGTATGTTGGCAGGAGGCACGAACCCCGGAGAACCTCGGTTTCTGACCATGACCAGGCCACCTCATGTCCAACATTGACAAGGGCCTCCTTCACCGCGCCTTTTCCGTCTTCCTCTTCAACGATAAGAACGAGCTCCTCCTCCAGCAGCGCGCCTCCGAGAAGATCACATTCCCCGACATGTGGACCAACACCTGCTGCTCGCATCCCCTCAGCGTCCCCAGCGAGACGGGCGCCAACCTCGAGGACGCCATCGAGGGCGCGAAGCGTGCCGCGCAACGGAAGCTCGACCACGAGCTGGGCATCAAGGCCGAGCAGGTCCCCGTCGACAAGTTTAAGTTCCTCACCAGGATCCACTACAAGGCGCCCAGCGACGGCAAGTGGGGAGAGCACGAGATCGACTACATCCTCTTCATCAAGGCCAACGTCGACCTGGCGCCCAGCCCGAACGAGGTGCAGGCCACGCAATACGTCTCCCCCGAAGTGCTGAGGAAGCAGTTTGAGGACCCCTCGCTCAAGTTTACGCCGTGGTTCAAGCTGATCTGCAACTCGATGCTGTTTGAGTGGTGGGAGCATCTCGATGAGGGGCTTGAGAAGTACATGGGCGAGAAGGAGATCCGTCGCATGTTGTAGGGTGCCTTTTGGGACATGGATACGTGTCCGCGCGTACCCGGACTAGCACATAGTTTTCGTTGATGAGAGCTCATGGCCTGTTGAGCAATGATGCCCTTTGGGCATGGACACGCGCTGAGGAACATGAAGCTGCGCTGGTGCTCCCCAATACATGATACCCTAACGTTTTGCGGCCAGTGGCTACACCTCCTCGTTGACTGATGTCAGTCTCTTAGCATAAAGCAGGCTGTGGAAGAGCCAAGAGCCCCTTTCCAAGGTGACCACCCCCGCAAAGGTTCGCTGTCTTGTGTGGGACGCTGGAGAGAACACGCGGGGAGTATGCCGTTATTCTGCGACCACCACATACATGTTGATTACGCACCACACACAGCCCAGCGCATACATCACGATGCTAACCAGGCATGCGAATCCTCCTGTTCGCATGCGTTTAGCGGAATTCTATTCCGTCAGATGGCATGCTGCGGTGTGCCCCACCCGCCCAGGCAGCAATGTACGTGGTACATTGTCTCTAACAGCTGAGCAGGATCAAGAACTCGATACGCTTGTCGCATTGCTTGCAAATGGCTTTGGACATTACCATGTGCAATCTATTCTCGACAAGGACTCTTTACAACATTGAGTCAAGCGCGTCGTTGTCATACGTGTAGCCTACGGCCATGTCTTGGCTACCCTCGCGTCTGCCCTTCCTCAAGGGCCCAGCGCGATCACAGGTCCCGATTGTGACAACCGACGAGATCGTCCCAGTGCATCTGTTCGACAGTACCACGGCACTGCAGTCATGCATCCTTGTGTGGCTGTTCCGCTTCAACGAGCGATTGGACCCCGACAAACTTCACGACTCCCTCTCACGCGTCTTCCAGAGGGAAGGATGGCGCAAGCTAGGGGGCCGATACAGGCGTCGAGTATGTTGCTGGCCTTTGACGTATCATTCATTGACGACACTAACATGGTGCACCCAGAGCAATGACGGAAAGCTGGAAATTCACATACCCAAACCATTCACAGCCCAGAGACCACCGGTCCACTTCACCCGAGAGACGTTCAACACACGCATGGATGAGCACCCGTTGGCGTCCAAGCTTCCTCAGGCCACTGGAAAGGTCACCACATTCCCGGGCCCACGGGCCTTCAACGCGCTTGCCATGGGTCCCGGGTCACCAGCTACGTACGATGACCTGATCTACGACGACAAGCCCCAGTTCTCGCTCCATGTCACCAACTTCACAGACGGCACCCTCGTCGGGCTGGGCCACTCCCATATGACCGCCGACTTGCTGGGCCTCACGGCTGTCATTGAGGCATGGTGCCAGGAGCTGGCGGGCGAGTCTGACAAGATTAAGCCATTCGGAGGCGTGGAGGAGGACGGCATGAAAGGTCTGTACGAACCCCCGACGCAAGAGAAACATATCCTAGCCGGAAAGGAACTCCAGGGATCAGGCCTCGCGTACTGGGGGCTGCGTGCGGTCTGGCAGGCAAAGAATGCACGCCTGGCTTCACGCACGCTGTGCATCCCCAAGACGACAATGGAGAAGCTGGCCACGCAGGCCAAGAGCCAGATGACGAGGCAGCCGTCGGACACCCTTCCGCCAGACGGACGCGACGCACACTTCATCTCGGACGGGGACGTGCTGGCCGCTTTACTGTGTCGTCTCAACGCCCAGAACCAGTCGACGATGAGCAGGAACATTGTGACCATGATGGCGCTCGATCCACGCACACGCGCCCCCTCGGCGTTTCGCACCGACGTCGCGTACGCGGGCAACTCACCAACGGCCGTCTTCTTTGAGTGCTCTGCGCAGGACGCCGTCGACATGTCCCTCGGGGACCTCGCCCTCTGCGCCCGCCAGGCGATTGCAGCACAGGCGACCGAGGAGCAGATGAAAGCCTATGCCGCCCTTTCCGCGGAGTCAGTGCGGGCGAGGAACATGAATGTCATGTTTGGTGACAGGAACATGGCCTTTCAGCTCATGTCCAACTGGCTCAAGGCGAGTCTCTTTGAGAAGATTGACTTTAGTCCGGCAATAGTCGAGGAGGCATCGTCGGCGGCCAGAGCGGCGAGCCAGCACAAACGGGGGCATCCGGTGTATTATCACTCTGCAGACCCGGGCGACGTCGAGGGTCCGTATGTTATGCATCTGGTGGTGGTCATGGGGGCGGATCACGATGGGAATCTCTGGATGTCATGCGTTCTGCCGGAGACTACGTGGTCAGACCTGGTAGGATTTCTGGACTCCCTCTGATGTCCAACCAAGGTTGTCCTCTATCGTCATGTCGATCTGCCGTGCTATCCAGCTTTAGGGCCCGCGCTCCCAGCCAGCAGCCTCGTCTGAGCTATTTGAGTTGGACTCTCGACAACATCCTTGGTGCTGATATCGTAGCCACGGGAACGGTACTTCTCAGACAACAGCAGAGCCGTGACTACGTCCGCTCCACGATCCCACATTGTCGGTGACTGCGCGTCCTCATGCTCTGTCTGCCCTCCTGGCGAAATACCCAACTCTTCCCATGCTTGCGCCACAAAATTTTCCACCTGAGATGAAGCAACTTCTTCCTGACGTGTGCCATTCGACGCTGCCGCTGCAGATGGCACGTCGACAGAAGGGTAGGAAGCACCGCCTAAGGCCTCGCTAAAGTGCCCAACACTTTGATCCAGACAGGATGGCAAAAGACGCAGGATCTGCTCCAGTTTCGTGCTAATCCACCGGATCCTCTCGTCCGAGAACGTGGCCGGCGAGTAGAGTAATGTGACGGCAAGGTCGTTACCATGAGGCATCGCCACAACATGGAGATCCGTCGCATCGCCAAGCTGTCCTTTCACGGTAAGCGTACAATCCACACCGCACATTTTATGTGTCTGATCAAACACCACAGAGTGGTGGTTCTGATACACGAGAGCTGTGCTGAAGCGCGTCCACGATGGCCAGGGGCTGCATTCCTGGATGATGGTCCGGGTCCCGACGTGATGATGCGGCAAGCTAGCGAGGTGCTGCTCGTGGATTGCAGCAACAAACGAGGCGAGTATGGTGCTTTTGTTGGTCTGGGTCCTTATGGGTACCTGGTTCACGCAAGGACCACGGACCTCTTCTACACCGGCGAGTGGTAGGTAGCGGTTGGCGCTGACCTCACCAAAGACAACGTCGTCTGTGTCGAGAGCCTGAGAAAGGAGTAAGGCCCAGGCTGCTTTCAGGACGCTGGAGGGTGTCGCCCGAGGAATTGCCTTCAAGCCGTCAAGTGGCACGCGAATGTCCTTCTTGTGGTCGAGAAGCTGTTGGCTGCGTGTTGCGCCCTTGGGAACGGGCACTAGGGAAGACATGGATGCTTCACGCAGCGCCGACGTCCAGAAAGCGTGTGACTGCGTTTTTTTGAGGGTTTGCACATGTGAAACCCAGCGGTGGAAATCCAAGCCACCTTTGGGGGTAGTTTCGGTCGCCATGTATCCTCGGTGTAGATCTCCCATGATGAGCCCCATGGACACGGCGTCGTACAGAGCGTGGTGAATCTCTAAACGTAGCGCCTCGCATCCCCCCTGAGTCGCAGCAACGACGTGGAAACGAGCCAAAGGATCGCCTTGGCGAAAGGACAGCTGCTTTATGCCTGTGCTCTGATCATCTGCCTCCGCAGTGACAACTGCCACCATTTTTGCTGCCCAGCTGCTGCTGCTGTTACAGACAATCTGATACAGCTTCCGACCAACCCGAGCAAAGACTGTCCGCAATATGGAATGCTGCTCTATCACTTGCACGCAAGCCCGTTGGAGCCTGTCCTCGTCAAGACCCGTGTCAAACTTCAAAACAAAGTCGACGTAGTACCCGCGCCCTCCCAACTCCCCGACCGCGAGCATTGTGGCCTGTCCATCCGTTGCTGGAACAACCGCCTCAATGTTGTCAGGTTTGAGATCCATCTTGAAGTCCAGGTCGTCACGGTCCAGCAGACGCACGTTGGAGGGCCCCTCATCCTCCTTTCCTTGTATAGGATCGACATGGTTTCTTTGCGAGGCCCTCGCGTTCTCAGCAATGCAGCGGAGCGGTAGATTCCGCAACAAAGACACTGTTGTCACCTCGAGACCCCTTTTCCGGCATTGACTGGCAGCGTGCATCGCCAGAACCGAGTCCCCGCCCAAAGTGACGAAGCAGGACTCGCGACCAATGCGTTCCCCTGGTATGCTCAACACAGAAGACCACACGGATTGGATAAGCTCTCCGTCAAGCGTGTCCGGAGGCGATATTGCGGTTTCGCTGCTCGCCAGGGCGTCCGCGGATGCTTTCACGGCAGCACCGAGATCCTTTCTGTCCTTGACCCATTGCTTGATACGAGCGCGGTCAAGTTTCATTGACGAGGTCTGAGGCATCCTCTCAACGAACAAGTAGGCTGTTGGTATCATATAGGAAGGCAGACGAGTCTCGGCGTGATTACGGATGGTTCGGAGGTGGCCGGCCACGATTCGTGCGTGTTCTTCTGGCAGCTCTCCCAATATACGCTCCCGGGGTAGGTCAGGATCCATGAGCGCAATGACGGACAACAGATGGGTGCGGCCATCGATAATCTTTGTGGTGGCGAGCGCAGTCCGCACCATGGCGCAGCTGCCGAGGGCGCTCTCGACTTCTCCCAAATCCAGACGCTGGCCGCGAATCTTTACCTGATCATCTTGCCTGCCAACGAAGCAGATGCTGCCGTCTGGGTTGTATCGAGCCATGTCCCCCGTTCTGTACAGAAGACGGTCTCTTGGTCTATTGGTGTCCGGAGATGGGAGCCAAGCGGGCCGTTCGATAAAGGCGGCTTTTGTCTTCGCGTCATCCTTGAGGTAACCTTGTGCCACGCCAGGCCCTTCAATCAGGATCTCGCCAACAGCACCAATTGGTACAAGCTGCTTGGGGTTCTTTGGATTAGTGAGCCAAATGGCACAGTTTGCTGGGAGGCCAATGGTCTCTGGATAAGGGGCATCTGGCCGAAGTGCCGCTACTGCGCTGACGATGGACGTCTCGCAGGGGCCCCAGCCGTTGAACAGATCGAGACGTTTCCCCCACGTAGTGAATGCATCAGAGGCCACGGGTTCGCCGGCTGATATCAGCGTCTTGAGTGTAGGTACCTCATCCGGCGCAAGTGTGCGGATCACGGTTGGTGTGAGCCATGCACAGTCTACCCTGCTCGACGTGATGTAGTGTGCCAGCCTGGACCGCCGATCCTCTTCAGAGGGTATGCAAAGGATGCCTCCTGATAGCAGCGCACCAAAGGTCTCTGCTAGATGCATGTCCCAGACGTACGAGGCGAACTGAAGCATGCGGTCGCCAGCCCGCCAGCCGAACCGTTGGACTAGGCTACTGACTGAAGAGCTGAGGTTGCGGTGGGACAGCATGACGCCCTTGGGCACACCTGTGCTGCCGCTGGTGAGAATGACGAATGCGAGGGATTCTGCGGATCTAGGTGCAGTAGCATCGCCTTCGTCTTGAGAGCCGGTGGACAGTGTTGAGACTGACGATGCGCCCACCTCCATCACGTCCACAGGAAGATGGGCGCAATTCTCGGTTTCAGAGTCAGACACTAGAAGATGCTTGATCGAAGCCCGCGTGATAATGTCCTTTTTACGGGCCGTAGGATCGGAGGTTGAAAGGGGCACGCAGGCACCCCCGGCCTTCAGGATGGCAAGCATGGCGACGACAGCCCAGATGGACTTTGCGAAGCAGAATCCAACAAGTTCGCCCGAGACGTTTCTTTTCTGCAATTCATGGGATAGGGTGTCGGATATGTCGTCCAGCTCCCGGAACGTAGCACGTCCATCCCAGGCGTCCACCGCCGTCAAAGTTGGTGTTCTCTTGACCTGAGAGCGGAAGAGATCGTGAAGACAGACTTCAACTTCTGTCCAAGGGCTACTCCTATTCCAGCTCTTGATCTCATCGAGGTCAGCTGCGCTGAGAGGTGGGATGTGTTCCAGCTTTGTTTCATGGCTGGCCTGTGTGATTGCCCTTAGGTAGTGCTCGAACTGCGATAATATCCTCGCCAGCTGCTGCTGAGGTATGACGGTGGGATCCGCAACCGCGTTGACACGTAAAACGCCGCCTTGGCCTAGGTCGCAGTTTAAGGTGAGAGCAAAGGCGCCCGTCGGCTCCTCCATATCCCGATAGGTCACCAAGGGCTCTGCGCTGCCGTCACCATCAGAAGCGTCGTGCCAGCGAGGACGTACGTTGAGTAATGTTTGAAACCTCGCGGCAGCACTCGCGGCATCGCTGGCCATCTTGATCTGGGTCAACCCATATTGGAGGGAGGGACTGTTCTGCAACTGCCGGCGCGCTGCAGCCCTTGTCTTGAGCATGCTACTCACCGTCATGCCGCGACTGAGGCTGATCTGCACGGGCACAATAGCAATGGTAGGACCCAGGGTCGTGGCGGCAGCAGGACACGCAGTCGCTTGGCGACCTGAGAGAACGAGCCCGAAGGCTATGTTTTCGCTGCTCGTGTAGACGGCAGCTGTCATGGCCCAGGCAGTCTCAAGAAACGATGGGATGTGCGCTGCTGGCACCTTGGAATCATCCAGAGCAACCTCGCGAGCCATCTTGAGAGTTCCCAGTGGCATGTGTCCGCGGTCCACGGGAGGGAAGACGGTGGGGACGCCCTGGAATTGGGATTTCCAGAATTTCCTTGCCTCTGTGTCATCAATGTGCAAGCAGTGATCGACAAACTCCGTGAAGTCTGCACGCTGCACAGGCTGATGTCCATGGTAGACGTCGAACGTGTCCAGAAATAAAGGGGTAAGGGAAGCGTGGTCCATGATGGCATGATGCATCGTCAGGACCAGATGGGATCCGACAATGGCAGATCGGAAAAGCGGCATTGCTAAGCCCAGTGACTGTGCTTTGTTCTTGGCTAGATACCGCTCTAGGTTCACATTGTCTTGTTCTGCCTCCTGGAAGCGTAATGTGACGTGTTCCTGGTTCATGACTACTTGAAGCAGTCCCGAAGGGCCATCGACGAGCCTCGTGCGTAGTATGGGGTTCAGGGAGACAACCTGCCCCAAAGCCTCGCACAACCGATCATTGTCGACCGACGAGGAGAGTTTGAGGATGAACTGGAAGACACTGGCGCCACGGTGAATCGTCGACTCGGCCATGGCCGCTGTCTGGAGCGGCGTGCACTCGTAGACATTGTCAATGTCGTTGGGCGACACATGACACGCCGTAGCCACCGCGGCCAGTGTCATTTGATCGATGTCCTTTGGCGACATTTTGGAGTTGATTTCCATCAATCTAGATCATAATACTCGATATTGTAGCTTTCTATCCCAGGTACACTCTCTGTCTCTCCCAGGCAACCGACCCAAGCTGGCATGTGTACTGAGCGTAGGGTGACCAGCCCCCCAACCCCCTCAGACGCGCGACTGGAGAAGAGGAGACAGGACTGTGTGGTAGACCAGACGTACCTGGTCTCTGCTTCATCGTGCCCGTGTCGGACTATGAAATCAGGCAACTATGAAATCAGGCAACAGTATTCCTGCTTGCGCCCGGCGCTGGTGGTCTGTAGCGCTGATGTCGTGCTGCTTGCGGATCATCACATGCGGGAGGTGAGCGAAAACGGCGTTGTGTGCACCAACCGCGGCGCATCTACTACATGTAGACAGCAGATCCTCCATTGATCGCGCCTGACGCGCGATCAATGGAGACAATGTCCCACGAACCTCTACACGATAGATGACGATGACGGGCAACTCGAGGGGGGTAACTAGGGGGAGAGTTCCCCATCAAAGGATCAAGATGCGTCTGCGCCGCACAAGTCCACGGATCCTCCCATCCATCCATCCATCCCCACACGCACCATCCATCGCATCGCGGGGATATCTTGTCCGTCTGCTAGCTTGCACCCCGCGGCCGACTGCCGTGGCCGGCACCTGAGAATTTCATCTATTTGATGTTGGCAGTGGGGGTTGGGCGTGGGTAAAGTAGCAGGGTCAAGACCATGTTGAACGATGCCGGAAGCCGCAAGGGGTCGGGCATATCCACAAACTACTCGTGAAGACAAGGTGGACGGAGCCTAAATTGGGCGCCGCAGCTTGATGCGTTGGATGTTACTGGATAACTTGAATTCAGCCTGTCTCGAATACGAAGCGTCACGTCAAGTGTCATCTACGTGATAGTAGAGACATCTTGATGACCCCCTGCCTGCAGTCATATAGGAGAAACCCAACCCAATACAATACGTACATGAATGTATGTATGTACGCACGTACGCCAGCATGGCCGGGAACAGCCAGAAGTAGCACAGGTAGCAAACGTACATGTAGCATGCCACCATCTGTCCGAGACGAACACCAAGTGGCTCATCTTCCTGGCTATCCATGCCTCTCCACATCTAGGCAACAGCAGGAACCCCTAGTGCCTCATGGACATCACATCATCACAACTTAAATACCGACCTACACATGCTCATCAGCATTACCTACGCTCCCTCCCCCCTACCTTCCCCCCAAGGTCCTCCTCATGCCTCCACAATGAGCATGGACACACCACATCCCTCCCCCATCGCCGTCATAGGACTCTCCTACCGCGCCCCAGGCGTTGGACGCAAGGGTTTGTGGGACTATCTGGCCGAGGCAAAGTCAGCCTGGTCCACGGTACCACCCAGCCGCTTCGATTACGATGCCTACCATCACCCCGACAAAGACAAGGCCGGCTGTATCGCCGCGGCGGGTGGCCACTTTCTGCCCGAGGATGAGGACATTTACACCTTCGACGCACCCTTCTTCAACCTTCGACCCGAGGAGGCGCGTGCCGTCGACCCGCATCATCGCATGCTCCTAGAATGCGCCCTCGAGGCCGCCGAGAGCGCGGGCGTCACCCTGCCGCACCTCGCCGGCTCCAACACCGGTGTCTTCTCGGCCATTGGCTCCCCCGAGCATGGCCACATGCTGGGAGAGGACATGCCCGCCTCGTCCACGTGGACGTGCGCCGGTGGCGCGCCGTGTATGTTTGCGAACCGCTTGTCGTACTTTTTCGACTTGCATGGGCCGAGCATCGCCCTCGATGCGGCGTGCGCGAGCAGCACATATGCCGTGCACATGGCCTGCCAGAGCCTGCGCGCGGGCGAGTGTGACAGTGCGTTTGCGAGCGGTGCTGCGCTCCTCATGGGACCCGGGCAATGGAGCTTCCTAGACACAATGGGGTACATACAGTCCCACGCTTCCTTTTGTCGATGTTGAGCATGTGACTGACGGAACCTTTTCTCTGTGTAGCGCGTTATCGCCAGAAGGGCGGTCCTTTTCGTATGATAGCAAGGGGTCAGGCTTTGGTCGAGGCGAAGGTGGCGCATGTCTGTTGCTAAAACGTCTCGACGACGCAGTCCAAGCCGGTGATCCCATCCACGCCATTATCCGCAACTCAGCCTGCAACCACGGCGGTCGATCGGATGGCATCACCATGCCCAGGCAGTCTGCGCAGGAACAGCTTCTATGGCGGGTCCATCGAGAAGTTGGCCTGAGCCCGAACGAGACGCCGGTCGTCGAGGTACGTATACCTCGTGTATCGAAGAGTGACATTGCTGATACCTGTCATAGGGACATGGAACAGGTACTCGAGTCGGGTATGGCTGCTCGTGACACTACGCCAAGTACAAGACACAGTCCACTGACAGATAAAGTGACCCTATCGAGGCTGGATCTTTTGTCAACGTGCTCGCGACTCGCAGGGGACCTGACAACCCGCTCTACATCGGGTCTTTAAAGTCCAACTTTGGGTGAGTCGGTCGGGCAACGACGACAGCAATATCAGGTTACTGACACGATTAGACATCTCGAGGGTGCGAGTGGCATCCTCGGTATGATCAAGGCCATCATGATGCTCCAGAATGGCCATGTGTTGCCAAACGCCGGTTTCGAGCGGTTCAACAGGAGCATCAAGGGCAGCGAGAGGCTTCGGGTGGCTCCTACGAAGCTACCGTGGCCAGCTCATGAGCCTCGACGAGTCTGCGTCACCAATTTCGGCTTCGGTGGCAGTAACTCGGCCATCGTCATGGATGAAGGGACGTGCACTACTTCAAAATTAACCAACGGCGACGCCGCGACACAGAACGGCGTGCATCATGGACCCAAGAACCGGGTATTCGTATTCTCTGCCAAGTCAGAAAGCAGTCTCAGCGCTTACCTTTTGTCATTCAAAGAGTACCTAGAGGGCGCCGTGTCGACAGGGCAGCAATGGCTGGATAACCTCGCGTTCACACTCGGCGAGCATCGAACGCACCACTCTTATCGTGCGGCCGTGACAGCCGCGTCGTTGGGTGGCTTGAAGACACAGGTATCTACGGCGAAGCCGAGGAAGAGCAGAGAAAGGACAGTGTGCTTTGTCTTTACCGGACAAGGTGCCCAGTAAGTGAACATCCGCCTCATTTCACGCGGCTCCGCCTGACTCAAGCTCTCCCACGCAGACACGCGCAGATGGCAATGGCCCTACGCGTCTACCATGTCTTTGCTGCGGCCCTGGATGAGGCGGAGGCGATTCTGACAAAACTGGGTGCTACGTGGTCCCTCAAAGGTACGTTCGTCCTCGTCAAGACACTGCTGAGCAAATTAGTAACATCAAATGATGAACAGAGGAGCTCGCCCGCCCACCGGACGAGACACGCATCAACGAGGCGGAAATCAGTCAGCCGGCGTGCACCGCCGTCCAGCTTGCCCTTGTGGCTCTGCTCAGATCCTGGGGCGTTGAGCCAACGGCGGTCACGGGCCATTCCAGTGGAGAGATAGGTGCTGCATTCGCCGCGTCCCTCGCCTCTTTCGAGTCCGCCATCGCCATGGCCTATTTCCGCGGCCGGGCCACCGTCCAGCTCGTCCAGGACAAGAATCTAAAGGGCGCCATGTTGGCTCTCGGTGCCGGATCTGAGGCGGCAAATGGACTCTTGGAGCCGCTCGACCAAGAGAAGGAGGGATACGTCACAATCGCTGCCATCAACAGCCCCTCGAGCGTGACGGTTTCGGGCGACGAGGCAGCCGTTGACAAGATCCACGAGCTCGCCAAGGGGCAGGGTGTGTTTGCCCGAAAGCTCAACGTCGACGTGGCCTACCACTCGCGACACATGGAGCGCGTGGCCGACACGTACCGCGCAGCCATTGAGCCGTACTGTACTGATTCTCCCTCTGTCGACTCTGTGGAGCCGTCTGGCAACCTTAAGAGGCCGAGGTTCGTCTCGTCGAGCTCACCAGCCCACAACAAAGGTGGTGATTCTGTCACCACGCCGCTGGATGCATCGTATTGGGTCAACAATCTTGTGAAGCCTGTTCGTTTTGCTGAGGCCGTGGAGAAGACGTTGGACATGGAAATCAGTGCCACCCGACTCAAGCCTTCCCATGTCATTGTCGAGATTGGCCCACACTCGGCGCTCAAGGGTCCAGTCCAGCAGATTGTGGACCGCTTGCGAGAGCGGCAAAAAGACCAGAAGCAGCAGAAGCAAGTGAGCTACCTGTCTTCCCTTGAGCGAGGCACGGACGCTCACGAGGCCATCCTCAACCTCGCCAAGGGCCTCTTCACCCTGGGCGTACCCGTGTCCCCGGGTGCTGTCAACCAGACAAACGGCGAGGATAGGGGTGCGCAGATAGTTACCGACCTACCACCGTACGCCTGGGATCGTGCAGTCCAGTACATGCTCAGGTCACGCATCACCCAGGCCAAGCTGCACCCCGGCCAGCCGTACCACCCACTGCTCGGGTGGAAGAGCCCCTATGACGAGGGCAACGAGACCTCCTTCCGCCAGGTGTTCACGCTGGACGAGATGCCGTGGATAAGAGAGCACGCCGTCGGCGGCCAGGTCATCTTCCCCATGACGGGCTACCTCGCGCTGGGCATGGAGGCGCTACGGCGAGTCCACGTCGCTTCCGCGTCGCCATCGAACAAGGGCATTGGAAGTCTCGTCGTATCCGAGTTCCACGCCAAGCGCAGTCTCGAGGTCGACGAGGACGAGCGGGTCGACTTGACCACCAAGGTTCGTCCTGCCTCGTCTGGGACCGAAATCTTCTCCTCCACGTCGTGGGTCTTCGAGGTCTGGAGCTGGTCGCAAGAGTATGGGTGGACATCTCATGCTCACGGGCAGCTCGAGATTGAAGGGACGGAGCCGAGTGCGTACACGCAAACGCTGCAGGCGTCGCTGCCCCTGACTGACACGCGCCAGCTGCAGGAGCGCGATCCCGAGGCAGAGTACCACAAGGACCACAGCGAGGGCACCACATATGGCCCTGCCTTTAAGCGCATGAGGCGGTTCTGGGAAGGCCCCGGTTTCACCGTCATGGAGACAGAGTTGCGAGAGCTGGACGTGATAGCAGCATCCCGTTCGCCGTTTGGATCGCCCGTCTGCGTCGACACACCGACCCTCGACAGTTTCCTGCAGGGACTCGGGCCGCTGCTGGAAGCCTATGGAGAGAAGCCTGCCATGATGCCCAACTATGTCAGTCGCCTGCGCATCGCCAACAATATCCCTGCCGATCCAGGGCTGCGCCTGACAGTCGTGACTCGCCTGCTCGACTATGACCTCAAGGCGGGCCTCATGCGCATCAGCGTGGCGGCCTTTCAAAGGGGCGATAATGACATCAGCACAAATGCTTCATCTTATTCTTCCACCCTGACCCCAGTCGTCGAGTTTGAATCTGTCTCGCTGCGCGTCGTCGCATCTGGTTCCTCTGGAAACACCAACGCCGGCTCGACGTCGTCAACGTCCAAGAACATCCCGGCAAGCTACTTCTGGGATCTGATCCCCAGTCTGCGCGACCTCTCAGACAATGACAAGCTGCGCGAGTTTCTGCAAGTTGGTCCCACGCCGGACGCGGAGCGTGAGCGCGTGCATGTGCTCAACCAGGCGGCCATCCATTTCATGCAGCAGGCCTTGGAGGCAACAAGAAATGAAGAGCTTAACTTGCCTCCCCATCTTGCTCGATTCCATACATGGGCTGTAGCCAGCGTAGAGAGGGCAAAGGATACCAGCCTGCTGGAAGGCGTGGACACCGCATCGCTCGTCAAGACAGTGGCCAGCTCCGGAGGACAGGGCGAGATGGTGTGCGCCGTGGGCGAGCAGCTCTCCCACATCCTGAGAGGCGAGTTGCAAGCGCTGGAGATCATGCTCAAGGACAACCGACTGGCGCGCTACTACGACGACGACCTCACCAATGTGCGCCTCAGCCATGTCCTCGCCACGTGGGTGCGTCACCAGTGCGATGTCAAGTCGAGCCTTCGCGTGCTCGAGATTGGGGCGGGCACGGGCAGCGCCACCCTGCCTGTGTTTGAGGCCATATCGCGTGGCCAGGAGCGGCTGCCCGACGATTTCCACTACACATACACCGACATCTCGTCTGGCTTCTTTGAGTCGGCCCGTGCTAAGCTCGCCAAGTGGGCGCCCTACATCACATACCAAAAGCTGGATGTGAGTCGCGACCCGGCACAGCAGGACTTCACACTCCAGGAGTACGACCTTGTCATTGCCTCGAACGTTCTGCACGCCACGGCTGACATGGCTGCCACTGTGGACCATGTGCGTTCCCTGCTGAAACCCAATGGCCAGCTCGTCGTACTCGAGGCCGGCCTGCATGCACCTCTCGTCCTTCCTTTCGCCCTCTTGCCGGGCTGGTGGCTGGCAGAGGACGAGTACCGCAAGCATGAGGAGGGACCATTGCTGTCGGCGGATGCTTGGGGTGGACTCTTTGCTGATCGAGGCTTCTCAGGCGTTGATGGCGTGATCGAGGGATACCCTGGTGACCCAAACAACATTCTGAGCATCATCACCACGACGAGGGTGGGTTTGCCGGAGGTCATCGACAGCGCAGCATCCGTCACAGTCTGCGGACCCATGTTGGATGATGACGAAGTCGAGTTTGCACAGACCGTGGCAGACCTCCTGGCCGAGAATCTGGGCTGCCAGACCGAAGTCAAACCCTTTGCTGAGGTGGAACCCGACGACGACCCTTTTTGCGTGTTCATCGACTCCTCATCGGGCAGTATCTGGAACGACGTGTCCGACGCCACGTTTGACAAGGTACGCGACCTATTCCTCCGCGTGCGCGGCATGCTCTGGGTGATCCCCGAGAACCACGGCCCCGATGCCGATACGGTCAAGGGTATTCTGCGCACGGTAAGGCTCGAGCTTGGTTCGAGAAACTTATTCCTCCTCGAGGATCTGCCCTGCACGCAAGCGGGGGCACCCGCCATCGCCCAGCTTTCTGAGAGATTACGCGACAGTGAAAATGAAAGCGCCGTCGACTTTGACTTTACATGGCGCGATGGCACCCTGTGGCTACCGCGGTACCGCGCCCTGCCTGAGGCCAAGGAGGTATTTGCGGCAGAGGCAGGTATCGAGACACGCAAGGAGCAAGCTCTGGGGCATTTTGGCGACGACGTGGCGCTCGAGATGACGGTGGAGGCCGCTGGAAGTCCCGACTCCATCTACTTCCAGCGTAGCGACGCGCTGCAGCAGCCCCTGGCGGACGATGCCATCCTCGTCAAGGTAGAGGCGTCTGGCGTCAACTTCCGAGATCTCCTTCTCGTGCTGGGCAGCATTCCCTGGACACGGCCCGGTTTCGAAGGTGCAGGTGTCGTACTCCGCACCGGTTCCGCGGTCAAGGACCTGCGACCTGGCGACAAGGTCTTCTATGGGGCGCTCCACGGCGGCAGCTTCGCAACTCATATACAGATGCCCTCGTGGCACGCGACCAAGCTTCCCGAGGACAGATTCACTATGGCTCAGTCTGCGGGTCTCTCCGTGGCTTACTCGACGGCCGTCATGTCCATTATCCGCATCGGACGTCTTCGGCCTGGAGAAACGGTCCTCATCCACGCTGCCTCAGGGGCTGTCGGACAGGCTTGCATCGTCCTCGCGCAGCACATTGGCGCAGATGTCTACGTGACGGTTGGCACGCCCGCCAAGCGCTGGTTACTTCACAAGGAGTTTGATATTCCCGAAGACCACATCTTTTCGAGCCGCACCAACGCATTCCGCGATGGCATCATGGCCAAGACCCAGGGCCATGGCATCGACCTCGTCGTCAACTCGCTCAGCGGTGCCCTGTTGCAGGCCACGTGGGCCATCGTGGCCGACTTTGGCCGCTTTGTCGAGATTGGCAAGCGAGACGCCCTGCAGAACAGCCACCTGCCCATGCGTCCGTTTGATCGTAACGTGACCTTTACAGGCGTGGACCTGCGCACCATGTTCCTCTCGCGCCCGCACGAGCACCGTAGCTGTCTCGGTGACATCAACGACCTCGTGGCGCGTGGCGTGGTCAAGCCCATCTGCCCGGTCACGGAGATGCCCGTGTCACAGCTGGGTGCGGCCCTGCGAAGGCTTCAGTCAGGCCAGAACCTCGGAAAGATTGTCATTACCATGGACCCGGATGCGCGTGTCGTGGCGCAGGCGGCGCCTCCGCGTACCTTGCAGGGTTCGACGGGACAGCAGCTCTTGCGTCCGGACAAGACGTACGTTATCACCGGAGGAACAGGCGGCATCGGTCTCTCCCTTGGACCCTGGATGGTCGAGCACGGGGCCAAGAATATCGTTCTGTTGGGTCGCAGTGGCGCCTCACGCCAGCCTGTGCAGCAGGTGCTCGCCCGGTACCAAGACACTGACGTGTCGATGCGCGCGATTGCCTGTGATGTGGGCGATCGAGACGACGTTGCGAGCGTTGTCGACGCTATCAAAGACCTTCCTCCCGTCGGTGGCGTGATCCACGGCGCCTTGTTCCTCAAGGACAAGTTGCTGAGCAACACGTCTCATCAAGATTGGCTCAACATTGTGCTCCCTCGCATCCGCGGTGCGTGGAATCTGCATGAGGTCCTGCCCAACAATCTTGACTTTTTCGTCGTCCTCTCGTCCTTCATCTCCGGCAGCGGTAACATGGGCCAGTCGGTGTACTCGGGCACGGCGTCCTTTTACGACACATTCGCCGAGTATCGCAGTGCGATGGGCCAGCCAACCGTCTCCGTGGCGCTGCCAGTCGTCCTTGACGTCGGCTACGTGGCCGACCGTGACCTGGAGGGCAAGCTCACCAACGCCCTCGGCGCGGTGCTGTCCCTCGAGGACCTGCAGACCGTCATCAAGGGGACCATAGTCGGCGCCTCATCAGGTCTGCACCGCGACAGCAAGGCCATCTCCTTCAGCTACGCGCGCGGCGACGACAGCAGCATCCTACCGTGGCAGTGCTTCCATCCCAGGGCACTTGTGGACTATATCCGTTCCGGGTCACGCGCCAACGGCGGCACCGTCAACGGGGTCGGCGACGGCAGCAAGGCCAAGACCAAGTCAAAGGGCCTCGAGCTCGCGAACGAGAGCGATCCGCTGGCTGCGCTGCTGGCTACGCTCATGGACAGGGTGTCGACCATTACCATGATCGAGAGAGACGAGATGGACGCGGATGCGCCACTGTCCAACTACAGCCTCGACTCGCTCGTGTCTGTTGAGCTGCGTAACTGGATCAAGAGAGCGACAAACGTCGACCTCTCTCTGCCCAAGATTGTCAATGCGGCCAACCTACGGTCGCTCGCGACGCTGATCCTCTCCCAGCGGGAAGCTGGTATGAAGAAGCAGCAGAAGGAGGAGTGATAGAAGCCCACTAATAGATGGAAACACAATAGAGATATTTCGTAGCGGCATTTTCCCACTTGTGCTCTTGCCCTAAACATCGTCCACCGCAGGCCATCCTGGCGCTCCGTGCGATGCAAGCTCTTCGTTTGTCCAGCGCCATAGCTCGTCCGTTAAAGCCTGGTCCTGAAAGAACTTCTTGTCCTCCGTCAGCACACCCACAGGTTCGTAGTAGGCACCATTCTTGGCGTCCTTGGTGAAGGCCACCCACAGGCCATTCTCCGCCCCCTTGTCCACGCTGACGCCTGTCCACCACAGAAATGGCGTGCCGACAAACAACATGAACCACTTGTTGATGCCTGTCGCTTTCTTGAATAGGTCCGTTTTGACCTGGCCAGGGTTAAAGGAGATGGACCGTATGGAGGGGTAGAGCTGGGCGAGCTTCCGGGCAAACAGGATGGCGGCGAGCTTCGTGTGCGCGTACCGCTGGTAGGGCGACGCGAGCGAGTCAGCGTTGCCCTTCATCTCGTCGAGCGCGAGGCCAGATGGTGGGGGGTCCATGTGCGCGGCCATGGACGAGGTGATGGCGATGCGGACGTCGTGGCCCAGCTGCTGTGTGGCTAGGAGGGGCGGCATGAGGAGCTGCGTGAGGAGCGCGTGACCCATGTGGTTGATGCCGAATTGGCTCTCGTAGCCGTCCTGTGTCAGCGCCGGTGCGGTGGTGGAGATGCCCGCATTGAGGAGGAGGAGGTCGAGACGCTGTTCCTGTTGAAGGAAGGCGGTGGCGCACTCGCGGACGTTGGCGAGCGAGGAGAGGTCCAGAGGGAGGATTCTGATATTAACATCTGGCAAGGTCTGCCTGATGGTTGAGGTGAGGGTCTCAGCGGTAGAGATGGACACGGGGCGCACACAGAGATAGATGGCGGATGGGTTGTGGGGAGCGATGGCCTTGATTGTTGCTGCGCCCAAGCCTGCGTTGCCTATCGTATAGATGCGAAGATTAGTTGCACGATTCACAAGTGCGATACGATTTGAGTGGGTGCTTACCTCCGGTGACGAGTATCACCTTGCCAGCAAGGTCTGGGATATCCGTGAAGGCATTGAATGACATGGTTGAACTGGTGCTGATGAATTATGGGGACTGGACGGAACAGACATTTGGGAATCGATGGGGTGCCGTCTAGCTCTTATGTTGGTTTAACGGCCCCAGAGATGATGGGGTGCATTGCATAGCGTCTGCAGTCGAACATCCTTCATGATCGTGAGTTGAGCCAGGCAACAGCATTTCACGTATTCCAGGCTGTTGGCGGCGATGTTGCTCGATTATGTCCCGGGTAGACTTATCCGCTTTACAGCTGCTCGGCTAGTAGGATATGCAGTACAGATGCATAAGAATGTATCGGAATTTTATTTCCACATTGTCCCGATCTCTGATGCGCCCAATCAATGGCAGCCTCCGTGGCAACTATCGATGCACTAAACGCACCAGCCCCTTTCTTGGCTGCTTTTTTTGGGCTGCTTTTGTTCTTGGCTGGCACTCAGTACTCCATCATGGACTGACCCGGTCTTTTCTCCCTAAGACGGGGAAAAATTACTTGACAGAGATCGTCTTGATTGTCTTACCTCCGAGTTATCTCGTCGTCCCGCGCCCTATCTGTGTAGCTTCTAGAAGCCGCTGCGTCAAGGCACCATGGACAGGCTTCAGAGACTGTTGACATGGACGAGGGGTGGTTACGAGCAGCTGGGCCATCCAGGTTCAAATGTTCCTAACCCCATGGCCCTATTTGTGAAGAGATCGTCGAGGGTGCTCATTTCCGTCATTTTCGCAACAATCCTTGCCTTGGTGCTCTTTTCGTGGTCTTCGGTACGTGAATTCGATTCCTAACCCACCGCGCGGAGTGCCTCGGAACCAAGTTGCTGACATTGACTAGGGAGGTTATCCGTACGGCGAAACTGTGGTGACGGACAATGGCATCGTCCTCCCGGATGCGCCAGTGGAGAAACCAGCGCCTGGTCCGAAGTTGACAGATGAGCCGACTCATGACACCGAGGCTGTTGTGCCCATCGCTCCTCCACCTGCCGAGGAAAAGAACGATGGGCCAGAGCCGCCGGTGGTGCCTGACGAAGCACAACCAGGCGAACCTGGCCCAGAGCCTCACCCCGAAGAGCCTCACCCCGAAGAGCCTCACCCCGAAGAGCCTCACCCCGAAGAGCCTCACCCCGAAGAACCACAGCCCGCCGAACACGTGGAGGACCCAGCTCCAGGAGAGCCTAATCATGTGGTTGAAGAAGACGCCCCTACACCACCGGCTCCCAATCAAAAAGACCGTCGTCTGGTCGTTGTGACGCCTGTCAACGGACCTGGTGTCAATCTCTGCAAGTTCATGATGAGCGCGATCGCGCTGGGCTATCCGTCGCCGATTATCACGAACTGGGGCCGCGATCCCTTTGAAGCCTCCAAATGGGAGGGCGGCCCCAACCTGGCCAAAATCACCGGCATCTTGCGCTACCTTGACGCGTCACTTGACGAGGGGGCCCATCCTGACGACAAGTTGCACGAGGACGACATTGTGATCATCTCTGATGGTTTTGATGTCTGGTTCCAGCTGCCCCCAGAGGTCCTGCTACAGCGCTTTCACGAGATCAACGCGCGTGCCAATGCGCGGCTTCGGGAACAGTGGTCCCAGGAAGACCCCATGCCGATGGAGCAGACCATTGTTTTTTCCGCGCAGAAACGGTGCTGGCCAGGCATTCGCGATGGCTATGATCTACATTGTGATGAGCTTCCCGAGAGTCCTTTCCCCGCCGACTTGTACGGGGATGCAACCGACATCATCATTGAGACAAATAATCCCGGCCAGCCAAACTTCCACAATGTGCGTCCACGATTTATCAACGGAGGCACGTACATGGGTGCAGCAGGCGACCTGCGGCGCGCGTTTCGCCGTGGCTTCGACCAGCTCGATAGCAAAGCTGAATCGGGCATCAAGCTCTCCAGTGAGCAGGGCGTCTCTGGTCAAGTCTTTGGTGAGCAGGAGGTGTGGCGCAACTGGAGGCGAAAGCAGTCGCTTGAGGAAGGCAGCGCGACCATTCTGATGGAAAGGGACTTCGAATATCACATTGGGCTGGACTACACACAAGAACTGTCGCTGGCCACGTGCCACTCGGAAAATCACGGCGACATTGTCGCCTTGGGTAACCAATCCGCCGTCGACGAATACTCATCCAAGGCTGGGCTAGTACAGGCTCGAGTTCAGGGCGTACCCGAGGACGTTGTCCACGTGCGCAACCCTTTGGATGGTTACGCACCCGAGACGCAATGGGGTGACATGCCTCTTTACACGGATTTCTACACGCAAGCTGTCCCCGCCATGGTCCACCACAATGCATGGCAGCACGGGCTGAAAGAGCGCCGCTTCACTTGGTGGGATAGAATGTGGTTCTTCCCGTATCTTCGCGACATGGTGGCGAGCCGACTGAAGCCAGCCCCCCTGGAGCCCCTGGCGACGATCAAGACGGATGATGGCGATGTTGTGTACTGGGCGCCCAAGTCGGATGAATTCAAGAGAAAGCCGAGGCTGCTGGTTGGCAAGACTACGGAGCCTCTCGAAGAGGCTTCATTCGACGTGCTGTGCGCCGTGCCGTCGGATAACGAGGCCTCAGACTCGCCGTGGTGGGATGAAGTATTCCGAGATGATAAAGGGCCATTATGAGAAGGCTTGGAAAGAGATACTGTATAAGATTTGTACATTTCCTGCTTAGCCGTGCGTGGGACAGATTCGAGAGAGCCACTACGAAGAACGGGTCGGCCCAAGTCGAGCCATCACATCCGCGGCTTATGCACATGGCACACACTCCAAGGCAAAGGAGATGGGTATCTTGATATTATGTATATAATTTTCTTCTGATTCACATTGCCTTATCATTTCGTGGTTCCCCTGCGTGTCCGCCCGTGGTGACCGTCGTGTCGACCGCCCGCGCCGTCCTGGCCCGCAACGGATCAACCTGGTCTATCACGTACGAGTCCTGGTAGTGGTGACTCTTGTCAACCTCCCTCGATCCCTCTCTCCACAGTCGCTTCGTCCCGTCGCTGCCGTCCTGGCTATGCAGACTTTCCAGTCGTTGAAGCTGCATATCGCTCGAGTTGCGGGCCGCCACCGATACGTTGATCTCCCGCGTCACGAAAATGGCCTCGAGGCGGTTTTTGAAGACGGGCCAGAAGACGGGAATCGAAGCGCCGATGCAAGCAAAGTTTACCTCGAGCATGCCTAGCATGCAGAGTGCCGGCGCGTACCATGAATGATCAAAGGTTGGGTAGCTCATGGCCTTGTGCCTGACGGTTTCCGCAAGGCGAAGCGCGGCGAGCACGTTCGTGCTACGCTTGTCAGCTTCATCAGTCCATCACATTCCCTTGCAGGAAAACTCACATGACACCGAGCATGATAAGGAATCAACCCGAGCTTGGTGCGGTGCTGGGTGCTCAGCCTGAAAAGCAGGGGCAGCAGGATAGCAAAGATGATTAGGTCCAGGCTCATGTTGACGATCGAATGTGTCAGAAAGGTGGCGTAATGACCGCTCAAGTACTTGGATCCGTATGCATAGCACTTCTTGTCCTCGACAGACCAGTCCCAGAACGCGTGTACAGGAAAGCAGGGCACCCACGCCATGAAGGAGGTGACCAACGCCCACAACCCCACGAGGATAAACATGGCAAGACAGACACGACGCTGTAAGCCACGATCGAAGATTCGCAGATACTGTAAGAGCAGACATAACTTGATGAGCGCCACCGTGGAGACGAAGCTGCCATCGGCGACGTAGAACAGCTTGAAGTACGTCTGTCGCTTCGCATCCGACAGTTCAAGCAGATGGCTACCGATTCCACCAAGGCCAGGTACTGGCCATCAAGAGTCAGCTTGTTCGGTTCCATGTGTCCCAATGACGCTTGCTGGCAGCATGACTAAAACTTACACATGCACAGGCATACGGTGCCAACACCGCCCATGGTCTATTGTTCATCAGTCAGCCATTGTAAAGCTTCTTGAGTTCACGCTACTTTTGCACATACAATAACAAAGATCATGCAGTAATCGTCCCATCCTGCCATGTTCATGATGCGAAATCTTGCATACAATCGTAACAGGACACAGGTTGACGTGATGGCCTACAGAATGGGGTCAGCGAAGCTGCACAAATCACGGTCGCACGCTTCTTAGTGAGTAACCCACGGTGAAGACAATCGTCATTCCGATAATGGTCGACTCTCGATTCCAGACAGGCAGAGGGGCCTGGAGATTGTCGACCGCCCCAATCTGGCCTTGAAGCGTGCCATCTTGCGCCATGTCTGATATGCTCACAAATTGCAAAGCTCAGTGCCGGACTCGAGGTGTATTAGAGAATCGGGAAGAAAGGGACGACCGGGCCCTCAAGAAACAGCACAAACATGCCCCTGCGTTATCGTAAAAGCATGGGCGATCCTTCTTCGTTCGAGTCTCGAGGCATGGACCATAACGACAGGGATCCCAGACAATGCAGTCCGTCGACTCTCCACATCCACGGGGGACATGGTGACGGGGGCCAATCGTGTGCAATGCTAGCCCACGCCGCCGCGGCTCGAAGATGAGGGAGGGTATATGCGGGCTCTTACAAGCTGTCACGGACGATTGCGGTTTTTGCAATCCTGCTGATGATTGTCCAACGAGCGGCGAGTGATGGGTGTGGTAGCGTCCGGGATGAAGCTCGGCATTCAGATTACACGTACGGAGTCGACTCCTTGGGGGAGGGGTCAACATGCAGCTTAAGTGCTCAACCCCTGGGGATAAGCAACGAAGAGCCACTCGAGTCCGTCGCTCTGCCATGCCACATAAGTCGGCTGCGCTGTCCCCCTGGACAGCCTTGATTGCAGCCCCGATCGCCCTCTTCCCCAATTCTTGGTACGGCGCGCATACCTATCGACATGAACCTATCCTCCACTTCATCGTCTATTCTTACAAATTGCTCCTGATCCCCAGCCTGCCTTGAGCAATATATTTTCAGTATGCATAGGAAATGGAAATGACTGGAGACAAACAGGCACTTACAGTTCAGGACGTGGCGTCTGTGTCGTATATTATTCAGTCGTCATTGCTTTTTCAAAAATCTGGAAACTTCACACCGCAGTAGGACGAGACTAGAGGTGAAACGGACATCTCACTGCTGGCATAACGTCCGGATCGTACTTGCTCACGGTACTGCGAGAGGATTAGCTTCGGTCGTCCGACTCGACGACCACCCGATTGGAACATAGGCCGAAGCTATGACACTTCTCCACCAGTTGAAACTGCTGTGCGTGCCAAGGGAGTACTCTAGAGTCATCCTGCAGAGTATACAAACGAATTCAAGAAGCCTTCGGCCGCAGAGGAGTGTTAAGGACGCTGGACTATGAAGAATGGAGGGGACGGGCCATGTGCCTGTCTCGTCGAAGCAATTTACCTCTTCAGATGTCACAAAACGGACCACTTGTTTTGATTATCTTGCATTCGTCTTTTGCTCGCTGGCTTGAATGCACTAATCGCGCCTTTGCTGGATATCCCTTCTCTCTCCTCCATCACTCTCCTTCACTCCACTTGAGGTGCTTCAGGCTGTCGAGTCCATGGTGGCTTCTATTGACTCCACCAAACCTTGACTGATCCCTTGTAGCGAGCTTTCATGCATTCAGAACATTCCACGTCGGTTGTCTGTGAGGTGGTCCTGGCGCCACCGACGCACTGACCGAAGCCTTTATTGACACCCGCGTCACAGGGGGCCTGGATAGTGTTGATAAGCTTGCGCTTTCGGCAACCCACGCAAATAGAGTACTCTCGCATGGTATAGCACATCTTGTACGCTTGGTATTGGACGCTGTAGGGGTATTCGTTGTGTGAGATGGTGTGTTCGCTCTCGAGAAGACTGTACTCGAAGGTGAAGATAGTCGGGGCTTGGTTATAGCGTCCTAGGTGGCAATATAGGCACCAGCACCCATGGGGACTCATCGTGAACATTTTACTTCATCATACTCTGGTATACACAAACAGCATGTAATAGGAATCCTGACGAGCAACCAAGGAGCGTACGTGAGCCTGGGCAGGGACATCAAATTCCATAATGACACTATCAGGTGGGCGAAAGTTAGACTACTCAACAATATGTTATCGTCCCTGGCTGTTTGTGCGCGCTGTTGACTTCCAGGCCGTCACACTTTCGTGAAATTGTTCGTCTTCTGTTGGTTCTTTCCACCAAACGCGTGCGGTGCCAGCGAAAAACTAAATGAATGGATATTACCAGCTAGCACACAATCTTCCTCCATTCCTCGGGATACGACCTTAGCTCATTGTTTGTTCTCCACGTTTATCAGGCTTCAGACACATGTGGCATGTGCAGATACTCAAAGTGCTACGTCCAAGGCACATCACACGTTGAACAACTGTGACAAGAAAACTTCTGAACCCACACTCTGGTGTGCAGCAATACTTGTGCGCTTGTGGTCGTGAGACTTCACGTATGGGCTGTGCAGAACCACCCAGCTGATTCAAGGGCCCGGAATGCAAATCAGCTGCTTTCCTTAGGCGCCCACAAATGCATTCAGAAAATAGTTCTCAAGCCAAAATTCGTAAAATACACCATGAGCAACTTAAGGAGTGATCCGTTCAAGACATTTTGGCTCGACCAATGGCTGATACCAGACCATTGACACTCGAAGAAAAGTTCCACAGTGACCTAAACTTGCCCACCGATGTTATCCGTTCAGTTACGTATACTGCAAGGCTAATGTGTATGCAAGACACCAAAGTAACACGACCTACGGACCCCGGGCTCTAATCTTCTTCCTCGCCAGACCGAGGGCACTGTCGTCTTCAATTCATGGCAGCAGGGTGCATGAAGCTGGGGCATGTACCAGAAAAGATTTGGAGGCAGGTGAATGTAGAGCTTTGCTCTGGTTATGACGAGCTGGAAACATTGTCGCTGTTCCGAACAACAGCAAAGCTACGGTATCAAATCTGGCCTGTCACACATGGCTTTTTTTCTCTCCAAGGAGGGACACATTCCACAAGAAAGCTGAGAAAAATCAACAGAATCACCCTCTCTGTTGAATGAGAACTGCTTGTCCTCGGAATTATCTCGTATTCCCTGTTCTGGCCCCAGCTCTGCTTGCCGTAAGGCCATTCTCTCTTGTTTTAGGGGGCCGCCTTTTTCGTGAGAAACTCCGCCCAGGCCTGTCCAATCCTCTCTTGTTCGCTAGCCCTCTCTTCTTCCTCGGCCGCATAAAATTCAGGGCACGTCTGACTGTATACCTTCCTTCTCTGTTCGATACCGCTACGACATCGGCCAAAGCTGTTTTGATCGCGCTGCTCGCAGGCCACGTTGATGGTTTTCAGGTGTTTTGTCTCGCCGCAGTCGCAAATTTGAGTGTGCTTCATTATATAAAACATATAGTCAAGGCTTTGGTTCAGGTATGTTGTACGATGGTGTTCGATTGAATATTTTGCTGCTGTCGAGAGATACTAGACGTCTGGGTACCGGCCAGCCCTAGGAACTATATAGGCACAAGTGGCCCCAGTGATTGAACGTAAAAGACCATCAGGGCTGCGGTTCAATCAATCATTCCAAATCTGGGTGTCTCGTCTGACTGATTGACAGCTATCTTGCACAGTTTTTGACTATTTGGTCTGATACTGAGAAATGTGAATCAGATTTGATAGAATACGTCCGTGGCTAAATAAACTAAGTGACAGATAATAGAGAGATCGATATGAATAGAAAGAGGCTTGTTGCAATGAACGGTTGGCAGCTATGTGTGGTTATGAGGAAAGTGAATCGTGATGGCCTGAGACGACGAGTGGCCGGCCGCCGAAGTAGGCACGTACCTAGGAACACAATGATCACAAAGGTTCGTGTGACGCTAGAGGGCACTATGGCTCTGTTTATGCTACTGTGGACATGCAAGTATCTCCCGATATAGGATATAGTAATATTAATCAGCCAAGTATCGCCCACTTATTATCAAGCGTCGAGGAACATCCGAAGGCGAGACAGCTAACCAGAGACCCGTTCAGATTGATTGATTGAAGGCCTCAAAATGCCTGATCTTCTGAAGGTTATTTGCAAAAGAGGAAGATTCTCTGATTGACCCGCAGCCCTGAAGACCATTCTCTCCTGTCGCAGGGGGCCGCTTTCATGGGAACTGCCACTAGGCCTTGCGCCTCTTCGCTTTACGATCCCTCTCTTCTGTGAGAGCTAGAACACATGGAGGGCACGTCTGTTCGCGTACCTGTCTTTTGCAATCAAGACCGACACGACATCGGCCAATGCCGGCTCTGTCACCCTCTGCGCAGGCCGGCCCCAGGAACTATATAGGCACGAGTGGCCCCTGGGACTCATCGTACGTCCATTTTCATGCCTGTTCCACTAGACCATGCGCCTCTTGGTGTGTTGGTCCGACTTGTTGTGAGCTGCCTGTTCTGCTCGTCTAGCTGAAATACATTCATCGCACGGCTGGTCGAATAGCTGGTCTCTGACTTTGAGACCGACATAGCATCGGGCCAAGTTGTTGATACGGCCCTCTTTGCAGTACCAGGTGGAGACGCCCTGGTAAGTTTTCTTGTGGCAGATGGGGCAATAGAGATACCGCATGTGTTTGTTGCACATGATGAAAGCTTTGTTTCGGGAGTTTGATACGATGGTGTGCGATTGGGTATTGTGTTGCTGTCGAAAGATGCTAGACGTCTAGGGAACCGGCCGGCCCTAGGAACTATATAGGCACGAGTGGCCACTGGGATCCAACGTACGTCCCATGTTCAAACCTAATCACATGTGTACAAATACAATGAGTGTTCTGTGGTTTCACGCAAAGTGAATCCAGTAAGTCGGTTTCTCAGCTGTTCGTTGGGCCATGGCTCGAAAACCGTGGACGAGCCTGAACAAACGAATGCACGGTGGCACGCGCACACGAGCGGGCATGTGGTCACTAGTAAGATGCCAAAATCCATGATCAAGACAGCAGAATCTCACCAGCCAGGGCTGTAGAACCGATGTGGGAGGTTGTTCACTGTCCCACGACAATGATGTTGAGGGGCAAGGGGCGTCACTGAAAGACCGAGGCAAAATCTTTGAACCACTGAGGCAGCTATTCCAAAGCCATCAAACATGTTAAAAACTTGGGCAACGCCCACCTGGTCCCGCATCTCAGAACACCGATGTCCGGCAAGCACGCAGCCCCTCCCAAGACATTGGTTTTCATAAGCATCTTGTTTGGTTCACACCATACACCAGACACATGAAGTAGGTGTGACTATCTCAAAAGGCCTGGTCTGAAGCTCCTTAACACCGTGCCCGACCTCATGTCTCATGAACAGTACTGCTTCTTCACAATGTCACATGCCCGTTCCCGTCCCGGATCAGTACTCCAAGATCGACCAAGTCTCGTCATCTACAGTCGTGTAGATCAGTCCTTGTCCCAACAACTCCTCTGCCGCCTTGAGCACGTCATTCATCGACATGCCCGTCCCACTGACCACATTGTTCAGATGCACACCCTCATTCCCGCCCGACGCAGAGTTCATGTACGTGTGCATCCGCCTCGCCGGGTTGGAGCACCCGGACAGTTTGCTGTTGGACTGTCCGCCCATGCCACCCGCGCCAGCTCCACCATCGATGAACATGCCGTCGCCATCGCCACCAGTATCGCCAGGTTGAGGCTTGGTGAAGTACAAGTGAACATATGTCGCCTCCAGCATATGGTAGTTTACCTCGTTGGGATCTGTGATGAGGCGAATCAGGTGCGCGCTGGCGTAGCGCTTCCCACTGAAACTCTTCAGCCGCCCCCACACGCGGACGTGCTGGTCCACCTCGAACCCCGGGTTGGTCGCCTCGTGCTGCTTGTCGACGTCGATAAACTTTTTAACCTCGAGCGTGCCGGTGCCATCGTCTATGCGAATCGTGATGTTGGTGGGCTGCGGGTTGATTGAGCGGACTTGGCCAACGGCTGTGATCTGGGTGACGGGCTGGCCGTCGATTTTGAAGTCGGCGCCAGCAAAGGCCTCGTCGGCTTCGAGGATCTGCTTCACCGTGACGGGTCGTAGAGACTCGTCCTGGAAGTTCTGAAGAGTCAGCTTGGCTGTTGGCACGAGACTACGGTATTTGAAGACGCACTTTTTGGCCGCCACCGCCTTGGCTGCCTTGCTGTGAACCTCCCGCAAAGAAACCGCCGGAATCGTCACCACCCTGGGCACCATAGCCCGCCTTTGAGTATCCACCGTATGCTGCTGTAGAGTTTGTCAGTATCTGCGTCCTCCACGGCCTCCATGAGGGGAGAACCTACACATGATGAGAGATGTGTGCGATGAGCGTGAATGATGTTCAGATTTGGGGAGACGCGTCGTAACGCGTTCCCGTTAAGTGCTGGCAGCAAGTACCCCGCGATCGTGGCGCCACTGGATCATCAGCCACAGCACCAGCCACATCGTATGTCGGAGCTACCTTACGTACTCGTTCCTCTCGGCCACGAACTCTAACCAACATTGAGGCACAGTCACGGTCTTCAGGTTGATGGACAAACATTCGAACTGAAAGGTGACTATCGGTCTTCATGCGGCTGATGATGAAAATCTATAGTCCCTCGGAACAGAATCACATTGTTATTACATGCAATACAGCGTGGACCAGTCGTCAAGTCCAATACACCAGAAATCACCTCTCACAGCGGTAGCATTGGAAATCACTGAATGAATGTCAGCCTCACAAATCACTGCCTTGTACAGTCTCTCTGAAGACCGGCAAATCGACAAGTCGAATGTCCAGTGACGAGGACATTCGATGAGAATCGCGATCATTCTGCGGAGTCTTGGGGATTAGCCTCGGCTGGCAGGGGTCTTCCGGCCCGGCGTGATCGGCCCCAGAACCAGGACGCATCACGGATGCAGCTGGCCTGCTCCCAACTCCCGACATCAACAAGTCATCCAAACCTCCTCTCCGTACCTCGCTGTTGTGCATCTTAACCCACAAAATCGCCAAAGCGCTCAACATTTATTCATTTCGAGTCTCCTCAGCCGCGATCCGTGTTTACTCCGAACAAGACGTCATATCACCATCGACACCAACCTCCATCCAAGACACGCAATGGTTAGACAGACTGCGAGTCTGCCCATCATCCCCCTTCCCCGAGGCAGCGTCCTGCTCCCCGGCCTCATCCAGAGAGTCACCGTCACATCGAGCCGACCCGACATCCCCGCCCTTCTCGCGCACGTATACGAACGCGCCGCAACAAAGGGGCCCGATGGTCGGATAGATGCCGTGCCCATCGCGTGCGTGCCGGTCGCATCGCCACATGTCGGCCCCAACGGGCAGCTCCTCATCAGCAATGGTGAGGAGGTCGACAGCACGCAGTTGGCGGATATCAATCCTGCCACGGCGCGCAAGTCTGACCTCTTCAACTTCGGTGTGGCGGCAAGGATAGTTGGCATCGACGGACGGGGTCAGGGCGAATTCGCTCTGCGGGTCGAGGGCACGGCTCGTATCAGGCTTGAAAGCATCACTCAGGAGCGGCCATTCTTCGAGGGCAGTGTGACGTACTTCAACGATGACAGTTCGTCCATCCACGCCCCAGGGCGGTCTTTACCATGCTAACTGGGAACCAGTTTTACCTGCCGATAAGCAGCTGCATGAGCTCTTCGCGCTCCTCAAGTCGCGGGCCCGCGAACTCGTCACAATTCTTCGAATATCATCTCTACTCCCAAGGGCAAAGGGTGGCCCTCCGTTGGCACCATCCGTTACGAAGCGTCTCGAGACCCTCATCATGCGGCGCGAGTTTAAGGAAGCCGGCCTCCTCGCGGACTTCATGGCGAATCTGGTGGAGACCACTCATGAGGAGAAGCTGGAGGTCCTGGCGGCGCTCGATGTCAAGGTGCGCATCACCAAGGTCATCGAGCTGCTGGAGCGCCAGGTTGGGGGGATCAAGAACAACTTCAAAATCACAACCTTCACCTCAGTGCCGGTGCAGATCCTCGACCGGCTCAACGAGAATCCCGCCCGCAGGCAAAACCAGTTCCCAAACATGCCAGGTGTTGGGCTGCTCCCGCCCCAAGGTCAGATGCCAGGGGGCAACGACCAGGACGGTGACCAAGAAGCGAGCGAATTGGACGAGTTGAAGCAGAAGCTGCAGAACGCCAAGCTCCCGCAGGAAGTGCAAAAGACGGTCGATCGCGAGCTCCGGCGCTTGCAGAAGATGATGCCGATGAATCAGGAGTACCAAGTGACGCGCAACTGGCTCGAGACCTTGTCCGAAATCCCATGGGCAGCGGTCACCGACGATCGACTCGATCGAGACACTCTAGCCAGAGCCCGGAAGCAACTCGACGATGACCACTATGGTCTGGACAAGGTCAAGAAGCGCCTGATTGAATATCTCGCGGTCCTCCGTCTCAAGCAGTCTATCAACGATGGCGTCAACGAAAAAATTCTGAAAGCGGAGCAAGAGGAAGGATCTGCTGTGTCCACAGAGCAGGTCGAGGAGATTGAAAACAATGCCCGAGAGCGTACTCCGGCCCCCGCTCACAACTCGCCAAAGCTTGAACTGCTCAAGTCACAGCGCATGGTCGACAAGTCGCCCATCATGCTCCTCGTGGGTCCTCCAGGAGTCGGCAAGACGAGTCTGGCCAAGTCTGTGGCGACTGCACTCGGTCGCAAATTCCATCGCATCTCACTGGGAGGCGTACGAGACGAAGCAGAGATCCGTGGTCACAGGAGGACATATGTCGCCGCCATGCCTGGCCTCATCGTCCAGGGTCTGCGCAAGGTGGGCGTTGCGAATCCGGTCTTTCTGCTCGACGAGATCGACAAGGTGGGTGTCGCGAGCGTGCATGGCGACCCGTCTGCCGCCATGCTGGAGGTGCTCGACCCCGAGCAGAACCACACTTTCCACGATCACTACGTGGGCATGCCCATCGATCTGTCCAAGATTCTTTTTATTGCTACTGCCAACTCCCTCGACACAATCCCCGCACCACTTCTGGATCGTATGGAGACCATCTACATCCCTGGCTACACGACGCTCGAGAAGCGTCACATTGCTATGCAACACCTTGTTCCCAAGCAGGTCAGAGTAAACGGGCTGGCTGAGGATCAAGTCATCTTCGATCAGGACGTCGTGTCTAAAATCATCGAGGCGTACACTCGTGAGGCAGGCGTTCGCAATCTCGAGCGTGAGATTGGCTCCGTGTGCCGCGCCAAGGCTGTGGAGTTTGCCGAGGCCAAGGATGCCGAGCAGCTCGACTCATACAGAGCCCAGCTGTCGGTCGACGATGTCGAGAACATTCTAGGAATAGAGCGTTTCGAGGAGGAGATTGCAGAGAAGACCAGCCGTCCCGGGGTGGTGACTGGGCTCGTCGCGTACAGCTCAGGTGGCAACGGCAGTATCCTCTTCATCGAAGTCGCAGACATGCCTGGGAGTGGTCGCGTGCAGCTGACTGGCAAGCTTGGCGATGTTCTCAAGGAGAGCGTCGAGGTCGCGCTGACGTGGGTCAAGGCTCACGCTTTCGAGCTTGGGCTCACCCCGGAACCGACAACGGATATCATGAAGGAACGCAGCATTCACGTCCACTGCCCCTCGGGCGCCATTCCAAAGGATGGGCCCAGCAGCGGTATCGGTCAAGCCATTGCCCTCATCTCACTGTTCTCTGGCAAGCCCGTCCCGCCGACGATGGCCATGACGGTATGATCGCTATCCATTCCATCGTCTTTTTCGATGAACATGTACTAATGTTGCCGTCGCACAGGGCGAGATTTCTCTCCGTGGCAAGGTCACAGCTGTCGGAGGCATCAAGGAGAAACTAATCGGTGCGCTACGGGCGGGTGTCAAGACTGTGTTGCTCCCTGCCCAGAACCGAAAGGACGTCAAGGACCTGCCCGCAGAGGTCAAGGATGGGCTCGTAATTCTCCATGTCAGGTGAGTTCCCTTCATACATGCACCGCGCCCATGCACTAGAGAACGTTTATCGCTGACGCGCCGCTTTCACAGCCACATTTGGGAAGCCATCCGGCTGGTCTGGCCTGACTCGCATTGGGCTGCCGACAGCAACAACGTGGGCATCGAGAGTCGTCTGTGAGATGTATATGTGTCGCGTGGCGATCTCACACGTGGACTCGTGCCATCCCCAGAAAAGAGCTTGTCACATCTGGTAAACTGGGAGGCTCTCGCGAAGAATAGTGTGTGTAGCGGTGCGGTGCGGTACGGTGTGGTGTGATGCTATGTGGTATGGAGTGGCGTGGCTCCTAGGAGGGTGAGTGCCTCCGGTCGTCTCCAAGCCAGCACGGTCATGTTCTTCTTGTCTTTGTTTCAGGCGCAGCTCATTGAACCAGAGGAATCATGTACAATCTTATTGTATCATATACAATTGCTCGCCTGGTATTGATGTGACTCTCGCTGGCAGATAGGTCCTTACGTAGTACCCTACCCTAGATCTAGTTCACAGGTAGGTACGTAACACGTACGTACTAGCAGACTGTCATGACTCAGTCTCGCATGATTAATCTTCGGATGAAACAGCGAGACCCGTGGCTGTCGCTTGCGCAAGTCAATGACGTGCACTTGGAGGGGGTGAACATTAAAGATGCATTTGCCAAGCAGTGTCTAGTCGCCGGAACTTTGAGAAGCATTGTGAAATTAGGCTTTTGCTGCCACGCAAGTCTCGACCGGCCAGGACGTCATTGGATTTGGTGGGACCAGGGAGGGCCCAGACTAGCGGGTTTGCTGCACGTAGCACCATATGCTGTACATGTTGCCGGGGGCACTGATTACCTACTCCGGTGAGAACGGTCGTCCAGACGGAAGAATGTGATGAGATGTGGTCGGGTCCTGATACATTTATGTTCGTTCCCCATTGGCTTCTACGAGGACGTGGTATCGGCATCTGTTCCCGACAAACGCGCCTACTACGGAACTGTCGCGAGACTGATAGACTGACTGGGACGCATACGAGGTCTCCGCATGTTGTCCTTCAGCAACAAGGTCATTCCCAGGTAGCAGCGGGGGTTTTGACGGTGGACACGGCGGAGAGATTGTGTGGCCCCCCCTTTCGTTAATTAATATAATTTTTCCGAGCATTTTCGATCAAACTGCAGGATTGGTCGCTGAGCTGGTTGCCGGAACGAGACATGCAGGGATCATCTGACATCAAATAGTACTAGTCGACCCGAGGCATCACATTCATGATTCGAGGGCGGCTCGTGCGTAAGTTGATGGAGGGCAGATGCTGATCAAACACTAGACCCAGCTCTGCGTATTTTTTGACAGGTGACAAGACATGTCCCCCCCCCCACCATAGTTGTCACTGCATTAGAGGTCGACACTTACAAAAACTCATCTACTGCAGACGCTAATCGCGCGGAAGATCACGTAGGGCTCCCAAGTCTTGCCATGCCCGGCACCCTCCACACAGCGTGAGTTGCAGGGCAATACCCTCCGTACTGAGCCAAGACAATGTGCACACGCCTGGGGTTCACGCGCCAATGCCATTTGATACTACAAGCAAGCAAGCAAGCACCTAATAAGGTCAAGGTGGGGAGTCTGGAAGATGGAGTCAAGCTGTGAACGCCCAGGCGACCTGTCACACGCATCTTCGACCAAAAAGGGCAAGCGACCCACGTACATGTACTCGAGGCTGGACCAGCTCAGAGGCACACTTGTCATTGACAAATGTTCATTCAAACCGAAAAGCTGGTAATTATGGCGTGGACTGATTATACGCAGTTGTCGTGTAGACTGTAGTTGCTTCTCAGAGAGGGCGGAAAATGATTCGTCACTTGCGCAGGGTAGGATCGTGCGGTTCCGAAGCAAACTACGGGGTAGTTAGACATTTCAGCATTATGGCCCCTATCAATGACTGGAGCTTCTGGGTTGAAGAACTTGAATTCATGACTGTGATGAGTAGTACGTAGGCTGTAGCACTCGCCACACCTCCCGTTTGCCTAGTCAGGCACCTGTCCTGATCCTGAGGGAGATGAGATCTGTTCGTGTGGTGTGGAGAGGTGGGATGGACCTCGTAGATCGCATGCCATGGGTCATGGATGGTGGCACATACACATTGGCATGCGACTAGGGTAGCCATGCATCAAAAACATCTTGTGACCTTGATATCTGCTTGGCTACCTTTGGAACGTCCCTTTTAATGCAGTTCAGAGCTTCAGACTTTGATTAACGGCCTCGTACCTTTAATTATGTCGTCGTCTTCGTCCGTGTCGACCACTGACAACCACCACGGTGTGCGTACGAGAATCCGAGTAGGGAATCAGCAACCCTCAGGGGATCGATCCCTAGCCTGGTACCAGACATGAACGGGCCAAGGCTACGCTCAAATCTTTTCGTGCATGCATTACCACCTGCGGACGCAGGGTGGCTTGACTATGTGATCAAAGTCCAAGGCACACGGCGAGTTCAGAAAATAAGTAGACGAGCGGTGGTGAATACACACTAGACAAGTATGAGGGCTTGAAACGTTTATGCTCTGTACAGACCAGTTGCGGAGTACCCGTGACCCGCTGGCGGGGAGCGGTTGTCATTGGACAATTTGTCGGAATGCCTGGGGCTTCTCCTTCGGATGCAGGTGTGCCCGCCGTCAGAGATCTTTGCAGTCGCAGGCTCGCAGCGAAACGGACATCTTGAACGGATCGAGTGACACATGCATGTGGCTGTCGAGTCGGCGCAGTCTCAGGTGCTGCATGCACATGAGATTCGACGCATCTTGGCCGAGTAGGAGCCTCCGCGTAATTATGGCGTGGCCGGATTGTTGAGATGAGAAGGGGTTTGGCGGCGCTTGGGGGCGGCTCGAGCCATGTCTGCCTGTGACACCGGCGGGTGGTAAGGGCCATCTTGGGCCGTGTGGGGTCGGTATCTCGCTGGCGGTTTGACAGAGAAACGTGCTGCATACCCGCTAGGATAGCGTGCTTAGCGCTATGTACAGCACACAGCTACCAGAGTAAATCCAGGTGCAGTGGTTCATCGGATCCGGTCTGTTCCGCCACGCCAGTCCCAGCCTCCAGGGTGGCTTTCCAGCCCTCGCACTTCGGCACGATTCCCACTCCGAAAGACCCACGTCGTGGCAGCCGCGGCCGGCATGAAAAAGACTTAAATACCTACTACGTAAGGACGTACTATTCGGCATCTCCGCCACATGTTGTTGAACCAAGGTAGTATTGGCGCTGCTGTACAGATTGTTAGTTCCCAGTGCGTCTGGCTCGGTTCGGAGCTTTTCGCCTTGCGGGCCAAAATACGGAGCAGGTGTCGATCTCTCAGCACGGCGAATTTTTTTGGGATGGTCTTTGGAACCTGATCAGGGTGCTTGCAGTCTTGCAGACGGCTCCAGCGCTACAACGACAAGGGTGGTCTGGACGCCACTGGACCTACCTACTAGGCTACTTGAGCACTAGGCCAAGCAAGTCCCTACCTAGCAGGCTACTAGTGGTACTACGCATGTTGTCTTGCGTAGACGGGAATGGATTGATCAAGTTGTAAGCTCATTCTTGCTCGGATGATGATGAGCGTGAACTACCTTACCGGAGCGAGACAAGCCAAGTGAAAGTCCAGTCGCTCTTGCCAACGGCGGCTGTGAAAAGTGGAGAGGCGGAAGATCACGAGACGGGGCAAAGCTCACCCGAGTTGTCGAATTCTGCACATTCCGATGCTGCCAATGTCGTGGTCGCGGACAATTATTACTAGCCCAATCGACTGGCAGACCGACCCAAAACAAGTTGCGCCCACATGTCAAGGGTCCCAAGACTGTCAAGTTTGGAGCAGCCGATCCACGGAGGGATGTCAGCTCGGCAGACGTCGTGGACAGATTACGCCAACGTCCCAGTGTGGCGGGGATCCAGTCACTTCCGCAGCCCGCACCCCCAGTCCCGGCACGCTGGCTCCTAAAAGACGGGCGGCGCTCGCGCCGTCTCCTGCAGACTGCAGTTGCCAATCGAACGCGACGGCTTGGGCAGACGGCGGAAGCACGTATGTTACGTTCTGACATGCGCGTGAGCTGCTCATCTTGCATCAGGGGAGTTGGGGCTGGCAATTCCAGTGAGACAGACAAAATCCAGAGAAACCCGAAGACGATCGGCCTTTCCGACGTCTCCTTCCAATTTCTCATGATTCTGTGTACAGCGTACTAATTAGTCTGGTCTAGTAGCCAGGAGCTAATCGCACTCAAGATGCAGACACCTCCAACACAGACTTTTAGTGGTGTTTGGCTTCGGGATCTACTAGCGCGAACGATTGTCGCCGACCACTTCTCGCACCGATACTTTACGAGGCGCCCGCCGCTGGCTGTACGTGGGAGGGTCGAGCGAGAAATTCCATGCCATCTGTTCGGAGTATACGATCTTGCACTGTTCATCCGTACCTTTGGCTCATTAATACGTAACAGCAAGACAGACGCAGATACTTCCGCATCCCGGATGCACCACCTCGGGGCGAAGGAGCACCACGTGGACTGATAGCACAGCCGCAGCCTCTTTTGGCTTGGCCGGCGTAAAGTACGTACTACAAAAGTCAATCTAGAGTTGAATGCGCCTCGGGAGCGACCCTGTGCGGCGTTCCCACCAGAGTCGCCAATGCAGTCGCTCTATTACATTTATGCCATGGCCCTTGGCTTGGTGTCAAGTTTCAACATCCGTCCGTGGCAGCTTGCAATTGCAATGATTATTAGACCATGATGGAACATACTTGTGCTAATTGATTGTTTGATACTTGTTGCTCTGCAAACATGAATGGGCCCTCCGACATCCCACACCCATCTGGCCAATCTCGCCATGCCCTCCTCACTCGGTTAGTCCACCTCCACCTATTCTGGCACGCTCTGCTCGTGCCAGAATGCTCAGAGAAGAACAAGTGGAGCCAGAATTGGGTACGTATCGGCGACCATGAAAAGTTGGGATTCTTGAATCTGACACTGACAGTGGGAAGATTTTCCAGCACCTATTAAAGCGTGAGAAGGTCTCATTCGCCACACTCGGCTGTCCATTGAGCACTGTCTCCTGTCGGACCCGCCAATCCTCGCACACTTCCACCATCCATCATACACCATACCTTTGGCGCCACGCTACGGCTACGCCATCTTCATGATCTCGCGCTCTTTGCGCACATGTTGTGGCGGCAGGTTGACATGTCTAGGACCCAAGCTAATTTGTAGATCACCAAATTCGCCCAACCTTCACGGCGCAACGTGTCGACCACCTACCTGACTGACACATCCACACCCTATCACTGACTGGAGACGGGGCTTTCAAATACGTAGTACAAGTTGTTCCTTGCTCCCTACGGCCAATAGAAAGGTCACTATCACAGCGTTCTTGTTACTTTTAAAGTACAACGACTACTACTGCAGCGTCTTGATTGGTTCACTCGCCTGTTTGCATAGGAACCTTCACAGTCGTTCCTTGATGACTTGCGTCTCCTTTCAGCTTTCATAGCTGCCCGTCAGTAGGGGATCGCAGGTGAGGGAAGGCATACCGATTCTTCTTCGGCAAGTCCCAAGCCTAGGAGAGAAACCTTCTAGCTCGATTTAGGCATGGACTGATGGCCAGGCGACCTTGTGGAGTTATCAGCCACGTGATCCTGTAACTGGGAGCACAAACTCAAGTGACAAGGGAGGCCGATAATTATTAGTTAGACAAGTCCGGCATCCATCTTGGACAGATTTGTGGGTTATCACTAGCAGCCCGTCGCCAAGGACCCCTGAACATTTACCATACCCTGGCTCGCAAGCTCCAAGCTTTATCACCACGCCCCCCCACCCCTCGACAACGCCAGCCCAGGGAGCTAGGTATTGCACAAAAACTGGCGAGCCGCCTACTTGGATCACCTATTGGCTGCGAAGAGCACCTCTTCTGCTTCCCGACAACAAAACCTATTCATCGTCATCTGCGAGACAGCCTTCCTAGCTGGTTTTCGACGTCGTGAAAGCACTTGACGCTTTCCGCTCTTACCACAGGCGTGTGCCGCATTGTGTACGAGTACTGGAACAAGAGTGCCCGCCCAGTACAACAATCGAGCCTGCAGTACCGCGTTATCAGACCAAAGTAGGTCGGATTGCAATCAGAGTACGCCAGCTCCGCCACACATGCTGTACGACTACGAGGAGAACATCGCTCTTCTGCCAGCACCACGATTCAGCAAGCTGTACTATTTCTGAGCATAGTAACACACCGGGATTCGTTGTATCTTGGGATTGTTGACCAGGACGCATTGCCGCCTTCAGGCGCGGGCCTTGCCATCAGAAGGGAGGACAAGAACCCTTGGAGTCTTGAAAGGGGACATGCATAACGATCTGACAGATCTTTGGCCGTTGCAGAGACGTCAGAATCAGGGCCAAGGCATGGTAAAGCGCAAATCAACGTTTGGATCGAGCGAACCATTCAGCAACCAGATACGACTTGCCCACGACAAGCACGTCTTTCAGTGCCAGTGACGCCGAGCACTCGAGAAACGCCGATGCCACCTGGCAGCACATTTGCCATCCTCATTGCGCCGAGGTCCCACAAGCGACTGGCCGGCAAGCCACTCCCGCTGGTCTGTCTCCCATGTCAACGTCGCCCCCCCTCCGGAGCGCAACATCAGCTGCTGAGAGCCGACCACAACAACTTGCACATTTGCCGCCACCAGCACCAGCACCCACACTAGCACCAGCACCATCCTTCTCAGCTGGCCAGAATGCCTATAGAAGACCACCATCTCAGACCCCGAGCATCGGCAGCCAGCGTTCCCGGGGCTACACGTACCACCACGCCGAGTACCAACGATCAGAGGCCCCCGAGACCAGGGAGATGTTCCAACAGCCGTACCGAAGTCCGGGCAGCTTCCCGCGTCCCGCCGCGCTCCCGCCACAGACACTGCCCAGCATGTCCCAGGCATTGCCTCGACACGCGTATCTTCCAGCGTCGACATCCCTGCCATCTTCAGGGGTTCCAATGAGCAATCCGCCACCGGCGACGGGGAGCTCAACACCTGCGTCTCCGAAATCACAGAGAAAAGCAAAGGGCCACGTTGCCTCGGCCTGTGTTCCATGCAAACGTGCACACTTAAGGTAAGCAAGCGTTCTCCGGCCGTCGCTGGTCCATGTAGACAGGAAGCTGACATTGAGACAGATGCGACGGTATGTTCTTTTCTCTACTCGATCAAACACTTGCAACTATCTTGGGTGCCTAGACACTCTCAAACACAGCACTTCTGCGAGACTTTCTACTGTTTACATATGCGGAATTGTTTGACTACCAGGAAACTGACTTTGAGTTAGCGCAGAGACCTTGCTCGAGATGCCTTAGTAACGGAAAGGAGGACACCTGTGTCGACGTCCAGCACAAGAAGCGCGGACGACCTCGGCTACGAGACGATCGCGAGACACGCTACGAAGTATCAAGAGGTCCGGCCTCGCATCATGACGCTGGCCTCACCGGACCCACCAATGCATACGCGCCCGGCAGCTCTGCGGTAGGTCCGGGCTACGATATTGCCCTCCATCATGCACAGCAACAACGACTGGCGAAGCCCGACCCGAGGGAGTCCATTCCTGCGCGGTACCGACCGCCGCTCTCCCTCGCCACGCAGGCCGAAGAGCCAGTAGCCTACCTGACACTTGGCTTGCAGTTCCTACGAGTCTCTGACCCGTTTCGAGAGGCCATGGGCGGCCTTGGGGATCGACGATCTTTGCACGACGTGGTGATGTTGGGGGACCGGGACAGGGTGCTCTCTTTGCAGGGCGACCTCATGGCCGAGCAGAAGCAGATGGAGCCGAATTATCTCCCGCCCATTTTGGATCGAGGCGAGCAGATTCTGGGGCGCCATGGGTTCAGTGCGAGGGATGTATCGGCCTTTAACCTCAACCGGCAAGAGTATTTTGGATTCGTCATTGGCGAGGGGAAATGGCGGCAGTACCCAGTGAGGCTGGGTCTGGGGAAGGAGGGATCCTACTTTTTCGTCGTTATGGCACTGGCGGTCATGTCGAGCCCACACACTCTCTCGCCTCTCGAGCGGCAGCCGGGACTCTACGGGTCGTCGATGCCCTCGCAACCACCGCCCGGCTCCATGGCCCACGACCTCCACAGACACCGCTTGAGCGAAGGCTCAACGCAACCACGTCCGATCCTCAGCTCAGCACCCCAGTTGCTGGGTGGGCAGAGCGAAGGGCTTAGTCCGATCGGTTACCCCCTCTCGACGAGCCGTCCCGAGTATACAGGGCCTCCGAGCTTCCGGTCGAGTCAAAACGATAATTTGTATCAACTACCGCCCATCCGGTCACAGCCTACTAGGGAAGATAAGACAGCATGGGTTCCCAGCCGGAGTGGCCGTGTTGACATTGGGGGTCTGATTGAGAGGCCAGAGGGGCCCAGCCGGCCATGACATTCTACATACGTGTTGGCCAGCTGTCGCCCACACTAGGCGAACTGGATTTTCTTCTTCCAAAAGCATCGGTTGAAATGTTTCACAGATAATGGGGCGTTAGGCGGATCCTCCCTCATAGTACCAAATTTGTACATTCGGAGTGAAGTGGGCGAAAGCAGGGCTGGCCAGCTTTTGAGACTGCCCTATATTTTGCCATGGACAATCTTTCCTGCTCTTTTGATCATCTTGCAGAGACATGACAGATCCATCACAGTGAGCGTCTCTCACCGGGCGGGGAGCACTATCTGTGCTAGAGCATCGTCTTTGTGGACGCGGCCTGTTGGACCGACCCCTGGCAGCGGCATCTCGCAGGGTAGAAAAACCACTAGGGTGAGCGGCCGACTCCAATGCAGCCCAATGCACGACCTCTTGCAGATTGTGGACAAGCCGGTCGAATCATTGACGTGCATCGAAGGACGGGGGACAGAACTCGTCAGACGGTGAACTGAACGGTGTCAGTGTGGCTAGGTAGATCCAGCATCCCACGGCATATACATGCACGATTCGAACTTTGGAAACTACGTCACGCGATCGGGTTAAGGGAGTTGTACTAGCTGAAATCTACCATTGAAGAATGTTCTACGCGTGCGCCAGAAGATAGATGCATGGTTTACGTGGAAGCGGACTGGAACCTCGGGGCGGATGGGGAAGCGAATGACCAGACACGATCTTGTCGCCAGGGTTCAGAAAAGGACATGCATGCTTCTGCAGATGCAATTGATGCTGCTATTGATAGCAGAGAGGTGTTCCTGTGGGTCGACAACAGTCTAATAGCTTGAGGTTGCTCTGCCTGTGGTTGTCAATTTCTTCGGGTGTGGTAGTCCGCCCGCCCGCAAGCACGTGCTGGTCGCGTGAGAGGACCTGGGGCGTGTTGGGTACCAAGGGAACTTGGCAGGCATGACCATGCCCACCGATGGCAGACCGTGACCTACGACAGCTACAACTGCCCCGCAACATTTTGGCCTAGCACACCACCTTTTCGACGACGGAGTCTAGGAAACAAGATAAGCTTTTGAAGACGCGCAGGCAGCTCCGAAAGTGCGTGTTGCGATCTCCCTCCTCGGCTAGCGCATGTGTAGCTCCAAGCAAGCAACATGGAGATCTTGTCCCGCGCCCCTCTATATTTGCGCATTGGCAATAAAGTCAAATTGACCCAGATTCATTGGACACGTTGTGTGGCTTAATGCGCTAAGCCCGGAATGAAAGCCCGAGGTGGGGGTGCAGTGCTCCGGCGCCTCTCGTCCATCGAAATTCGCTGTGACTAAGTTCTTAGTTGATACGGAGAAGGGGCGGCGCAGAAGTCAGGATCTCGCGCCTCCTCCTCCCTGTCTTGCTTGCATCGACCAAACCTCGAGTGTACCGACTTTCTTTTCGGTGATCGCCTTTGCGGCCGCGGTCTTTAATTTTTTTTATCAGTTCGAGGGGCTTTTCAGGTTCATTGGCGTTTCTTGCTGCCACAGACGACGGACGCGACCGCGACACGTGCGTCTCCTTTTCGACCTGAGTCCGACGTCTTGACCCCTGGGCCACGATATGGTGCGGCATTGACGACAAACATATCGACAACACAGCCCATTACACCCAGATCGAAAACATGGCAGGCGAGGACTGGTTAGGCGATGTGCCCAAAGATGGCTGGCAGGCCACCCACAGCTGGAAGATGCCTGAATGGGTCGAACCTATCGTAGGTTGCGGTTTGCGTTGTGCCAGACAGCTGGTCCTAACGTGCTGCAGATCATCATTCTTATACTCTTCCCGTCCATGTACCTTACCAGGCGTCGGAACTACAGCGTCTTCCGTAGAGACAAGGACCACACCTACAAGCTGCTCGACGAGGTGGAAGCCGGTTCACCATCGCCTCGGAGCTCGAACGAATTCGAACTCCTCCCCAAGCCGGACGCGTTCCCTCCCAAGACTCGCTCGCTCTGTGGCTTCATGCGCATCCGCACGCCCAACTCCTCGCGCTTCGCGCGCAACGTGCACTCGCGCATCCTACAAAAGTTCCCCTTCCTCGTGGAGATGTTCTACTGGGCCATCGCATTGGCACTCTATCGTGGAACGGGCGCCGTAGCTCAGCTAATCTACGGCGGCCACCGTGAGATGTGGGACTCGGCCGCCGACCATGGTCTGGCCCTTCTCGATGCGGAAGCGTACTTCTTCGGCAACGGCCACGAGGGCCCCAAGCGCTGGCTCGAATGGCGCATTCAGCGCTGGTTCCTGCACGGCTCCGAGGCTGGCGACTACCGTGTGTGGTTTTTGACGATCCTCAACCGAGGATATGCTCTCATCCACATCCCCGGCACCGTCGGCTTCATCTCATACTACTACGCCACTGCGCCTACCCACCGCCGCTTCTGTACCGTCCGCCGCACGCTCACCCTGACCAACATGCTCGCCTTTGTCAGCTTTATCCTCATTCCCACCTGCCCTCCTCGGCTCTTGGACGAGAAGTACGGCTTTGTGGACACTGTCAACCTCGAGTCGGCCGAATCCGTGTGGATGAGCGGCAAGTTTGTCAACAAGCTCGCTGCATTCCCCAGCATGCACTTTGGCTACGCCTTTTGCATCGGTTGTGTGTTCATTGCGGACAGCGGTGTTCTGACCGGCTTGATCAACAAGGCTTTCAACTACGTTTTCCGCAGCAGCGACCCGGACGCAGATGCAGAGGAGGAGGACGACGAAGATCTCCTGCTTAAGAGACGCAGCCCACTGGTGCGAGGCCTCATGTTCGCCTTTGGCCTCTGGTACCCGTGCTGGATCCTACTTACCATTGTGGGCACCGCCAATCATTACTTCCTTGATGCTTTGGCTGCGGTCTTCACTGTCATGGTTGCCTACGTCTTCAACCGCTTCCTGCTTGTTTTCCTTCCTTTGGAGGACTATCTGCTATGGGCCTGCCGCATGGATAAGCCCATTCCTACCACGGGGCGCATGAAGAATCTGGTGGTTGAATGAATGTCGGGATTCGAGAGAAGTTGGGTGTGCTTATTACTATTATAAACGGGGCGTCTTACTTGCATTATGGAGTTTTCTGAAGTGCTACGATGGGAGAATCTACCCGGGCCCTTTGTACATGTATACATTATGTAATTACTATTCATACATGCATCCTATCCGCATGGTCCCATCGTCACTAGTCCGTGGTCTTCGCGTTATGCTTGGTGGATGACTCAGCCGTGAATCACCCGGCAACGGTCCACGTGCACTAGCGCCGACTTCCCAACATCGCGTCTCATGACTCCAGCCTCGTTATCGGTGACTTGCGTTCAAACCTCGCCACTCTATCCAAGGCATCATGGCGCGTCTATCTGTTGTGGCTGCTCTTGCATTCACCGGTGCTGCATCTGCCTTGCAGATCCCGCTCCAGATCCCAATCAACACGCCTTGGACCGAGACCCCTGCAGTCCACCAAGACGATGGCGATGAGCTCCCCTTGATTGACAGCAAGACCCTCCAGGACAGAATCGCCTCCTCCTCTCTCGAGGCTCGCGCCAAGGTCCTTTACGACTTGGCCAAGAGGAGCGAGGATGAGTACAACCACCCCACTCGTGTCATTGGCAGCAAGGGTACGTATGATTCGCTGCGGGAGAGCGCTCTCGTGGGCATGAGGCTGACAGACGGCAGGACACGAAGCTACTCTGACTTACATCCAGTCAACTCTGGCCCAATTGGGTTCATACTACAATGTCTCGTCGCAGAGCTTCCCCGCCGTGACTGGCAACGTCTTTGAGTCTCGCCTGGTGGTGGGTGCTGAAGTTCCATCCTCTGCTGCCCCAATGGGGCTGACGCCTCCTACTCGGAACAACGAGCCAGTTCACGGACAGGTGATCCTCGCGGAGAATGAGGGCTGTGAGCCTTCTGATGTCCCAGAGCAAGCATCTGGGAACATTGTGCTCATCAAGCGCGGCACTTGTCCCTTTGGCACCAAATCCGAGAACGCTGGCAAGGCGGGTGCTCTCGCGGCCATTGTCTACAACACCGATCCCGAGCCAGTGCAGGGGACCCTTGGCACACCATCGCCTGACCATGTGGCTACCTTTGGCATCGGCGGCACGGAGGGCTCCAAGTATGTTGAGAAGATCAGGAAGGGCGAGAAGCTCGACGCCATTGCGTACATTGATGCTGAGGTCCGCACGATTGTCACTACCAACATCATTGCGCAAACCCTGGGCGGCGATGCGGAGAACTGCGTGATGGCCGGTGGGCACAGTGACAGTGTCGCCGAGGGGCCTGGCATCAATGATGATGGCACGGGCAGCTTGTCTCTCCTCGAGGTTGCCGTGCAGCTCTCTCGCTTCCGCGTCAACAACTGCGTGCGCCTCGCTTGGTGGGCGGCCGAGGAGGAAGGTCTCCTCGGCTCCGATTACTATGTGTCCCAGCTTTCGGGAGAAGACAACCAGCGCATCCGCCTGTTTATGGACTACGACATGATGGCTAGTCCCAACTACGCCTACCAAATCTACAATGCCACCAACGAGGAGAACCCCACCGGTTCAGCCGAGTTGAAGGAGCTGTACATTGACTGGTACGAGGACCAGGGCCTGAACTACACGTTCATCCCCTTTGACGGCCGCAGCGACTACGATGGGTTCATCCGCAACGGCATCCCGGGCGGCGGTATCGCGACCGGTGCCGAGGGCGTCAAGACGAAGGATGAAGAGGCCATGTTTGGTGGCAAGGCTGGCGACTGGTACGATCCCAACTACCACCAGATTGGCGATGATCTGAGAAACTTGGCCCTCGACGCGTGGGAGGTCAACACCAAGGTACGTTTTCTTGCTGCTCGCGTGTGTGCGATTTTGCCGATAACCGGATGCTAACGGGGACAGTTGATTGCGCACTCGATCGCTACGTTTGCCAAGTCGTTCAAGGGCTTCCCGGAGAGGAATGCGGATGCTGAGATCAGCTCGTACGGACGTGATGTCAAATACCACGGTTCCAAGCTTGTCGTTTAGAGGGAGCTGTATTTGTAGACATCTGGCGATAGATTTCTTGTCGAGTTTCTTTCTTGTCGGGGATATGTAGAGAGTAGAGTTTGGAGGGTCAATACACACACCATGCTATAGATGCATAGTACTCTGGTAGCATACAAGAAACCGCAAAGGCCCACGTCCAACTCCCTCTCGCTCGCCTTTAGCCAATAATACGATGCAACCCATTTCCATTCCCCGACCCCAATGCGGAGGCACGACGCTTGGAGTACGCGCGGGTGTAACGTCGCTTGGGCTGCAGGTGACCAAACGCAGTATCACAAGACTAGCCTAGCCGACCAAGCAGGTTCTTCCGTTTTGGAATAAGCACTAGAACGGCCCCGGAGGCTTCCACGCGAGCGCCCGGGAAAGGGGGAAGTTAATATCAAACCGGGGAGGTGGCGGGGCCCAAAGAGGCAACCAAGCGTTCATCACTAACACCATATGGCGATCTACCTGACCGGGCTCCAGAAGTCTAATCCCAACCTTGCTGGGCAAGGCATCAGCCCAGAAACAGCCAAGACATGTTGGGCGCGCTGGTTTGAGCTTGGCTGTACAATTCACGGATCCATGACCCATCCATCACCATAGGTAGAGTGGACTTGGCCAGCCCAGGAACGTTGCCCATTTCGACTACGGCGATAGGCAGGACGGTGTGTCGCGGGCTATTCTACTCCGTATTGCCTTCCCAATGGCTAGACCAACACGACGATGCCCTCCGTTTATTGGGGAACGAGCGACATTCGGTCGTTCTTTTCTTGGCATACTTGACTTGGGAGCTGCATGCCGTGCCATTTGGGGTCCAAGTCGATTTTAAACATTGGGGGTTGGCACGGCGGATGAGCCGCGTTGGTTAAAAGCTGTCTGATGAGGAGATATTGCTGGCTGTCCGGAGAAGTGAATAGCCCCAACCGGAGTTTATATACTCATTGATGTTCAAAATCTCTAGTACTGCTTCCGATGCACTTCAATTGTATCTAAAGTAACAGCACTAGCAAACTCAAGTAGTGTTGCGGTGGTCACAAAGGTAAGATAATGGTTTAGGGTAGGCTCGTGTTTCAACTACCACGTGATCCGGATCGGCTCGCCAAGGCACCACTCCGGCTTGCAGGCCACGGAATGCAAGATAAAGTGGGTGCGCTCCTTCCCCAGACAGCCGATTCCCAACCGGCTGTTGATCCTCCATCACACCTCAGGCAGACGCTTGATCTGCCATATTGATGCTTTTTTTTGACGTGCCTCGTCTCTATCCCGCGTCAATCGAGTGCCATCGCGGGCATGCAACTCGAATAGTATTTTGTCGCCCCCTACATTGAGGTCTATTCGCTAGGCATGACGGGCACCAACAGCTCTCCTCTCGTCTCCCGTCCTCGTGCTCAGGCGAGATTGTCGCTGCTGGCTTGCGCTATCGATCGTAAAGCCTCCAACAAGTATCCACGTAAAGCCATCGATGACTGACCATGTCACGTCTCCAGCCACGGCTCCGAGGCCTGAGCTGATCGAAGCAACGGCGGCACCTCCGCCGCGCTTGACCCGCCTTTCTCCCCAATGCCGACGGTACCCCATTCAAGCTTGTTTTGTGCCAAGGATCTTACCGACGGACAATCACGCACCTCGGAGGCTCAGCAAGCAATGCCAGTCCTCGAGAGCGGTCGAGCTCAGAGGAACTTGTGCTGGAGAGCGAGGTGACTGTCTCATGTGTGATCACTGCCCGTTGGCGAGCTGCTGTACGTATGGACAGCGATCAATGGCAAGTGGGAAATCCCCCGCAACCTCCAAGGGGCCGCCCCCAGACTCTCGCCCACATCACATTCATCCATCCCCACAACAGGCTATTATCCTAGTTTGAAAGCCTCATGAATTCAGCCGGCCAATCACGGAGTTTCAGACTCCTCGACGTTGCGGTCTGAATGTTTTCTCGGTTCGCGGGGCCACTGTGGTCCTCCCTCTGGAGTCAGGAGGCACGCGGAGACTCCCCTGCCAAAGACGCATGGGCCATGGCCGGAAAAGGGCTCCTTCATCGCTCCGTGGAGGAGACACAAAGTTATATTAAGCAGACCCCCATCCGCGGCAGCTTCGACTTCCTTCGTTGTGCTCGACCAAGCCCCCTTCGTCTCACCTCTTCTCCTGGTAAACCACGTTCCTGGTGAATCCGTGTGAGCGCGTCACGCTCTACCACAACCGCCGCCATGTCCAAGTTCACCACAAAGTCCGCCCAGGTCGCCGTTGACCCCATCATCGAATCGATTGTCAACGAGGACAAGGTGCCGTGGTACTCCAAGCCCAACCTGCGATGGCTCTACTTCATGCTCTTCCCCACCTGCATGGGTGTCGAGCTGACTTCGGGTTTCGACTCGCAGCTCATTAATGCCCTGCAGATTGTGGAGTCGTGGAAAGACTACTTTGACGATCCTGTCGGTCATTGGAAAGGCTTCATCAGCGCCTCGTACTCGCTCGGCGCGCTCATCAGTCTTCCTCTTGTCCCCTGGTGCAACCACAAGTTCGGTCGTCGTTGGTCCATCTTCATTGGTTCCTGCATCATGATTGCCGGCGCCATTGTCCAGGGCGCCTCTCAGCACGGTAAGTCGTCTTGCGTCGCTTGATTCCCGAGGGTCCCAAAGCTGACAGCCTCGTCAGTCGGCATGTACATTGTCGCCCGTCTCATGCTTGGTTTCGGTATCCCCGTCTGCATTGTTGCTGGCTCCGCCCTCATCGGAGAGCTGGCCTACCCCAAGGAGCGTCCCGTCCTCACCTCGCTGTTCAACGTCAGCTACTTTGTCGGTCAGATCATGGCCGCCGGCATCTGCTACGGCACAAACCGCATCACAGGCAATGCAGGATGGCGAGTTCCATCCTATCTTCAAATCGTCCCTTCGCTGCTCCAGGTCTCCCTTTGCTTGTTCCTGCCCGAGTCGCCTCGCTGGTTGGTCAGCAAGGACCGTATCGAGGAAGCCAACGCCATTCTGGTCAAGTATCACGCCGAGGGTAATGCCGACTCCGAATTCGTCAAGGCTGAGATGACCCAAATCACCGAAACCATCAAGATCGAGTACGAGGCCTCCAAGGAGACATGGTTCGATCTCCTGCGCAGTGCTGGTATGCGCCGCCGCGCCCTCATCACGGCCATGCTTGGTCTCTTCACCCAGTGGTCTGGCAACACTCTCATCAGCTACTATCTCGGTAAGCAGTGGCCTCGCGCGCCTTGTGCCGTGATGAATCGTCTTCTAACGAAAAAAAAACAGGTGACCTACTCACCATGATCGGCTACACCAACTCCCAAACCAAGCAGACCATCAACCTCGTCAACGCCTGCTGGTCGCTTGTCATGGCCTTCACGGTTGCCATGTTGGTTCGAACCTTCCGTCGTCGTGTCATGTACATGACTTGCGTCTGCGCGTAAGTGGCAAATGCCCGCAGTGCAATGATCCAGTCACAATTAACACCACTGCAGTCTTCTCTGCGTCTACATCGCCTGGACTATTTCCATGGAGCGTGCGGTTACCGCTCAGGAGAACGGCGGAACGAACAAGGCGGCCGGGTGGTCCACGTTGATCTTCATCTTCCTCTACGCGCCTTGCTACAACATCGGTTCGTCCATTCTCACCCGCTGATATATACCTGCCCCGCTAACACGTCCCAGGGTTCAACGCCTTGACCTACACGTACATGGTCGAGCTCTGGCCCTACGCCCTCCGCTCCCGTGGAATCTCCTTCTTGTAAGCTCCGTCGGATCACGGTAACCAAAACATTCCGCTGACTCCTTTACAGCCAGGTCTTTGGCCGCTTCGCCGGGTTCTTCACTACGTTTGTCAACCCCATCGGTCTCAACTCCGTCTCGTGGCGCTACCTCATCTCGTACTGCTGCTGGCTGGGATTCGAGGTTGTGTTTGTCTACTTTATGTTCCCCGAAACGTCCGGGCTCTCACTCGAGGAGTTGGCCTTTATCTTCGAGAGCAAGGATGTTGCCGACCAGGTCACCGCCAAGGTCGAGAAGACCATCCACCACGAGGATGCCGAGGTGCAGCGCGTTGGCGACGCCCCTGTCGAGCGCAAGGTCTAAAGAAGTGACAGGGCACTGTTTTGGGTCTGTCATTCTTTGAAGACGCCAGAAATTGTTTCGTTGGGTTGAAGCGTACTGCTTCGTTATGTGTTTTAAGACCTGACTGTAGGAACGGACTCCATCTGGCCATCATTCATTCTCATTCAGTCACATTCGTCCACAGTTTGCCCCCCACATATCGGTGCTCCATTTGAAAATGGACCTCGTGACGCATGGGCTCAAGACGGCCGAATCAGCCACCATGAGCGAACCCATTCTCTAGGTAATGACCCAGTGCATCCAGCGCTTCTTTGAGCACCTTGGTGCTCGATACGTATCCGAACCGCATGTATCCTTCAAAATACTCCCCACCCCCGAAACACGTTGATCCCGGCATGACCAGCACGCGCGTCTTCTCCAACACCTCGAGACAGAACTCATCATCTTTCACCGACTGGCCCCTCCTCTCGAAGCGGATCATAGCCGTGGTACCGGCTGCTGGTTTAGTCCAGGAGCATATCTCACTGTACTTGTGAACGAATGCCTCGAGCAGTGCGAGATTGGTCTGCGCTAGCTCGATGTTTCGTCTGAGGAGACTTGGCCGCACGGCCGCAGACAGGGCTAGCCCTGCAATCTGGTCGTCCAGCTGAGAGACGGATATCGTGGTGTAATTCCTAGCGCTCTTGATGGCTGTCATAATCTCCTCGTCCCGCGTTGCGATCCAACCGAATCGAATGCCGGCCAAGGACCACGCCTTGGACATGGACGATGTGGAAATGGTCTTGTCGTAGCCAAGAGAGAGGATAGAAGGGGGGCTTCGCTCGTGTTCGGGCAAGCTGTGGAAGAGAGGACGATAGACCTCATCAGCCATCACGATCAGACCTCGTGGTCTGGCGAAATCAATGATTTGGGTGAGTGAGCCCCTTGGAATGGTCGTTCCGAAGGGGTTGTTGGGGTTGTTGATGATAATCATCTGTCACGCAATCAGGTATCTCAGCGAGCGACGAACCCAAGGAGACAAGCAGCGCACCTTTGTGTTATCCCGGACCAACGACTCTAGCTGCGTGGGGTTCGGGATATATGAGTCCTTCTCTTCCAGACGCCAGAGGGTGACATCGGCACCGATACTCATGGGCACCTCGTAGAGCTGCTCGTAGGTAGGGTAGACGCAGATGACATGGTCCCCAGCGCTGATGAGGGCATACAACGTCAGGAAATTGGCGCCAATGGCACCTTGCGTCACGAGCACATTGTCCACATCTAGATCTGGGGCGCCATCGTCCCTGTACAGATTGGCAATCTTCTGCCTCGTGTTGGGTGAGCCCTCTATGTGGCCGTATGTGAGCTTTCGGGAGGTGAGGTCCAGGGGCGGGGGACACGCGTCTCTGTCCGCGAGCTTGTACAGATCTTCGACGGAGACCGATTCGCAGCAGGTTTCGGCAATGTTGAGGACGCCTGGGGTTGTCTCGAGACGATCCATCCACTCCTCCACTTTGAAGGGACTAATGTGAACCATTGTGAGATCAGCAATGAGCACATGCAAGCAACTGAGCCGATGGAGAAGGACAGTAGGGAGGATCTAAGAACAGTATGCTGGAACCCGTCGTTGAATCATGTGGCTTTGGAGAGGAGGACAGTATTGTCGTGGGTTGGTGCTACGAGTCTACGACATGCGCGACCTCGTACTCGTAGGGCGCGGATGACTTCCTCGAATCCCCACACGATTGGGGCGGCAATTCCAGCATCGCGCTGCTGGGAACGTGAACAAATCGCTGCTCGCCAGCTTACATCTTTGCATCCCAAATTGAGCAATCACACGTCGCGTCTCGTCCACCACGTTCTTTCACACCCCTCCGCACAGGATTCGCCATGTCTGGCGCTCGACAGTTCAACTTCAACCCCTCAGCCAGATCATGGACGGCGCCCGTCGCGCCCAACACAGACGCCGTACTCACCTTCCACCAGTCACTCCCCAACTACCAGCCAACCAATCTCGTCTCACTAGATGAGGTCGCAAGAGAGTTGGGAGTCAAGTCCGTCGTCGTCAAGGACGAGACCAGTCGCCTTGGCCTCCCGTCGTTCAAGATTCTCGGCGCATCATGGGGGACATTCCGCGCTCTCCTCAGGGAGCTTCGTCTTCCAGAGACTGCGACGTTTGAGGAAGTCAAGAAGCAGCTGGAAGGGACACCAGTCAAACTACACGCTGCGACAGATGGGAATCACGGTCGCGCTGTTGCGCGGATGGGCTCGCTCCTGGCCATCCCGGCAGAGATCCATGTGCCTCGTCAAATGTCGTCACAGACAATAGAACTCATCAAGAGCGAGGGCGCGCGTGTCATTTCATCAAACGGAAGCTACGAGGATGCGATAGCTGCGGCGCATGCGCGAGCCGATGCTGACGAGCATGGCATTCTTGTGCAGGACACTGCGTTTGAGGGCTATGAGGAGATCCCAGGTGTAGGTATCCCATGCTCCCTATCCAGTACATCATCTGACCGTGTGATGTAGTGGATTGTTGAAGGCTATGCAACCATGCTACGCGAGATTGACGAGCAGCTCGGCGACGAGCACGTCGATCTGGTCATCTGCCCCGTCGGCGTCGGCTCGCTAGCACTGTCAGTCCTGACGCATTTCAAGAGAGAAAACCGGCGAACCGCCATGCTCGCCGTGGAGCCTGACACGGCGGCGTGTCTCTGGACGTCCGTGGCCAGGGGCGAGTGGACTGCCATCGAGACGACGCCCACCATCATGGCTGGTCTCGACTGTGGGCAGGTTTCGACCACCGCCTGGCCCCTTCTGAGGGATGGTGTCGATGCGTGCCTGACCGTGTCAGACTACGAGGCGCACATGGCGCTCGTGGGCTTGAAGACTGCCGGCGTCCATGCTGGGCCCTGTGGTGGCTCTCCGCTTGCTGCTCTGCGACGTCTGCGTGAGGAAGATAAAGCAGTCCTTGGGTTGACTGAAAAGTCCACAGTTGTTCTCGTATGCACCGAAGGGACCAGAGAGTATATGATTCCAAGTGAAAATAGTGGACTCGGGAATGTAAGTTAAAATGAACACAGGCGGCCTCGATGAGACGTGAACGTCCATCTCCTACAGTCCGACCCTACCCAAGACCGTATATCTAGCATTTAGCCGTGGACTCCGAAGCCACCACCATGAGCCGTATTTTAACGATGAATACTTCCTACCCTCTGTCTGGGGACTCCATGCTGAGATTCGCTCCTCTGTCGCTCCAGTCCCCAATCCTCCGCGCGGGTTTCCTCTGGGAGCGCTGGTTTCCCGCCCAGGCTCGCGAGGACGACATCATTCGTGACCGTAAAGTCATCCAGGACCTGGAGCTCCTCCAACGTGAACCATCGAGGGATGAAAATGATGCGTGCGGGGATCATCAGAATAATGAGCACTGGGAACCCAATCGCAGCAATCGTCTGCGAGATGGCCACGCAGGCGAATACAAATGCTAGTTGGAGAGCAATCCATAGCATGATCTTGCGACGTCGAATGTGGAACATGGGATCGCCTCTCTGGATGAAGCGGCGCTCGCGCTGCAAAAACACAAACTTTTGCAAGATGCCGTTTGATTCAACGGATCCCCACTGCACCATGGTCAGTCAGTCTGTCCGTCGGCAATGCAAAAGAGGGGGAACGTACGCCAACAACAAAGAACACACCGGCAAAGAGGGCGGAGGGCATGGTGTGCAGGACGGTCAACAAGGGCCCTGTCATGGTGCCAATGAGGGCCAGACCCATGACAAAGTGTGAGATGCGCTGCTCAACCACGGCTGTGGCCTTGACGATTGGTTCTCGGATCTCCGTGCCCTCGCCTTCGGTGGTGGGTATGATCCTGAGTTCCGTCTCGTAGATTGTCAAGGAATCGGTGTGAACGGGTGCCTGTGCCATCAGCATACATCAATATGGCCTGTATTCTTGGACTTACCTGTGGAACAAGTCCATTGGGCAGGGGCAGGCCGAGGATGCCCGCGACAAAGGTCGTGCAGCCGAGGAGAAAGAAATCCCAGTGGAAACCGCCTGGCTTCTTGAGGGGGAACTGGCGGGCTTGTGCAGTAATGCTGCTGACATTCTACCGGGCTTTTGTGAGTCCAAAGATGAAACGAGCGTCTGGAGCAGAGCGGTCTTACATGATCGTAGTAGAAGAGAAGCATGATGAGAAATCCGAAAGGAATGGCGACAAACACCCACTTCACATCGAGATTCCAAAAGTCAATGAGCCAGGACCGCGGCTGCGTTGGCTTGAAGGCGTCCGTGACGGGTAGCCGCATAATGTGCGTCATATCGATATTTCCAGGAATGTGGGAGAAGCCAACCCAGAAGATGGTGCCAAACTGGAACACTGTGAGCGCACTTGATGGTAAGGGTACTTGACTCGTAGTTGACTCACCAGGTATGCATAATCAGCAAGTATGCCGCGCACGCCAGCCCGCCATACGGTGCTGGATCCTAGCTTCTCGAGCAAGTAGACAGTGCCAAAGTAGAGAATGGCAATCATGGTGGCTAGGAATCCTGCTGTTCGCCCTTCTTGCGCAAACTCATTCACCAGTTCCTCAACACCCTTGACTGCAGAGAGAAGGTAACGTCAGTGGCCCGCGAGGCTGGCATTCGTTTTGGGCGAGATATAACATACTGATGTAGATGATACCAACATACATGCCGAACGCTTCGCTCGAAAAGTCAGTCACGTAGCGCATGTAGTCGCAGGCATTGCCGAAGGACACGAGCCAGTGGAAGATGGCACCCCAGATGCCCACCCAGGCCATGAACTGGGGATAGATGCTGACATCGTAAATCTGGATAATGTCGTAGATTGTGTAGTTGAACAGGGCGATCAGGCCAGTCACGCCCACAATGGTCAGGGGCTGGGCGGCGAGGATGCTGAAGACCATGGCAGCGAGTGCCGACGCAAAGAGGCCTTCGTTGATGCCGAAGAACTCGCCTGTCCGGCGATACATGTCGAGTGTGTAGGCGATGGCTGGAAGGAGGCTTGTTTGATCGTCAGCTATCCGTGTGTACCACAGACAGACAGAGTGAACAAGATTCTGTCCGCCGATGGGGAGCAGTTAGTTCAAGGGGCAGACTTACTTGACAAAGTACATTCGAACGATGCTGGCAACGGTGCGGTAGGTGAAGGCGTCCTTGATGTCCGACCAGTAATAGGGGAGTCGCCGCCTCACGTCGTGGTACATGCCTCGCCCAGGCCGTAGGAGGCGCCAGCGTCGCCAACCGTCCGCACCCTCGTAGGTGTAGGACATGTTGGACTTGCTGGGCTTCATGCGGGTACCGTTGGCTCCCATGACGTCGCAATCCAGACTGGACTGGCGTAGGTGATGTGTTTGTCCTAGCTTGGTCCTCCAGGAAGGGGACTCTGAAGGCTGTCAGTTTGAAGAGAGAAAAGGTTGATGAGACTAGCAATGAGCCGAGCAGGGGAGAGTAGAGGCAGAACGTTATTTATATCTCCATTGCCAAGGAACCTTGAACGAACGTTTACGCTCGGCACTTATCATCATGGCCCCATCAATATTAAAGTATTTAACATTATCCAATGGTCCACACCACCATCCCAAGACATCGGGGCTACCCGGGAGTGAGGGCGCCAAGGCCAATCAGTCACCGCACACTTGCGTCATGGACTCCAGTGAGTCCAGTCTCATACGGGGATGCAAAATTCTGCCCGAGCAGAATTTCTCCCCTGCACGCGTGTAAGTCGCCTCGACACTCACTTCACGTCAGCAGCCCGTGTGGTCGTGATTGCGTGCACACTCTATCCTGGTCAATCGATTGGATAGAAGCCAACTATTAGATATGAGGCAGGCGTCTCCCAGCCTTTGCGCTGTCTTCAGCGATGCCCTCCTCGACGATCTTGTCGCAGCGCTGAGTGGTAATGCCCAAGTCTGCTCATCCATGAACAGACCCCATCTGCTCATCACAGCATCCATACAAGAAGCAGGTGATGATGGCACGGTACTACCTACAAACGGGGGCGACGCGAAACATGGACCAAGCACAATCTTCAAGGTACCTGACGTTGCACCACACATAGAGTCCAGGGCTCATGCCACGCTCATTCATTGCTAACCATATACAGCGCTCAATAGACATACAATCCATCTTACAATCTGGAGTGGCCCTCGCCTCAGAGTCACCAGTGTCACCGACACCTAGCCAAGACGAAGATGAGAGCTTCATCGAGTACCAAGGCCCTCAGAAACGGATACGTCCCAGAAGCACAACCGACACAGATACATGTAGCCCAGGCCGAGCGAACAAGGCACGATGTGTCGAGTCTACGCACGCTCGCAAGTCAAAAGGCTCACTCCGACCCAGGACTACGATCCTCCCAGCAAATTCAGCCAACCATGACAGCCAACGGCAAATGGCCATCACCAAGAACGCATTCCCGCGCCGTGCCAAACCAACCACGGACCTGGCGCCCACACCCGCCTCATCCTCCCTCGCCAAGTTCATCCAAAGCGTGTGGGAGCAGATCCACGGTGGTATATCACTGGAGCCTGCCATCTTCGCTGCGCAGGCCACGGACAGGCCAGGGGAGTCTACTGGAGGCACCATGAGGCTGGCAGCGCCCCTCCACTTGTCGACTCCATCCTCCAGCCTCGTCAGTCCCGGGGGCCAGACGGACGTGAGCCCAGAGTCCTTTACAAGGGGCAACGCCTTTTGCCGTCAGGTTCTGCAGACGAGCCGCGCATGCAGATCTGTCGAGGTCATTGTGCAAGCGCGGTGGGTCGAGCTCTTTGACGCCTACGTCGCGCATCTCACCAGGACAGAGGGCCTGTCCGCCCTCCGGGGCCGCATGGCCGCCATGGGGGAGGCGTGCCGGGATTTCGGCTGGGCCGAGAAGGAGATGCGCAACAAGATGGCTGTCTGGCGGGGCTACAAGGAGATCAAGGACGTCGGTGGCTGGGTGCCCCTGGTCTTCGCGGGCATGGGCCTGTATCGGATGTGCAAGTATCGCGTGGGCTTGGAGCCCGGGTCTCTGTCGTCGCTCAAGGCCATGCGCTCGCGGTTTGAGATCGCGGCGGACACGATCCGTCCCGAGTGGCGCAAGTTACTCGTGGCCGTCGGCGAGCCGACGCAGCTGCACTATCGGGGTCATCCGCACGACTGGGTGGCCCAGGCGGACGATGACGATCCGCTTCCCCTGTCGCATACGTACCGTCACCAAGAGGTGCCCTTTACGTTTCGTCAGGTGGATGAGTGTCTGGTCGACGAGCAGCACTGGCCGGACGATGACCCTCGACGGGTGCCGATGACGACCATGATCACCAATGCGAATGCTGCGCATGTGTGCGACACTTGCGGTCAGCCGCAGTCAGACGATATTAAGGACAACCAGTGTCGCTGTTTTCCAAGTCTGTTCGGTGGCCAGAGACAAAAGCCACCAGTGCAGGTCTTCAGGACCAAGAACGGGCGCAACAACGGTGTGCAAGCCCTTTTGCCGTTCTCACGGGGCAGTGGCATCGGCGAGTTTGTCGGTCTGTTGACGAGCGACATCCAGGGCGTCGATGTGATGAACAGCGCCGTGGGCGCGCGCAAGTATCAGATCTGGCAGGGTCGAGAGGGCAACTTTACACGCTTCGTCAACCACAGCTGCAATCCCAACGCACTCTTCCACAAGTTCACCTGGTTGGGCATGGAGAGGATCCTGCTGGTCAGCAAGGGGATTGAGGCTGGTGCCGAGATCACCGTGGACTATTCGGACAGTTACTGGGAGGGACTCGACAAGGTGTGTCTGTGTGGCGAGGCGTGCTGTCGCTATCAAGGGAGGAGTGCAGCATGATGAGTGGTACTCACTGATGGGCATGAGGATCTGAAATATCGCGATTAGAGGAGCTCTCAAGCCTCAAACCCACTTCCATATCTATACAATTCTTTTGGAGGTTTCCTAGCAAGGTCATCCGAGGAACTCCGGAGATATTAGCGGCATCCGTCACAAATCTGAGCCAAGATTTCATACTGGAGATGAGAGGTCAGATCTCGGTTGGGGTTGATTCTGGTCGGAGATTTCGCCAAGACCAAGCAAGCACCGAACGATGTAACGAACGCCTTAGTCAATTTCATCGCACCAAGTACCTCGAACTAATGATTACCACTCGCGAGCTTGAGCACAATCCCCATCATCTTTCTCAGCAACTTACCCCCACATCTCCCTTTATGTGCCATACCCAACCCTCGGAACAGTAAATATACCCCCCTTTACAAGCCGCACCTGCGCACGACAATCAAAACAGAGGACCTTGCGACAGTCCAGACAACAACACGAGTACAACTTCAGCGGATTGTGACAAAGACCGCATACCCCTTTATACTTCCCTGTACGGAGATGCTTATGACAACAACGATGCATGCCCTGTTGTCCACAGCATACGACGGTGGGAGTGGTCTGCTCAGAGGCTGTATTGGAGTCGGTAATAGAAATCTGCGCAGTGTCTCCAATGTTCAGAGCATGAGTGCGACGAACTTCTTTGTCCAGTCGCTCCCATGCGGCGACTTCTTGCTCCACTTGCTCGAACGAAGCGTCAAGGGGTAGCGGTAACGATGCTGGCACGGGCGGCGGGCGTGGGCGGTCGTGGTGCAGGGAGCCGACATACGAAGGTCGTTTCTGATATGGCACATCGCTGGGAGAAACAATCTGAGTCGCTGGGCTCATACGACGGCTTGGACCCCCGCCTTGTGTGGCCGTTCCAGAAGAGTGCAAAGCGCAGTTTGGCTGCTCCACCACCTGAACAGGGCTCCTTTCCTGCTCGTAAGAGATATTCTCAAAGGTCCTGGCCCGCCTAGCTTCCAGCGCATCCTCTCTACGCACTTGCTCAATGTCAGGAGCTGCTCTGACCAAGAGGTCCTTCCACCTATACGCGCCATGAGCCCCCAATTTGTATGTATGCTCCCATCGGTGCAGCGAGGCTTCTATCTGGCGAGCAAGGTGTTCCCGGGGCGAGAGATACCCCTCTCCGTGGCTTGAGGTGCCCTGACGGGGGGAGCGAGACTGTACCGGGGGTTTTGAACGGCGGATTCCGCGCTCATCGCGGTGGAATGTAGCGGTTGGACGGGCAGGGCCTTCAACTTGCAAAACGTCAAATTGAGGATGCGGCCCGAAAGGCTGCTGTAGTTGAGATGTGCCTTTGCGGAAGAAACCAGCGCGTTGAACACACCAGTTCCATGAGGAGATAAACCACTTGGGCATGTGGCGTCGTAGTACGCCCACCCATGTTCGCGGATGAAAGGACGAGATCGTGCGGCCGATCCAGTTGACGAGCAGAGTCTCGGGCTTTCGCAGTATGGCAATGGGGTCGCAGGGTGACACAGAACGGCTCAGGCTGGTCATGTTCCGGGCCAGGGACGGCATCCATTTGCCACGTCGCTTCTTCTCGCAGTGCTTGACTTTGTGGACCCCCATCTTAGTGGTTGGCGATTGCAGCTAGAGCTAGTTCTGTGCAGGCTCAGTCTGTCTGTAGGTTTGTATTGCGGAAGGAGTGAGAGGGAAGGATTGGAGAGAGAACGTTGTACGAAGTGAAATGGGACTCTTATGCTTCTGTCGGCCACTCTTCAGTCACGCACCATTGTTGTTCTGTGGTCAGTGACTGCTGCCGCGAAGCGCAGTTATCCGTTTGCCAAGAAGGACGAGCGAGCCCCTGGGCTCATTAACCCCATCGTCGCACCATGTCTTCCTTTTTCTCGCTTTTCCCGTCTCCCTTCTTTGTGTTGCACTGATCAAGCCTGGATTTGATCTGTTGTGTCTCGCTTGACAAGAAGGCGATGGACTCTTCCATTTCAGGATCCATCAGCTTGACATTGCCAAATGATGTCTCAGCAAACACGCCATCCTCAACGATCTGAACAGCACGCTGAAGGTCATCCAGATACTTCGTGGCCGTCGCTTCAAAGCTCTCGTGGGTACTGTGCGCGACGTCGCTTGCTTTTGCCGAGCGGTCGGCCAACGCCTTTGAGAGTGACTGGATTTGTTCTTGGTGACTTGTGTCATCGTCAATGTAGAGCGCCAGTGTCTGAAGCAGCGTATCAATTGGTGGCTCCTCAATTACGGCAGAAGACCGCCTCCGCCCGCCTCCTTTGGTGGTATATGCTCTGGGTCGAACAGGTGACACGGCGGGCTGTTCCGGCGTCATTCGACGGGGTGGCTCCGTCGACGTCGATAACTCTTCCTTTGCCGTCGCAAGAAGTGACGCCGTGGCAGTTTGATGTGAAACGAGCTCTTCAAGTCGGCCACAGAGTAGGTCTGTGCGCCCCAAGAGGTAATCAAGGCAGTCGTGTACATAGGACACAGCTGAGGCCGATCGGCCCAGTGATTGTCCTCCTCGCGAGGACATGAGCTGCAAAGTAGGCTCTAGATACTGCTGCTCCACAGACATCTGCGCCACAGGCAGGATCTCTGAGTACAGTGATTCTACCTCCTCGCGCAAAGCTTCCACCTCTGTGCTGGAAACGACGTTTGATTGCCCTCCATGGTCACGCTCGTTCAACTTGTCAAGGTATATCCTGTCCAGCCTTGTTCGCAACGTTTCGACGGTATTCTTGATGTATCTGCGGATATGTGAGCCCTGAAGCTTAGCATTTGCAGGACCGTGACGTACCGCATGCAAATGTCGCGCAGCTTATCACTTTTATGATCCTCTTTGGGATCTTGCTGCTTGAGCTCCCGGCCAAGTTTTTGCAAGCTTCTCAATAGTTTGTCATCCGAGGCTAGCAAGTCCTTGAGAATGTGGCTAATGGTCTTTCCGGAATCGTCGCCTTGTTGCTCCAGATCTGAGATCCGATATCCAAGGCTCTGCGATAGATCTTCAACCTATGGAGCGGTCAGCTGAGAAACACCGGGGCGTATATGGAAGCTCACCTCTGCTGCGATGTGCTTGCGCTCGGCTTCTATACGTCTTTGTCTCGAGAACTCAAAGTCGCGCCGACGCGCCTCGCTTTCTGCCGTCCTCTGCATGAGACGAGCCATCGCTTCTTTTTGCTGCTTCATAGTCTCTGTCTGCTGAACGATAGCCTCAGTCGAGGATTTTAGTTCCATAATGGCCCTCTCGAGGTCATCATCGGTGATGGCCCGTACTTCAGCCAGGTCATGTATCGCGCACAGACTGTCAACATCACCGCTTTGGTCCAACGCATGATACCTATAAATTGTGGTCAGCAGTATTTCTGGCAATCAGTGTCGCGATAGAACTCACAACTCTAGTTCATTCGCAGTGAGCAAATTGGACGGTCCCAGATGGGCCAGCGCCCATTCGGCGAAAGCATGACCATGCTTGGGGTCTGACAACAGACGCCGAAGCTCCTTGTCGGATACAGTGATATTATGCGACTTGACGGCGTGGCTCAGGAGAGCTTGGGCGCTTTCGCCTTTCGCAGCGACCATGTCGACGGCTCAGTGACGAGGCGATGGTGGCTGACGTTGCACAGTTTCTGGAAGCAATCTGTCGCCTCACACGGCCACCACCAAAAGTAACAGACCGGAGATATGGTGGCAGATGGCGCAAGTTACGTAGTATCCTGTCGAAACGTGCGCCGCCGGATGTCAGCCTATTGGCCTGTTATTGTTGACTTTTGGTGGGCTCAGGGGTACACGAGTCGCGTCGGTGCGACTGGAGCTTGAGATCAGATCAACAGGTAACGTAGTTTTCAGCACCCGGATCGCTTCCGGGACACCTCGCATTTGATTCGCAGTATATCCAAGTTGCGATAATGACAATTCAGTCTTCAAAGGGGGTTTGGCATGGGCAGGCGGATGCAGAACATCTAGGACGTAGCAATGGCTCAGTGAAAGAGAGGCTGTCGCTGGAGGCAGGAAGGAGCTGGAGTTGAGCTATCGATAGGCGGTAGCCAGATGGGGCCAGTGGACACCGGGTCACTGGCAGGCTTGGCGGCCTGAGGACACACCCGGACATCGCCCTCACTCTTGTCGTACTGTCAGTCTACATACAAGATCTCGCAACCCCGACCGTAAGACGAATATCAAATGTGATGTAATTTTGGATGAACGAAAAGCTGGCTGTATGGCATTTACCCGTGTTCACAAGCCATAGTTGTGGTCCGCGACCATCTCACGTGATCTCGCGACTAAACGCGTCAGGCCCGAGTCCTGACGACTTCTGGCCCCTGGGCCTTGTTTGCTTTTGGTATCGGCTGGCTGCATGCCGTAGCGTAGCAAAAGCAGCGCAGTCGACGCATCACACATGCTACCATGTACAGGCACCTCGAAGACAGTCTGACGATTCTGTACCAGAAACAAATGCATAAGGTACTATCTGTCGGATGTAGGCAAGTTCCGAGTGCGCTGCTCCACAGCACACGTCAACTACACTCGTAGCATGTGCGCAAACGACATGCTCCATGCAGTTTGCTTGAGCGCCACCGACAAGATCCGCGAACGTGCCGGCCAATGTACCAATCATAGTGACTTGTCCATGGAAGAGAAGCAAAAACACATGTATCGAAAGGCTATGTTCAGCAGCTATGTTCTTCGATTCGATTGTGCCGTGTCGAGATTCGGCTTGGGTGAGGTGCCGGATGACCACAGCGTACACATCATCCAAAGATCCCAACGTTCGGATACATACGCTTTCCCTGCTGTCTGATTTCCAGCTACTGCACTAATACAATGCGTCTCTGTCAAACATTGGATGTTCTCGCCGGAACACTTGGAGTAGGTTCTCGTCTCACCTCGCCAGATGCTTGTTCATCGCTGTTATCTACCATGATCGCATCCGAACTGACTACCAACTCTGCCGGAGTGAATCACCTGCTCGACCAGAATCTCCATTTCCAGAAGCTGTACAGTGTCGTACTACCCTCGAACAGCTTCGCGTCGCAGAGCGATCATGATGCATAGGTGATCTGCCCTGAACGAGGTCCCACAGACAGCTTTAGAGGCCCCCTTTTAGCGGCTGAGGATTTCGGGCAAAGCTCTCCTAGAAACAAATCAATTCTGTTGAAAGCTGCTACGCAAACAAAGAGTTTGGAAGAAGGCACTATCATCTGGTCTGATCTCGCGGCAACGTCGGATTGCCCCTGACCTGAGCCTCACCTCAAGGTACCTCGAGGTACCTCAAGGTACACTGGGTCAACAGCACATCAGCGCAGAAACACTCTTATGAAAGCTGTGCGTCTTTCGACTACTCAGGGGAAGTGTGGTCATCGTCTTTTGGCGTCAACCTCAACGTACTGCCAGCCTGCTTCACCAATGTGTGGGCTACCTTGGCCGATCAATTCGTTCTCTTGAACCAATTCGAGCATATCACATTCCTTACTGCCTAACATGAAGGACTGCACAAGAAACTGCGTCGATCGCTGCCATAGAACAGCCGGGGGAGTCTGCGACCTTCTCTGGGTCGTCGGCCTCTTCCTTGCCGCTGAGCTGGTCATCTGGGCCATCAGCCTCAGTCTCCGACTGGTATCCGTTCCCTTTTTTGCGTCCATTATCGGCATGCTCGCCGTCTTTGCCTTGACAACTGGCTGTCATTTTTTCAACAAGCGCGTTGAATCCTTCTACAACACATGGCTCAAGCACAAGATCAACTTTATCAACACACACATGGCTGTGGGATTCCCAATTCCTCTGGTCATGCTGGACCAAAGCGAGATGCTCGATGCAACACACATAGGCTATGTCATTGCCAACTTCCTCATCACCAATGTGGTTTCGTGGACAGGCACCTTTGTCGTTGGCTTCTTCGCTCTCCACGGCTACGCTATACTGCACGATAAATGGGAGGCACGCAGCCAGACTCCTCCCAGCAAGCGACCCTGGATCGCTCCGCCGCCAGTCATCAATTTGAGCTTCATTGGCGATGACTCGATATCGAATGACCTGCACATTCCCAGCCCCAGGACACCCAGTCTTTTAGTTACCGGATATACCCCAGCCACTTCAGTCTTCGACTTGGCTGCACCTCTGAGCGAATTGACTGCCACCACGAGCAAGTCCCCTTCATTGCGCAAAGAACGCCGAACAACGGCGCACAAGATTCTAGAACAGTATCCCAGCCTGCTTGCCATGTTTTTCCTGTTGGTCATTGGCGTGCCAGTCGCCGCTGCTACCGGTGAAGTGCGGATCCTCGACGGCTGCGCTGTGTGGTTCTCCTGGATCACAACCGTCAGAATGCAGAGGCTCTTCAAGAAATCCTCTGTATGCGCCAAGCGGCCTCGCCTCAAGAACACCATTGCCACCGTGATGAACTCCGTCCTCCTCACGACACTCCTCTTGACGGCCTATATCCGCTCGCGAGCCGTGGCCAGCCCATTGTATGATCTATCCCAGGTTCAGCAGCTCTTCTCGCGTGGCAACCCTCTTTACGCGGTGTGGACCGCCTCTGTTCTCCATGAACCCATCATTTCCAATACAAGGGCATATTTCGGCGCAGGCGATGCTGCCCTTGCGTTTCTTGAAGTTGGGATTGTCGTCTGGGGCTTCAAACTATTCGAGTGCCGCAAACAGCTGTGGAGTGTTGCCGGTGTGTTCACTGTTACCGTCTCCATAGGCATCGCTGCTGCCAATGTCTTTCTCAGCGTGGGATCAGCTCATCTCATCGGCTTGGATGGCTCCGAGGCACTGTCTTTCGCGGCTCGGAGTGTGACGCTGGCTCTCGCCAAACCTGCTGTCGAAGCTGTAGGGGGAAACCTGGCGGTAAACGCCGCGGTAGTCGTGTCAAATGGCATCCTTGGACAACTGATCTATCCTTTCGTATTGGATAGAATGGTTGCCCGGACAGACAGCACTGAAGAAGAGGATGACAGAAGCCTCAATGGGCCGGACGATCCGCTCACTATTGCCACTGGCATTGCAATCGGGATCAATGGTGCCGCCATGGGCGTTGCCTACCTGTATGGAACCAGAAGCCGCGCCGCACCATATGCCGCGGTGGCAATGACGGTCTTTGGCGTGATGACCGTCGTGTTCACGACTGTTGAACCGTTCAAAGGGGTGGTTCTTAGTCTGTCCGGTACCTAAGTAGAAAAAAATAAAGTGATCAATCTTTTTTTACTTCCGGCGCTTTAGTAGTTCAGAGCTTTATTCAGGCCGACAGTGGAGTGCTGGAAGCGGAGTTTGGGCGCAGATAGACTTGCCACTGTAGATCAACGTTTGACACACATGTCCCAACTTAATCAGCCTACAGTAATTTTGTGTAGTTACTAATACGTCGGTTTGCGTTGCAACTAGAGTCGCGATGCTATTCCAGCCTGTTCACAATCAGCAGAGCTCACAGAGTGACATGGGCGGCGACAAACCTTTCAATCAAGTGCAGCCCACTGGCGGTCTCGACGACCGAGCTCATCTCGCCGGGCTTGAGGCCGAACGCTGCCTCCTCAAACTCCATCTGCATCTCGCCCTTGCCAAAATAGCCCAGGTCGCCGCCCTTGCGCGCCGACGAGCAATCCGACTCGGTTGTGGCGAGGCTGCCTAACGGCATGCCCCCGTTCTTGATCTTGTCCTCGTGTGCCTGGATGATCTTCATGGCCTCCTCCTTTGTGCGCGTGATTTCAGCTTCGCGCCAGCTGCTCGGCCGCCTCGAGTCCTTGTGCTTGACGAGCAGGTGCGCAGCGCGGATCTTGCCCTCGGACGCCCCAGGCGCGGCGCCGCCGGCACGGGTGCCTGCGCTGTGGTGGGTGGCCATGTAGTGCTTGAGCTTCTCGGTATCGGTGCCGGCTGGGGGCTCCCATCGCGAGACCTTGTCGGCCGAATTGAAGTAGTAGGGGAGGTTCTTGGAGTTGGAGTGGCGGACCTCCCAGTTTGCGGGCAGGCCGGCGTCAGTCTATGTGTCGCGTGTCAGCAGTTTGGCCCGCCATGGGGGGGCACAAGGGAACGGCACGGACCATGATGGGCGGCGTTCTGGAATGATTCTGGTGTTTGTGGGAGAAAATTGTTTAAAGGTCGCGGGAATCGGGTGTAGGATCTCGGGGAATGTGGTTCTCTACGCTGATCATATATGCGCCGGATGATGACGTTGGGAGGGATGGCTGGCTGAGCTGAGTGAAAATCGCCCCGTCAAAAGTCAGTTGGACACCCCCAGCAACGGCGCAGCAACGGGGAAGTGGGAGGTGGGTGGTTCAAAATGCGGGGAGTTGGCGTCTGAGCCAGGGGATTTGCCCGCCTGCGCATGCAACCCCTACGCAGGTTCAGTCACGCGGCACGGATTGGAGGCTGAGAGAAGCCGTTGGACTGTGGAGCTGTAAAACGATTTCTCAGATGGCGACTGAAGGGGTGTCACGTCGTTAACTGCGAGTGGTTTATACCTACCCTGCAATTTCTTTCGAGACTGCGTGCGTGTGAATATATGTTTCGGCCAAAGCAGTGAATGCTCGAACTTCAGGCAACAAGCGCTTGAGGACATCAGTTGCATCAAAGGAAGCAGAGAGATGTTGGATTGTTCATGCTGCTGGTTATGAATCGATGGTCTCGCTGCTTGCTATTACAGTCCGCAATGAAACCCGGATATTATCATGACCAGTGATTTCATCTTCATAAGCCAGACTTGGTGTCACATGCAGGAACAACACTTCTACGTGTCAGGTACTTGTGCCTTGCACTTACGGAACACGTAACATTCACGCTACTAACCATGTGACTCAACCTTTCGCTAAGGAAATGTCATTGAATGAGCCAGAATCCACAGCGCAATTCCAACTGCCGCATCCACGCCGCTCACCTCTAGCAAGCAGCCCCACCAAAAACTTGCAGCCTGATCGTGACTTCTCTTTCATTATTGCTCGCGACCAACACATCTACTTATCTCCATCAACTACGCAACAACCGAGCTCAACGTCGCCTTGAAGGACATCAACGCGCTCTGAATAATACATAAATCGCTACGCACCGACTATATTGACTGCGCCCGTCCCAAAGCGAACCCTCTCCGACACGAGCCGCGCTTACCGACTACCATCCCCCGACATCGACGTGATGGCTACTCCCCAATCCACAATGTCCCACGACGGTGCCGAAAAGAACCAGCAGGTGACCTTTCGCTTCTGCTCCGAATGCTCCAACATGCTGTACCCCAAGGAGGACGAAGACTCCCACAAGCTGCAGTTCACCTGCCGGACATGTTTCTACACTGAGGATGCGCAGACCACCTGTGTCTTCCGCAACGTCCTCAACCAGTCAGCTGGCGAGACGGCTGGCGTGACCCACGATGTTGCCTCTGATCCTACGGTTAGTGATTCTTGTTGCTCATCTCCCCTTGTTTGTCTGGGATGCGGTCAGGTAGTCCAGTGTGGAGCATGCGGGCAGTCTGTGGACACGACCGCGATTCTTGCAAAGTTGTATCGCAACAATGAGCCCAGCGACAAGAGGACTCTGACCGACACCGGAAATACTCAGCGCGACCGCGTTCTCCAATGTGAATCGCTCGACGAGCTGATGACGGCCGTTGGCTCTGGGTTCGACGAGAAAGACCCGTTTGACGAATACGACGAAGAGCCACTGTATGAGCCGTACGGCGCGATTATGAGCGACTCGGACGACCATTCGATATGCACAGACGGCAGCGATGTCTCAAACGACGGGGCTATGGTTCTTGACTGGTGAACGACTGCTGAGATACCGCTCCTGGATTGACCTCTGTACCACTTCACTTGGATACCCATCTTGGCCGCAGTTTGGATCTGGACGTGGATGCGTTTGCTTTTGCATGAGACAAGACACACTTCCACCTGCTTAAGAACTGCTGGCTGACCATGTCTTTCTTCATCGCGAACAGCTTCCTCGTTCAAATAAGGCTTGCGCAAAATGTGGCGGCGAAGAGTCCGTCTTCTTCCAGTCACAGCAGCGAAGCGCCGACACGGGCATGGTGAGCACCACGGCTCCCCGCGGAAAACCCATCCGACTGACGTGGCCAGAAATTGTTCTACGTGTGCTGCAATTGCGGCAACATTTTCCAGTAGTGTGAGACGAGACTGGAGTTGTCAAACTTCGCTACAGCAATTTTTGGGTTAGAACACGAAGCCGCGAAGCTTCCGGCGTTTGAGCGACATTTTCCGAGATAAGCTGCATTTGATGGTCCCAGACGCAGTGGCCACAGCTGACCCGGCGTTGGGCGTGGGAGGAAATTGATATTGTAAATACATGCCAAACTCAAGCTGGCAATTTATTCTCCAACCATCGACGTGAACATATCGTTTGCGGCCAAGCGGCCGTTAATTTCGTAGTATTCGTGGTTTTTGTACAAGAACGCCGTGACAATGCCCCAGGCTTCACGTAATGTACAATATTTCTCTCGTACAGTAGCCCTCTTCTTAAACGCCTCCTTGGGCGACCATGCCTTCCGATTCGCAACCCGTTAGACGTTCATGGGCGCCATGGATAGAATCTTGCTCCACTTCTTCCTCTTCAGCTCAGACCCGACAACACCGTTGATGCGCGAGCCGACCGGGTCGCCTGCCTTGTTCAGGAGCACGCAGGCATTGTCGTCGAACTTGACCTGCGAGCCATCGCGGCGCTGCATGGGGTACTTTGTGCGGACGACGACGGCGTGACGGATGTCGCCGCGGCGGACTTTGTTGGCGGAAGACATGCCCGTCATGCCCGAGGCTCCGGCGGATCGATGCTCCTTGACGACAACGACGATTCGGTCACCTGTGGAGATTAGCACTATGTTGTTGGCTTCGGTTGCTGATGATTCGTACCGACTCGTGCGGCTCGCTTCTGGCCTATGACGAGGGCGCACTCGACGAGCGCGGCGCCCGAGTTGTCGATGCAATTCAATATTGACTGGGAAAAATCAGTATCAGCCGCAGTGGCATTCCAGGGCGTATATAGTACCTTTAGTTGAATCATTGTGACCGCTGCGCAGGACTCGTCTAGCACGACGCGATCAGCTCTATCACGAAACCCAATGCCTTGGGCGCTGAACATTTTGGAGACTCACGTCACGTGTCTGGATCTCGGATGCTGGAGCAACAGGTGATGATTGGTCAGTCTGTCACTGCGGGTCCAGCCCCCCTGGAAGATCAAATGATGGCCCCGCCGGTCGCCTGGCCAGCCGCCAACACGACTCGGACCTTCCCAGGTGGCTGGACGTTCAGGATTGGAATGGGATGAGCGGCCCAGGCTCACCCTCACCTCATCTCAACCTCCCTCATGGCCAGCATGTTGCTTGGCTTGGGCTCTGATCTTCTCCTTTGTCCCCGATTATCCGTTACTCACACTCAACCTGCCTAATTGCTCACTCGCTCACCTCGAACACGTTGCCTTGCACAGCGAAACTACGGCTTCTCTCCCCACTACAAACAAGCGCATTTAGCCAAGGTCTTGCGCGCAAACTAGCAGTGTCGTTCGGCAACAGCGGCTTGGATTTTCGCTCCTTTTCGCCTCCAGCTGCGGTGGAGAAAGACAAGTTCTAACTTGTCTCATTGACTGATTAAGCTCCTCGAGATCAGAGCTGTTGATACCTACTGCTCCATTGGAAGCTCCGCTGTTGTCTGGGTTGCGCCCCGGAGCACCACCAACAGCGCACAGTCGTGGAGGCCATGCCTCGGCCCAAGAAGGAATCGCAGCCGCCGGCCAAGAAACGCCTGACTCTTGCTCAATTGGCGGCATACGATGACATGCTCACGGATGCCCTGGTAGACCATGTACGTGGGCTAGCTACGCAGGTCAATGGACACACCCTAATCTCGGTAGGTATACTACTGGACGTCGATACCGAAGAACCGCTCGACGTACCATCCCTCTCGAGGAATTCGCGAAGAAGACATCGCCAAGATTATCCAGGACGAGTTGGTACTCAACAAGGATATCGACCAGGCCGAGCGGCGGTTACTCGGAACTGGTGGCATCTCCAGATTTGTCAGCGCTCTGAAGACGGAGAAGGAGAAGGACGATTTCCGGAAGCACCTGCGGCGCTATGCCCAGATGTATCTTCCCGATTGCCCTTTCGAGGTCAACACGACAAACCGCTACACGATTGTCTCCCATGAAGCTGCGGTCACTGCACGACGATTCATCCGGCGCAACGAGCCCGTCAAGTACCTTTCCGGCATTCAGGTCACCATCACCCCAGAGGAGGAAAAGGACATGATGACGCGCAAGAAGGACTTCAGTATTGTGGTGAGCTCCCGGAACAAGACGACCAATCTCTTCATGGGACCGGCCAGATTCGCGAACCACGATTGCGACGCAAATGCCAAACTCGTGACTACGGGTCACGCCGGCATTGAGATCATTGCAACCAAGAACATTGAAGCGGGAGATGAGATTACTGTGACGTACGGCGAGAATTACTTTGGCGAGGACAATTGCGAGTGCTTGTGTCAAACGTGCGAGGACCACAGGAGAAATGGTTGGGAGCCCGAGGAAGGCCAGGCCGAAACGGCAGAGCTCCAGGACATTGTCGAAGCTAAACCTGACGTCTACTCCCTTCGGTTGAGGCGAAGGGGAGACAGCATGGGGGGATCTTCGCGCAACTCAAGCGTCACTCCGGCCGCAAGACCCAGGATCCTAAAAACAAAGAAAAAGTCCCGACTCAGCTTCCGCGATTCCTCAAACGCTGAATCGCCTATGCCCGAAACGACGCCTCACGGGCGAAAACGAATGAGGGACGCACTTGCCACTCCTCCGGTTACGCCGGCCAAAAAGATGAGACACGCTCCGGAAGCAGCCCCTGCAAACGAGCGCGCTCTGTCTAGTAGCAGTTCGTCTCCATCGAGGTGCACCTCTGCTAGTACCACCGGAGAAGCAGTCGAGACCGACGTCACGACGCCAAACCAGGATAGCCCGGAACCACGGTTCTTCACCCCCAACCAGAAGCCAATGGCTATTGAGTCGATCCTGAACACGCCTACAACAGAAGAAGAGCCGACGCTTGCAATCAGTATAGAACACGCGGAAGAAGAAACTATTGTGCAGGAAGACAAAGTGCAGAAGGTACGAAAGAAGTACGAAAAGCGAGTCTTCATCAAGCAGACGACACCACCAGCAAAGCAGCGAACCCCAGGCGATTATGTCCTTACGCCTCTGTTGCTCTCTGAGCCCGAGATGGCCTGGATACAGTGCTCTAACTGTCCGACATACTTTGTGCAACAGAACGCATACTTCACCCGCTTTTCCTGCCCGCGATGCGAGCGCCACTCCAAGATTTACGGATACATCTGGCCAAAGACGTACAAGGCTGGTCCCAACGACAAGGAGGAGCGCGTGCTGGATCACCGCACGATCCATCGCTTTTTGCACACGAATGATGAGCGCAAGATTCGAGGTCGGAAGCCACTCTGGGAGTCCGAGGAAGAGCAGAGCGAAGAGGAAGCGGAGGCTGAGCAGCCAAAGCGTGGCCGGCGTGCCAAGCGAGAGGAGACGGTGAAGTCGAGGAAGACGGTGACAAAAACCGCCACGAAGACGTCCACCAACAGGGCCAGAGCGCCGAGCGCAGCGCGCAGGCAGAAGGCCAAACAGGCAGTGAAGGACTCGCCCGAGACCGAGGAGGATACCACGGAACTTCGTCGCAGTGGCCGACCGCGGAGAGTTAGTAGCCGACTTCTCTAGTTGAAACCCCGGCTACCTTCATTCTTACGTCACCGTATATATCGCAAGATGGCCACGCAGCAGGACGTTGAGCAGCGTTAGACGATGGCAAGGCCACGGTCATGGGCCTCTTGGTTTTTAAGATAGCCTTGCATTGGATTTTAGTTTAACATAATCGAAGCAAACTTCATTGTAGGTGGAGATGGTATCTATGGTCACAATCTCTAGACACATTGCTCTCGTTGAGTCAAGCAACTCGTCCGGCTCTGAACAACTGACACAGCAAAAAAGGAACGATATCAAAATGTCATTACATGGTCTGCATGTTATTGCCTCCCGTCCTGGGAATCTTAGCAAGAGATGGCACACCTGCGCGCCTCGAGATCTTGACGTCAATATCGTCGACAAAGGTGAACCACCAGTACCGAACGGACCACTTCTTGGTAGGATCGGCCAGCTTTATCTGGGAAATGTCAATACGGAGCTGCAGAATCCGAACAAGGAGGAGTCACTTACATCGTATCGACTGAAAAGTGTGGCGATGACCTTGTGCATCTCGACCATGGCCATGTTCCTACCCACGCAGATGCGGTTTCCAGAGCCAAATCCCAGATCAGCGTCCTTCATCTTCTTCAACCGCGCGTCGAATTTCTCCTGGGGCTCGTCGGGACCCTTTATCCAGCGCTCGGGGCGGAAGGTGTTTGGCTCAGGGCCAAACGTCTGCTCGCTGCGGTGCACAACCCAAGGGTTCATGCCGACCTTGGTGCCAGCCGGAATGACACGGCCGTCTGGTAGAGTGAGACCGCCCGAGGGGACAATGCGCTCCAGTACACCGCTGATGACCGGGTGCAATCTCATCGCCTCCTTGATGACGGCGTTGAGGTAGGGGAGGTCCTTGGTCTCCTCATACTTGGGGGGGAAGCTCAGCGCGACGCTGCTGAGCTCCGCGACGAGTTTCTTGTGCGCCTCGGGGTTGGACAGGAGGTGCCAGGTGATGGACTTGATCTCAATGGCCGTGGTGTCGGCGCCCGCGAGGACGTTCATCATCAGGTAGCTGACGACTTCATTGTCGCTGACAATGTCCGGGTGTGTCTCCTTGGCCTCGAGGAAGTTGTCGAGGAAATCGCCCTGGCCCGTCTTGCCGCTCTGGATGCGCTCCATCACGCGCTGGAAGCAGTAAAAGGCGCAGCCTTCGAATGTGGCGAACTTGATGGGGCAGTAGGGGTTCTTGCCGAGCAGCCTGTCGAGCCAGGGGATCTGGCCAACCTGTCATATTGTCAGCCTGCGGCGCAATGAGCAGACCCGAGAGAAAGAATGGAGACGTACGCAACCGAGATATCTCATGACCATCTCGCCCGTGTGGATCATGCCGTCAACGTCGGTGCCAGACTTGAGAAATCCCATGTCCTGGCTAAAGGTCATCTCCCAGTCCAGGTCCCAGGCTGCGTACTCGATCCAGTCGGCCAGGTCAAACATCTTGTTCTTGTTGTCACCATCGACGAAGCGGGTCTCGAGCTGCTCGCAAAACACCTTGGCCATGTTGTCCGCGAGATGCTCCTTGCCGAGAATGGTGGACATTGAGAAGAACTTCTGATAGGGCTTGAGGTAGCGCGCATGAAAGACATTGCTGCGCGTGCTGAAGACGTTCTCGAGACGCTGGCCTTGCGAGCTGGCGTCGGCGACTTCATAGAAGTTACTCTATCCGCACGTGTCAGACAACCCCCTCGATACTGCTCGGTAGGGGAGAAGGCAGACAACCTACCTTGTGGAAGTCTCCGCGGGTCGAGTACACTTCCCTGATCAGCTCAGGGTCGTTCAAGGTGACCAGGTTGGGTCCAATGCGCACGGCAGGTCCGTACTTTTCGTGCAGCTGGCGGTGATTGTTGGTGTGTGTGCAGGCCATATAGTCCCAGAACCGCCATAGGTCTGTGAACTGGGCCACGAGTGGACCGGGAAAGGCCTTGAGAGGCGAGGTCACGTAGGCGATGACGAAACGCAGGACGACGGCCATGAGACCCACGGCAAGTGCCTTGAGGGCGAGGCTGTCCGAGGCAAGCATCGCGGATTGTTTCATGTAGGTGGTCCAGCGGAATGGGGACTGGACTCTTGACTCGCAAAGTGGTACTCAAACAAAGAAGAGGAGGAGGAGGAGGAGGAGGAGGAGGAGGAGAAGGAGGAGGGGAGCAGCAACGAACAGCGAGAGGAGAATGAGAGACGGGAAGCCGAGATGGACTGCCGCTTTGCCTGAGCTTCTTTGAGGGAATCAAAAGCAAAGTCTCCATATACGCGACAGGTCCATCAGGTCTATCACATTGTGGGAGAGGCCGGACCAACAGATATGTTCTTCAGCATGCACACTGTCCGTCCCCTGTCGAATGCGGCATCTCTGCTGCGTAGTGATGGAGGATGTCGAGACGAACGGACGCCGCCGAGTGGACCGTCTCCTCTCCCGCATGCACTCCTCGCACGGGACGTGGTTGCGCTCCACGTCTTCTGTCTACTGAACGGGGAGAGCTGCTCGTGAAAGCTATGTGTGATAAAGCGGCCCGGTCTGTGAGCATGGCACGTCGCCCGTCACCACCAGACTACACGAGCCCAATCACAAAAGCAGCTATGCAAGATTTGGGATGGGCGAACTGACGCGCTGCCGCAACACACAAGGTGGACAGCGACACCGCAAAGAAGAACCCTGGTGCCGAGCTGGACCCCAGTCTAGGCTTGTCGTTCATGTTGATGACTTGCTGCCGATTGTGGAACCTGGTACGTGCGCGCTGAGCATGCGTACATCCATCTACACTGATCAATGGGACGCATCGACCAATTTGGCGGAGGACTGACTGGACTTTGGACGTCTGAAGGGGACGTGAGGAAGGACTGGACAGTCTCATCACGGGGATGCACGCAGTCACTGTTTGGCGCCCAATTTCCAGTGCTGAGACTGGCCATCCACTGTCCCAACAGAACAACGAAGATCGTCGAGTCACCTCCAGTCACCCTCCCTCCTTGCCGTGAATAGGATAATCAAGTCGACAGCAATCAATATCACATCCACTGCCCATCCATCTTGGGCTGTGCCCAGGCAACGCTCGGCTGCGGGTGATAGGATAATTAACCCCTGCCTGACATCAACGCCAATGCACGGAATACATTGACAGGATTTATTAACGACTGTCTCGCTGCTCGCAGGCCAACGTTGACCGATTGAGCCATACAGCGGCGCCCATTTGTTGCATTATCTCAGTCCACAACACCGGGATGTGTCTTCTGCATATCCGTGCCGACTTGCCCCTGTTTCTCCCACCCCCCACCCCCAACTCGGGCGGCCCTGTCGAGCGCCTCGGCCCTTGACGGGTGCGATGATCAGCAAGGACAGGCATCTATCTAACCACCGAGCTCTGTTTCTCGTCAAACTAAGGAAGGTCCCTGGCAGGCCCCGCAATGCTAGACTAGGGATCGCGGTCGGCAGGCGATGCGCGCGCAGTCGCTTGAAATGCCTCGCAACTCGTGCGGACATGCAAGAACTGGGAGGTATGACTGGGCAATATATGCAGCCGTCAGTTGGGAAAAAGCAACGAGCGTTTCGAAAGCGGCGTATCCACCGGCCCGCCCGTCACGGAGTGGACTCTTGCGGTTGACGACACCTGATATATGATAGAATGATGCGCCGCCGACCAGTGCGTGCGGCCGACATGGCTGAGACTCATAGGACAGGCATTTGTTGCTCTCGAGAAAAGAGATCATGAGAGTCTAGGGGGAACATGTGAAATGATGGTAAGTAATTTGTGCTTCGTTTGCATCGGTCGAGTTCATTCATTCATTCATTCACTCATTCACTCATTCATTGCAGGATCGTCACGCATCTTCCAACTTGATCACCGGCTACGCGCATATAATTACCACGAATTCGACATGTTCTATACTCTGTTCCAAGTATTGACCATCGCAAATTACCCGCCACCAGCTGAGTGAACAGTATGAGACTTCATTGGGGTACGGCGGCTCAGCTGACAAGAACAAGAAAGAAAATTGACATCTGATAGATCCAGGATGCAGGCACAGCTGAGCCCCAGTCGTGTGCAGACAAGGGCATTACATACCTATATGTGCATGCTCGGCTCGGAGATGCAGATGCCCAACCTGAACACAGCGGGAAGCAGCGGACGGCCACTGTTCCGCCCGTACGTCCGTTGCCAGATCCTGCGTTGGCATCTCACACACCACAGGCAGACCAACGTCGAGCCGCAGCAGCAGCCCAGCTCAACGTGGCCGGTTTGACCCCACGGCGGCCAGGCACAGTACGAGACACAGACAACACCTGTCACGTTTCCTCTGTACAGACTCAGTCCAGGTGCCGCCATCACAGTGACATCTCTCGGACCAGACGTGTGCAGAATCATGGACCTTTCACTCGTTGATCGATTCAGGACCGATCCTTGCCGCGCTACACATCACACACACACGGGAGCAAGGGATCCGCCGTGCGGACGTAAGACTATCTCTTCACTCCCGTTGCCGTTCTCCACACTAAACGGGGGTGCTTGATGTTTCGACGCGATAGGTTGCGTCCTGGACGTGCGGGAAGGATACCCCTGGCTTTGACCCTGAGGTTTGACCCGTCGTAGGCGGATAATGGGTAGTTTCCTTGCTTATTGCAGTCTGCTTACATCTGCTGCTCCACGAACAAGATCATCGAAATCTATTCTAGGCCAAAGAGGCGCTTCTCTGCCCTGGTCTCGACGCAGACCTGTACTACATGTAAGGCGTTCGTGGATTCAGTCTCTTACACACTCTGTCCATGTCTTTCTCCACTTCTTAGCGATCACCGTGCCGAATGGATCTATCCGTCCAGTGGCTTCCCGTTGTCATCTCGTTCGTCCCCCCCTTTTTGCATTGTCGTCGCCGCCGCTGTGCAGCTCGCTCGCGTCTTGTGCTACATTCGGCAAGCGAGTGACAGAGTCCAACGGCACCTGAGTGACGCTCGATTTTTGTTATATCTGATAGAACTTTCAATCCTTTCTTTTCTATCTCTTGTTGATGTCTAGAGGCAAACTGACGTTTGCTCTTCTGGCCTTTTTCACGGGCTGACATTTGAGTCTATTTGAAGGGCATCGAATCCTGTCTGTCTGTCTGTCTGTCTGTCTGTCTGTCTGTCTGTTTGTCTGTCTTTCCTCTGCGAGGACTATCTGCGAGGACTAGAGCCTGATTGCAACTATTGGCTCGTGCCTCGTCTAACATACGTTCTTTCTTTGTTTGCCATACCTCGACCAGCAGCCATGACTCCGCAACCTGACTCGTACGGTGGCCGTGGGCCGACGTTAAATGCCGTGCTTTGGACGGAGACTGTCGTGGCGACCATGTTTGTCTTTGCGCGTTGCTACACTCGGCTCTTCATTCTACACAGCGCGGGATGGGACGACTTCTTTCTTGTCCTAACACTCGTAAGTGAAGCCAACATCCAGACTTTATCTTTGGAAGGTACTGACTCGGGCAGCTGTTGCTCGCAGCATACTCCGCATGTATCAGTGCCGGCACTGCGTACGGCATCGGCCAGAAGCGTGCTGATATTGACCCTGCCGACTATGTGCAGGCACACATGTTCGAAATCATCGGGCAAGGCGTCTGCATCTTCAACATTGCCATCAGCAGGGCGGCGGTCGCCTTCCTGTTGCTGCGCATTGTCAACCGCGGCTGGCACAAGACCTTTATCTGGGCCTGCATCGCCACCAACTCCATCTTGGCCGTCTTTTGCACTATTGCCGTCTTTATCCAGTGTCTACCGATCCAGGCCGTCTGGAACTCAAGCGTCAAGGGCAACTGCTGGCTGGACTTTGCCAAGGTCGGGTTGACCACGTCTGGTAGGCTAGCTCAGACAGTGTTCCTTTCCCAGTGACCATGCTGACCGTTGAACACTAGCGTATGCTGTGTGCATCGACTTTGCTCTCGCCATCATCCCCTGCTTCATTGTTTGGGAACTCAAAATGAAGAAGAAGGACAAGATCATCACCATCATCGGCCTGAGCCTGGGTGTCTTGTACGTCTCTCTCTGCCGGTCTTCAAGGAACAGGAACGGAAGCTGACCTCGACAGTGCCGGCATCTGCGGTATCATGCGCACGACTGCTCTTACGAGCTTGACGTCGTTCGAGGAATACATCTGTACGTCTGTCCAAAACATCCCCCCCCCCACGCCCAACCTGACTAACATGCCGCGGATGATACCGTCGACATGCTCATCTACTCGGGCACGGAGAACTTCGTCTCCGCCCTGTGCGCCTCCATCCCCGTCATCCGCCCCCTCTGGAACAAGGTCATCCACGGCTACACGACCCGCGACGGCTCCTACCCCGAGCGCAGCTACCAGCTCAGCGATCATCCCAAGAACGAAGACCTCTCCGGCAAAATGAACTCCCGCGGCCCAGGCCCCGAGACACGCATCTACGCCAGCGCCTTCAACCCCGACAATGCAAGCGACGAGACCATTCTCCGCGAGGGCAAGCACAATGACAGGACGACCGTGGTGGAGGGCAACGACATCTTCTGCCAGACGGATATCTCGGTCAGGTCCACAAACGACATGCACTCTTCGTCCTCAGACAGGGTCTAACCGAGACACACACCTAGCAGACGTCCTTGTGTATTGATGTGGGACTCTGCTTTTCTTTTCAGTCTTCTGTAGCATGGGCGGCATGTTTTGACATATCTTCTGGCACCCGGAGGGCGGCTCTTTGACAATTTTTGAATCTTGGGTGGGCGGCTTTTTGGCAAATTTTTTTTTTTTTGCTTGTTCTTGTTCTTGTTGAGAGAATGACGGATCCAACTGGGAAAGACACGCAGAACTGCTTGGGCGGCTTGTTCGTTTTGCTTGGTCTACTGCAGTAGTACGCGGAATGGAGGATACTCGTACACGTCTGGCCTGGCTCTGCATTTGCCTGAAGCCACGTACCTAATCTTACAGTTTTGACGAGCGTGTCTTCTTCTCATAGAGTGATACTTCCACCCCCTTGATCCCGCCGTCCTTCATCACACGCCTCAGAATCTTGCCACTGGGTGATTTCGGTATCTTGTCGACAAACACCAGCCCGCCCCTGAGCCACTTGTATTTGGACGTCTGCCGCTCCACGAGCAGCCGCAACCGGTGCGCGAGAGCTGTCAAGCCATCTTCACTGACAATGCCTTGGCTCGCTGCGACGACAAAGGCACGCGGCCACTCTGTCGCTTCGCTAGCATCGTAGGTCGCGACCACGCCGGCATCAGCCACCTCGTCGCTGCTGCAGAGGATCGCCTCGAGCTCAGCGGGCGGAACCTGAAACGCTCGCACTTTGATGAGTTCTTTGATCCTGTCACTGATCCTGAGCGTGCCAGTGGCGTCCAGCGAACCAATGTCGCCTGTGCGGAACCACCCGTCATGCGTGATGGCCGCTGTCGTTGCGGACGTGTCAAACTTGTGTCCTCCCGCGAACGCGTTCAGAGGTAGATACCCCATCATCAATCCCGGGGACCTGATCAAGATCTCGCCAGGCTCGTCCATCGGCATGACCTGCTCGCTCTCCTCGGGACGAGCAATCTTCAGCTCCACGCCCCAGTGCGGTCGGCCCGTGTCGTCGCCCTTGTCTACATGTGAAAGACCAGGCTGTACGGTGACGCCGCCGGCTTCCGTCAGTCCGTAGCCCAGACGGATGCGGAAGCCAAGGCGCGCGTGGACTTGGGCGACGACATCATGGCCCAGCGGGGCACCGCCCGTCACGCCGGCCACGAGACTCGAGAATTTGTTCCTGCCCTCCGCATCGCGCTTTGCGTATGGCTCGACCATGGGTGATTTGGCCAGAAAGACGGCGATCGGGGGTGCCATGTGCAGGTAGGTGATTTGGCGCTTGGGGATGGCGGCTAGCATCTGGTCTGGGTTGAAGGAAGCCATGGTGTACACGGTCGAGCCGGTCGGGATGGCGACCAAGAACAGGTTCAACAGACCATAGACGTGGAAAAAAGGCACGAAGCCGAGCCATCGCTCACGCTGTGCCCGGTAAAAGTCGGCGTCGTGCCAGATCGACGCGGTGGAGAAGGTGAGTGCGTGGTGCGACAGCATGACGCCCTTGGAGCGACCGGACGTGCCAGACGACCAGAGGATGATGGCAGCCCGTGCGGCCGCGTCAAACTGGCGCGGCTGCTTGATGGCCGCCTGGGACTTGGCCAGTAACCTCGTCCAGTCCTGCGGCGAGGGTTGCGGTGGCAGCGCGGGATAAGGGTCCTGGCCCACATTGACGGTGTACACGGGCACACTGCGCGCGAAGGACTGGTCTTGCTGCTGGTCAAGTGCATGCTGCATGGCCGGCACGCAGCCTGTAGCGGTGACAATGATGTGCGGTCGAGAGCTTTGCAGGACCCATGCCAGCTCCTTGTCCGTCAGCGATGGGGAGACCAGCGTGGTGGTGAGGCCTGCGGCGAGCGCGCCCAGGACGATGGTGGCAAAGGGCAAGCAATTGGGCAACTGCACCAGGACAATGGGCGCGACCTGGGGAGCAGCGCGTCTTGGTGTGGGAGGTAGGGCGTGGACATTGTCTGGATCGAGTTGATGGAGGTTCTGCAGGCCAACTGCGAGGCGCAGAGCATCACGTCGCAATTGTCCGCGCTCGAGGGTCCGGTCGGTTTCAACGTCAGAAAGGGGGAATTGTCAATGCAGGGGGCGAGCTCACCAGTTGCTTCGTCGATGAAGACAGGGCGCTCGTCCTCGACGTTGGGTATGCGGTTCTGCGCCGGAGTGAAGCTGCTCTCTGTCGCAAAGGGGCTGCTAAAGAGCCAGTCGAAGACGCTGGCTGGTGTGAAGCAAGCGTTGGTCGACGACCCAGCATGTGCCAGCTTTGAAGCCGGCGTCGCCTCTGACATGCTTGGCTCGCTCCCACGGATGGATTGGCAACAGCCTCAGAAGATGCTTTCGATTGAACACCAAAAAATCGGCCTGCTGAACTGATGACGGTGAAAAGACACAGATATGAAGCAAACAGGGGGGGCGGCCACGGTGCAGTCAGTCTTGAATCTGCTCTACGTCTATGGAGCAACCATGAAATTATCCGGGTGTCGCCAGCCGGCCCCAGTCAGGGACAAGATATGGGCTTGCGGGGATTTAACACCCCACGTCCTTCGGCAATGAGGGCGGGAGTTGAACTCGAGTTTGGACAAGTCTGTCAGTCGTCCACGGTGACGAATTTATCCTGCCTCGCCTCACGTTGAATAGCATGCCAGAAGTCGTCATGCTGGCTGGATATTCGTCGACCTGTGGGTTGTATCCGTATACACGTCTCACATAACCTTGTCCCTGGCTGGGCTGAGCCTAAAGTCAGAAGCGTTTACAGGATACCACTTCGCTCTGCATGTTCAGAAAATCAGGAGACTTGTCTCCCAATTGTATGCACCACCTTGTCCTCACGCTCTGCCTCATCCCCTTCCCCTTCGCGGCCCGTGTTACAGGGTAAGCTTCCTCCCACCCCTCACAGGCTCTCCCCCTTGTCACGGACATCGTGCCCCCTTCCATTGAGAAGCCACTTCTCAGCTCCGACAATCTTTTCTGGCAGATGCATGCCCACGCCAAAGAACACAAACAACGCCCACTTCCAGCGGAACGGGTTGAACGCCACGCAGAACACAAACCACCACACGAGTTCGAGGTATGTGAAGAAGTCGAACGCCCCCGTCGGACTCGACATTTTGAGCACCTTGGTCATATCGATCCAGCGCCGCATCCAAAAGCCCCTCGGCCGCGTGAGGGGATCGACGAGGAACATGAGCAGAATGCGCGTGTAGATGCCAATGTGCCAGTTGCCCACCGAGCCGATCGCTGCGACATACGTGCAGTTGATGGCACTGACAGAGGGGTGCTGAGGTGGGAAGGTCTGCAGGTACCAGTTCGGGGGATCGTACGGCTCCTCAAAGACGTCGTCGGGCAGGAACGAGAGAGAAGGGCGGCTGAAGCCCGTGGCCAACACGACAATGTCCGCTTCCACCAAGGTCTCGTGACCCGGTCCTCCTTTGGGTACCCCCTTGGCCCGACGGTTGACCGTGACGCCGTTTTCTTCAAACTGGACAATGTCGCCTCGTATCCATTCAGCTTGTCCCTGACGCAGCTTATCCATCACATCCGAGTTCACCATTGGCGTGTCCATGAACAGGCCCTTGTCACTGGGCGCCAGGAACTCGAGGTCGCGGTAGAAGAGCTTGCGCAGGAGAAACTCGGGGATGAATGACAACGTGGTTTCCTGGCCGAATATGTTGAGAGACAGAAGAGTGTCGACGAAAATGTTGCGCGGGATGATCCATTTGTCAGACCGGGACAGGATGGACGTCTTGGCCGTGCCTTTGGCGGCGGCGAACTCGAGAGCCTCAACTGCGGAGGCGCCACCGCCAATAATGGCCATCTTCTTTCCCTTTGCTTGGATTCTACGCGGATTAGCAATGGCTTTTATAGGAAACAAATTCTTGTTTGACTCACCCATCGAGCTCCGACGAATGGACAATCTGTCCCTTGAACTTCTCCATGCCCTGCATGCCCGGCTTCTTAGGGGCACCACATGTCCCCACGGCAGCAATGAGGCCCTCGAAGCGACCGTTGGAAGGATTGTTGATGATCCACCGACCCTTGTCGTCTTGATATGTCTTGTCCACCTTGAAGTTGAACCTAGTCTTGTCCTGCAGACCGTAGCGCCTCCAGAGATCGCGCACCGCATTCAGAATCTGGGACTTGTCGGGATATCCACGCTGCCACTGAACGGAAGGGTGGAAGCGATACATGACACTGTGGATCTGCAGCCCGGACGTGTCGTTCACTTTCTATATTCAAATCAGCATGGGCGTGTGGGACATGGTGAGGGTTTTGGAAACGTACTGTCCAGATGCCACCGACGCTGTCCTCGGTACCCCGTTCGAAAATGACAACATCGAATCCATGGCCAACACAATGCGCCGCAGATGTGATGCCTGTGATGCCAGCGCCAATGATGGCGATTTTGGGCCTGTCCAGCTCGTTGTTTGACCTGGGCGGATTGGGGGACAGCGCTTTCGCGATGAGGTACTGCAAAACCTGATAGATGAACAGGAGAGGATGCAGGATGGGATTCTGCAACCCCGATTTGGACGACATTTTTTTTTTTTCTCAGGCTAGTATCTGCAAATCAGATGAAAAGAAGGAACTGGCGAAAACAGAGAGCGCGCGCGAGAGATATCGTTGACCTTTATTTACTTGTCTGGACAGCTCGGAACGTTGGGTGGAGTTGATCGTGACGTCAAGCTTGCGAGGTTTCACATGCTAAAAGAATTGGGTGGGATTATGCGAACAAAGCTCCTCTTATTCTTCATGTAGGTACGTATTATTGACAATCGAATCTCCATAGGTAAGGTAGCAAGTCGGGAAAGAGATTGTTGCAGAGGCACGTCATTGCGCTTTCTAGGTTTCACATGTCAGCGCCCACCACCCTCCTTCAAGATCATTCATGCGACTTTCCTCCCTGATCACCACCCACCATAAGTGATACTCAAAGACAATCATTGAGGCGAGTGAAAGATTACTTCAAATTGCCCAATTGCCTCATAATGGAGCACCCAGGTACGCTGTCGTGCGCGCACTCACAATCCCCCCCCCCCCAATCACTAACACGAACACAGTTCGCGAGATACCAGAGGTCATCACCAACCTCACAACTGGCTCCCCGGACGTCCAGTCCCATACTCTCCAGACATACTTCACATCCGACGCCAGCTTCACGCATCCGTTCTGTCGCGTTCCCTCCCTCCAAAAGGGCGCAATCCCCCTCCTACACTGGGTAGACTCGCGATGGCTCATCCTGGGCATCTACCGGTGGTACAGGACCCTCAGTCCCAGCATCAGCATCAACATTGATTCAGCAGGTAAAGTACGCCCATGCGACGGGGTCTCGCAGTCCATTGACAGGCTACGCAGTGTTTGACGAGAAAACCGGCCTCCTCTACGTCACAATCAACCAGACATTCGCACTGTGGTTCGTCCCGTTCTACAAGGCGCCCGTCCGTCTCGTCAGCGTGCTGCGCCTGACGCAGCGCCAGCAGCAGCAGGCCAGTTACGCCCAGGCGGCGGCCGTCGACCACGACAAGGCCAAGTACTACATTGCCAGCCAGGAGGATTTGTACCAGGTCAACGACTTTATCAACTTTCTGATGCCGGGCTTTGGACCGACTTTGTGGTGGCTCTGGCAGGTCTTCAGTGCGCTCCTCTGTGTCGTCGGATCCTTGGTGTTCCTGCCGCTGTACTTTATCATGAACTGAGCGCCGGCGGGCTGTCTGTAGGGCAGAAGTGAAAATGCGCTTTTGTGAGGAGGTAGACATTGTCCGAGGAGTGTAAACGGGGCCATGCGGACATGGCAATGATATTAATATAAATATAGGCCAATTGCCGTCTCGTCGTTATTCATTCCTCTCTCCAATCAATGCAATCAACCAGCGCTTATTGTCCACACCGAAAAGCCGTCGCAAGTATACATACGTAGGTGCTCTTGTCCTCGCCACTACACCTCCTCGGAACCAACAGCTTCATAGCCGTCCCTGCCTCGTCGTCCCAGGTTCATCATGGTCGGACTCTCATACATCATGGTGTAGTCGACGCGCTCCCCACCCAACGCCGCCACGCCATTCTCCCGACGGCCAAAGACAGGCGCAGGGTCGCACCAAAAGTCCTTGCAATTGGCAATGAGGCCCCGGCTGTACGGGTTCTTCTTCTGCTTCCTCTTGCCGCCGCCGACGGCGCCGCGTCCAGCGATGGTCTCGAGGAAGGGATCGATACCAAGGAGACGGCCCCATTGCTTGATTTTGCCGCCCTTTGCCTTGTGGTTGTGGCCTCCGACGCCGGCGCCGCCTGGGGCGGAGACGGACGGGTGGTTGGGATCCAGGGGGTGACCGGTGGACGTGAATGCCAGGCCGCCTACACTGTCGTGCACGCCGTACATGTTTTCATAGGTGGTCATGGCCCGAGCGACCTGGAAGGACTGTGTGAAAAGCAGCATGGTCACCCAGGTGAGCTGCAGTGTCGCCCAGAGCGAGAGAACCATGCTGTATGCGTCGGCGTTGACAATCTTGCAAAGGTTGTCGCTGAGCACGTTGCAGCTCTCCGAGGCGGTCGTGGAGATTGTGGTAAAGTCTGCTAGTGTCAGAGAAGCGCTCCCAGTGTCTGCGGTGGCTACTCACAGTAATACAAGAGCCAGTCGTAGGACAAGATGCCAATCGTCAGGCAAACGAGGTAGAGGAAGAAGTGGCGGTGGTTGTTGACTCCAACGCAGTTGTAGACCCAGGGGCAGTGGCTGGTCGTCGTTAGCAAACAGATCATTGTTGAAGCCTCTGTGGTGGACATACTGGTCATGCTTGGCCACGCAGCGCTGGCAGGCCTTGCAGTGCTTGCTTCGCAATGGTGTCCTTATCATGCATTGCACGCAAAAGTTGAATTCATCATACTTCCACGACTTGAGCAACTCGTCAATCACCGCCTTTTGCTCCGCGATCCCGTTCAACTTGGGCACGAAGCCAGGCTCAAACCGCATCGAGGCCACGTAAAAGTAGGTCGTGAGGCCAAGGAAGGTGGCGAATATGATGTTCAAGATATAGTGCGTACCGCCGGCGGTGTCGGCACCCGTAGTCGTCGCAGGCAGGACGACAAAAAGCCAGTTGAGGCCTACGAGGAAAAGGGATCCCGCAAAAATACCGGTGAGCCAAGGCTGCGAGGGTCAGCACAGGTATACACGAGGGGGGGGGGGGCACAGCACGTACAGTCTTGTGGAAGGCCCTCATAGTCGACGGCGCATACTGCAGTACTTGCTGCGCCGAATATTGTATGCTGAAACCGACGAACAAAGCCAGCGGTATTCCCAGGAACACCGGAGAATGCGAGAGGACCATGATCATCGCCCACACGAGCAGGAAGGGCATAAGAAAGGTAAACCTCAGCACAAAATTCCTCTTGTCCTGCAAGAAGTAGGTCGCGCCCGGCCATGGGGGCATCACAGGCTGACCATCTTCGTCGTAGCCACACTCCCTGAGCGCAGAGTGCCACGCCCGGTCAGTGCCCAACTCCGTGGCGGTCATTTCCGGCGTTTTGCCCGCCTCGGTCTTGGCAAATCGGTCCGCGCCGTATTCAATCAGCTTCATCACACACATTGGGTTGCCCTTAACCAAAGCCCAGTGCAGAGGTGTGAAGCCCTGTTCATCGACGCCGTGAACATCGGCACCCCAGCGCAAGAAGACGTCGACGCACTGGGGAAACCCCTTGTATGCCGCCCACATGAGCGCGGTGTGGCCAAAGCTGTCGAGTACGTCGACGGGGATGCCCTGGTGGAGCAGTAGCACTATCAGGAGGACATTGCCATTGAAGGTCGAGATGTGCAGTGTGTTGTAGCCCTGGGCGTCGGTGATCAGAGGGTCGGCGCCGTGTTGTAGCAGGAGGTTGACGGTGTAGTAGTGGCAGCGCTGCGCAGCCCATTGCAGAGGCGTCGCAACAGACTCGCCGCCCTTTCGGTTGATCTCGGCCCCGTGTTCGATGAGGAATTTGCACATGGCGTACTGATTGTTGATAGCAGCCCACTAGCACATTTGGTCAGCTTCCACAGGTCAAGCTTGCGCGACAGCGGACCTACGTGCAACGGCGTGATGCCTTCCTCGTCTGTATATGTGGCGTCGTAGCCGGCGGTCTCAAACAATTTCTCCATGCCTTGGATATCGCCGAGGCGCGATATCTGCATAATGTCGTCCTGCCCATCCTCCCGGGCGGCGAGCTGGTCGGAAGCCATGGTGCCCATTTCCATGTCACTATTGAGCTGGGGCGCTGCGACGGAGGCTTTGGACGACGGCTGGCGGGGCGCAGCTGGAGAGCTGGCTTGGGTAGGAGAGGGAACCATCAATGTCGCTTTCGCGGAACAGTTTCGTGGGCGGTCCGCACAGCGGCTTGCGGGCAGGAGTAGAGCGGTCCAGCAGCAGATTATTGATATACAAGGAACGTACAATGCAACACGAGCATCATAATATGTGCAAGCGAAGGTTGGTGCAAGCGCCGGTATGAGAAAAGTCAGCCAGACGCTATGCGCATGCAGAGGAGAGAATGGTGACCCGACAGGAGTCGAAATTTGGTCTCGAGGTCAAGACTAATAAGGAAATTGAGAATGACGACGCGGCCTGTCGTGGAGTCGCTCCTTGCTAAGCCCCGAGCGCAAGGCGAGTCCCCTGCCATCTATCCCAGAGTGGCTTAGCTCTGCCTCTTCCGCCAGGATGCCGGGAATTGGCATATCAATGGTTCGTAAGCCTTGACTTGAATTATGCCTGAGTCCTGAATACTTCAGACATCAACGCCAAACGCAAGGTAGTGCGATGATGTTGTCGACTAGCGACATGTGGTGCAGTTGGCTGGCTTGTGTCTCTGTTCGGCCACAGATGGCCAACTTGTAGCGCCTTATCCATTCGGCATCCTGTGCCATGATTGAAGGTGATTCAAGAGGTATGGGTGGCACTGAGTTTTTAGCAGTGGCATGTTTGACTCGGATGAAGTGTACAACGGTACATGAAACACAATAGAAAAGAAAAAAGAAAAGAAAAAAGAATCACATTGCACGCTATTCCCACGCGGAATCCTCTCTTGAATGTGTGTGGTGTATCCTGACCTCCAGTTGCTGAAGTTGGAGCTCATACAGCCCCCGGGTAGCCTGGATCCTGAGATGTGGTGCCACACAACCAGACCCTCACTCTGTCCCGCCATAATCTCGCATCCCCAGAGTCTAAACTGTCCAGAGACATCCTCCTCCAACCACGCAAGTCCACAACAGCTTCAGCGCGATCAACCCGCACGAACGACGCGCAACGATGGCTTTCGCCGAATTCTTGGAAGCGCTCCTCACGCCGTCCCTGCCCATCCTCGCGCTGGGCATCCTCATCATCATCGGCGCGCCCCTGCTCCTCCATATCGCCCTCGCCTCGTCCTCGACCTACATCACGCCGCCGACCGTCCTCCTCCTCGGGCCCCTCGCCTCAGGCAAGACGTCGCTCTTGACCCTCTTTGAGCGCGGAACGCCCGCGGAGACACACACGTCGCAGTCGACGACGAGCGTCGAGCTCAATGCCTCCACGGACGCGGACTCGAAGCAGAGTTTCCGGAACCACGACGACACCAGTGGGACGCACACCAAGTTCATCCTCGTCGACACACCGGGGCATGGGAAGCTGCGCAACTTGGCGTTCGGCAAGCTGGAGCGCGCAGAGACGCTCAAGGCGATTGTCTTTGTGGTGGATGCGGCGGCCCTGAGCGAGCAGGATGTCCTGTCGACCACGGCGTCGTACCTCTACGATGTCCTCCTGCTCCTGCAGAAGAGGGCCTCGGACAAGAGCAAGACGAGAAAGAGCGTTGTGCCGGTCATGATTGCGGCGAACAAGATGGATCTGTTCACGGCGCTGCCGGCTACAATGGTCCGGACGAATCTGGAGGTGGAGCTGACGAGGATCCGGGCCACGCGCAGCAAGGGACTTCTCGACTCTGGCGTCGGCATGGACGATGTGGGCTCGGAGGACCAGGACGCCTGGCTAGGCGAGTATGGCTCTGAGAAATTCTCGTTCAAGCAGATGCAGGAGTTTGACATTGACGTGGATGTCCTCCCTGGGAGCATCACTGGCGAGGAGGGCACTGGTGCGGACAAGTGGTGGTGGTGGATCGCGCAGAAGATAGCAAATGCGTGAAATGTAAATTATTCAATGGGAGACGTTGAGTCTCGCAGGCCGTTCCTTTTCTATTTCCCGACTCTCGTATCGCTGTTGATGCTGATTTTCCCAAAAACGCCGTACATGATCCCGTCCAGATGATTCATGACAAATATCCTCCTCTGTTCTCCCATCATAAATTAGAGCTTCTTGTTCACCATCCAGGTCAGAAGATCGACCTTTGTCACGATGGCAATGGGCTTGGAGAGCTTCGCGTCCTCGCTGGTCTCTGTGACGACAGCCGCGCTGTTCCACTCAAAGAACTTGCTTAGCTCGGTGAGAGACGTCTCACGCGTGATCTGGACAAACTTGCGCTTCTTGTCCTTCTTGCCCAGGGCGGCGTTCTGGCGGGGGTCCGTAATGATCTCGTCGAGGTGGGCAAAGTCAAACATGACATCCTTGACCTGGCTCTCTCCCGTGGCGCGACCGCGAGAGATGTAGCTGAGCAAGTTGCCGAGGGTGACGAGGCCGACGAGCTTGGAGGGCGTGGTGGAGGACAGCACGGGGAGCTGGTCAAAGCCCTTGTCGCGCATGGTCTCGATGGCCTCGGAGCAGGAAGCCGCCGCAGAGATGGACGTCACCGGCTTCAAGCGCAGCGAGGCAATGGTGGCGCCCGCGTAGGGGTCAGTCTCCTTCTTGTCAGCCGACTTGTCGACCTCGACGCCGTTTGTGGGCAGGAGCTTGTTGGCGGCGAGCCAGTCGTCGTCGGCAAACTTGCTGAGGTAGCTCCTGATGCTATCGGGCAGGATGACGACGACAACGTCGCCCTTTTTGAAGCCATACTCCCTCACGGCCAGCACCATGGCGGCCATGGCCGACCCAGAGCTACCACCGACCAGCAGACCCTCCTCGGAGATCAAGCGACGGGCGAGGAAGAAAGACTCCTGGTCGTCGGTCTTGTACCACTTGTCCACAGTCTCGCGGTCGAGCACGTCGGGGATGAAGTCGTAGCCGATACCCTCGACCTTGTACTGGGCATTCATGTGCTCCTCGTTGAGCGACTCGGGGACGGCGAGGATGCTGCCCTGGGGATCGGCGGCAATGATCTTGACGTCCTTGCTGTGCTTTCGGATCCCGCGCGCCAAGCCAGTGATTGTGCCGCCCGTACCAGCGCCAGCGACGACGGCGTTCAGCTTGCCGCCCGTCTGCTCCCAGATCTCCTCCGCCGTACCGTACTCGTGGGCGAGGGGGTTGTTGGGGTTGCTGTACTGATCGAGGATGTGGGCGTTGGGCATCTCCTTTTCCAGGCGGCGGGCGACGCCAATGTGCGACTCGGGGCTGTCCCACGCCGCCTGGGTGGGGGTGCGGATGATGGTGGCCCCCAGGGCGCGCAGCACCGACACCTTTTCCGCCGACATCTTCTCGGGCAGGGTGATGATGGTCTTGTAGCCCTTGATGGCACCAACGAGGGCGAGGCCAATGCCGGTGTTGCCGCTGGTGGGCTCGATCAGGGTGTCGCCCGGCTTGATGCGGCCGCTCTTCTCGGCCTCCTCGACCATGCGGAGGGCGATGCGGTCCTTGACGCTGCCGCCGGCGTTGAAGAACTCGGCCTTGACGTAGACATCACACTCGATCCCGAGGGCCTGGGGGATTCTGTTGAGGCGGACGAGGGGGGTGTTGCCGATGAGGTCGGTGGCCGATGCGACAGTGGGCGCATTGCGGGGGGTGTGGGCGACGGACATGGTGGGCTCGTCGTTGTTTGATAAAATGAAGGAGCGGTAGAGAATTCACGTACGGGAGGGAGGTTGAGGAGCAAAGACAGAGCCTCACAACGCGGTCACCGTAGGGAGAGAAAGAAGAAGATAACGTTCAGCTGCCAATGTCGCCATGCATTCGCTGCGAGGGGGATCAGATCATGCGTTTGCTAGGAAATTCATTTTTTTTGCCCCGCGCTTAGCCGATTCGAACCGCACTAATTCGTCTAGGGGACGGCAACCCCCGAAAACGCCGCAAATGGCATGATCATTGGCATCTGACAGCCTGTGATTGGAGCCTAGAGTCAGTCACTGTATTACTCATCAACGACTCAATAGTACAGTCATGCTTTTGTCCACACCAGCACTCCGCACAATCACTGTTCAATGTTCAATGTTCATGTTCATGTTCTGGACTCTTGGAGGAAGCACTCTTCGGTCTTGGTATCGCTACGCGAGAGCCCCGTTGCGCCACTGCACGTTGTCTGACAGACGCTTCAATTCGGGCCCTTGCCCACAGTAGTCCGGATGCTTTCCTCCTGGACAGCAAGCAATCCGTTCGCGACCCCAGAGAGCGAGGAAAGATCTTGTAATAAGTGTCCAACGTGTTAGCGTAAGGAGCCTCGAACAGTCTCATTCACGTTGGGGCCCTTCTGCCACTCTGCCATGACAGCGGAATGTTTCCTGTCGATTTCTCCGCACGCCCCAGATCGCAGAGCCGCCAAGGGCGCCAAACAAAGGGACCATCTCACAACATTGCCCTTTCCCATCGAGGCAGGAGATCAAGCAATTGGAGCGCCACACTGTCCCCTCACCGTAGTGTCCGGTACTGGCCGGTCCAAGTGAGTCGATGGTGCAACCTTATCGTGAGTGGTTGGTTAATAAAGGCCAATATCGCACTCAAGAGCAGGGATGCTTATCGCGCGGGCGATTGCTGGAATATCTTCACTTACTTCCCCAAGGGCATGGCAGGCCAGGGCCTCAGAGATTGACGGTCATTGACCAGCTACTTGTTCAACAGGCTGGCGCATTCATAACTCCCAAGGCTTGGAAACATTGCCTCCACACTCACAGCACTCCTCTACGCTAATTCCCGAATACAACCATGCAGTTATGCTTGTTCCTGGCGCGATCGCTCCGCGCCACTCAACGCACCCCGCCGAGCACCCAATGCTGCGACCTGCCTCTTTGGACCACGGCCGACAACTTGTATGGGGGATCTTTCGCCTCCCCACCTATCGACAAAGAACCTCACAGGGATTTTTTGGTAGGAGGCGTCGCCACGGCAAGGCGAGGAGGCACCAATTGCGCAGGTGAGGCCAACAGGTGCTGGAGCCTCGCGCCTCGCGCCTCGCACCTGCTGCCAGTCACTCCAAGGTATTTAAGGGCTCCTGTCCCTTCGCGCTGGTCTCCAACTTCTTGAGTCTCTCACCGACATCGTTGTTAAGCTCCGGTATCGCCATCACTTTCTCAGGATGAAGACTACCAGCTTCCTCGCCGCCGGCCTTGCGGCTTCCGGTGCTGCTGCCACCAGCAAGCTCACCCCCGATGCCATTGAGAATGACATCCGCACAGACAAGTCAGATACCTGCCATTAGAGTCTGCGAGACACACGCTGACAAGACTTAGGCTCCAGAATGTCCTCTGGAACTTCAACAAGATCGCCCGTGACAATGGCGGGAACCGTGCCTTTGGCTTCCCCGGTTACAACGCCTCGCTCGACTTTGTCCTCGAGCGCGTGCAGACACGCTTCGGCAAGCACCTCGACACCTTTGTCCAGCCCTTCACCCACCTGTTCGCCACGACATATGAGATCTCCGTGACTGGCCCTGACGGTGACCTGGAGAACATCCTCACCCTGCAATACAACAACCCCACCCCAGAGGGTGGTGTCACCGGCGAGCTCGCCGCCTTGCCCATTGACGACGAGCGTGGCTCCGGCTGCTTCGCCGACCAGTGGGAGGGGACCGATGTTGAGGGCAAGATCGCACTCATCAAGCGTGGCGCTTGCGCCATCTCGGACAAGCTGAGGCTGGCCAAGAACAACGGCGCCATTGGCGCCCTCCTCATCCACAACGTGCCTGGCGACTCTATCACCGCCGCCACCCTGAGTGCGGAGAACTATGGCCAGATCTCCCCCGTCGCTGTCATCACCCTTGAGCAGGGTCTCGCCTGGAAGGAGGCAGTCGACGCTGGCGAGACTATCGAGGTCCACCTCCTCGTCGATGCCACTGCCGAGGACCGTGAGACCTGGAACATCATCTCCGAGACCAAGGAGGGCGACGCCGACAATGTCATCATGCTCGGTGCTCATCTCGACTCCGTCCAGGAGGGCCCTGGTGTCAACGACGACGGCTCCGGTTCCGCGGCTCTGCTCGAGCTCGTCGGCTCGGTCAAGAAGTACAAGGGCTTCAACAACAAGATCCGCTTCGCCTGGTGGGGTGCGGAGGAGAGCGGCCTGGTCGGTTCCACGTACTATGTCCAGAGCCTCTCCGAGGAGGAGAAGGACAAGGTTCGCTTCTACTGGAACTACGATATGATCGGCTCCCCTGAGCCCTTCTTCAACGTCTACGCCGACGACGATGCCGACAAGACGGGCGGCAAGTACATTATCGACTACCTGACCGAGAAGGGTTTCCCCGCCGAATACGCGTGAGTTGAGTGAAAGCGCATCGTTGTGACATGTGACTGATCGAGTACAGTGCCTTTGGTAGCTCCTCCGACTATGTTGCCTTCCTCGAGGCTGGCATCCCCTCCTCTGGCATCTTCACGGGCGCCGGAGCTCCCCAGGATGCCTGCTACCATCTCGCCTGCGACGACATTGACAACATCAACTACGAGGCGCTCACAGCCAACGCAAAGGCGGCCGGTCGTGCCCTCGCCGAGCTCGCCAACGACCTTTCCGAGGTGCCCCCTCGCGCCACGTCGTCGGTGAACCCCTCGAGCAAGCGTGGTGTCGCCCGCGATCTCACCAAGTGGAAGCGCGTGGCTGCGGGCGTCGAGAAGCACCACTCGTGCGGCGGCGGCAAGAAGAACACTGTATAAATGATGACGGGATGACGATGATGATTATGAAAAGCGGGTTGAGCGTTATGTGAGCGGTTGTAGCATAGAGGCGTTGTGTGGGCGGATGTAGAACAAGCGACTGCGAATAGGATGTATATTCGACACGACTGCGACATTCAGTACGTGAACGATCTCTGCATGGAAACCAACCTGAAACCCCCGTGCAATGTTCGGTCACTAGGCTGCCTGACTTTGACGCAATATCACAAGAGGACCTGTCGGATTTTTTGTTTCCTATAGCACTGACATCCCATACTGTTGCGACCACTCAAACCCTCAAAAGTCTTCGCGTACAACAACCGACATCTCCCTCCATCTGCCTCGTGTATGTTGTAATCATTATTCATTCCACATAACATTAAATACAGCTTTCGGCACCAACCCTCAAGCCTTATGCTTGACCTTTGGATTGTTCCTCGGGTTCGGAATCGGGTTCGCCTTGTACGTCGGATATTTCGGCCCCCCCGGTATCCTCTCCGAAACCCTCACGCTCGCCCCGTAACTCTGGCTCACACGCACAGGTGGAGGTCTTGCGGCTCGTGGTGGTGGCCGCACAGGCACGCCGCGGACGGGTCGTCGTGCATCGTCCTCCTCACTGGAACTTGACGACGACGAAGAAGACGTGGATGCGGCAGAGGAGCGGTGCCGTCTTCGATGAAACATGCGTACCTCGCTCCGGTAGCGACTCCACTTGATGCAGCAGAAGATCATGAGGAGGATCAAAATGATACTACCCACGACAGAGCCAGCGATCGCGGCGCCTTCGCGATCTGTGAGGCCATCTGACGTGCCGCGGGTTCGTAGAAGGACGGGGGCGGGAACCATTGTATTTTGAAGCGCCGATTCACAATCTGCGACGGTCAAGAAAGAAGGAACAATGTAAGACAGTGTGTATTGAGAAACCGCTGACAGGGCTGAAGGAGACATCAGACATCTCCGTCTGAGACTTATGGGCAAGCCTGCTCCCTCCCCCCCCCCGAGGTTTCCAGGTAGTACAAACCCTCCGGCCGTGACGACAAGGCAGACAAGGCAAGGCGGCGACCCCGTCATCTGACTCTCACACGGGCTGGCCGCGCTCTTCTCGGCGTCGAAGATGGTGTGCATATGTGGTCGTGAATGCGACCGGCAGGGCTGCATCTACATGGCAGCTCGACGAATGGGCGGTGGGTGTTGTGTATGCAAGTGAGCTGGCTTGCAGCACGGCTACTTACACGCATATCAGTAGAACTGGTAGGAGGTGGTGTGGAGGGACTCTTCAAAAGGCGTTTGGGTCATTCGGTGTCTTATCATGCGAACCAGAGGGACATGCACATGGCGTCGGACTGGGTGGGTGACTGGACAGGACAGACCTGCAGAGAGACGTCGCACGAATACAATATCATTTCAAGGCTCTGTCTATGCCATCCACTCCTTCACCAGGCTCCTCTTGCATTTCCCGTCACAACCAGGAATGGTTTGCGCGTCCACGCCGCCGATCGTCGGGACAACCTTCTCAAACAGCCCCGTCCACTCATCAATAGTCAACTTGTCAATGGTGACCTCCCTGTTCGTGCCGTTGCCGTCGGGAATCTTGAAGCGGTGGTACACAATGTACCACTCGTCGGTCTCGGGGACGTTGAGGACAGAGTTGTGTCCCGTACCCAGGATCCCCTTTTCGACGTCCTTCTCGAGGAGGACGCCGCGGTACGTCCAGGGACCATCAGGGCTAGGGGCGGTGGCGTACCCGACGCGGTAGTTCTCGGAGCGCGTGTCGTCAATCGAGTAGGTCATGTGGTACACGCCGTCGCGGTAGTTGACGAAGCTGCCCTCGCGGTAGTCTGTCAGGCCCTGCTGCTCGGCGGCGGTCGACCAGTCGACGCTGACCATGTCGTCGTTGAGCTGCGCGTACACGGGCGTCCCGTTGCCCCAGTAGATGTAGTACGTGCCCGAGACGGGATCCTTGAAGACGCACGGGTCGATGGAGCCGCCGCTCGTCGCGACCGCCTCGGTGCCGGTGACGAGGGGCTCGGGCTGCGCGACAAAGGGGCCCTCGGGCGAGTCGGCGACGGCCACGCCCATGGTCTTGGCGTTGTACTCGGGGTTGTTGCCGCTGAAGTAAAAGTAGAACTTTCCGTCCTTCTCCGCAATGGTCGGCGCCCACGCGTTGCCGGTGGCCCAGGGGACGTTGCCGTTCTCGCCGCCGAGGGTGAGGAAGGGCTGCTCGGAGCGGACCCAGTCGACGAGGTTGGGGGACTTCCAGACGTAGAACTCGAAGCCGCCCCAGCCTGGCGTGCCGTCAGTCGTGGCGTAGATGTAGTAGTTGCAGTCATTGGGGAAGGTGGCAATGTTGGGGTCCGCGTAGTAGCCAGGGAGCAGGCCGAGACCCTCGCTCTGTCGCTTGGCTGTCGCGAGGGGGGCGCGCTTCGCTGGCTGTTGAGCGCCCGAGTGGAGGGCCTCGAGCTCAGCGGCCGTGACTGGCAGCACGGTTCCGTGTCGAGGGCTTGAGGGCAGGCTGTACTCGGCAGAGACCTGCCAGTCGGGGTTGGCAATGTCGGCGGTCTCCAGGGGGATATACCCACGGTCGACATATTCGTCTACGAAGAGATAGAACTTGTCGCCGTGCACATCGCCGGGGTTCGACTTGAAGGCAGTCGGTCCCTCCACGGCCTGGGTGCCAGCGTCACGGCCGATGCAGGTGGCAACGACGGTCCAGGAGTCGAGTTGGCCACGCAGGGTGGACGAGCTTTCCTGGATGATATCAGTGCATCCAGTGCCCCCCGCGCCCTCATCCTTGGTGAAGCGGTAGTACGTGTCAGAAGCCCTGAGGACGGTCGAGTCGATCCTGGACATGCCATTGTCCTGCCAGACGACCGGCTCGCCAAAGGTAATGAAGTCGCGGGTGGTAGCATACATCATGCGGTGGTAGCTGTTGCCGGTGTGGTCGGGATCATTCTCATTGTCGTAGAGCGACGAGGCCCAGAAGACAATGTACTCGCCGATGCTGTCGTCATAGTACGCCTCAGGGGCCCAGGTGTTGCCTGCGTTGTCGGGGGCCACCTTGACGTGGCGCTGCTCCGACCAGTTGACCAGGTCGTTGGACTCCCACACCTCGAGATAGAGGCTGCCTTTCCGGACGGCATCACCCCATGAAGTCCCGCTGCCGATGGAAAGGTCCGTGGCAATGAGGTAGAATGTGTCACCTTCAGGCGACCTGATGATGAACGGATCGCGGAGCCCGCCTGTGCCCTTGGATGAGGTGAGAACCGGCTGGCCGTCGTTGAGCTCGGTCCACGACAGAGCGTCGTTACCGTTACTGGCCGCGAAGAATATGTTCTCCCCTGCGAGCGAGCTGCCGACAAAGTACGAGAAGGCATAGCCCTCAAAGGGCTCCAGCTGCACCGCCGGCTGTACCGTGGTGGTGATGGTGTGCTGTACGGTCTCGCCATTCGAGGTCACGGTCGCCGTCAGGTTGACTTGGGCCTGGGATGATGGACGCTTGACAACGCCCGAGTCGGAGATGATGTCCGCGTCCGATGAAGACCACTCAATGTCATGTCCGTCGACGCTCGAGGGCAGAGTGACACTGCCTCGAATGTCGTCCGCCTTGTGGATGTTGATTGCCTTGAGGGACGACGCAATGCTTGACGCAGGGGCGCCTACCGCAAGGCCCAGCAGGCCGAGCAGAGTGGCGGCTGGAGTGATGGGAGGGGTTCTCATGATGGCTGCTGAACAGGCTCTTGTCCCGATGCCAACAACTTCCTTGATATCGGCCATCGACCCATCTTATATAGTCCTCTGGACCCGCCAGCGCGAAGGCACTTGATGAGTTTCGGCCCAACGGGAGCCGAGGGGAGTGTGTCGCTGGGATACGAGGCATGATTCGACACATGGTCAGCGGCAAGCATCACCACCCCCCATGGGGAAATGCTCCGGCATTTGCGTTCCTTAAGGAGCGAGCAGCGAGCTCCTACTGCCGGCAAAGTGGACGCCATCGCCTTGGCGGCCAGCACTAGCGCCAGACTCCAGTCCCCTTATAAAACCATCACCATGAGCTTAAAAGGTTACGCACGCCACCAAAGGGGCTGCTGCGGTTGTCAACTTCCTCTTGAGGAGATCGGCTCATGCGCGCGCCCAAACGTTTCCAGCAATTGGCGCGCGTGGACTCGTCCCCACGGCGCCCCCCTGGTCAAGATCGCGGGGACTAACTCGGGGGATGATCATCACGCTCGGCACATTGCTCTCGCTACTACCGAGCCAGTGACGTCGAACGACACGGGAACGTCTTGGAGAACTCTCGCAATTTCCCGCCATGTTTCCCTCCCCGCAGTTTCGTTGTCCGGAGGCCGGGGAACATTGTGTGGGGTTCGTACTCTTCGGCACATCAGGAAGACTATAAGTAGCTGGCATTGCGTCGCCCTCTAGACAGAGTGTGAAAAGGCATTGAGGGCTGGAAATCTCGCACATTCTCAATTGAATCATGCTCGGGCTTGTGACTGGTTTCCTGGCTGCTGCCACCGTCCTCGCGGGCAGCACCGCCGGCGCTGCGCTTGAAGGACGGTCGTATGACACAGACCTGAACACGTACGCTCTACGTGAGGAACAATGGCCCTATGGGCCTGCCCACACCGAGGGTCGCCATATCGTCAACTCTCGCGGTGATAAGATCAAATGGGCGGGCATCAACTGGCCCATGTCCGGTATGGCACTCGGGTCCCATCTGCTGCCTTGTCCCTTCACTTTGCTGACCAAATGTCCCAGGTGAGACCATGGTACCCGAAGGACTCGAGAAACGTCCGGCAGGCGAGATCTTGGACGATCTCGGCTCGATGGGGATGAATTTCCTTCGCATGGGCTACTCGGCCACCATGGTTGACGAGGTGTACGAATCTGACCAGGACGATGTGCCCCTCGAAGCGGCCATGATCAAGGCCCTGGGCTACTACAATGGAACCCGCGTCACGTCCGATGTCGTCAAGCACAACCCCTCGTGGAATCGCACCACGGGACGCTTCCAGATCTGGGGCGACATTGTCGACATGGCGGCCGAGAGGGGCATGTTTGTCCACCCAGACATGCACATTGCCAAAGCCGGCTGGTGCTGTGGCCACGACGATGGCAGTGCCTGGTTCGGCGACGAGAACTTCAACGTCAAGAACTGGACGCGTGCGCTGTCCTACGTCGCCGACTGGGCCAAGGACTTCCCCAACATCGTCTCCATGGCGCTGGTCAACGAGCTGCGCCAACCGTGGGTCGATGACTACCCCAAGTTCGGTTACAACTGGATGACCCTTGTCGGCAACATGACCCTCGGCTCCGACGCAATCCACGAGGCCAACCCGGACCTGCTCATCTCCTGGTCTGGTCTACAGTTCGACGAGGATCTGTCTGCGCTCACCAGCGGCACCAACCTCCTCACGTCGCCATGCTACATGTGCGTATCCGTGCAGGACTCGCCTCGGCGAGACCCAGTCGTCTTCAACCTGGACGACCACGCATGGGGTGACAAGGTCTTCTACGAGCTCCACCTGTACACCATGACCGAGGACCTCGACATTGGCACGTGCGACATTATCAAGGCGCAGCTGTACCGCGCGGGCTTCAACGCGCTGGGCATGGACAGGCCCAAGGACTGCGATCTGCTCGAGAACCACCACCTCGGCCCGTGCCGGGAACCGTCGCACCTCACGCCTGTGGCGATGACCGAGTTTGGCACCGCGCAGGACGAGACGTTGCTGAACAACAGCTACATTGACTGCCTACGCGAGTTCACCACCGAGAACGACGTCAGCTGGGCCATGTGGTCGGTGGCCGGGTCGTACAGGGTGCGCTCGGGCGGCCAGAATGTCAACGATACCTGGGGTATGATGAACTTTGACTGGGACGGTTTCCGGTTCGAGGAGGGCGTCGAGGAGATCTGGAGGCCATGGGTCCAGGAGACAAACGTCACAAAGAAGGACTAGAGTACGCATTAACGGTGGGGAAAAAAAAGTGATATTGATCCAAGTCGTTGTAGATGGAGTTGGTACTGCGAGTACCTAGGATTCCGTCGTGCCGCCCTCGGCAGCCGCTGCTCCGGTGCGTATAGACTGATTCTGCTGCATGGCCAAGAGAGCGGTTGTGATATTGTCGATCTTGCTGTTCAGCTCCGCAATCTGCGCCGCCAACGACGTGTCCGCATTGACATCCTCGTCGGCCGCATCCAACTTTTGCTTGCCCATCTTGCCGAACGCGCTGGCGCTCAGGAGGGGCATGGTGGGCCGATTGTAGGCGGAAGAGGGTCGAATCTGGGGCATCGTCGGCCTGCGGTGCGTTTCGCGCGGCTGCTCAGCGGGACTTTCGAAGCCAGCCAAGAAAATCTGGGACTCTCGACGTTGGAGGCACTCGTACGCCTTGATGACGGCAATAATTGGCAGATGAGAAATCTTCAATGCCGCAATGCGGGCCTTGAGTATGCCGGGGGAGTTTGGGAACACGAGAGACCACGGGCTGAACAGGATCCAGGCGATAAAATTAAAGGGTGGATAGAAGTGGATGAGTCGGTTGCTTGTCGATGCCTCCAGCACGTACACCGCGTAGACGTAGAGATACTCCTCTCGAGCATGGTTGATGACGCGGGAAAAGCTGTTGGAGAGGATACCAGTCAAGGAGCTGAGCAAGAGGATGTTGGAGAAGATGACGAGGATGATCATCAACGGCGGTCCAAATATGGGATCGATTTGGTCCATGACATCGAAACCAACGTAGCTGGATCCGAAGAAAATTCGGGTGAGGATGATCGACATGCTCCCGAGCCTAAAGTTGCCGCGACCAATGAGGGAGAATGTGGTCAAGAAGCCCAGGAAGAAGATGGCAAGCAGTACCATGAACTTGCAAAAGTCCTTGCCCATCTCCTTCAAGCACGGAATCAGCGTTCCCCAATACGGACTCAAGCTCAAGATGGAGCAGATGCGCGGGATAAGAAACAGGGCCTCCAGTGCGAGTATGTCAAAAGCCCAGCCACTGAGCTCCTGGCTGTTCTGGCTGAGGCCGACGATCCCTTTGACCATTGTCAGCTGGTAATGTCGAGCATCTGGCAAGTGACTTACGGAGGATGATAAAGACAACTCCAATCAGAATCACAATCATGTCAAAAAAGTTCCAAATATCCGCCGTGTATATGACGCTTCCCGCATCGCCCCATTCGCTCAGCTCGTCAAAGAGGAACGCAGCGAACCAGAACCACAGGGCTAGCTCGACTCCTGTAAGCCGATCTCTCGGCGGGACGATGAGCACAGCGTAGAAAAGGCAGAGGAAGATGCCAAAGAAGACAACCTCCCAGCACTTCATGTACTTGGGCACCCTCAGCCGCGCGTAGGGGTCGGCTCTGTTGGGGTGATAGAAGCGAGGCTGTTTCCTCGCGTGGAGTGACAAGGCGTCCCAGTACACAATTTGCCCGTTCCATATGCCAGTCAGAATCTTCTGTACTACGTGCTGGCTCAGGAACCGCTTCGCGTCCGCCACGGCGGCGATCTCGAGCGCGTTCAGCCCTTCAAAAGCAGCGCTCGGATCCTCGTCGTCTGGGCCCGCTGAACTGGAGTCATGGCTCCCTTCTGTTAGCCTCGACAGCGAGAAGAGCAGTTCGCTTCGCTTGGTTTTGCTCCCTGTTGGGGCCGATACTGAATTGCTCCGATCGGTCTTTGCCGAGAAGCGTGACAGCAAAGGTGCTAGCTCTGCGTTGTCCTCGGGGTCCTGCGACGTCTGGGCCGCCAGTGGGCCCATCTGGCTCGGGAGCTGGGCCTCTGGGATCTCATACAGGCAGAAGTCCAAGGCCACACGCTCTGGAAAACGTGTCAGGAACCTCCATGCGACAATCTCGCAGGCGCTCGACCGCGACGGACCGAGCCCCTGCTCGTTTTCTACATCGACAGCGTAGTGCCATTTCAAGGCCAGGAGGGCGTTGACGATCGCCTGGTTCTCGCAATTCTTGGCCAGATGGTCGACCAAGACGCGCAGACAGTTGCCAGATGACGTTGTCCGCAATTGCTCAAATGTGCTGGGCAGCTCAATGACTTCCTCAAAGTACCTAGGGTGCGATGCGTGTCAGCTCAAACCTGAGGGACTCGTGGGGATGTATACGCACTTTGAGAGCTTTCTCACCACAGTCCGAAAGGAATCAAGTTCTTTGACGTCGGGAAGCTCAATGTCCCAGTCGTCTGCCGGCGACTTTGCACCTGCAGGTGCTCGTAGAGGTGGCATCCCGAGCCAGCGGAGTTGGTGTGAAGGACGTCAGGGAATTGTCGGCAGATGAATGTCTTAGCTGCAGGGATGCTAGTGCTCTCTCTGACTACTGCGATGAGCCCGTCGTATACTGGACTCAATTGCAAGAAATTAAGAATGCAAATATGTGAAATGTTTTCTGCGTGAGGGATGTCTTATTTGATCTCCTGGTGCTAAGATTTATGATAGAACGCAAATCATCAACGTTCCTGGCTGCGTGTTTAGCACTAACCCCGCTGTTGAGGAGGTTCAGCTCCGGGTATCGTGATTTTGTCATCTGGGAAAAAGAGCCACCCAAGGTGACGGCATGAAGGGCACGTGACGCCCTCCCGAGATGGCAGCAGATTTGGAGATATTTGACTACAATGACCCAAGGATTGAATCGTTCCCCGTGCAATCAGTACATGGTAATTGCAACGTCGACGATGGCGTCAATGCGTCACGAGCCTGCGCAAGGTCCTGGCGTATGGCGAGAGATCCTAGGATCATCTTCTGCTTTGTTGCTGGCAGGCCAACGCATCAGACTGGATTTGAAAGAGATAGCACATCGGACTACCTCCATCAGGGCGTGTCCATACAGATGAAGAGGTCGATGCGATGTAACAAGGAATTCAATGCGCGCTGTGCAGAGATGGTTGCGGATTGTCAATTGAATCTATATTTGGGCCGCACCGCCACGATGCGGCACGTCTTGGCGTACCATCTTGAGCAGCTCTATCTCTTTGCGCACTGTACGAGGCACGTCCATTGCAGAATACCTCACAGTGCGAACTATGTCAGCCTTATGCATCCACTCAGTCTCGAATTTGGGGGTCGCTGCACTTTGCTCAAGTCGCACTAGTAATAAATGAGCGAGGCATCTCGCCTTGATCATCTCTGTGCGACTTGAACGTTGACTGTTCTCGTTACTAACTGCCAACATCATTATAAAAAAAAAATCAGAGAGGTAGAAGTGAAGAATCAAGACGCTGAAAGAACGGGCCCCCCGTCAGCTTGTTGTCTGGGTGGACCCTGCCAGCGCTGTGCTCCCCCGTTGCCCTGGGAGCTGAGCCTTCTCTTTTCTCAGGCCGAGTTTCAAGTCTGTTTGCGCTCGCTCTCCTTCGTCATCCCGTCGCCAGCCTCAAACTCCCCGGTGACGACCTTTCTCGTTCTCCGGAGCTTTGAGTCGTGACAATCCAAGGCCAGCGTCTTCGTGGCGCGTGTTTGAAAGTCTACCTAAGACAACAACCATCATGACCCGCCGGCGATCGCCACCGTATCGAATACATGAGCCAACGACCTTTATCATTACGCTCCTCACAACCACGTCGGCGCACATTCTCCCACAACGGACTACAGCATTGCCGTACCAGACACTCAATGTCCTCCCATATCCTATACCCACAGCTGCCTTGTTCCCCCGGCAACAGGCTCTCAACACGATATGCGGGTACATTGGAGGTGACCCTGAGCTGGCTGCGACATGCTCAGCGGGATCACACTGCGCTGTCGATGTCGTGCATAATGCTATAGGCTGCTGCCCGGATGGCGATGTCGCATGCACAGCTGGTGTCTACACTGACTGCGTTGACAGCGACAGTTCCCCGCAGAATGTGATTGACCCGTACGTCTTCACCTGCGGCAGCGGCGATGGTGGCTGCTTCAGGAATGAGTTTGAAGGGGGATACTTCCAGTATGGCTGTGGAGGCAGTGCCGCCACGGTGAAGATGACTGCTAGCGGGAAAACGGACGTCGAGCTGGGGACTGTGAGCGTCGAGTTGACGGAACAACCTTCCACGCTATCAGAACCGACGACACTGGGAGCAGGCACAAGGACGAAAAGCGCGACACGGTCAACAGATACCACAGAGAGTGACAGCTCAAGTAGCGCCACTGAGGGAGAGTCGACGACTGCAACGAGGACAACAGAGCGACCGAGCGCGACTGAGACGAGTGACGGGGCTGACAATGACGACACTGACGCTCCCGGAAACAGTGGCAACGGGCCGAATACTGGGGCTATCATCGGAGGCACCCTGGGCGGCGTGGCTTTTGTTGCCATGGTGGTCGTGTTGGCGCTGTATCTCTGGCGACGTCGGAAGGGCAACTCCAGGCAAGGGCCTGGCCAACAGGGCGACACCAAGTACATCAGGTATAGCGTCTCCGTCACGGCACTTGGATCTGCGAACAAGACTGACAAAAGCAGCCCCATGACCGACCCACGACATCCTTTCGAGCCCCTATCTGCTGTGCAAGAAGTCGACGAATCCCGGCTACCGCGGGACGGTCCCCGTCCGACTGATGGCGCCGGCGCCGGCACATCGCTAGGCGTACCAGACGAGCCGCGTCATACGGTTTCGCCATACTGGTCATCCGTCTCGTCGCGCGGCGGCGCCGTCGAGGGCTCTGGGTATCAAGAAAAGGACAGCATGCCCCTGACTAGTGAGATGGGCATGAGTCCGAAGATCGTCCGGTCAGCAGACCATCATCCGCATCCCGTGGCGGCGCAATTCATGGATGGCCGAGAATTGGAGATGACGGATCGCGGGGGCGCCGCCGACAGCAGTAACAATGAGTCCGGAGACAGCGACTATGGGACGTATCCTGGACCGCGTAGAGGCGGAGGCGGCGGTGCGCTGTGGCAGCAGAACCGTGTCCAGACGAAGAACATGAATTGGCTGTAGAGGAGGCGACTACCTGGCTTGACGAGATTTTTTTGTTTTTTTAAGAGTAGCATCAGCATGGATACTATAGCTTAGCATTAGAAGGAGTCAGATGAGGGCTTAGGATAGCAGAGCCATGCTTCAATGATGATGGCTTCATGATTGATGACTACAATGATGACGGCAGCACCTCACTTTGGCACGTCGATTGAACTTGCTCTCAATTGCATCATATGTTGGCGTTGCTTTTACAAGCTGTCGGTGCCCTTGGATCGTCTCTTGACGCTGCTTGCGGACTAGTCTAGACGCTGAGTTGGTGTGACTCAGGAGCGTGTCATAGACTAAGGTAACTTGTTAGTTGCGGCGACACTACAACGTTCGTGACTATAAGTAGACTGAAACTATGCCGATGTCCCTCGGCCAAGATCCCAATTTCTATCAATATTCCACGATTTCCTTTGCCCACACTAGAAATACACTCAAGCTCCAAGATGACCTCTTCCAAGGGAAAGCCCACCGATCCCGAGCTCAGGGAGGAGCTCAAGGAAGGTGACCACAGTAACTATGCATACATGAAACAACAACTCGCTGACACGGAACCATAGAGATCAAGCAAGAGCCTAACAAGTCCGGCGGCGGCCAGGGCCAATGGTCCGCGTGGAAAGCAAGCAAGCTGGCCAAGGAGTACGAGAAGCAGGGCGGTGGCTATGAGAATGAACCCGGGTCCAAAAACAAGCCTAAGAAGGGGGAGCCGGAGCCCAAGAGCGAGTCGAAGAAGCAGAAGGAGACGGGCTGATGGAAGTGGTAGTTATCTGCGTTGGGCGGGTGTCTCTGTTAGTCACATCGTCTACTTGTGGGTAGTACCGTGTATTGGCAGCCCTTGCGCCTCAGTGTCCAAGTCGGCGGACTCCTCTGCTTGTGAGGGCGCAACAGACCATAATTTCAGTGACGAGTCGTCCAGAATGGTGCTCCCGTCCGTCTGCAGGATGTTTCCCTTGTCCTCCTCACCAGCGCCGGCGTCCTCGGCGATGCTCGCAGCGTACTCCCATCCGCCAGAGCACGTTGCAACAACAGAGCCGCTTGAATGAAGCGCGACACTACCCACGGATGCATCATGTGCTCTCCAGCCCCAAGTCTCCTTGGCATCAAAGTCGCCATGAAGCCCGACGCCCTCCCAGACACTAACCCTCCCGTCATCGCCGCCAGCCCAGACCTCGAATCCCCCGCCCTCGCCTCCGGGAAAAACGTCCACGTTCAACTTCTGCTGGGTGTTGGCCTGTCGACCCTTGAGAATGCTGAGAAGCTGTCCTGTGACGCGGACGTCGTACACCAGTAGCCCGGGAGCATTGCGTTCGTTGACCAGGAGGTACCGTCCACAATGCGACCAGATCGTCTGCACGATGCCCTGCCCAGGGACGCCGCCGTCGTCGGCGGCCGCCGCGATACCCCAGTTGGCGACTGTCTTTTCAGACCGCGAGAGATCGTACATGCCGACCCATCTTGTCCTCGTGCCGGCGGCGATGATTCCACCCTCGGTACCGGCAGCGGAGGAGCTCAGAGCCGAGACGGTGCCCTTCATGCCGATCCCGTTGCCCTTGCGAATGTGCCGCTTCGACGGGATCGTCGGCACCGTCGTCACAGGCCCGTCACTGGAATGACCCGTGATGTCGAACAGGTCAAGCCGGTTCGTAGAGCCCACGACAAAGTGCGTCCCCGGATGCTGCCATAGGACGGACGAAGGCGTGATGTACGCTTCCGTCTCATGCTTGATGAGCTTGTAGCCCCGTATAGGGGCACATGCCTCGTCGTTGGGGAAGCAATTGTACAGCTGCAGTGGATGATCACGACACCCAGCGAGAAAATGCTGCGTGGTAGGCTCCTGGAGGGAGAAATACGGAGCTGGCGCGATGATCTGTGACGGTTCTGGCAGGGTGACCTCTCCCTGCGCCTGAAGAGTGGTCTGCGCTCCTGACAGCAGATCGTCCGGCAGTGCGAACGCGCTGATCACTTGGTCCGAGGAGCTAGTGAGGACGGTGGTGCCATCGGCAGTCCACTGCGCGGAGGTGTAGAACGAGGTGCCAGGGCGAGGATGGTTACACTGCGCCAGAAGGCGCGTGCTGGGACTCATCCTTCAATCTCGACGACGTGAAGGGCTCATATGCCGCGCGATGGGGATGAGCTGTGATCGGCCAAGGCACACTCCTTGTTCATCTCCGTCGTCTGCAGGCTAGCAGTCTTGGCGGCTCAATTGGCAACGTGCGTGCGTGCGTGCTCGCTCCCACTTGATTCTTCTTCTCGTGTGGAACGGGCTAGTTGGCACGGCGAGGGCCTACCGGGACACGAGTCTTTGTCTTGGCTGCCGTCTGGCTGGCGCAACCTCGTGCAGCAGCAGCTGAGTGTCCAAGTAATGGAGAAGAGTCCGCACGACGTTGGCCAGGGTGGACTGATTCGTACATAGGATGGCGATATCAGGGACCATGGGATTGTTGGCGGCTGGGATGGGCTTCTGCGAATTGACTACCTGTAGCATGGAAAATTCAGCGGCAGGGACGCCCCAAAGTCTGATGGATTGAAGGGTCAGTAGCGGGTACGATCAGTCACAGAAGGTGCGCGCAGAGGCCTGGAGGTCCACCGCTGCTCAGTGGATGCGGGCCCGCTATGCTCGACGTCATCTGGATGCCTACATCAGGGTACCCGTGCTGATCCCGTGTCTGCTAGTTTCATCCCACGCGCGAGGTACATCGCCCGCCTCCGAGGCGTGGGCAGTAACCTGTGACCCTAGCACCTCCGAGGTCCCTTCCGATGCACTGCAGCGGGCCTGCCGCGCTCTTAGTGGATTGGGCCGACCTCTATTGGCTTGGCATTCTTTGGGCGTTCGACCTCCAGCCTCCGGCTGCCAGGCACGCATCCGCTCCCATCGTCCGGCCTCACCTCCATGTCGTCTCACCCTGCCTCACACTATCTCATCGCGGCAAGGCTTTTGACCGTGCGAATCAACACATTAGTACACAGCACCGCGCTGCTTCACGTCGACCCTTAGGCTTGGTCTCCCGCGCCGCGACGCTCCTTTGCCGACAGCCTGCCCGACACGTCATTGTCTGCAATCATCAAACCGACGCGCCAACCGACAGCTCCATCTGCGACTTCTGCCTTCACTACACATCTTGCCGCATTCTTATTCTCGGGCCATCGCTATCATGCTCTTCTGAGCAGCCGCTCATCCCCTACACGGCTGCGACTGAGGCACTGACGGCCCGTTTGCAGAGTGAAGAATTGTCCATCACCATTCCAGCTCGCTCATCTTGTCTACGCCTGGGTACCGGATCAACGCATCTATACATAATTTTCGCACCTTTGACCGATTAACCATGGACCTCTTGGGAGCCCCGCGCGACGAGTGCGATGTCTACCGAAACCCTGGCTACGTCCAACTGTTTGTGTCGAGGTTCGTCAGACGACGACTCAACTGGTCCTCATCCATACTAACCTGCTCACAGTATCCTGGTGATAGGCATCCTCTTCTCCTACCTCCCCCAGCATTATCGCATCATTTCGCGCGGTACTTCTGAAGGGATATCGCCCTACTTTGTGCTGCTGGGGACGACTTCTGCAACCGCCGGTTTCGGCAACATCCTCAGCACACAAGAGTCCCGCACGGCCATGGGATGCTGTAAGGAGCTCGACGGCTACCAATGCACAGCCGGTCTCTTGGGCGTCGCCCAGTTCGGCGCGCAATGGGTCTGCTTTAGTCTCATGTAAGTCCGACTCTCAATCTGATTTGTGGGCTGGCTTCTAACCACGCAACCTACACAGCTTGGTGCTCTTCCTTATCTTCTTTCGCTACAAGGAAGCGACCGTTCCTCAGGAGGAGCTTCGAGGGCAAGCTCCAGGTTGGCGCACCGCCATCACCGTCGGGCTGGTTTGTGTCATACACGGCCTTTTTGTCATCATCTTGACGGGATACTTTTTCCTCGCGCGCCCCAGAAACCTCAATTCTTGGGCCAACTTTCTCGGCATCATGAGCACAGCCCTTGCATCGATTCAGTACCTGCCTCAAATATATACAACATATCGCCTCAAGCACGTAGGCAGTCTCAGCATCCCAATGATGTGTATCCAGACACCCGGCGGCCTGTTGTTTGCGTTCAATCTCTACGTCAGACTGGGCTGGGGGGGTTGGAGTACATGGATGATCTTCCTGTTCACTGCCGCCATGCAGGGTGTCGTGCTCTTCATGGGCATCTATTATGAGGTGACCCGTCGTTCTCCTCCCGAGAACGGCGGTGGTATTACATGGGTCGACAATGCGCCCAGCGTGCCCGGGTCTCCCGACGAGCAACACCATCCGCGCCGCCGACCGCAACCGAACCGCACATACTCGGAAGGCCTTGAACGTGGCCTCCCTGGGCCCTTTACTGGCCATCCCGAGCTGTACGCCGACAACGAGGATGAGCTGGAGCAATTACACGAGCGCGAGCAGCGTGCCATCCTTCGCGAATCTCAGCCGCTGCTCAAACCAGGGGGCATTGGCCACCCGCGACGAGACTACAGCGGGTAAAACGGAGTGTGTATGGCGCGGCGTCGAACGCGGGCTTGGCTGTCTTTGTATATTTATTTCCCTTCTCCGCACATATTACGGGCGTTGGGTCACTGTGACTCACTGCCGGAGGGGGAGAGCATCTGTGCGCGCATGCAGCTCAATGGTACGGAATAGTAGCTTCGATTGTGGCACAGATGCAATGGAGGGGGGTTATCCATACTAGCACGTCTGACTCATTTATTGTGGTTTATACATGGTCGTCTGTATCAGTGGTGTTGGTGCTGCCTCCCTCCCTCGCGACTTCACCTCACACGAGACGCTTGCGTGAACCTTAACGTCACGCACGGGCGATTGTGAACATCTCTGGATACTGGACGAATTGGTGACGGATGTCTCGGGGGTGATTCACATTGTACGGTCACACCGATCTTGTAACAGCAAGCTCTGCGCATGATCCCCGTCACATGACATGCGGCACAGGGTAGCCCAGTCACAGGTGGTAACTTACCAGACAGGGGTTCAAATGCACCCCGAACCAGAAACCCACCCCCTGCCATGCGCCCCAACCCTGATTGGCCACCACTGTGCCCTATCTCGGCCACCTTGTACGGCTCGCCGCTCATCATCATCATCCATATGGACCATATCTGACTCCTCCCCGTCCATCCCTGTCTCCTTTCCACTATCTCATCGATTGCTTTGCTCTGTCTTCGTCCCTTAAAAGACACTCTTACCGTCATTCTTATCTAGTAGGCTGCTGCTTCTCGTGCTCGAAAAGCGATCCCCATCTCCACAATGGCTCTCTACAACGCCGTCCCTCCACCACCTGAGCTCGCCTCAACCTCGACCCCTCCACCTCCGTCCTCGGCCACGGCAGCTCCCCGAGCAGCTCCCACCACGCCTCTCCGGACCCAGACGTCCGCGACAGGCATTGACATTGATGCCTGGACCGTCTCGGCCCTGCAAGCTCTATCCGTCTCCCCGGTGGCTCGTGGCACCGGCACGCCGCTCTCCATCTCCCTCGACGCTAAGGCTGCTGCCGCCGCCGATAAGGCCGTCAAGTTCCAAGAGGGCCATGCTGAAGCCGACACACCCCGTCGACCCCTTTCGCGACGCGACTCCCTCAAGAGGCGCGAGGCTCTGCTCAAGGGCAACGAAGGATCGCGACAGAGGCGACGATGGGAGAACGACCGCCTTGTCGGCGTGCCGAACGCGCAGCCCCCGCTCGAGAGCGACTGGGCGCCGCGCGCGACGTACCCCACGCGCAACGTGCCGTACGCGCTCGCCAACTTTTGGGACATGGGCCTGCGGCAGAGACAGGACGACGAGGCCATGCAGAGGCTCCTACAGCGCAAGGCCAAGCAGGTCTCCGCCGGGCGCGCGACGGGCACGCGCAAGGGAGAGGTCTCGCGGGATCTGAGGGAGACGGTCAAGAGGAGCCCCATTGTCAAGACTTGGGTGCGGGGGCTGGAGGAGCCCGTGCGTGACTATCTGCGTGGCGAGTGCGAGCAGGACACCGACTCGGAGGACGAGGAGATTGTCTTTGTCGGGAGACGGGGCGCCGAGGAGAAGAATGGCGGCAGCCGGTGGCGCATGGCCAACCGCAACGTGCAGAAAGAGATGGTGGAGCAGGGCATGGTGTTTGACGACTTTGGCGACGGCGAGGGTGCGTCCTTCAAGTGAGTTTTTCTGTCCCCTCTCCTATGGTGTGCTTATGACGGGAGACTGACACGCGTGTGCAGGCGCTGGCTCACGCACTCCATCTCGGACTACTATGGCCTCGAGTCGCGCTCCGTCGTCCTGACGAACCCCTCGCGCAAGGTCGTCTACGTCGGCCTCAAGAAGGTCCAGCAGCGGGACGGCCTGTCCATGAAGCACTTTCCTCGGCCAATGTGGGAGCTGTGCTGATCGTGAGATCATCATCGCGTAGAGTACTTATACAGATGTAGATGTGTGACACCGCGGGGGGCGATTGGATAACAGAGACACGCATCTCCCGTGCCCTCGCTCTTGTTCATCACTCACATGATTGATCTAGCGTGTTACTGAATTTCGCCAACAGCTTTGGCCCGCCCAAAAACGACCCGTACGTGGCTATTCGCTGCTCTACGGACATGGCCACAAAATCAGCCAGTCCTTGATTGCCCATTCTCTGATGAAGTACTCCCGCCGTGACCTGAGCTGCCAGCACGTTCATGCCACCTCGGCGGAAGTATATCTCCCATGATGTTTCCTGTGCTTGGATAAACATGGAAACCTCGCGATTGCGAGGAGAGTGCTCGCACATGAACTTGAGCACCCACTTGGCCAGGATGCCCTCAGCTCCGGGAACCAAGTGCACGGTGACCCCAGCCTGCAGAGCAGAGGCGAACCGCACAAACTCGGCGTATGCCTTCATGTCCGACGACGGGTGGTCATTGGCATACTCGCCAGCTGTGTTGCCCTCCGACACCAAGACAATGAGGGACTCGTACTTTCGTGAGACCCCGAGCACTCGTTCCCGCAGCTGAGGGAGGGCTTTGGCGTTGGGCAGTGATCGCTGTTTTACTTTGAGCAGAGTGGTGACGATAAGGCCCGTCGTAGGCGTGAGCGAGATGTCTGCCTCGTGGGCCGGAGGTAATGTTACCTCTTTTCGTCGAGCACTGCCCGGAGACCAAGCCAAGGTGCTCCGATGTGAGTAGTCTCGGTCAATCAGATGTTCTTTTGGCCAAGACTGTTCAATACGGCGAAGCACCGCTCTAGGCAAAGCGAGGGAGAATACATACGTCCCTTTTTTGGCGGCGGGTATAGCGAACTCGGGGGCCAATACTGGGGTCTGATTTTTTGAGCTTTGTTCATCCGACTTTCGAGCTGGAACAGGCAAATCGACCTCACGAGGCACGTTTCGACCTTTTCTGATGAATGGACCATGTTCATTGTCATGACTTGAAGTCTGCCGTCCCCTCAGTTCCATGAAGCCTGAGAGAAGTCTCGACGTGGCTTTGCTATCACTAGGAAATGGTAGGAGATTTTGGTTGCTGATGGCCACACAGTGCAGGGTTGAAGCCTTGCGCTTTGAAGCAGCGGCTTTGACCAGGTCATCAAGACCTTTGACCGAGGTAGCCTCCGGCTGTAAGGAATCTGAACGCCGCGTGCGAAAGTGCGACGACGCTCGAGGAGCACTAGCAGCACTTTTTGTAGGGCCTGATTCAGGCGGTGCTTCAATATCGTCGTCTGAGTCGAGTTGAGCAATGTGTAATGCACAGCCTTGTCTTACCAGATTTCTGCTGGTAACCAAAGGTGCTTGGGTTTCGAGCAGTGGACGAAAGGCATCTTCCGGGATATCAACACTTTCACTTGTCGACACACACCCTGCAGTCGGCGCGAATGGTGCCCATCCGAGCATCGAGTCGTAATCTTTGGACATTGGGTGATATTGAGCCGACTGTACCCAGGCAGCGTCGTTCAGAACCCACTCAAACATCTGTCGGCTCCCCTGCGTATGCTGCTTCCACAGAGGTGGAGGAATCATAAACCCCATGGGGGGTACTCTGATCCGCGCGATCGAGTCTACGGGGTCGAAGCGTTCCTGCTCGACTGTCCTCATACACGCAGAGCGACGGTCCTCCAGGATTGCTGCGAAAGCCTCGTCAAAGTAACCATCAGCTGGCTGATCATCTATGATGACATCTTCCTCACATAATTCCAAGACGGGTAGGTCTTCAGACGGATATGTTTCTCCTTTCGCAACAGAGATACCGTTGACCCTTTTGTCAACTATTGGCTCATCCAACATCAAGTCCCTAGGGTTCACGGCCCTGCCTGGGTGAAAGACAGGTAAGCCGGGCGATGCAGTCAAAGAAGCAGCAGAGGCAATATCAGAATCGAGTTGCCCAATCTCCAGGCGGTCTCTGAACCGGGCTTCGGATGATCTGGAGGGGCTTTGTGGTTCAGAGGTGAAGTCAATCTGACAAGCCTCTGTACTCGGTATGTAAGGACCGGCCTCCTCAGCCAATGGCGTGAGAGGTGGTGTGCTGCGCTGAGAGTGAGATCTATGCCCCTGAATCGGTCAGTGAATAATCGCCCAGAAAATGGACTTATGCTCACATTGACGTATGTGTTCGGCAGCTGACCCAGGATAGAGGGGTGTTCGGGGTCGTCAAGCAGAACACTTTCACCTGAGTCTGGCACCCTTTCGCAATCGAGTTCTCTGAGGAGCAGCGCTCGCAATCTGCTTGCGTGCTTCGGGAACTGGAGGCCTTCATCCTTCTCGACCTTGGTTGGGCTCAGAGGCAGCCACTGAGTAGAGAGGTTGCTGGCCAACCTAGATCGCACCATTCGGACGTACTCTTCGACATCGCCGTCCGGATTGCTCGTCAGCTCAGGTAGCTCAAGTCGAATGTCGCTGTCTCTGACAAATGAAAATTCGGAAAGAAACAGCATCGGACGCTTGTTGGACGCTGTGCGGCAAAGATCCTCGGCGCGTCGACAAGCAACGGGGTCATCCCCGCTGCCGAACTTGATTTTGGTGAGCGGGAAAGAGGCCGCTGTGAGGTCTGGCTGGTGGATGATGCCGCTCGTAGCTTTCAGCTGGAGAATTCTCAGGGCTTCCTTGAAGCTGAAAGCATGGGACTGATGGTCGATGAAGTAGCCCTCGCGACGGCCATAGGCGTCTGCCGCCTCTTCTACTCCCATTTGTGCGGGCGCGAGAGAACTGAAGGGAAAGATCACGCAGCCGCAGGTATCTTTGGGGGTGGAGAGATTTTCTCTGAGTTTGCTGCGCAAGTCGACGTGGCATTGAGGGCCTGACATGTAGAATGTGCGTGGCCGACGGCAGGAGCACCCGTTGACATGGGGAAAGAGCTAAATGAGCGCCCATCACTAGACCGACGACATCAAAACGAGTAGATTGCGTCGATATAACTTGTATATTGAATTTGTGTAGCAGAAAACTCAACTTTCTGCATCTATCATAAATCAAGCCCTGATAGGTCTTGCTTGCATGTTGAATGAAAGAAGGAGACGTAGTGACGACGGTTGAATGCCTGGACGTGGAGCCTGGGTCCAGCGACAGCTCCCTTGGCAGAGAGAGGAAAGCCCTCTAAAACTTGGTCCTCGGGTTCCAGCCCGCAGACAGAACCCTCGCCGCTAGATAGCAACACAAGGCAATTGCGTAGGAGAGGCCGGAGAAAAGGATCAGCGCTGTCCACCCGAGCTTGTTCTGGCCCAGACTAAGCAGGGCGCCACCGATAGGCACACTGCTCAAGGTGCCAAAGCTCGCGACCATGTTCGCCGTAGCAAAGTATCTTCCGAATTGTTGCGGATGGCAGAACTGGCTGAAGCAGACGGGGATCAGACCAAGGTTACTGCCGGAAGCGAAGCCGAACAGAATACAAAAGGCGACCAGGACACCGAAATTACCCTGGCAAGGTAGCCAGATACCCAAGACTGTGACGATGCAGAACCCAATGGTGACAATGATGACGTTGAAGCGACCGACCCTGTCTGCTAGCAGGCCTGGCAGGAAACGACCCAACACAGATCCGGCGTTGAGCAGTGACAGCATCATGGACGCGTCCTGAGATCCAATGCCAAAGGCCAGAGTATACGAGATGATGTACGTGATGGGTACGAAAAGGCCCCATTCCATAAAAAAGAACCCAGCGCACGTAATGGTGTACTGTAGTTCACGAAAGATGGTAAAGTCTGGCCAAATGGATTTCGGCTTGCCGCTTTCAGCGTTCTGGATAGCATCCCTGCTCCTGATGAAGAGGTTGGCAGGGATGGACAGACCCAGCATGATGAAGCCGAGGATTCGACAGGCCCAGGGGAAGCCGACGCCGTTCTCTGCGAGCAGAGGTTGCAGAATGAGAGGGAAGACGATGCCGCCTATGCCACCTGCTGTGGTCGCAATGCCCGTAGCAAAGCCTCGCTTCTTGTCAAACCAATGGGTGATGGCACTGTACGCCGGTGCGTTGAGCAGAGCGCCTCCCAGACCACCAAGTACAGAATAAGTGAGCATGATCTGGTAATACGCTAGGAACGTTAGCCCTGAAAAAAACAAAGAATAACGAGCTGGCCAACTGACTCTCAGAGACACTGAGCAACATTAGACTCGCTGTGATGCAGGAGGTGCCAGCCGCGACTAGCCATCTCGGTCCGAAGCGGTCAAAGAGTGGCCCAACCTGGACACCGACGAAGAACACTAGGAACAAGTAGAGACTGAAGATCCAGCCAATCTCGGAGTGATTATAGTCAGAGAGTTGGTGAGTTCTGAAGTAGGACTCGAAAACGGCAGACGTGTTGATAAGGCCATAGATGGCGCCCATGGCGCAGAACGAGCCAAAGACGACCAGCCACGCTTTCAACCCACCGTCAGGGTGGCCCATTCCAGCCTCAGAGGAGGGGGAAGTGTCGACATGATCGGAATTGTTGGCGGAAGCTATGCACTTCTCAACATCGTTGCGAGGTGCCGGGGTGGGAGATGCAGCAACAGCATCACCAGGACGAGGTCGGGCCTCGCCCTGGGCCTGTTGTGTAGGTTGGTTGATTAGGCAGGTGTCCTCTGCATTGTGAATGACATGCGGCATATGGGTGTCACAGAGGGTGACGATTGCTTGTGTCCAGCTTTGAAATGATTTCAATGTTCAATGGTATGGAGTGTGGGGGAAAGAAGAGGAAAATCGAGAAAGCAGGGAGAACAATAATAAAGTCACCCGGGGTGGAGAAAACGTTCCTGGACTAGTGCCACTAGCGTCAGCCACCACCCCACACACTCTGGGGGTCGGCGGTCGCCGATGAGTAGCTTGAATACATTTCGAACTTCAAAGTTAGGTGTACATAACAGCGTTCGCCTGCGGCTGAATATAAAGGCGCAATCTAGCGCTGTAAAACTTGGGGTATACGCAGCTCATCCCTCTGGTTAGGACGACGCCATTCGCCCCAACGACGAAGCCTTCAAGGCAATGTATGGGAGAGGTTAATGTGAGGGCGGAGAATATATTCGATAGGGTACAATAGCCGCCTATCTATCTAACTTTCGCCCCAAGCACAGGACGATTTTAGATCCCGCCACTTTCCAAAGTCTGATTGATTATGGAGAACTCGATTTCGACGATAAGGTATCGGTGACAGCAACAACGAGTACCTTCACCTGGCTCCGTGGTGAGAATGGCTTCCCTGTGGCTGAGAGAGCCATTCGTCAACATAAGTGGATCAACAAATTGGAGTCGGAGGATGATAGCCGGATTGAGGGAAATGGCCTTTCTGTGTTTGGAGGCGGAAGACCTGGGCGTTGGTAGCTAGGTCTGTCGATGTATAAGTCCAACAACTCAGTGTGAATATGAAGTAATCACGACGGGCTGTGGCGAGCGCCTTGAGGAGCCAAAAAAAAAAAAAGAACAAAATTGTCAAGCTCCACTCATTGTTCCCAAAAAACTCCAGTGACAGTGAAGTGATCAGGCTTCACTCATGTCGTACGCAAGATAAGATGGATTGGTTCATCTGGCTTGCGCTAAGTCAGCGACAGTATTCCAGCTCTTAAGAGACACTGATACACGGAGAAATTACCAGACTCATACAATGCGAGACGTGGATCCATCACACAAAGAGCGTTCGTCCATTCACCTGCCTTCAGACCAATTCGATCTATCTATAACCCGAACCAGCAAAAGGGACTCATCGCTGTCTTGTTTACGAGACTGGGCGGGAATTTTGAGCCATATCTTCTCTCATTGGGATCGTGAGGACCGCAATCGGATTCTTGCAGAGGCTGCGTAGTGGCGAACGGTACTCTTATACAAGATACGCTTTTTATAATAAAGATTCGCTCTGTGTGTTTTGTCCCCTGCGCCCTGACGTGGGAGCGTTGGCGTTGTGTGGTGTTCGGATGTTCTTCCGAGCGATGTACCTAGGGTAGCTCGACTCCCTCCAACGCGTGGCCCACTGGATGTTATCGATAAATGATGAGTGGCGGTCCAGCAGCTGCAGCTGTTAACTCCGGTCGGTGGTGTCCGTGACGCAGTCGAACTGCTCTTCTCCCGCGAAGCTCGAGCTCCTGGAAACAGGTACACTCTAAGCTCCCCGCGACGCCCAATTCCTCCTCATGCCATGGCGTACGTTGCGCCCGTCCACAGGGCGACAAGCCCGCGTCATGCGCTGCGAATGCACTTGAAATCCCCGGACGAGGAGGATCTCATCATCGCGTAAGGCTAGACCCCTCCAAGGACGCGAGACGAGATGGAGACGAGCCGGTAGCTGACAGGGACACCACAACAGAAAAGCGAACCGAATCGAAGTTTGGCGATGTACAGAGGATGGTCTGCTATGTACTGATACGCGAATCATATATGGCACAATCGTCATGCTACAGAGACTACAGCCCAAAGATGCTCCGGAGCTCTTGTTCGTCGGCACCGATCGCCAGCAGTACTTTACCGTGCTCTGGAACCACCAAACCAGAAGACTGGATACGGTCAAGGAGAATGGACTCGTCGATGACTCGGAACCCTATATGCGACACTCGCTATGCCAGAACCAATGTCTGGTAGACCCTACCGGCAGGTTCATGGTGATGCATCTTTGGGAAGGCGTGCTGAATCCCTTTCGGCTGAGGACTCGCGCCCCCGAGAAGCTCAAGCTGGACATGCAGGAGCAAGTACGCCTGACTGAACTCTGGATCAAGGACAGCATCTTTGTACACACGCCCGACGGACACCCCACGATTGCGTTCCTCTACAACAGTCGACTTCACCAGGAAGAGGCCCAGCTCGCTGTGTATCGCTTGACCAAGGACGACGCCGGCAACAATATTTCCAAATTTGATCCCACCAAGGATCGAACATTTCAAGCAACAATCGAAGACCACTATGCCAGGACGTTGATTCCAGTTCGCATCCCTGATGAAAAAAGATACCAGTCTCGGCAAAAAGCAGACGCAAAGCCACTTCTAGGTGGTCTGTTAGTAGTCGGAGAGACGCTTCTGACATACTTTGACAGCACGTATTACAATAAGATCTCGGTGGGACTGAGGGAGCCCAAGCTTTACGTGGCCTGGGAGCAATATGACGATAGGACATATATACTGGCGGATGATTACGGTAGACTGGATGTCTTGACACTCGACACCATGATTGAGCAGGCCGGCGAGGTCGTTCAGGGAATGACTGTCACCAAGCTTCAGCTCTACTCGGATGACGGCGAGACCGAGCCATCCAGGGCATCACAACTGGTATACCTGGGCGACAACAAACTGTTCCTGGCATCTCGGCATGGTGACTGCCAGGTGCTGCTGCTAGATCTTTCGCTCAAGAGAATCCAGATTATCGACACCATTCGCAACAACGCGCCGATTCTCGACTTTGCGATCATGGACATGGGCAACCGGGAAGGCAACAATCTTGCCGGCAATGCCTTCTCATCAGGTCAGGCGCGCGTTGTTGCCGGCTGCGGTGCATACAAGGACGGATCACTGCGAAGTATCCGCAGTGGTGTTGGCTTGGCAGACACGGGCATGTTGGACGAAATCGAAGGCACGCGTGGATTGCACACCCTCAGACTACATGGCGCGGCTCCACACTCCGTTGTTTTGGTATCGCTGCTGAACGAGACTCGTGTGTTCCGCTTCAGTGACGATGGCGAGAGCATTGAGGAGGTGTTTGAGTTTGGTGGGTTCGCGCTCGATGCCGAGACGCTTCTGGCGACAAGCCTTCCAAGCGGGCTCTTTTTGCAAGCGACTCCCGGTTTCGCGAGGCTGACCGATGGAGAGAGTGGCATGACTGTTGCACAGTGGGACACGCCACACGGTCAAGCCATCACGGCAGCTTCGGCCAACGACCACTGGCTACTCATGTCGGTCGAGGGTACGGTGCTGGTGTCGCTGGACCTCACAAAGAATCTAGCGGCCAGACAAAAGGACACATCACAGAATGCCTCGGTTGGCATACCTGAGCAAATGTCGTGTCTTCACGCGAGCTCGTGTCTGACTGACATTGGCGTCGTTGGTTGGTGGACATCAGGCACAATTTCTCTAGTGAGACTGGACACGCTCGATTCCATTCGCGGCGAGTCGTTGCGGCAGACAAGCGATAGTGCCGCAGTGCCACGAGACGTTGCCCTAGTCCAACTTCACCAGCCTGATCTTTCGGGGCCAACCTTGGTTGTTGCTAGCGAGGACGGTAACATCATCAGTTTCGCTGTCGGCGCCAACGGATCGGAGTTGTCGGGTCGAAAGACTGTAACATTGGGCAGCAGAGCAGCAAGACTGCACATCCTACCACAAGACTCGGGAGTCTCCAACGTGTTTGCCACGACGGATCATCCTAGTCTCATCTACAGCTCTGATGGTCGTCTTGTGTACTCAGCAACGACAGCCGATGACGCGACTTTCGTGGCCCCCTTTGACTCGGCAGCATTCCCCGATCACATCATACTGTCCACAGATCGTCACGTGCGGTTGAGCAGAATTGACAAGCAGCGATTGACGCATGTGAAGCCCCTAACCGTGAGCCAGACGGTTCGCAGACTGGCTTATTCACCGGGCTTGAAGGCCTTTGGGTTGGGCTGTATCAAGAAGACGCTGCAGAACAACACAGAAATCGCGAGCAGCTCCTTTCAACTTGTGGACGAGGTTGTCTTCAAAAAACTAGGGGATCCGTTTGAGCTGCAGGTGGCAAACGATGGATTGGAAATGGTAGAATGCTTAATTCGTGCTGAGCTACCAGACGCCAACGGCACACCCGCTGAGAGGTTCATCATTGGCACCTCGGTCCTCACAGACAGCGACGATGTCGAGGGCGACGGTACACGAGGCCGTATCATTGTCATTGGCGTAGACGAGGACCGGAAACCTTACCAGCTGCTCAGTCTCGGACTCAGAGGCAACTGCCGCTGTCTCGGCGTGCTCGACGGATACTTGATCGCGGGCCTCAGCAAGACATTGGTTGCCTTCAGCTACCAGGAACGTACCTCAGCCACCGCGTTTCTCGAGAAAATAGCTGCTTATCGGCCGTCCTCGATGCCCATTGACCTCGATATATCAGGGAACATGATTGGAGTCGGTGACTTAATGCAGTCGCTTACTCTAGTGGAGTTCCAGCCACCGACAAACGAATCCAAGGCCAAGCTCATTGAGCGCGCCCGGGACTACCAGCCAAGTCAGACTACTGCGATTTGCCAATTGGGGGGCGATAAGTGGCTCGAGGCGGACGCTTTGGGTAACCTTTTGGTGCTTCGGCGGAATGCTGAAGCCCCTACAGAGCAAGACCAGAAGCGGTTGGAGATCACCAGCGAGATGAACCTAGGCGAGCAGATCAACCGCATACGGAGCCTTCAAGTCGCCCCTACCGAGAACACCCTGGTACAAGCCAAGGCGTTCCTCGGATCGGTGAGTCGACTCAACTACGCATCTCCGCCATTTTCACGATCACTAATCCAGTCTAGGTTGAGGGTTCCATGTGGCTATTTGGTGAAGTGCAGCCCGGATCGGAGAAGCTTTTGATGGATTTCCAGGACAGGCTAGTTCAGCACATGGACACCCCCGGTGAACTTACATTTGACGACTGGCGCGCGTATAGAGGTGAGCACAGGACGGGCGAGAAGCCATATCGCTTCCTCGACGGCGAGATACTGGAAAGATTTCTCGATCTCAACGAGAGCCAGCAGGAGGTGATTTGCGAAGGGCTAGGACCAAGCTCGGAGGAGATGCGCAATTACGTAGAAGAGCTGAGGCTGCTGCACTGAGCATGAGCAAATCTTAGCAATCGAATGTACCACCATCAGCATATAGACGATGTCACGAGCAAATAAAAACGAAGAATCAACATGATGTAGTCAGGCCAAGTGTTTCTTGACGTCGAGAACTCGAGACGTACGTTCATCGCGGCAGCGGAAGAGATCGGGATCCACTCCACGGCTGCAGCCAATCGTAGCGAATCAATTTGAGCTCTCGCACGGGATATTGTCGCCTCAGGCACCCCCGGCCAAATCCCAAAACTTTCGGCAAAGCAAGCATCATCAAACACCTCAACCTCCAATTGCCCGCCGCCCACAATCTCGCACCCCCCCAATCCACCAAACTTATCCGACAGCTCACACAATGGCGGCCCTCACCCACGCTTCCCGCGCGTGCCTCCGCGCCACCTCGTCTTCGTCGGCTGCCGCCCCCGTCCGCGCCCTCAGCACCACGGCCGTCCGCAACGACAATGCGACGACATGGACCTCGTACAGCAGCCCCTTCAAGGCCGGCACCAGCAAGGCCAACAACGTCCCCGACTTTGGAAAGTATGTCTCGTCGGCCAACCCCGGCAAGAACAAGCTGTTCCAGTACTTTATGGTCGGTGGCATGGGCGCCATCACGGCGGCTGGAGCCAAGAGCACTGTGCAAGGTGGGTGGCTTCCCTTTGGAAACAGGCCAATTCGGGTTGAAATTACGATCGATTGCGACGCGATGCAGCCAGGGGGAAAAATGGCCGGAGAGATGGAATCAGAGTGTGCTGACGAGTGGAAACAGAGTTCTTGGTGAACATGTCGGCTTCCGCGGATGTTCTGGCCATGGCCAAGGTCGAGGTTGACCTCAACACCATCCCCGAGGGCAAGAACGTGAGTCACGCACAGACATGTTGAGGAGGCACATTTCTGACATGCAGCAGGTCATCATCAAGTGGCGTGGCAAGCCCGTGTTCATCCGCCACCGTACCCAGGACGAGATTGCCGAGGCCAACAAGGTCAACGTCCAGTCGCTCCGCGACCCCCAGAACGATGACGACCGCGTTCAGAAGCCCGAGTGGCTCGTCATGTTGGGTGCGTTTTTCCAAAGACCACGGTCTTGGACCAAGGGGCTGGATTGATCGCAATGTGCTAACTTCTTGTCACAGGTGTCTGCACTCACTTGGGCTGCGTGCCCATCGGCGAGGCCGGCGACTATGGCGGCTGGTTCTGTCCCTGCCACGGATCTCACTACGATATCTCCGGCAGGATAAGAAAGGGCCCTGCCCCTCTCAATCTCGAGGTTCCCGCATACGACTTCCCCGAGGATGGCAAGCTGATCATCGGTTAAGCGAGCAACAATGGCAACAAGAACAACTATAATCATGTTGTGTACGAGTATTGGATAGCGGGACCGATCGAGAGATTAGATTGTGTGGCGGTAGACGCAGCTGAGGCAGAGGAAGAGAGAAGAGAAGGGGGAGCCTGGGATCACGGAGGCCTGCTCACATTGTTTTCTAGACGTGCTGGCGGAGGATCAATGTATAAGACAATACAAAATCCTGAAAGTTCCTTTTGTTACGACTCAGCATCACCAAGAACATGTGGGCATGAAGACTGCGGCGAGGAGAGGACTCTGATTCATCCGTGGTCATCGTGACCGGGCATCTCTTTTTTCATCTCTGCTTGTGATTCTACATTACGCCTCTAGTGGCCGTGTCCATCATCCTGCGGTTGCTCCGGATCCAGCTTGATCAGGGTGTCAATGCGCATGATGCTGATGCAAGCCTCGACGGCGCTCTTGAGCTGCCGCACCTTGCTCATGCTGGGCTCCAGCACACCAAGCTTAAGCTCGTCCACCACCTTGCCCTTTGTCAAGTCCAGACCGTAGTTGCGGTACCCCTTCTTGCGGGCGAGCGTCTTCTCGTCCTCGCTCCCGTCACCTTCCTGGATGCGCTGGCTCAGGGCGTGCCGCGAGCGCAGCTGAGCCACGAGCTCGGCGGCGTCCTTGGCAGCATTGACGGCCAGGGTCTTGGGAATGACCAGGAGGGACTGGGCGAACTCGCCAATGGCAAGCTGTTCACGGGAGCCGACTGTGCCGGCAAACTCCTCGAGGTAAATGTGAAGCGCGGTCTCAACAGCACCTCCACCGGGCACAATGCTGCCACTCTCCAGCGTACGCTTGACGGCGCACAGCGAGTCATGAACAGAGCGCTCCATCTCGTCGAGCGAGAAGTCGTTGGGTCCACGCAGAATGATCGACGCCGAAGAGTGAGACTTGGTACCCTTCACGAGGATGCACTCATCGTCCGAGATGCGCTCCTGGACAACCTCCTCAGCGTGACCCAGGTAGGACGGGTCGAACTTTTCGTCGCCGTTCAGGTCTGAGAATGTGCTCAGCAGAGTTGCACCGGTCGCCCTGGCGATTCTCCTGAGATCTTCCTTTTTACATCGCCTGACACCCATAGCTCCACGCTCGACGAACATCTTCATGCACATGTCGTCAATGCCCTTGGTGGTCAGGACAACGTTAGCACCGGCCTTGAACATCAGCTCGATCCTCTCCAGCATCATCTCGGACTCGCGAGCGCGGATCTGCTCGAGCTGTTGCGGGTCGTCCACGGTGACATGCACACCGAGCTTCATCTTCTCCTTCTGTAGGTTCATGTCGAGGATGGCAATCTTGGCATCCTGGATGCGCGTAGGCATGGCCTGCGACGCAACTGTGCAGTTCAGAGCGTAGCCCTTGACGAGCGTCGACTCCCGGACACCCTTTCCGTGGGCCTTGAGGATGTTGACCGCCTTCACCGGGTACTTTGTCTCGTTGCGGTTGTTGGTTGACTTGACAGCCTGCATGGCATCCACAACCATCTCGGCGAAGAAGTCGGAGTCGGCGCCAATGATTTTGCTCGACATGGAAGTCTTGGCAATGTTGATGAGGGACTCGCGGCCAAGGTTCTCGACCTTGATGCTCACATTCTCGCTCAAGTACTTGATAGCTTCGCGGAGGGCAAGGCGATACCCCGTGATGATGGTGGTCGGGTGTATCCTGTTTTTCATCAACTCGTTGCCTCGGCGGAGGAGCTCTGCGGCAATGAGGACGACAGAAGTGGTGCCGTCGCCGACTTCCTTGTCTTGCTGTTGTGCCAGGTCGACTAGGATTTTGCCTGCAGGGTCGTCGACATCGAGGAGGCTGAGAATCGTCGCACCATCGTTCGTCACGGTAACGTCCTAGTATTGTTAGGCGAAGGTAATTTGGCGGATAGCGTCCATCCTTACACCAATGTCATCCACCATCATCTTGTCAAGCCCGCTGGGGCCGAAAGAGCTCTTGACGACATTTGCGATCGCTTGCGTGGCCAGCACTGTAGAATATCAGCCTTGAAGATTCAGCTCGCAGTCTTGGGATTATCGTACCGTTCTGGTCACGAATGTCGGATCCCGAAATCTTCTGGCCGCCCAAGAAAAGGGTGCCGTTGCGGGGCTGCTCGAACATGGAGGCCATCGTTGTTGCAAAGGTCGATGGGGTTTGGAGGCAATCGTTCGATGAGGAAACGAGGAATTATTTTCAGATGCTCGGGGTAGAAGGGCAATCGTGCTGGCGCCTTTCGTATGTACCTCCTTCCTGAGCTTAGTGGGCTACTGCTGGCAAGGAGCTCTCACCGGCCTACTGATCCAATGTTTGTGCCCCTCGATTTTTTTGTCGGCGTACGGTGTCGGATTAATCCAGCCCACAAGACGCCAAACCCCAATAAGACTAGCGTCACTGTCTCCCACATATCCAGAGCTTCCCTGAGTTTCGACGTGGACCTGCTAAGCGTTCTCAACCGTGCGTTCACTTTTCTCGAAGCAAATTGCTCACCACTACGTACACGTATCAGTACACTGGATTGAAACTATCACAGATTAGTAGCGAATCTGGCCAGCTTCAATCAAGAGCTGTCACTGCTGTGCGATCAATCTCGAATTGCGGGAGGCACCCAGCCGCCCCGACCCGGAACCCATTGCGGCTGTCGATGGACCATTCGACCTTTCCTTTACAAGGCGACATGGTATGAGAATGCCATAACGTGGCCGAATCGGCAGAGCAATCTGTTCTGAGACTGTAGCGATTCTTGACTGTATTCGTTGTCAATCTATATGCCCCATGAACGGCTTCAACAGGTAGTTGATGGTAAGCTGTGTTTCTGCCGGTGTCCTGAGATACCTCCAACCTTAATCAGATTTAATGTCCGGCCATTCGCAGTGCAAGAACTAAAAACGGCATGAAGCAAAGTCAATGGCATGATCCCATGTGTGCACAATCCTTTATCGCCAGTACCCGCAATCTCGACGCGGATAACTGTTTGCCTGGGTAAAGTTGATGCTGGCTGGTGATTGAAGATAAGGCCCAGCCGATAACGGGCACGCGATCGCCGCAAAAGGCGTATCAGTCAAGCTTCTGGGCCATTCCATTGGACGGCGCATATCTGTCAATCGGAGCCTTCCCATGCGAATTTTTGTGAGTGCCCCTCATCGCACACACCACACGTCAACAAAGTCGGGAGGCAAGAGCGACTGCGGGGCGGTCTCGCCTGCACAACTGCCAGTTCAGTGGCAGTTCTAGCACTAGCCATCGGCCTGGACCTGCCTGGTTTAGGTGCCCAACCTCGAGTCACCCGGTGTCACTTTTTTCTCGGGATCCCCTCCCGATCTTTTCTCCTCCCTTTAGTTCTCCCTTCCTGCTTGAGAAGTCATTCGCCGTCCTCAAACTTGTCGCCGTTGTCATCCAGGCGGTCGGAAGCCGAGCATTGTTTCTTCTCGACCTCTACATCCAGGTCTTCGCCGTAGCACCTTCACGCGCCTCATCGAGATCCTTTATCAACCGTTCACATCAAGATGGAGACCAACGGTCAGGACAAGAAGCAGGAGCCTTCCAAGAGCGCGCTCAAGAAGGCTGAGAAGCAAGCCAAGCTAGCTGCTGACAAGGCAGCCAAAGCCGCGAAGCAAGCCAGTTTGGCTATCGTGGGAGGCAAGAAGGAGGGCGGCGGCGGCGGCGGCGCTGGTGTTGGCGCTGGTGTTGGCGCTGGTGGTGGCGCTGGTGGTGGTGGTAAGAAGCAGGACGACATTATAGGCATTACAGTGTCCAAGTCGGTCAATTTCCCGCAATGGTACCAGGAGGTTGTTCTCAAGGCCGAGATGGTTGAGTACTACCAAGAGATCTCTGGGTTCTTTGTACTCCGCCCCTTGACCATGCACATCTGGAGCACTATTCGCAAGTGGTTCACCAGCCACATTGAGGAGATGGGTGTTGAGGAGACAAGCTTTCCCATCTTCTTGTCTTCCAAGTCTCTTGAGAAAGAGAAGGATCACGTCGAAGGATTCGCCCCCGAGTTGGCCTGGGTCACCAAGGCGTAAGTCTCCCTACTTCCTTGTCGTTGCTAGCCTGATCCCGCTAAAACCCATTTACAGCGGCGACAAGGACCTCGAGGTGCCTGTCGCTATTCGTCCCACATCCGAAGCCGTCATGTACCCCTACTATTCGAAATGGATCCGAAGCCATCGCGATCTGCCCCTTCGACTGAACCAGTGGAACTCTGTCGTGCGCTGGGAGGCCAAACAAACAACCCCCTTTTTGCGCACGCGCGAGTTCCTGTGGCAGGAGGGTCACACCGCGCACTTGACTGAAGAGATGGCAGGCAAGGAGGTTCTGGAGATTCTCGAGCTATACGCCGGTGTCTACGAACAGCTGCTGGCTGTCCCTGTCGTGCGCGGCCACAAGACGGAGAACGAGAAGTTTGCCGGTGGTTACTATACCACCACTGTAGAGGGCTACATCCCCTCTAACGGTCGTGGTATCCAGGGCGCGACATCCCACTGTCTCGGACAGAACTTCAGTAAGATGTTCGACATCACCGTGGAGGATCCCAATGCCAAGGGCACCCATCGTCACGTGTGGCAGAACTCGTGGGGTCTGTCTACCCGTGTCATTGGTGTCATGGTCATGGTCCACGGCGACGACAAGGGTCTTGTTCTGCCTCCCCGCGTGGCCAAGATCCAGGCCATCATCGTCCCCGTCGGCATCAACAAGAGCACCACTCCGGAGGCCAAGAAGAAGCACGAATCCGATATTGAGGACATCCGGGCCAACCTGAAGAAGGCTGGGGTCCGCTGTGAGGTCGATTTCCGTGAGGGCTACACCCCTGCCTGGAAGTTCAACGACTGGGAACTCAAGGGCGTGCCCCTTCGTATTGAGTTCGGCCCCAAGGACGCCGAGGCACAGGTCATCAGCTACGCCCGCCGCGACACAGGCTTCAAGGACAAGATCGCGCTGTCCCACGCTGCCGAGAAGGTGCCCGAGCTGCTCGAGACCATCCAGACCGAAATGTACGCCAAGGCCGAAAGGTCGTTTACCGAACACCGTCTGCAAATCACCGAGTGGGAAAAGGTCATCCCCGCTCTGGACAACCGCAACGTCTGCTTGATCCCATTCTGCCTGGGCATGAAGTGCGAGGACCGCATCAAGGAGCTCACCACGCGCGCCGAGGACACTTCAGACATCCCTGAGAACCAGAAGCTCCCAGCCATGGGCATGAAGAGCTTGTGTATTCCCTTTGAGCAGCCAGAGGGCATTGTCGCGGGTGAGACGGAGTGTCTCAACCCCGAGTGCCAGGAGAAGGCCCAGAAATGGGTCATGTTCGGACGCAGTTACTAAAGACAACGCATTCCCCCCACCCCATCCCGTCGACTTTTTTTTTCTTTTTGCGGGATCGTGACATGCAATGCAGGTAGACAGACCAGGATTGGGCATTTACAGGAGCGGGCGTGGTCGTTTTACATTTGTCATCATCATTTGATTTCCGGCTAGGGGAGGGCAACAGGGCGCTCCGGCAGGACATTAGGACCATTTTCTTCTCTACAGGTAGTACAAGGTGTTGACGGATGCTTACGAGGCCGATGCGGATCAATGAGAAATGGTGTCCGATGTTTGCATCTATGGCGAGTGTAGTAGAGCTTTGTGTATGTGGGAGCCGCAAAAGTCTTTCTTCCTCAGCACCATGCGTACTTTTCGCTCCAGATCCATTCAACGTCTTCGGCGGGCCCCTTTCCGAACCAGTTCAGGGCCGGCAGACTGCCCTCTTCCCTGCTAATGTACTTTCCCCCTAGTGCTTGGGCGGCAGCCTTGGTCTTCACGTCTGGATTCCACATCTCGACCTTGCCGCACGCCCACTGGCCGGCGAGACTCCTTGCAATGTGCGTGATTCCCTGGAGAGCAGTCTTCAATTCAGCGTCGGTGATGCCGTCCTCGACCACCAAGCGAAGAAGGTATAGAGTATTCTTCTCCGGCTGATCTACTTTGCCAGAGTAACTCCTCGTCCAAAGAGACCAAACCCTCTTCCCAGTCTTAGGGGAAGTATATATGGCACCGTGGCTGGGAGAGCCAGTCTTCTCAGGAAACAAGGACTGCGAGACGAAGCGTTCGCGGAGTAGATGCCAGTGGATCTGATCCAAGGAGGGCAGCAGCGCGACCTGGAGCTTGGGGCCCTGTGCGGCCGAGTCGAAACGGGCCCGGAGGATGGCCTCGTCAGCTTCGACAAGAGGAGCTAGACTCTCCAAGCTGTCAAGGGTCTTGATATTCTCAGGGGTGGTCGCGGGCGTCGGGAGGGCGGGGAACTCGACGTGGTTGCTGTCAAAGGGCTGCCATCCACTCCTGGCATAAAACTTCTTGCCAATGTCTGACCAGAGAACGGAGCAGATCGCCGAGCCCTCGCTCGTCTTTTCCTTGTCGGCCAGGGTCTCCGAGAGCTGGCTCATCATGATGGAGGCATAGCCCTTGCCTCGATGTTCGGGCTGCGTGAAGACACTGGCCACCCCATGCGCGGTTCCTTCAGTAACCTTTCCATCCTTCCCTTTCACGAGAACTCGTTTCTTGAGCGTCTCGCACGATGACAAGATGGGATGGGGTGCGCCTGCTGGTGACGCGGCCTCGGTGAGAATCCAGTTTGTCAAGCCACCATTGCGCGCCAGGGGAATGTCGAGCTGGCGACGCTCCCTCTCCAGGTAGTCCTCGAGAGTGAGTGCCGCGCCCCAAAGCTGATGCGTCCCGGCCCAGGTCTTGACGCGTTCGTCATCCGTCGGGGCAGTGATGATAAGATCTCGTGCGGACATTTTGGCGCGGGGGATGTGTATCAGAGGGATTCGCAGTTCGTGAGACCGCCGGCGAGTTGCCACGCACGCACGTTTGTACATTGTCCGCGAGGCGCTTAGAAACTGCGCCAACCCTAACAAATAACCCCTCATCGAGTCATCGTGGGCTGTGGATGAGTGACTGTGAGTCCCCGGACAGTGGGATCTCCACCGGGCCGGGTGGGGAAGACATACGGGAAGGCATCCGGACGTTAGCAGCACCTCCCGAAGGCCGCACCTGGTTCTTCTCCTCCGGACCAGTGCAGGGCTGCGTGGATTCTGTAGATGGCGTGCCGCCACACCTTGTGCTGCTGGGGTTCAGCAATCTCTATGCTGAGCCACCTTGGATGCTTGTCATTGTGCATACCGTCCACCCAGTCACACATGCGCGGGAAAGATGTTGCAGGCTTGAGATTGGGCATCAGCCTATCAGAGGTGCGTCCGCCATTCTGTACGTCAAGCTGGAGAGGGAGGACATTTGCTCTCTGCCATGGGTTTAGAGTAGCGGTCGAAGCGGGGCCTCGGCTTGACCGACAGCCCTGCAGATGTGAATGTTGCGCACCGCGCAGGCCATAGTCGTACGGAGCACAACGATCCAGCACTCCGTAAGTTAGCATTGGCTCCTCAAGCAGCCACAAGTCCACCTTTTGCTTTCGATCCATCCGCTGTCACCACTGGAATACATGCCACGACGACCAGGGCGTCGTTGAACATAGAGCATCCGTTGGCACGCAACGTGCCCCGATGTGGTGAGATTCGCCTGCCGGTACAAGGGCCTTACCGAAAGGCTCGCTGAAACTTGCCCAGCCAATCGAAAGTTTTCCTGTCAATGTCTCTCTCCTCTATCTTGCACCAGTGGGGTCTCCGAACCTCAGTGCTGACAGGGCTGAGCATAAGGTTGATTGTCGAAACCTGTTGATCGCTTTGTTTGCGTAGACGGGTATCACGTTTCTCACGGTCATCGGGGCGGCGTTGACGAAATCCGCGGCCGATGTCCATCGGGTACCAATCAACATCTCTGTGACACTCACGGCGATGCTCGGCTTGGTGTTTTGCAGAGAGCGCCCAGTGTGGTACATTCACATGGCGTACCAGGAAGGGCGGGCATGAGCGCGCATTCGACCATCCCACATTATCTGCAACCTAAATTGCCCTGCCCTAGGCATCAGGAATTTGTCCGGCTGTAACATGCCACCTCGCACGGAGTTGTATATAGCATTATACTATCCCTGAAGATAGGGTCGAGATCTTGCCATGCCCATGGCCGATAGCCAGTTCACTTTCGTTACCCACAGGCACATTTGTTGCAGAACACATACATAGCCCAAGTCTACTTCCTTGATAAAGCGGCTCCACGAGCAAACGAGCGGTCGTAGCATACATTCTGTGAAGCATGTAGGTCACCGGGGTGTTTACGCGCAGAGATCGATCGGCACTGACTAGATCTCGTCTAGGGCCAATTCAAAGGAGCCTGATTGTGGTACCTCCATATTTGCGCTCTCTAACCGGCCAAGAGCTACAAGAGCCATGGTGGCTAAGGTCCGCACTGGTTGCGTTACCTGCAAGTGAGTGCCAACGGGAATGAGGTTGGCTTCTTGGCGGAACTGACCTTTGACAGGAGACGCCACGTCAAATGCGACGAAGGTAAACCTGGGTGCCAGCGCTGCATCAAGTGGCAGGGACATTGCGACGGATACGAAGATCCGCGAGCGCAAATCAAGTCATCTGACGTGTCGAAGCGGAAGAAGCCGCGAACTGCGTCACCCGAGGACAAGGGCGAGAAGCTTAGATTACCACGGTGGTTCCGTCCCCTAGCCGAAGAAAGCAGAAAGTTGGTCACCCAGGCTCAGGATGTGTGCAACGAATACCCAGCCCCCGGTGTGGACAATTGGGGCAACAGTCTGTTCCAACAGAGGAGCCCATGTTGCGGCAGCTCCGAGGGCGGCTTCGAGAGTGGATTCTGGCAGACTGTGGTCCCGATGCTGCTACGAAGCAGCACCTCGGTCTGGTACTCCAACCTCGCCATACACGCGCTCATAGACTCGAAACAGCCCAGCTGGGGAGACGAGGGCGACGAGCATGCGAATGCCTGTTACCGCCGAGCGCTGAGGTACCACGGTCTGGCTCTGAGCCAGCTGCGCAACGAGGCCAAGAGTGGAGGCGATCTTGAGTGTGCTACTCTCTGCTGCTTCTTCTTCATCATCTTTGAGATGATGCACGAGGATGACAAGAGTGCGCAGGCGCACATGTACAATGGGTGTCAGATGCTCGGTGAACTGCGCGGAGACTCCCGAGGGCGGACACTGACGCACGCTGATGTCGATGCCATGTTACACGACGAGCTGCAGAAAGGCCTCCGATTCATCGCTGGGCAAATCACTGGCCCAAGCCAGGACTTGTTCAACAACCCATTGCTCGGATACGCTTGCTCCCGCGCTCTGAGCGTGACGAGCAGCGAGGCTGGCAGTGGTTTCTGAAGCGCTAGAAAGTGGTATTGATTTGCAGGTAGACAGGTCGAGGTCGCAGAGGATGGAGGACGGAGAATTGATGGACTGAATGAAGCCTGAAGTACCGACTGCCTTCGGCATTGACAAAGTCCGAAGATGCCGCACTCAGGCAGGCACGATGGTGGTGGTGGTGGTGGTGGTGGGGCACGGCAAGTGCTAAGGTATCTTAGACGAGGGGCACCGTAGGACAGCTCCGCAAGGAGTAGACATTTTGATCAACGACAGAACATAGTCCTGTATTACAACAACAAATATAGACTGAACGACAATGGCATCGCCTCTTCCCCCGGGGCTGGCCCCCTCAGAGATTGCGTTTCTGTGCGAAATGGAACTGATCACCATTGTGCCCCGCCAGAAACTGGAGAGAATCGATCTTCTCTCGGTGAGTGACAGCGCGTCTTGACGCGTCGCCAGCTAGCCTCGTGACGCCCTTCTTTCTGACTGCTCCCAAGGGCACGACACCGACACTGCGACCTCCCCGACGCGAGAACGTGCCCCTGTGGCTTGCTCTCTTGCTCAAGAAGCAGCGAAGAGCCAACATCCTCCCGCCGCCATGGCTGCATCCCGACTCGCTTGACCACATCATCAAGTACGAAACCAAGGTTGACCCTGTCGGATGGGCGCCGCCACCACCTCCGTCTGCACGCGCAGACGGGCGAGGTAATGCACGAAGAACAAATCGACCGGGCACGGTGCCTCTGTCTGCTCCCTTCCTCTCCTCCTGTACATCGGACGCTCCCAGCGGCGCCATTCCATACCACTGGTTTGAGCTCGCCGAGATGCTGCTCGCGCATGCAGCGGACGACATCACATCCTCGGCGGAAGTGCGAGGCCTGCTTCGCGACCTACAAGAAGTGCGTTCTGCCAAGTTGAGAGCCATCCCGGCGCAGCTGGAGGCCGGCATTGATGGTGTGATGAGTCTCCGCGGTGTGGGCGCCATGGAGCTGGCGGAAAGCCGAGGTCTGATCGGCGGTGTCATTGAGGGCGTACGCAAGATTGGCGCAAGTGCCGAGCTCTCGCGCCGTGAGGAAGAGGAGCAACGTGGTGACGCCGACATGGACAATGAGGCCAGCGACGATGATGGCATGGGATTCTAGAGAGAAACAAAAGGTGAGCTACGAAGTATGCGTCTTGGTCACGGATCAACTGACAACAAATCAGATCACCGAGGGGAGACTCCTTGCCCTAATAGTCGTATTCCTCCTCTTCGTCCCAATCGGCCATATCCTCACCCTCATCCATTGATTCTCCGGTGTCCGACTCACGACAACAATCCCAGCAAGCGTCAGGTTGTGATGGCAGAACCAAGCCGCCCAGAGGCCGGCCTTCGCTTTTCCTGGAATCAGCGACTCTACTGGATTTTCTCACGAATGGCGCCACCTTGTCGAACCAGTTCTTTGCCCAGCCGGCGCAATCGGAAAGAGGAGATGTCACTTGATCAATGTCCATGACAGTGGCCAGGCTCTTTCCAAGCTCCTCCAGATTGATTTCCTCATCGTAGGCAACACAGTCTTCCAACAGCGACCTGCATTCGCTGAGCGTGGCATCCATGCCCAGATACGCAACTGCCGGATCATATTCTTCTTGAAGGGAATGCCCTTCCGGGTCGTATGGTTCTGACTTACCTGGCGCTTGGCATGGGTCGTACCCGTCCTGTGGGACGTCACGGCAAGGGTCGTACGCAGGCCAGTGATGATGTTCAATACCCTGACCAGCATCGTCATTTACACTCACCGTGGCTGGAAGCGCAAGTTCCAGGGTGAACGGGCCACAATAACTGGACTGTTCCTCGCTCGACATTTCCTCTTGCATGTCGCTCAACATAACCTGGTCCGTATCGTTGTATGGTTCGCACCAGCCGTCGTTAGATAAGTTGTACTGTGTCCAGCGCACGCGCTTCGATGGTTTGCTGTACTCTGGCTCGCACTCGTCCTCACAGCGCCGTCGCTTGAGGACGCTGTGTCCCGGTCGACCGTTGGTATTAGAGTGCTGACCTCTTGGGGCGTTGTTGCCACAGTCAAACGAGGTCCAGGGAGAGCCGCTTGTCGACGAACGGGGCGAGTGGGTTGAGAGGGACTCGTTTGTCTCGCTCTTATCGCCATCGCTTTCTGGCAAGCATTCGTCTACAGTCGCTGTTGCAACCATCGCCTTGTCCGCATCGGCACTTGGTGCGCCGTCATCTTTTGTATCGTGGCTCGGTTGCGGCAAGCCCAGGCCTGTAATGCGTCTTGCAGCTACAATGGTCTCCTGTGCCTCCTGTTTCTGATGATCACCGTTTGAGTCGCTGCTGCACTTGTCGCTGGGCCTCCTCTTGAGCGCCCGTCTCACAGGGTGGTTATCGATATGTTCCGCAAGCTGGCGGTCCGTCGTTGTAGAGGCTGTATTTGTGGTTGTCGGACAGCCCGCCCGGTTGTCCTCGTCCGCCGTGACCATGGAGTGTCGAGTCTGATCAATCTGGACAGTGTTTCGATCAGTGACGGCGGGCAGAGCATTTGAAAATGCCGCATGAGGTGGTGTTTTCTGTCTGAACGTTTCAGCGGCCACTCTTGGAGCTGCTGGATGTGCCACCAGCTGGACATCATTCGGTAGAACCTCTTGCGCTTTGCCTCTCCAATCAAGACCCGTCATCAAGGGTGAGCTTCCTGGGAGCTTGGCTCGACGCCGTGTCTGGCGCGCCGGTGTAGATTGATGCCTTTTCTTGGTGATCCGGGGTGGCTTGCCAGCAGACATAGGGCTGTTTGTTTGGGATATGGTGGTCGACATTGCAGTCAGTGGTTGCTGTTCTTGTGTGTCGAATGACTATACAGTGCATTTACGACGGCCAAACAACTTGAAAACACATCCATGCACATTTCCAATGCCTACGGGGTTTCAGGTTCTTATGAATTGCTCAGTGTGTGTTGCTGCCCAGTCTTTGTGGCTGTTCGCGAAAATGAACGTCTTTGTCTGGCTTGAGCTGCCAATTCGGGAACAGACCGCAGACACTTGTTCGATTCATGAATACAAGTGATTTGCGTGAAAGATATGCACAAAGACAGGGTCTCGTTTCCGAACCATTGTTGCCTGTTTCTGGCGCCACAGTACACGTCGCTGTGCTGATGGTACGAGAAGCGCCTGGATGAACAAGTTCATGCTAACAGCGGAAAAAGCAGAGACGTAGATCTAGAGTTCTGAGCGTCTGTGCTGGCTGTGACGCATTCCGCTTTCGAAATAAAGTTTAATGAGGCAAGTTGAAATCATAACTATACAAAGGTCGGAAGTTGAGCGTAGGTATGATTGACGCTGTCGTGTTGAGTGACCAAGGAGACGAAGCGGAGTTAGGTCGGTCGATACTAGTGGAATCAAGATACACATAAGCTTACGGTCTTTTTAAACTCATGTATGAACTCTTGTCTATATGAATAGGTGAGCAGGAGAAAATAACAAGTAGCCTGATGATCTATGTCATCCAGCCACGCAATGCTCGCGAAATACAACAAATGGTATCATCTCCGTGACCACAACCTTGACAGTCGATCCCAAGAACGCCAAACAATGCAAATTAGATCAGTCCCTCCTCGCTTCTTCTTCCTCCTCTTCTTCACCCTCCCCTTCAGAGGTTGTGCAGTCCACCTGACAGCCCATCCGGCCATCCCTCACCTGCGCATCCCGCACAGCCACTTCAACCGCCTCCCACAGATCACCATGGAAGAATGGCCTATCGACGCCCCAGACACTCGCCATGCCCCTTCTAGCCTGGCGAGAGCTTGCCGTCAACGTCTTGATATCGCCATCCTCCACCTCCACGGCGGACTTGTTCCTACTCTCCGGCCGCAGCTCCTGGTCCAGCACCGCCGCAATCGTGTACGTGGGCTGCCACGAGCCCAGTGCCTCGTCGTTCTGTGAGGAAGGGTACCCGAACCCAGACACGGCAAGCGCCCGGCGCGTCCAGCGGTTGTGCACATTGGCAAAATGCAGTTCCGGCGCGTCGGGGGCGCAGTACCGCTCAAGCGTGTTGCGAAAGTCAATGAGGCCCTGGATGCTCGTGATGTCAATGTTGTTCACGGCGGCAAAGTCGAGGATGACAGCGCGCAGCAGCGGCAGACTCTTTTCGTCCTGCTCCCTGGTTGCTCTAGGGCCAGGGTCGTTCCAGAGACGGTCAGAGGGACTCTCAAAATGCTCTTCCGAGGTCCGCTGCGTGTTCTCCATGATACACCGCGTGAGCACGTCCATGTGCAGTGCTTGGTTGGTGTAGTTGTATCCTTCACTGAACCGGTAGATGAAGACACCGGGATAGGGAGTGTCGATGACAATGTCAGGGTTGGAAGCATCACGACGGCTGAGCGGTAGGAAGTGGTCGCGCTCAGACACTGGTTCGCAGCTAGTGCGCGATAGACGAGGCGAGGCGCTGGAGCTGACCTTGCACCTGGTGTTCGTGTTGTCGTTGTCATTGTCGTTGCCATTGTCGTTCTCGTTGTCCATGGAGACAACACGGCGTGTACGTGCAATTCCCAGGAACTCACCCTTGGTACGAGCGAGACGCACGAGCAGCATGACAAAGGACAGCGCAATGCCCACGTATATCGAGGTCTCGAGGGAGTCAAAGATGGCCAGCAATACGCCGACGATCCAAATGACAAGCTCGAGAGGGGCGAGCTGCCAATACTTGTGCAGGTTCTTGGGTGGAGTGATCAGGTTGCAGACGGCATGGATAATAAGACCGGCAAGCGCCGCGTTGGGGATGTACTGGAACACACCCGTCAAGACGTACAGCGCCAGAACGAGGATACCCGCGCTGAAGAGACCAGCGAGGGGCGTGCGGCTACCTGCCTTGGACAGGACAGCCGAGGCGCCAAACGACCCGGTGCAGACGTAGCCACCGACAAATGGGCTGAGCATATTGGCCGCACCGAGGGCAACGATCTCCTGAGAAGATGTGATGGTGTAGTTGAACATGCGGCCCATGGCCTTGGCAATGGCAATGTGCTCAATGATGAGAATGATGGATATGGCCGGCAGCTCCGGCAGAATGAGCTTGAGGAGCTTGGCGTCTGTTTGTGGCAGACCAGCCCGCTGAAACCCAGGCTCAATGCGGCCCACGATGCGGAACGGCGAGTCGTCGAGGTCACGCGTGCGGTTGACGAGGTAGCTCACCAGCGTGAACAGCAACATGACAAACGTGAGACGCAGCGAGGAGATGAAGGACCACGTGCGCTTGTTGGCGGGCCGTCTCTTCTCCATAAAGGAGCAGAAGTCGCGGATGGCGAAGAGGATGACAATGGAGCTGATGCCAATGGCGGCGTCAATCTTGGTGTCGGGTAGCGCCTTGAGAGTGGCGATGATGACCTTGTACGGTGACTCGCGGGTGTCGATGCCGGACAAGCCTAGAACGGTGGGCACCTGCGTGGACATGATGGTGATGCTGGCGGCTGTGACAAAGGCCGAGATGGGGATGTAGGGAATGAATTCAATGATCCAGCCGAGCCGCAAGAGACCAAAGAAGAGCATGACAGCGCCGCCGAGGAGGCTGAGAGCATGGGCGATATTCTCATTGCTGTACTCCCCTGGTGCCTTCTCGTGAACATGACTGATGACTTGGCCCACCAGCAGTGAGCCGACGGCGGTTGTCTAGATTTCAGGTTAGCGTAAGTTGCAATCATGAGGGACTCGAATGCGACCTACCCCAATCACAATGTCCTTGGACGTTCCAAACAGCCAGTAGAGCACAGCACCTGTGAAGGATGTGTACAACCCATACGCAGGGGTCAGCTGCGCCAAGATTGCGTACGCCATGGCCTGTGGCACAACGACCAGCCCGATCGTCAAGCCGGCAATGAAGTCTCCCAGCAGCCAGCGCCCGCTGTACCGCCTGATCCACGACGAGCTGGGGAAGAGACTCTGCATGTAGTTGACGGCAGCCGCGCGTGTGGGCGCCAGCTCCCGGAGGAACTCATTGACACTGGGCTCTTGCTCGAGGTAGATATCGGCGGGTTCGAGGATCTGGTAGGCTTTCGTGCCCAGGTGGTCGGGTTGGCGGACGTATCGCTCGTTGGTGTCGATGCCGAGGACAGAGGACGTGATGAAATGACCGGCACGAGACATCTTGGAGGGCTGTTTCTGTTGTTGGTGTTCTGTCCCTTGATCGTCTGCCATGGTGGCGGTGAGGCCGTTGTCGTAGAGGAACGACGACTGTCGATGGTACTCAAAGTAAGAGGGGGCTAATAGAAATTGTGATGATATTCGTAGGTCGTGGCATGCATAAGATCACATGAAATCTATTACAAACACGCTGAACGAAAATGGATGAGGATGAATTCAGAGGAAACCAAGCATCCAAAAAGGGAGAGTGAGTCGAAGCTCCTGGGGATGCACAGGATCTTTAAAGTAACCTTGCACCGGAAGCCGTCTGGCTGTCGGACGGCAAGCCGCGCACCTCGCGCTGAGAAACAGCCTTCCAAAGCAACGCCAGCCTTGTTCCCCGGCCCTGTGCCCGCTTCTTTGGCACTTAGCCCTCCCGGCAGGGCGGAGTTCGGCTAAGTAGGCCCCATGTTTGATGCAATCAGACTTTTCGCCGTTGCTGATTGGCGTTCCTCGAGTCATGGCGGTCTGGCAGGGCACCTTGGCATTCCCCGACCGGCCGGCGGCAGTCGTCGGCCGTCGGTGGTAGATGCCGGAAAGAGATCCACCTTTCCCGGCTGAAGGGCTCCGCTCTCGGCGCCGGACACACCCCGCTCCCGGTGTCCGAGCCGATCCTATCTAATAACCATATTCCCCCATTGTGAGTGGGACGGGAAATTCGCGGAAGATAGACACCAAGTTCACTTTGCAGTAAGCTCATATCCATTTCTCGTCAGAGAGGATGTTTGTCGGTGACCCATCAGGCAAGCAAAGGGAGCCGTCGGCATGCGATCACGGGGTCGGCAGCGTCGCTTGGACACCTCCTCCAACACTTTCGATAGGGCCAGGACAAGCATTCGGGTTACGTAGTGAAATTGGCGGCCACTGCCCAATGCTGCATTGGGCAGCCACAAGTTATAGTGTTCACATTCAGAAACGAGTTCCCTCAGGCCTCGGCCGCTGGACCGTCGACATCGGCAACTAATTCCCATGCGCTGCGCGGCAGCCTGAGACAAGTGCATCGGATGCCCTTCTAGGCTTCTAGGGACTAACACTACTATCCTCTCCCTCTTTGCGCCATTCTCAGGGGTTATGGCAAACATCAATCATTCACATTCCCCAGGCTATCAAGGCCACGCGTCATCATAAGCAGCTTCTTCAAGTGCCGGGTCTGGGAACCCTAAAGTAACGGATCTACGCTCGCCTAAAGGCGCTGTCAGAGCAAAACGACATTGCTTAACAAAGGGGAAACATTGTCAATTGAATTTATGGACGCGACATGCGACACATGATAAAAGTTCGCAGACCCATCCAATGTATTGAGCCTGTCCCCCGACTGAGATCCCCCGACTGAGATCCCCCGACTGAGATCCCCCGGCTGAGATTCCCCGACCGAGATCCCCCGACCGAGATACCCCACGTTGGTGCAGCTAGCCATCGGCTGCCCCAGTATCGCCGACTGCCTTTACAGCTTGGACTCCCTCGATTCCCGGCTCACTTCATCCTTGGTCTCCTCGCTTCCCCTCAGTGTTGTTCCCGACGTACTGCCGGCATCGACTTTTGTCGGCACCCGCTCGCTCGTTTCCGCCTTGAGGCTGATGGGGTCGCCGAGCTGAGACGGGTTCTCGCCGTTCTCGCCATGCAGCTCGCGCGCGGCTTTCGTCCGGAGGGTGTCGCCTTGCTTGTCCTTGGAGCGCTGCACCGAAGGATTGGCCTCGGAGCCGGTGCGCATGTTTTCCTGCAGGTAGTGCTGCTGCACCTTCTTCTTCTCCTTCTCGTCTTTGCGGGAGACCATGGTGGAATGTATACAGCCGAATAATGCTAGGAGTAATGATGCCATTCTTCGAGAACGACGGTTTTCACGTTGCGCTATGGGTTTATAACAGGGCGTGAGGTGGACATGTGACGACGCTAGATTTGGCCTGTGTGTTAAGGTCGAGGTCGTGATGGCCGCCAAGGCCTAGCACTTGCGGCGGTCATCGATGACCTCACGACTACCGCACAATCGCCGAGGGCCATCGATCGACAGTGTTGCGCATCAGCCACAACGCACATGTTGAAGGTCTGTTCAATCTCTCTTTGGGAAATCATTAATTTCGGTACTGAGGGGCGAGCGCAAATCGATGGGACGTTTGCTTTACTTTTTCCTCTCCAATAAGCAGTGACGTCCCCACTTTCGCATGTACTTGTCGGGCACAACGGCCAGGTCTGGAATCCACAAGATCCGCGACAGAATGTGCGTGTTGGCAGCATCGAGGAAAGGCTCGCAGCGGACAATGTCCCACGTGTCCACGTCGGCGATGTAGTCCGGCTCGTTGGGCGGCAGGGGCTCTGTCCGCTCCGGGTACTGGGTGTCGACAAGAAGAGAGCACATGGGCAGCTCGACGTATTTAGTCAGGTCTTCCTCGTTCCGGTCGTTGAAACCACTCGTGGGAAGCCATGTGCCGCTCCAGAACCCAAAGCCGGTACGCGCCTCCGAGAACTCTCCGGGGAGCAAACCTCGGAACTCGGACCGCACAAATTTGGCGTGCATGTCGCGTGGAAGGAAATATGACGAGGGAAAGCGATACCACTCCTTTCCCAGACATACCAGGTCTCCGTTACGACCGACATCCTGGCGCAGAGGATCGTAGACCTTCAGAGGTGCGGAAAATCCACTGTATTGCCCAAGTGCCCGACCGGCGGACAGCAAGGTTGATAGCCCGAGCACCGACCCGACGGCAAGGACCTTGAGGCGGGCTGGGATCTTGCCGACAAGCGTCGTGCGGTCGGAGGACCCGATGGCCGTCAACATGATGTGGAGAGACAGGGATGCGTTGAGAGCCAGGAAGGGGTATGCCGGGTACAGGAAGCGTTCTTCCTTGTGCGGCTGAGATGTAAAGATGGCCAGCCACATGTAGAAGGGAGCGGTGAAAACAATGGTGCGAAGACCGGACGATATACCCTGGTTGGATGGCGCCACCACCTTTGACAGCACGAACAGTGGCAAAGCCAGCATGGCCAAGATGAACCAGATGTTGAAGTTGAGGAGGAGGTTCTTGAAGTAAAAGGTCCACGGCTCAGTGCCGTACAGATCAGGGCCCCTGTCGGTGGAGAAAATATTGTACTTGACAATGTTCCAGGGGACAATGACCAGCTTCTTGTAGAAGAAGAGGTTCACAAGCGCGTCGCCAATCTGTCTCTGTTAGCGCAGGGACTGGCAATTGACACAAATTATTTACCACGACGAGTACGCCAGCAATGACGCCCTTGCCCAGCCTGATAAAGGACTCGAATAGAGCGTTGGAATCACCAAAGGCCATGAGAACAATCTCCTCCAACACGAATGGCGCACACAGGGCCGAGGCAAAGGGCCATCCCAGGACGCCGGCGACGGCAAACCACGTGATTCCCTGTGTCGTTTTCAGTCCCCCGCGCCAGTTCATGAACGCTGCTGCGCCTAGCATACACATGTACATGGCGAAACTCGAAGGCAGGTAGGCTGTGCTAGCGTGGAAGTTGCCAGGACTGGTGATGAGAGCAATGAGGAAGATGAAGCCGATCCGACCATTGATGGCCAAGGTCACAGACTGGTACATGAGGGTCTGGCAAAACGCGCAGACAAATGCTAGACCGATGCGGACAGAGTAGAACTCGGCAACCTAGATACAGTCAGCCCCCTTTTTGCGATACTGCAAAGACAACGCCTACCTTGTCGGGGTGAGGCAGAATGCGCCTAAAATTCCCCACCACCGCGTGCAGGGCAATGTACAGCCAGCTCCGGATGGCATAGTCAGGGGAGTACTCCCAAGTCTGGAGCCCGTAGCCATGCGAGAGGTAGTGTGTGGGTTCCCAGTAATTGAAGGTCTCGTCGCAATCCTGTATCGGCGCGAAGAATGCGGAGACAAGCGCCGCGGCAAGAAAATATCCAAATGCCCGGATTGGCTTGATCACGTAGACGCTCGGGAGTCTGGGATCAGATGGTTAGCGTTGGGAGTCCTCGAAGGTTTGGAGACGCCTCAAACTCACTTTTTCCGAGCGTGCGAGGCCTCGGGATGCACGAACTCGGGGCTCGCGTGGGCGGGCGGCATGTTTGCTGCTGAATCTGTGGGAAGGGGAGGGTGGTGGATGTGAAGGTGAAGGTGAGGGTGAGAGGAGAAGGCGAAGATTGTGAGAGGTTGAGGCGCATATGTCATCTCCCAACTTTTGGGGAGGTACCGAGTCCACTGCTCCTGCCCTGCCCAAGCTACCCCTGCACTGAAGGTTCGGTGAATCTCGGTGAGGAAGACGCTAATGCAGGTGTCGTTGCCGCCCCACCTTCCGTAGCCAGTTCACCTGGATTTTTTTTCCAAGGGTCCATGTCCGACATCATCGTCCGCCTGCAATTTTTATTTTTCAAGGTTCTGACTTTTCCACTGAGGGCTCTCATCACTTTGTTCCTTCTCACTCTAGTTCTCAGTCGATTGTTTGTATTGTCTCAGGGCGCACGCCAATTCTTTTGCATTATACAAGCGCAATGTCTGGCTTCCAGATTCCAGGCTTGGGTCAGGCCCAGCCAAGTCCGCTTCCCACAGACCAGCCGCAGTCTGGCTCGACAACCGATGCCCAAGCCGTTCAAAGCCACAACGACAATGTGGTCAATCCTGATGCGACCACTGCGGAGCAGCCTGAAGGCAGTAAATCAGCCGTCCAGTCCAATCGCGAACAACCGACCACCAGTCCGAGTCATGCCATCGCGACAGTTCCAGCGACTTCGGCCGCGCAGAATGAAGTGGTGATGGGGGATTCAACTGAGCCCCTCGCCCCAGAAGCGGCGAACAGCACAGATGCACCTGCGCAGCAACAGGACGCCGTTGCGACCGACGACGCGATGATGATCGACCGGCCAGCGAGCCCCCCATCTCTCACAAGTGCGTTGGAAGCAGCGCTAGGTGGCCTTCAAGGCGACGACGCTGAAGTTACACTCCCTGCACAGCAGGGCAACTCGACAAACGAGCAGCAACCCGCACAACAAGATACCGCCCCTGCTACAGCCAGCGAAAACCCGGAATTTGAGGTCGACTCGTCACCCTACGTCAGCTCCGACTCTAGCAGTGATTCCTCCGACGACGAAGACTCAGATAATGAGGGCTACGAACTACTCGGGGTGGAGGAAACAGCTCGCATGCTCATGGAAGCGGAAGGCGGGTCGGACGACGAGGGTGACAAGGGCGGCAAGTCAGGTGCGGGCGCCCATCTCCGTACCAAGAATGAGCTTCCCGAAGAGACGATACCACGACCCGACGTGACCATCACGCCTGAGATGAAAATTGAGGAGCTCGGTGCGGTCGAGCATGTTGTCGAGAACATGATCCTCATCAAGGCCTTCACGCCAGGTGAGTACCAGGTTCTCGACACGGGGTCGGTAGTCTGCAATGAGGAGCGCGTCGTCATAGGCGCCATCGCGGAGACAATTGGCAAGGTACTGCAGCCCATGTACACGATGCACTTCAACTCAGCCGAAGAGATCAAGGAGCTGGGTGTCCAGGTGGGCACAAAGGTCTTTTACCCGGCAGAGCACGCCAGCTTTGTCTTTACGGAGCCGCTCAAGAGTGCCAAGGGTACGGACGCCAGCAACATCCATGACGAGGAGGTTCCAGAGGATGAGATGGAGTTCTCGGATGACGAGAAGGAAGCGGAGTACAAGCGCGCACTCAAGGAGAAGAAGAGGAAGAAGCACGGCGCGACCCGAGGAGGACGTGAGCAGCCCGCAACAGCTGGCCAGGGCATGGGACCGAGCGGCGAGCTAAACTACGACGACGATGATGGGCCGTACAAGCCTCTGTCTAGACCGCCCGGGTTTGGCAGCGGTCCTGTCTCGCAGGAGGAACCGGGCAGACCGAGTCACAGGGGCAGGGGACGAGGCGATGCGCGAGGAGGGAGAGGCAGTCGTGGGAGAGGTGGACGTGGCGGCGGCGGTGGTGGTGGTGGTCACAGCGGGCCGAGGGACGGCTTTTCGGCTGCTCCTCAGGGGTATCAACAACAACATCACAATCAACATCAGCAGCAGCAGTACCCACAGCCACCTCAACAGCAACAGTCATTCCAGCCACCACCTCCACCCGGGTGGAATGGTCAGGCGCCGGCACAACCACCCGCCATGCCCAACTTCGGGTTCCAGTTCCCTGGATGGCCACAGCCGCAGCCAGGTCAACAACACGCGACGCCTCCTCCTCCCCCTGGCTGGCCGGGCGCGGTCCAGGCGCACCACCCGCAGCAGCAGGAGGGTGGCAACAGTGCTTTCATGAACCCAGCGCTCATAGCTGCGTTAGTGAACCAGATGCAGGGACAGAATCAGCAGGGCGGGCAGCAGCCGCAATGGCCGCAACAACCACCGGGGCAATGAGAGGCGGTATACTAGGATGGAGACAAAGAAAATCGCACATATCAATGATACCCTGGCAAGGTGATAACATAGGATTCAAACGCTCAGTATCTAAGTAACTTCTAAGGCGAATCGCTCTACAGCTCGTCGCCGTCGTCCTTCTTGCCGTCAAAGTCGTGGTACGCCAGCTCGTACACGAGACCCAGCGTCATCCTCGCGTGCTCCACCATGTGCTGGAACGAGAGGTGCTTGATGGTGTCGTCGGTCGTGTGGATGTGGGGGTTCGAGTCCTCGAACGCAGACTCGATAGCGAATGCCGAAGGATACCCGTACTTGGAGGCCGACGCATGGTCGGAGCAGGCGTAGCCGCACTTGGTCTCGACCCAGGGGATGTTGCAATACTCCTCGATGACGCGCTTGATGAACTTTGTCAGACCGCTGTCGACAAAATCCATGATGACACCGATGCTCTCGGGCTTGTTGGCGTCGAGAGTCTTCTTTACGTAGCCGGTCATGTCCTGCTGGAGCATGGCCTTGACGTCGCGGCCGTTCTTGTGGTAGTCGGAGAAGATGGCCTCGCTGCCGAGGAGACCGGCCTCTTCGGCACTGTACCAGTGGAACTCGATGGTGTTGCGAGCCTTGCCGCCGGTAATCTTCTCGTCCTGCAGGAGCGCTTTGAGAACCTCGAGTATGGTCACGGTGCCACTGCCATCGTCGTCGGCGCCGGGCGCCGCAAGGATAGTGGGCAGCCACAGGTTCGTCGAGTCGAGGTGGGCGCCGACCACGACGGTCGAATTGGTCTCGCCGGGTATGGTGACAATGACAGAGTGCTGCTTCCAGCTGTGATCGAAGCCAACGGCGTCCGCGCTGTCCGCCTCGGCCGCAGAGAGCAGGCTCTTTGCCTTCTTGAGGACAAAATCCGACGCCTGGAGGCCGAGATCAGACTTGTAGTAGCGTGTGTGGAAACCACTCAGGCCCTCGAGGTTGGCCTGAATGTTGTCCTTGTCGAGATGGCGGAAGAGCGCGTTGACGTTCTTCTGCTGAGTGCACTTGGCAGGGAAGTCCACGGTAGCTGGGGCGACAGCTTCGGCGTTAAAGTCCTGGTACTCGGTGATGTCCATAAAGTTCTGGCCGTTCTGCGCGATGTTAGCGAGCGTGTCAACGGCATTGAGGCGTGCCTCCTTACCCTGCGCAATTCCCACTTCTTCTCCTCGGTCACCCATCGTGTCTCGCCCGGCGAAAGCTCAATGAGGAACTTCTCGTCGCTGACAGCGGGGAAGACCTCGAAGGCGTTGGCCTCGTGCTTCTCGATGAAGCGGGCGGTGGCAGCAGACGCGTAAGCCGTCAGGAGCGTAGCGCGCGAAAATTTCATGATGATGGATCGCGATAGGAGCTCGGAATAGGATACAAAATGGACGTGATGTTGGTTGTAGAAACAATGAGCACAACGAAGCGATGAAGGTGGTAATGATGTCAGGCGTCGCAGCCTGAGACGCGGCCGGCCTCGGCCGACCAGGCTGAAGTAGCACTGTCAGCTGGGTGGCCGGGAAAGTACCATTAATTGCTGCATGCGGCTTAGTCCTGACCATCCCGAGCACCGAGCTGGAGCGGTTTAGCTACCCTACAGGTCTGCATCAGACTGACCTTCCGCTTCACCACCGTTATTCCATAAATGTACCTTTCTTGGCCCAGCTACATGCTCGACCTCGATACGTTGGCAGGGAAATGCGCGGAGAGAGGGAGATGGTCGTTTTTCCTGTGATGGCGTGCCGCTCAAGGCGAGGCGAAGAAGTCATTATCCCCTTTCTTCCATAATTGCACTTTGCTGACGAAAGCAGATGGCTGGAGAAGTTGCGAGTCCTGGCAACGCCGTAGCCATTCTATAGGCCCTTCTGGTGACGAAAAATGGCCAATGCTATTGATCAGATAGCCTGGCTCTACTGTTCCACCTCTAATGTTCTCGCGAGCATAAAGCCCTGTTCCACCCCTTCCCCGCTACAACAGCCCAAGCTGGTGAAGTAAAGGGCCAGGTATGTCGTTTGGTAATGTATCAAATGCGTCAGTTCCCTTGCTTATCCGGCGGTGGCGTATGGTCCAGGAATCGGATCGAACGATTGGGGAGCTCTGGTATTGGTGCGAGTGGTCCCTGATCCTGATCAACTGGCTTGTCGCCGGATTGGTCTGCTGCCGTCGGTGGTAAAGGGATGACGGAACCACGCAGTCTGGGGCCCATACGAATATATTCATCATCAGCTTGCGTCTGTGCTTGTGACTCAGCATCGCCGGTTGGTTGCTTCCGCGCAGCTCGATTCCTGCTGAGTGGGAATGAGACTCTACCGCGGACTCGCACGGCCCGCTGATTCGTGTCCGCCTCGTCGCCGCTCGTGACGGAGAGATTGCGAGTTAGGGTGCGAGGAGCATAATACCCAAGCTTTCCCAGGGGAATGCTCAGTCCGTGAACGACCTAGAATAAAGTTAGCATAGACCTACAATTGCTAGCGTCCAACAATACATACAATGCTACATACGGCGAGGAACCACACGACAACGCGGACAGTCTCCTTGAATTGATCCAGATCCGGTGCAGGGTTGGAACCCTCCGCAAGGCCGTCGATGAACTCGAGGGTAACGTAGAGATAGAACACGGCGGAGACTCCAATGGGACCAAAGAATCCCACAAAGATAGCCTGCTTCGCCTGCTCAATCTGCGGGATCCAGCGATGAACGGCGAATACGAACGGCAGGCGTCGGAGCATGAGAGCCAATACACCCAAGGGGATCAGGCGATAGATGGGAATCACATTGTTGTGCACAAACTCGTGCCACGGGATCACTGCGCCATACCACATGAAGATTGTGACGTTGAGCAGCATATCAATGGTCGGCTGGAACGAGTCGTCCGCGGTCTCCAGGCGGAACCAGTCATCCCAGGTGAAAGCGTTGCCGGCAATGAAGCAGGCCAGGACGTCGTCGCTGCCAATCATGCCGCACGTTCCGACGATGAAGAGTGCGAGAGAAATCGCAAAGACGAGAAAGCTCTCTCGGTCAACATACTTGCGATCCTCGGCCCACTTCAGCAGTACCTTTGCCAGCAAGCCGGTGGCTGCGCCATAGATGATGCTCAGAAGAATGGTATAGCCCCAGGTCTCACCAAACCAGAGACCTATTGCCGTGCCAGCGCCCGCCGCCGATCCTTGCTCGCCATGTGCGCCGACGTGCTTGATGAGGTACAAGGCCAGGAAGAGGAAAGGATAGCCCAGGCCGTCGTTGGCGCCCGACTCACTGATGATGAGGTCTTGAAGGTCCTTGGGGATATTGTGGTCGGCGAACCGGCCCTTGACAATGACATTGGACAGGACCGGATCGGTGGGCGTGACGCAGGAACCGACGGCCAAGGCATAGAGGAACGGGAAGCTGGGGACCATGGCCCAGACGAGGAGGCTCGTGGAGAGCCACATGCAGGTCATGACGAGCCCGACGAGCAGAGTCATAGGCCTCCACTGGACGCGCAGGTATTTGCTTGGCAGCTGCACGCCAGCGAGCACGAACTGGACGCCGAGGACGAGGCGGGAGAAGGCCAGGGTGACGGCCTCGACGTTGGCCTGCGTGCCTGCATATTCGAGCGGTCTGATCAGATTCGCCGCGGCGGGAGAGAAGGCAACGCCAGCTAGGAGAGATATGACTGGGCGGGCATCAAATGTGAGCATTCCATATATTGGGAAGAGGATGGAGGGCATGCGTGCTTACGGGCCTCGGAGAGGTAAAAGGTCTCTTTGCACAGGAACGAGACGAGACCAAACAGGGAGATCCAGCCGCCAAGGAAGCCCACCAGAATGTTGAAGTTTGTGAGCGCCAGTGTAGGCATGATTGTGATCTTGGCGCGCAGCAAGTGCCTGGAGGGTCCCGTCCTCTAGTATGCAATTGCCCTAGGCTTGGCGATGCTCATGTTAGCGATGCGTGACCTGGTGTTGAAGACGCGGCGTGTCAACAGCGGCACGAGCGTGCGCGAACGAAGCGACAATTCAGGATCTCAATAATCGCGCAGAGAATTGTAGTCTGCCGCGTCATAGCTTTTTACCATGGACAGTTAACAGCTTAATACCCGGTGGTGATCCGCTCTCACGGCAAAGTCGGCAGCGAACGCGCCATTGTGGTGGCCGAGTCGGCTCGCGGGCTGGTACAGGTCCTGTCAGTGACAGGGACATGCCTCGAGCTCGCAACGGGCAATGCCATAGCGGTACGATTTGGCCTCGATAGGCAGACTCAAGAGGGCCGATGGGCTTCAACATTCGGATTTGGATTGAAGTGCCCTACGGCCTTGTCGAGTTGGTGTGACACGCCACCAGGAACTTTGTCGACAGAATGTGTCGAAGAACGACGTTGGGACAGCCATACCAACATTGAGCACTTCTGATCGCGTTCAGGTCGGTGCGGCAAATCGTAGTTGAATCCATTCAGGCTCGTGCAAAATGATGGTCATGGGCTCATGTCGAGCTGATCACTATCCGTTTTCGACAGGGTATCAGCGCTCAGATGGTATGCTCGTTTGACATACCCGGTACTTTTTAATGCGGAAGAACGCGATAGCCTCGAACGGCTACTGCTACCACGCTCAGTGCATGTACGAATTAGTGACCTAGGGGGAGGATTACTCCGGTCAACAAATACTAGGACATTCAAAAGTTATCGAAGATTCCTTAGGTCTAGACAGAGAGTGATGATTAACACACCCTTCTCGAGCCTTATCAGCACGTAATCCCTTGGACTAGACCCATCCCCCATCGATACGTCACCCCACCTCTGGCACATTTCATCCTCGGGTCGATGTCGACAAGGACCGACCTCTCTCATCGCTAGTTCTTACAGCACCATCCCCATCCAGATCCAGATCCATTGTTTATCGCGCGCATACTCATCCGTCGCACAGAAACCCAATGGCCCGCTGCCTCATTGCGATGCAAACCATTAGCTGAGTGCGGCGCAGCTGTCCTATCAGAAGCCCATCCACCCCCATTTCAGCTCACTTCTTCCCGGCACCAGCCAACCGATTACGGTCATCAATCCAGGAACCGCATACGATTCCTTTCCAATGAACAGAATCGTATGACTGTGTGCCAGAAGACTGGTTCAGTCAATTCGTACATAGCCGATATAAATATCACAGCTCGGGGGCCCTGTCTGCCTGGCTCGATCTTGACTTGGACAACTCTCCGGGCCAGCTTTGTTTTGCAAGGGCACTCGTGTTGTTTTTGTTGCTTGTGCGATACCATATCATGGCGCTCCACCATGGGCGAGCGACGTCTGTCGAGACGCTGCCCAACGAGGTGAGTTGGCCGTGCACCAGGCAGTGGGTAGAGGTGCGTCCTAACAAGCCATCCCCAGATCATGGTCGCCATCCTCGACCCCTTTGCCACAACCGAGCTTCTCCCGCTAGCCGCCGTCTGCAATCGCTTCCATCTGGTCATCACGCGCCTCCTTTATCGTCGTCTCGTCAACGTCTCCTCCCTGCCCAGCAATGATCTCATCCTCGAGTGCTATCATCCAAGCGCCAAGATCACGACCCCTTATCTTGCCTGTCGTCATCTCGGCACCTCCACACGAGGTGATGAGATCAGGAAAGGGGACCATGTTGAGGCGAGTGATCTGAAAAGGATGTATTCGTCATTCAAGCCCGTCATTGCAGAGGAGAACCGTCGTCATCGGCTTGACGGTGAAGTCGTCGACGACACGGCAACGGAGATGATCTCGCTCGACGAAGGCAGTCTCTTCTCACAACTCTGTGCGCAGATCAACCTCGTCAAGGTGGGACCCAGACCGGGTCTGTTCACCAGCTGCGTGCCCATGAGCGAGGGCGTTATCAGAACTTGGCGGGAGTGGCTTGCGCAAGAGGCAGACGGCCGTGGCGACGGTATCCTGTGGCTGGGAACCGACCAGGGCGTTGGTCTCCGATTCCGCGTCACGCATGGCGCCTCGGATCGGATGCCTGTCATCTCTGGGCCAGATGACTACCCGCCCATCACGTACAGGCTCGAGTACCAAGGTGCGTGCTTTGTCCAGTGATGACACTGGTGCAAGGGCAATGGAATAACCCCTCTCAGAACTCATCGTCCGCACGCGCAAGCTCCTCATAGCAGCTGAAGAAGCCGAGGTCCAGCATTTCTCGAATTCAGGTAAAGCCATAGTGATCGCTTCCATGTAGTCGGGTGAATGAGGAGATGGGACAAGTCAACAAGGACAAGAGTTCGCAGGGATTCAAAGACTATTTCATGTCTGGGGTGTGACAGTCCTTTTGCTTACCGCTTGCCTTAGTTCAAGAGCTGTACACGACGAGCCACAGCCTGGGACTACCAGTTTCGACGCTTTTTACGCTTGATGCAGCCACGGAATGGTTTCCAATGCGACCACCGCCAACGGGAAAGTCTCTCGCGGTCTAGAGGACATGGACATTATGCAACACAGCGATGACACAGGACTTCGTCTTGACGGGACGGCTTGTGCCTTGATGGTGGGCAGCCGAGCCTGATGGTCCTGGACCAGAGTTCTATCGGGTGTGGAAAATAGAAAGGACTAGCAATACTGGAGAGGCATTGCTACATGAGCGCTCTGTTCTCGCCAAAACATAGCTTCTCATCAAAGCATGCCCTCACATCCCCGTGCAGGCACCCAAATGTACGTCCAAATACTCCAAGGGTCTTGAATAGATGAATCACACACACCGTTTTTCAGATCAGAATCTATCGGAGCTCTTTTTCGTGGAGTCAGTCATTCCTCTCAGCTCCACATCGCTGCTCATCGTGCCCATCTCGCCGTCGTCGCTGCTTTCCTCTTCATCCCGCTGTCGCCGGGCCATGTTGCTGGCGATCTGCTCCAGCCGCGCATCCAGGTGCTGCGACACGCCGTTGCGCTCATCTCGCCAGCGGCGCCACGCGTTGCGAAGCATCTTCTTGCTCGTGATGAAGAAGATGACGGCGTTCCAGAGTCCCTGCAAGGGCAGCACAGCGGCGGTAGCGACGTGATACCCATACGGCGACGAGGCTGTTCGCCAGCTGTGGATGCGGTTCATGCTGCTGGGGATCCAGGTCACCAGGACACTGATCGCGAATAGCACGCTCGTTCGTAGATAGGCGCGCTTTATGGGATCAGCGATGCCGAATTTGGCCAGGAGACCCATGTACTTCTTCTCCTTGGGCGATTTTTGCATGGGCTGCGCAGGGGTGGCTGTGACAAAGGTTGAGTACTGACTCGGCACCGTCGGCACCTGTCTCTGCGTCGGGACTGTGTCTGCCATGGTCCTGTCGCGGTCGAGTGAAGGCAGGGCGGCCCTTTTCGGTTCGGAGGGCGGGTTCGGCATCGTGGCCGCTGTGTGAAATATCTGGACCTCGGTGATAACGGTGCCGTAGAAGCCATCGCACGGAACCTCTGGCAGCTTCAATGACCCTGACCATTGTCTGGCAAGCCGGAACTGCCGCGAGGAGAGGAGATGAGGGGGGCAGTCAGGAGAGTTTTTGACTGAGTCGTCGGATGTGTGTTGTAGTAAAGTGTTGGAAAAGGAGTGAACTTTGTTCCGCGTGCGCCAGACGAGATAGCCGACGGCAGTATAGAGGCCAATGGAACCGACAATGCAGATCCAGATGAGCATGTAGTACGTGTAAATGCGGATATCGTCCCACTCACGGTCTACCCAGCACCAAATCTACACACCTGTCAGTCCGATCCCCAGAATCACGAATGTTGGAAGTATCATACAGTGGCCTCACCATACACCAAGCCCCGCTCATCATCTCTGATGACCAGGAGAGTCAGGGCAATGCAAAATGGTCCCCCGTAGCAGACAATGCAGTAGAGCCACCACCACCGTTGGAACGAGTCTGGTTTGGCGCGGAAAAAGAAGACGAGAAAGACATTGACGGCCATGGCGAGCGACCACCAGGGGTCGCTCTGCATGAACATCTCGAAGAGGAACGCCTGCGTCTGACACAGAGAGGATTCCTTGCCAGCATTCAGCCCGTCCATGGCGATGATGCTGGCGATGCTGGCGCCCACGTTGGCGACGCTCGCGAATGCAATGAAGCGATTCTGTACATTGCGCACTTCGGGAGCAAGGTAGTAGGTGATGAATATGAGAAAAACGGCGACCAGGGAGATGCAACCGCCGGTGCGTTCAAGTGAGGTGAGTGTCGTCGCCTGCCAGTCGTCGAGTTGTTCCGACGCGGGAATGTCGGGCAAGCCTGCGCTCGACATGGCGACGGCTCAGGGCAGGAGCGTGTACTGCCAGGTACGCAAGGAGAACTTATCGACTAACCATTCATTTGCGTTTGAAAGGGGGGCCCGTCATAGAGGATCGTGCTGACGATGAAGACCGAAGTTTGCGTAGCGAGATGAGGCTGATTGTACTGCGCGGTAACCCACAACGCAGCAACAGAATCGTGACCGGCTCCTGCGATCAGTAGGTGCGAGAGTCCAAAAAGAATGGGAGAGACGCAAAGACAAAGAGGTGAGGGAAAACGTCCGAAGGCAGGCGAGCCATCGCCACCTCAGACGAACTGAAGGGGGGTGATTCACGCGTTACATACGGGAGCAGAATTGTTGTACAACATGCGGCCATCCTGCATGCTTGCTTGCTCGCTCGCTTGTTTTCTCTCTTCCCGAGCGTAGAACACCTCATCTTGATCGCGTATTCGTCACCTTCGAGGGTCACAGGAAAGAGATGCATTCTCCTCCGATAGAACCCCAGATCCCGACCCAATGGACGACGGAAGATGTGTATTGACGCACAGGCCCGGCAAGGCACACCCATCTCCCCCAGCATCGAGATGAAGCCTGACGAGAGACGGAATTGGGAGACAGCAGGTTGCTTGCCCAGACATGCTGCACTGGGCAAACATCGGCGGACGGCGGATCGATTCTGGACCTGCGGCTCCGAGCAGGCCCATCCATTCCCGAATCTTTAGGAAGAGGACGTCTTCAGCACGAAGCCACGAAGACTGAATGCGAAAGATGGTCCACGGTTCTTTGCACGCACAAGCCACCTGTGAAGTATGGAGCTTGGGTCAGGGACCTCCGCTTTCCCACCATTCAGCCTCATCTGCAACCACCCAGAGGCGATGATGTAGCTTGAGGGGCAATCCCAACTTGCAGCACCAACAATGCGAGCATGTGTTTGGAAGAGAACCAACTGCAATGGTATCTGGATAATACCGTGTCTTTGCATCAATTTTGCCCGCCGCTTCTGCAACCAGGCTGCAGCTTGCCGACTCGGTTGGCATGCAAGCTCCAGCCTGGTTGCGCAAGGTGACACTTGGCTGCCAACAAATTCCCTTTGCACAAGCCAGGGTGTGACAGCGCCCTTATAATGGCGAGACAAGTGCTGCAGTCGGTCAACACCCAGCGCCACGCTCTTATGTTCTGTTCGAAGAGTGAGGCTCGTCCACTCGTCCCAGCCAGTGCCGCCTACGCTGCATCAAGTGGAATCCACCAGCATCACGCGCCTAGTATCGACCGCGTAAAAAAGCAAAGCAGAGTAAATTGCATGCTCGCCATCCGTATCTACCATAAAGCATTCATACATCGAGCGCAGAGTCCCCGGCCACGCCAATCATACCGCGTCATCGTGCGTACATAGTGCCTATCGTGCAGTCCCGAAATCATCCAAACAACGCCATTCCGATGCGATTTCCTCGCTCATTCGCCCGTTGCTCCGTGGTGCCAGTCTAGTTGGCCAGAATGGTTCTGACCAGGTCTGTGTGCTCTTGTCAGCTTGAGCACGTTCAGAAAAGGCGGGCGGGGCGGGGCTTACCTGTGTAGTTCACCTGCCCTGAGCTCGTGTCCACCGCCTTGAGCAGCTCGTCCACCTCCTCGTCGGTCATCTTCTCGCCCAGGTTGGTCAGGATGTACTTGAGCTGCCCAACGCCGATGAAGCCCGTCATATCTTTGTCGAAGACCTGGAAACCTCGGCAGTACTCCTCCGGCTCGCCAGGGTCGCGGAAGCCGCCGGGGCGGTTGAGCACACGCTGGAAGGTCTCAAAGTCAACTGCAACGACGTCAGCACCCGTTCAAGTCGCCATCTCCAGAGGAGCAGAGGGGAGCGGCCAGGACGTACATTCTCCTCCCACGTTCTTCTCGAGATCCTGAATCTCGGAGAGTGTGGGGTTCTGACCGCACGCGCGGAGCAGGTCACCGAGGCTGTCGACGGTGACGCGACCGTTGCCGCGCTTGTCGAAGAGCGCAAACGCCTCCTTGTAATTTGTGGAAGCCTGAGAATCAAAGTTGTTAGACATCGTGACTGAGTTGGTGCTTGTGCAGTTTGAATGAGAGTGTGAATGTGCAAAACGAATGCGCGCGCGAAATTGTCGAGAAGAGTAGAGGCGGCGCTTTCTTAGTGGGGTTGGTTCGGGTCCTCCAGCCCGGCCTTGTTTACGTCTGCGCTGCGCTGGTCGTTCGGACGGATGGTTGATTGGTGGCCGGGGCAACACCGTCTGGCGAAAGGGGGGGTGTCAGTGGTGCGGGCGAGTTCTTACCATGGCGTGCGTGTGTGCGTGTGTGCGTGTGCGACTGCAAAGGCTGCTGGGGAAATCGAAGCGGCGAGGGATACTGCAAGATGGAAGCAATTCGTGATGATCGAGGTCGGAATGTTTACAGGAGAGGAAAGAGGGATAATGAGGCGGCAGCCCAAGACTTTTGTTGCTCCACGTTGCAGCGGTCAACATGCCGCTGCCTGCACAACTTGGAGCCCCTGTCTAATCGCAAGTTGTACATTTTATGGATGTTTTGCCGCTAATGATCTGCTGTCCCAGCAACGAACGCCCGACCGTTCTCCAAGCCTCCAATGCACGCCTTAGCTTAGTATGCATGAGTTGCCGACGCATTATTATTCCGCGACTCTGTCATTATTTTGCGGTTCTTTTCATGGCCGAGTTGGCTCTTGCATTGCATTCGTCCCAGGCGGTTTGCCTCGGGATGTCTCAAGCTAGAGGGCACAACACAAACGGATGTCTCCCCCAGCACATTTGCACTTAACAGACCAGTAAATATCAACACGTCCTTGCTTCGTGTAGCCTGTGACTAGAGGCCATTGAGTGGTGTACGTGTAGTCTGCTAGCACAATCTCGTAACAAGATGCGTCGTGATGCTTACGCTAGGTCTGTTACAGTTGTCATCCGACCGACTTGAGCCGACCCCGCAGGCCGGCTACGGTCGACGGCGTGTGTCAAACATCTTTCTACCATTGTTGATTAGCATTCATCATATAACTCAACGATTCATTGAGATGGCTTCCGAAGCAACTGCGCGCAAATTTTTCACCGCCTCCGCCTTTGCCGTCGTTGGTGCCAGCAGCAACACGGCCAAGTTTGGCCATAAAGGTACGTCTAGGGTATCTCAATCAACTTCGTCGCATCGTCATCTCTGACTGCACCTAACAGTGTTCGCCTGGTATCTGGCCTACAACATGCCGGTCACACCGATCAATCCCTCGGCGGGCCATGTCACCGTGCAGGGCAAAGACTACGCTGCTGTCCCTAACCTCACCGCCCTCCCCAACCCCAGGGAAACGGCTGTGAGCATCATCACCCATCCAGCCGTCACGATTGATGTGCTCAAGGAGGCAAAGAAGGTGGGCGTGCCTAGTATCTGGCTGCAGCCGGGAACTTGGGACGATGCCGTCCTGGCTTTTGCGAACGAGAAGGGCAACTTCGAGAATGTCGTCTATGGTGACGGAGGTCGGGGAGGCGAAGGGTGGTGCGTGCTTGTTGACGGCGAGAGAGTGGCCAAAGCCGCTGGAAAGCTGTAATTAGTGAGCACGCTCTTTTCGGGAGGCTGGCAAAACCCAGTTGAAGAATCGTCTTGTGTGCGAATGTCTCCCTGGTCAGTGCTTCGAACGTTCTCCAGACAATCTGCGAGAGGCCAGAGCGGTATGAGCAGATCAAGGCAGCGACATTGACTGCATTCCCCTTGAAAGATTCTGATTCTAATTATGAGCGGAGAACAAGAGAAAGTTTGTTCAATGCATCTGCTACGTACTGTGCTTCAAGTTCTCAACAGCCGATGGATCAAGATTCAAGGCGGTACCTGTACCAAGTAGACTGACCCAGATGGCCCCACTTCTTCCAAGTAAACAAACGCGACTCCACCCATCAAATCCCCGGCCACCGCGACGCCACCACCACTATAGCTCCTCGTGTCTCCAACTTCACATCCAGCACTTTTTGGACCGTTAACATTTGCATTTGTAGTGGTGGGACGTCGCTCTGATTGTGCTTCTTTCTGGTTGAAATTGAACTTTGTTATTAGGCCCTACAGCTGGCACACTCGCTTTCGCATCTCCATCTTCGAACAAACGCGCTGACAACAGGCGCGTCGCGCACTCACGACTCACGACATCACCTTTACGCGACACGAACGCAACACTTTACGCAAAATTGCGCGCAAACGGACAGAAACCTCCTCTGAAAGAACTCAACTCAATATGGAGATCGAACCGACGGACGACGTGTACTTCACCTTTGAAGGCCGTCTGGCCTCCTTTCAGAAGACCAAGAAGCGCGGCTCGACCGCCAAGGGAGCGCGGGCGTTGAACTGGCCTCATAAGAAGATCGACCCAGAACAGGTAGGCCGCTGCGCTGGTTTGATTATCCACTCGATGCGGTACTGACAATACCAGCTCGCTCGCGCTGGGTTTTTCTTCCAACCATGGCCCGAGAACCCCGACAATGTCGCATGCTACCTCTGCCACAAGTCCATGGATGGCTGGGAAGAGGGCGACGACCCGCTCATTGAGCATCTCAAGCACTCCACGTCGTGCGGCTGGGCGATATGCGCAGCGGTGGAAAGCGAGGTGGAGGGATTCGCGCAAGCGCACCCTGCAGAGAAGGACATGGTGGAGGCTCGAAAAGCGACATTTGCTGGGCGGTGGCCACACGACGCAAAGAGGGGCTGGAAGTGCAAGACGAAGCAGGTGAGTTGTTCTTGCCTTAACTGCCCGTGATAACTCCTGCTGACGGGGGATGGCGCACAGCTTGTTGATGCTGGTTGGAAATACACACCCACGCTTGAGGCGAACGACAACACGACATGCACGTACTGTGGTCTCGGGCTTGATGGCTGGGAACAGAACGACAAACCATAGTTGGATTCCCTCCATGCTGCTTAGCCATGCCAATATGCTGACAATGGCAGCGACGAGCACTACAACCGATCACCGCACTGTCCCTTCTTTGCCTTGTCGGCACTGCCGAAGCCAAAGGCCTCCCGTGCAAAGACTGCCCGAGGATCCAAGGTGTCCCGGCTCTCTACGCAATCTATCGCGACCTTCACCTCTGAGGCTCCTTCACTGGCCGAAACGACATTTGCCACGGCAGTTGGTAACGACACTGTGCTATCGACGACGTCTACAATGGCAACGAAGAAGGGCCGTGCGCCCAAGGCGGCCACAACGGCCAAGGGGAAGAAGAGCAAAGCAAAGAAGGGTGAGCCTGCACCGGAACCAGAAGAACAGGTCCCATTCGAAGAGGTCCAGCTCGAGGCAGATCGAGAAGTGACCCCAGAAGCTCCGCCCCCCAAAAAGGCCACTCGCGGAAAGAAGCGTGGCAGTGAAGCTGTAAACGACTCTATCTTGACTGTAACCTCGGAAGTGCCCGCGCGGAAGAAGAGAGCCACCACGACGCATGGCAGCGTGGCTGTCGACAGCTCTGTTGCTGAAGCGACGGATGACTCGCAGATGACGGACGTACCGGCGCCAGCGCTTAAGAAAAGGACTACAGCTAAGAAGGGACGCGCATCCGCAGCCAAGTCACGGAAGGCTTCACAGTCGAAACCCCTGGCGGTAGCGGAGTCTCCTGCCCAAGAGCCTCCGGTGATGTTTCCCGACGATGACGAAATTGAGAGACAGCTTGAAGCCGACCTTGAGCGCCCTCTGACTGACGATGATGACATTACCGCCGACTCAGATTCGGAAAGGAGGAAAGCCAAGGCAAAATCCAACCAGGCCAAGGCGGCAGGGCAAGAAAAATCCGCCGACTACGCCATGTTTGATCCCTCACCGCCGGAGGAGCTTCAAGAAGCGGAGGTCGACGCCGAGCTGGAAGCCCTGCGCAACGAGATGGAAGTAGAACCGGTGGAGTCCCAGATCCCGCCCGGATCCTACTCTGACTTGGACCGCGAACCGGCTGTGCCAGAGGAGCCGGAACAGCTGACGGTTCCCAAAAAGGGTCGCAAGGCTGGCACAACGAAAGCATCAAAACAGACCAAAACGAAAAAGGCAAAAGTTGTTACAGCACCCGTGGCAGAAGAGCCCGAACCAGAACCTGAGCACGGATCTGAGCTTGAGCCTGAAATTGAACCTCATGATATCGAGGCTCCTGGTGCGAGAAACGAGAGTATTGGCAGCACAGACACCGTGGTCAAGAACACAGAGGTGGAAATCGAGGAGGAATCTGATGGGCGCCCATCATTCCACTCCGCCGCCTCTCGGAAATCGACCACGGCGGAGAAGCTTGTGGAAGAGCCTGTGGTCAAGAAGAAGCCTCGGGGTCGGCCCTCGAAGGCATCGCTCGCATCGCAAAAATCAGTGGAGTTTGTAGACGTGCCGATCGAAGCTCCAGAACCCATTGCTGAGCCCACTGCCAACATCAAGAAGAAGCTCACGAAGAAGGCTGCACCAGCCCCCGAGTCAGCTCCAGAAGCAGCCAGTGATGAGATCGAATTTCTTGAACCTCCTTCAGCAGCACCACAGCCAGCCAAGCGCTCCCGCGGTCGGCCCTCGAAAGCCTCCCTTGGAGCTCAAGCCCCCGTCGAGAGCACTAAGCCGGCGGATGATCCGGTCGTGGTGGTCGAGGCGGTGCAAAAGCCAGCTAAGAAGGGTCGTGGTCGGCCATCGAAGGCGTCCACTGAGGCCCTGGGAGAGCCAGCAGAGGCAGATGAACCCAAGGTCGAGCATGTCGCGCCGGTGGAAGCCCCGGCGCCTGCGAAGCGCGGCCGAGGACGTCCGTCCAAAGCAGTCCAGGAGGCATCTGCCGCTGCCGCTGCCGCTGCCGCTGCCAGCTCACAGCCTCAGCCTCAGCCGGCGGAGCAAGCACCCAAACGCGGGCGTGGAAGACCACCCAAGAAGTCATCCATTGAAAGCAAGCCCGAAGAGGTGGAGGCTCAACTCCAACAGGAGGCCATGGATGCTGAGGCGAGGCAAGTTCATCCGTCACAAGATGACGACTTGGAGATACTGGAGGACGAGCCTGACCTGCCGCCTACCCAGGAGGCAGTCACTTTACCGTCATCTCCGCCAGGCAGGCAGGCAGCCCACCCACCTTCGACGCCAGGCCTTAGTGCTACGTCGGCGCGTCAGGCCGGTCTATCCCCCTCGCAATCACCCCAGTCGTCCGATGCCGAAAACCAGCCGCCTAGCTCGAGACCCACGGGCAGCGTCACCACCCAGCGGGTTGCGCTGGCGCCCATGGCGGCCACACCGACGCGGCTCTCCCCATCGAAGCGAAACATCTTGTCCAACCTGCAAAGTAAGACGCCGTGGAAGGCCGTCGACCTCGATGCCGTCCTCGAGTCACCTCTCAAGGGAAGTGCCCACCCAGACGAGAACACGGTGGATCGCCTCCTGCGCAAAGGCGGCGACCTGACAGCGAAGGAGAAGGGTATGACGGTGGAGGAATGGGTCCACTACAATGCCAGCCTGGCGGAGGATATGCTCAAGGGCCAGTGTGAGAAGATGGTGAGCCGCTTTGAGAGTGAAGGTGGGCGCGCAATGAATGTTCTCGAGAACATTGAGGTGGAATAGAGTTGGTATAATGACCGTTTGGGCTAATGAGGCGTTACGGGTGTCTTTGTCAATGATGACGACGATGATTTTGATGAACGGCCTGTCTGCTCATGCTATTTCTTGTCATGCTCCATGTGCAGATATACGAGGGGTGTCAAAGCATGAGGATGTACTTGTCAATCATTGTGTATTCAAGAGCTATCAGAGCCTCCTCCTCTTCCAAATCATTATGCTTGCCATCAAATCTATGTAGCATTGGCGCATCCCATACTCAAACCCAACCTTGCTACCATGCATGCCATTTCCCATAAAGAGCGTCAAGTAAAAAACCAGGGTATCATTTGCGTCCAAGCAGAAAAAGGGGGTTTCGTATGCGCCCCTTTTCTTTTTTCCCGCGCCGCTATGTGGAGAAGATATTGTATCGTAATTCTTCTTTTGCGTATGGACCGACATGAATGTATGAACGGGTCTCGTATATACGTTAAAATCAGATATCCCCTTTCTAGCGAAGAAGAAGCTTAGGCGAAGAGGAAAGTGAGGATAATGGCACCCAGAGTCAAGATGGGCGCGCCACGACCGGTTCGTGCAGCTGCGCCGGGGACTGGGGTGGGAGTTGGCTCGTCGCCGCCCGTGGGCTCGGGTATCATGGGGATGGTGTGAGTGCCCGACATGGTGTAGACGGACGTGAAGGTGTCACTGTCGTCCTCACCATCGCCGGGCAGAGGCTGCCCATCATCTCCGTCCTCGGGAGTGCCGTCGTCGCCGTCGTCCGTGGGGAGTGGCACAGGCATCACCGTCCTGTCACTTGTGTTCAGAGACACGGGGACAGCGACTGGGGTGCCGTCTTGGGTAGTGATCACGACAGGAATCGAGATCGGCGTACCGTCGACGGTGGTGATGGAAATGGGGGTCCCGTCCTCGATGGTGGTGATACCCTCGGGTAACTCGGTAGGAGCGAGAATGACCGATGTCTGGGTGCCGGTGGGCTCGTCGGTAGCGGTGGCAGAGACTTCCTCGGTAGTGCTCGTGATTTCGGGGTAGCTGCTTTCATCGGACGATTTCAAGCTGGTGTCGGGCGCGTCGGACTCCTGGCTGGTCAAAGTAGCTAATTCTTCGACAGTGGTGGTCTCTGTTACTTCATCGGGGGCCGTAGTGGGGACTGGCTCGATGGTCGTGGGTTCGGCGATGGTGGTGCTCGACGCAGGCTCTTCACTGAAAGACTCAGTCGATAGAGTCTCCTCGGCGATGGTGGTGGCCGGCGCAGGCTCTTCACTGGAAGACTCAGTCGTAAAAGACTCTTCGGCGGTGGAGGTGGAGGTGGAAATGATGGTGGTCACGACCGTCGTGGTAGGCTCAATGGGCGTAAAGGTACCCGAGCTCACCTCGTCCTGGCTGGTGGTGCTGACCTCCGGTTGGCTGGTGACAGCCGACTCGGGGGGCGTGACAAAGGTCTCCGTGGGCTCGGCATCGCCGCCCGCGCAGTGGTCAAGGAATTGCTTGAACTCGGGCACGATGTAGTCACGGACGGGATCCTTGGTCTCGTCGCCGTTCTCCACGACGCAGACCTGGCAGACGTTGTAGGCATTGAGGAAGGAAGAACCGTCCTCGCAGAGGTCATCAGACTTTCCGAGCGATAGGGCGATCTTCATGGCATTGTTGCAGAGGGCGAAGCAGACGGCCGGAGTGTCCACGTCGCGCTTGTTGAGCGTGCGACGGACCAAGCGGTAAGGCTCAGGGGTGGCGCTTGTGGTCGTGGTAGTGGTAGGGCGCGGCCAGACGCTCAAACTCGCCTGCGACTCCCAGTTGCCGGTGGTGACGGTAATAGTGGTGCTCTCCTTGACCTGTTCGTACACCTCGTACTCGAAAATATCAAACGACAACCCGAATGCCTCGGGGTTCAGATCAAAGTAGCCGTAGGTTGGAGGGTAGTAGCTGGTCTCGCCCTCTTCCCAGGTCACGTTGGGGAACGGGGGTGCGAGAATACACTCCTCAGGCTTGCACAGGTAGTCGGGCGACGGCAGACCGGGCCAGAAGTTGCAGCCGGCGGGCTTGGCAGGGTTGCAGACATAACCGGGCGCACAGCCAAATGTGTCCTCGCTGTCCGTGCTCAGGGGCGCCGACGCACCCGTCGGGGTGGGACAAAGCGTCACTTCGAAGATTGGTGTCACCGTGATGACCTCACCGGGCTGTGTAATGGTCTCAGGGGGTGTGACGATTGTCGTAGTGATGGTCTCGCCGTCCTCAGTGACGGTGACAGTGGTAGTGGTGCCGGGCAGAGTGATCACCCCACCGGGGAGCGTAATGGTCTCCGGAGGAACCGTGACCGTTGGCCCAGGCTGGGTGACTGTCGCGCCAGGGCCGGTAACGGTCTCACCAGGCAGTGTTTGGGTGACTGTCGCGCCGGGGCCGGTAATGGTCTCATCAGGCAGTGTTTCCGTGACAACATCCGTGATCACGTCGGTGATCCATGAAGTGACGGGGTAGCTGCTGACTGTGCTAACTACAGTCTCATACTCGGTCGTGGTGGTCGTGGTGACGATGGTGTTGTCTTCAGTAATAGTGACAGGGATTTCTGTGGTGACGGTCGAGGTTGTTGTCGTCGTGACCTCCTCCCAGATCGTTGTCGGCGCGGTGCGAGTGATAAACTCGGTTCCGATGATGGTAGTGGGAATTGTTGTCGCGATCGTCGTCGGCACCGTCACAGTGGTCGCGGAACCGGAAATGACAGTTTCGATCGTGGTGAGGACGGTTGTCTGCCAATCCGTGACGGTGATATAGCCACAAGTGGGTGGCGGAGGCTCACAATAACCGCACTGGCGTTGCTCAAGTTCTCCGTCTGCTTCACTGCCATATGTCGGGGCGGGCTCAGGCTCGGGCTCGGGGTAACCATCGGTCGGATAGCCTGTCCCCGGCTCGACACACTCAACATAGGTGCTTGTGACGATCGGATAGGAGAGCGTGTAAGTCTGGGTTGCCGTCTCAACAACAGAGACAGTGGTCCATTGAAGACTCTGGGTGGCGCAGTCGGAGTTGGTAGCAGTGGCAGTGTCAGTGGCAGTGACAGTAACCGTGACTTCTTCCACTGTTGGTTTGGCAGTGACAGTGACAGTGACTTCTTCGACTGTTGGCGTGGCAGTGACCGTGACGGTGGTAGGGTCATCGGAGACAGTGACTGTGGGGCCTGGGACGTTGACGTAGCTCTGTCGGCGTTTTCATCAGTAAGATTTCTCAAAGGTTATTTCCTCAGGTCATTTCACATACAGTAATCTTTACTTGTTCTGTGATAATTACAGTGCACATATGCGTGCATGCCTGAATAGCCGGGTCACCGGCCTCGAGCTCACCGACACCATTGATCGAGTAAGCCATGTATTCACCAGCAATTGTAGTTGCAGTGGCCTGTTCGGGCGCTGGTGTTACTGGTGATTGCGCGAGTGCGATCCCAGCGAAAGCGCTCAAGGCGCTGAGTATGTACGCAGCGCGCATTCTGATTGAAGAAGCGAGTGTAATGCCAGATCCGTGCCAAGTACACGAATGAGGAGGAGAGTCGGAGTCGATGGACTAGAGGAAATAGCAGGTTAATATCATGTGGAAGAGACAGACGCCAGTCCGATATGTTGAAGGATAAAACGGGGATGTTTGCGCGACGCAAGCGAGTCTGCGAGCCTACGTACCTTTGGGGTCCTATGGAGAATCTCGCAAGCACCGGCTGACAGCTCTTCAATGTATGATGTATGTGACCGTGCTCCTCTTCGTGCGATAATTCAACGAAGGCGCAACTCGGTCGGACTGGAACCAACAGGCTGTGTTCACAGTTGGCGGTCCAAGCTCCAGAGGCTTGTTGCGGCCTATTGAGCAAGCCACCACCGCAGACGACGACACCTTTGTATCGTAGTGACAGACGCCAAGGCTCTCGAGCAAAGATGCTAATGCAGGCCCGGGTTCAGTCAATGTGCTGGCTATTGTCAATTGTGAAAGACAATGCACCAGTCACGATTCGAGGTCGACTGCGGGAGGCTTGTGGCTAGCAGCTCGGCAGCAAGCGAGGGAAGCAACTGGTTTGGAGGATCAGAGAACAGCCGCTGCGTACCTACTTATTGAGCTAAAGTCAGGCCATACAAGGGACCGCACTTTTATTTAGGTCGAGGAGCAGCAGTAGCAAGGAAAGTGCGCAACATAAGCCCGTAGACGTAGGGCTCGGCATGGCAACGACGAGAAGGCTTCGCCTCTGCATCCCGCCACGACATGCAGGCAAGCATCGCCGCTCATTCAGACATGGATACGACAGGACATCGACATGGGTTCCATATTGGGTCGTAGACGGTAGGGACCGCCGCCAGACACAAGTCGTCAGAAAAGGGCAAGCAGTCAGCAACCACGGCGACATGGACGGAGCAAGGATCATTTGGGTAATCAGGACCCTTGTACGGATACAGCAAGTGGTCGAGGCAGTCTTACTCATCTGTTGTCTCACATAGTGTCTGTCAGACCTCGTGGGACATAGGACCAGACTGGTAGGCTGGTAGGCTGGTAGGCTCGTCAGCTCGAAGGAGGAGACCTCCGGGACGGCTAAGTATCTGGTGCCAAGGAACAGCGACGCAAATGGTATGGGAGCAGCCACCCAAGCAAGGTACTTCTCAGGCGCGATCTGCAGCCGTCACCCAGGCACAGGGGAGCGGAGAGGGGGCAGAGCAGGGGTGCCAAAGTGGCCATGAGTGCCTCACAGGAGCAGTCCCGCATTTGGCTTGCCTCGGTGGAAGCATAACGGCTTCTTAATGGAATCAGGTCAGAGTCTGGCAATGGCGAGGCATCGTGCCAGAAGACGACCTGAACTCGTTCAAGAGCGAGTCTAGAGTTCTAGCCCAGAGCAGCATTTTCCGGCATCGAATACGCAACGTAAAACTCGGTTCCGTACTACAGTGTCAACTGTAGACACTGAGTCGGGCTGCGGGCACCGCGATGCTTGTTTTCTGCTGTTTGTGGACGAGGCTGTCCGGGGAAGTACGTGTACGGCGCAGCAAGTTAAATGTATTGTTACAATAATGCGGGTGGCTCACGGACCCGGATGTCGTGCGTTGTGTGAGTGAAGAGTTGAAGAACAAACGGCCAACAAGCATGATCATCATGATCATATGCGAGTGGAGAGCCGAAAGAGGTTGGGGGATTGCCTGATTGGACGTTCGCCCTCAGGAAGCTCCGCTCCCCATAGCTCAGGCTGCACAGGCAGGCAGCTCGATGTCTCGCCCAGCAACACGGCCCGTGCTCTGCGGTGGAAGGAGCAATCCGGTCTTGCTTCATCGCGTTACTGACCGCTGACCAGTTTGCGGGCACCAGGTCAGCAAGAGAGCAGGCAACTCAACATTGACAGATAAGGTACCTATGTGAATTCGCATTCATTGCCATTTCTCTAGTTGTCTCTCCTCTCGTGCCGCCATGACTTCTCAACGTCTTCCCTGCGGCCTGCCTGCCTGCCTGCCTGCCTGCCTGCCTGCCCTGCCCTACGAGGCTACAAGGAGCCCCCACTCCAACCTCGTGAGGGGAAACGATGGAAACATTGCGGAAACGAACACACCTTACTGCCATGCCAAGACCAACCTAACACTTACATGTTATGAGGACTTCGCGATACCTAGACTACCTTCAGAGTCTCGACAGATATCTCTGTGAAAGGCTCGGAGGTTGGCTATGCGGAATAGCCATAGTACTCACTGGCCCCATCAGTACGGAGTACGTCGATACAATAAAATAAGAGACTGGTGAACCGGTGATCAACGCCGCATCACAGGTGCACGTGCCACGAGTACACACAGGCCTGTTCGTACTCACTCTCGGAGCCTGGTACGAACAAGAAATGGTGTACAGCTCAACACACTTGATCATGATTCGCAGACTGGGCCATGTGAGCACGTACAAATGCCAGCACAGCCATGCATTCAAGACCGACGATCTCTCGGGGTTGCAGCTGCATTCTGCAAGCCTGGAGAGGCTGGCCGCCGCCTGCCTCGCTGCTCAGGCAAGATAGAGGAAGAAGAAACCCCCAATTCTTCACTGGCGGGTTCAAGGTCTGCTGGTCGAGAATCATTCTGTCTTCTCCAAGATTGAGTCGCGGCGAGGCGCCGCCACGACACCCTCTTCCCTATTGAGCCTTCTTTTCGAACGCAACCACAATAGCTTGTGGCGACCACATTCATGTCGAGTCACAAGGCGGCCCGCGCGCCCCATCCCTTCTGCAGGTCTACGTCTAGTAATTAAATTATTGCTTTCTGGATGTGAGCAACGATCCCTGTTCATGCATCGATATACATGCCTGTCGTTCGCGCTGAGGTCAGCACCATCGCTGCTTGGGGAGGCAAAAGACCCACCATGGATGCTGGCAATTCCGAGGTTCCATCTTTTGAAAGCATCAGTAGTAGTCAATCTTGCGGCAAAGGCGTTGCAAGGTGCCTGCAGCTCCCGATGCGTCTGGATTGACAATGCCCGAGCGCTGCGTGCAGCGTGCTCGGGCTGCACGCAAGTACAACTTCTGCCGAAATCCTGGCTGAGCTGTGAGATGCACGAGGTGCGTGCGTGCGTGCGTGCGTGAGATGGAGGAAACTGCAGCCTCATCTAATTATTGCATATGCTGGTCGCATCCACCGCGGCTGTTCTTCGCCCGCAGTACCAACTTTATGTACATCGACCAACGCCGTCAAGACTTTAGTCCCCCTCTTGTGGCGAGTGTCACTCTGATATCGAGAGAGGTGTGAGTGAGTCTCGAACGGGTCGCAATGTGCTCTCACCCACCCAGTCACTGCAAGTAGGCTTGAAGCCATCCGTCATACGGACGCTCTGGCGATCATTTCACTGGAATTGCCCTTTGCTGGTGGCTGTCAGCGAACGACACACTGCTGAGATATTGCCGTATCGTTGGACTGTCAGCATCAGCCGGCGAGGTTGCTAAGCCGCCAACCATCCGGAAAGTGTAGCCCGGACTCGCTGAGCATCACGTTTTTGTTCCAGCAGCATGCACTGTTGCCGCCGTTGCGGATACTTATCTTTGTGTTCTGCCACGGCGATTTCTTTTTCTTTTTTCGAAAGCACTATGCGTATCAACACTTACACTTTTGCAGCACTCGCGGCCAGCGCCAGCGCACAGTGGACGGGATGGGCAAAGGACCAGGTCAACACCAGTATCTGCATATGGACGCTACCAAGAGGTATTATTTGACCTTGTACCTCTTTTTGTCGCCAACTCATGTATTGCAGCTGCGCTTGTTCGCGACACCGTGTACCTGGATGGCGGAGAGATATGGTGGTCGCGCGGCCTGGCCGATGGCCGATATGATCCCGCATCCGATACGGGCAACTTCCAGGGCCAGATCTTGACATACAATTTCAGCAATCCCTTCGAAGCAAAAGATAACACGACAGGCATCTTACTGAACAATACCATCTCAAAGGCTCGAGGTGGATCTGGCAATGCCAACCGCGCACCGAACGCCGTGGATGGCGGCATGTTGGCGAATGACTACCAGTTCTACATGTACGGAGGCGCTGTCCTCGTCGTCCCTGAGCAGTACGATGCGCCCGAGGAAGACGACATTCTCGGCTATCAAGTGTACCAATACGGGCCGGACAAACCTGCGTGGCAGCGTGGTTTTGATGAGCCCAAGCTCAACAATAATGTCACCCGCTACGTTGCCTACGGCGCGGCCGTCAGTGCGCCCTCGGAGAACAAGGCGTGGTACTTTTCAGGTTTGACGACGAAGAATCACACCGATATTTGGGTCAACCCAAACGTAGACGAAGCAGAACTCGCCAGAGAAACATCCGACAGACTAATCGAAGTTGATATGAAAGTCCAAACTTCCTTGGAGTGGTCCAACAGCTCCCTTTCTAGTGGTGTTGAAGGACGCTCGAACGCGGAAGCTGTCTGGGTGCCTGTTGGCGAGAAGGGTATCTTGGTCGTCCTTGGAGGTGCCACCCACCCATACTGGGCCAGCTTGACGCAAAAATCGAATGACCAGGAGTCCAGTGTGAGTGCTTCGGGTTGGGGGATGATGGCTACCACTGACGGTGACGATAACAGGAAGACGAAAGCCCCGAATTCATGAAGACGATTGACATTTACGACGTTGCGGGCGGCGATTGGTACAAGCAGACCACGGAAGGCGGTCCCGGCACACGTGCTCGAGGCTGCGCAGTGGTTGCTGTCGCGCAGGACTCTTCCAGTTACAACATCTACTACTATGGGGGCAACGACGGGCTGCACCCTCGTGAGCCCTTTTACGATGATGTCTGGGTCTTGTCCCTGCCTTCCTTCACTTGGACGCAGTTGAACAGGGGCGAGGATATCCATGCTCGAGCGGGGCACAAGTGCTTCAAGCCTTACGATGACCAGATGATGATTATTGGCGGCGAGACTGCCAAGGCTGGCACCTCCATTTCGTGCCTCAAAGATGGTCCCATTGTCATGTTCAACCTCACGAGCGGCGAATGGATGGATTCGTACCATCCAGATGAGTACGGTGCTTACGGCGTGCCTGACAAGGTTCGGGATACAATCGGTGGCGATGCGACTGGCGGGGCCACCATGACTGCCCCTGAGCCCTCGGGTTGGGATGATGATGGGCTGGAGAGCATCTTCTCCGAGACATATGACATGTCCAAGATCTCGACCTGGGGGCCGTATGCAGCTGAATCTGAACAGACCGGCCGGCCTGAACTGCCAAACGACGGAGAGGATGTCGGCGGAGATGGTGGTGGTGGCGGTCTACCTAGCTGGGTCGCCCCCGTGCTCGGTGTTGTTCTCGGTTTGATGGCTGTCACGGGACTCCTTGTCGGATGGTGCTTGATGCGCCGTCGGGGGATGTTCACAAGCCCTTCCAGCGACTACGGCACAGAGGATCCTGGCAATCGCATCGTGTCGTGGATCAAGGGTCAACCTACGGAGAAGGCGCCGACGGCGACCACATCCGACTATGCGCCCCTGAGCCCCCACATGGTGGAAGTCAAAGCCGAACCCATCGCGCCGCAGCCCATGCACTCGCCGCCCCCGACGACCGTCGAGGCCGCGGGTACACCCATCGCCGAGCTTGACGACACCTCGCCGCCTGCCGAGCTCTCCGGCACGGGGCTGTCCCACAGCGAGGTGATCGAGAAGCACTCACGTGTCGCTGGAGCTGGCACGGCATCGCAGCAGCGCACGTTGTCACAGTCGTCCTTCAACACGACCAACTTTAGCGGTGCCAGCTCCCTATCGCGGTCGTCCGCGGGCGACCTCGAGTCGCCGGCCATCCCAGTGTCACCCGAGCCGGGACAACAAGCGAGCTTTGGCCAGCATCAGCACATGCGCTCCATGTCTGAAGCGATGGAAGGCTACGAGTCGCGCCCCAGTCCTGGGGAGAGGCGTGTCAGCGATCAACTGAGTCCCATATCACCTCCCACAGCGGGCGATGCACCTGCTGACGATTACCTTGGTGCGCGGACGGCAATGGTCAGTCCTCTCCGAAGAAGCATTTTCCGTGAGAACGAGGACGATCTAGTCAAGGACAAATGACTAATGATATTGAACGTCAAAATGAAGAATTTGGTGGAATCTGTTCCCAGATACTGCACTGGGTAGCGTCGGGTACCGATAGGTTTTCTTTTCTTTGGACATTTGGTGTTGTGTCATGTTCAGATCTATACCTCAACGATCTCGTCTTCCTCATCCACAACCTCTTGAATCTTCCTCTCCGTTTCCTCGCCCTCGCCTTCCTCGTCACGCATCAGGACTTGCACCAGACGGTCACATGCCTCCTTTACATCGGCATCCTGTACGCGGGCGTGTGTCTCCCTCACAATGGGGTACACCTTGACCTCGCGCATCAGTTCTCGCCCCTTTCTTGTCGTAGTCAGAAGCATGAGTGTATCGAGATGCGTGACAATGATGGTGTTGTCGGGTTCCCGCTTCTTGTCAGGCGGCAGCAGCTGTAGATCCGGCAGCATGTCCATCGACTCGTCGACATCGTACTCCTCGCTGCCCATGATGGGCAGCAAGACATAAGTCAAGATACCAATCTCACTATCCGACATGAGCTCTGGGTGCGCGTGGACTTCGAACGCGACGTTTTTGATGGTGCTGGCGACGCCCTTTCGTCGAATCTCGCTCTTGTGCTCTGTGAATACGAGGAGTTTGCTAAGCGGCACAACGTCGTCGTACTCTTGCTTGGTGAGAAAGTACTTGCGTATCGACTCGTGCTTGGCCAAATCAGCGAAGCAGTAGGCCAGGTAGTCGTAGTCGGCGTGCTTGTTGTATGTCCCGTCCTGGCCCTTGACGAAAAGATCCATGAGCTGGTCCAGGATGAAATGGCTCTTGGAGAGGTCGTCTGGCGAAGGCTGCTTCTTTGTGTCGATAGTGGCGAGGGCTGCACTCTTGGTGAGGTTGGCGAGGAGCATGGTCAAGAGGTTGGCGTTGGGTTCCTCTGCGTTCTGGGGGGGGAACGCTGCGTCAGCAAGTATATAGTACGTCAGGGGCAGGGAGTTGTCACATACGACTATTTTCTGAAACAGAAGCTCGAGGAATTTCTCGTCCGTGGCGAGCATCTCTTGCACGGCATCTTCGCCGGAGAGGTTGATCAGCATGGTCAAGGCATGTTCTGCGATTTTCTGCCATCCATCATCAGCGTCTTCTTGTTCCGTGTCCGACTCCCCCTTTGCATTTTCGAGAGGTTGGACATACCGGATGGTCCCGGACAAGGACTCTCAAGTTTCTTATCGGGACATTGTCATTGGCTTTGAATATGCTTGGTTCCGATGTTGAATATGGCACCAGGTTCTCAACAGCGAGTTTGCGGATCTGCGGGTTTGGACTGGCGATGAAGCCAACGAGCTTGAATGGTGTTAACCAAGTTGAAAAAGGATGAGCCCGCCGTAGGGTATGAGATTTCTTCACTGTACCTCTTCAAGTTCTGTCGGCATTGTGAGACTGTATGTGTGCTGTGAAATGTCTTGTAAGAAATTGATTCTCAGTGAGACGAAATTCTTGGAGGGGCACTTTGACGTCGACGTGGGGTCGGAATTTTTCCAGGGGTCCTTAAGGTGGACTACCCAGCGTCATAGGTAGCTCGACTGAAAGATTCGTAGATCAGGGGCAGAGCCCCAAAATACGATCGCGTTATGCTTAATATCATTCGAAATTTGGCATTGTGAGTCCTACAGGCGAGGCCAGTGGAACACTTGACTCAGGGCTCGGTGAGCCCAACACATCCAGGCCGATGAGTCAACGGCCGGGGACACTTGAGTGGCTTCCCATGAGTCCGTCACCCAACGCGACAGTCACCCGGCTGACTTTACGCCAGAAATACATTTAAGTATTCAACGTATAATTCCTTCTCGCAGTATCGTTGACAAGCACGACTTTTAGTAGTGTACAGATTCAGTCACGTAACTTGCTTTGAATCACCATGGCCCTCAAGGTCGTCTTCCTCATTCCAGCACTAGTCCCGATATGGAAAGAGGGGTCCAGCTCTATCGATAAGCCACAAAAATTTGAAATTCCTGGGCAACTCCAAGATGCTGCTCCAAGTCCGCCATCGCTAGAATCGTCGTCTTGTCCAATTCCTCAATTCTGTACTCATTCACCATGCCCAAGGCCACTACCCCAAAGGGCCGCGATGCCCGTCGTCACAATCCGCTCGAAGATGACATTGTTGCCACCGGCGTCCTGCGCACCAAGCCTGGCAAGCGTAAGTCTCGCGCCGACAACGAAGACGAGAGCTTTGTCGACTCGAAAGCATCCAAGAATATTCTGCGCATAGGCAGAGAGCTAGCAGAGGAAGAGGATGCTTCGCGACCGAGATCACAAGCGCCAGCCGGTGCAGACAGCTTTGGATACGACTCCCGATTCGAAGAGGAGCAGGTCTATGGCGACGACGACGACGACGTGGCATGGGCCGATCAGGATGATGAGGAAGTCGAGGAGATCGAGGTGGATCCCGAGGATCTGGCGACATACCGAAAGTTCATGCCTGACGAGGAGGCTGATGACTTGCTTAAACACGGATGGGACCAGAAACCTTCAGGGGAGGAAGAGCACGAGGAGCCGGTCAATCTGGCTGATCTGATTTTGGAGAAGATCGCGGCCCACGAGGCCACTGAGGCGCGGAAAGCAGCAGGCGTCCCAGACGAGGACTACGAACTGCCGCCCAAAGTTGTCGAGGCGTACACCAAGTAAGGGCTTTCCCTTTTCAAACAGTAAGATCGAAACAGCTGACGTGAGCAGAATTGGCGAGATTCTCGCGCGCTACAAGTCAGGTCCTCTTCCGAAGCCCTTCAAAATTCTCCCAACTGTGCCTCACTGGGAAGACATCATCTTCGTTACCGAGCCCGAGAAATGGACGCCCAATGCCACATTCCAAGCGACACGGATTTTCGCCTCGAGCAAGCCAGCCATTTGCCAAAGATTCCTCGAGATGATTGTCCTCGAAAAAGTTCGAGAGGACATTTACGAGAACAAGAAGCTCAACGTGCATCTCTTCAACTCGCTCAAAAAGGCCCTGTACAAGCCATCGGCCTTCTTCAAAGGCTTCCTGTTTCCGCTCGTGAGTAGTGGATCCTGCACACTGCGCGAGGCACACATTATTTCTGCAGTCCTTGCCAGGGTTTCGGTCCCCGTGCTCCAGTCCGCGGCGGCGCTGAAGGGTCTCTGCGAGATTGCCGCCCAGGAGGCTTCGCAAGGCACCGAAGGTGGTGGCGCGACCAACATCTTCATCAAGACCCTACTGGAGAAGAAGTACGCCCTTCCATACCAGGTCATCGACGCACTCGTCTTCCACTTTATGCGCTTTCGCAGCATCGATCCAGCGAGTGTACAGGCAGGCAGCGACCCAATGGCTGGAGTGGCGGAAAACACGAGGAACAAGCTGCCCGTCATTTGGCATCAGAGCTTGCTGGCTTTCGCCCAAAGGTACAAGGGGGACATCACCGAGGATCAGCGCGAGGCGCTCTTGGACCTTTTGTTAAGCCACGGACACTCCGCCATCGGACCTGAGGTCAGGAGGGAGTTGCTTGTTGGGCGTGGGCGAGGTGTCCCCTTGGAAGCGCCGACAGTAGGCTTGGACGGCGATGATACCATGATGATTGATTAGGCGTGCCAGCGAGGAGGTGGCTATAGAAGCGACGACATGATGAACGGCGTTTGGCGCATGGAATCGGCTTGGACTTGGCATCAAAATCCGCAGCGAAAAGCTGGACGACAATGATATCATCTTTCACCTCACGCATGGACCCGTAACTCGAACATGATACGTGAAGACATTTTTGGCACATTTGACAATGCCGGAAGACCTCGCTCAGCAGCAACCTTCCTTCTTACCATTCTTCCGGTTCTGTCCCTTAGATGACGCAGGACAGTTGCTGGGAAGGCAAGACCAGATGTCTGCCCTGCCCTCCTTCCCACGTTCAAGGATATTGAGCGCCTGAAGGTAGGTATTGACAATTGTCTGGACTCGTGGTCCTTTACGACACCCTTTCCCATGTTCACGAAACCCTAAGGTGCTATACAAGGTCCCGAACCTCTGTTTTTGCCACTTTTCTTTGTTTATCTATATTCTTAGGTCCTCTACTTGCACAGTCAGTCTTTTCCCTGTACGTCTACGAAACGAGGTTCCCTGGCGCCGGTGCTCGACACCTTTCACGCCGCCTATGACATGCCTGGAGACAGGCCACTGTTCTCATCTTCTTGCTCCTCACCGACAGTAGCCGGGCCTGGTCTCGAGTCGTCATTCCAACAAGTCTCGGAAGCGCCTGTTCAGCCTTCCCTCACCATCGGCGAACAATCGCATCGACCTGACTCCCAAGCCATCCAGCCGTTCCCAGTCACCTCTGCGACCAGCACCGCGCAGCCCGCGTCATCTCTTCAGGTCGACGACGTCGATCCGCCTCGTCCACCTCGTGATGGACATGAATGGGTATGGTATCCTGACGGCTTCTAGGCGGAACGTCAAATTGGGACTTTTCCACAAAGCAGCGCCTCGTCTATACTGTGGCGTTGCAACTCTCGCTCCGTCTTCTCCACTGGTGATATTGACAGCTCGCCCGTCCACCTACCTCTTGTCAGACCAACAACGCCTGCGCCTGGCTCTCGAAATGAACCCGTCTTTGTTGCTAACCCGTTCTTGCACGAGCATACACATGTACGATCGCTACAGCGGCCACATATCGAGGCTCATCTAGCTCACCTGAATCATCGGCGCGATCACGGTGCGATCAGCTTCCCTCAGCTCAACACAACTGAAGAGACAGTCTCCAAGGACACAGATAGTGCGCTGCACCGGGCTGCCAAAATCAAGTCTGGTCCCAACCACGGCACGGCGCGAAAGCTATTCCTCAAGATGAAGCAGGGTCTAGAGGCCAGACTGAGAGCAACAACGCAAAGAGAGACGCCCAGCCTCCCCAAATCGAACGACAACGTAGCTCAAACGACCGCAGTGATTGACAGTGCGAGGCAGAATCGCGGTGTAAAAGTAGTTCCAGGGATGGAAGACGACAGGACGCAACCAACTGCCTCGAGAAAGACCTTTAGGAAGGCGCCTTTGCATCGCAAAGAGTCGGGTGAAACTCTGGGCAGTGTGACCAGTTCCGTCAGGGAATTCATGCGCGCTGATACTCCTTCTTGCATCCCCACGTCAGATTTGACATCGCAGCGTAGGTTCCTCGATTGTTTGTACCCCCTCCGCGAAGTTAACGCGTGAGCAGGGACGACATCGAATCGCTCTATATCATACCCTGGCAACGTACGTTGACCCATACATGAACATAGAAAAACAAGCTAATGAGGTTCAGGAGGCGGTCAGAATACCGACACCGCCACTTGACGAACCTATGCCCTATGGCAGGCCTCGAGGCTACTTCAACTCGACCACGCCTCCACGTATGGATGGGAGCGGCAACTCCAGAGCGAGATATCCGTTTTGCTCCCCCGTCACAGAAGGTCGCCGAGGCGGTAACACATCTCGAAGCGGGGCTGGGGGGCCCCATGAAACGTGGGAGTGGCTGCCCGAAAGGCCAGTCCGCCGCGCTCTATACACTCAAGCTCTTTGGGATATTCAACGTCGATCCTTTTCAGAGGGACACCCAGCCAGGGCATTTGAGTTTCGCATACGGAGACATCTGCCTGACAGTCCTCTCTGCCCATCCAACCATAGCCTCCCAAGGACCTGTATGGGAGTGTGCGTTTATCACGGCCGACGGAAAGCCTCAATAGCCCTGCAGGACAAGTTCAGCGGCGTCAGTCTTGCCTGAATGGTGGTTACGAGGATGCTCCTATATCTAGTACCCCTAAGATATCGCCAAAGTCCACCTCAAAACATAGAGTCCAGTGAATCATTCCAGCTTGAGATCCTTGCTCGAGACACGCCAGCCCCAACTTCACGAAGTCGTGGCAAAGCTTTGGCAAATCAGTTTGCACATTAGGCACTTATATGCAGCACTCTCGACATTCGAGCCCTATGGGAAATCCCTCCTTGCCATATTTACAGCGTCCACCATTTGCGCGCCCGACGCAAACCCCGAGTACCCCAGGCCCTCGCCCCACGAGACGCCGATGGACAGCGCGCCCCAGATCCAACGGTCCATATTGCCGTCCAGCTCCCACAGCGGACCGCCTGACTGTCCGCCGGAGGTATCAGCATCACTGTACACAGGCCCGGTGGCGTCGCAGTCAAGACTATTGCTCGAGTGCACCGTCACGTCGATGATGCGCTGGGGTGTGCTGCCGCCGTCCTTGTCACCAGGATAGCCGAGATGGTAGAGGGCAGGTTTGTCGAAGAGGGAGGCGTCGGGCACCTTGACACCAAAGTACCCCAGTTCGTCGCCGAGTTTCTGGTCCAGCACGAGGATAGCCCAGTCGGCCTTGGTCTCGCACGACCCAGGCTGCTCGCCGTCTGTCTTGAGAACATGCGTGATTGCCGCGTGACCGAAGCGCTCTCCGCCGTCATACCCAGGTGCAAAAGTCCCGCTGACGGAACCTTCTTCCGGTATACAGTGACGCGCAGTGAGTACATGACGAGGGCCGACGAGGGCACCCGAGCAAAAGATACCATTCGCCCACACGAGTCTGCCGACGGAGTGGAAGGGAAACTCAGAGACACTCCAGCGGTGGCGGTCATCCGTGGTGCCAACGATGAAGCGCTTGACAACCTCGATGAGCTGGCCCGCATCAGGTGTGTACGGCGTGGCGATGGGGTACTCGCTGCGCACCACGTTCCCGCTGGTAATGTGGTGAGTGCTGGGGATGATGGGCTCCTCGCGCCGGCTCAGTGTCTTGTCGGAAGTTACCACCAGCGTTTCGTCGAATCCAACAAGATCGTCTATGATGGGGTTGTAGACACTGGTCCTGTCGATGGGTTTGGCCAGTACCCCTGTGTGGAGAGCGAGCGCAGCCACAGCTGCACATCTAATCAAGCTAGCCATGTTGAAGAAAATCGGAGGAACTGTTGTCGTGAATGTCTCTTGAAGGTCTTTCACACGAAGGACCAAGACCTGGTAACGAATGAACTATAGAAATGAATGGAAAGAGACCAGCTCGACGTTGTCCAGATGCAACGATGTAGAAAGGAATGTATGAAAGAGAAGGGAAAGCACGAGAGAGCAGAAGACCGCGTGGTACAATGAATAACCCTGGGAAGGTCGATGGGCGCCAGCGCCTGTCGTCGTCTTTATATGATATGGTGGGCGTCAAGGGTGGTCGCCAAGGAGGTCGCCTCTGACTGTGCGTTGTGCTGCTACACAGGATGCACGAGGCTAAGGGCCACTGGCGGTACGCTCCTCATTATTTCCTCCAGGATCGCGGGGATTGATCATGCATGCATGAATGTACTCTATGCAGCTATCACCAGAGTCCAAGCGAGGATTGATATCTCTCTGGGCCTGGCATGATGGAGAGATCCAGGGATGACATGGTAGAACCTAGACATTATGGGAATGATGAAACAAGTAACTTTGCAAAGCCGCCAGTAAGGTTCAGCATGCCATCCTTGCGCAATGCCCAGTCAAACTGACACAAATCATTACCCAGAAACAAGGCAGGCCTAGTGCAACCCTTAAAATGCAAAGCCAGGCCAGCTACCTCGAAGGCATTCCGGAACAAAGCGTGCAGTGTTGCATGGATCTTTGAGCTTGTTTCGCCACACCCGCGTTTGATCTGCGTCTGAGCACGCGGGGTGGCCTTCGTTTCGGTCTTCATCGCATAGGTTAGCCAGGGAATCAACCCATGTGCCTGCATACTGCTCGTCGACGGCCTACGTAGTACACGATGGCAGACAGATTAAGGGTCGGTCCAGAGGCTGGCATGACTCGGCCACGCGGTGCGACGCATCTTGGCTGTTGGCGGATTCCCCGCCAAGGTGATTCTAGACTGTAAGCTAACAATAGACTGGTTGGCGACGTTGCTGAGTCTACGTGTGTCGTGTGGACTTGGCCGACGCCCGGCGCTTAATCTCATGCAGACGATACGTTGTCGAGGCGCGTCGGCAGTATCCGCTAGGGCAATGCACTGTGACTGGATCTTGGGTCCTTGCCATGAAACTGTGTTGCAAACGCTGGCTCGTCTCAAATCAATGCATGCTGTGTGTGTCGACTCAAGAGGATAATGTTTGTTTGGGCAACTTTTTGACAGGCCTAGGCTGCCTTTTGCAGCCCCCATGATCTCAGTCAGCTGCACAGCACGATAAAGGCATCACGTGACAGCGCGTTGAGACATGGCATCTCCATGACCGGTGCAGACAGTAGGCAAACAAAGTGACTGAGAGGTCTGGCATTATTGGTATTGATATTGTCTACAATATTCATATCTGCCGTTTTTTGGATACAAACGTCGAGATAACCTAAGCACGGCCGCTTGGCCGAATGGCGAACAAAGAAGCCTATCGTGTAGGGTAGTCAAGACACGACCCTAGCGATCTGTACCCCGAGCGCGCCTGACCTCGCTCGACGCGTCTTTATCTAAGAAATTACCTGTTACTGAGCGCCAGCTTCCAATCTATACAATCACGCGCTACATTTCAACGATCGCCCGAAGAAGACGCCTGAGAATCAGATTCAAGTCCCCAATGCGATTTTCGCCGAAGCCCGATCGATGACGATTTCCAGCAACGAAGCTGTGAGCCCTAGCGGTTCGCAGCCTGTTGACTCTCCTTCCAAGACCACCGTTTCAGCAAAGAAGCGGAAGCTAGAAGAGTTCACGTCTGCGCCAAACGATTCCAATGCGTCACAAGCAGGTTCTCCCGCTCCCAGCAATGCCTCCGTGCCGTCCCCAGCCAAGCATCGCCGACCGCCACTCGACTTCAAGACAGGGAAACCAGTGGGCGACAAACCTCGCCGACCACCACTCAATTTCAGGACTGGCAAGCCCGTAACGGAACCGATCAAGGGACAGCCAAAGTTCTCAACTGAAAAGGGCTCCTCGCCAGTCAAATCGCCAGCGAAACCGCCAGCCAAGTCACCAGCGAAAGCCTCGCCCACGAAGGCAACACCCACAAAGGCAACGCCCACAAAGAGACCAGTGGGGAGGCCGAGGAAAACGCCAATCCCGATAAAAAGAGTGGAAGAAGGCGACGACGATAACGAAGATGTGCTATCGGCGACTGAGAATTTTGGGACGCCGTCTAAGAGCACGGGGAAGCGACTCTGGGGTCCAACAGCAGCTTCCGCCACGCCCCGAGGGATTCTGACACCTTCGAAGAATCGGGTAGTGACGCCCAAAAGCGTTAAATTTGATAAGCAAATTGGCACAGAGCTGTTTTTCGCGGATCTACCAAGCAAAGGGACGCCGGCGTCCACTAAACCCCAGCATGAAGCTGAACCGGCGGCTGATATCGTCTGCGGCGTGTGCCGCAAGCCACAATCGAAACCACCGAACGAGATCATTCTCTGCGATAATTGTGACTATGCTGTCCACCAGCTCTGTTGCGGTGTTGAGGAGATACCCGAGGGCGACTGGCTGTGTAGAAGTTGTTCGCAAGAAGATGCTATCAACACTACACCAAAAGCAAGTGCCCCATGGGCATTGAAAGCCACGGTGGCACCAGTGCCCACAGCTCCAGTTGAACTGCCAGATATCCCGAATCTGGAGCAACATGTGCGGTCATTGCAGCGCGTTCTCCTGGACCGGTGCCTGGGTCAACGGAGGATCGAAATGTTTGGGCTGCACGAGGTACGCGAGAAATGCCACCAGATGATCGAGCAGACCGTGGTAGCTGGTGAGGGCAACTCCATGCTGCTCATCGGCGCCAGAGGCAGCGGCAAGACGACCATGTTGGAGAATGTAATTGACGACATCCACGAGGAGCACAGTAGCGACTTTCACGTGGTACGACTAAACGGCTTTATACACACTGACGACAAGCTCGCATTGAAGGAGATCTGGCGTCAGTTGGGGAAGGAGATGGATGTGGAAGATGACCTGATGAACAGGACAAACTACGCCGATACCATGGCGTCGCTTCTAGCCCTGCTTTCTCATCCGTCAGAGATTCTAGGCACCGACGAGGGCGTCACATCCCAGTCCATCATTTTTGTCATTGACGAGTTCGACATGTTCGCAGCGCATCCCCGACAGACGCTACTATACAACCTTTTCGACGTAGCACAGTCTCGAAAGGCGCCCATCGCAGTATTGGGTTGCACAACACGGCTTAATGTGGTTGAGATGCTCGAGAAGAGAGTCAAGAGTCGCTTCAGCCACCGCTACGTCTACCTCACCATGCCTCGGTCATTGCCAGCATACTGGCAGGTGTGCAAGCAGGGATTGCTTATCGAGGAGAAGGATGCGAGCAAGGAGGGCCTTGACGTGGACCTAGATGGATATGCGCAATTCCACCAGTACTGGAACGCGAAGATCGAAGGCATGTACAAGCTCCACGCCTTCCAGGAGTTGCTGCAATATCACTACTACACGAACAAGTCGCCGTCAGCTTTCTGCAACGAATGGGTGCTCCCTTTGGCATCACTGTCGACGACGAATCTAAACCTCGAGATCCCGTCCATCGCCTCGCAACTGACATCCCTGAGCTCGCCCGAGTCGAAATTAAATCTGCTTCCGGCTTTGTCGGACCTTGATCTAGGCTTGCTTATCGCTGCGGCCCGTCTGGACATTGTTGCTCATACAGACACGGTCAACTTTGCAATGGCCTATGACGAATACACTTCACTCGTGGGCCGGCAGCGCATCCAGTCTGCTTCGTCGGGAATGCTGGCGGTGGGAGGCGGTGTCCGCGTGTGGAGCCGTGGTGTCGCGGGCATTGCGTGGGAGAGACTGATCAGCCTGGGCTTGCTCGTCCCTTCTGGAATCAACGGAGGCAAGGGCATGGCACATGGAAGCCTAGAGGGGCGGATGTGGAAGGTTGATGTAGCGTTGGAGGAGATACCCCTCGGTGTGAAGCTGAGCAATGTGCTGGCCAAGTGGTGCAAGGAGCTGTAGGTGCTCAGACAGGCTGGCTGCTACTATACTTCTGGAAGGTGGACACATAGAAAGACATGGATGAATTGATGATCATGCTGGGCCTCAGAGAGACTGAGTCTGGTCCTGGACCCTGAAGCTGGGGCGGGTGGGGCCCGCGTCACCGCCAGAGCTCCTCCGAGTCGAGTCGTGCATCATGATCCACCCGCGCCTGCAGCTGCAAGCAGCGTCGCCTTTCCCCAAGGACAGCATCTTCGTGTCCTCGCATCATCCACCTTTTGAAACACTGCTGCCGTCCATTGGTTTCTGTCTTCCTCGCACAACTGACCCCGCCTTCGCAGCCACCATCGCACCAAGCATCATCGACCCTGGCGCGTGTTACGTGCAGTCCCCGCCGCCTCCTCCATCTCCTCACCCTCCTCGTCCTCCTCCTCGCCGTCACCCTGGCTTCACGCGCCTTTCCCCGTCTGTCCTCTGTCGTCAATCACTTCAGACCACCCACTTTCCAGTCGTTTCTGCCCATTCGCTCTGTCACGACAAGTACCATGGCCAGCGCCAAGTTCAAGCAGCCGCCGCAGGCGCCACCACTCTTCACTCACACGGCCGAGTCCATCATCAGCGAGACCGAGCGACTGAATGCTGAGTACAAGAAGGACCTTGACGACATTGTAGCAAAGGTCAAGCCTGAGAATGCCACCTTCAAGAACACCATTGGCCCCATTCTCGTGGACGACGACGGTTCGGCTGTCCTCCGTCGAGTCCTCAACTTCTACCAGCACACCAGCCCCGATGCGAAGCTGCGCGATGCGTCGACCAAGGCGGACGACATTACGAGCGACTTTGATATCGAGTGCAAGATGCGCCAGGACGTCTTTGACGTTGTCGAGGCGGCCTTCAACCAGCGCGAGTCTGAGAAGCTGGACAACGAGTCCCTGCGCGTGCTGGAGAAGGAGCGTAAGAGGTACGTCCGCAATGGACTGCTGATTCCCGACGGCCCCAAGAGGGACCGTTTCAAGGAAGTGCAGAAGCGCCTGGCGCAGCTCTGCATCCAGTGCCAGAAGAACCTGAACGAGGACAAGAGTGCTATCTGGTTCACTCCTGAAGAGCTGGATGGTGTACCAGAGGACGACATCAACATTGCCGATCTCGAGAAAGGCACGGGCGAGAATGAGGGCAAGGTCAAGTTGACCTTCAAATACACTCACTTCTTCCCTGTTGTCAAGTACGCCAAGAACGCGGAGACGAGGTCGCGCTACGTAATCGAAGATGCCAACAAGGCCAACCACAACGTGCCGCTCTTCCAAGAGATCCTCGAGCTGCGCGATGAAGCTGCCCGCTTGCTCGGGTACCCAAATCACGCGAGCGTGAACATTGAGGAGAAGATGGCCAAGTCGCCGGCCAAGGTCAATGAGTTCTTGGGCGATCTCAGGACCAGACTGGCCGAGGGTGGCAAGAAGGATGCCGCTGCTCTGCTCGAGTACAAGAAGAAGGACTACGCCGAACGTGGGGAGGAGTTTGACGGCAACTTCTACATGTGGGACACATCCTTCTACTCTCGCATCATGAAGGAGAAGGAGTACAATGTCGACGAGATCAAGATCTCACAGTACTTCCCAGTCGAATCAACCTTTAACGGTATGCTCAAGATCTTTGAAGAGATCTTTGGTCTGCTCTTTGTCGAGGTCACGGGAGAAGACCGCAAACAAATCAGCAAGACGGGCAAGGCCGAGGACATTGTTTGGCACGACGAGGTCCGCCTGTACTCTGTCTGGAACGACGAGGCCGATGGCGGTGAATTTGTTGGCTACCTCTACATCGACCTGCACCCCCGCGAGGGCAAGTACTCTCACAACGCCAACTTCAACCTGGAGCCTGGCTACGTTCGCACGGACGGATCGCGCAATTACCCTGCGACCGCGTTGGTCTGCAACTTTAGCAAACCATCGGGCAAAAAGCCCTCTTTGCTCAAGCATAATGAGGTGGTGACGCTCTTCCACGAGCTGGGCCACGGTATCCACGACCTTGTTGGCCGCACCCAGTACAGCTACTTCCACGGCACGAGCGTGGTGGGTGACTTTGTCGAGGCACCCTCCCAGATGCTGGAGAACTGGTGCTGGACACCGTCCGTGCTCAAGTCGCTGTCGCGCCACTGGGAGTCTGGCGAGACGATCCCCGACGACCTGGTGTCGAAGCTCATTGCGACAAAGAACCTCAACTCGGCCACGTCGAACCTGGCGCAGGTGCTGATTGGCACCTTTGACATGACAATTCACAGCCCCGAGTCGCACGAGGCTATCAAAAAGATGGACGCTGGCAGACTATGGAACCAGCTCCGTCACGACATTTCGGGCATCAAGGGTCCAGAGGACATTGGCAAGGGATAGTAAGTCTTCCTCGTGTACGCTGAACCTGCGCTAGAATCACACTAACGACTGCAGTAACTGGGGTAATCGCCATGCCAACATCGGCCACTTCATCGGTGGCTACGACGCTGGTTACTACGGCTATCTCTGGTCCGAGGTATTCTCTACCGACATGTTCCACACGCATTTCAAGGCGAATCCCATGGACAAGGAGCAAGGTCGTCGGTACCGCAAGGTCGTGCTGGAGAAGGGCGGTGCCCAGGACGAGATGGAGTTCCTGACAGAGTTCCTGGGTCGGGCTCCCAGTACAGAACCCTTCTATCGCGAGCTGGGCTTGGCGTAAGGGTTGGCATTCTTTAAATAGATATTAGCACGAGGCTGGGTTCAAAAGGCCTAGTGAATAAGTTATGCGCCAATATATGAACTACCCTAGACCTTGGGCTTGTCGACGCCGCTGATCGATGGACGACGTCTCCCTACCCTGTCTTGCACTATCTACTCATGAGTATGCACAATGCCAGACAACGAACGACTTGGACAAGTATCCGGGAATTGAGGCATTCGACTGCCCCTATGGTACGTACGCGTGCTGAAACAGCCCATGGCCTTGTGTGCGGTCACGGGGTCGAGATGAGACAAGACGGACAGGACGGCACTGCCGCCTTAGTGCTGGCATCACAATTAGCTGAGCTTGGTAGGATTTGACGCCAATGCGGCATCCTGGTTTGTTTTCGGCCATAGCGTCGACAGACCTTGATACATCTCGCTCTCCCATCCGTCCCCTCAAACGCAACTGACCTCGCTCACTCACTCACTCACTCACTCTTCTCTCATTTCGTCCGTGCCTTGCCCACAGTGAACGCTCATGAGCAACCCTGCAGCAGCATGACGATGCAGAAGCGCACCACCTTCACGAGCATAACGCCACTGCCACCTTCCATCAACCGCCAGCAGGCCGTGGCGTTCCTTCACGACCATGGGCAGATGATCGACCTCAACCCGCTGGTCGTCAAGCACAATGTCATCCCGCCGCCCGACCACGCACCGCCCGAGGAGGCGCACTGCGAGTGGCACTCCATCACCGACAGGATCGAGTACATTCCCGGCGTGACGGCGCTGTCCGGCCTGACGACATACACGTGCTGCTTCCACGACATGGCCTGGGGTCTCCAGACGCACTGCTACGCCGGCTTTGGGCTCGAGATTCGCGACAAGTGGAGCGTCGGGGGCAACGAGCCCGGCGAGGAGCCCGAGCGGCACGAGATTGGCATGGGCATCCCCGCCGAGGGCCTCTACCTCCGCGAGGAGGTGGACTTTACCTGCAACGTCCTCATGGCTGCCTTTGTGCGCAAGACGATGAAGAAGGCCCACGCGCACCTCGTCGAGGCCCTAGCCAACAAGGCCGATCGCGAGACCCGCGAGGGAGACCTGGTGGGCCCGCAGAACGGCGGCGCTTTTGTGTCAACGAGGGCAGGGCAGCAACAACAGCAGTATCATCATCAGCATCATCATCGAGGGTCGGTGGGAGAACTGCATGGAACTCCGATTGCGCTTGCCGAGGCCCCGGGGAGCGAGCCTGCGCCGCGAAGCCCCATGCATCGGCAATGATACGAAGAATAGGCCACTGTCATCCCGATGCGAGCTGAGAAGGGACGGTGCTCAACAATCACTACCAAGGAACAAAGACAACGATTTCGGAAATTTCAATCATTTTGGATTTTCTCGCTGCCCATCTGGACTATAAACCCCCTCCCCCCCTCACCAACAAGAAAACCATGAAAACGAAAATAAGATATGCTGTTGCTCTCCACAACTGTGTGCTCCTCATCATCGGCGTGCCCTTACAGGAAGAGACCAAGAGCGGCGAGACCAGCCATGGCGGCAACGCCAACCTGCTCAGCACCAGCCACGAGGGTAGGCTCGGCAGGGCCGTCAGTGGTGACGACGGGGACAACGGGCTTGGTGATCACGGTGGGCTTGCCGGGCGGTTGCGGGATGGTGGCGGTGGGCTGGACCTCGCACGTGTAGCAGGGCTATGGATGTTGTCAGCGTGGTTCGTTACATGCCTTCTGGGGGGGGTTTCAGAGTCTTACCTCGACAATGGTGCAGGGGCAGTCGGTGATGGTGAGGGTGGTAGCCTCGGTGACGGTGTACTTCTTGTCGCCGAGCTCGAAGATGGTGGGCTCGGGGCAGTAGGTGGTGTACACGTCGACGACCTTTGTGGTGGTCACGACGGTGCCGTTGTGGGCGGCTGAGACGGCGGTGGCGGCAGCGGCCAGGGTGAAGAGGGCAGTCTTGGAGAACATGTTGAAGTTTTGGTTGGTTGGGAGGATGGTTCGATTGAGTAATATCCGAAAAAAAGAACTTGATAGAGTGGCCAGAAAAAGAGTGACTGGAGTGAGTGAAAGACGGTTGCTTAGCGAGTGGATGATGGGCTGTGTGTGCTGAGGAGGCAAGAAGAGAACCGACCTGGACCGGTTCACCAGACGTCCTTTTATGTCTTCATCGAGAGAGCTCTTGTCGCGTACTCGACACAACAAGGTCAACAATAACGACCCGTAGATCCGTCCAGGCAAGACAACAACATGGCGTTGGCATTCGCTGTGGGCCGAGACGGTATCGAGGCTCTCGCGTCGCCATTCCAGCTCGCAGCACGGCAGATTACGAGGCATGCCAGTCCACAGGCAATTCCCATCTCGACAATTATGCAACACCGCGTTAACGACGGTCCCACATTCCCAGCTGAATGCATGCGATTCTGGAATAGGATCATTCATTGGGACCTGGGTTGGTTGTATTGAATGGGGGGCCCGTCCTCGCCCTCTCTCTGCATAGTTCGCTCTATGTACGTACATGTAATGTATATCCACGACAAGCTTTCCCGCACACGGTTCATCCATCCATCCAACCTGGCCTGACTGACCATGTCTCACCAGCCGCGGCTGTGCTCCCGGCAGCTCAATGCTGGTCATAAGGGGTCCCCCATCTTCCGACAGCTTCTTCCGCAGGCGAGCCATTCTACAAGTCGAGCCGCTCGGGCAAAAACAATTATTCTCGGGAAAATCCGTGTCGATGACAATGGCCCTGTCCAGAGCGCATCGTTCTATGCCGTTTCTCAAACGCCTTTCGTATTTCGTTTCCTCTGCCTCTCCGGTGCACAAACAAAATTCCGCCAAAGGGTGCTTTGACGATCGCGAACCGTCAGCACCAATCCAAGCAGCATCACGACAGATACGCCTCTCGTGGTCGCAGCCAGAGAGCCAATGCGATCGCAGATACAAAAGCCAGGCTGGCCATGAAACGAAGAGTGAATGGGAAAACAAAAGGAATCAGAAAAGAAATAATAATAAAAAATAAAAAAAATCGACAAAACGCCACTGATGCATATGCGATATGCGACATGGGTGTGAGAAGAGTCTATACGCGTGCACGATACGTGAGTGCCGGCAGTCGATGGAGGGCGGCAGTCGAGTCGTTCGTGGAATCATCTGGCGCCACAGGGCTGACTGGCTTGCTTGTTCCAGGACTGGAGCCCTGCCTAGGCCTGGCTCTGCCAATACAATGTCGCCAGTTCAGGCGACTCCCAAGGCGGGCCGGGAGCGAGCGACATACTCCTCGAAGCTGGGTCGCTCGCCAACAGCCCAGGTACAGCTGCAGCCAGCGCGGACGTCTGACTGACTGTACAGTGCGCCCAAGTCAGCGCCAACATTGCACTTCTTTGGTGTCCGCTAGGCCACGAGGGAAACCATCGCAGCCAACGATCAAGGGGAAGCGGCCCGCGACGAATTCTCGTCGGGTCGGCCGATTACTTTCGGTTTGACCGACTCTGGCTGCGCTCTGGGCCGCGGCCTAAATTATCGAATTCGTTGTTGCGTAATTGCTGTTCGTATTTGGGGCTGCGAAGGAACTTGGGCACCGAATCCTATAATCGGGTTAGTTCCTATAACGAAAGAAACTCATTGGTTCCACTTACGCTAGCCATTAGCTTGAAGACGGCGTTCTGCGCATCCTCAAAGAGGGAGGTGACCTCTTGCAGCGTGTCGACCATGGCGACGTCCTGCCCGACCGCCTTGGTCATCCGGGTGGCCAGGTTGTTCCTCAACTGGTGATCAATGTTGAGCTCGCAGGGCGAACCGGGCGCCAAGAAAGCATTGTAGATGCCGTAGGCCTGAGCCATAATCTCCTTGACGCTGTCGAGCGATGTGGCCGAGGGGTTCTTCTGCGCGAGCCTGATGGCAGCCTTGCACGACCGGACGAATTCGTCAACGTCCTTGTAGAAGGACAGGTTCTCCTCGCAGTGCGTCTCCCGCAGGTTCTCGCGGAAGAGCAGACGCAGGGCAGGATCCGCCAGGATCTTGTCCAGTCGCTGCGTGTTGGAGTCCCTTGTGATGGCGTTGCGAGAAGAGCTACCGCCGCCCTCGCTTTCTGACTGGCGGCCCCGGTTGTGGCCGGCAATCACGTCCTTGCCACGCTGGGTGATCTGGTAGATGGCGTATTTCGTCGGTTGGAACATGTTGCTCCCCGCATTTTGCGACATAAAGTTGCGATCCTGCGCGACGGGCTCCATGAGGTCGTACTCGACAAACAGCGTCGCAATCTCCATGGTCTCCCGGCGGTCGACAATGGTCGAGCAGTCCATGAGCCAGTCTGACGCAGCCTTACCCGTCAGGGTCTCGCGGTATGTCTTGCCGTTGATCTTGCGCTCGGCCGCCATCTTGACGCCCGTGAGGCCATCCCGATAGTCATGCAGCGACTCGGAATCGGCGGCGTTGACGCTGGGCTTGACATTGCGTCCCTCGGCGCCAGCGAAGCGGCGAAAGATGACCTCGATGGTGCTGCGGTCATGCATGAGCTTGTCCGTCTGCAGGTCACGCTCGAGTATCACGAGCTGCGTCGAGTGCAGGGCCGTGAGCTCGGCCACCTGCTTTTGCTGGATGCCGTTCTTTGAGCAGAACCTGTCCAGTACCGTGACGCCCTTGGGGGTCAACTGCCACACGGAGCCCTTCATGTTGTACACCTGCTGGTACTTGCCGTCAGCGCTCTCAATGAAGCGAGCTTCGAGGAAGCGCTGGCAGATGGACCGCGCCATGTCCTTGGCCATGCTAAAGGTGGTGGTGGTCGTAGTGGTCACAATTCGCGACGGGTCTTTGGGGTCTGGCATGCGGTTGGACTGGGAGAATTTGAGCGAGCCGAGGTTGTTGATAGCATCCTCTGACAAGAACGTGTAGTCCACCTTGGACAGGCGGACACGGTGCGAGGAGAGCGGCAAGAGGCTGACGATGAGGGTCGAGAAGAGGTCCTTGAAGTCCTGGGCTTGTCAGCGGCGGGGCACAAGAAAAAGCAGAACACCACTCTGCCCAGCAGGGACGGTCTTTACCTTTGTAAATGGACGCTCATCGTCCGTCATGCGCAGTAAGCGCGAAGACGTCTGGTGCATCTTGCTGTCGCGTGGGGAGACCTTGACGGGTGGTGGCGTGTTGGGGTCTGTCTCGGAGTAGGGCTGGGACAGGAGTTGCTGCGAGTCCGTGCCGGCGGCGGGAGTCTGGGTCTTGCCTTCAGCAATGGGACCGTGCGCGAGCGATTGATTCGACGGGATCCGAAAGATGGACTTTCTCGCCGGGCTCGTGGGCTCTGAGCTTGGGAGGTGGCCAGGCGTGAAAGAGAGCCGGGCGAGCGAGTGGCGGGGTCGGACAGTTGTCTTGTCAAAAGCGGCGGCGGCGAAGGAAAAGATGCCGCTGGGGGAGCGCTGGGGTGTCCTGCCAGAAGAGAGGGACGGCGAGCTGGAATGCCGCAAGAATTGAGTTGGTGGAGGCGCTGAGGTGGAGTTGTCGCCGTCCTCAAGCTGCTGTCCGTCTTGAGAGGGTTGAGGCTGGGATTGCGTACTTGCAGCAGTGGCCGCCGTGGTGTGAGGTTGATGATGATGATGAGGCTGGGTGGAAGAAGAGGGGGGGGAGGAGGAAGAAGAAGAGAAGTCCAGTTCCAACGTCAGTGAATCAGGTATCGAAGGTCGCGAAACAGCGGCCATCTAGGTGGGAAGAGGCTAGTAGGGGGCCTATTCGCTTTTGGGGGATCGGACTGGACTGGCTGGCGGAGGGCTGGAGAAGGTTTAGGTAGCAAACAGGTCCAGGATGATGGACGGGGGACTGGAAAGTAAGGTCAGGCAGACAAGCCAGCCAGGAGGATGGATGAGATTTGAGAGCTGAGGAGTGAGCCCCGAAGAATGAGAATAGGCGTGTGTTTTAGTGTGGGTGGGTTCCCTTGGTTTGGGGACGATGGAACTGGACGACTGGAGGCGTGGACAACGGACGGGACCGACTGGAGACAAACCAGACAAACTCCAGTCCCAAGCTAAGGTAAAAAAAAAAGTAGGCAACGGCGGTCACGTAAAAGGATTTGTTGTTGCTGGTGCTGAACATGGACAGCGCTCGCTCGGATGAGTTTGCAAGGAGCAGAAAGGGCAGCGGGACAGACACAGAGGAGGAAAGGGGATCAGCCGGCTCCAAGGCAAGATACCTACGACATATCTCGAATGCATCTCTTCACGATTACTAGGTTGATTCGTCTTAATTACCTAGCACTCTACAGAACACTGTCCATTCCGGACAGTCCACTCCAGTGCCTCATCAGTCGCTGGAGCCGTCCGCACTTTTCAGGCACTGCACACGCGCTGCAGGACCTGGAGGGGGTGCGGTGAGAATGTGGGTCGATGCATGCATTGTACAGTGTCAATACACCCACAATTATTACCACCCCTCCGGACTGGTCCCTTTATCATGTCTCCAGTACAAAGCCCCTCCACAGGGCGAGCTGTCAACGGCGGGAGGGGCAACAATTGATAATTATTACGGATTGAAGACCTCGAAATGTCCGCCCAGTCATGCTGGTCGGGTCTTTTTGACTGATTAGCGGGGCGCCAACGATTCTCGCGGTCTGGCAAAAGCCGCAAAGGCCCAACATCCACGTGGCAGCGTCTGGCATCTGCGACATGACCGACGACTCTCTTTGGCTGTTTGTCCCTGCAGATTGACCAATCCGAATACCCTATAAATAACCATCAAGCAAATGTTGGCTCAAACATCATGGCCCTGCTCCGCTCTAACAACGAGTAGAGGAATATTGTATCAGGCACTGGCGGGAATATCATTGCTTGTCGAATTCTTGAAGAAGGCGGTCTACAAGTACGTACCTACTTGGTACACATACTAAAGCTACTGTAACTTACTTGGGCACTAGACCTCTAGTGCTGTTAGATGCGACTGCACGGTGCACCATCTGCACGTGAAATCGCATCAGAGTGGAGGGACGAGGTCGGTCACGTAGGTCAGGTCTCAGCAAGTGGTCGGCTGTCAAGGGCGGGATCTGGTTCTGCCCCATAGTCGTCACATTGATGATTGATGAGGGTGTCCCTCAAACTTGCTGGCGAGCGCTGCCCCTCAGCCAAACTTGGGGTCATGCACCCCGATACCAGAGTTCCTACGTACGTAGGACTCTTGATAGAGGTCGGCTGTCGCCAGCAGCGATTGCAGCACCCTTCCGTGGCTTGCACATAGCACCGTAAATGGGCATGGCTGACGGTTGGTCACAGAGAGACCAGGCAGGCATGGCGGTGCGCGATCCCAGCAGACTGGACCTGACGGGCCAGGGAATCAGCGTTGAAACAAGCAGATTTTCGGATTCCACCTTGCGAGGCGTCTGCTTGACTTTGATCGTCAACAATCTCCTCGTGAACACTGAAGTGTTGATCCACCGGCAGAGGAGACGGGTGACAAAAGATCCTGCAGAGCACGGGACAGCCGACCGCACCAGCGAAATGCCGCCATTAAAGAGTCCAGTTCAGCCCCGTCCCGCTCTCGGCGTCCAGCACAGATCGGCGCGTGGCTTTTCAGCAGGGCACGCACGCACGCACGCAAACGCACCCACCCACCAGACAGGCAGACCACTGACCACCCAAGTTTTTCTCTGCACCTCCGCCGCCTCCGACCGCCGACATCACGTTGCGGCCACGCAGCCATGTGCATCCATCCCTGATCCCTGTCGCTTTGGTGGACCGCCATGGACTGCACGCCCTCCTCTCCTCGCCTTGGTGCGTCCCAGGCGCGCAGCGACGTTGGCGGTGAACGCACATCAATCAAGACCGTTTCCGAGTGTACTGTACAATCCAACCAATGCTGGCATTCGTTACGGACAGAATAATTGACCTGATCAACGCTGTCGTTGATTCTACGAACGCACTCTGCCCCGGCATTTGTGCCATCGGCCAGCTAGGCATAACATGTGAGGTACGCATCGCCTCAAATGTCTACAACAGGACGCCGGCTCCCGTGAGCTAAAGTCATCAGCAAATAGGGATCACCGATAACGAAACTTTTTTACTTTCTGACGAGCCGGTCCCAATAAGCGTGCGGCCGTGCCTGTTCTGGAACTTTGCTCTACCGCATGGCTCTCTTCATGGAATTATTAATCAGCAACTCTTTGTTAGGTCCAGTGCGAGGTTATTAGGGTGTTCCCATTGAGTTTAGCCTTGCAGGTTCCAAGGGCGCCAACAAAACTTTGTATTCAATCTCGCCGTTCTGGGAGACACAGCCAAATCACAGTCGAGTTGGGATGTCAAGGTCGCCCAGTCATGGCTCACGGTCCATGCATGATACATATAGCTTGATACCGGATGTGTAGATTGATGCAGAGGATCAGCCGTCATATACGTGTACGTGCCACGGATATAAGCAATCGGCTGCGAGACCCAACTTGCAACACACCGTCCTGGACGGCGCCATCTGTCGGCAGCTGTTAGCGCCGCAATGCGTGCCTCCGTATGTAGTACATGTAGCGCTGGACGACTGGACTCGCTATATGCATACTGATATCCACGGAGCATCAACAAGCAGTCCGCTTGCCGTGATTGATTTAATGAATCACGCGGTTTTCAGGAGAAATCAGCAGCCATGCCGACCCTCAATTGGCGTTTGATTGACCTTGGGGGTTGTGGCGCAGAATTGAGTCGGGCAGAGCGTGCTTAATGATTTAGACGCATGTACATGTATTGCATTGCAGGGTCGCCGGACGGGGTTGGCGAATCGGGACAAGCGCCTAGCCGAAGCCGCAGGCCCAGCCAATGCCAAGCTGGACGTCGCTGTTCCAACAAGTGCGAATGCCGCAGGCATGATGGCATCTGCTGCAGATTGAGTGTCAGTGCAGCTTCGCACACCTCTAACTTATCAATTGATATTACATGTACTGTACTTCACGCACCTCAGCCAGATCGCTCCGTGACGGCTCTATCCGTATGCTTACTGTCGCCAGGTCTCATTACGCGCGAGATGCCTCGGATAGCCCACTCCTCCAGCAACAGCGAATCCACCACGGACCTGCACGACATGCTCCGCTCTGCCGCCATATATTGCCGCCTGTCGAAACGGAAGCGACCGGCGGAGGGGAGGGCAAGCAGCCATGCCTTGACTGCATTCTTGGTCAGACCGCATCTAGGATGAGAACCAGGTATTCAGGATCATACTGCAAACCCAGGCTGAAACAACTTCCCGCAGAAGGGCTTGTTAAACTCACCAGTCTAATACAACGTTTGGCTGAAAGACGTGCAGCCTGTCACTGAACGCCACCTACACGCCCCGTTTTCGGAGAGGGCAGGACGACATTTGACTTCCTCGAGCAGCGATGCCTTCGTCCAGCACGGCAGCATTCAGCACAATGCTCGGCCGGCCGGCTTGCCATTTTGCCAATGAGCAGTGGCTATTACTTGCTACTTGCCGTAATAGCTAGCGTTACCTTGGACAGCATGTTCAGTTCAGCTGCCTACGTAGGTTGAAGCCCACAACGGGTGCGCACCGCCAGATCGACCGGCCCCAAGTCCCGTTACCGCCGACTAACAAGACCACCGCTTATCCGCTCCGTCCCGGAGCAGCACTTTTGTCGATTGTGTGGACTGCCTGTGCCTGTTCGGGAACCGTGTGAGCCTAATATATTGCACGTGCGTGAGACGACATGCTCTCTCAAGTCTGCGTCGGTGGTGTCATCGCGGCCTGTCGCCAACCAGCCTGGGATGACGCGACGCACGTTGACTGCGACGCTGATTCATCCAGCTGAGATCGTCAAAAGGAGGGCGGGCGGCTGGTTGTCATGATCCGGGGACGCTGTCGTCCCCGCATCCCACCAGCACGCAAAACCGTCCGTCATACTTGTCAGACTCGCGTAATTCATTCATTATTTAGTAAGCAATCTCTTCTTTGATGGGAACCATCTTCTGGAGGAGAGGACCGTCCAAACAATAGGCGTTGATGGGCGGCTCGGAGGATACATGTATCCAAGCGAGATGCACGTACCCCGACGTGGCGCATAGGCGCCTGCCTCTGCCGCGTCGTGAGGAATGTAGCGCAACTGACCAACTGCATTCCCGCGCGTCTTCGATGACTGGAGCGCCCGCAGCTGGATAGATGGCTGCTGGAAATCTATTCGGGTATCTCACGATTGAGCGGTCACTGCAGATCGATTGGCAGCGTAAGAAGAAGCGATAAGACCTTGCGATGATGTCTGTGAGGCACCTCCAATTCTCCTCGGTAATTGCATAATCTTCGGTCGCGGCATTCATGAAAGTCCCACGTGGCCGGCGGCGGATGGAATATGAGGTACGGTGTCTGGACCGCAGCCGGCCATTTTTATCATAATTACGTACTCCGTAGTGTTAATCAATTCGCTTGAATTACGAGCGGCAAGCCACCGAGTGTATTTGACGACACTGTGGCGTCTAACGTGAGTAAAATTCTAATTGTTCTGACGCTGCACTCAATTCTTTACAAGATTTTCCCGAGACGAAGCAAACTCAAGCCGTATGGCACCTAAGCGGCTTCGAATATCCGCAATAAGGCGACCGTAGGGTAACGCAGCCACATGGACAGAACGACAGAAGGGCGGTATGGCGCGAGTTGGTGGAGGCGTGTCACTAAGCACTAGTACAGTGCACACAGTAACATGCACTGTGTGTGTCAACGCTAAATGAAAACCAACCCCTGCAAG